CCGATGTACCGCGTTTCTCTACAGGCTGAGCAAGATGACCGCCGAGCAGCGTGGATATGACCCAACGGTAGTGCCTGCCAGCAATGACGAAATCACGTCGATGAATGTAGCCAGGGATGCTCTGCCGGAGAGCGACTATCGTCGTAAGCGCATCGCTGCTGCCATGACACGTGGGTGGCAGATCCAGAAGATCAGGATGCGCGAAGAGGACGTGGTGTCCGTAGAGGCGTGGCGCCGCGCTGGTCAAGATTCGACCTCTGCACCTACAGACTCATCCTCTCTGTCTTCGAGTGTCCAAGCCGGCGTTGCTCCTTGCTCTACACCTTCTTCTACGCCTCCCAACGCTCATGCTCCCGCGTCTTCGGATAGCAGAAACGAGACAGGCAGCGCGGACTCTGGGGGCCGCTACTTCCTCGTTGGTAAACCCGAGCATCACACCGACTCTCCGATTGGACGCGGGACACGGGGATACATCGCCTACGATATGAAGACTGGGAAATTCGTTTTCCTCAGGGACTCCTGGCGCTACGAAACGTCAAAGTCGGAGATAAAGGTCTACGAGCAATTGCACAGGAATCGAGTCAGACACATCGCGACACCGATATGCGGGGGCGATGTTATCGGGCAAGATAACTCTCCCCAACAGACATGTGCACAAGAGTTCGACAAGGACAAGAAAATGCCGAAGTACATTCATAACCGTCTGGTAGTGGAAGAAATTGGCATCTCCCTCCTGGAGTTCCCCGCTGGGCGGGATTTGGTGGTCGTAATGACAAATGCACTAGTAGGTGAGTCGTGCCTTGTTGATCCTTCCAAATACAGTTATTCATCTCATGTCTGAAGCCCATGAAGACGCATGGCAGTTCGCTGGAGTCATGCATCGTGACATCAGTGTTGCGAATATCCTCATGCTTCCTGATGCAAATCCAGAAGCTGTCGGCGTGAGTGTACGTGGAATCTTGAACGACTGGGACTTGTGCAAGTATAAGGGGGAGCTTGGAGCTGCTACGCAACGAAGTCGCTCGGTCAGTAGACTGGTTTATCATGTCCGCTAGACCGTTTACTTATGATTCGGACTAGGGGACGTGGCAGTTCATGTCCGCTTTGCTCCTCAAAGGACCAGGAATCAAGACACATGAAGTCGCGGACGATCTTGAATCGTTTATGCATGTGCTCAACTGGTTGTGCCTGCGATTTTTCAAGACGTTGCATGCCGACTTGCGGTCGTACGTCTCCAGTTCGTACGATCTGGTCACAAAGGTTGGGAAACGCCGCACTGGCGGTATCGACAAATACCAGGCTATAAAGGATGGCCGACCGATGGCGAACTTAGAGGAGAAAGAAGGCACTCCGCTAAAGGTTCTCGTTGAATCGTTGGCCACCATGTGTCACGTCCATTATCAAGCGGTTGACTCAAGCCCCTCCTCCGAGCCAGGAGATGACCGTCCACGCCATCACCCCATCATCACGATCGGTGGAGCTAGTCCCGATACCTACAAGTGGTCAGACATCTATTATCCGCGAACTAGAAAAGATGAACCGAAGGTCAAGAAGGACGATCCTCTAGTGAACCACAGACTGTTTATCGCTGCTTTCCTAATTGCATGTTCGGCCCCTGCTTCTGAATTTCCTGCCAAAGAGGAAGATAAATTCGCATTCTTCAAGGACATCCACACCGAGCATAGTCGTCCGTCCAGTCTTTACCAGTCAAGCGCGGGATCAAAACGGCGATCAACGGAACTTGTTAGCAGCAATAGCAGCAGCAGCAGCAGCGACGAGGAGCAGGAAGAGCCTCCTGAGAAGAGACTCAAACTCAGGAGTACCAAGGCCAATCGTCTTCGCGGCCTGCCGGAAGAAACCCTGTCATCCATCAATGGGGACGAGGTGACCGAGGACGAATACGAGACAGAGGATTCGGGTGCCTCAAGCTAGGTGAAGGTGATGTTGCCCCGGTATATGCATTGCTACGAATGGACACATTCGATACATTTATTATGGTTCGATTTAGCTTTCTTGTTTTCGCGCTGTACCCGGTTCCGTCTCACTATGCAAATGCTTTCTATGATTATGGTCATCTGGAGCTGTCGTTTAGTTGATGAGCCGTGGTAATATTACGTTGGAATCATATGGCAGTCGCGTCTGTGGTAGACATGTTGCAGTGAACGGGCAACGGGCAACGAGGAAGCGATTTTAGTAGCAACGTCGTGGAAGTCTGAGAGGTACAAACGCACAAAGGTACGAGCAACCGGTGCGGAAGTCGTAGTTTCCTACTGTTGAATCATTTCTCGGTGTATTGACGGGTGATCGGTGGACCTTACGTGAAGCGAGATATGGCGGTTGAAATGAAGCGAACCCCGCGCTAGCGGTAATGATAGGGAATAAGGATATAGTAGAACCTCAATCGCGATAATATAACATGTATATGGCTGTCTACGATCTCAAATAATTACTGCTCCGTGACTCTCTCGAAGAACTGTTTCAATGTACCCGACAACACCTCAGGTAGCGCCTCAACATCTCGCAAGACGACATAGTACTCGAAAGGAAAGCTATCCAGATACCGTTCGACGTGGAGATCCAGGCGGCCATCTATGTTCTTGTATGCGACTTGATTCATCGAGAGAATGGAATTCTGGTTGGCATTGCCGCTGTCAGAGGAACTCCGCGCATGCAGAGAGTCCAAGATGATGAACACGACCATGACCCGTTCTTCTTCCGCCTTCCTCAGGACAGTACGGAGCTTCTCGTGATCTTGGCACATGCCGTCTGAGATGATGATGTCAAGTTGCCACAGACCTGCGGCAGTGGCAGAGCTCATAGATCGTCTTTCTCTAGCGAAAGCACCTGCGTAGCCTTCTGGTCGAACTGGAATGCGCTCATGATTCGCATGCCTGCCTGGTCTGTGAAAGGTCCGCTGTCGAAGCCATGAAGAACATCGACTGACTCGCCGAACTTGGCTATGGCGACGTCGCCCACTTCCAGCCGGCTCAGAGCCTTCGATACAAGGACGAGTGTTTCGTATGCCAGGTGAACGGAATGAGACTCTGCCATAGATCTGGAGTCATCGAGAGCGATAAGAACTTGGTATTCCCGCTGACTTGGCCTAGTGCGATTTGCTGCAGCCCCCAGTGTAATAACGATAGGCCTTCCTGCAGGAACTTGCAGTCTTGCATTGGGCGAGCCGTGAAGTGGGAGAGCATCTAGGCACGAGGGATGAAGCTCAGTCCCAGTGAGCCGTGCTCTGGCGTTGCTTTTTCCAGAGCTTCGCCGCAGACGATAGGGAAGGTCTATCGTGCTGTAACGGACGCAGAGCATCCAACCTATGTCGCGGCGTCGAACCGACCCGTAAAGAACAGTTGGCTGGACATCGCGTGATGGCACGATAGGTAGAGCCGGCCCTACACGCAGATTCGATGTATTGCGTGGTGGGATGCCAGTGATAGCGCACGGAGGAGTGCATTGGGAAGGACCACGGCCAGGGCGGACCATGGCACATATCACATGCCGGTCGGCCAATGATCGGAAGGGGAAGGAGAAGCGCCAGCGATGCTTCGACCGCTTACGAATCCGCGAAGGAGCAGCTCCCATGATCCTCCTTCCGTGCTCCGGCCTGTTCTCCTGCTTATCTGGGAGCATCTCAGCTGCGCTGCCCCGTCTGCGAGTACTTACTTGTACCAGTCTCGCAGCACTGGCGTTCGCACTGCACGCCCACTCGGTCTGACAGAAGTTGACTCGGGGCACTGGCACTTTTGGTCACCAAGCAGCTCGCGCGGGTGATGCGCATTCGTCATCCTTCCGGCCGACGCGTACCTTCCTCACCCAAACAGCGCCGCCATCGCGTCAGCTCCTTGATTCGGCCTATGTAGAGTGCTGCTTCGCCACGGGGCTATTTGACTCCGGTGTCTCCCTGCGCTCTTTGTGCACGCAACACTCGCTTTGCTGTGCTCTCTCCGCTTGTCGGTGTGAGCTATAAGGCGTCTGCGCCGCTTTGGTGCTCTCTCTCTCCCCCTCGCCACCATTCTTAGTACGCCTCGTATATCCGTATATCTCTGTCGCCACCGCACACTCGCCCCGCTATAAATTTTCTGCCAAACGCTCCCCGGGTCTCGCTCTTCTGCTCTTCTGCACATGCAATCTGCCGTTGATATCATGTCTACGCCGCATACCCACACAGAAGGCCCAGTCCCGCCGCACTCCTCCGAGCCCCTCGCCATCGCCCAGCCCATATCCCGGGAGCCGTCCGTCAGTTTCTTCAACTGGCCCACCACCTCCACCGACTCCCTCTCCTCGTTCTCCCCCGCCTCCTCCTCCTCCCTCCTCCCCGACGCCTTCTCTCCCTCGTCCTCCTTCTCCTCCGACTGCCCGCTCTCCCCGCTCTCCTCGGACCTCGCCCTCCCCTCGTCGCATCCCCCCTCGCAACACCAGCACCAATCCGAAGCGTGGCGCACCGCCGCGCGCGAGGCCGCCGACGGCGTGCACTACACGCTCGAGCCGTTTCCCTCGCCGGGCAGCACCGTGCTGCCCCCGCCGTTCCGCGACGAGCCGCTGCAGGTCGCGGGCGGCGCGCGCGTCGGGCTGCTGGACGAGGTCGGCCAGCATACCGTGCGCGTGCGTCTGCTGGACGGGGGCGGCGCGGTGGGCCTGCTCCCCGCATGGAACCTCGAGGGCGCGCTCGAGCGCCTTGCGCGGCTGAACATGGAGTTCAACGAGGCGGTAAGTGCAGTTTCCCGGGACGGTCGTGCCAGCGGACGCGCGTGTGCTGACCGACTGTGCTTTTGCTTTTGCTATTGTAGGCGACCTGTCCGGCAGAGCGCCGGGGCCCGGAGGGCCAGCGGGCGTCCGGCAGCAAGCCGGCCCTCGCGCACAGCCACGACCGCTGCGTGCCGTTCGCGTCGCGGCTGATCTTCCGCAGCCCCGACGACGAGAGCGACGACGACGCGGACGACAACGGGTACGAGGACGACTTGTTCGGGTTCGACCGTGGCGCGCGCAAGCAGACGCTGCGCCCGTCGCGCGCGGTGTACGAGGTGCGGCCGGGGCGGGAGCGGCGCAAGGCCGTCGAGTTTGCGCGCGTCGAGCGGGCGAAGGTGTTCCGCTACCCGTCGGAGGCGCTCATCGAGGCGTACTATGGCGGGGCGGAGGAGGAGCCCGAGGCGGGTGCGTCTGGGGACGAGGAGGAAGACGGTCAGTGGTGGTGGGCTGGCTGGGAGGAGCCTGCCGCGGACGCGTCTTTACAGGACGGCTGACGTCCCTGTGCGAGGGCGCCGCCCGCTCGAGCGTACGCCACCGCGTAGATGCAGATGCATCGCCAAAATCATGCTATTCGCAACGCACTTTGCAGGACTAGTCTTATCTTATCGCAGCATAGTAGTATGTGTTCGGTCGTGGAACGCGTTCAATGGGTGTATTTGTATCGCAGTGATTCGGCAGCAATAACATGTTTTGGCGTCCCGTAGGTGAGCCGGAGGAAACAACGACAGAGAGGAGACTTGCTACACCCGAGGGCGCCGTAGACACTCGGGAGTCATACGGGCGGTGACGGCATGGCATGGCGGTGAGACGTGGGCACGTGACCGCGATGTGGAGCGGGATGACGTTTGTGGTGTCGCGCGGTATCCGACGTGCCCGCGGCCGACGCGCAGACCGTCCATGCCATCTGCCAAATGCAGGGGCAGGCCAATGGCAGCAGCCCGGACGCGAGTGCGCTCTCATCCTTTCTTACTCACATGTCCGATTCCCCTCCTCGCATTTCTCCCCCGACGCATATAACACCTCCCCGACCGACACTCTACTAGAAACCCCCGCGTATACCCCTTCTAATCCCTGTATACCTCCAGTGTTCAGGCAGCAATGGCAACGCCGTTTGTTGTACCGCAATTTTCCACGAAGGACTACAGCTCCTTCTTCACCGCAGGTGCGCGGGCATTTGTTGTTCAATCTATATAAGCAGTGGGACTGACACACACCCAGGAGCACTATGTTGCACGTACGTGAATCCACACAGCCGCACCAGAACGACGACACTGACCTCTTCGCAGAGTTACGCATGGCGGCATGACGCGTACGTCGTCCTCGTACGCATTCTGTCCGCGGGGCACACGACTCACCGTCCCCGGCCCACAGCGATTGACGTCATCAAGACCCGCATCCAGATCGACCCCGCGCTCAAGGGCCACTCCCTCCTCTCCGGCGGCCGCCTCATCGTCGCGAACGAGGGCCCCGCCGCGCTCCTCACCGGCTTCGGGCCCACCGCCGTCGGCTACCTCGTCCAGGGCGGCGCCAAGTTCGCCGGCTACGAATACTGGAAGAAGCAGTTCGTCCAGATCGCCGGCAGCCAGGAGGCCGCCGTCGGCCACCGCACCGCCATCTACCTCGGCGCGTCCAGCGTCGCCGAGTGCGTGCATTTGCATTTGCGTTTGCGATCGTCCGCGCCTGGGCTGAGCTGAACGCGTGCGCGCAGGTTCTTTGCTGACATCCTGCTGACGCCGCTCGAGGCGACGCGCATCCGCCTCGTCTCGGAGCGCGGCTACGCATCGGGGCTCACGACCGGGTTCATGCGCCTCGCGCGCGAGGAAGGCGTCGCCGGGCTGTACGCGGGCTTCCTGCCCATCCTCTGCAAGTGCGTCTTCCCGCCGTTCCGCACGCCTCCTGACCGCTGACCGCTGACCGCTGACCGCCGGCACAGACAGATCCCCTACGCGATCGGCCAGTTCACCGTGAACGAGTTCTGCCACGAGCTCGTGTTCCGCAACATGTCCGACGAGAAGCGCGCGTCGCTCAGCGGCGGCACCAAGTTCACGATCTCGCTCGGGAGCGGCGTCATCGCCGGCTTCGCTGCGGCGATTCTCAGCCAGGTGCGTCCCAGTTCACTTCCTCGTACCCGCTTTTCCTGCACCATATCCACATACTGCTACGCCGTCTGTATGCACCCCGCTGACATCGGTGCTCGCTGTTACAGCCGGCAGACACCCTGCTTTCGCAGATCAACAAGGGCCACGGGCCGTCGGGCTCAATGGCATACCGGCTGGTGACGCTCGGGCGCCAGGCGGGCGTGCGCGGCTTGTTCGCGGGGCTCGGACCTAGGATGGTCATGACTGCGGGTCTGGTATCGGGCCAGTTCCTGCTGTATGGTGTCGTCAAGGACATGCTCGGGGCGCCGCCTGGGCTGGAGATCCACAAGGAAACGAGCGTGAAGCTGTAGGAGGTGCCGGCCGGACGCTGTTGTGTTGTGTTATAGTGTACGCGCGATCGCGCGATCCGATGAACGGTGTGTTTCTGAGTATGCAAATAGAGAACACTGTAGAGTAGACTTGTTTCGCTAATGAGCACTGTAGCCTCTTCCTGACGCTGTAGAACGGAGACGGTCCTGGTATAGCACGGATCTATTTTAACGAAGTCGTACACATCAAAGCAGACATGAATCCTTCAACGGTCAAGAACCTCCGCAAGCACCTGCCGCACGTCCCCCCGCGCCCCGGCGTCGCCGGTCAAGTCCCAAGCCAAGAATCGGCGACACACGTCTTCGGCGCCTTCAAGATCCTTGCGCTCGCCCTCGGCCATTTCTTCGTCCAACAGCTGGCCGAGCTCGTGCGTGGACAGCAGCTTGCTGTATAAATGGTCCCGGTCAGTCGTCGAGCAAGGCGGTGCGCCTATTCCCTATGCATGGCATACACACCTAACGTATCGCGCCCTGTTCGCGATGCGCCGCGGGATCCCGAAGATCTCTGCGCACATCGCAGCGTGCGAGTCGAGCGAGAGGCCCCTCGCGACGCTGGACGACGACGCCGTGAGCGCTGCGCCCGAAGAACGGGATCGGTATGTTTCCTACCGGTACAGGTACGTGATGCGCTCTCCGGGCGCGACCCGTCTGCCTTCGCCCGCATCCTGCGCGCCCTCGTCCCCGCCCCCGTCCCCGTCGGAGATGTCTGCGCCGTCGTCGGCTCCGCTTGCGGCGAGCAGCTGGCCGTGGCGCGTTGTCAGCATCACTTGCATGTGCGCGAAGGTGACCGGCAGCAGGTGGGGCGCGAGCAGGTCGTCGGTGAACACGTCGTGGAAGTGCGTTGCCGCGAAGACCTTGGGGCATGCGGCTCCGCGCTGCACGAGGTGTCTGAGGACACCGCAGAAGAGACCGGCCCCATCTATTGGCACGAGTGACAATCCAGATAGAGATCGAAGAGGCCAGAGAGACAGCCCGCCAGGGTCAGCGACAGGTCAACATACAGTAGCAGCAGAAAAAGCGCCAGAGTGACACGAGCCTGCAGAGATTGTTCCCTTGCCGAATTCGTCCAGCAAGATGAGAGACCTCTCCGTTGCATTTCTGAGGGCCAGAGATACTTGATTGAGATCGATCATGAATGCCGATTGCACCTGCGTTTTGAGCCGCCGTGGTCCACATCAAATTGCTGCATCGACATGACGTGACTGTATACCTTTGAAACCGTTTCACGTGTCTGTATGCGGGTGAAGACTAAGAAAAGAAGGATCGTGAGTACCGGCGCAGGCTGCAGAGGCTCAACATTACTCTTGTCAACAATGCCGAGAGTTGCTGTCTCAGCAGGCACGAAACTGCAATGTAGTTAGCAAGAGCGTACTACTGATAGGAGACCACTCACCACCCAATCTACGGACATCAGGCAGACGTTGAGTAACGTGGTGCGAATGCGAGACGTACCTGAGCCATGTACTGAATCAGCGCAACCTTCACAGCAAGTCTGTCAGAGACCGCCGATTGTCAGCACCATCGAACACACCTGTTTGAGATAGACACTCTGATGCAGAGTCAGCGCAGTTGCCCGGTTTAAACACAGAAATCATGCCTTTCCACATGCATTTGCTCCGGTACAGACTACGATGCTGTGTCGTTCTTCGTGGACATCCTCCGAGCCATCCTGGTCGATGTACTCTAGAGGATCTGCATCCACACCTGCGCCACCTACCACAAAAGCATCATTGGGAACAAAGGTGTCGACCACAAATTCTTGTAGTGGATGGCTGTGCATTCTGCGCGTGAGCTCCTCATACGGTTGCGGCGTAATTATGTTTCCACACCGGCCCTGTTTGATATCCAATACATTCTCCTCCGTCATTTGTGGACGGACGTAGTTGCACGCTCTCGAGGCTTCTGCAAAAGAAAGAAGGCAGTCGAGCTCCGCACATACGTCACAAGCATGAGTCATCTCTTCATCATACACAAGGATCTTCTCCAAAAGAGATTGCACGATCTCAATTTCTCGGTCTGCATGGCATTAACAATCCTGGTCAAGTCCAACGAACTCACTCTGCTTACCGACAATAGATGGATGCAGGTCTCCTATGTGCACGTCCATATCTGTGGAGCAATGCTGGTAAATCCACTGCTCGTACCGCATAAGTACATACTCACCGTGCATTTCTTGTGATTTGAAGTAAACGTGTGATCTTTCAGTTGTATAATGAGTAGCTTCAAGAGCAGGTTTCGCTGCCTGTCCACCACTCACTCAGAAGAGAACTTGAGTAATCAGAGGGTTAGGAAGTGCATGGCATGGATCATAGGTGAAACTGACTTGGAAAGTCCAGCCCTCAAGCACAATTATGCCTTCGTCCGCCTTCCATTCTTCAAGCATCGGCACACAGATCAGGAATCCTAAGTTGCATCATTTCTGTGTTGTCAGCACTATCAGAATGAGATAAAATCGCATACCTAATTGCGGAAAATAGACAACATTCAACGACGAAGCGTAATCCGGGGGTACTGTGGCGGATATCTGCTGCGCTACCTTTGACTAAAGTCCGTTCAAGTCATGAATATATGGCGTTCAGAGGCACGCATTACGCACGAGGACGTTGTCGATGCCGTGATAGATATGCTTGAGGTTGTCGAGCTCTTCGTCGATATGTGGTCTGACACAGACTCGACCCGCGATCGTAGATTCCTCCCAGTCGATCTACAAAACATATTTGAGATAGCGTCCAATGCCTTCGGCGTTCGCATTACCGTTTCGTTGACAGCACTGCCCACTTCCTTGAAGCTTGCGACCTCGAGCGCCTCTACCAGCTGCAGATTGTGTAGTCAGGTTGCACATCGATGTGGTAACGTCCGCTTACTCTCTTGACAATGTCGACATTTGCATGGCTGAGTTCCGAAAGTGCGTCACGAAGCATGAGAGAGTGGAATGTGAACTAAGGTAATTCTCGGTTCGACTCGATGAATATATATGCTAGTGTGAGTCGTCACCGACCTTGACCAACGCTTGCCAATCTGAGACCGTGGCTCTTCCTGCTCGCATCAGTCCAAGTGTCCGTGGAACGTTCTTGATCCCTGCCAAGTGAGAATGCATACTACCAGCCGTTACCAGATTGTCTGGACGCAGGAAGCACGCGACAGCATCGTGCCGAGCATTGATCATGTCGAGAGATAGGGAAGGTCGGATAAGCCACTCGCGCATCAGAGCGCGACCCAGAGTTGTCTTGGTGTTGTTGAGAATCCCGAACAGCGATAGTCCCTCCTTCGTCTTGTCAGAGTGTATGGACGCGTGGTTCTCATCTTCAAAGATCTGCAGCGAGAATAGAGCATCTTGGTTGATCTGCATCGACTGAGAGAGAGTAAGAGCTCGAATTGCACAGATCTCGATCCCGACGCCTTCATCGTCCAGCTCACCAAGAGCCCGAATGCGTGCCAAGTAGTCAATAAGGGCCCCGATAGAGCCGAGCTATGAATATGGGTCGTCAGGCCGTAATATGAAGCTTGTTCATGGACCACTTACGCATAGAGGGGCGTTGTCTACACTAGCATAATTGGCTAACCTGACGGAGGCGTTCCACCTCTGCATTGTAGGATCCACAACTACCTCCTTTCGTCGTATCATAAAGTCATACGCGTTTCTTGGTCCGCTCCTGTCGTCAGAGTCCGAGGAACCTTGGTCTTGACGGGGACCTCCCGGCAGCTCGGCCAGAAGACGCAGTGAGAACAGGCGATCGCGACCCTTGGTAGGGAAAAAGTCCTTGTGGGGTCTGACCTGAAAGGTCCCACCCGATGCATCCACTATTCCAAGAGCTCGGCCAGAGTCTAAGGATATCGGATAGTAGACGCACTGTGATCCCTGAGGACTTCAATGAAATTGTCATCTGCTTTGGAACTGGTGATTACGATGTCAGGGCAGCACTGTTCGAGTACTGGGGCAGCGTAAGTTCAGTGAGACTTATGGGGTTAAAATCAAGCACATACAAGCCTTTGTCAGGTCGTAATGCGAGTTCTCATGTGTATCATCAAAATAGTGAAGTGTGCACTTCACTGGATCGTAGTATGCGCATGCAACACGTCCACTAAGGCACAAGAAGGATATTCAAGCAAATATTATAGCGCATATATCCATCTCACGCACAACTGGCATGAGATTGCTAAACATAACTGCGAATGTGGTATGAGTGCTATCCTGGTAGTGCATCGATGCTCATACCTTTTCCTGGCCAACGTTCTCACTATCTTCGTCTTCTAACACGCTCTCCGTAGGTTGCTCGACTTCGCCGTCCCACCTCACTTTCTTGTTTGCCTTGCTCGAAACCGCAGAGCTTTGCTCATCACTTGCCTCCGGTGCAGGTTCTTCCGCTATACGTTTCCGCTTGATATTCTTTCTATAACTTGACTTAGAGTCTTTCTTTTGGCCTGGCATGATTTCAACCTCGGAGTTGAACGTGAGCGCGAATGGAGGACCCGAGGGACCAAGAGACGAGACGAGACGAGATGTCAGGGCAATCACTGAGCGCGCTGAGTGCCGATCGCGACTCTCGATCGCGTCGCAGGCACGTGACAGGGTCGCCTTGATTGGACAATGGACTTTCGGGCAATCCAATAGACACATCATGATTCGGGAGGGCAATGTGCGTGTGTGTAGACGGTTGCATCAGAGGTGACTGTACGGCTGGTACTTACGGATGACTCAGGCCGGGTAGCTGAGTACACACAATCATGGGAACACAACACACGATGTTCCACATCGAGAACAGTATCCGATCGTCAGAGGCATGTGGATACAGGTAGACTGGGATCCTACAAGACGTGCATCCCGCTGACAGGTTGCGCCTCTACTTCTTCTTGAACTGAAGCAATTCACTTGCGTCGTCCGCCACTACGCATCACGATACGATCAGCCTCAAAACATCGTTCAAATAGTTAACATCCTACCGTTCAAGAGAAGACTTTGTGAGTCAAGCATGACGCGGTTGCCAGACACTGCCAGTAAATTGGCAATGTCGCGAGCCGCCTCGAGTCTCCGAAGCTGCAGGAAGCCCTTGTTCGAGCGTACCGCGTCACCAATAAGCTCTGCACTCTTCGCTTCACCCTGCGCACGGACGATGATAGACTAGTTGGGTGTAAGCGTTACCGTCTATTCGTGCGGCGGGATGTGACAAACCTGTTTCTCCTGTATCGCTTGGTCCACGAGGAAAGCGGCCCGCAGAGCAGTTTGTTGAGCAACCTAGGTATTGTGCACAGTAAGACTAAAAACGTGCGTGAATGATATCACTTTGACAGACCTGCTTCGCTTCGACTGCGTGTGTGAACTCCGGAGAGAAAGCGACATGTGTAATGGATACATCGTCGAGAACGAGGTTGAATCTCAGCGCCCTTCGAGTCAGGTTCTCGCGAACTAATCTTGACACCTAATTGGTAGCACCATGCGCGATGAACTTCACCGACGTGGCTAGTGATAAGTTAGCTGTACCGACCATTTCACGCTGTGTAATGAGCTGGCTGGCGTTGAACTGCGCAACCACACTCTTTAGGACCTCGTTTACGATTGAGGGCAAGACACGCTCGTCGTAGTCGGTCCCGAGTTCACGGTAGATGGTAGGTAATGATGGTATGTCCGGCCGGGAGAGCACACGACAAGTGATGTTGACCATTTGAAGATCTGATTAGATGTAAGCAGCTGTGTTAGAGTCATGGAAATGGATATGGGCCACCTTTTGTGCCAGTAAGACTGGCAATATTGCGAGGCTTCGCACGAATGTCGAACACAATAGGTGTCTCAAACCATGGGACCTGGTCCACAGGTCAGGGCAGGTATTCGAGCATAGTATAATGCATCCTCACCATAAGGTGCGTTCCCTCCGCGTAAACATTCGATTTCACGCCGTCCAGACTGGACATTATGAGCAAGGCCTTGAACATGGACGCGATATACGTACCGTGTGTATTTGATGGCACGGTGACCACCGTCAACTAAAAAAAGGACTCTTACATCCAGTAATACTTTAGCTAGAATGAACCGCACGACATACCATTGAACAAGCTAGCATTGAGTGCAACTCCGCCACCAATGAGCGCGAGCAACAGACCACCACCTGCGGTGAAACCTTTCCCGCTCGGAAAGCCCCCGCCGCCGCCGCCAGAGCTGGCTCGCTGTATTTGCTGCGCCAGCCGTCTGAAAGCCTCTTGTCCGTTCATAGCGTGCGCGTGAATGTGCAGAGACTCAGCAGGAGAATAACGACTTTGGACTGACGACACTCCCAGGCAGAGCGGCACGGGAATTGCCGGAATCATTACCGCTTAAGAGCTCACTGCTTCCGACAAGCTTCCGAAGGCAATTTGTTCCTCGACTGCCGACACCCTTCCCTCCGCTCAGGCTTTCTCAAGCTCGCAAGACCTCGAGGCGGTATCTTGGCCTCGTTGTAGCTCAGATCAAAGTCTCGCACAACAATGTTCCCCGATATACGTACAACAATGCTCGGAGACGGGAACGAGGTTCTCAGCAGAGTCGTATGCAGCGCTATCTAAACTGATCCGGGGATCGCAACTGACTGCGTAATTTCAACAGTTTGGTTGGACATCAATAGCTTGCTGGTAAGCCCTTCACAACCTCTCGCGTTTCCCTGACACCTGTCTGACACCTGACTGCGGTTTCCTGCAGGTTGGTAGTGTACACCCCGCAGATCATCGAAAACCATCGCCTCAAGTCCGGGGAAGGCTTGAGTGTATTTTTTGTAGTCATCTGGCTGATTGGAGACATCTGCAATCTCGTTGGCGCAATCCTTGCTCATCTTCTGCCAACTATCATTATTCTTGCTTTATATGTTCGTGCACGGTACGCATACATAATGAGGATGAGCTAATCATCCGTTTTCATCCACAGTATACCGCATGCGACTCTATTCTGCTTATACAGATATACTACTACCGCTGGGAGAAGGCAACGTCATCTGCGACACCTTTCCTCGTGGAGGAAGACAACAACACTCTACCACCTAATCCATCCGAAGAAGCACCTCTGCTCGGTGGTAACGAGCGCGACAGCGAAGCGGAACACGGGCTATCCGCGTCGAACGAATTCGCAAAATATGCTGGCGCTCTAGTCTTTGTTTTTGCCAGCGGGATCACAGCGTGGGCTGTCGACGAATTCATCCATAAGGGCCAGGCTAGGTCGAAGCCGCAGGAAGAAGTCGTGGAATGGAGAAGCCAGGCACTTGGCTGGTTTAGTGCCGTAATGTACCGTAAGTAAATACGTAGTCTAGGATGTTCGATCGCTCATGAGCATGGAAGTGGGTGCGAGGATACCACAGATCAGTGCGTGCATTTCCTCATACACTGCTACACTTAATGAGCGGCCGGAGCCAGTTAAAAACTTCAGGACGAGGTGTGAGGGGCTGTCGCCGTTCCTCTTCGTGTACTCTATTACGGGAAACATCACCTACGTGCTGTCCATACTCGCGGCGTCAATGAGCCTCAAGCATCTCACAGCGAACGCATCGTGGATTGCTGGTGAGCGCTCATGCATAAATGTCATCATCAGTTCCGGGACTCATGTCCTTGCTTCTATTCCACATCAGGGAGCGCGCTCACTGTGTTCCTTGATTCCTTCGTAAGTCGTGCATTGACACCAACTGTCAGGCGAAGTCGCTCACGGGCTTTTGTTATATAGGTGCTCTGTCAGTTCTTCTGGTATCGGGTGCGCACGTCGGGATCGATCGAGGAGTAAGGTAGACCAGTGCTATAAAGTAGAATTGCCGCTGTGTACAGTATTCTGCTGTAATGACCTAGACCCCGTAAGCCCGTCCGGATCCATTGTAGCGCGGCCGCAGCGCTGGAGTCATTCTGATGGACGGGGTAACATGTAGCTTACTGGAGCCGATACCGGTTCGAATAAGGGTACGATAAGGGGAACCCGAGGCCCTTGATCAGCTCGGCCGGTTGGTGTGGGACCGAGCGATAAATAATGGAGAGCCGAAGCGTGATGGTCCACGAACTTTGCAGCAATGCGTGCCTCGTTCCCTCCCTCGTGTTGCCAGCTGTTGTTCGACATCCCACGTTGCAGGTCAGCTCTAAACATTCGTATGGCAGCCTCAGTTTGACTGGACATGCTCCCAGCCTCGTGCTGGTTCATCACCCAGACCGCAACCAAAACTCATTATCAATGCCAGATCGCCCGCCCGTCTTATATTCCTCCCTCCATGGCTCGCCTACTCCGCTCACCCCCTCTTGGCGCACCCCTGACCAGCAGTCGAGACCCGAGGAATGCAGATGCCGCGGTGAGTGCTTTGCAACCTGTCTCATGGCCACGACGTACTCAGAGGCTGTGACGCTCTACCCGTTTCAGACTGTAGCTGCAGACCAAGCACGCGCCCTCCATTCTGCGTGCGCCACACCCCTGAGCTGCCTATATTTGACATAGCGAGGCAGCGTCGCGTCACTGTTTGCCCAGACAATACGTTCCGCCACTCGCCGCCACCGACTGCATTTGCCTTTTAACCCGGCCGCTGTGGTCGACCGCTGCCATCCACTTGCGATGCAGAGGACGCCCTTTTGTCCACCCTCCAACACCCAGAAGCAAATCAGAGCAAGCCAGTCAGCCATGGCTCAACTTGCCGTTGACCCGTCTCGCGTACGTCGTAGCCCCGTCCACGTGAAGGACTTACCACCGCCGCCATACGAGTTCTATGACGCGCATACCATTTCCGTGCCTTTTGTTGTCGACCCTTGCGTGGCCGTGCCTTTCGCGCGGACGCACTCTCTCGGCGCAACCCGTCCTGAGCACCCTCGGCCGCAGTTGACTCAGTCGCGCCGGACCGGTCCCAATCTCTCCATTCCTCATCTCCGAGAAGCGCTCCACAGTCTCGAATCGAAGATGGCGACGCTGCTCAGCGAACGTGAAATGCTCGAGTCCAGACTAGAGCAAGCCGTACGTCTGCAGTCGCCGATCCAACGTCTCCCCGAAGAGCTGTTATCCACGATCTTCGAGATCGGCGTTCTCTACGAGGACGAAGAGGACTCGCTCACGCTGGCGAACATGATGCTCGTATGCCGCTATTGGAGAGATGTCGCAGTCGATACTCCGGGACTCTGGTCCCGGATCATGACGGGCACGCACCATTCAATCGAGCGCGCCCGTCTCAAGCTCGACCGATCGAAGAATGTGCCATTAGATGTTTGGGTCGACTTCAGTCCCCCCATGGAGTATGGTAGTGTCAGAACCGAGACACTTATGCATGCGATGGACCTCCTACGACCATCTATTTCGCGGTGGCGGTCATTCCATCTCACCGTGCCCAATCGACCGCAAACCCACGCCGTACTTTCGCGCTGTAAGGAGCGCGCGCCATTACTGGAGGTGCTCTCGGTGCGTGTCTGCCATTCTATGCAGGAAGATCATTACTCGACCCCACCACTTCCCCTTTTCGAGGGGCGCACTCCACGACTTCGTTCCTCTTCGTTTACGTCGTTCAACTTCAACTGGGACATGGCACTAGTCAGCCGGCTACGTATCCTCAAACTGGGCGGGTACTGGAACGGGCTCTCGCCATCTGTCGACGTCATACTGGGGATTCTTCGGGCATGTCCCCAGCTGGAAGAGTTGGCGCTGCGCAATATGTCCGACGTCGATCCTCGGACGTGTGCCCAGGCAGAGGCAGATCCCTCGGATCACGACGATTCCAGCGATAGATTTGTGCGCCTCGCCGACTCGAGAACGGTGCAGCTGCCAAACCTCAGGAAGGCCTCATTCTACTACTGCGGCAACATGCGCGCTCGCACGGTTCTTGGCTTGTTGGCGTTCCCGGCGCTGGAGGAGATCGAGCTGTGTTTCCTGGATAATGTGTCTTCCATCATAGAACAGCTGCGACGACAATCGTTGACCCGGCTGCCCCTGCACCGACTTCGGATTGAATCGAGCTACTTCGGCGAAATGAGGCTGTTCAGACTTCTACGGCGATTACCTGCGCTTACAGCCTTGGAATTCGTGGATGTAGATGACGTGTCGTCCAATTTGTTGAAGGTCTGTCTTCTCGCTTCGATTTGCTGTGAAAAACTCATCGCCGCTTCTTACAACAGAACTTGAGTACTCCGCCCATGTCTCAGACATGGATTTGCCCTAGACTTACGACACTCGGCCTGGAAGGTTGTACATCGCTGGATTGGGAGTCAATCCGCTCCTGTGTTGAATCTCGTCTTCCTGCTCAGGCGCGAGCATTCCCTCGACAATCTACAGCTTCTACCTCTCCTGTCCTTGCCCCATCGTTGTCGTCCACGTCGAGTTCTACTACCAGGGCTACGTCCTCCGCTTCCGCGTTTGCTGCGCAAGCGCATATTCTATCACGGATACCAGCAGCTCCCTCCGCCAGCGGCGTTGCAATGCCGCCTCAACGGCTGGAGTCGATTAATCTTTCTCGATGTCACCAGATCAGCAAGGAGATGCTGCAATGGCTGCGCATGTACGTCGCTGAAGTGAAGTACGAAACCACGCGGGGAGTGTGGGGTGAAGTCCCCTCATGATGGTTATGGACGATGCGCCTTTACGATACGCCCACAATGTGGGTGTGGATACCCCGTATGTTATGGTCTTGGCTCGTCGCTTTCCGTCTGTGTTGTGGTTTGCTTTCGAACATGCTGTGATGCCTTCGGTTTGATTGTTAGTGGATGTTTCGCAGTGCCTGTACATGTACGTACACTCAATGAGCCACTACACGCTGTCCAACGGGATTTGGATCGCCTATCGCCCATGTATGTGTATGATTGAGACCCTTTCAGGAAGGATGTAGTGAGTTCGACGTAGATCTCGCTTTGCGCGTGTATATATGCATAGCCGTAGTCTACGCCATTCCAATCACTTCTCACTTGCAGGAATGCTAACGACACCTTCGAGGCGTAAGCGTTTTACCTGCTAGTTGTACCCAAGTTCAGGACTTTTCAAGGCGGACCTCATCATTGTCTGTTAAAGAGACGAGTGACAACTTGAAGTGTGACTAGTCCCCGTAGGCAGTGCGTCGAGACTGGAGACGTCCCTCGACGTCTAAGGACAAGTGCCATAGACGCGCGCGCCACATCTCTGGCTGCGTCCCCCACTGTCCCCCACCGCCGTGCGGTTTATACACACTTTGTTCCTTACAAGTTCGGCAAGGAATTGTAATGTCCGGGGATGCGCTGACCCCGGAAGAAAAGACGAGGTATGACGCCGCCCGCAAGGAGCTTATGCAAGCCTTGACGAAGAGGCGGACCGCGGACAAGCAGCTGGTGCGTTTTCTGTCCTATGGTCATGGGTATGGTTCTCGCTCTTACATTAAACAAACCCTCAGACGTCTATTGAGGTCGACATCTACGAACTTGAGGGCAAATATCTTACTGAGACCGCTGCGCACAGCGGGGGCAATATCATTCATGGATTTGAGGGCTACCTCAAGAATGCCCCTGGAGGCAGGAGGAAATATGAGGTGAACGAGTCCGACCGGATATTTTCCAGCAGCAGTGCAACGTACACGAAGGTGCCGTCCAGAAAAATGTATACATTTGCATTGACTCAATCATTCACAGTCCTTGGACCTCTCTGGGGAGGACGATTCATTTGGAGATGACCATTCGCGCCTAACCACACCCGGAGTGACCACTGTCATCGTACCTCCCGCCACACGCACGCAGGAGCTCTCAGCCGCACAACAGAAAAAGAATCGTGATAGAGAGTACCAAAGGAAGAAACGAGCTAACGCACGCAATACCACTACGCCCGTAAGCGAGGACGAAAGTGTGACATCCTCACGAAAGCCCACCAAGAGGGCAAGACTAGCTGACGATGAGTGAGGGGTCGTGTCGGGTTCCCTGCACTGATGCCTGGTGTACAACTAGTCGTGTATTTGTATTGTATTATAACACTGCTCGATGTTCAACAAAGGACCACGATTCTTGTGGCGGTCAGATATCCAGTGTGCCCAAGAATTTCTTCACACCAAGTTCGTCCATGCCTCCTTCATCTGGATCCACTGCTTCGATACATCGCGTTGCAGCAATTATATGTCGTGGATCTTTTGTGTTGATCCACATCCGGCCGTTGAGTCCTGTGGCAGTCTCCAAGGGAAACCGTGCGCCCAGGATCGGAAGCAAAAAATGATTGGGATCCAGCAATCTGCACCGAAAGCATCAGGGAACAGGTTCAGGAAGGGCGTCATATAGATGTACTCACAGACGGCACATCTTCAGACTGCAGTGCACGAGGAAACCCCCCTTCAGCTCACCGAAACCCTCTGCTTTCCGCGTCTGTGCATCGAAGCATTCGAGCTCGGGTTCCATGTCCTTGTGTGCCAAGGATACCCGGGCGTACAGCAACGAACCTACCTGCGACTGCATTCGGCATTTTCTTCCAACGATACTGGAAAACACAACTCACCTTGAGGTTCGGCCTATTTCGTTTCGTCGCCCCTTCGAATGCAAGCCCATCCAAAGAGGCCATATGTGCCGCCCCGATGTCCACTCGCCAGTTTTCCCCGCTTCGGGCAATAACCACACCTACCACAGACTCCTGCGCCGCAGGAATATACTTCCTTGCATTTGTTTAGCTATAAGACTATGGTAAGGTGTCAGCGCACTCACCCGACGCGAATTGCCCTCCACCCACCATCGACTTCGGTTAGCGGAGTGTTTAAGCTCGCCTGCACGAGTAGATACCACCGCAGACTCTCCCTGGTTACTTGACAGTTGTAAAAGCCCTGGACCAAGCTTCAGGTTCACATGTTGTGCAGAGATGTGTTCTCCAGGCAGGACGGTCGTCATAGTTTTCAGATGTATTGGTCGTTTGGAGTAAAGTATCCTCGATCGACCTCCTGCACCATTGGCTAAAAAAGGTAAATGTCGTAGAACAGCTTATTGCCATTATCACTCAACCTGTCAGTCAGGCCTCGCGTCGCTCTGAGCACCTCGAACTGAGAACACGGATATCTCTTGAAATACTCATCGTATAGCCTTGATTCTTGCTGCGTTCGACTCTGCTCGTCGCCCCGGAGGGCCTGATACCAATAATATTGCGATCTGTCCATGCGTGACTGTTGTCAGCTCTGCCACTCCCTTCTGGACGCAGGATTGTTTTTGCCCGCGAATGCAAGCATCTGTTCGTGTCGGAATGACTGTGTTGGGTCAAAGCGGATACTAGGGAGGGCCCGGTATGGGTTTAGTGTGTCCCCCAGTAAGACTATCTTCACTATATGCTATTGTCGCCATACTGCTAGCACTCCTCCATGCCATCAGTACAGATTGCTTGGGATCTATTTTCCAGTATCCCCAACCCATGTAACATATCATATAAAGCCATGAGAGCTATCTTATGGTGTGAACCTGTTCCCCTCATCTGTCATTGGCATTCAATCACAAAGAGGCTCTCGCGCCATCTAGGACAGCTTCTACTGCATACTTGATGGACTAATAGTTGCGCTGCCCTCTAGTTCCATCACCTCTTATCCTCGCAACCAACCTGCATACAGCGCAAGAGAGGCTACATGAGATGCTGTGCACAGTATGTCACACCAGCGCTCTACCCCGCCTTGATATCATCTTAGTAGGCCTTAGATTGAGACTTACCAGGACGTCTACACGCATTACATCATCCAATATGTGAAATGATTGATATGTGTCTATTAAGAGCATTACCTATGTAAGATACAATGCGTAGAGCAACTTGATTGCGAAACAGAGCTTGGCTCTGGTGTCAGACATACCAACAGTGAGCCAAACACAGATAACTGTCTCTCCGGGAGAGCTGGACATGTGCTGGAAGTTTGGGAGTCCATCAACATTGATTTGAAGGCTGGGATTCTGTGAATTGCATGCTGTTTATGCCATTCCATAGTGCGCACGCAGGGCATTGACAGTGACGCGCAGACAGCCGCTAAACAGATGATAGATGTCTTGTAAAGCTAGAAACACACCAGTAGTAGGCTACTAGGCTGAGATGTCAGATGGGCGAAGAACACAAGGCTACAGATGGACAACCATAGCTTGTGTGATGCTCGAGTGCAGAGAACAGACCAAGGAAAGAAATATGGGTTAGGGGACGCACCGAAAATGATACCGGGCCCTCCCTAGTATCCGCTTTGACCCAACACAGTCATTCCGACACGAACAGATGCTTGCATTCGCGGGCAAAAACAATCCTGCGTCCAGAAGGGAGTGGCAGAGCTGACAACAGTCACGCATGGACAGATCGCAATATTATTGGTATCAGGCCCTCCGGGGCGACGAGCAGAGTCGAACGCAGCAAGAATCAAGGCTATACGATGAGTATTTCAAGAGATATCCGTGTTCTCAGTTCGAGGTGCTCAGAGCGACGCGAGGCGCGAAATTTATGTGTGTTTGGCCCGACTGACAGGTTGAGTGATAACGGCAATAAGAATGACCCTAAACAACCTCGATAACCTCCAGCATACACTTTCCTGTTAAGTAGAATACACACAACCTTGATGAGGATATAGGAGAGGCAGCTCTCAATAAAAACGAGATTAGGATTGTCTCAAGTACGGTAAAAACGACTAAAGAGCTTCCCATATGGCATTACGTAGGCCGCTGGATCACATTGTTGAGTCGAACGTCCACTGATATATATACGTACAGGACTAATTGGGACTACGGGTTGGGACAGTCACCAAGAATAATAACATCCATATTCAAAAGGAACACCTATGACATCTCACGGAAGGGCGAAACGCGGGAGGCACGCGTCGACGCTGTGCGCAGAGAACCGATCCAGATTACACGAGCAGTACAGCGACCGAAGGGCCGAAATGCGCTTAAAGAAGAGAAGAAAGGACGAGATGTGTTTCAGAAGAATAAGTATGTGGTGACGAACACCCCGAGCGCGATGATAATCACGACTTGCAAAGGCACGCCTTCCGGCGCTATCGGGTCCTCGACGTACGTGCCGACCTCAGTTTCTCCATCCCAAGTGGTACTTGTATCATCGGAAGGCGACGTTGGTCGGCGTCTTCTCAGGTCCGCAGTAGTAGAAGTGATCGCGGTGGGAGCAGTGCTGGGCTCCGGCATGGAGGAAATGAGGTGCCTGAGGCGTTCGATCTCGGCCTGCGCCTCCTCGAGTTTCTCCATGAGTTCTGTGTTTGGCTCCGGAGCGGAGGCAGATGAGATTTGCGGCGCCGGCTGAGGTGGATGAACATTAACGTTGACAATTCCGACGTCCTCCTCGGGGTCCTGCTGAGGTGGTGGCTCGTAGGTGGTGTACCGTGTCGGCGGCGGTGTAGATGGTGCATCATGATGTGTGTCTTCCTCCTGGTGAGGTACCCCACTGTCCCCACTGGGTTGCCGAGCTTGGTGCGCGTAGCCATTGCCTGAAGGATGTTGACGAACAGTACCGTAGATATTCTGGCATAACGGGGATACATAATATAAACAACGCTCAGATGACACTACTTGGAGTCTTACCGGATCGGAGATATTCGCCATCATGCTCATGCTTTCCTCCTCTTCTGGCACAGTCTGCCCTTCTGGAGGTAAATACACGACTCTGATCTTCTGCGAATGCACCTCGTCGCTATTGTCAGCCCACTAGGACATAGTCAGTCATGATGGCAAGGCGATTACAGGATAGGACATACGAGATCCCCAAGGGACATAGTCTCCTTTTCAGCGGTGATGAGGGTGCTCTGGATGAGGAACTTGTCCTTGCACTTGGCGTTGAGTGCAGGCTCCTCCTTCATCGCCTGCAGCATCACTGAAAATAGGACATCAGCCCACAAATCATTGAGACGTGAGCTATAGAGGCCTCACCCTGCACTTCAACAGTCTCCCCAGGCTCCACCCTGCCAGAATTTGGTCGAACGCAATACAGCTATAGCCGTTCCCCGTCGTGTCAAAGGAATCGAACGCTGCTGGAAGGAAAATGAGTGGGCACCTTGGGCGCGGTCGTCTTGACCTTGAACGCGACTGGTTGCGCATTGTGGTTGGAAATGCCCAGCGTGCGCTTGACGTGCTGTGTTAGAGGTCCTGCAGTGGATATAAGGACCAGCTGCGACACTCGTGGATGTTCTACGCACTGTTGAAGCCCAGCGCATTGCTCGGGGTGAGCACGACAGACATTTTGTAGGGGGGGGGGGGAGTTAGGTGTTAGCTGAGGGTGTGGGAAGGTGCCAATGATAGTGATGACGGAGCCAGAACGCGTCGGCCTGTTTTGAGCGGAATCTACCGAGCCTCACTCACGCCTGCTGTACTCCGTTCTCCGCGTTTCTGACGAACCGGCTGTGCCAGACATTTGGGTATCAAATGAACTGCGTACAATTGCCTCATGGTGTATGCATGTAGTGACTCGTAATCTAGGGAATTCGTACACAGCGGGTAACGAGGGGTGCGGATATCAACTGTCCGCGACGAACATGCAACAAAGCACTATTATAAAGCTCGATAGAATCGCCATGTGGTAGTCATAAATTTAACAAAAAATCCGCCGGTCCAAAATGCTGAATACAATGTGGCTCACTTCTTGCTGAGGGCTTGCAATTGGACATATTCGTAGTAGCCACCCTTGAGCGAAAGCAGTTCATCGTGAGTGCCGGATTCGCTGACCGCACCATCCTTGATGAAGTAACTAGAAGTGATTTTAGTTGTGTCACACGTACAAAGGTGGGCGGTGCAACACTTACATGCGATCAGCATTCTGAATGGTCGATAGCCGATGCGCAATGGCAATCGTCGTACGACCCTTTGCTGCGCGATCTAGGGCATCTTGCACGACCTTCTCCGAATTGGAATCAAGTGCCGATGTCGCCTGCAAAATGGGCGTAAACTTCAAGCTCGAGTGTATGTGACGCGAACATGCATACCTCGTCCAGAAGGAGAACCTTCGGGTTGCGGAGCAGTGCACGTGCGATTGCGATACGCTCTGCATAGGGGTAGACATGAGAAACCGCTCAGTCAGATCTGCCGGGGAGACCTACGTTTCTGTCCACCTGACAACTGCGAGCCCTTTCCACCGACTTCGGTGTCAAAGCCCCTGCAGCATGAATAGTCAGCGAGTGTCACCCATACATGGAATCACAGCGACTTACTGAGGTAAACCCTGAATGAAGTCCAGAATGTTCGCGTTGCGGCACGCTGCCTCGATGTCTTCTTGCGTGATTTCGGAATCCGGCTTCGTGGCACCAAGTAGAATGTTGAAGCGAATAGTCCCCGAGTACAAAGTCTGTCACTCAGAGCGTCAATATCATATATGGATCGGGTCAAATGGCCCGTACTCACTGGTTCCTGGGAGACCAGCGCAATATGCTTGCGGTACTCGGACACGTTGTACTTCGTGATAGGTTGTTCGTCCAGCTACAGCAGTAGCGTGGGTCAGTAGTCGAGGTGTAGCAATGCTTGAGACACATACATAGACAGTGCCAGACAAAGCATCGTAGAAGCGTTCGACGAGCTGGATTCTGCAGTGATGGACACAGTTTAGCGATTGAAAGAGGAAGCATGTGCAGTACTCACGTAGTACTCTTTCCGCAACCACTAGCACCAACAAGAGCAACATATGTACCAGGCTCGATTGACAGGTTCAGGTCACGCAGGACACGAACACCAGGACGAGTCGGATAGCGGAAGTGGACATTCTCGAAACGGATGCGACCTTGGACGTTCTGGGGAATCTCACCCTCCGTAGACTCAGCATCGATCTCGGGCATAGAATCCAGCAGCGTGACGATGTCGGTGGCGGCACCCTTCGCAGACGAGATATCTGGCACAAAGGAGAAAACATTGCCGGCTTGGATAGCACTGAACGTTGTGCTCTGTTAAATAAAGCATGTTGATAAGTGACTACGGCGTATCGCAAAGAAGAGACGTACCATGAGACCGACGAAAAACTGGAACGTCGTGTACTCCAACGCCGCAACGAGACGCGATCCGTACCAGAAGATGAGAGCAATAACGAAGAAAGACATCGCCTGTGAGAGTGCATAGATGGCATTGCTGTACAGAGCCTTCTTGTTTGAGTTGCGGAGCGGCTCATCCAGACTCTCGCTGTAAAGTCGAAGGCAGTCTCCTTCACGAGTAAGTGAAGCAACGGTCCTGATAGCACCGGCCGCCTCGCAAGCAAGCTGAGCAGAATGTTCGTGGGCCCTTTTGTTCTGCTGATCCTTCAGAACGACGACACGCTAGACACGAATTTTGTGAGTGCTGTGCGTCGTTGAAACGACGACATCAACATACCAGACGAATGTAACCTGCAGAACAGAGGACAGGGGTGCACGCTAACGGCGAGGAGATAAGTATAATGCAGCGAAGTTGGCAACTTAATACGTACCAAGGCCGACAAGACCGAGCTTCCAAGCAAAGACGAGACCAATGATGGTTCCGGTGACGAGAGTGGCGATTGCTTGAACAATACTATATGTGCGCAAAGTCATTCTCCCGTATGAACCCTGACAGTGATGAAGTACATACGCTCCCATGGTCACACCGGCCAGACCGTTCACTTTCTGAGGATTGTCGCTCAAGTTGGAAGTGAGTTGACCAGTCTGTGACGTGCAGCTGGATCAGCAACCGTACACCACACAAAATGCCACGGATACGTACGTTATTCTCATCCTTGTCGAAGTACTCAACTATCGATGAACGTAAGCCATAGCCAATATCAAGGGACCAATCCACTCACTATCCTGTCTGACGATGGCACGGAAACTTAGGGATCGGATCTTGTTTGTCAGCTGAGCAGCGGTGGACGCGAAAAAGTAGTTCTGGAAGCCAATAGCAATCGCAGAAAGAATGGCAATGATGAAGAACCTGACAAAGACCAAGTAAGTGACTGAAATGTTAGTAGAAGGAACTGCTCACCATAGGGCAACACGGTCACCAGAGTGTCTACGTTCGCCACTAGTGGCATCCGAGAACCCGTTGATACCCTTGGCTGTGGGAAACAGGTAAATCAGGACTAAAAGGGTAACACACAACACCATCACGTACCAAACACAATACCGAAAGAGGGATATGTAGCACCATTGCCTGAAAGTGACATTAGCAAAACCCCCGGGGAGATATCGCAGATCATACTCACAAATCGAAGCGATCGAGCCGAATAGGTACATTCTCCAATTCTCCTTGTTGATCGCGAAGAAGCGGCGGAGCAGATAAATCATGCCATACTGCTGCTCGACCCCGCCCTGCTGACGCTGCTCCAGGATTTCTGATGCGAGCGAGCGTCCCGACTTCTGGCGCTGTAGCGGCACCTCTGCCTGTGCGACCTTGTCGTAGTCCTCGTCTTCATCGCTTGCCACCGTCGCGCTGTCAGACTCCTCCGTGGCGTGCTTCTCGCGCGAGTCCCGCAGCTTCTGCGCCGCAACCAGTCGCGAATACGCTCCGTTCTCGTCGCGCAGCAGCTCATTGTGCGTGCCCGCCTCGAGCACAAGCCCGTCGCCCATCACATAGATGCGGTCCGCGTCTTTGATCGTCGAGAGACGGTGAGCAATAGTAATCGTCGTGCGACCGTGTGCGGCCTTGTCTAGCGCATTCTGCACGATGCCCTCGCTTTGCGTGTCGAGCGCAGATGTAGCTTCATCCAGGAGAAGGATCTTGGGATCGGAGACGATGGCACGCGCGATGGCAATACGCTGCTTCTGACCACCAGAGAGTAGGAATCCACGCTCGCCGACCATGGTTTCGTAGCCGAGAGGAAGCTTGGTGATGAATCCGTCCGCATTCGCCTTAACGCAGGCCTCCTTAATGAGCGCCATCCTCTCGTCGTCCGGTGCATGCTCCCACTTTGTGCCGATGAGACCGTGGGCGACATTGCCCATGATAGTCGTCGCAAACAGTGTCGGCTCCTGAGACACAAGGCCAATCTGACAGCGTAGCCACTTCAAGTTGAGCGTCTTGAGATCATTGCCATCCAGACGCACGACTCCCTCAAGCGGGTCATAGAAGCGCTCCGTCAGCGAGATAACAGTAGACTTTCCGGAACCGGAGGCACCGACGAGTGCTGTTGTCTTGCCCGCGGGGAAGGTGATGGAGAGGTCCTTGACGATTGGGACATCAGGACGTGAGGGATAGTTGAACTTGACGTTCTCGAGGGTGATCTCGCCGGCGCAGGTCTCCGGTTTGAGACCCTCCTCACTGTACGAATCAATGAGGGGCACACGGTCGATAGTGTCGTACAGCTTTGCGGCTGCACCCATACCATGCGTGATAGCTGCGGCAATTGTCAGCTTCGGCTAGTCTTATAAGACCCAATGACATACCTTGCATCTCGGGTGCAAGAAGTGCGAGAGAGAATGAACCAATAAGGATAGCCAAGATAACATTGACTACCTTTCCGGCATTCGCATGTCCTTCGTTAATGAGAGTGGTACCGAAGTAAAATGCTAACGACACAAGTACGATTAGCCATTGTATAAGAACTCAAGAATGTCACTGACCCAAAGCATAACCTCCATATATAACGAAGAAGAAAACGGAAAGACCACAACCGTGCCAGATCGCTGCTCGCATGTCTGCATTACGTGCCTTCTGGATGTGCACGTCGTATCGATCCGCGAGGATCTGCTGATTGCCAAATGCCTGTGCCGTCCGGACCGTTGAGAATACTTCCTCAGCGAGTGTGCCACCGTCAGCCACATGAGCAAGAGACAGCCTAGAAGATTCATTGATTAGTTCGAATTGAAAGATCCGCGAATAATGCATATACGTACTGCATGTACCCCGAAATGAATCTGTTCATGATACCGCCCGTGACAGCGATACATGGAAGCATAGATGACAGCGCGAGCGCGAGACGCCATGAACGAATGTAGGCAAGCACGAAACCGGTGACAAACGCAGAGAAGAAGTTGACGACGATGGCTACCTTCTCGGAGATACCCATCTGCACCAAATCTACAGCCACGAACGATCAGCTCGAGTGAGGCAAAACGGTGGTATTGGCAAACTCACGAGTGTCGGTCTGAATACGAGTAGCGACTTCTCCGGCGCCGACGTTGTCGAAGTATGCGATATCCTGTCGTAGTACGGCTTGCAGATAGCGCTCACGTATACGCTTCGCGTTGACCTCGCCGGTATAAACCCATACACTCATGTAGATATAAGTACAGACGAACATGCCCACACCTGCCAAGAGAGTAAGCAAGTCTACAAATACAGGTATCACCAAACGCACCGATGTAGACCAGATATGACGCATCGTTCGCTGCGGTGTGTCGGAAATTGCTGGCGGCCGAAGCAAGATTTGCTTTAGCAGTCTTGTCGCCTCCTTCGGCAGCTTCTGCGGCGATACCGAACGAGACGAACGCTTCTGTCAGGTTACCGAACAGCAGACTCATGAGCGGCTGCAGGACCCAATTTGTTAGCAAACATTACGCATGGATGACGGAGGCGAATAGAAATGCGGGTGGACTTCGCTTTGGATGAGAGCAAAAGACGGTTGCACCAGAAGGTGAATATCAACGAGTAACACGTCAATCAACGTAAAGCGTGGTGTATAAGACCACAAGCAAAGTTCCTTCGCCTATACTATGGCAAGTTATATCCACAACTGCCAGATGCATATTGCACTCTACACGGTGATCTGGCGGAAGAACCGCCGTCAACGACGCAAACCCGAGCCTCAGGCTCCTGATATGTTCCCCGTGCTCAGCTGGCAGTAGCCTGAGATCGGGCCGCAAAAAGCCTGCTTTCGTCCAAATGAATGGCATCCTGCATGTGGATCTGACCACCACGCCTCGTCACGATTACGACGGTTGGTCATGAGTGCGAGGGGCCGTAGAGCCAATAGCAAACATCGCCAAGCGAATGCGAATGGCTACCCTATTCCTGTACATTCAGAGCGGATAAAGACCAACACACCTGTGCTGCACCAGCAGCCGCGGCTGCTACAAGACCAAGGCAATCTATGGTCTTTTCCGACGTGGTCGAATAACTGCCAGGCGGCGTTAGTGAGCGTGAGACTGGCAGATACGTATGACAAGCGTACCGGAACAGCGACAAGAATGAGACGGGCTTGGTGACCTGTGTTGTGGGCTCATCTGACTGTTTGTTGTCCGGCAAGGGTGCTGCTACATCCACAGACTTTTCTTGTGCCGGATGATCTGACATTACCGTGCTTTGAGGCCGAGATATGTCGCCATGCTTGCTGAGCGACACAGGGCGATCTTCAACGACCTTCTCTGATATCGACTCGATAGACGCTGCCATGGTCGACGAAGACCAGCGGTACGGAGGAGGAGCACGCTCCAAAGGGCGGCGGTGAGGTGAGGAGGACGTACAGGAGGCAAGGTAGAAACGAGCGCCTACGGAGAGCGGGGATTTTGTACCTTATAATGCGATGTCACGTCTCGGTTCGGCGCGTTGCTCGACTCATGATAGTAGCCGCGCGGCCGCGCAAACATCCCGTCCCTCGCGATTTAGCGCAGTCTTGGCATATCGCGACAACCCTGCCTTTCCAGCTCATCGCAGCCGCACCACAGCTAATTCTCTACAACTTGCGCAACTACTTGTGTATCTTTTGGGTAGTAGATCCATGTTTCATGAATGCGGGGCAAAATCCCGCTTACGTGGATATTTTACGAGCGCGGCCCGATCTGGTGCAAAACCTCCGCGGCGTTCGATCCATGTTCCTGGAAATTCCCTTGCACGCCTCGCCTCGGCATCTCACCTTATGAGTATCGTCGTCACATGTTGGCCTGGGGGAAGGCGCACTGACTCCTAGGCTCCAGCGAGTTCGGCTGCTTTGCCTAGACGCTCTACGTGACAGTGTTTCTCGACGTTGTGCGCAGCCAATCGATTCCTCCTATTTTTGTCAAAATGATACCACTATGTATAAATATCGATAGTACGAGATCGATCGACTGTAGATTTTATTGGTTGTCGAGATGCATAAAAGTTAGTCCATCCGAGGGACGCGACAGGGCGCGACTCCATGTGGGGTGTGTGGGGCGCATCATGTATGAAGCGGGTACATGTTCCTCCAAGCCACTGCGATCTGTGTCTCCAGAGGGTTCCGCAGGTACATCTACTAGCGAGACTCATCGAGTCAGGGTTGCTCAAAGTCCACGTATGCGCATCACAGATCGCCTGTGCAAGGCAAGCTCCTCTGAGTCATAGTCTGTCCCTGTTGACATGTCTGCGCATTCGTAGCGCTCCCCTAATCATAGCGCTATCATTCACCATCACGTATCCGTCATATTCAGCGCCATGCCGATGTGCATACGCGTTCTGCGGCAGCCCACACTCGTTGACTCGCTCGCACCAGACTTGCTGGTGCCGCGATGCGCGTCTACCCACGGCAGCTGTCGGGCATGTCGGCCACGTCACCCACGAATACTACACAAAGATATGACATCTTGAGGAGGGTCTATTATGCTCTAGAGGCCAATCCGTGGCGAGATCCGCGGTCCTTCGAGTACCTAAATGGACAGCCCAGCAAGCCGCAGCTATCTTCAGCCACACAGAACAGCGACTGTGTCTTGGGTTCATGTCGGCCTGCACTTTGCCCCGTGCGCTGGTTCAATGGCTACTTCACGGAGCTTGTCGACTCCTGAATGAATCCTGATCGAGACGCCACCTTGTTGCGAATAGTGTTGCGAAATTTCACTCGCGACACTGCAAATGATCTCGTAAGCGCTCTTGTGGCATTCGCAACCTGTGCACCACACCAGCACCGGCGTGGATGTGTCGGGATAGCATCGAAGAAACAAATGCCGTCGTTCTGTAACGGAAACCCGCAGTCTCTGCCTTGGATCGTGCACCGGTTCGGGTGCGTGCTCCGTCTTAGCAGGGTCTTTGCCTCCGCGCATTTGTCCGCGCGGTCTGGAAGGTATGTTGCAGAATCTCAATTTCAATACCAGCTCCAGCGTGGGGCACCGGTGATCATCGGCCAATGTCAGGTTCGCGGGATGCTGAAACTCTTACATATATTTGGCTTTCGAAAGAAACATAAATCCCCTGATAAGGTTATGAGACGACTGGAGGTCAGTTGTCGGACGAATTCACGCAAGTAGTATGACTAGCGTCTGTGAGCCCTGCTCCCGACTGTGCGCCACAGGACATGTCCACCTCCGCCGAATGAAGGATGTATAACGTTTTGGTTTCAGCTTAGGTGCACAAGTTTGCATAGCTTATATTTAGGGATACGATATCATGTGAGGTAGGCAACCTGCGGGAGCCTGACGGGCTGCTGGTGCGGGAAGTGCAAGGCTGACACGAGTCGCACGACATGAGAATATGAAGCAGCGGAGCGCAATACACATCGACACTGAAAGGCCTGACTCATTACAAGATCCCGCTATCATGGAAACGTCTAGCGGACGAGGAAGTTCATACCGACATATCAGAAGTAAGAACTATCCAGGAGAATACTTGATTTTTCTCGACTGAGCTTCATAATCAGCCTTCACTGTGAAATGTCGCGAGCGTATCGCTGCAATTATCGGACAACCACAATCTTGTGGAACATGTCCTTCGCCGGCATTGCAGCACAGAGATTCAGCTTTGGCGAAGTCCCAGTTGTGCCAACCTGAGTCATATTGCATTAAGCCAAGCTTCAAAACATATAGCATAACATCTCTGAGTGCCCATAGTTGTGAAGTCAAGAGTCAAGTTAGGATATCGACAAGGCGACAGTCGAGAGGGGGTGTGAAACTGCCGCTAGGCACACCTTACGTGACTCGCGAACACTACACTTCACTACACCTGCCAAATCTGGTTAGTTCCCAGTGTCGTGTTACTATAGTCACTATGGAGAATTACAGCATGTCCATGATGGCAAGAGGTCATGGTGACAGTAATTACCAGCAACTGGTCGCAGGTTCTTGACACGAGGGTTCACGACGAAAACATCGCCGTTCACAGCATCGCGCTGGTGACAATATCGTGGACCAGACAACTTGATCAAATAGTGACACTGGGTCAGAGGTCTGTGCGGGCCCGGGGGAACTCACTACCAAGGTGACTGCGCTCGTCTCGCCCTTCGGGCTACGCCAACCTTCGCCTCGACATGATGCATGGTGTCTGCTCCAGCTATGCACGTGCAGAATCAGAAGCGGACATGTAATCGGCAACCTTGCTAGCGAAGTCGTATTGACCTGCAAGGAGAGTTGTTTTGCCTTTTAATCCAGAAATGTATATCATCAAATTCGACGCCGCCGAGAGCATTCACCATACTTATTCCATGAGTTGCATTCGTGAAAGAAAATGGACGTGACACTGAGATCGTGACTGAGAAATTGCCTCGGCAACTGTTCGCACTCCGTCCCGTTGCTAATAACCCGCGCGGGACCTTTCGCATCTACTAATCACATCTCTACACACGATCGCCAGCAGAGCTGTGCTCTGTCTATCTCCTGTCCACGTCTCGGTTTCTTGTTCCTCACCTACTCTCTCATCTACCATGTCTTTGCGCTTCGGCCGGAAGCAGCCCAGGCAGTCTGCCAATGCCCTCTCGACTACCGATGACGGCGCGCGTTCCACCACGCCCACTCCCGGCAATCCCAGTGGGCACCCTCTCTCGCGGTCGGGTCTTCTAGCCATTCGTGTCTTATGGGCGGAGGGCCTTGAGCTTCCTGGAGCAGCTGCCGTGCCGCCAGCAGTGCAGCAGGCACTGTCCTCTCAGCAGGCCAAGGTTGCTGCATCCGTGTCACCGTCCAGCGTTACCCAGCAACGGCTCGCAAACCGCAGGAGCAACCGCGACAGCGTGCAGAGGAAGCAATGCTGGTGGCTTCCGTACCTCGTCATGGAGTTCGAGGTCAACCAGGTCCTGATCACGCCGCTCGGAGGCGAGCTGTCCAAGCCGCTGTACATGTATGAGACAAACTTGTGCGTGCCATTGCTATGTACTGTGTTAGCCCTTTCTGAACATGCCATGTAGCGATGTGTCTCGACACTCTGAGATATCGATTCAGTGCTATCTCCGCACGGAGGAGCCTAAGCGCGGCGGGGACGGGGTCGCCGACGACATGGGCAATGATCTCTTCATGGGTGGCGTGCGCTTCACGCCGGACTTCGAGGACTCGTCGCCTCAGGACCAGTGGCACGAGCTCGTTAGCGGCGCTGGCCGAATCCAAATCGGGGTCGCATTCAAGCCGAGCAGCGGGCAGTCGCTAACGATCGACGACTTTGAGCTGATCACGGTGATCGGCAAGGGGAGCTTCGGCAAGGTGATGCAAGTGCGCAAGCGCGACACGTCGCGGATATATGCCCTGAAGACGATTCGGAAGCAGCACATTGTTGAGCGCGGCGAGATCACGCACACGCTCGCGGAGCGCATGGTACTCGCCCGCGTGAACAACCCGTTCATCGTTCCGCTCAAGTTCAGCTTCCAGTCGGAGCAAAAGCTGTATCTCGTGCTTGCGTTTGTGAACGGCGGAGAGCTCTTCCACCATCTGCAAAGAGAACAGCGATTCGACGAGGAGCGGAGTCGGTTCTACAGCGCGGAGCTGCTGCTTGCATTGGAACATCTTCATGAGCTCGATGTGGTATACCGTGATCTGAAGCCCGAGAACATCTTGCTGGATTACACAGGCCACATTGCGCTGTGCGACTTCGGATTGTGCAAGCTTAACATGAAGGACTCCGACACGACGAATACGTTCTGTGGTACTCCTGAATATCTCGCGCCGGAGATCCTGAATGGCCATGGATACAGTGAGCTGCACCGACTTGATTCCCTTTTTCCTTTTTGATGTATGTTACTTTAGACAAGACGATCGACTGGTGGACGCTGGGAGTCCTTCTGTACGAAATGCTTGCGGGCCTTCCACCGTTCTACGATGGTACGCATACCGGTCCCCTTCAGACCTACAGCTCCTGACATATTATCCCAGAAATCACGGACAAAATGTACCAGAAAATCCTGCACAATCCGCTCGTCTTCGGCGACGAGATTGGTGCAGAGGCGCGGAGCATCCTCACCGGCCTCCTCACGCGTGATCCCTCGCAGCGTCTGGGAGTCAACGGCGCTGACGAGATCCGACGGCACCCCTTCTTCGAGAAAAACATCGACTTCAAGAGGCTGCTCCAGAAGAAGATCCAGCCGCCGTTCAAGCCGAGCGTCTCTAGCCCCGTGGTGAGTGCCTACCGCATGCACAGTGGGTGTGTTCTGCGGTATGCTGACCGAGTCATTGCAGGACGTGTCGAACTTTGACACTGTGTTCACTGCTGAGGCGCCCCTGGACAGCGTTGTAGAGGGCTCGCAGCTCTCGCAAACCGTCCAAGCACAGTTTGCCGGTACGTGATCTCGTGTATGCCCCGTCGTCGTGCACTCACGAACCCTTCCCCCTGTTCTCCTACGGTCCTCCAGGCTTCTCGTACGACGGGACCAACATGCCTGTCAGCCCGCAGTGAGCTCTATCTAGACCCTTTCTTTTGCATATCACTCTGTGGATCTCTTTACATATCAGCACACCTCCGTTCATTGTACACAGGCTATCGCTTAATCGTTCGTTCTCTCGTCCTTGGGCATTCGTCGTTCGTTATCGCTGCACCATATCTAGTACCGCTTCTCGATCTAATCGTCATCATACATATGCATCCTAGCCTTGTATCCATATTCTAATACACCCCTTCTCTGCACCGGATGAAGCTGAACATACAATCCGATCTCTACGCCCTTGACATTGGACGGCAGAACGCTTTGTGCACTCCCAGCACTTGCGCTTGAAAAGAACTCCGTAGGCACTTTGAAGCAGTATGCTGGAATGGCAAGCATCGGCTGCATGTCTGATACCCACTCGACCGCTAATGTAGCGCGATGTCTGTACCGTCCTTGTACTCGACAACCATGATGGTTCGCCAATGTTTCAGCCATCCTTGAGACTTGCCAGAACCCGCAGCCTCTGCTCGTTCTCGGCCTTCGCTAACCTGGCGAGCCCCTTGGACCCCCGCCCCATCAGCTTCTTCATCCTACGCATCTCTTCGTTTGCGCGAACATGAGCAGCCAACGCAGCTTCGTTATGGGTGACGCGTTTCCTCGATGCCCTGTAGGGCCCAACGGTCTTGGCCTTGAGGCCGACACCAAGGCGATCCGACTTTAGGACAGTGGGGAGAGGTGTGAGTAGCGCACGAGGGTTATGGGAGGACATAGCACTGTCGACGGCGGACGACGAAGTCGAGGGCTCGGTTAGCTGGACAGAAGACGCGTCCTCTTGCTTGATGTCCTCTTCTTCTTCATCGGATAGAGTAAGGTCAATGACGTCCACGGTGCGCATCTCGCTGATGTCCCCGTCTTCGTCGTACCAGACCTCGTGTTCCTCTTGTTTGACCGTCACCCGCTTCTCCTGCTTAGCTCGTTTCTGCGCCTGTCTTTGGTGCGAAGGCTGCCGCTGCCGCCGGACGACACCGGGGCCAAGAGGCTCACCTTCGCTCCAGCCGCTCTGCTGTAGCATCGCAAAGCCCTTGTTCGACGGCCCAATCGCGAGGAAGACGGGCGGCCGGAAAGGCTGCTCTCTGGGTAATGGCGGTGGATCTCTGGACAGTATGTCGGCGAGGGTCTCGGTGGACCCCGACCGGGGGGGAGAAGGCTCGGAGCGCAACGCCCTGGCAATGAACCAGTCCTCTTGGGTGCGGCGGCCCCGCTTGCGCTCAGGAGCAATGGGGCCAGGGGTCAACGTAGGTAGCGAGTCAGACAGAGGCGGCGTATTGGAGCTCGAGACAGAAGGGGCATTGACACATGCCAGCTCAGCAGAAGTAATGGTACTCCGAGTCAAGCTCTTGTACCAACTGCTTACATCGTTGGAAGAGAGGTCGTCTGTATCTTCTGGGGCAGGCGGGGGAACACCCATCATGTTATTAATCTCGTCATAGGAGACAATTGCAGGGACGAAGCGGGGAGCATTCGCCAGGCTGCGTCGAGCTCCGAACGATGACTCGGTCTGCCATGGGTCGTCCTGCTCTGCCTCTGATGGGATCTGGCCGGTGGCTCGTTCAAGTGCCTCGCGCTGCTGAGGGTCGTAATGAGAATAGATGTAGTGTGTCACAGTAGCCATGGCTTGAGTTGCATTAGACAGAGAAGACGAGTGCAAGAGCCTGAGCGACGGAGTTCAGTTCAGCTGCACCATGACGTGACGGCCGCCACCAGGACGGACGTGATTGTTGTATAACAAGAGATTCTGCACTGAGTTAAGGATCAGCCGTGGCCATGACAAATGAGTCCCAAGCCAAGTTCAAAGGTGCCCGTGACGCGTGACTTGATCACTGGTGCAGTCGATACATTACATCGAACATTGAACATCGAACATCGAAGTCTGTAATTATAGCGTTCCTGGGACGAATACAAGCCTGATGCATACAGATTGTAATTATGAAGTGTTCCTACAACTTTAGATGACGCTACAGTAAAGCTTTTCGGGGATATAGTGTACAAGCGAGTGCTAGTGTCAGAAGTCCGGAAGTAAAGTTCGCGGTACAAATCGAGTCCGAACGTAGAGGGCGGTATGCCCGACAGTCAGTGTAGTCCTTTCACGTCGCTCGCATAAACTGTTCGTAAGAGGCTTTAGGAAGACGTGGTGGCGTTGTAGATCACCGGGTTTGCAGCCATAGCAATCTTTCGACCGATCGTTCCCTGACGAGCAATGTGTGACTCTCGATGAAAGCTGGTGGATGCAATCATGCAAACACACCTCACAATCATCCCATTCTTCCAGGACCATCACCCAGAACGTAGAGTTTGAGGCCTCATTACCGCCGCCGAAGCCACCCTGCGGCAAATCAAAGTTCGGCATGGTCAGGTTAGGAGGTGCAGGGTTCTGCGGGTATGGTACGGCTGTAGCAAGAGCGTGAGTATGAGAAGCAGATAGACGACGATATAACCCACCAGGGTAGTTCTCCGCTTCATACCGTCCAAAGTAGTAGCCACTCATGAATTGGTCTGCTGGAGACATCGACACGGGCGACTCCGTGACGACATACACGGCGAAGGCGTAGCTCGACTTGCAGTAGTCCGCATGGACGTTGTACGAGAAATTAAACACACCGCCAGGCGCAACAACTGTATAGGGGGCGGGCTCGCTGATGGTACCCGGTGTGCCTTGCGCAAAAGCCAAGGAGACTAGCGCGAGGAGGAAGATCGACAGTACAGCAAACATGATCACGAAAGGCGAAGGGAGAAGGGAGTGTCTGATAAAGTAGACGATGTCTAGCGACATCAGAATCCTTGCGTCTTTATACCACCCGCCCGGAGCCAGACGGTTTAGGTGCACCTATCTGATGAAACTTCTGCCTGCAGAAGGACCAGAAGAAGCATGGCATTGGCCTGGCAGGATGACGAACCTTAGCTCAAAAGCCCGACAAACCCCGGCGCAGATGGGACTACACAGGCCCGCTGGGGCCGAGCCGCCACAAACTCCACGCCTAGAAGTCGTGAAACCCGTCTCGTCGCATACGCCGGCCAAGCCAGCCCGCGCACACAGCCCGCGCACGTCATGGGCATAGTCATCCTCAGTAGCGGAGCGGAATGCATTACTGAAGGCTTCGAGACGACAATGCGCCCACGCGTTCAAATGCACCGTACCATCTGGGATACGTAGCATTGTGCGTAGATGAGAAAGGCAAGAGAAAGGATGGTCTCGCCCAACGGAAGGAATCTCACGGAAGGGACTCTGTGCTCCACAACCACGTTGTGTGGCCCACTCCGCCTTCTTCCGTGTTTACTCGAGCTTGGTCCATCTACTTGCTTTGTAGACCACGGCAAAGCTGAGTACTTGCAGTTACACTGTCCTGTACAGTCAAGTGTGCACTGGGTCATCGGCCCTCTTCTTGTAATACGTACGAAGTACTTCCCACTCAGACACGATGTCAACTCTGACCAAGCTTCCGTTCGTAGCTGATCATCCGAGTAAACTCTCACAGAAGCTGTGCTTCCCTAACTCTAAAAGTTCTACGATAGTTATTTCAGCGAAAACGGCACGACGGACGACATACGACCCACATTCAGCCTTTCCCGTCACAGATACCTTAAAGGCTCACAGGTGTCTTGCCTCCGCGCAAGCTGCGCGAAGCTGGTACGTTGCCTCGTACAAACAATGTATGTGATATCCGTGCAATCAAATCGCGACCGTGCCCGCAAACATCAATGCAGATAACTATATGAAGTACACGAGGTCGTTCTTCTTTTTGCTCTGGACTGCAAGCGCGCAGAGCGTCAGTTATGGTCGCTCTCAGGGACAGACATGGACATGGCACTCACCCTCAGCGATACCACTCAAGAAGTGCTCGTGGTTGAGCTTCGTCGCACCCTCCCGCAGAGCGATCATACCCGCCTCCACGCACACCGCCTTTAGTTGCGCACCGTTAAACTCATCAGTGCTTCGTGCAAGCTCCTCGAAATTGACATTCTCGACGGCCATCTTACGCGAATGGATTTCTAGAATGCGCGCGCGCGCCGTCTCGTTCGGCAGTGGGAACTCAATCTTGCGGTCCAGGCGCCCTGATCGGAGCAGGGCAGGGTCCAGGATGTCGATACGGTTTGTTGCGGCGATGACCTGTTTAGCGAAGTTGACGGTTAAGACTCGCCACGCCATATATCTAGCCACATGTGCACACCTTGATTCGCTCGTCACTGCTGAAGCCGTCCAACTGATTTAGAAGCTCCAACATTGTCCGTTGCACTTCTCGGTCACCGCTCTTCTCCGAGTCGAATCGCTTGGTGCCAATAGCATCGAGCTCGTCGATGAAGATGATGGCAGGTGCCTTCTCCTTCGCCAGCTCAAACGCATCGCGTACCAACTTTGCACCGTCACCGATGAACATCTGCACTAGCGACGGACCGGCGAGCTTGAGATAGCAGGCCTTGGTCTGGGCAGCGCAAGCACGGGCAAGAAGCGTCTTCCCAGTGCCTGTCGAAGAGATGAGCCGTGCAGCAGTTGATGTAACCACGGAGACTCATGTTTGACCTACCTGGTGGCCCGTACATTAAACAACCTTTCGGCGGCGTTATGCCCAGTGTCTTGAACTTGTCGGCCTGCTCCATAGGAAGCACAATAGCCTCCACGAGCTCTTCAATCTGCTTCTCGAGACCACCGATATCGGTGTAAGTCTCGGTTGGTCGCTCGTCGACCTCCATCGCCTTGACTCTGGAGTCAAACTCAGCAGGTAGGGTGTCGAGGACGAGGTAAGAATCCTTGTTTACACCAACAAGGTCGCCGGGCTTGAGTTGCTCGGCGGGTACGAGACCAATGAGAGGCAGGAAGACGGTCTGTCGTGTTGAAGTCTTGATGACAGCGCACTTCCCTTTGCGCATTGAGTCTAGGTCACGGTTAGCACCGTCCTCCTCGCCCTCTGGATCTACATCCAAGATCTTCGACTCTTAGCACAAGTGTAGGGCCAAGTACGGGCTGGGCTTACTTCGACGACATTCCCTACAAGATATGGCAGCACCTTGTTCTGTTTAATCTTCTCCCCGTTATCACGTATCTTCTCCTTCATGACATTCTGCTCATGCTGTAGCCGCAGCGTCTCTGAGCGCATAACCTATGCCCTGCTAAGCCCTTTCGAGAGTTTGGGACCAGTCAAAGACGCACTTTCAGGTCATTCTCAATAAGTCGTATACGCGTGAGGATCTCGTCTGAGCTCAGCGACATGATCTCCTCGGGAATATCAGACCATGTCTCCTCTGCCGGCTGGTCGGGCGTTGTGTCCATTGCGTCTGCTGACGCGAGAGATGATGACGACGCGAGCTCTGGGTTCTTCTCATTGTTGCTCCCCGGAGGAGGATTCGGAGGTTGTTGTGCTGAAGACATGGTATGGCGAGGAGGTGGACAGTGAAGTGTGAGGACGCGCAATGCGTTGCTTACGACGCGTCGCTTCCAAATGCGGCAATCACGCTTACATAATTTATAATGACGTGCGCGATCTGGCTCAGGCGACGCGGAGACGCGACTGAGTTCGCAGCTTGTGTGCTTGTACCTGTTTCCCATTCCCGGCAGCTGCTGCCAATGAATATGTCCGCGTAGAGGCGGCCGGTTTCTGGCATTATCGGGAAGATCACCATTCAAGAATAGGCTCTCAGGACACACCCTGAGATCCGGGCAAAGGAACCATGTGGTTGTCGAGATTTCCGCTCACCGTCCTGGGGCTCGCTGCTCAAGTACCACTCGAGCAACCTGCTAACGTGTCCCATTCCGCCATGGTCTCCACGAACGATTTCTCGTTCAAGGCGGACGCGGGCATATTCACGCCAAAGGAGCTAGTGGAATTGACGCGACCTGGGACAGGCCTTGCTAATGCTCCCGGTGACTTGGTGCTTGTACCGGTCAGCAAATATTCCCTAGAGGAGAAAAAGTGAGTTACGTCTGCAGCTTATGAATCGCTACCTGACATACTTCTCAGGAACCACAAGTCGATCTTCATAGCACCAGTAGAGTCTTCTGTGCAGCCCCTCCAGGTGCCCCTGACCAACGGCGGCGAAGCGTTTTGGCTCGATGCGCGCACGATCGCCCACGCAGTTGAGGAGGGGGAAGACAAGGACAAGTCCACCAGCATATATGCACTGTCTGTCAAGTTCGAAACAGAGTCCTCCAGTACCCTAAGCGTACCCGACTCCCCCGTCTTGATCGGCAAGTTCCCCACGTCGACTGCCACGAACTTTAAGTACTCTGTCAATGCAGGGACACTCGTCTTCTCGGACTTGGTTCACGCAGATGGCGATTTGACTGCGGTGAAGAAGAATGATGAGGCTTGGGAGAACCGCGGGGACACGGCATTTGTGTACGACGACACCTACGAGAGGCACTGGGATGCTTGGGTGGGCCCGAAGAGATCTTCTCTCTTTGCAGTGAAGCTCTGGCAGTCTCCAGACAAGAAGTGGTCCCTTGGCCAAAACTTCATCAACATCCTCAATGGCACCGACCATGTAAGTCATGTTCACACTCAGACATGCTCAGTTCCTCAAATCAAATCACAGTATTGCCCAGTCGAGCCGTTCGGAGGAACTGACGACTTCGACGTCTCGGAGACGCAAGTTGTGTACACAGCGAAAGACCCTGCTCTACCTGCGGCCTGGCACACAAAGCAAAATGTGGGTGTTAGTTTGCACCAGCCGTCATGCGCTTGCTAACACAACTGTAGGTGTACATCGTCGATATCAGCGGAGAGAATAAGCCCACGGAATTAACTTCTGGAGTGCACGGTGCTACACGCAGCCCAGTTTTCAGTGTGCAAGGTGATAAAGCCGCCTGGCTTCAGCTCGACAAGGATGGTGCGGAGGCTGACAGGTGCGTGGTATGTTTCATCGTCTCGAGCTTCAAGTGACATTTTGCAGGGCAAAAATTGTGATTTACGATCTCAAAAAGAATATCAAGTACACGCTGACCCAGCACTGGGACCGGTCGCCGGACTCTCTCGCTGTATGCATTTCTGCGTCTTCGCATCGAACCCCTCTCGGTGCTGACGAATGTCACTAGTTCTCGCCAGATGGAAAAGCGCTCTATTTCACTGCCGGTGACCTTGCCCGCATCAAGATATTCGTTCTGCCCTTACCTTCTACCCCGGAGTCCTCCACCGCGGACCCTGATTTCCCGCCGGAGTATCAGAACCCTGTCGAGCTCACCTCCAGCGGTGCCGCCGCTGGGATTCAGCCGCTCCCGAATGGCCGCCTCGTCTTCACGCGTTCTTCGCTCACCACGCCGAACGATGTGTATGTGCTGCGCGGCCTGGACAGCCTCAGCAAGCCGCAGGTCGATCAGCTGACACGCTTCTCCGCGGACGCGCTGGAGGGAAAGAGCCTGGACGCGGGCGAGGACTTCTGGTTCGAAGGTGCGGAGGGCAACCAAGTGCAGGGCTGGATCGTTAAGCCGCCGGGCTTCAAGAAGGGCGAGGTGAAGAAATGGCCCGTGGTGATGCTTATCCATGGCGGTGCGTAGTTCTGTTTGCGATAAGAAGCATTGTCGTCCACACATATGGACAGGTCCTCAGGGCGCATGGGAAGATCAGTGGTCGACAAGGTGGAACCCGAATAGTAGGTGCCGATTTCTACTCTAGGTTGCTCTATACTCACTTGTACCTTGCAGTATTCGCCCAACAGGGCTATGTGACGATTGCTATGAACCCTACGGGCTCGACAACATTTGGTCAGGGTGGGTCAAAACTGTTGATTCTAGTGCGTGAAAGCACCCAACCCCCAATCCAGATTTCACGGACGCCATTTCGGAGAACTGGGGAGGTAGACCCTTCGAAGACATGCAGAAGGGTTGGAAGCATGTCCTCAAAACATACCCCGAGGTATAGATGTTTGCCTGGGAGCTGACGGGACCTGAGAACTCATTGTGAGCTGTAGATCGACCCCGACCGTGCAGTTGCTGCGGGTGCGAGCTGGGGCGGTTACGCTATCAAGTATGTGTTTACTGGGGTCGATGCCCAACTGTGGTCTTACTCTTTGTCTTCATAGCTGGATCCAAGGGCATCCTGAGTTTGGCTTCGGCTTTAAGGCACTAGTTTGTCATGATGGGGTTCGTCAGACAGAGCAATCCCGTTTGGTCCTCCTGCTAACTCGATTTTTCCAGGTCTTCTCTGCTATGTACAGCGGATATGCGACGGACGAGTTGTTCTTCGTACGTCGACCGCCAGGCACATGACCAGTGCTCCCGACTGAGACCTTGAATAGTTCAACCAGGAATGGGGTGGCCGCCCTTGGGAGTCCAAGGCGAAGGCAGTTCTGGAGAAGTACGTCAGCATTTCTTAAAGCCGTGCAAGGTACTTAATGCGTTGCTACCAGATATGACCCCACAAACTTTGTCCACAAGTGGTCTACCCCCATGTTGGTGATCCATGGTAGCAAAGACTATCGTCTGCCAGAGACAGACGGCATCGGTGCCTTCCATGCGCTGCAGGAGTACGTGACATATCATCCTCTTGCGTGCGATGCAGTACTGACAGCGACGCAGGCGCGGCATTCCGAGTCGCCTTGTCATATTCCCTGACGAGAACCATTGGGTTATGAACCACCAGAACAGGTTCGTCAATACTTCCGGACATTTCGCAAGCTGATGTATGAATGCCTCTATTTCAGTATCAAATGGCACTACGAAGTCTTCCGATGGTTCAATAAGCACTTGAATGAAAAAGAGTAGTTCTCTTCATGTAACAACCTTGTAGCTAAATCAGAATGTGTGACTTGAAGTTCAAGTCGGTTCGATGCATTCGTGAGTGTTGTCTGAAGCTTCCCTCAACACCGCTCCATGCCGATCATTCAAATTCAACTATACGGCCATCAGGCCGTCTCGGGTACGTCCTTCCCCATCGTTACCCGCCGTCTTCGCCGTTTAATTACGAAGAGGACACGATCACATGATGGAAGTATACAAGTATGTGGGCGATTCATAGCATTTCCCGCAATCATCTTGTATACCTCTCTACGTTGTTCGCTTGAGATGGCACTTGGTCTTGCTGATGATGACTCCATGAGTGGTCTTGAACCACAGAAGGCCGTAGATGAAATTCTTGATGACGGGTTCCTCGTGCAGCAAGCTGGTGTCAATCCAGAGACTGGTGAGGCATGGAAGCCGCGTTGGATCCCGCGTAGCCAGTGCAGACCAGAGTTAGTTGCAAAATGGAAAGCCACTCGAGCAAATGTGATAAGTATGGGTGTTCTCTGAGTTATTGGAATTTCTTCTAACCAAACCACGTCCTCATACGCGACAGACGATGTCAAGGTCAAGATTCAGAAACGCTCACTATCACCGATACCAGCTGGGCATCTCACGGTGAAGAAAGAGGACGAGTTTGAGCGCATATCAGTGAAGGAAGAAGACTTTCCTGATGTCTCAGAGGATCATTACCGCCAGAAACGATCGAGGCTGGACATCCCCGACACATCCAGTACGACTGCCAACAAAAGCAGTACTAATATGCCGCGCGGACGAACGGAGCAGAGGTCGAGCATTTTTCTTCCGAAGAAAGCTAAGGGCAAGATTACCGCGTCAAGAGCGTCCTCGGTCAGTCTCCGACCAAGCATACGATTGTTCCAAATGCGAACCTGACGCCGGGTGTTATAGGAATTGAACAGTATGAACATTGGAAACGTGTCGTCTGAAGACCACACGAAGCCATTTGGTAGGCATTTCGAGCGATGGTCGCTTTGTACTATCTCAATAGTTCGACTCCTAGAGATAGAGCGGTGGTTGCTCTACCGAGCCGTCTCTTCGAAGTCGGGTATGATTATTGTGATCCGAGGGACTCACGGCGACGAAAAGCACAGCGGTTGGTTTCAGGGACTGCACGAGGGCGCCCGCGGGGTAATCCTCTCGGTTATGAATACCGGGAACGACGCTTTTGCCTCGACAGCAGAGACAAGGCTCCTCTCGCCGTTGGATCCGACTCAGGACACCTTCAACATCCCAACGCAGTACATATTCCCTGTGGAGCCCTCGCGGCCAGGGCAGAAAGCACTCATCTTGCACGGAGATCATAAGGGTGAGATCGCTATTGTGCGCGAGGAAGAAGAGAATGGCTGGTTCGTGTCTGTCGGGAACATGCACTTCGAGGTATCCGCAGATAAGCTTGTGCAAGTTATGGATGTCTAAGGGAACGGTATTCCTGAGATACGAACAAATGCGGGTCATGTTGTTTCGTTACATGTTGTTCAATGTGAACGCTCGGAGGTTCGTGTCCCTGTTGCACGACCTATGGGTCTTTTTGTCTAGATAAGGCTGGGCAGCTTTGTCAGTGCTCGATCTGTCAAGTACTTGCACTATGCAAATATTCTAATGGACCTCGCCGGAAATTGGTTCGACATGGCATGTATATAGCTATTGGTTAGTTCTATTACACGTGAGTTATTTGGGGGGATTTTCAATAAGGTTTCTCGAACAGTGAGTGCATCTCAGAGAGCAAGCGCATGAAGAACGATGAGCGTTCTCAGGAATTGAGGTTTAGTCAAGAGGTTTTGGGCGAGCGAGTCGTACGGCTGATCAGATTTTTGATGGCGATCGTACAGTCGCGCGTTTGCTCGTCGCCGACTGTTTTGATATGAAGGTCAGTTACGTACCAGTGAAGCGACAGCCACCCCCAGGATCTTCCTGTCCGCATCATACTTTGGATTCTCGCCTGTTGATTGGCTCTCGTCAGAGAATGTGCTGATATCTGCCGTTATTTACAGTATCACACAGTACAACCTGAGACTGTTACGACCTACTCTTTCGACCCCTCGAATCTTCAATTGCCAAATCCCCGATTGTGTCGTTATGACACGCGTTTTTGCTATTGGTATGTGTAGCCTACGGTCCTACAGGTGCGGAAACACAGCGCCAGCCGTCGGGTGGCGGGTTGAATCCCTTGAGCCGGCGCAACGCAGACTCCAGAGGGGCGAGTTGCTCGGTGACTACTGCGGCTCACAGGAACCGGAACGACTTGACTCCCTGTTCCAGTTGTTTGGCCGGTGCGTTGAGTTTCGCCTTTCTGACATCGGCTCAGCGCGTCTCCGTAACTAACGAAACTAGGTTAACCTCCGTGGAGTAGATTGAGTGGGTTCTACCAAGACGTTCATTATAGGCTGATGTCGTGATCCAACCCAGCTTTCGGTAGTTCGCACTTGGTCCATCTGCAGTGGAATGGAAGACTATGTATTCGTTATCAAGTCTTCCTTGGAGCTGTCTGTCATTCTGATGGCCGGATATCGGCACACAATCCCACTTGTCGAGCTGTTTATACTCCCCGGTGATGCCCAGGATATGACTACAGCCCTGCGATACAGCGTCGCTTTCTTCATGCATTCAGCGCGCACTTGGGCCGGTCGCTTCACACTGGCTCACTTCCATTCATGCAATACCCATCCTCATGATCGTGCTTCCCGTGTTCGGGAAGATCACGAGGAGCAGGTAGGCAAGTGGATGTCAACCCGGAGGCCGCATTCGGCGCTATCGAGTGCCTTGTGTGGGTCTGGCCAAAGTATTATCACGAGGCATTTACTAGTCAGTTTTCATGGTCTTATGAAGCCTTTAGAATCCGACTTCTATCGCTAACATGTGTGGCAGAACGGAGACGGTAATCGCTACTTGAACTAAATTTGCATGTAGGTCGTCGCCTGATAAGCCAGCTACTTGCTTCGCGTTTTCGACGCTATATATTCGAGACAGTGAAACTGCGGCCACGTACATCCACCACCAGCATGGATTTGTCTCCCCCACGCGTAGCGATTGTGACTGGCGCCGCACAAGGCATTGGACGCGCCATAGCGCTACGACTGGCTGACGATCACCTTGAAGTTGCCGTGAATGACCTTGCTTCGAAGACAGACCAGTTGCAGGAACTGGTATCGCAAATACAGACTCGAGGAGGACGTTCTCTCGCTGTTCCTGCAGATGTCTCCAAGGAAGATGACGTTCGGGACATGATTGCCATGGTTGTCCATGAGTTTGGTAGCCTCGATGTGGTAAGGTAATACCCTCTTGATCACTATCTGAAGCTATACATGTGCAGATGGTGGCGAATGCAGGAATATCGATTATCAAGCCATTGATAGAACGTACGACTTCCCCTCTTTGCTATGTCGAACTATCCTCATATTGTCGAAGTATCCTTGGGAGACTTCGATAAAATCACGTCTGTCAACCTACGAGGCGTAATGTTATGTTACAAGCATGCAGCCATTCAGATGATACAGCAAGGAAGAGGCGGGCGAATTCTAGGTGCGGTTCATATATATCCCGGCCATACGACTTGAGAAACTGAGAATGAGGTATAGGAGCATCCTCGGTGGTGGGCAAGCAGGGTGAGTGGGCCACTCTCATAGGCACAACTAGTTTCATAGGTTACCGCCTTTTAGCTATGGCGTCAACCTCCGCGTATTCTGCCACCAAGTTTGCCGTACGCGGGTTGACGCAGAGCACAGGTATGAGATGTATTCCTGAACGCTAGTCGGCTGGCTCAGTGTCAACTCGCTGATCGTTTAGCTTTGGAGCTATCGAAATACGACATCACTGTGAACGCATACGCACCGGGGGTCATCAGATCGCCAATGGGTGCGTATGGGCACTATATACATGCACTTCTCACTGATAATATACCTTAGGTCAAGTTGTCACTGACGGCCCCGGGCATTCAGAGCTATTGAAGGCAAATTTACAAACTTGTGCCCATATAAGTTAATACCAACTTCTTGTCCAGGAAATCGGTCTTCCTGCAAATGTTCCTACGGGTGAACCCGAAGTCGTCGCCAGTTTAGTTTCTTACCTGATCAAACCGGAGGCATATTTTATCACTGGTGGGTCGCAGCTGGGAGTCTTGGCTTGTTACAAGCGCAATCTAATCAGGTATCTCGCAGGCCAGACCATCATGGTGAACGGCGGTCTCGTGTTGGATTGAATTGTAATTTCTGCATCCTTGTTCATTAAGGACATGCAGATACGATAATATGGCTTCTGCTCAGAAACATCTACTCGACCTTGCTAAGGCCTGGATACTTTGGCTACATCAACTAATTTCAATCACGATCGACTCAGTGGGTCTAGATATAAAATCAAGCTGAGTGATCCGTCGATAGTCAGATACGCATGTCTTCTACTGAATGTTCCAACCTTCGTGCAAAGGGATATTTGCTGATCAGAGTGTCTCTCGTAGCTCTCTCATGTGAGCTTAGCGTGCAAATAGCACGAGCTCTGGTACATTGGCTCGTTTCTGATCAATCTGATGACCACTCTCCTCGTCTTCGGCCAGGAGGGGATACTCCAAGCGCAGGTATAGAAGCTCAGGGTTCCAGCGGGCTTCCTGCGAATGTCGCATGTGCAAGTGCATAGAATCTCGCCACGATGGGCGGTTAACGCGCACTAAGGTCAATGAATATGGAAAAATCTCAGGCTCTAGGCGCTGTTTGGCAGATAAGAGCGAATCAGCAGGATACTATACTCTCTGGTATGGCATCTCCAGGTTGATGACGACTTATGGAGCTCGGTTCTCATCAGGAATGCATGATTCGATGCTGTATATCAGCAGCAGCGACACGACGGAGGGAGAATCGCAACATGAATTCACATTCCCCACGCATAGCTGTTGTCACCGGTGCTGCACAAGGCATCGGCCGCGTCATTGCGCTACGTTTGGCAGATGAAGGCCTTGACGTTGCCGTGAACGACGTTGCATCGAAGACGGACGAGCTGCAGGAGCTTGTGTCACAGATACAGGCTCGAGGTGGGCGCTCGCTCGCAGTCCCTGCGGATGTATCTGTAGAAGGTGATGTAGAAGTCATGATTACAAAGGTTGTGCAAGAGTTCGGGCGCCTTGACGTAGTAAGTTTATACTACTCTGTTCCCTTGGGGCTATAGATCTGAAGCCCGTCACGTCTAGATGGTGGCGAATGCGGGACTTGCTTTCTACAAGACTTTGATAGAGCGTAAGGAGTGGGTTTCGCTTTGCGTCGACGCGCTCACGTTGTCACAGTCCCCATAGAAGATTTCGACAAAATCGTCGCCGTCAATATACGAGGTGTCATGTTATGTTACAAGCACGCGGCGATCCAAATGATTCAGCAGGGAAAAGGCGGGCGCATCGTCGGTGCGATTTCTCTCTTCCATAACTATCCACACGAGGGTGCCGAGACCGAATCATAGGAGCATCCTCGGTGGCAGGCAAGCAGGGTAAGCCTGGCTCGTTATAACAAACCTCGTATGTCTCGCTCAAAATTTCCCCAGCTGTACCGATGATGTCTGCGTATTGCGCTACGAAGTTCGCCATCCGCGGTTTGACGCAGAGTGCAGGTATAGTCTAACAACCCATCCGTTAGCACAATGTTAAAAGATGCGTGTTGCCCGCTCAGCGTTGGAGCTATCGAAATACGGAATCACTGTGAACTGCTATGCACCTGGCCTTATCAAAACTACTCTAAGTGCGTATAGCTGACACGAAAATGGACATCTGTACCGATGTTTACTTGTTATATTCTCCAGCCAGCGGCATTACTAACCGCTCTGGAGGTGTTGACCTGTGGAAGGCAAGACTACATAGTAGCCTTACACATGGGCTAACATTTGGCCATACAGGCCCTCGAACTCCCCCCAAACGTTCCTGTCGGCGAGCCTGAAGTTATCGCCAGTTTGGTCTCCTACTTGATCAAACCCGAAGCATACTTCATCACTGGTGAGTATGATATGGTCTCGCTGCTAGCCAGCACAATATAACGCCGGATGTCTCGTAGGGCAGACAATCATGGTGAATGGTGGTATGATGGTAGACTGAGCCATCGCTTGTAGTAAGCCTGGCGTCGGAATATTAGATTGCCTATACAAAAGCGTTGGATCAATCAGCTCTTGAGGTCTCATTCACGGACGATCACTTGGACGTGATAAAATCCTGCTTGCGATTGTCTCCCTTTTCATAGATCCATTCACTATGATTTTGCGATAATTCTCGAGCTGCCTGAGTTGATGTACACTCTATCATGCGAAGTGATTCCGCAGACCGCAAGGTTATTAATAGCGTGGAGGCATCTGGGAAAGACTTGGACTCTGGAGGGAGCCAACCTTATTGCATGATGTGTTCATGCCGAATTGCCGGTGGGTCAGTATGCTCCCACCCGTCGTCTTCCAATATTTGACGACGATAAGCAGTGCTGACGCTAGTATCATCAGAACGTCGTGGTCATGAAGGTTCTCGTCATTGGGTATGGCCTTGGGGCTTAATGAACAAAACGAGACTACTGACAATCACCGCGGACATGCAGCGCATCAGGATTCATCGGGTTCCCGGTCGCGCAAGCATTCGTGCGCGCCGGCCATATCGTCTACGGAGTAACCCGCTCTGCGTCCAAAGTCCAAAAGCTTGCTGTGGAAGAAAGTAAGCCACAAATGACTGCTCTCTGCGATTGTCCTTGAGCTCACGTCATTTCGCTTCAGTCATTCCGATTGTCGCAGATACTAGCGATCCGTCGCCTTGGCTGCCTCTTGTCGCCACGCTCGACGTCGTGATTGAGGCCATCGCTGGAAGGGACATTCCCCACCTGTCCAAGCTGCTGCTTGAAAGCACCGCTAAGGCCGCTAAGCAATATCGTCCGCCGCACGCGCCGAATCTCGCTTACATCTACACATCCGGTGCTTGGGTGCACGGGGATAGCCGGAAGGAGATCGTCTCGGACACGACGCCTATCACGAACGTTTCTGTGAAGATCACCGCTTGGAGACCTGAATTCGAGCAACGCGTTGTGACCCATTCCGATGTCAGCGGGATTGTGATACGTCCATCCTTGCTATACGGGCGCTCCGCATCGCTCCTGGCACCCTTGTTCAAGAAGGCATACGAGGGCACAGTCGCGTGGTATGGGACGCCAGGAGGGCGCTACGGGACGATTCACTGTGATGATCTTGCCGAGCTGTATCTCCTTGCCGCTGAGAAGTCCGCCATCGTTGGTGGAAAGATCTTTGACGCTACCAACGAGTTTACGGAGGGCGTGGATGACATTCTGCAGAAGTTGGTGGAGGTTTCTGGCGCCAAGGGTCCATACGAATACCTCCCGCCGAGTAACCGTAAGTCCAACGGTGTTCATTCTCAAAGAGGCGGTGCTGAAGTGGCGGCATCCGACAGTGTTTGAGGCCGCACTTACCGCGTCGACCTTGATTCGGCCTTACCTTGCGCGTTCCTTGTTAGGCTGGCGACCGCGCAAGGCGAGTCTAGTCGATCATCTCGAGATCTACTACAACTCGTGGAAAGCTAGTGAGGGTCTATAAGACATTTTGCATGCTCATGTCGCCTCATCCATTGTGCACATGTTTCAGCACTGCCAGTGGTATACACCGATATGAAGGCGTCATTATAAATTGAGGAGCATAACATATCTCGATGGTGGGATGTTTGTGATTCGTAGTCGCACTCTTGGTCACGACAAGCAACGAGTAAAGTTCCACCAGAGGACAACATAGCGTCTATGAAGCCGTCAGACTTTGGTGATCAGTTGACACGGAGAAATACTTAATGGTTGAGATCTGAGATCTGAACCTTTGACATGAATCAACGCGTGTCATGGCGCATCCGGTTTCCAGCAGTCGACAAGATAGTTATCTCAAGGAACGAATGGGATCGGGTCGTCGAAGACACCGAAAGTGATACGAGAAGGCGTCCTCGCACGTAATCAACACACGATTCAACTTGGGACATCCAGTATTCTTATGGCATTGCGCCTAGCTCAGAGACTGATCCATTATCGTACATAAACATACAACCGCGTTGATCGTACTTGAAGCGTACAATTACAGGTATAATCAAGGGTCAGCACTGTCTTTACCAGCCGGACTTATCGAAAGAATCAAATCAGCATCGAGAATGGGTGGAAATATACCAAGAAACTCACCTTCTCTTCCTGGCCGCGCTGAACCATGCCTTGGTTGCGAGTCACCTTTCCCGTCACCTCCTCGAGGTCGCCTGTATGCGGAACACAGTCAGCATCCAACCCCGATACGAATAAAGTAGAATGAACCTACCCTTAATGCGCTGACCCACTGATGGCTTGCCAGCCCTGCCTCCAGGTGCAGCACCAGTCTGCTGGTTATCCCAGTTGTTCTGGTCATAGTCGCCTTGGCTCTGATAGTTTTGATCGCCCTGGCGTCCGGCACCCTCGAAGTTGTTACCGCCGGCACCATACGTGTTCGCGTCGCTGGTGTTGCCGGGGGTTCCGGTGTTGCCGTAGTTGTCGCCGCGACCAGCGGTCCATTCTTGGCCCTGGACGTCTCCCTGGAAGCCTTGCTGACCCTGGGAGCCCTGGTCGTAGCCGCGTTGGTTTCCGAAGTTCTGACCTCCTTGTCCTTGGAAGCCCTGATCCTGGAAGCCTTGTCCACTCTGGTTCTGCCAGTCGCTGTTGCCGTGCTGGCCGACGTAGTTGCCGGCTACGACGGAGAGAAGTTAGACAACGAGGTTGCGAATTAGAAAAATATAGAACACTCACAGTCGTCGAAGCCCGGAGCCGGTGGGTTACCAAAAGCGTTCATGATCGTGAATGTATTAAAAAGGTTGTAGTTATGCAGTCAGTGTGGATGTGTGGATGAGGATGAGTTCAAGTTGTGAGTTGTGAAGAAGCAGACAGGAGCAGTGATGGGTTTTATATACTCCTGAAGGAGGTGGAAGTACTGGCGGGTCGATGTCCATGATGCAATTGCGGGGTCAATGATGACGTTGTGGGTAATAAGTGGATGACCTTGTGGAGACATGAAGGTCCCGCCATATGGAGCCACCGGAACGCAGCCACCTGTGGGGTTCTTGGTGGCGTAAAGTGGGCACAACGTTATTTGCTGCTGACACTCATATTACAGCAAAACCAATATTGATAGACCTCCCCTCGCAAAGTATACACTTCGGCAAAGTGGGGCAGAAGCTTGCGGCAGGAGTCGGCAGTGGTGCAGAGACGGCGACCGGCAGCCGATCAGAGACGGGCTACTGAGTAGACGCTTGCTGTGATCCCCTCGTCTACCGACCATGGTCGGTAATCGACGATATATGGATCCTGCTCAGAAAGGATTCGTTATATACACGTCTCACTTCATGGCTAATGATCAGAAGCTACTGGTATTGCGTCACAGTAGAGTGCAGAGCTCGTCGCTGTCTGCCATTGCTTGCGGAAGCAAACGGGGTAGACCTCGACAAACGGACGAATATTGAGGCATTGGTGTGGATTACTTCACATGGCTGCCGCGAACAACCTCTGAGGAATGACTGCACGTCACCCCAAGGTGCCGAGCGCCATTATGCTCCATGCCGCCTATCTGTACTTTTTGCGAGGGAGGTCTATCAATATTGGTTTTGCTATAGTTGCAGTGTTCCGGGCTGAAATGGTGCACGTGTGTAAAGTCCCACTAAATCGCCCCAAGCCAGATTTTGCACACGCGCCTGTCAAAATCCAGCGATCACCTAGGTGGAGGGATCTCAATCATTTCCGGTGGGCGTATGTTTTACTTAATGCACGGAGCTCCTGGACAGAACCTAATTATACGATGTCACGCTGTGGGAGCCCATGGCATGTCACTCGACCAAGTTCTCGTTAAGACCACATTGCGTCATTTCCCGTTCCGAAAAGCAAATATTACAGATCGTATCGTGTCCCAGCGATGATGTCATATTGCATGATGGAGGATGACAGCTACCGTTTCTAGCAGAAATCAATCACTTCCGTCGTTGTACGCCAACAACGCAATTCTTCGGCTTCCGCACAAAACCGTCCCGGAGTGGAAGCTGCGCCGGTATGAGAGGTCATTCACGTGCATCGTATCGATAGGTGAATGTGAACTTACCGGAGCATCACTCTCTAGAACCAAATTGTACCGATGAAAGATGGTCGCCAATACGATGTGCATTTGCTGTAGCGCAAGGTTTCGCCCCAAGCATGCCCTATGTGAAGACACCGCTTACTTCGGCAGATCACAGCCACCTGCTTCCCTACTCACCTCGGACCCACAGAGAAAGGCGCAAACGATCGCATCATCTCTTTCTTCGCGTCCGCGGATGCCTCGAGCCACCTCTCAGGGTAGAACTCGTGTGCGTTCTCGCCCCACACCACCTCATTCCTGTGCAGACAGTAAAGCGGCGAGCTCACCACCGTCCCTTCCTTCAGGTGCTGTCCGAGAACGGTCAGTCCACCAGGGGGGACAACGCGAGGCAGGCCTGCGCCTATTGTCGAGTGCAGGCGGAGGCCTTCGTTGATGACGGCATCGAGGTAGGGTAGGTCCTTCACCGCATCGTAAGGCGCTACATCGGAATCGATGCCCTCCAGTGCTGCGTCAAGCTCAGCCTGCAGCTTTGCTCGGATCCGGGGATTGCGTGCGAGATGGTAAGTTGTCGCGCACGAAGAACTGTTCGAAGGCGCTTTAAGCGCTATACCGCATGCTGAGAAGGGCAGATCCACTCACTTGGCGGTGGTATCCCCACCGGCGATGATTAGAAGCTCTGCCTCAGCACTTAGCTCTTCCGGACCATAAGGCTTTCCATCCTCGTCTCTTCCTCGCAGCAGCTCGGACAGCATGTCCGCACGATCGATTTTAGTTTTAGACGCGAAGCGGTTGGCTACGGCTGCGACGGCGAGGCCCGCAAGCTTTGGAGCAGCATCATAGCCATATCGGACGCTTGGAAGACGGCCAACAATGGGCTGAAGCCATGCTGGGAGAAACGCCAGAGACACGATGATGTCTAAATGCTCGGCGAGCATCTCGATTGCAGGGATTTCCTCCAGTTCCAATTCCGCCTCGTCCGAGTGGGAATTACCCTGTGATATTGCCTGCATACCTTTAATATTGGATTTCGATATTTTAGCAGTGTCCTTCGCCGCTTCGAGCATACCGAAAGGATGACCAAATGCAAGATCACCTATGAATTAGATCCCATGGCATAGCCGATGGGACAGTAGCCAGTCAGTGTGAAAGGCTCATCTGCAAGAGACGACTTAGACGAACTGATCGTGTCGAATGACCAAAAGGTGAACCCTAATTGACAATCAGAACCATGAGTAAGGCCTTCTCCGGACGCTATCACGAGATGCTTACAAGGCATGCAATCAAACCAGACTCTTCCGCTATGCACCTTCCAGTGAACCGTACCGATTGTCCCTTCGGCACTTCCGCGTATTGCCTTATCTGTGTGCGCACATAGTGTATCCCACTGACGCACAAGTACCTGGAAATGGACACGCGCAGTATCCTCCAACGCCCGGATACCCCGAGGTGAGAACATGTGTGCCTCGATGCGACGTTTGCGTGAATGCTCGGCACGGTCGCGCGTGTTGAATAGATTCCTGATTCTGATACTCGAGATAGCGTCGTAGAAAGTTGATTTCAATGCACCAGATGAGTGGCCGTAGATGGCTGCTAAGGCAGAAGGGTCGGAAATGGAGACGTTGTCAGGGCCGAGGCGAACGATGGGGCCTGTAGCGGAGGAAGGTTGATCAATAGTTGTTCGAAAAAAAATAGTACTGCCAGATTACCGTGTTGACGATGTAGATGATACACAGTCTCTGACCATCGGTTGTGGCCGATAATCCAAGAGAGCCAAGCGGATGTGAACTTCGCGAAGAATGGTCCAGGGTACGCTCGAAGTTTGTACGGGTCATTGAAGTATGGAAGTAAGATTGACGAAGCTATGACCGTAGCAATGAGACAGGCCAGCACAGAAAGCCCAGGTAGGAGGAGACCGGTGAGGCCTTCACGAGCCAGGATGATACTCCCGAGAGGAGGTAGCGGCGGCGTCGATGAGTCCATTGTGCGACAATCTGAGTACGCCTCACCGGTTCCATTATATACTATGGGTCCACATCGCCAAGTAGGCGCGCTAATGCACCACAAAGTTGGGATCTCATCTTCTCAGAAGTCAGATTATTGACGCATCATCTATAGTACCGACTCCCAACATCTGCCAAGGTCAAGGATAACATAACGAGATGACGAGAACTTCCATCACTTACGCAAAGGAATTATGTGAGCCACATATTCCGGGTCGAAATTCTTATCCAGAACCGGCTCTGGACTACTGTCCTCTCAGGACTCGGTGTCTATGATGCGGCGGCCGCGATGCCCTACACGTGGAACTGAAAGTCTGCTTTGATTGGTCAAGCATAAGCGACATCTTACTACACGGCGTCACTAAGCGGGCCGTGCGGAGATCCCTACCAATTGCTTTGAGTAATTGACTGCACGGAACTTGTTAACCGACAGGCAATAGTGGTTGAGTAGCACTCACCGTATCTGAGATTTCTGTAATCACATGGTGGTGGTCTCTGGTGATAAAATCAGTGGTCATATCACGGTTGTCCATGTCTTACAGGCATGGATGTCTCGGAAATTTGTGCTCAAATAAATGGGCAATGGCAGGATTCTTCGGAAAGGCAAGTGGGGGTTGCTGCCTGTTACGGGAAGCCGGCGCTTGTTCCGTTTGCTCATGGGTCACGCAATAGACGCGCGTCGACGTGGCGAGCGGAATAAGCGCCTTTGCTAGTGTTGAGCGAAACCTTCTCAATGTGTTTTGTGTGTCCCATGAACCTCTTCATGGTACAACGTTCGGGATTGCTTCAATCGACGGAACCAGTGGGACACTGATATCGTCGATGTAAGCTCCAACGACCTACAAGTCTCCTGCGAAAAAAAAACAGACGCTTCCGCCCGGTTTTGCGTGTCCCATGAAATCTGTAAACCCTTCATGGAAATGGCCACTGTGTAGTGCGCTTCGCTCACAAACATGTCCTGTTGCAATAATATAGCCTCGAGGGCATAATCCAGGTACATATGAAATATACATCACTAGTACTGCTTGCCGCGATAGGATTGGGCGCCATCAAAATACGACCTATCGAGATGGGCGCTAGATTAGATCGGGGGTTGTGCCGACGTGTGCCATCTCGGCAGTCTGTCTCTTCGCACGCACGCCCACTTGCCGCCCACAAGGTTCACATCATGGAGGCGAGTTGTGTTCCATCTTCCCAACATATCTGTCCCCAATCTACTTGACGCTCGTTGTCGAACCGGCGCACGCGTAGGCCGCTGAATAGCTCGTGATTCACCGTTCCATATTTACAGTCGCGTGCTGCAACTACAAGTTCGTGGCTGGTTAAGAAACAACGCCACAAACTTGTACCCAAAAATTGAACAGCAAGCCACAAGCCAGCCACAAGAATATCATGCTTGTGCCACTATACATTTCTCCACTTAACAGCACCTCATAACGGTTGGGATTCGGTCTTTCGTCCGGTGGACTGCCCCTGTTCCTGTGACCCCTTTCGCTGCCGCAAAGTTCACCATCTCAAGCAGACCTCTACGCGCACTGTACATCTTGTTCTCCACTATCGAAGTACACCACGGAGCCTATGTCGTCCGTCTCCCACGCTACAGAGCATAATATCGGTTCCGAAGCCCCCTTATACTTTGCATCTCCAATCTCGACACTCCTGGAGTCAAGAGAAGATGAAAATATACAGCACATAACACTGCATGATCTAGCGGAAGCATACAGCCTGTTCGTCAACCGCATTGAGAGGATTGCAGTTGCTCTCTCTGACGTCAACTGCACCTCTTCTGCACTCCGATGTGTCAAGGAAAATGCGCTTGTGATCGCGCAATGTCTCCGGCGAGACATCGGTCGCGCATTTATCGACCCGTTCCCGGAGAACTCACAATTGGACCCGATGCAATTGTCGCAGGAGGCGTCCTTGAAATATATGAAACTTGCGAGAGATCTTACTCTAGTCTCGCAACATGCGCTGCAAGTCGTCGCGTGCTTGTTCAGATTTCCGGCGTTGATGTCTGCCTTCCAACGTAAGCTTTGTTGTTTTCACTAGCTTTGTCCGGGAACTTAGAAAAGGAACCGCCAAGTGGCGGATTTGATAGGAATGCTGGACGATGTCCTAGCCGTCATCACCACCCCCTTACCCACCCCAAATAGCAGCAAGACGCGTGCCATCGCGATTTGGACCTTGTCAGTCCTCAATTTACCCATCGCCTCACTGCATGCACGTCGACGTCAACTATGTGACACCATACAGAAGACAATCGCCTCTAGCGACGTAGATATATGCGTGGCGGATGGTATGCAGGTGAGCCTCATGTATCGTCAATCATGCGTCATTCGGCACTGAAACAAGTTGTCTATGGAGGCTCTGCGGAGTTTATTACTTCGCGACGCTTCTAGCTTCTTAGAGCCATTTGTGCAAGTGCTACCGTTCGTTCTGGCCAGGCTTGAATCGACTTCGTCCCAACTGCGCCATGCAGCGGCTAGCGCGCTTACCGGCTACGCATATACATTGCTGTCATGCGATTTTCCCGTGCCAGAAGGCCTTCGCGACTCTATTCGATCCCACGTCGGGGCTTTCGTTGACTTATGTCATATGCGCGCGAAGTCGAGTTCTCAATCCCAGCCACAACTCTCCACCCTCATTGTCTCCGCCCTCGAGTCGAATTGTCAGCAAACAGTAGGCCGAGGTCCGTCATGGGCTTGTGTAGTGCTTGCCAGCCTTGTCATACTGTCCGATCGGCAATGCTTCACCCACACGCGCACGATCAGGCTCATCGTCAGGTCCCTCGCACACTCCAAACGACATCAGCAACGCTCGGTGCGCGTCCTCCATGCTTGGGTATGGAGATGTCTCGTCTGGGCGATCGGCCGTATAAGGTCGACTGACCCGGTGCCGAATTTCCTCAAGGGCAGCATCGCAGACGTTAGGATCTCGGCGTGCAAAATCGTTCAACAGGAGCACCGGTATGGTGTGGGGGTGGCGCTGGCGGCATATTTGTTGTCGCTCCCTCCAGGGGATGCGCTGTTTGGAGACCAGCTGCTATCGTCTACTGTTCTAGCTGTGGCCAAGCGTATGGTCGAGGATGAGGACGAGATCGTCCACGCCGAGGGAAAGTCTGTCTTGTTGAGATTGGTCAGTGCAATCGGGACGTCAACAATCCAGTCGTCGACGACCTCTATCGTTATCAGCAAGGAGCACGGCTGTCCCGAAGACATTTTAGTGGAGGAACTGCTGGACGGTACTGTTCTGAAGGCTGACGAAGAGCACTTGTCTACTATTATAACAACTACAGGCAAGCTGGACGTTACGTGCATTAGGCAGTACGCTGAAGTAGAGATCGTCCAACATTGGAGCTCCCTCCTCGAGATCTGGCTGTCTTGCGTGCGCAGATCAGCGTCGCAGACCTCAATGGATAATCCTCTCGATGTGAGTCCTGACATGTCTTTGTCATACACCCTAAAAAAGATTGCCTACAGAGCCATCTATTGCATATATGGCAAGCCCTTTTGCTCGTACACGCTCAGTTGACACAAGAGTTTGGCCATCTCACAACACCTCCGGGGTTTGCGAACCGTCTGGTCGACATCATCAGCCAGGTCATGCATCCGGCTTCAGATGCATTGCCGAATGTACAACTGGTGCTACTCACTCTTCTCAAGCAACTGTGGGTTGTTATCAGAAATGTTTTCAATGCGCCTTGGCTTGCGCGGGTCTCAAGCTCAGTACTCAGGGTGGTACTCAGCCAACATTATGACTTGACGCAGGAAGATGTGAAGACGTGTTGGGGCGATATATGCGCATCGCTGATACTGGCAGATTCTCCCGAGATACTACATAAGTTAGCGACGAGCAATGAGGCCGCGAACGAGGCAGAACTCACAAGGTACCTATGGACAGTACTTGCGAAGACATGGCTGTCATCTCGCCTACAACGTCGCTGGGAAGACACAGTATCGTTCCTTACCGTCCCGCTAAGGCAGGTGTTCTCATACTCTCACTCGCGACGATATGCCAAGCGTTTTGCACCAGCCTGTGGCCTATGTCGCACGAAGAGGTGTCGATGTGGGAAGAGATCCTCCAACATGTAGTACGCGATGTATCATCGACCTCGACACCGTCATGTGTTGTGCACGAAACTATTGCTACGTATCTGCTGCTGCGATCTCAGAGGTGTGTACCCTTATATTGCATAAGACTATATGACAGTCCTCATCCGATCGATCTAGGCTTTCGAACTGTCCCAAGATTGCCAACATTCTTTTGACCTCTTTACACTTTCATGACGTTGAAGCCCATATTCCGACTAAATTCTGCTCATGTATCAAAGATTTTCTATGCGATTCGTACAGCTCGCCTCAAGATTCATTATACCCTGCCCTAAACGCACTTCAACGACTTCAATCTGTATTAACATCATGCTCACAACAAATCCTTGTAGCCTTAGTAGTTGCCCTTTCAGAGGGTCTGTATGCGTGGATCCGGGATGAAGGCGAGATACTTACGGAAGACGAATATAATCGTGTTGTACGTGACAAGAATTGCTGTCCTTGTGATGTGTGCCTAGCTGACTTCTTCGTAGATCGCTCCTTTATATCAAAGTACACTTCACCGGCTGCGCGGGCTTTCGGCGCCTGCTGATGTCCTGCACGTGTTGGCGCCCTTCCTTTGTTCTGCCTTTGGTCATATTCCGTCCCCAGCCCTTGGTCCAGCCGCTTTCAAGGACTTCTGGGACCATATAAGACCGACGCTGCGACCTGATCAGTCTATACCCGCCGAAATCAAGAAGATCCTCGTTCCGTGTTACGAGTTCTTAGAAGGCACAGTACCTCCGGATGTGCTGATTTACTCGGAGTCTCAGTCTCAGTCTCAGTACCAGACGCAAGAGGTAAGCACCAAAACCCATTGAATGCGGAGCTTGTTGCAGACGTCGCATTCAGAGTGTTGTTCCAGAGACGCCACCCATGGAGTTCGGTAATGACACAACGCGACTCGTTGAGGACGATGTTGTAATGGCCGACGCCCACTCGCCAGTCAGCCATTCAGAGAGGCCTCCAATTCAACAGACGGTGGACAACCCAGACGACGTTGTCTCCACGATCCCGACGTCGGAACACGTCTCGAATGATGTAGGCCAGCCACTCAAGGAGGGCGGAAGTCCTGATGCCCCTTTGTTCCCTTCTCCCAGAGAGGTAACGCAGCCTGGATCCCAAGAGCAGGAACCCACTCTCGCAGAGGACCCCGTGGACGTCGGCTCATCATCTTCACCCGCCGGACAGCTCAACCAGAGGTCAGTCAGCGACACCTTCCGCCCCTCGGCCTCGCGGCGCGACTGGAGTGGCGGACGGAATCTCGAACTACACCAACGCAACCGAGCGCAGTCCGACCCCATCCCTGAGTCCTCACACTCTGGTGTTCCCCAAAGCTTACCGACCATGCGCAAACGGGCACTGCGCACGAGCATAGGTTCCGCCGACCATAATGAGGACGCAGGGAGATCAGACCCCGACAGGCCGCCCAAACGAGCCAGGCTCGGCAGCTCCCCTCCCGACAGCGCACGCACAGAACCACACAGCCCAACCCGCCCCAACTCCTCGCCAACGGCATCCCCGTCGCCGCAAGCCTCCTCCGCCTCCTCGTCGTTCCACCCCGCCGCACCCGCCGCGCCCGGCGACATCAGCCCCACATTCACCGAGATAATGCAGGCGTACGAGGCTGCCAGTCGCAGCACGCGCCCCAGCCCCTCCGCCATGAGCCCCGAGTACCCCCCTCCCTCGCCGAGGTCCAGGTACGCCGCTGAGCCCGCGTCCGACGACGACGCGACCTGGGAAACGGGCGTCGACCCCGCCGAGGAGCGCGAGCAGATGCCCGACGACGCAGAGACCGACGACGACGAAGACGAAGACGACGACGACGCGAGCATGCGCACGGACGAGCCCGACAGCCCACATCCAGGAGCCGGCCCCCGCTCAACCGTCCCACCGCGGCGCGGCCGGACCCCATGTAAGCACAGTCCCTCCCTCCCGGACGCCGCCCGCACACGCTCACCGCACACGCACACGCACCCTTCTTTTCTAGTCGCCAGGCGGGACTCCATGCTCGTCGTCCCGTCCAGCGAGGACGGCGAGGAGGACCCCGCGTTCCCCCCGCCCGCGCCCGCGCCCTCGTCCTCGTCGCGCCCCGCTGCGCGTCCAGGCTCCGCGCACCCTCACCCCCTGCGCCGCACGCGCCGGAGCTCCGCGCACCTCGAGGAGCTCCAGCGCGTGTGCGCTGCGCTGCAGGAGGAGGACGGCGCGGACATGGATCTGCAGGAGCTCGAGGAGGCGATGCGGCTGGTGCACGGCCTCGACGGCTGGCTGAAGGAAAGCTTGCTCAGGCGGCTCGCCCAGACCGCCGGTGCCCCGGGGGCGGGAAAGGGAAAGGGCAAGAGCAAGAGCAAGGCGAGATAACTCGCTCAAAAGGCGGTTGTAGCGTTGTTTGAGAACTCACCGTACGCTTCACAAACCAAGGACCACCGCGCATCATGTAGCACAACTCAGTTGTATCCATTGTATCCATCGAACACGTCTATTTCACTGTCCACTGTCATTGTTCCCTTTCTAGTACAGAGTCCGCGCACTGCCGTGGCATCTACGTCCAACAAATTGGATCCCTTTTATCACCGCTTCGCGAGCGCGAGCGCGCCCTGCGGCAACGCAGGCGGGCAGCTGAGTGTCGCGACCATCGGCGGCATCAAGAACGGCGACGCGCTCTACTCCTCCGCCTCGCTATACCGCCCGCCCAGCTGGCGCACATACGCACCGTACTGGTAGTCCACGTTTCCCTCTCTCGTGAACGTCACAATGTGATCTGGGCGCAGCCTACATCAGCACGCACGAGAGCAGCGCCTAGAACGCGCACCACGTACCGCCCAAGCTCCGGCTCGCGAAGCCCGCCTCGCAGTAGGAGCTACGCGCAGGCCATACAGTGAGCACGACAGCACATGTTGACCCGAAGAGAGAGACCGGGACACGCACAAGTAGTACACCCACTTCCGCCGGAACATCTCGATCGCCTCTTCCGCGCCTTCGACACCCTCACCCATCGTGTCCGGGTACCGCGTCTGCAGGGCTGTCGCCCCCCGCAAGACAGCAGTCAGCATCCAGGTCTGGCCCGGGCACCGACAGAAGCAGCACGCTCACCGGGCACGATCTCCGCCTCGAACGCGCGCTCGAAGCTTGCCCGCCAAACGCGAAGCGTGCGCGCGTAGTGCGGCCCGATGTTCTCCACGCGCTCGACGACGAGCCGTCCGCACGATCCACGCGCAAGCGCATCCACAAGCAGCGTCAGCGTCGGGAGGAAGCCCCCAGGGAAGACTGCACGCGGACACATTGTGCGTTAGCAACCGGCTATGATCTCATGCCAGCGAGCGCATTGCTCACTCTGCAGCAAACGCTCTGCGTCAGGCACAGAATGGCGGGCACGAGCAGGCGGCACGCACCCATTTACGGATAAAGTCCGTGTCCTGCGCGTAATCCTCGAGCCCTGTCGTCCGCGCGTCAGCATTCCGCTCGCCTCCCACAGTCGACCGTGCACCGCCTCCCCCGCAGTCAACCGCGAACGAACTCGTACTCACTCGCCTCTGGGATCGTGATCCCCTGCACGACGCCCGCACCCGAGCCCCCCTTCAGCGCCCACTCGATCTGCTTCCAATACGTCTGCCGCCGCCCGCTCGCCCGAATCAGCACGCGCCCGGCATTTGACTGTAACCCGTAGCAAACGGCCCACGCACCTCGAGCCACTCCTGCCCGACCGCCTCGACCATCTCCACGCTCACGACGCGGTCAAACGTGCCCGCCCACTCCGCCGGCATGCGCCGGTAGTCCATATAGTGCACGCGCACGCGGGCCTCGCGGCACCCGCAAGCACCCTTCGCGCTGCCGTTAGCATTGCTGCTCTTCGCGTCGCCAATAGTAACGCTGCTCTTCACGTCGCCGTTAGCATTGCTGCCCTTCGCACCGCCGCGGGTCCTGGCCCCATGCGCGCCTGCGCCATTCGCCTTCAAGTCCGCCTTCGCGCCCGCGCACGCGGCACAGGTCTGCCTCCCGAGGCCCGCCTCATCCACACGCGCGGCCGCCAGCACGGCCTGCTCCGCGGACAGCGTGAGCGTGTCGACCGTCGACCCCGGTACGTTGCTCGTGACGAGCAGCGCGAGCGACCCCCAGCCGCTCCCGATCTCGAGCACCTGTCGTAGCGCAGTTCGTCAGCATTCAGCATTCAGCAGAGCAAGAGCATTCAGCAGAGGCAGAGCGCGCGATCAGAAGCGCGACGGGGCGGCGAGCCAGGCGATGAGAAACGCGACACGCACCCGATGCCCGGGCCTGATATCCGCGAGCTCGATGATGCGCAGCAGCTTGCGCATCTGGGCCTCGTGCAACTCTTCTTCCTGCTGCTCCTCGTCCGCCGTCTGCGCGTCAGCAGCGCCCGCTCCGGCCAGTGTCTGCGTGTACTTGACGGCGTCGCTATCCGCGCTGGAGCTGGAACTGGAGCTGGTGCTGGCGCTGACGGCGGAGGGCGTGCGACGCAGGGCGCGGTCCTCGAGGTCGAGCCAGATCGCGCACGAGTAGGTCATGTCGCGCGAGAGGAAGGCTATAGCGGGACACGCGGGTCAGCGCGCGAAGGGAGGAGAGGGCGGGGCGCGCACCCTCGAACATGTCGTTGCTGATGTCGTAGTGGGCGCTGATGTTGCGGGGCGAGCCGAGGAGGGAGTTGGCGAGGCGGGCGCAGGCGCGCTGTGCGGGGATGCGGCCGAGGCGGGCGAGGAGGGAGTCGAGGTTGGCGAGGCAGGCGCGGTTCGCGAGGAGCAGCTGTGGGGCGGGGGTGTGAGTGCGCGTAGGGAACGGTAAGGAGGGAAGTGAGATGACGGGTCGAGGGCGAGGGGAAAGGGCGCGGAAGGTCAAGTGGGTGGTAGGAGAAAAGTGGCGACGTACGTCGAAGAGAAGCATGAGGTCGTCGCAGTGGACCTCGCTGTACATGTAGGCCTCTGAGAAGCCGAGGTCGCCCATGAGGGCGAGGCGGAGCCAGAAGAGGGGGTGTGCGACGGTCAGGGTCGCGCACGGCCCAGAGGCGGGCGCATCAGCATCAGCGGAGGGGAAGGAGTAGGAGCGGGACGGCGTGTGGATGGTGAGCCGGCCTGCGGTTATGCCAGAGAGGACTCTGGGCAGAAAGGATGGTCAGCACACGCTAGATGGAGCGGGAGGGGAGAGGGTACCTAACGACGGCGCGCTCTGCCAAGGCGCAGAGGGCGTCGGCGGTGTAGGCGGTGGCGGGCTCGAGGACGTTGACCCAGAGGGGGCGGAGGGCGGATGCGGCGAGAGAGACAATCATCGAGGCTGGGGACTCAGAGTCCAGCGGGAGGACTGTATATGCACCATCCGCCGCGTCGTCTGCTTCTCGTTACTCTGGAGATCGTCGGGGTGGCCATGACATTCGTTGAGCTTCTGTCCCAGAGCAAAGACACGTCGGGCGCAAGACACGGATTAGAGCTAGGCTACGTCATGATCGAGTTGTGCGCGACACGAGCGCCCGGAGGCGATCGCGCATCAACTAGCGCCCATCTATCCAGCCCCCGCCCTTCTTCACTACGGCGTGGACAGTGTCCCGCACGTCAGGGCCGCATGACGCGCCCCTACGCCACTTCTATTATCATGAAGTGTCGGGATATGCCCGGACGCGAACTTGAAGAAGCCCCAGGTAAGCCACTTCCCTCCGTCGGTCCTGCTGAAGCCTGCAGTGACGCTGGAGCCAGCCGCATCGGCGTCCCCTTCCCACAGGCCTCTTTCAGAACATGATGGAACGCCAGAGCACAGGTCGGCCACCTCGGGCAGAATCACCACGGTCCTGTCGACTCGGTTGCGCACTCGAAGATGCTTCTGCCATGACACCCAACTGCAAACCCCGTAACGGACCTGACGTCCTTGGCGACACATGGCCCTCCGCCTCCCAGACGACAGACCGCTGAAGATCGACGCGCGCCCCATACGCTTGGTCGCGGGGTGCCGTGCAGCACAGTACGAGATACACTGCATTGATGGGCAAGTCGCACCCGTCGTTGACCGTGACGCGCGATCGCCCGGGGGCCCCGCGCCCGACGACGCACGGCGCTGTTCGGGGCGTACTTACAGGCGCGACATATAATACATATGTTCACGTTCGCCAGGCGTGGCCGATGACACCGCTCGCAGAAAGCAAAGCACAGCCCCAGCGGACAGTTCCCGTAGCATGCACCTGATCGGGCCGCATCCCTCCAACCCAGCAGCCGGCGCGCGATGAAGCGCCGCGATGCCTCTCCCCATCGCCTCGCGCGCTGACACGGCCAGCACCGCACTTTTCATCATGGTAGATCATGCTCCCAGTACTGAATATCACATCTGTCCCTTTGGATCGAGGCACCCGGACCAACAGCATCCTTGTCACTCCTATCAAGCCCCACAATAGCCCACAGTGCTGCACCGGTCTGACAACGCTGGTCTCTGCCGAGTAGGCCCTTCTCTAGGGTACGTGACTGATGATAGCGCTGTGTATACATGCCATTTCGAGGACGAACACTGTAACCCCTACACTGCGCCAGCGAAATTGCCCGATTAGTACGGTAGAGTGGCATAGTTGACGATACCATGACAGCGAACGGCCAAACGACAGGCGCGTCCGCCCAAAGTAACTGGCGAGGCGGCGCCAGAGTGCCGCCCGCGTGTATAACTCATGCCTAGACGGAACACGGTGAATGGCCTCATCCGTGATACGTCGCGATGGCGGATATGTAGGGCCTCGCGCTCGACAACGCACGACGCTGTTCGGGCGTACAGGTACGACACGCAACACACACGTCCACCAGGGGTGGCCGGTGGCCGGCGGCACCGCTTGCACGAGCCCTGCAAGACTTGCTCCAATTGCGGAATGACCGGCCACGACGTCTCCGACTGCTTCCAGCCTGGCGGTGCCATGGAAGGGAAGCGTGCCGACGCTCTCACGACCAAACGCGCTCGTCGGCACAAGGATCGCTGCACGTCCTCTGGCGGTTCACAAGTTCTTCGCGATCCCGCTGGTCGCGCGTTCAGGGTGTCCGACACCGGGGACGCTATGTACACCGACACCATGGCGTCCTCTTTCGCCGCTAAGTCTCCCTCCGCTGAGTGCGCTGGTCTCGCCGTCGACTCTCTGGTTCCTGTCGATCACTGGGCTTCGGCGCTGCTCTCTCCGGCCGATGCGTTCGAGTACAGCGCCCTCACCGACGGAGACACCGCGTCTGTCGACTGGGTTCATCACTCATCCGCTGTACTTGATCCTGCTGCCCTTTCCGTCTCTGTCAGTGCCGCCCCTGCTCACGTCGCCGCCCTTGGGTCTTCCCCATTCTTTTTGACTCTGGCGCTTCCGCACACCTCTTCCCGTGCAAGGGCGACTTCTCGGATCTCGTGGTCAACGGCTCTGTTACCTGCGGTCAGGGCGTCGGCCGCGTCAAACTGCATCTTAGCAAGGAGCGTTCCCTTCTTGAATCAAAGTACACCCCCGTGGACGGCTTTCGTAGTATCCATCTGACCAAGCCGCATCCCTCCGAAATCCGTTCACCAGGCCGCAGTCCGCGCGCGATGATGCTCTGCGATGCCTCTCCCATCGCCGCGCTGATACGGCAGCACCGCACCTTTCATAACTGTAGATCATGCTCCCAATGCGCGTGGCAGAGCAGCATGGACGGCGTCGATCAACACGTAGACGGCTCATACACACACCCTGACATACGCTGTACCTCTTGCTCTGTGAGATCGAAGTTCGTCCCCTATGCTATCTTGTCGTTGCCCCCTTTCCACGTATCTCATTAGCGGGATCTGTCCAGCGCACACCCCTGTCATTCCCTGCTCTTAATCTTAGTCGCGCATCTCAAACACGCCTGTGATGGCAGCCGCGATACGTTCGACGTCCAGGGTCCTGATGCCCGGGCGCGGACGCGTCGCGAGAGCCAAGCAGGCGCCCGCAATCATGATGGCGCACGTCTCTCTGTGATGCTGCGGATGCGGACTCTGTCTTCCGATCCGTCGGTACTGTATCAACGTACTAAGTCGAACACTGATGGAGTGCCTCCATGTTGGCATGTAACTAGGAAGTCGGTGCGCCCTCGCCAACGCGACCATTCATATCAATCAATATGGGACACCGCCTGCACCACGCTCTTACAGTTACATACACTCGACCGACGGGTGCAAGGCACGTTGATCATAGCCGCCCTCCTAGGTCTGGCCTAGGCGGACGTGTGGCAACGCGACGTCGACGCGTACCTGTAAGAAGGAGCACGCAAGCGCAAGCGGACGGGCGCTCATGCCCGCCTCCAGCTGTTCTACGAATGCTTACGTGCAACTGATGCAGCCACCGCAGTGGCGGGATATCAGCATTGTGGTTCATCATCGCCTCGCCCTGCCAACCGCGGGCGCATTGCCCACGGGCTGGATCGTCCACTTTGGCCCCAGCCCATTGTGTCGATGTTCATTCTCTCGTGCACCTCCCCATTATACTATCATCATCATGCCGGGTGTCGCAGATGCCGGATGCGACACGAACAAACATGCCCGAGTAGCAGCCCTCGCCCTCCAGAGCGTGCTGCACCGCCCCACGCCCGAGTTCGCCAGAGGTCCGCGCCCCAACTGGCGTCCGCCGCCACGGGCGCTCGCTGCACGCCACCATCAGTCAAACTCGCCTGATCATCTGTGGTTGTGACGGGAAGGACCAAGTACGTGCTATCCGCCACGGGCGCTCGCTTCTGACTCCCCATCGCAGAGCCAGTGAGGCCCCGGCGCACTTCCGTGCCCTTGCGCATCTGTCGGAGACCTTTTCTCGTGGGGGCACACGCGACCGCCCCAGGTCCGCTTGCACCGCCTCCGCAGACGGGCACGCCCTGCTGTGAGGTACATAAAGCGCGTGGCTGGCGTGTCCTCACCTCCATCCGTCTTCTGCACACACAGCACCCGCCTGGGTTCGTTTCTCTTTCGCCCTACTCTTCGACCGTACTCGAGTGCCTTGCTGTTCATCTTTCTTTCTCTCGCCCTCGAGCTCCCTTATATTTTTACGCCCCTTCACCGTCCATCCCCAGCCCACTCTCCACGATGTCTGAGAAATACGGTGTTGCTCCCACCGCAGCGCAGGTTGGCGACCAGTACCGGCAGGAGCGTGAGTCGCGTCGGTCTCCGCATCCCGAAGTGACATGTACTGATGGATCGCCACGTTGCCGACAGTCATGGCGCAGTGCGCACAGGGCCGCCATCAGGTGCAGAAGAAGTACGGCGTGTGCGGGATCATCTGCGCGGTGTGCCTGTTCCCGATCGGGCTGTTCTGCTTGCTGTGCGCTCTCCCTTCGCTGTTTCCTCCCAGGCGTTGGTGCTGACGATATCCGCGTCGCAGATGTGATGTGAAGAAGACGTGCGCGCGCTGTGGCGAAGTCATCGCATGAACGCCAAAAAGCAAAAGTCGCTACGATCCAGCCCTGTTTACGCTCCGCTTGGAGATACCCCGGGGGCGTCCCGTCGCCCGCCGTGCACGCTCTCTGTTACCCGCTTTCCTGATGTCCTGATTTATAGCTCTGTACTTGGATATTATTTTGCTTAAAGTATGGAGCTCCTGGACAGATACGCAGCCTCTCTAATTATACGATACTATCAACGGTTGACCACTAGTCTTGCCTGCGTGGGCTTGAAAATGGCACACGGCGGAGTTGTCAATCAGTCCTGGCACACGCACACTGCATTATATTATTCGCTTCAACGCCAACACCGCGCAGAACGAAGTACAAGGAGACTCCATGTGAATTTGTGTACTAGCGATGCTGTTCGTATCACACGTATACAGGACAAAATACGAGAAGAAAAGTAGCGCTTGAACTGGGCACTTGTCACCGTCAATGTGGGGAGGGCAGTCACTTTCGCCGCTGCACGCCTACGAAGCAGTTCTTCGGCTTTCGCACGAAACTCTCCTGGATAGTAAGCTGTTCCAGCGGCGACAGAGGGCACTCAGTGTATGTATCGCGGGTGGAGGTGAAAGCAAGCTTACCTGCGCGTCATTTTCCAGAGCAAAACTATACCGGCGGAAGATCGTCGCGAACATGACGTGCAATTGCTGCAGCGCAAGGTTCCGCCCTAGGCACGCCCTGTGCAGATACGCCTCAGCTCAGCAGACCAGACCACGGGGGTGGACCACTCCCTGCTCACCTCGGGCCCGCAGAAAACGGCACAAACGATCGCATCATCTCTTTCTTCGCGTCCGCGGATGCCTCGAGCCACCTCTCAGGGTAGAACTCGTGTGCGTTCTCGCCCCATACCACCTCGTTCGTGTGCAGAGTGTAAATCGGCGAGCTCACCACCGTCCCTTCCTTCAGGTGCTGTCCGAGGACGGTCAGTCCACCAGCAGGGACAACGCGAGGTAGGCCTCCGCCCACTGTTGAGTGCAGGCGGAGACCTTCGTTGATGACAGCGTCGAGGTACGGCAGGTCCTTCACCGCATCGTAAGGCGCTACATCGGAGTCGATGCCGTCGAGAGCTGCATCCAACTCAGCCTGCAGCTTTGCCTGGACCCGGGGATTGCGCGCGAGATGGTACGTTAACGCGCACGAAGAACTGTTTTGAAGGCGCTTTAAGTGCGAGATCGCATGATGAGAAGAACAGATGCACTCACTTGGCAGTCGTATCCCCACCGGCGATGATCAGAACCCATGCCTCAGCGCTCAGCTCTTCCGGACTGTAGGGTTTTCCGTCTTCGTCTCTTCCCTGCAGAAGCTTGGAGAGCATGTCCGCACGATCATATTGAGACGCGAGCCGGTTGGCCACAGCCGCGACGGCCATACCCGCAAGCTTTGGCGCAGCTGCGTAGCCGGATCGGAAGCTCGGCAGACGGCCAACAATCTTTTGTGCCCACGGCGGGAGATACGCCACAACAAAGAGGGCATCCGCGCGTGCAGTGAGCACCTCGATTGCAGGAATATCCACCAGCTCTAATGTCGCTTTCTCCGAGTCGGAGGTACCCTGAGCAATGGCCTGCATGCCTCGAGCGTTGGATTTAGCTATCTGAGCTACATCTTTTCCCGTCTCGAGCATGCCAAACGGATGTCCAAACGCAAGATCGCCTATGTAGAGTTTTCCCGTTAATGTGACAAGCTCACCTGCGAAAAGTCTCGGACGAACCAATTGTATCAAATGACCAATAGCTGAACCCTGATCGACAATCATGACTGTCAGTAAAGCTTTCGAACGCAATGACAGACGCTTACAGATCATGCAATTGAACCAGACTCTGCCGCCATGCACCTTCCAGGGAACTGCACCGATTGCTCCGTCCGCACGTCCGCGTCCTGCCTTCTCTGCATGTGCGCACATCGCATCCCACTGACGCAAAAGCACCTGGAAATGGACACGCGCAGTTTCCTCCAAGGCCCGGATGCTCTGGGGTGCAAACATGTGCGCCTCGACGCGGCGTTTGCGTGAGTGCTCTGCACGGTCGCGCGTGTTGAATATATTCCTGATCCTGAAATTTGCGAAAGTGTCGTAGAAAGCTGACTTGGTTACACCAGATGAGTGGCTGTAGATGACTGAGAAGGCAGAGCCTGAGGGGTCGGCAATAGAGACGTTGTTGGGGCCGAGGCGAACGATAGGGCCTGCATGGTAAGGGAGTTGAGCAATAGCTGGCGAAGGATTGGGAGCGCGATATTACCGTATTGACGATGCAAATGATCCACGATCTCTGAAATTGGATTGTGGCTGATGGTCCAAGAGATCCAAGCGGATGTGAACTTCGCGAGGAATGGTCCAGGGTACGCTCGAAGCTTGTACGGGTCATTGAAGTATGGAATCAAGATTAACGAAGCTATGACCGTAGCAATGAGACAGGCCAACACAGAAAGCCCAGGTAGGAGGAGACCGGTGAGGCCTTCACGAGTCAGGATGATACCCCCAAGAAGAGGTAGCGGCGGCGTCGACGAGTCCATTGTGACAACGGACTGAGTACGCCTCACCGGTTCCTTTATATATGGAGTACATGCTTCGATGTCTTGTCTATTCGCAAGGTTAGAATCTCAACTTCTCGCTTATCAGGACATGGATGTACCAATCTGACTGCCGCCGGGAATGGGTGTGGTTGCGATGTTCGCGCGGACGCTAACGTGATATTAGCTTCACTTACGCAAGTGAATCATGTAAGCCATGCTTCCACATAATTCCGAAATGACCTTCTCAGGTCAAACTTGCTCTGGATGATTGTCCTGCAGGGACATCGCATGTATTCGCGGGCGCCTACGACGCCTATGCTGCCGGTGTTCACCACACGCAACTTTGCCGAATCATAATTTCGAGAGACTGATTACGTGGCCGGGCACTACCGGCGGGCGCGAATTGATACCCGAAGCGTGGTCTTCGTCGCACATGACCCCCTTGGTAGACCGATATACTTCACTTGCAATTAGTCGGGCTAGCTTCCCCACCCCCCTCCTGTCAGGGCAGTACAGCATTCTATCTGGCACCAAAAACTGTACTGAGGCTCCTGGGTCGGTAAACCTGCTGTCTCCATTGCCTGCATCACTCGAATGTGATTCCTCGCTACAATCAAGTCATAGGAGACCAGCTCAAGATGGTGAATACACAGCGAGATCAGCGTGTAGAACGGTCGCAGAGGCGCACAATTTTGTCAGCAATCACGCTCTCAGAGTAAATCGAGGACGCACTCCGGGTGCCAAGTTTATCTGGTGATGTACGTCAGACTGCAGTTGACATGGACTGAACAGATATATCTACGCTGAATGTACTGGTACGCATGGTTAACGCAATCGCCACGATATATCATTTTACCTTCGATGTGGAGGTGTTTCCCTTCTTGAATACTGTTGTCATGCTCACCATTCGCTCCTTCCTCCCTGCGTTGGGCGCAAATGGCCGTCGTCACTCGAGCTCATTGCTATTATCACGTCGTCCAAGACTTACCAGAACGTTGAGGGGCCAAGGTGTTTTTTCTTTCTTTTTTCAATGAAAATTCGATATCTATTTCCACACACGAGCCAGATTAACAACAGATGATCTAAGAGATGGTGAACGCTGGACTCCGGTTGCCAGAGTCCCCAAACACTGCATATGGAGCAATGTCAGCACTCAGCGAGAAGCTCATATTGTGACAGGAAAGTACTCACAGACGACTATATAGTCATTTGCCGGTTTGACGTTAGGCACTACCACCTGTACGAAGCCTTGCGTAATCTCGAACCCCTCCGCGAGCGGATGGTCTTTAAAGCACAATACTGTTTACAAGATAGCATTAAGGAATGTTTGACAGTGAAACATACCAAGATCGAGATGTTCGTCAGTCCCATTATTGACATACCCCAGTACAAGCTTGCCCTTGGAATTTGTGATGGCCTTAGGTATCGAGGAAGTGTCCCTAGGAATCGAGAATGACATGGAAAATGAGTAAATTGTTGTATGACGCAATGCGATACATACCATGTCACTTGTTCTATTGAGCCTATATCCCAGATTGTCGACGCGTCGGGTGACGTGACGGGTGGACTATAGACTTCTCGAGAGAGAGGTGCACTGTCGGAGAACACACGGACTCCATTGAGGTCATTACGTGTGTAGAGTCCTCCGACATGAGACGTCGCCCAGTGCAGCAGAACAACGACTTCAAGTCTCAAGCGGATGCCGAGTGCTGATCCGAATGTCATAATCAGAATTGTCCACTTGGGTGCAAAGGTGTTTTGTATAAGAAAGAGGACTTTAGCCAGTATCGTTATTATCCTTCATCATTGCAACTTTGGCCGCTGGACTGAGAACTACCAGAGCCGCGAAAAGCACCAGTGGCTGAGACTAGGACAAGTCGTCAGAATCAAAACCGCTGCACGCGATTGGCTCCCATAATGCCGCGATCACGTGCGCGACACGCTTGTGGCGGCAATCTCGCCACCCGAACTTGGCTTGATACAGCATGTCTGAGCATCGAGCAGACGATAACGGCGCTCCTTCCATTCACGACCAATTAGCACAGCTTATTTCACTGACCAGACAGAATGGAGAACAGCTGTGCGAATGTCGCTCACTCACGGAGTCCCGCTGGGAGAAGATAACTGCTGAGATCGAGGAAGAGCAACGTCAGACTCAGGGACTGCACGACAAGCTCGATGAGATCACCTCACATCGCAATGAAGACTTACAGCAAGTTGAGCCGTCAGCGGGTACGTTGCCCTATAGATCGTCTACCCGTTTTGCCGTCGAGATTGTCCAGCTGACGGTTCTATGACGTAGAAGTATCCACGTCCGCTGTTGTACGGGAATTGCGCAGTGTCCACGAAGACATAATGAATACGATGTCCACTTTCAGAGAAGGTCCGTTCTATTGCACTTGCGTCTCCCGACAAATGCGCTGAGAATAGTATACAGAATCGAGGTACTCGAGCCTTCGGCATCATGAGGAGCTTGCAGAGATACTCCGTGATAGGGGCCACGATTAGCTCTTCACGAGATCGCTCACAGCCTAGACCGAACTGTAAGCGGTTCATGAGGTCTGCCGCTGCGATGTGGTGACGTACCGCTGCAGATCCTCCTGTCTGTCTGTGGTAGCGAGCGCCGTATGCTTGGTGTACGAGAGCGTCTGGATGTATTCGGGCGTTCTATAAGCGTTTGCGATACATTACTGCTTCTGAATGCGCAGCCGCGGGAGGCTCGCCGAGAAGGGGAGAAACTCAGATCGATGGCGTCGAACGCGGCAGTTCCCGTTTCGGACGCCACTTGTAATGATCCTGTAATGATAGGCAAGACGTTGATGACCCTTCGACGCTCGAATCCGTTCATCGATGCTCCTTTTCTGTGCCCCATCGATTGAAGCTTCCTCAATATGAGGGCGCTGCACACGCCCTCTCATCCCAATCCCAAGGATATCAGAGTCGAGGGTGTCAAATTACAAAGAATCGTAAGAGCGTTGCAGTGATATAGCACAGTGGTAATGTGACAAGAAGCGAAACATGAATCCCAACAACCATACGTACGAGCCGACAATGGTGTCTGAGCAGAACGTGACGATGAGAACTCAGTTGATCTTGAGCAACTCAACCTCAAACTTGAGTGTCGAATTCGGAGGGATGACCGGCGGGAAGCCACGCGCGCCGTATGCCTGAGGACCCAACCGGTGAGCTGTTAATCCGAGATGCAAGGCTGCCTACTGACAAAATCTGGTGTCGCCGTCAGGACGGCCTTTTCGCCCAGTGATAGTTGCGGGACGCCTGTATACGTGTGGAACTGCTTAGTCCCTCATGTCGTACACATCAAGCACAGCCATCGAGCGCGCACCTTCGTCCCAGCCCTTGATGACCTTCCCAACACCTATCTCCGTCTCGAATGGCTGCCCTCTGGCATAAAATGAGCATCGCATCACGCGAGAATCAGGGTCACTGACCGATCCCTACTCGAGTCGAACTTGCGGCCGTCCAGAAGTGTGCCCACGTAGTGTATCGTGACCTTGTCTATGTGCACACCTCAGATGTTCATGTCGATGCGAGAGTTCACGAAGGATACTGACCACCTTTACGGGGGAAGTTGGTACCGTCCCCGGGCCTGATCACCTCAACTGTAACACCCTAGAGAGCAACTCATGACGTGGGCATCGGGGGCATCGCGCGCTGGACGTACCATATCGTCCGAATTGTAAAGTGAATATGATGATAAACGAGGGGTGGATGGACGAGCGAGAGCTAGACCTTGTGGCTACCCACTTATACTAGAACGAAGGCGGAGTACGGATCTTGATCCGATCTGAGTGTCATCCGGTCATATATGTCTGCGATCTGAACTTGCCATAACCAAACCTCCGTGTGTCCTGAGAGTGCGCCGTCTAGAACTTGTTATCGATGTCGATTGGGACGATTAGTGTGGAGGTACAAGCCTTCCGGCTTCTGCTATCTTCGAACCGATTACGGTTTTCGAAGTCAATCGATCCTGTTGTGTCCACAGCCCGGCTTCTCGCCCAATCCGCGCCCAGAGAGCGCTTTCGGCCCACTATCAGTGCTGCAAGGGAAGAATTCGAAGTTGAAAGCCTGCTGCGGTGGCCGACAGCCAGTCAACTTACCTACACCCGCCGTGTGATCTGCATCGAGGAGACCACGCGGAACATTACGAGATTGGGGGTATGTATCAGAACATCCGCCCGCATACGCCTAGCCAGCCAGCCAGCGGCAAGCGCAAATTCAGAAGGTAGCCGAGAGATATACGGTACAAATCCCGTGTGGCGCCTTAGAAGCGGTGAAGTGGAATCCCGAACACCACGCTCATCAGCGTCCTCGGTGACTTCCAGACGCGGGGTAGCCTCCACATTGCCACGCGCTATTTACGACGAGCGCAGATCGTGTTCGGAGCAAGGAACAGCGGACATAGGAGGGAACAGGTTCATCCGTTAAACATAAACGTGTGCGGAGGGACCGCCTGCCGCCTCCGAAGCAATGGAGCCCTTGCTTCCATATTATTATCCCTGCCTGTTCCCTGAGAAGCAAAGTCAAGGGAGGACAACCGAGAGCACCCTCGATTGCGTTCGTCCGTAAATGATAAGATTAGTGGGCCGTATCGAGCTCTAGACAGACGGGGTTCACGTTCAGCGTCCATCGATTGATATGCCGAAGGCGCTGGGTTCGACACGGGATGGTCGCAATGTCATGCAATTGTGACGCGCCCGTTCCTAATGTCAGCGATCCCGGAGGCTCTCTATGCGCGGAAGCTCCGTAGAACGACATTCCCTGGCATGGAAAAGGGGGTCCAGAGCGACGGTACTTTGCACCAGAAGCCCAATTCTAAGTCTAAGTATTCGAACTCCAATCACCGATCATAATCTCATAGAGATTGCACCAGATGAGGGGGCGTGAGGTAGGAAGTTTAATGTAACGCGCTGATCCGTCTCTGGACATTTTTGCTGAACGAAGCCAGGCGATTACTGTATCGTGTACGGAGGATAGATCCGGACGAATGACAGCTGGCATGATGGTCATTGCAGGAAGCCCAAGTAAAAGTTGCGTGAATAGTATGAGAAGATATTCCCCCGGTTACACGTCGTAGAATAAAGAACAAAGAACAGATGGGCACGATCTAAACACGACCGCAGGTAATGGCTTCCCAAGTCGGACCGTATTACAAGTCACAGGCGAAGGAGAGATGGCAGATTTGGAGTCGCAGGTACAAGGATTTGTGTTTCTGGTGCATGTGCCGTCTCTTTTTAGCTCAGATCTCCCGCCGCACAGCGGTTAGACGACACGCCGTGGAAATGGTGGCGAGGAAGAAGAATGCGGGAAGGAGTGGGGGCCGTAGCACGTGTCCAGGACTGCTCGATCAAACACCGTCCTAATATGGTAATGCCGCCTAGACCGCCCAAGTGGCAAGAACATCTCGAACTTGTGGCAAACGAGAGTTCAAGCGCATACATGAAGTATGTACAGGTATATTGAAACATTTGGCACCTGATTGCATATATTTGAAAACAATTCATCATATTCTTCGCTTGCTCACGGGCTAGCTGCACCAATTAGGCCATTTTTTCTGGTAACAAACCTCAGATGCTAGGATGAATCAAAAACTGAACCCAGGCGGCCAATGTGATAAATAGCATGACCATCCATGGACTTTTTTTGGGTTGGGAAACTTGTACGCCGCATACATTCCCGTGGTCCGATAAGCATATATCAATCTGTTACACACTGGCACTACGCACTGCCCACAGTAGGCATCTCCATCATCGTAATTCCTTTCCACCGTTATCATGCGGACCCGCTTGTAAAGCGCGTGGTCCGCATACGACTTCGGATTATGTATGGTCCACTTCTACTCCTAAAACGGTACAGTCCGCTTTGTTGTTTCTCGGATCATTTGTAGATATTTCCCCAAGTGTCGGGCATTCTTGGGTGGACCCGCGCTGCGAAAGCGCGTGGCCGTCTTACGACGTACTGCTAATTGACAGCGGCCGTACAGATTCCACCAGCTTATCTGATCATGCAAACTTGAAAACTTGCTACGCCGAGTGCTGCTTATCATGCGGATATCTGAAAGTTAATTCGCTTTTTGTCTCAAGTCAGGCCTATATCGGTCTGTTGAAATCTTTCGCTGTTGATATATGGACGAACTGTGGGATACACACGGACGGAAGCGGGTAGCTCCGCAAGGACCTATTGCGGGCTCAAATGCCTCAAGGTGACGTGATAATCGATCCTGCCACCGGGATTTATAGCTGCGAAGTATTACGTACGATGAGGAGATAGTCGACCTCCCCGTGTAGAGTGCGAGTGCGAAAGGACCGTTTTCAGGTAGGTCCTGTGATTGCCTGAATGAATTGCTCATGTCAGCCACCCCATCGACACTCGCTGGGGTGCCTCTTCGTAATTGTAACCGAACGCCAAGTCTGCAAGGAGACAGAGGTTCAAGAATGCTCTGAGTAAGATGAACGCAATCCGATTCGCGGAAGTAATGGTGTATGGGACCCTTGCCTGTACCCCTTCGACACCATGAGGTGAATGTCGCGCAATATCTTACCTTAAGCGATGTGTCAGCCGTGCGGACATAGGGTAAACATGAAAAGTGATCGGGGCACAAGACGCTATGGCCCTACTTGGATGTATATGGTGAACATCTGCTCACTGCCATGTCTCTTGATCAAGGTTTATTCGGCTTATGGAGATTTGAAAGATATATACTTGCATTGAGAGGAGTGGCGGATAGGAAAGCCTAGCTAATCAGCATGCGCATGAATGTAACGTTCAATATGTTCGCGGACTTTACTCAAGAAGGCAGGACACCGATATAGTTCTGGAGTACTCACGTTCGAGTAGGTGCGTCACTGTCTCCCTCTTCTCCGCCGAGACCCTGAGTTGTGTAAATGCTGTATAACCTCCGTGATAGCGCCAGTACGTGAAACAGACCTCGACGCACGGCCAATGGCCTGCCACCTATATCAGGAGAGCAGACGTGAGATCTGGCCGCTCAATTATCTTTTATGTCATGAACACAGAAACGAGCATGGTATGCTACCTCTATGTCAGCATCGATCCATTGGAGAGGAATAGACTGGGACGAAGAGGCAAAACGCACATCGTGTCGGGGAGTGGTGCAGATAATCGCGTGAAGCGTGCCGTCTGTTTTCTCCTCAAAGCTTTCCAGGCTGACGACGGGGAGTAGTACCGACATTCATGTCGGGGCTGTTTGAGACGAAATGTTCCACCAACGTCCGAGAGGGGCCTTGTACAGAGATTGCGCGAACATCGGTGAGATAACAGGATTTGTTGACGATATCAATGAGAGACGACAACTTAAAGTGTGCGGGTGCTCACCTCAAGGGAAACAGCCGAAGTGAAGATTCATTTGCTCTTTGGATCTTGTAAGAGTAGCAAGGTTTTCTACTTCAGTCCCGCTATCTGCACGAACGTCAAGGCATAATGTCTCTCAGGATTTAAAAGTAGCAATATGCTGCAAAATTCGCTGCGGCGACGTGATGAACGTACGTTCGAAGGAGCGGAATCTGAGGAGTGGAACGATGTCGCAGCGATAAAACAACCTGTTGTTTGTGCCGGAAGTCGAGCTGAAGCTGGAGACACGAGTCCCTACGACCTCTCAGAACCTCCTGCTGATCTTGAAGAGTGGACGTTCGCATAGCCTTCAGGCGCAGGGTCTTCAACTTGCGATCGAACAAAATATTCCAAAGGGACCATCAGCCATTCTGACTGCAATCCCCATCAAGCGGAATCGCGTGGCTCAAGGTGTCTAGTAAGTGTCTAAACATAAAAGACATGGTCAATCCGCTGCCAGTGTATCTCCACACTGTACAGAAGTGTCTCACAATTACCTACGTTGTGGATCTAGATCAACCACGACAAGGTCGAGTTTTGAGAAATCCGATGGCACGGCGAGGCTGTAAATAGCACCAAGCGCTCTAAGGCGGTCTTCCCTATGTGATGAAGTGTTGGAGAGGATCCAATCAGTGTAGCCAGCGCTTTAACCCCTTCGCCTTCGGGATCACGATGATGATCCCACTGAAGACATCGAGTAGAATCCTTGTAATTGCTATGCACATCACTGTTTGGAATCTGACGTTACAACCATACACAAGCTACTCACGTACCCAGAGAGGTTATAGCGTATTTTTCTTCAAGGGCTACCTCATTATCTGTACTAGTAGTACGTAAACGTTCGAATCTGAGGTCGCGATGCAAACCCGCCCACGTGATAGCATATCTCCGATCTGGATTTGATGGAAGTTGCTTCAAGTTTGTTGATCAGTCGACCTGTTCACTCTCAAGCTTCGTACCTCGACCAGTTGCCTCTGTGCCAGTAAACCGCACCCGAGGAACAAGGAATTATTACTCGACCATACTTGTGCATAATGAACGCCCATCCTTCTGTATGTTTTTTGGTCGTCTTACAGTCGCACTTGCATAGTAACTCATTACTAGCACCAAGAGCTGTCTGCGCTGCTGCCGAAATATCCCAAGGCAGCCGGAGCACTATTTCAGACATACAATGATCTAAAATTTGGTCCGTGTCCATGACGGGTGTCTCTGTTTTTTTCACTGTACATATATATGCTCGATGTAGCACAACAGTGGACCGACCTCGAAATTATCGATTTGTCGTCGTGCTCGAGAGGCGCGTTGCGGGGACGCCGCCCAAAGATGGTGAAGGACCACCCTTTTTCTCTGTATTTTAGACTTAATCAACTAAAACGGCTGCAGGAAACCTCACTTTGTGTGATTCCTTGCTCACTCGCGGAATCTCTCTCCATTTCTTGGTACGTTCCCACCGGTGTGGTCTGTGTCTCCTGTCTGACAGGCTTGGACCACGAGGCTACAAGGCGCTTTTCGCGAGCTTGGAGAGCCTAGCGAAGTCTATCTCGCCATCAATGCAGAAGACTCGTCTATCGTATACTACAAGATCAGTCCAGGCATCATCAAGCCACCAGTTTGACGCAGTCACCTCAAGCGTGCACATCGGCGACCCCAACCTCGAATCTGGGGTAGGAGCGTGGGCGATATGCCTCCTCCCAGCCACGACTCCGCCGTACCTCGCTTTTTAGCGCCTTCCAAAGGAAGTGTAAAGCACACTTAGTATGTATCGATGGCACCACTAGTCTCACGCACTGCCGCCAACTAGTAATAGGTGGTCCGTCTGGACCGTTCGATAGCGCTGTAGCATAGCATACGACAAGATAGTAGAGCGCAGATCCAGGCTATGATATGGCTACAGATTATACAGAAGTCCAGGTCTACTGAGTACACATATTTACATCATGCGGTCATGTCAGGTGCGTGGATCAGTGCATGAGTGCCCGGCCCGCGCTTCGCTCCTTTTTTTCTTCGTGCAGCAAAAGCACGCATAGTCCGGCCAACACGAAGATAACGATGCTAGCGTATACAGGCACCGAATTGTTGATCGACAGCAATGCGCCGCCTAGCATTGGTGCAATCATGCCTCCTCTGCATATGACACGATTTATGAGCACATCAAGGTCAGAGAATATCAGTGAAACGTACATTCGTGATAGTGCGGACGCAATTCCGCACGCAGAACCTCGTACTATACATGGTCAGTAAATGAGAGCTGGGTTACAATTATCATTCGCGCATACCTTTGGTACCGAACATCTCCGGCGTCCAACTGGAGAATCATGCAGTCAGACTCATAGCATCAATGCACAATTCGCGTAACCTACCCATATAACACAGCCCACATCGCCTGGGTTGGCAGACGTCAGTGAGCAGCTGAACTGGAGATAACATCCGAAGGGATAGACGTACGGTTGCACTCAGACCGATGCCCACCGTACTGGCTCGCACCGCCCACGACTGTTCGACCCACACGAATATGACACAGAAGAACGCGGTCACGAAGGTGCTTCCAGCGAGCGACCACCTACGCCCCAGAGGTGACTCAATCAAATAGGCACCCAACTAACCCAATGGAGGCACATATTAGTCGACCAGATTGAGACAGACAGCGCGGAAGAACGCACGATAGCGCCTGGACAGCCGCCGACAGCGTATATGACGACATCCCACAAACTATCCTCAAGGCTGTTCTGAGTGGTCGCCGTAATGTCGGAAGCGCCACGACCCTCGAGCAACTTGGGTAGATACACGTTGAACATTGTGTATGCTGTGATCAATGCGGAAATCAGGACCAGCCGCGAGATGATGAAAGCCATAAAACAGACCCAGTGACATGGCGAACCACGCCGCCCACACCAGCAACGTCGTGTGCATCCACTCCGGCGACAGCACCATCGCGATCCGGTCCACGAAAGCCCATACAGGCTTGCGCACCCGACGCGGCAGCTTCCAATAGAGCTTTGACCTCGCCTCGTACATTGACGACGTCGTAGACATCCTCTGACTGATCCTCTCTTGATACCCAGGGCGCAACCGTGGGGTGCGCTGCTCGGTTGGCGAAGGGGGCGCCGGATCGGCGACTAAGGGTTCCTTCGCCTCGTCTGTCTCGTCGTGCATGCGCGACGAGTCTACATGATATGTCGATCCTCGACGCGGCAGCGTGTCGTATTGGTGCCCGTTTAGAGGAACGTTAGACTCGCCCATCGCGTCGTAATTTTTCGAATCGGACTCGGGTGCGCTGCGCAACATGTCGCGACTGCGTGCGGAGGAAAGCGACCGGCGCGCCACCTCTGCAACGTCACCGTCGGCGCTGTCAGCATCGAACACCAGGGCAGACGAGTCTTGGTCTGGATTACCAAATGCGCTTTCTGCATCGTGGGTTATGCGCGTGGGAGAGGCGGAGATCCCATCTCCAAGAACCGCTGCGGGAGCGTGGTCCTGGACGTCTTCCAATCCAAGATCGAGATCGTCCCCGTTGAACCTCGCGATGAGCTGCAGCGACTCTAGTGCCTCCTGTTGCCGACCTGCGTGGACGAGGTAGCGCGGAGACTCGTGAAGTCGGAAGAAGACAATCCGTGCCAGAAACATTGAGAGCGTCTGATTGACGGTTAGGGCAGCCACCCATCACAATGTCCGGATGCGACCTACAATAATCCCAAGCGCCGACAGGAGATATTTCCAGCCGGAGTTTTGGGAGGAGACGTCGCAGGGCGCGGGGGCGGGCGGACAGGAATGCCCGGGTATCACAAGCAAGCCGACGACGGCTGAGAGGACGGAGCCGAAGGAGAAGAAAACAGAGAGCGCAGTAACGAGATACTGCTTGCCGTTCGGCATGTGCTCGAGCAACAGCGTCCCGTCAGTCGGCATTGATCCCTGTCAGAGAATAAGAGTTCCAGTCAATCTAGAATAAGAGGGCCTTGACTCACCCCCACGGCACTTCCGAGGAAGAATAGGGCCACACATAGCAGCACAAAGGTGTTCGCAAAGGACGCGAGGACACCGAAGACAGATGTGAGAAAGAGCGTCGCGTTGAAAGCTGCCTTGCGTCCTATGAGGTCAGAACCTGCCATTCCCACCATATACATGAGCCGCCTTAAAGCCGCGATATGATTGGTACATACATGCTCCCCAGCCCACTGCGCCGAACATCATCCCAGCGAACATGGAAGACGAGAGAGTCCCAATGTAAGCGTCACTGACTGGTGGGATATCAGCATGAGATTGTTACAACTCCGAGCCCGCGGTCACCCCGCTTGTCGAAGCCTTCTCTCACGACAGCTCGCTGTGATAAGCTCACGCTCACCTGAGAAATGCTGTTGTACACGCGGTAGTACGATGGCGATCGCTTGTATCCACATCTTGGGCAAGGTCATGTACAGCCACCAGAAGCTAGATGGAATCTCACATTATCTGCCAACCATCCTGTGTATTGCCGCCTAAGAATGACAACGCTCGCGACGATTGTAGCAGCACTCACCGAACCCGCACAGAGACAAGAGCGTCCACTGGTACCAGCCTGGTGTTCGGGCAGCCCAATCATAGTCGCGACATATGCAATCAGTCGATGCGCGTACGTCAGGGCAGTCTCGGTGGCAGACGCGGGCGCAAACACGCACCCATGCCTATACGATCGATCGTCTTGTCTAACGGCGTGCGCCCGTCGACCGCGCCGTCGTCGCCATATCCGAGCCCCTCCTCGATGTCGCCGTCGTCAGAGCTAGCGGTCATGGCAGAGAAGTAGCTGAGTCGGTTCAGGGACGCCATGGTCGCGCTGGCTACTTATGAGTTGTTCCGGATGTGGGGGACTCGAGGCACGCCGTGATGACTGTGGACTCCGGTTTCGCTCCGAATCTATCGCGAAAAGAGGGTTGATTGCTTACGAAGACCTGGCGCTAGAGGATTGTGGCGACAGATATCGCAATGCAATAGAATGCAGCCCGGTTTGGAGGTGGGAGTCAAAGTAGCAGTCGAGAGATTACACCAAGCGCAGGAAAAATGCAGATGGTGGAAATCAGTCACTTGGGTGTTTAGAAGATACCTGTAGACTGTGGGCGCGACATGACAGTCAGAAACTCCAAGCTGAGCGCGTTTGGTACGGGACCGACAGCGTCGGCTAGTGTTTGATCGGCCTCTTCCAGCGGTGGTCGAGGGCGTTAGTTTTGCATAAACTCTGTTCGGGGTCCTCTCAGATTCTCCTTTGTCCCAATGTCTGACTTGGAAGCTCCGGGTTCGAAGCAGCTTCGAACGGCAGGACCAGGTTGGAAGCTTTGCTTACAGGGCGAGGAAGACGAGAACCGCCGTAGTGTCGCGGGCATACCAAGACGATGTGCATGCGACTATCTTGGATAGGTGAGAGAACATGGTCAGAAGATACATTGACCTGAACTAACTTATTCAAATCATAGACCCTGAGCAATATTGTACCTCGTGGCCTCTGTGGTGCTCGCAGTTATCTGGCTCAACTCGATTCTTCGGTTATCGCATCCGTTGGAACGCAGGCGTGAACGCGGTCGATGCATAGCAAGGAGGGTGGGAAGCTGAAACGAGGAGGCCATATATCCTCCACTTATATAATGCCAATTTTATGTGACGGTATTATTCAATGAACCAAGGCAAGCTACTACAGAATTGTGTGACATCATAATACGAAGCTGTGTCGCGGGCGATCGACAGACTGCACAGGCCGACCATCTTATCGGGTATAAGTGCCGCTATAGAAGGTAAAAATGGCGCCTTCGGCTTCGACGTTAGCAAGCCTCCTGTTGACAGCATTCCCGAAAGTACCACCATGAACTCCTCTTGCATACTGCTTCCTATGAGCCATAATAACCCGCATTCTTCCTACTATTCGTCTCGAGGCCGAAAGGCTAAGCACTCTATCATGTTCTCAAACCGACTCCCTTACGTAACCTCAAGAGCAGTCTGTTTTATCTAATCCCGACTCCGGATCCATCAGGACCAGCCTCCGAGTCGAGGACGTTGCCTCGTATCTTGCCTGGTCTGCATTTGCATTGGATGGCGAGAAGGGATTATCTGCTGCATGTGAGCCATACTGCCAATATAGACTTGAAATGTAGCAGGATCCGGCTGAGAATGCAGGAGCTACGCATCGTGCTTCCGTCGGGCCTCGAGCTGATACCCAGGAAGAACCACAGGCTCAAAGTGATAGAAGCGCATAAACGTGCATAGTTCCGAGCAGCGTCTTGCCACGGACCTCTTATGGATCTCGTTGCGCCCTGTCGATGTCTTGCAATCTGACTCCTCGGCGACTCTCGGGCCTGCCGCAGTAGACGGCTTCCTCGCTCGGGCTATGCGGCGCCTCGTGTACCGATTGCTGCGTATCAGAGACTATCGACTACCCGCTCTACGCCTGCAGTGCACATCATGTGAAGCGTAATTGCCGGTTGCGGAGCTCCTGCCAAACCCATGCCGGCAACTTTGGCCTCAGCGCAAACGCACTCCGCACAGCGGTCTCAAGCTCAATTCAGTCGCTGTAGAGCTCAGTTCCTCGTTGGGGGAGGGGTTCGGAAATACATGATGCATGTACGTCGCGCGTCGTGTGCAATCCATGAGCGTGTCTGCTTGGCCAGTACGTAAAATTGGCATGGGAGAGCCTGGCGACCTGAGCGATGGGATGTCAATGACATGTGCATGGCAACCTACCTGTAGGTCACTTGGTTCTATTATTGTTAGGAGCTCGCTGCATGACGCCGCGGGGTGATTGAGGATATAGATCGACTCCATGCTGCCCGTTGTAGACAGCCTCGAGGGGCCCATGTCGCCGTCATGAAAATATGCCCATGGGCCGTGGGGCCGCTGCCAAGCCCCTGTCCATCGCCGTAGTTTTCTCAGAGTATATCCACCTGTACCCCAGTTCTCTCATGGACTGACAGCGTGCGTTGGGGCTGCATATCTCGCACAGCGTCATGTCCATGTACCGTACCCGCATTCTGCGTTGTTGCACAGCAGCACAGCTCCGCTGTAGACTAATCCAGACAGCCAGACCGTGTTGCTGCGTGATGTCGGCCGTATTATTTTCATCGGCACCCCGGGCAGTGCTAGATACCAACCATGACATCAACAAACATGCCCCAGATGTTGTGCCGGTCGCCTGTGGCCCCTTCCCCCTATAAACGCGCGGGTTGTCGCGCCACCTCCAGTTCCCCTCTCAACCACTCTCCACCACCATCCTCGTTCACTTTTTCCAGCTACTGCACTCGTATACACTATGGACGCTCCCAAAGCCGCAATGACCACCAGCACCCAGCCCCAGGCCGTGCAGATGAGTGAGTAGCTCGTTACAAGCTACAACGGCCCCTCTGCTGGCACTGCGCCAAGGGCGGTGACGTCGTTGAGTAGCAGGCGCTGACCCGGGCTCTTTCTCGGCGCTGTCGTCCAGGTCTGACCAACGCCCCTTCGCGCAACAACACCCAGGAGTGCCTGCGCAACAAGGCCCATCGCATGCGAGGAGGAGGAGCTGGCAAGGTGTGTCACATTGGCTCTCGCCTAGGCGCTGGCGCTAACTATCGCGTTGCGACGTCCAGGACTGCTTCTTGGGCGCACTTGAGTGCTTCATTTGCTTCGGTGAGCCTTCTGCTATGTTTAGCTGCGCATACATGCTGACAATCTTGTCCCACAGAGGGTTGCAAGGTATGTTTGACGTGAAGGCGCCCGTGGGGCGTGTGCCGCCCACGTACTAACTGGCTTCTTTTGCACAGGACTGCTGCGAGTGCTGCGCTGATATCATCTGTGCGTCTATTGCTTATCTTTCCTTCTCACACTACTTACCGCCATGCGGGTAGGCTGCCCGTGCGAGATGTGCTGCTAAAAGCTTCGCCCATCTGCGATCGTTCTGTGTTCGTCGTTACCCCTCTTGTTGTCTAGCTACCCAACAGCCTGTACTGTAGAGTACGCTCGCCCGCCTTAGTACTGTGGAGGACGCTCGTTGTGCTGCATGGTGTATTTAAGGACGGAGTTATGTCGTACTGGTAATGGAGCTCTAAATGTTTTTCTTGTTTCATCAATCAAAAAGTCAATCTGTAGCTTCTGCATCAAGGAGTCTATTAGCCTGAACATGTGTACATGGCTTTCTAGCTTGCAGCCGTGCTTTGTATGCGGCTGTCCTTCCTGTGATTTATGCAAAGTTTGATGGGAGTAGAAGCAACATCATGGCAATGAATAGTGTGGCTGCATTTCTCGATGTTTGTATTCGGGCCGTCGAACAGCTACCGACAAGCCGAGATCCATAAGGAAGTCGGCCCACAAAACTTAACCTTCAACTTTAAAGATAATGCCGAACAAGTAGTTGCTTAAGCCTGAATGACGCGACGATGCCCAAGGACAATCACACGAGAATATTCATTGCACACCCATGAGGAAGACATGGCTGAAATTACGATCCGAGCGGTTGCTGCGTGTGAATAGCGAGTGCGACACAAAACGAAGGCGAGGGTGTGCAGATGTAGAGAAGTGGAGCGGAGGAGTCTGTAGTCCGTAATGTCCTGTCCTGTCCTTACAACAGTGTCCGCGTGCAGTGGGGACGCTTACTGCTTGATGGTGAAGATGGGGGACGCGTTGCCGGAGTCACCGAACACTGTGGAAGGGGGGTTAGGCTATCCGACGGGAGACAACGAACGGGAGGAAACTAAACGTACACACAACGATGTAGTCGTGACGCTCGGTGACGTTGGGCACGGTGAGGGAGACCTGGCCGGCCGAGATGGGGAAGCCAGTGGCGAGCGGGGTCGCTGTATATGCGGACAGTGAGCGAACTGCGCCGACAACATGTTGAACAAGGACTCACAGATATCCAGGTTCTCGCTGCCGTTCTCCTGGTAGCCGAGCAGGAGGAGGCCGGTGTCGTTGATATTCGACTGGGGCACCTTCGACGGGTCCCAGGTGACGGTCTCGTTCGCGCCAATGGTCCACACGCTGAGGAGGCCGGGTGAGGTGATATCGGGGCTCCAGAAGATGTTGCCCTCGTCCGAGGGCACAAACGAGATGGGTGTTGCCTGCACGGAGAGTGCGACGGCGCAGAGAGCAGCGAACTTGGCGAGTTGGGCGATCATCGTGAGGTTGTTGGGACTGGGACTGGAGACGGGTGAAATGACAGGAATGCTTTGCACGGGTATCGTACGTGTCTCAGTATGGGAAAAGGTGCAAAAACGTCCGCACTGGTAGGAAGACGGAACTGAGGGACTACACTGGTGGGGATGCGCGGGTTTTATGGAAAACGGGGTTCAGCCGGTCGGATGCTGGTTGTCATGGGTCTCGTTAGCGGGGGGATTCAACTTGGCGCAGGCAGCTGGAAACGTGAAGGGGACGGACCGCCATGCTTCTGTGACGGAAAACGTGTTTGAGCCCGCGTGGTTGTTTACCCTGATCACCGCGAGCGTCGATACTCGGCGGCGCTATGTCGCGACCACATACCCAGGGGCATGCTGCATTGGCAAAGCTGTTAGCCTAAGTACCTACGGATGCTCATTTACGTCTTTCGCGGTGCCCGAGAGTGTAAGAGAACCTCTGGCTGCCTGAAAGCATGGTTAGTGGCAGGTATGGTATGTCTTATGCTTCAGCATGGACAGCATTGGAGCACGAGCTGCGACGCGCTCTCAGGAATGATCTTGCCATGCGCAGCAGCGACACCCTCGAAGATGTTCGCGCGGAAGATCTCAGATACCGGCAAAGCGGTGGAGTAACATTAGCGAGCGCTCATATCAACACCTTCCCAGCTGTGGTTGCGCGCTTGCCTAATAAAGCAGAAGTCGGCTCTGGCGCTTCTTAACCTCCTTCACCTAAAAGCAATTGATGCAAATTCTAAGTCATGATGTTGACTGCTTCGACTATTTGCAAGGGGAAAAACTATGCTACTACTGGACAAATGCTAGTATGGTACAATATGCGAATTATAACAGCTTGCAAGATCTGGTATCGCGATACAAATGCGGTGTAAAAATCCACATATCCAGCGACAAAACAAGATGATGGTGACGATGTTCAGTCCTCGCTTTTGAACCATGAAGATCCGCCTGATAGACGCGAACGGAGTTTTGAAGGAGATGGGTTGAGGAAGGAGCTGGGCATTCGGGCAATACGCCGTTTTACGCGCTCACGCGAAGGACTCGCGGTCATATTTGAGTCATCGCTGCTTGGAAGGTCGGTCTCACTAGAGCGCACACGGCGCAAGGCAGGCGACACGACACCGCGAGGGTTGACGTTTCCGGGTTGCGGGTCGTCATCGGAAGAGAGTTCGACTGGCAAGGATTTTCTGGGTGTAACCATCATGATTGAATCGTCTATAAGAACGGAGCTTTAAGTTAGGGCTGCATCGACAATTAACATCGGGGAAAGAACTCACCACTTCCAGCAATCTGGGTTTCCCGCACGGCGCGTAGCGGAGACGATGGCAACGACGGCGTCGCTCTGGCCTCCTGCAGCAATTCGGCCACCCGGCTCTTGCGCCGCTTGCTCGGCGTCGGCGTCTCTGAGTACTCCAGACTCTCGAACGCCTCCTCCCCAAGCATCTTCGTCGCAGAGCGTGTCCGCCTCAATGTGCGCCGTGTTGGCGTCACGGCGGGACTGCTGCTCCCTGCCTCCGAGGAGAGCGTGGTCACGCGCTCGAGCAGCAACGACTTCATATGCGCATCTCGCTCGCGCCGGAGGACATCGCGGAACATCGGCACCTCAACCGCCTCTAGGTAAACACCCTTGCGCTTGCGCGGACGCGAGACAGAAACCGTAGCTCGAGGAGTGGACTCCTCGCGGTCGCTGGATGACGACTCGGATCCCGACGGCGTGCCGAATGGGTCCTCGTCCTCGTCATCGTTCGCTGTGCGTGAGGGATGCGGCGTCTTGGGAAGCGTCTGTTTGTGCGCGTGAGATGTGGTGTCCCCAAAGGAGACACGCGGACGCGCTGGGCGACCCGCGCCATCCTCTGGCGCGTCGGCGGGCTGCGCGCCGGGCGCCAGGGGAGCAGCGTCGCCGAGGTCGAGCCTGCCCCGCTTCGCCTCCTTCTCAGGCACATCCTCGGGTGCGCGTCGCTTGCCCAGGACAGTCGAGCCAGCCGCCACAGATGACTGATTCGCGATACGCTCGGCAACGGTCGCGGACATGAGAAGCGGCGAGATATTCTCCTTGTTATCTGTGCTTCGGCGCCGAGCAGAGGACGCGTGGCCTCGTTTCGGAGTATGGGGGGAGCGATTCGGCGTGAGGGGCGTGCGGACAGGCTCATCGTGAATGGCAATGATTTGGCTTTGTGGGGATGGTTTGTGCGGCCGGGGCGGAGTCGACGGCAGGAGACAGATGCGGGTAGGCGGAGTGGAAGGAGGTGTGATGACGGCTGAGGGAGAAACGGGTGCGCGGATAGACAGAGCGGAAGAAAGACTAATCACAGGTGCGAGAGCTGAGATCGCAGCGGCGGGTGTTGCCACAGGCGATTCCTCCAGCTCAACATCCCACGCGTCCTCGGCGAAAAGAGCGTCGTTCGACTCGCTAACGTCGTCCGGGATTTCCTTCCCAGGGAGCACCCGCATACAGTTCTGAATTTTCTCGCACCAGCCACCGACAGGCTCGCGGATGTCCGCGCAGGAGGCCTGCCAAAAGTCTTGGAATGCTTGCAAGGCAGCCGCCGGCTTGTCTTGACGGCCTGAGAGGCCAGATTCGAGCATAGTAGCTAGAGTCTCTACCGTGTCGGCGGACATCGGGAGGGACTCCACGCCGAGCAGGACGGTCTGATACACAGGCAGAATCTGACCCAGAGTCAACGAGAGGTTCACCTCGGGACGGAAAAAATACTCACGTCTAGTGCATATTCTTCCGCACTGAACGCTTCGAACTCGTCTGCGATCCATGCAGAGAGGCCCTCCTGCACAAGTTCGAACAGGTTGAGTGCCAGCTCCGCCGGGCAGGCGTCGATGATCCTGGTAAGAGACCTGATCAACCAGAGCGCGGTGACCTTGTCGTCGGACTCGGGTGGATAAGCCGCCAGCAGGCTGTCGTTTGTCAGTCCGAGGACGTCCATTGGTATCTCGCGCGCCTCGTTGAAATCCAGGTGTGACAAAAGCAAGTCGGCGACGCGTGTGGCGGACGTGAACGTCAGCGATTTGGTGGAGCATATCCTTGCCGCGACCTGGTCGATGACAGATACGGAATCGACACCGTAATCAAAGGCCTTGCTTATGGCATCGCGAAGAAGCGCGTCCCAGGCATCCACATCATCACCCGTTATTTCCCATGCACTTTGTTCCCTGCAGATAGTCGAATGAGCACATACTTTAGCGCCACGGAATGTACTCACCTGAACGGCACGCCGAGGAGGATGACCGCAGCATCCCACGTAGCTTTGCACTCTTTCCACCTTTCGGCGAACGTCAGCCAGACCGCCTGACGAATCTCCGGTCTCCAAGCGATCTGGTGTTTCCGCGAGCACCGTGGACGGAGCGCTCCACGCCAGAATTTCTCCAGCTCGTCGAGGGGGCATTCGTAGAGGACCTCAGCACACAGCGAGCTCCACTGATATCGGATCTCGTCTGTGGTATCGATATCATCGAGAAGTGTCTGTTCGCGTCCAAGGAGGAAGGTTATAAGCTGTATTCCTGACAAGTGAAGAGCAGACTGAGGAACGAGGCCCTTCATGACATTCCAGAGCTCGCGGACAAGATAGATCCTCAGCCCAAAGTTCCATCGATGGTGTGGGGGAACCTGTACAATCTGGTGGCCGAACCGGACTTGGCCTGCTGGGGCTTGATCCTCATATTCTACGTCGAGACTGAGATCAAGCTCGGAATCTTCGAGCAAGCAGCGCAAGATGTCCACCAGGCGCGTAGTGAATTCGACGGTTCCCTTTTCATCCCCTAAGTCAAATTTCAATAAGCTGAGAACTCTAATGAAAAGTTTCAGGACGCACCTTCCCTGGCATCGATGGACGCCTTGACAAGACCATGCCACACATCGAGGATCTCGCTCTGGAAAAATCCACGTTAGATAGAATGAGGCAAGAAAAATTGCGGTGCGTGCAAACATACAGGAATTTCACAACCCCATGTCAGCTTCAGGGCCGCCAGCCCTTCTCTCCAAACATCCATCAGGCTATTGAAGACCCAACCTAATGCAAGTTCGTCCGTGGTCAGCGGCCTGATCTCCTCGATCTGTGTGCACTCCTCGAAAAGGGGTTTGACGGTGTATGGGAGTGATGTGTACTCGGCCGTGAGTAGACCAGGCATATTAAAGAACAAACCGGGAGGGAGAAGCTTGCGTGCATTCCACTCAGCCCTGGGCTCCGGGCTCACCAGACTGACAGCAGTCTCAAGTGCGTCTTTGCAGGTCTGACCGCCCTTCTTACTCATCTCGCCAAGCACGTCCAACGCCCTCTTGAGACTCCGCTTGTCCGTCGATGGACCAGCCAAAAGCGCCCCAATCATGCTGACGCCTGCACCCAGGTCGACTACAGATTGGACAACTTTCCAGACTTCATTCAGGCGTTGCTTGTACTTCTGAGTCATGTATAGCATCGTCTCGACATTTTCGCCGTCATTGAGCCGCGGAAGACGATCGTGGAAGTATGCCCAGACCATGCACCGCCAGGTAAGACATCCCAGTGCTCGAACAGAGCTCTTCTCGTGTCGCATACCCAAAGAAACCAGAGCTGTCAGTGCACGAGTTATTCTGTCATCCGTGTAGACGGCGGGCCCCATGAGGACAATGAGAGAGGCCATGACACACCACGCCCAGACGGGCCCCTGCGCTGGGTGGCTCGGTCCTGTGTTACCCAACGTCGTGCGCAGTGTGCGAATGAGTGGAGGATCTTTAATTGGACTAGAGAGACCACCGATGGGAGTACGAGCGGGAGAAGTCGTGAGGTGATCGACGACCAAGTCCGAGATGCGAGTATGGATAGCGGAGGACGGGATGCTCGCTACCGCGAAAGCGAAACCGCTGAGTGCATGACATGCTTGTGATCGTAGGACAACGGTTGGCGCGAGGAGATTGGAGAGAATGGAAGGGAGCAGCTCGGTGAACGCAGGCACGAAAAGTGTAGGATACCACGTTGACATTTCATGGATCGCCTTTGATATTTTAAGCACAAGAGCAAGCGGGTCGAAGCATATCCATACCTTGAGACCATCGTGTACCGAACCCTTTTTGCCCTCCTTGCCCAACTCGCCCTCTATCCCCCGACGTAGAGCATAAGCAATGCGATCTTTTGCGGGCTCAAGGACTTCAGTAGAAAGGCGCTGGGTCTGGAGCAACCAGATCGCTAAAGCGCATGTCTTGCGCGAATTTGGCGTAGGAAGCTCATTCGCAAGTGGAATCGCTAGCACGTGAGTCAACATGAATCTGAGTTGCGCATCTAAACCCCTGTCAGCGACGTGCCATGAGAAAACACTGGCACACTGTACCTGTGAAGACTTGATACACAGCAGGTAATGTGAACACCACGTTGAGCAGCTTGATCACCGCGTGACAAACAATGCAAAGGTCGCGAGCATTCTTGACCTGCTCCCCCGACATGCCAACCTTCTTTCTTGGGCTCTTTAGCGGCGACGGTAGCAAAACCCTCTCCTCATCTGGTGGCGTAGGAGGCTGCGGAATCTCCGTATCCGGTGTTATACGAACTTGCTCTACGAAGACGCGACCCAGATCCCTGACCCACGCATCGACAAGGGCGTCCCGATGTTGTCTTAAAGGCTGAAACAGGGGCCATGACGCGTCGGCATCTGTCTCTCCGGGAACGCATGCCCTAATACGCGCCGTGAGTATGGAATACGCCTCGATGAGGTCCCGCAGCGACGCGTCTGTCGCCACGATCCTCGACACTGGAGTCTCGAGATAGTGTAGATCCGCTAGCGGGTCCGAGGGTTCAGGCGTTGTCTCCTTCTTGTCTTCATGCCCAAACGGGAGATCGCAAAGTGGTGACGGCTTCAGGATAGACTTCGCAGGAGGTGCCTTATTAGCGCTCGCCTTGATAGACGAACCAGCAGGAGGAGTCTGAGGACCGGAAGGAATGGTGTGATATTGGTCATGTTCCGCCCATGCAACCCGTGAGCCAGTCGAGAACCGTGCAGAACGGTTTTCCTTGTCTCTGTGAGATGTGTTAGGCGGAGTCGGGAGGCTCATGTTGAGATGTACGTCGCGTCAAACGCGTCAAAAGAGCACTATCTGCGGACAGGAAGCCTCCCTCAGACTCTAATGGCAGGCGCTAAGCCACGACGCGAATAACAAGGCCTAGTTGTGACGAATGAGGGAGACAGTGAAATGGGCATTCGGAAAGTCGCGGCCACAGGCAGTCGTTTTGTTTGTACAAGTTGACGCGTTTATGCGCAACGACGCGTCGATTATTTGTTTACGCGTTGTTTGGCAACCCGTGACCGCGCCTGAGTCTCAAGGCCTCAACGTTGACAAGCAACTTCTGGGTTATCATGCAGACACAGCTTACTTCGTGCCCGAACAAATTATCCATTGCGGCTAGCTCACCTCCTTTCTACTTGTCTGCGCTCGGGCGTGCAGGCCAGCTCGCAGTGTGCCTTTTTTTTCCCGATATTGGCACCTCTGATGTGAGGTACCAGACCCTGTATACTTCGCAATGCGACCGGCGGTCTATCATGCGCGAATTCGCCAAATTTCTCTTTGCAAATGTCGCTGCGAAATGCGTTATTGCCATGTGCCCTGTGAGTCTTCGGCGGCTGGCATTCTAGACGGTGGTGCATCGAACACTTTTCGGGACTTCCGTGATCTGCATTCTCATCTGGCTTGTACCAAATTACACCCATGCCTAGTCTCGTATGGCTAATATATAAGGCTGAAATGATGTTGTGTTTAACCGCGTGCGCTGTCGCAGCATAGCGCCATTGTAATAAAGTTCGCGTTGGCTCCTCTGCTTACCATAATGCTTTGCAATAACCGTCACTGCGTGCCGCATTCTTCCCTTCGCTACGGTGCTTGAGAGCGCCACGGGATGGCATGGCGTGATTGGTGAGTAGTATCGTGATATCTTTTATGGACGGCCGCGAGTTTGCCGTGCATTTCCAGCACAAGGTTGTCGCCGAGAACGTTCGCAGCCACACAGTTGCAAACAAACTTGAGATTATTAGCTTCTATCGCGCAGCAATCTTTCCTCCTTCCACCACTATGATGCGGCCTGAAGGTCGCGATACTCGCCACGGACAGGACACGTTAGTGTCCCTATTTCCGCGAGGAAGATTGTCTGTTCCTCCGCTCCCTTACTGCTAGGTCGAGAGATCCGAGCTATCACAAGCTCAGCAGTGCTCCTCAAGTCCAGCGCCCGGACTTGTACTGCGGTTAGTCACGGCTACCCCGACGATTCCAGAGGGGTGGTCAAGACCTCAGCTGCTAGGAGTAGGAGCGCATAGGCCTGGATATTCCATCCAGATATCAACTCTATCGCATCTCGCGTGTGCACCTTGTGTATGCATGCTTCTTGGTGAGCCATAGGGTGTGTTGTGACTTGAGCCATGATACCTCTGGGGCTGGATATCGTGTCTACTCGTGTGTTATCACGAAGAAGTGACTGATATGTGTAGCATGTCGTCCTGGACCGGGCCCCTGCCATCATCCCTCTAGGGCTGTTAGCAGGGGTCCGGTCCATGACTAAGAACTACAGGTACTCGTGCATGATACACGAGTTGATACTAGCTGATCGCCCCCTGACTCATGAGCAATAGTGTCCTTTGGCTCTCCATGATACGAATGTAGGAGGAGCATTGTTATGGATGATATCTAGGACTTCCAGCCTGAATCGCGACTTGTGCGACCTCCCAGACTCGTCGGGAGTGGTGTCGTGCACACCATTTGACAGACATACTCTCCGGCCACATCGTCTTGCCAATTTTTGGACACCGCGCTCCTCGCGAGCTGCCAGCGTGGGGTAGAGCCCTGAAATGGATCGTTGCCATCCATATTGCGGCTGTCGGCTACTGGGAGGCCCCAACTAAATACATGTGTGTCCATTTCCAAATTGCTGGTCGCCCTGTCTGACTGCTGATGATATCCTTCATCATGTCCCATCAGCGACGGCAGGGCCCCGACAGCTACTTGAAGCACCATGATTTCAAGGTTCGGATGTACTCTGCAGGAGGTACAGTGTCTTCGTCTTTCCTTTGGTATTTGTGAGTAACACTCAGCTTTCTCCCGGCATAGTGCAACTATTTTCGTCGAGTTTGATGTACGAGGGTGCTGATATTCGCGTTGCTGTGTAGGCATTGAGCTACGTATTACGGTAATCTTCCGTGGTAATCTAATGTCGTCATAAGTACTTGGAAGACATACTTCTATGTAAAAACTACAGTTATAACAGTCGCACTTGGAAGTTGGAAGGCGCGGTACCTCGTGGTGCACACCTATCGCAATCATGCATCCAGCGCTACATGTCCAGCCACGCTTGCGCAAACTTGACGCAAACAAAGCCCACGTTGAACACTGCTACTCGGCAACGAGACTTTGCTCCCTACCACTACGATGCAGGTCGAAGGCCGCGATACTCGCACCGTACGAGACATTTCCACATGTCCACACACGCGAGTCACTTGTCTGGCTTTCCACTCATTCCCTACCGTTGGATCCTTGAGATCAAGCCGTTAAGGCTCAGCGGCGCTCCTGAAAACCATACAGCCGATCGGTTGCTACCTAGTTGTCTTCGGATACCCTGATGATATCGAGGGGTGGGCAGCATTTTGGCCCAGGAGTGCGGGATGATGGGCAGAAACGTATGGTGCGTGCCGACCTATCGCATCTCACAGCGTGTTGTATATGCAACGCGCATTTGCAACGCTGCCATGGGCTTGCCCTGTGCTGCATGCGTAGACTGTCACCAAGTTCGTGTCCATAAGGCATATAGTCTGGCACTATACTTGATTTCTTGCACTGGCTCAGGCCATCTGTGCCTGCAACCTGCGAGGGTGCATGTGGATACCTGCCAGCAAGCGTCATAGAGAGGTGTATGACTATATAAGCTGTGGGGTGCGTAGGCGGTGCAGTCAGCTTGTAACTCTGGGCGTGGAGGCTCATGGTTTCCGTTGGGCCATGAATGTGAGCGCGACAGGGAATGGCGGAGCACAATGATTCGTACTCGCCCTTTCGCTTCGGTCGTGGCTCGCATATTGTTGCTCCAGTCATGGGGTAACTTGTTGTCGAACGTGTATACTCTCAGACATGCTTTCGACCTGCATCTGATATGTTGCAAATTTTTCCCGCGCTGCGCTCTTCGAGAGCTTTGCAATCTTTCTGCCAATGTAGCCTGCCAAACCCGCAATTTCTAGTCATGGCAGGTGCGTGTCGTCGATGCTTTGGCATGGTTTCGTCACCTCAGGGCGGATCTGACAGTTTGATTCAAATAGGGCAATGGCTGCTGCTTCTTCGCTGCTTTACATGGCCGTTACGTCGATGCAGCCCGAAGGTTGCGACCTCGCTACATCCAGGATGCCTCTGTGCTTCCACTCGCGCGAGGAAGTAGCGTCTGGCGTTGGCATCCCTTCACCGCTGGATCCAGAGATCCAAGCCTTCACAGCCCTGCGGCGCTCCTCAAACTCAGAGAGCATTCTTTACCGCCATCCGTCTCAGTGACACCCCGATGGCCATGCACAATGGAGGGACTGGCGCCCGAGAGGCTCAGGAGCGAAGGGGGATAGGCTTGGTGCGTGATGTGTGAACTCAGGTCTCTCGCATCTTGCGTGTGCACTTCGCGTGCGCTTCTTGGAGGCTGAAGGTGTGACCCACACCCGGTGTGGAGCATCCAGATGTATCAGTCTCCGTATATAATCTCGCCTGCGTTCTGACACCACAGGAAGAATAACAACTATCGCGTCCATGGCAGTCAGTCTAGCATGAACCCTCGTGGGTGGATGCCGCTGTCAGGCGCTGTGTGACTGCCGTGAGCACTTGTGTGCAGTGCTCGGGCTGGGTCTTTGAAAACTAGCTGATACCTCGGATCACTCTACTCCGTTGAAGAAACACGCCTTATCAGCTCTCCACGATGCAAGTGTAGGAGGAGTACTATCACAGATGTCCACCGTTGTCTCTGCTTGTTTCGTGACGCGTGCGACTTTCCCCCCGAACTACTCAGGGGGTAGTGCCGTCGTAAACAACATCAGACGTGTTTTCGAGCTGCATCTCCGGCATTTTTTGGATCATTTGATGGTCTCTGTGAGCTGTCAGCGCTACGACGTATGAATCATGGACGAGGCGTGTTTGATTGACTGCTGCTTCTTGCGCTTCCATGTATAGCTTTTCGGCTGTATTCAAGCTCCATAATCAATCCCATATTCTCCATGACAATCAAAGTGTAGTTTTAAAATTCTTAATTCTCACTGACAATCCAGACGAGTTGCCCATTGATAAGCCTGCATCGTGGTCTCAGACTTTCACGGAGCGGTCAGGCGTCTATGTGAGTCTTACGGTAGTACTCATGTCAAACTGACAAGGATGCTGTGCAGAAGCGCCCGATATGTTCGGTTCTCTCACTGCTCGCGGGGTCGGACGGTATATAAGCTGTTCCTTATTCTCCGTCTGTTGCCATAGTGTCCGAGGACGACTCGCCCACGTCGGTCTTGCTCTCCGTCTCGTTTCAAGTTTAGGTATATATCACGCTACATTCTCACCGAGGCAGCATCCTCGTCTCTGTCGAAACCCACGTTCCGATCTAGTCATACATCATGGACTGCTGTTTCCTATGCGACTCGATTGGGTTATGTTGTGCCGGGTGCGCTGTCTTGGCCGAGTGTATGCCAATGGCATGTACGTATGCTCCCCTGCGACTCATTCGTCGGTTTGCCGAACCTAGTGTCTAGTTGGATGTCCTTCAAGGCTCAAGGCTGATGGCGAAAGTATTCAGAGGATCTGTCCTACTTGTCATGATCGTGAGACTTCCCACTCTTGGCCAATACCATTTTTTAGTGGATGAAGGACTGACCGGATCGTATTCTAAACAGCGGCTGTGTCTTCTGCAACCGCAGAGCGATGGGTCATGTGCTTCTTCATACCGACTATTTCCCTGCGCTCTGAGCGCTATTGGGTGTGTTCAACCTGTGAGTGGAGGGCACCAATTGTCCCCGGAGGGTGCGTATACTAGCGTCATCATTGCCCAAGCGGAGCTAAACCTCCAAATAGACGAGAGCCTGCTGTTGAGCTTGGGTTCCTAGAAGGTCGTCGTCACCAGCCAATCGTTTCTCAACAGCCTGCTTCGGTACAAAATGGCATGACAACGCGAACCTCGCAAGATGTGCGTAAGCTTGCGCTGCCGCAAGATGCACCCAAAACTGCACCACCACAAGATGCGCCCAAACCTGTGCCACCACAAGATAAACCCGAACCTGCGCCACCACAAGATATACCTGACAGCCTTCAGCACAAATCTGAATCGCAGCCACAAGTAGATGTCAAGGCATCTTAAAGATTATATTGCAAGCTAGCGTGATATGTTGTCTTTGTTACACGGAATGATTACTGTTATGGAGACGGGCATGAGAGAACTCGGAGGCTTCTTCTACAGAACGCATTGACAGCCTCTCGATTTGATGCGAGCGTTTCCTAGTATAGATGATGAGCCGATGATTCTGTCGGACGTCATCTTCTTCCCTACGCTCTTACCTTGGATACGAGGTCCTCAATAGTCCCACTCGTTCCCATTTTCGACCACTTGCTTCGGCTGCCTATCGAGCCGTTGAATCCTCGGCCGCAATGAAGGTCGCTGTAGTTGGATCTGGCGTGTCCGGCCTCGCAGCTACATGGGTGGGTATATGTGCAAGCCGGATGAGACGTTAGAGCTAAATTCCTGGGCCTCAGCTACTGAACGAATACAGTGACCATGAAGTGCACTTATATGAGGCGGACTGTCGCCCTGGTGGACATGCCAATACCGTCACCTTCTCTCAGTCAGGCAGAGAACCTGTAGAAGTTGACACGTACGTGCTGCATCACATGCTGTCGATTGCTATATTGACATTATTAATGCAGAGGTTTCGTACGTTTCCGTATGCGTATTTTCCACATCTCAAGGCTGACATTATGTCTCATGGTGACAGATCGTTTTCAATCCCAGCACGTATCCCAACTTCCTACGCTTTTTGAACCTATATCCAGACCTGCGCCAGCATATATGCGCGACAGACATGACCTTCTCCGTCTCCCGCGACGGCGGTGCTTTCGAATGGGCAGGAAACAACTTAAGTAGCGTTTTCTGCCAACCTAAGCGTCTGCTCGATCTCGACATGTGGCGGATGCTCTACGACATTGTGCGTTTCAATGTCTCTGCAAGACGGCTGTTCCAAAAATATGGGCCAATGTCTGAAGTTTCAATCGGAGAGTATTTGAGCAAAGAGGGATATTCTACTTCTTTCAGGGACAATTACCTCGTGGTAGGGAGCATTTTGCTAATGACATCAGTGCTTGCAATAATATCTACAGCCTATGACGGCAGCTATCTGGAGTACCCCGCCAGACAAGTGCACCCTGGACTTTCCTGCTAGGACGCTCGTGAGTATCCAACATCTTTGGTATGGGAACATACGCCCCTTTGGACAGAATGCTTATGCCCTACATAGATCCAGTTTATGTACAACCACCATCTTCTACAAATCTTCGGGAAACCATCCTGGCTTACCCTGCGTGGCGGCAGGTTCGTCATCCTGATGTTTACCTTATATCTGTAGCTTAGAGCGGGGTTGCATGTGCGTGTAGCCGTATCTACGTCCAGAAGATCCTGTCGACACTTCCTCCATCTCAGCTCCACTTATCCTCAGCCGTGCAAAGCATCACATCTGTTCCCGCCCTTGACAATCCTGGTGGTCACGGCGTTGAGCTCGTCACCGCCTTGGGAGAGCGTATCTACTATGACCGCGTCATCGTGGCATCTCATAGTGATGCGGCTCTTTCGATACTGCGAGCAGGCGGAGGCGCGACTGCAGACGAGGAACGGATCCTCGGAGAATTCGAGTGGAACAAGAACGCAGCTGTGCTGCATTGCGACAAGCGAGTGCGTTGCCTTCCCTTCCTTGGTGTTACCCCAAGAGTAACCTACACCTTCTTGTCTTTGCAGTTGATGCCGAAGCGGCGCGTCGCATGGTCTTGCTGGAACTACCTGACGAGATCCACTGTCGACAAATCTGGGAATGCCAAAGCCAATGTTGACCAAGTCTCTCTGTAAGCATCTCGCGTTGTCCTCGTTGTCTGTCAGTTGACCTGAGCTCGTTGCCAGGACGTGTGCGTCGAACATGCACACGCGCTGCGAGCCCCCGCGCTTACCAATACTTACCTTTCACAGACTGGATGAACGAGCTGCAACATATCTCAGAGGAAATCTATGGACCTGTGCTCGTCACACTCAACCCGCCTTTCGACCCCGATCCGGAGACTTTAGGGGGCCGATATGAGTATGACCATCCTGTGCTGGGTATCAAGGTGAGCCTCGAGCTGTATGCGCCGTTTCATCCGGCCGTCCAATGCTTTTTCTTTGCAGGCTGTCCGTGCACAGCAGGAGCTGTCCACGATCCAGAACAAGCGGGGGATCTCCTTCGTCGGCGCCTGGACGAAATATGGATTCCATGAGGACGGCTTCACCTCCGGGCTCCGGGCAGCCTCTGTCATTATGAATGAGAGCAGCACAGGGGCCACAAATGGCATGACGTGCGAGGTGCGGATGCCGTTCGAAATCCTCGATGCGGATCATACAGTACGCCATGAGACGCAGCTCGCGGTGTTACTCTTTGACGTCTTCGAGGGCACAGGGCTGAGGCTAATTGTTGGAACCTGCCTGAGCTTGTGCCTCGGGGTGATCGGATATCTGGTGAATGCTGTGGGTGCATGCTTCGCAAAATCCGCTTAGATGACGTCCGATGTTGGGGACTTGTCGTCGAGGAAAATCAATAAGCCCCTTGTAGAGATTTAGAAAGTAATCAATTCTCGATTGCGAATGGATGTCATGAGGAGATAGATGCTATGAGATACACTGCATGTAAGATGAGTATGATGCGGAGAAAAAGGAATAAGGGAAAAGGACAACGACAACAAGGCTACGTACGCGATACAAGTAGGCTCCATTTTGACTCCATTAATCAGTCCATACACTTCTCAGACTGTTGCACCTGGGCATGTCCAGAGTGCAGCCCACTACCCATCTATACAATCTAGCAATGTGCCGCGTATCCAAAATTGTTCTTCAAATGACTCAGTCAGAGCATCGGCTTCATCGCCTCTCAGAAAGATCGGGTAGCGAGAACCTGACCTGGTTACGGGGAGAATCGTCCTCCGCCTCCGATGGAGCCTCGCTGGCGGGTACAGATGTGCCTGGAGTGACTGGAGATGATAGGGAAAGCGGGAATCTCGGTGTGCTGTGCCCATTTTGCTCATCTGCGAACCGCACAGACCGCGCAGGCGACGCGTCACGACGGCTGCGCGATCCTATAGAACGGAGGGAGTCGATGCGCGCATGCTGTGGCCGCAAGCGTATGCTGGATGGCATCGTAGCAGCACTGTCTCGGTGCGCTAGTCGCCTTGGCCGGTCGTCGGGTGACTCGGTGCCGGCGTCGTAGCCGTAGTCATCTGTATGATGACGCTGCTCGGGATGTTGCACCGGGAGCACCTCGTCACTGTGTGAGCGGCCACGAGAGCCTAGCAATCGCCGACGGAAGGACTTCCGGCGCGATGTGTTCTGTGACGGTCGCTGCGGGGGCGATCTCGAAGATCGCTTGGAGGTTTTCGTTCTTGCTCCTGCGGTCGATGTCGAAGCTCGCGGTTCGCCATCGCTAGCATCCGACATCCAACCCTCTTCTTCTTCCCCATTATCGCCCTCCGGTTCTTCTTGCTCTGGTTGTGGTGTGCCCATCATTTCGTGGGCTTTGTGTTGCGCTATGCGCTCGAACTCTCTTGCCTTCGTTCCTACTTCTTCGGCTCCATGTTGTACGTTCTCTTCTGTATGTTGTAGGATCGACCCTATGTCATGTGGTGCATCCCGCACTTTATTTCGTATATCGTGTACGGCATTGCTAGCGGCGTCTTCGGTCATGCGTATCGTGTCCGTTGTCGTCTCTCCTGGGCCGAAGTAATTTTCTTGTACTTCTACCTCCACCTGAGAGAGGGTTGTCAGCTCAGCGTGAGTATTTTGCTAGAGTAGCCTTCACAAACTCACCTCTTCCCCAGGGCCGCGACGTCTTTCGACAACTCGATCCGGTCCTTCCTGCCATTCTTGAAGGGTCTCATCCCCGTCAGGCGGATTCTCATCGCGCATATCAGTACCATCAGGTCTCGTCGCCTCATCCTGCGACTGAGATGAGGTGCCTTCTTTGTCCGGTGTCATACTACCATCCGTGCGTTCGGACTGTGCGCGTTTCTCATCCGGTGCCAAAGCACCTTCCTCCATCGCCCTATCACGATTAATGACGATATCCTCTCCAGGGATGACACGCCTGGTATGCGTCGTCCATTCGGGGAGTTGTCTTCCTGAGAATGTGCCAAAAGTATCATGACGTGACCAGGTACGGGAAACTGAGTGCACACGTCTTCCGAGCGAGAAGAAGGGGATGGATAAGCCGTGAATAGCGATGGAGCAAAGTACCATAAAGGCGACGATAGGCTGAATAGACGCGGCAAGGAGCTGTTCCTGGTTCGCAGGAGGATCCTGCGGTCGTTCTAGTTGCTGTGCAGCAAGAGTCGATATGAAGATAGCACCTAAATGATTTGAGCTATTCCAGGACAATCCAATTATGCGCATACATGCACACGTACCGATTCCCATAGGTCCAAAGTGACCACTGAAGAACGCTTCTCGCAGTGTCTTAACATCCGGTATCCACTTGAATAGCGCAATCATGACGGGCAATCTTCTTAGTAGTATTACCAAGACGGCTATAACAATCAGCCTCCACACGCTGAGCGTCAGCGCCGAATCGGAGAAGTCTCCGAAAGGCATCCAAGCACCGACGAAGACAAATGCAGCGATGTTGAATAGAAGATCGATCACAGACGAGAACACCGACTGTTCAGTCTGCTTGTTAAAGAACCCGTCCCACGCGAACGCGGTGCCGCATGAGAAGGCGGCGAGCAAATCGTCTGATCCAAGTAGCGTGTTGGCGCCGATGGTGAGCATGGCAAGCGAGACATATTGTGCGACGTAGGATTGCCTGTCAACCAGGTCTTTCCGTTCACAAAACTTCATGAGGTGCCGGAAGCCGAACCCGATGATAGCACCGAACACTATGCCCAGAATGACCTGATCTGGAGACCAAGAGCATGACTACTTGTTGAAAGAAAAGCCACAAACGCAGCGCAGGCACTCACATAGCCACAGAAAGATGAACCAATTGGAAATAGCTCTCCCAGTCGATTTGTCGATGGTGAGGTAGAGAGCGATGTACAGGAAAGGAAAGGCAGCACCATCGTTGCAGCCGCTCTCCGCGAAGAGTAAATGTCGCAAGTGCGCGGGCACGTGCTTGTCTGCATATTTACCGCCCACGACTGCCGCGGCAAGAATGGGATCGGTTGGGGTAAGACATGCTGCAACTGCTAACGATGAGAGGAAGTTGAGTCCAGGGATGAAGGCGTAAATGAGGCCAGCTGACACAAACCAGCCCTGCGATGGTGTGATTAGAGGCAATCCCTGCCGCGTCTATGGAAAGCCAAAGACGCACCCATGTCATGACAGGGAAGAGAAGGAAGAACAGGCTCTTCCAATGGCGGGCCATATAGGCCTTGGGTAGTTCGACGCCTATCGCGAAGACACCGATGGCGAGGACTACTCGAGTGAACTCAAGCACAATAGTATTCGTGGTGTCAGTGTTGCCTCCGCCCCAGTCGCGCGGGTTGAAGATGTTTGCACCATAGGGACCTACTAAGATTAGCGTGGACAGGTAGTCATGTTATCGCAAAGACGCACCAATGACTACACCGAACAAGAATGCCCAGCATGCTTCTCCAATGTAAAGCTGTTTCCCTGGTTACCCGCCCACCCTGTCGCTAGACCAAATACCACATACCTTCTCCCGAATGAATAGCGAGAACATGCCGAACTGCGTGCACATACTCAGCAACGATAGGGACGATGGCGCCGTCGATCACCTACAAAGACCACAAACCCGCCCAGGGCGGCATAGATGATATGAGGCGTGGACACCGCGAACTGGCGCATACATCGATGAGTATTCTGCTTCACGATCGAGAGACCGGGGTCGTCGGTATATGCGCACCATATGGAATACCATGATGACAACCAGACTCTAGGCTCGTTTCTCAGGTTGTTGGACCGCGAGCAGGCTCTATAGACTTCGTGATACCGATGCGCGGTCGTTACAGCGTTGACAAGTCGTTAATGGGCGTATGGTCGTAGCGGAAGAGGTCCGAAGTGTAGAGAAGTGCTCGACTCCCGCTCAACCGCCAATGCCGAGACGATCTGGTCTAGCCGACGGACGACGCTCCACAATGCCGGCTGACTGTACTGTTCCTCTTTCCGACGCTGTCTCGAACGGCGACAACGAAAGGTAGATAGCAGAGAGTATGCATGGAACTTAGGCACCTGCAGGACGCCGTTCTTATGTCGCACGGACGTCCGGTCAGCCTGCGGAGGTGGTGTAGAGCAGGACGCGACCCTGGGAAAGGTAGCCCGGCACGCGACCCCGAGGATCTACAACGTGCGGCTTCCCGGCACCTGTACTCAACGCCTCCTCCCCGCAGCCGAAACTCGGTTCCAAAGCTACGCGTCTATGATCATCGTTCTAGTTATTGTATTCTGTGCTCGTAAATGAGTTGTGCCTTGCAAAGTTACACTCCAGGCACAGGAAAGGCTACAGGTAGCTAGATTTCGGCACTTATACTTGTGTACTAGGCCACGACGCAAATGAAAACGATCCGAGCGTCTTAATCAACTTTCCTGCAAAAATGGGAACATCGACCAGGATAAGACTCGATGCGCAAATTTTCAGGCCCCATGCTGAATAGCGGTATCCTCGGCGACATAATGGGTAAATCGTTCGCGCACATTGCTTCATGTAGCCCTCCTATGGCGCACTATTCTCAGCGAAGCGAGCCACTGTGCCCATTCGCATTATGGTCGCCTGTCAGCTCTGGGAACGCCGGGGAAGCATAACACGCGATTGAGCATATCCACCTCATTGACAGAAGCGACATCCCGGACCGCAGACACGACCCTATCGGCTTGCAGTGCGCGTCAGGCATGGTCGTCTAAATGCCTCAACTGGTTAAACTTTTTGAAAAGACCGCGGTGAGCGCTACAGGGCAGTGAGCGACGTATCAAGCATGTACCTCACGCGGAACCGCGGTAGTACAAGAGCAATACGACGGAGTACACGAGGCCGCATTCGGACAACTACTTCTCAGGACATTGCCAATAGCCTGTCTCAGTATTCACTCACCTGACCCTGCTTTGGCGACAAGCGTTGTAGTGTTCCACGATCTATGCCGTAAGGCCTGTAACGGAGGTCGCTAGAAGCTCGTACGGAGGGCGCTGTGGATAAAACTAGTGAATGCGACGCGGACATCACGAGGGGCCCGGCGCATGACTAGTAGGCGAGAATGCATCGCTTGATCTGCTTCATGGTCACGAAAGAGATGTGGACGACACGCACTGACATTGTAGGCCGCCAAGACATCCAGCTACATACCGGCCTCCGCTCGTACGCGTGAGTAGCACATTGCTTATAGGCAATACAGGGTCTTCGTGACAGAATTCCTTCAGGTCCTCCCACCGGGAAGTGCGTCCCCTATGTACCGGACGCCGAAGGTAATCTGGTCTTGGAACGCGTGGCGAGTCAAGACAATTTGACTTATACCTTGGTCAGCCCATATGTAGGAACCTCCGTACATGACGTTACGAGCATCACGGCACGCCAGTCGTAGACAGTTCATCACAGATTGGTCCGGGTTTGACAGAGTGGAACGATCCAAGTCAGTCGACTTGCAGCGGTGGACGGCTGACATCTAGATCTGGGTCTCTGGACATTGCAGAGATTACTGTAGATAACCTCAGTAGTCACAGATGGAATACAGTCAGCGGCCAGGAGAAACAATGCCTGTGAAGGATGATGAAGAGTCCCGAGAATACATGGAGCTAATTTAAATATGAGAACAGTAGGTGAGCGTGAAGTAATCCGTTATATCATAAGATAGCTAAGTAGCCTGCCATGACCGATACGCACTGAGATGCATCGATAGGTCGTCCGTAAGCGGAGAAGGATGTCTGTATCTGAGTATCATTCTAGCTCTATGCCACATCGTGTACATTTCCGCTTGACATCCATGCTGCAGAGACGCGTAAGACGAATAAGCGCAGTCAAATTCGAAGAGCCATACGCACAATAGACATAGCAAGCCAATCGGAAACAGAAAGACAGCACAGATGATGCCCATAGCGCCATGCTTTGTCTCGACTTCATGATCGCCCCTGGCGCAACGGGCATATACTGCAGGTATAAAGCGGTTGGAGGTGCGGTACGCGGAGGATCTTACGACGACTCACGCTGCTGTTGATACTGCCGACCCAACTCGGCTTCACTCATCCCTCGCGTGGCCTGCGGTTGCTGTTGTTGCAGACCAGACGCGCCCCTCGTGCTAGCTGGTTGCGCGGGCGGTCGCGAAGGCCCCGAGCTTGCTTGAGGCGTAGGTGCCTGCGTGGGAGGCGCATGGACTACATTTTGAATCTGTTGTAGTGGCACGTCGTCCTGGGCTTCGTCTATGGCCGTGTATGCTGGCGGTGGTTGGTGCTCCACAGCCCCCAGTTCTAAGGCTTTGACGTCGATCATGGCGAGTATAGATGAGTGTCGGACGGAGAGGGGGCAAGCACCGGCATCACACCGACGGGCGTCCTAGGGTCGCACTCCTGTGAGCGAATGCGGTGCACGCCACGTTCCGGTACGGGCTGGTAAACGCTCGGCCGGCCGCAGCACGTTCTTCTCCTTGCATACAGATGCAAAGCTCGTCCGGCTCATTCTACAAGGAATGAAATGATAGTGTATCTGCGGAGTACGAGATTGCAGTGGCGGGAGCTACCAGCATCGCGTTCGGGGAAGATGATGGTAGACGCGCATCGCTCTCGGAATATCACATGCAAGACGCGTCTAAACGCGGTCACGCACTCGCGCGTGCAAGTAGTTGCATCACGCGTGTCATCCTGAGCCGCAAGAGCATTTTGTTTAGTCACGAGCTCGGACTCTGTTCAACCGGGTTCCAATAAACTGGCAACGAATGGCTCAAACAATACACCCGAAATGCAAAACCCCGATGTTCCGCAGTCATAGGGACACCTATCAAGTCATGACCGTGGTATGCTTTCATCACTAGCAATTTGAAAGGTCATGCACGCAGACCCCGAACGGATCCAGACGGACACAATGGTGGTATTCCAGAAGTATGTAGCAGCCATGCAACGAGCATTGTTCCTCACATGTTCGAATGGTTTGTATTTGTTAGCCAGAAGCCGGCGCTCAGCACTTGTCCGTTGCTGAGTATAAGGGCCAAAGTTTGGCTTTCCTTGCGTGCAGCGTTCCGTCCTGGATACCGCTTCGAGCACATACTCGAGGCCGCGTGCTCTATGTAATGACCCTCCATGGATGACACCTACATCACATAGTTCAGGGCATCCCCCAGAAGGCTAGATTCTCGGTAGGCGTACTTCTGTCGAAAGGCTTTCCCTGATGTCGGCTGAAAGGGACCCACGGCTCTAGAACATAACTGGCTAATGACATAATAGGGTGCGCCGAGTCCAGTTTGAAGCGAAATTCGTGCATCATGTTTCGACAAGCAACGCGAACGCTCCGCGCGCATGATTCAATGACATTCAAACTGCCCAGCGCGACTTGCTATATTTGTCTTTCTGTATCCAGCTCGATCATGCGATCATGTCCAGCGAGACGCAGCCCCTGATACAAGCGGATCAATCTCGGACATGGCAACAGTGAGTGTAACAGCTAGGGTGCCTACCGGCGACATCAGCGTCTGCGTTGTCATCAGCTATCCTGCAAAGGGGGAGCGCCGTCTGTACTGAAACATGACTCTCAATTTGCATTGTACGTCAAAATCGTCATGCCGATATCAGCAGGGACGAACGAACTGTAAATCTGACACTGGACTACTCTTGGACGAGATCGATGATCATTCTCCTCTATGCACCCTGGGCATGGTGCCCGGCGAGTGCCCATTGTGGCCGAAAGATGAATGTCGTAATGATACACGAGCAAAGAGACAACCGAGGACCAAGGTATTACAAGAAAAGGGTAAAAATACAGTGATTTGCGAAGACAGGCAAAGCCGCAATATGTAGCGCAGAAGGGGAGAGGCTTCACATTTGAAAGGAAAACGACGAAACCACCAGGCTTGTTGAAGGGATAGATTAAAGAGCGGAAGTGCGTTGGTCGGAGTACATCACTACAGGTCCCGGCGATAGTCGACTTTGAGTACACGGGTTAGGTTGGGGAGGGCCGTCCTTCCAGAGGGTTTGAGTGTGCGTGTGTCATACTTCACCACCCCACCGCGTACTGGTGTCGTGAGTGGTGAAACTACAGTGTTTGTGTCAGCTAGAAGGTGAACAAGCGCCGACAGCATCACTTACTGAGTCTCTAGTGACCGTCACCTCCTTGTGAACATCAACCTCCAGAATTGTTCCCTGATATCATCACGGGTCAGCAATCGAACCAGATTCGCGCATGAGCGAGACGTACTGCGGTCGCCTCTGGGTCGGCGTTAGGGGCATTTTTAGAGTCCTTGCCAACCATGAGGAAGGTGGGCATGGTTGCTTGCTCGCCATCCGTGCCACGCCCCCGTAGTACACGACGCGTGTTCAGCCTGAAATAGGCATATGAATGTGAACATTTAATCTGTCCCGGGGCTTCTGCACAAAATTATAACTTACGTTGCTAGAAATGAATTTGCGTACACTTTGCGAGTACCGTTGTCAGCCGGAACACACTGTCATGGCCGGACGGCTTACGTTTACTGACGACAAAGTAGAAACCCATGAAGATGAAATCCTCGGGCATCAAATCGTACTGCATCATGTCGTCAGAATGCTTTTGGACGTCCCCTGGTATTCACTTACCAAAATCAACGTAGTCAAGCTGACCGCACTGCAATTTGCACAAACGAATATCAGCATAACAGACCACGGATCTGTCAACACCGCATGCTACCTGGTCAGCACGCCGGTGTTCACGGCGTATAAGGTGAGATTGTTGACGAGTGAATCATCCCTGGGAGGGCAACCATTAGCAATCAACCAATAATGCATCACGAATAGCGCGCCTCAATCTTACTTCGAATACCCTGTGCGCAGATTACGCAAGAAGAAGCATAGCGCTCCCGCGGTGACAATGTCGGTAGCCACGCCCAGAGCTAATGAAATACTCCCAACAACCTTCGGAGGCGAGAAGGGTGAGAACACAATTGTATGAATCATATGGCATGAGAACCGGACATACCTTGACCTGTGCCAGATGCAACAGATTGGCGATACCGAAGCTAAGAATAGACTTCAGCCTTCGATGCGACCCGAAAAGCATAACACTCACGATTCTGCCGTGTAGACTATTGTGAAGTGGGGAGACAGGGAGATCAGTTGGGGAGGAAAAGAAGTGTACAATTTGTGCACACCACATGCCATCGCTGAGAAGTAACTTGTTAATTTCCTATGTTAGAATCAATGGGCAATAAAACTTACCCAGCTGCGAAACCGTGAGCAGTATCTGTGAGTATTGAGATTGAATATCGGTTCGTGGTATTCCTGAACTTTAGAGAGGCTTACGATAAGACCGGTGACCCACACGTTGTTATTGCTGACTAGAGCCGCGTTAGGAGACAGCGAGAGCAGCGACATATCGGATGCTTACACCTCCATACACGCATTGCGAAGCATCTACATTGAGTCATTAAGCCATGAATTGACGATAACGAGCGTGGAACTCAGACTGACGCTTTCACGATGGCTCCAGCTGTAGCCTAGTAGAGATATCATGAGGTACAGAACTCGTGCATTGGAGGATCTTACTCACACCCAGTGTCACTTGTAGCTGTAGAAGTCGAATGTAAGTAGCCGTTGCTTGCAATAGGTTGGAGCAGACGATGTGCAGACTCACGATAAGGGACCTATACGGACTTAGTCAGCGGGAAAGTGGACACCTAAGCAGGCAACTGACCATTGAGGACGATCAAATAGGATGCTGAGATCACCCCATGAACTATATGCGAGACCAATGAGTGATGCCAAATCAAGCCCCGTCAGTAGGTACGCACGTTACAACGTAGAAATAGACAGCGTATCCGATGAATACTTGATCTATTACTTCCAACGCCCTGAAGCACGTGAGGGTATGCGCAGGTAGTATTGGAGGTCCACATACCACAATGCCGCGACCTGCGAACAGTCAGTGATTTCCGGCTAAATGCGACTATAACTCACCAAGCCCTTGTAGAACGGTCGATCCTGTGGATAGCGGCGGAAGTAGGTGTACATCTGGGTGCTGAGGGTTCCCAGCAGCCTATATGATGTAAATCAGGAACGGTGGAAGAGCGAGAGACCAAAAGTGGACTGACAAGCAAGAGAACCCAAACCCGACGAAGGGGGCCCCGAAAGTGTTGAACTTGTTGCCAGTGAGGCCCGCAAGGGGGTCTGTGGCGGAGGCCATGGTGTACGGGCGCAGGGGAGAACGCGTCCAGGAGGAGGGAGCGCAAAGGAGCGTGGACGAAAAGGAGCGAGATGTACCGGACACCCAGCCCTTTAATCGGGGATGGACGACAGAGGGCGTTGGATGGATGTCAAAGAAAAGAGGCGGAAGAAGACAGACGCCAGGCCTGCCGTATCGTGCGGCGTCCGGAGAGGGACCCCCTGAGAGGACGCCGAGATTCTCACTGAGAACGTGGACAGGACGCAACGAGTGTTGCCACTGGGTCGGCACCCAGGCCGCTCTTCCCCATCTCCTCATCTTACTTGCCATATGGGGCATTCCATTCCAGAGTGCCCCGTAAAATCTGCAATCTCGATCACCCAGGCACCCAGACCCCGGCCAATTTGAGTTTCCCCACACTCGCCGCTTAAACGCAGCCACCGCAACCACATCCGCCGCGGAGGCATTACAGAGGCACACGACAGATGAATACCACATTGATACATGCAGTCCCGATATGCTTACAGAACACCCAAATCCTCTTCCTCCATCTTTACTTTGCTACCAATGCCGACAGCGCCGGCCACCTGAGTCCTTGCGTGATCTGATCACGCCCAGGCCAAACTCGTCAGATCCGTGCACTTTCGGTGACCGCATACATACCTTTTCCGATCCCCAACCGCGCAACACACAACAGGGCCGCAGCTTCCGCCGACCCGCGTTGCGCCCCCGCAACCAGCCCTCGAACAACATGTGATGGCGTCATCACCCGCCGCGCACCCCCTAGACCGCTACCCGCCTTGCGTCGCCCGCGGAGGGAACGCAGCGCCGCCTCGTCTTGTCCGACAGCATCCGCGCCACTCCGCACCAATAAGCGGATCATCGAATTTGTGACAGCTGCCAATAGAGCATAGGGTGCCAGGTGATCGACCATCTCCTGACGCGAACGGGACAGTTCGGTGCGCGCGATCAATCCGTCCTGTATGCGCGCAAAGACGTGGACAGGAGCCTCGCAATGTTCCAGGTTCCACCTTTCAGTCATTGACCGGATCGCAGTGACAAATTGTGGGTGCGCAATCGATAGCAGTGCGGCAGGCGCCGGGTTAGAGTTCGCAGTCAACTTCGAAGCTGTCAAGAGTTTCTTAGAAACACCATAGGGCATATCTTGCACCGAACCCGGAGACAAGGCCTGATCCAGGAGACGTCTGACATCGAAGACCGGTAGTCTTGTACCTCCCCCATTGAACGTGAGACACGCCGACAAGTTTTTGCGGTTTGACGGAGCCAAAATGGCAGGCACCCCCTTCCGTTCTGTTTCTTCGGTCTTGACACCGGTGGGATGCACCTGCGAGTTGAGACCACAGAAGTGGCAATAAGAATCCCCCTTCGGCCGTATTTGCACTGCGCCCTCTGTAGGTGCCTCTCGCGCTCGATGTTCAGCCCTGTCCCTGAGACGAGGGAAAACGTCATTGTCTACCATCCACCGATAGATGTCTGCTGTGGTCAGAGGAGGGTGTGCGCTCTTGTCATGAACCAACACGACGTGTCGCTCGTACGCCTCCCGCAATGCGCGGGCGCGGCTCATCTGTAGTTGGACGTGGGTAAATAGCCGTGATAGATTGATAACACGGAATGCCGACCTCAACTGCCTTGCGCCGCCCAAGAACCGTGTTCTTCCATTGCGCCCGCGAGGGCACAAGCATCAGAGGCGCCTGTGGCGCGGCGCGGGCTTTCACATCTGAACTCTCGCTCAGTACGTCAGTGCGCTCCCAAACCTTGTAAAGCGCACCCTTAGCCGTGATAGGAACCTGTGAGAGCAGCGCTCGCAAAGTGGCCTCATACCCTGGTCAGCACATGGTCAGCATATCGACCCCAAGAATTTTACACCGGACCCCCAGTGCGGTGATGCGGTTTGGTCGTCAAACCGCATCTTCATCTGGGTATGGGGCATTGGGTAGCATATCAGAACAGGCACATACCAGAATCGGCAGCGGTGTCCCCCGTTCCATCTTCCCTCCCCATAGATTTGTCACACCCTAGCGCCCTTAAAGTGGACGTAGAGTGCTCGTGGTCGTCATCGTGCCAGCCCACCTTCCGCGTGTCTCCGCGCAAGGGCAGTAACTCTGTGTTCCTATCGAGCTCGACGTCGAACACCTGCTCGTCCCCGAGGACGGCATGCGCGAGGCGCAGCGGATCCAGCTGCGAAGCGCAGGTGAGCGCTTGCCTTCCCGCGACTGCAGTCGAACGGAAACAGAACAGAAGCAAAAACACACCTCGACCCAGTGATCGACATCCATAGGCGCATTCTGATTTCCCACCCATGTGAACGTGAGCCGTGCGAGGAATGGCCGGTCGGTCGCGCCTGTTGCGATAAAGGGAGGCGCGGTGACGACGATTGGCTCGGCGAGTGGCGCGGGCGGCGGATCCGTGAGACAGGTAACCGTTAATTTTGCGAGGAAGGTCGTGATGTGAAGGCTCTGATGGCGTGCGCGTCGTCAGCGACGGGGGTTCGCCGCGGACATAGCACGGAGATCTAAGAATACTCACGTACGATGGAGAGGATACAGACAAGCGCCATCGGTGAGTGTACTCTGGAAGAGCGACCGGACGCCGTTCTGGACGGTCGCGGAACTCAACTCGCGATGAAAGAGCGTGCGCCAGGATGACGCACCTTGAGATAACCAGAGACTATGATCTGCGACTTTGACGCGAGCGACGATGTGGAATCGACTACTTGCAACGTTTGGCACGGCAGACACGGATGCTTGGGCAAAACCTTTCTGCGGCCCGCTGTTCTCGGACTGAGGGGTCCCCTCTGGGAGATCAGGTGGTACTTCATCTAGCTCTGGACGAGCTATATTGCGATGACGATATGGCATGCGCCACCTGCGCTTGGCTTGTTCCGTGTTATCGGTGGGCCTGTCATTTACAGACACAATGTCAACTATCGTGGCGGGGTCGTCATAAACATTGACGGTGCGCCTCTTTGGGGCTCTCCCAAGGAAGGGCGCTAGCGCAGGCGTGTCCTTGTGATGGCCGAGCGTACGAGTGACATGTGTGCTCTGTATTTGGTCTTGCGTCTCGCTTAAGGCCTCTCTCGTCGCTGCAGCGGATTTCTCTTCACGTGGTCGTATGCCTGGGATCAGAACCTTGTCCCCCGCACCCACCGCGATCTCGAACAGGCGACGCAGACTTGGCAAGCTGATTCCACCGACTTCGGTCCCGGTCGCTACGACGGTGTCGCGTTCCTCGTCGGGGACGAGGATCGCACAGCTTTGCATGCATTCGTCGTGACTTCCATACTCGCGGCCGTGACGAAGGCGGCAGTGGTTCAGCAGGCCTTGGAGGTTCGAGAAGTCGGAGCGGGCACAGTCAGGGCACGCGAGTTTGGCAATGGCGGGAGGGTCGGTGCTAGTGTTTCGCAAGTAGAGGAGCTTCCTTGCGGGCTGTAGGGGTGCACGGGGAAGACCACGGATACGAGAGCTACTATTGCGGGCTGAAAACTGAGGCGTAGATGGCGCCTCTGGAGTGCCGAGGGCTGTCGAGGGCTGCGACAAGGACAAGAGTGGCACAGGCTTCTCGAAGATTGTGATATCTCTCTCGAGGAGGATGTTACATGGTTTCTCCAAGACTTGCAGAGTGTCAAGAGCGGCGTCTTGAAAGCCTGTATCGTTGGTTCCTGCAAAAGCACCTGCGTAAAGTATGGCACTCTGCATATACAGCTATGTATCGCACCTTGCAAATTGTTCTCGAGAGCTTCTTGGAGAAGTAATGCCCATGTGAGCCGGGAGCGTACCGTCTCTGACAAGCGTTGCCTCAAGCCCAATTCAAGGTCTATCTCTTCAAGCACTAGTTGTCGCGTAGAGGGAGTGCTAGCTAGACAATATGAGCAGCTACCCAGGGTAATGAATGTAGCAGATTACCTACGCTGCACGGACAAGTCGTAGCCGTCAGTCCTCCGCCGTTTCATGGGTCTTCCCTCAGACACATCTGTGTCGGTAGCGGTACGTGAGATCGAGCTCGCCATTCATGAGAGGTGCGATAAGGTAGAGGATTGCTAGCAGATGAATGTACGCGAGTTGTCTTCGTTAAGTCGCGGTAGAGGAATTTGAAGTCAAGCTCTAGCAGAACAGCCCGATCACTGGCAGAGGCTTGGGCTTGTGCGCTTGTAGGGTTAAGCGTGACGTAATGAGCGCGTCTTGTCACAAAGGACGCGCTGTCACGCACGCGTCACTCATTCGCCACGGTCGTGCGCGTCGAACCTGTCGAGCCAAAAGATCTCATCTCACTGCTTTTGCTGAGCACAACATGGGTATCAAAGGTCTGACCAGCTTGCTTGTGGAACATGCTCCGAAGGCCATACAAGTACAGTACAGTCGCATAGCCTTTGATGATTCGAGGCAAGCCTGATGTCCTGCTTCAGGAGCACGATATCAAGACCCTGTTTGGTCGTAAAGTCGCCATCGACGCGTCTATGTCCATCTACCAATTCTTGATAGCTGTGCGACAGAAGGATGGTGAGCTTTTGACCAATGACGCGGGTGAGACTACGAGGTGAGTGCCTATCCGAGCGATGCACCCACAAACGATATGGAAGTTCATACGAATAGCCATCTTATGGGTTTCTTCTATCGGACCATCCGCATGGTGGAAAATGGTCTCAAACCGATGTACGTGTTTGACGGCAAGCCTCCAGAACTGAAGGCCGGCGTGGTATGTCCTGTGTGCGCTTAATGAGGGCAGCATGCATGCTTATACTGGCTACAGCTCTCAAAGCGTCTGGCACGGAGAGAGGAGGCGAAGGAGGAAGGGGAGGAGGCAAAGGAGACAGGTACAGTAGAGGACGTCGACCGCTTCTCAAGGCGCACGGTCAAGGTGACGCGAGAACACAACGAGGAATGCAGGAGACTCCTCGGCCTGATGGGGGTCCCTTTCGTTGTGGTGTGTTACTACCATTTATGTTGCACATTCATGCCCACAGAGCTACTTTCAGGCACCGTCAGAGGCGGAAGCACAATGTGCGGAACTTGCACGCGGTGGCAAGGTCTGTGTCTTCTCTACCCGGACACTCTCCGCTATTTCTAACTCCAAGGCAGGTGTATGCCGCCGGTTCAGAAGACATGGATACACTTACATTTAACGCCCCTGTACTGTACCGGCACCTGACGTTCTCCGAAGCTCGCAAGCAACCCATCAGCGAAATACATTTGGATAAGGCGTTAGAGGGTCTTGATATGACCATGTCTCAGGTACATCCAAACCCCCCTTCCGCGCCTGCATCTCAACGTGTGAGCTTCTGCAGTTCATTGACCTTTGCATCCTTCTTGGATGTGACTATCTCGAGCCAATTAAAGGAATCGGCCCGAAATCTGCACTGAAGCTTGTTCGTGAACACGGCAGCTTGGGCGCGATTATTGAGCACCTACGAGAGAAGTGCGTGCATCCTTCGTCCCGTCTCATGAACTACATCGCTAATGTATGGTCGTATCGCTCTCGTCCTCAGGGTTGCCGCTAAAGAGGATGCAGAGGAAGAGGGGAAGAAAAAGAAGGGCGGCATTGTTATCCCAGAAGACTGGCCCTGGGAGGAGGCTAAGAAGGTCTTCGCGAAGCCTGATGTTACACCTGCGGACGAGATCGAGGTAAGTGCTATCTACAGATTTACCGTGCTAGCAAGCAAGCATCATTTTCCGTGGTAGGTTGAGTGGAAGAGTCCCGATATGGAGGGCTTGGTGCAATTCTTGGTGAATGAGAAGGGTTTCAAGTATGTCTATCCTACATCTCATATGCCCTCGCAGCTAAGTAACTATTCGTCAGTGAGGACCGTGTACGAAAAGGCGCGGAGAAGCTAGCCAAGCACCTTAACTCAAAACAACAGGGCCGGTTGGATGGCTTCTTCAGCGTAAAAGCAAAGACGTCGCCGACGAAAAAAGAGAAGGGCGACGAGAAAAGCAAGGGCAAGGGCAAGGGCACAAAGCGGAAGGTATGTGGACCTTACACACTTGCATGAATGTTAGTACTCAATACTGGACACCAGGCGGATGAAAAGAACAAGGAGGAATCAGGAAGCAGCAAGAAGACCAAGACCAAGAAATAGTGACATTTTGAACCCTTCGTTTGGCGTCTTCCTGTCTTGATCTTGCTTTCTTTGCTATCTTATTCGTGCGGTGCTTGTATTGTTTCTCCACTGTACCAGTAGTCTCAGCAGCACAATATCATTGTGACACACGGACATTTGTGTAAACATCCTCAGAACATCCACAGCCTCAACCCCGTTCAGAAGAAAGAATGAAGCGCACATCACTTTTTCGTATTCATCTTCGCCAACGCGTTCCCGCTCCGCACCCTGCTCTTCCTCTTCTCCTTCTGCGCCCCTGTGTCGCCCTTCCTCTCTCCCACCCGCTTGCGCACGCGCTCCCTGTCCGGGCGCGCCTTGACGCCCTTCTCCGCCAGTAACTTCGCCTTCTTCTTGGCCAGCCTCCGTGCAACACGGTCTGCGTCTGCCGCTTTCACCTTCTTGCGCTCGTCTTTCGGCAGGTGCGAGATCTTCGTGCCGAGCTCCGGGTTGCCCCTCGGCGTCGGGCCTGCAGGCGATGCAAAGGAGGCGGAGCGGGGTCGCTGGCTGGGTGCGGCCAGCTTGCCCGCAGCGGTGATCTTGGCGAACTTGGGCGTGATCTTTGCGCTTCCAGGAACGGTCTTGCAACGCTGCACGCGGAGCTTGCGTTTCGCAAATTTGAGGCGATCTTGCTCCATCGCAAGGATCTCGTCAACGCATTCACGATCCTAGGTGTATGCGTTTAAACATGACTTCGAGGAGATGCGGGGCCTCAACAGGTGCACTTACCATGAATTGCACATATGCGAAGCCCTTCCCGAGCTGAGTGTCCTTGTCCCTGATGATGCGGACGCGCTTGACCCACGTTCTCGGTTTCTTCACAACAACGCCCGCCTCCTTGTGTTCTTCGCCTTCGTCCTCTTCGTCCTCGTCCTCATCGCTCTCACCACTCCCTTCGCCCGGCGGGCCTCGCTCTGCACTCACCAGCCCCTCGAAGAAGACTCTCAAATCCTCTTCCTTGCTCGCAAAGTCCAAATTGCCCACAAACACTGTCGCCTTCGGATCCGCATCAACTGCCCCCGGTGTGCTATCCGCAAGATCGCGTCCGACCTTGTCCGCCCGCAGCGTGCGCTCCATGAACAGCGACCCGTTCACGCGCTCCGCAGCGAGGCGCGCGGCCTCGTACGGATCCAATGTCGGCGTGGGCGGCGGCACGTTTGCGGGGCGCGCCGACGCGTCCGCTGAGGGCGCGTGCGCGAAGACGACGTACGCGTTGACGGTATCGACGCCCGCGTGAATCTCGTGCCTGATGAACGCAATGCGCTTCTTCTCCTTCGGCGACAGGAAGACCTTACCAGACGCGGGCTCGTCGTCGTCGTCGCCTTTCGTCGCACGCCATGATGCAGCGCGGTCGCGGTCGTGCTGGCGCCCGTCCTTCTCCTTCTCGCTGCTGACTGACTTGCCCTTTCCCTGGGACTTTGCTGATGCAGGATCGTCGTCTAGCGAAGGTAGCTTGGAAGTGGGGTTTTGGAATGCGACTGAGCGATAGCGTATCGACTCTATTTTTGCCGCAGGAACGAATGAGAGGATATGTCGTTTCAACTGTTTCTGGGCAGGCTGCAACAACTATGAGACGATCCAATGATTTTCAGGTAAAGGTTGAAACACATACTCTGGATTTGGCCACCTCTGTAGGCACATTTCCGACAAATATCGTCCGTGCATTTCGACGTTCAGGTGTTTCGTCGGGAGGGACATACTTTGTCTTTATGCTGCGACCACCACTTCTCGACCTCACACCCTTTGCAACAGATTCGTGTACAAGTTGAGAGGGATCGCCTTCCTGGTCGGAATCAGAGCCGCTGTCTGGATCGTCGCCAGCTCTGGCCGTTGGTGGGACTAGCTTTGCAGTACTGTGCGCAGCCGTTTCTTGAGGCTCGTCGTCAGAATCTTCTGCCTCACGAACGGGCGGCGTCACAAGTCTTTTGGCTGATTTTTTATCTCTAGACTTTGAAGTCTTTTCTTTCTTTGCCTTCCGCGGCTCAGAGGTAGATGCTGACGCAGTCTGGATGTGAGTATCCTAAAAAGCGCCACGGGACAAGACCATGCTCACGAGCTTCTCCCTCCTCGTCCTTCTCTGACCTCGCCCTTTTCGCCTTCGGTGCTGATGTGCTCACCGAGAGTCGACGTTTTCCTTCACGGCCCTGGGACTGTTGCTCATGTTCCAAATTATTGGAAGCGTGCTGTTGAGCAGGTTTAGATGGACCAGCCTGAGGTATCTATGTCGCGAATGACATTGTGAACAGGCACTTCATGAGAAGGGGATTGCGCGACATACGGACGACTGGAATAAATCGTCTAAACCCTTGTCAATCGTTATGCTCTTCTTCTTGTCTCCGTTGAAGAGAAAAGACGTGAGACTCATGTTCGGAGAAGAGAACAAGGCAAGCGTGCAGCCAAGGATTTCGCAGACCTCGTCGCAGCAATATGCAGAAAGTGCCCTTTGGGCGCTTCAGTGCAGATCTCCGAAACACATCTCGATCACTCCGTATGCGCGCTTGCCATCTCTTCTCTGTGACAACCTCGTCCTTAGCAAGTTACAAAATGCATCACATGTAACTCCAGCTACTCCGACTCCAGCTCATCTTTCACTCAGAGCTTTTCTTATAATGGCGTGCGCACTCTCAAAGGAAATCACTCGGAATACTAGTCTCCACGCTGGCTTCGTTTCCATCGAGTGTGAAGAGCGAATGACCGCCCTTCTGCAGATATATGTACATATACAATGTGTGATGTGACGTACAGATCTCACGACACCTACAGGCCCTCGCTTGCTTTCCATGCGTTATAGTAGATCTCCAGATTGTCAACCAAGCCCGCCTTGCGTGGTTGCCAGCCCAATAGTGTGCGTGCAAGGTAAGGGCGGACTAGGCTTGTCGTGGTAATCGCCACCTCGAACACTATCGAGGGCGAGGATATTAGCTTCGTGCCGACTCGAATGGGATGTGGACTTACAATTGCTCGGCGCAATGTACTCGTACGGACCCTTGGCCCCCGATACCTCGACCAGCTTCTGCAGGATGTCGTCCACGCTCTCCGTGAAGTCATTCACAGCGTCAAATATCTTCCCACCTATTAACGATGACTTCTCCCCAACAAGAAGGTACAACTCGGCAAGGTCGTCGCAGTGGATCGGCGTGTACCGCCCGCCTGGCGTGCCATACCACTTGACCTTGCCCTCGTATGCATTCTTGAACAGCAATCCGAGCAGGGAAGCGGAACGGCCGTACAGCAGCCCTGGCCGGATCACGATTCCGTTGAGGGTAGTCTGAGCCACAACACGCTGTTCCTGCTCTGGCCGCCACGCGACGAGCTCTGCCGGACTCGTGAGCGGCGTCGTATCCGCAACTATCTCCTTGCGGTTGTCGCCGTGTACCCAAGTGCCGGACGTGTAGATGTATGTCACCTTCGGCGCGTGTGGTGGACGATATTGCTTCGCAGCCTCCGCGGTGGCCTCCAACAGCTTCTGGGACAGGACTCGGACCTCCATGCCGCCAACTGCCTCGATCACCACATCAAGGGTGGCTATCAAGGGCAGCCAAGGCGATGGGTCGGTGGTCTCTGCAATGATTGGGATGACTGGCAAGGCGAGGTTGGTTGATGTCGGAATGTACCAGAGACAAACTCACTTTCTTCTGCGGCGAGCTGTTTAGCTTTGGAAGCAGAGCGGGTCACGCCGTACACGATATGGCCCGCGCGCACAAACGCTTGGGCGACGGGAAGGCCGATGAAGCCAGTGGCACTGCACAACAGACGAAGTCGTCAGGAATTCCATTTTATCAAAATATCCGCGGATATCTACCCAATAATGAGAACTTTCATTGCAGCTCGATTGCTGTGGCTAATGAGTGGGCTCGGTGCTTTATCTGTGCGCGCTGTGAGAATGCGAGGGGCGATGGGAATTTGCGTCTCACAGGCATCGTATAAATACAGTGCCAGAAGCATGGCTCTTGGTCAGATACCCAGTGTTGCTCCGAGCGCTCCGGAGCCATCGACCCTCATGTTAATCCGTTGGCCCCTTGCACAGCAGCGTTCTTATATTGTCAGTGTCTTTGCCTCCGTCGGGGTCCAAGTGGGGGTTGCTTATGCCCACATGCAGCATGATCGCACGGCGTCTACACAACGCCAAGACGCAGCGATCATCAGTCCAAACGCTCAGTGCTCAATACCGTCATCTCAGGGGTTGGCAGAGTCAACTGATTCCAGCGTCTGCAGATGCCTAAGATACAAATTCTCTCCGTGTGTATCAAGTCCGATGCCCCATGGCAATCGAAAAGCAGTATGTACAACTTTGATGGTATCTGTACCAAGTCGATAGTGAACACATTCGCTTTAGTTAATCCACAGCGAACGCCCTGGCTGGACTACTGAAGTAATATGACTCAACAACTGGCGTCAGCATTGTAGGGGTGACTGGCAGAACGTTTTCACCACGCTCGATTAACTTGTCATGGTCGGTTTCGACCATGAAGATGTACGTGGAGGGCGACGCAACTGACGGCTCACCGCCACTACATACCATTGTCAAGCCGCGGAGCTTTGTGACATCGCCTTAAGCGGGATCGCGTCGTATAAAATGACATACAATGCGATCTTAACGAATCCCGGCGCCAACGTGTTCTCCCATGAATCTTCGGCATGTCTCGAAAGCGGACAATTCTCCGAATGATATAATGGATTAGCACACATCTGCACTCTGTGTCGAACCATGCATACCAGCGAAGCGCAAAGGACATCATCCGTACAGCCGAAGTTTCGGACGTGATCCTATTGTCTTACAGAACCGTCTTGCCTACGAGTGGCCGATGTTGCTCCCCGTTGTTTATGTGAGTTCCTCACAGTCGTAGGTCTTGCGTCGTATCTGTCTCATTGCGCTTTTGTTACCTTCAAAGCCAAAACATAGTCACTGGAATAACCTGCGCCCGATCAAGCTGCGCTTCTGGTGGCTGTATTGCTGGTGAACACCTGGTCGACTCTCTGGTCTGCCGCCGTCAGACCTGGTGGCAAGGGTTACTTCATGAGGGAGCCTCTTGGCGCACTGAACTGTGTGGTTCTGAACTGGGCACCTGCACATAGGAATTGGAGCCTAAGCAAGTAGATTGCATTTTTAAAGATTAGACCATGCTCTGTGAAGCGTCGAAATCGACAATGACTGCTATTCATATTCTAATCGGACTAGGTATCCAGGGATAGGGGTATTCAATCAAGCACCATACCGCCATTCATCATGACCGTTTGCCCTGCAAGAGATTGGGATATTAAGGCTCCCACCAGAACGAAGACCTGGCCGCGTAACAACCTTACCTGTAATGAAATATGCCTCGGGTTTCACCAAATAGGCGACCCAACTGGCGACGGCATCCGGCTCGGCGACCGGTATGTTGGCTGGCAAATTGAGGTTCTATAGATCGGATGTCGGAAACTTGTCGACTGGATAAAGATCGCAGCTGACCTCTGCCATTCCAGCCGCACCATTGCTGGCATCCAGTGCAGCGTCCACTGGAAAAGGGAAATCATGCCAAGATAAGTCATAATTCGTGAAAGATCTGACGACGATCGCTCACAGAAAGCGGTATTGATGAATCCAGGGGCGTACGCATTCACTGTGATGTTATGCGGCGCCAATTCCAGTGCTGCTCCGGACGAAGACAGTGATGACATCAGGGAAACGTTCAGACTAAAGAGGCCAATACTCGCCAGCAGACTGTGTCAAGCCTCGTATAGCAAATTTACTCGCCGAATACGCTGACGCCATGGGACCACCTGTTCCCCGTCATGGGAAATATATGAGAGGAAGGAGGGGGAATGGAGCTCACCCCTTTTCCCGTATATTGAGGATGCACCTTGAGATTGTGTACTGAATAATCAACCTGACAACTGAACGCCGGAGATACTTACCTAGAATCCTGCCTCCCCGCCCTTGCTTGATCATCTGTATTGCTGCATATTTGTAACACAGCATAACGCCCCGTAAATTGACTGACATCATCCGGTCCCAGTCTTGAGTAGAGACTGAGAGACTACTGAGCTCATTCCGAATCCAAAGCCAATTTCATACGTGCATTCGACAAGTGAACCGAGGGTCGAATACCCCGCGTTCGCGACCATCTGTGGACCATAATTCAGGATACTATCCTACTTTATGTGTCACGGAATGACTCACCACATCTAGGCCTCCCAACCGCCTCACTGTTTGAGCAATCATTTTACGCACACCCTCTTCGTCCGAAACATCGGCAGCCACGGCAATCGACCGTCTGCCCGCAGCTTGAATCTGGTGAACCACTTCCTGCAGTTGTACGTCCTTCTCAGGAAGGTCATTCACAGCAACATCAAGGCCATCTTGAGCCAGGCGGAGGGCGATGCTTTGCCCTATTCCCTGCGCCGCACCTGTGACGATCGCTATGGAGGATGAGCGGGACGGCATGTAGCTGGGCTGTTCGTTCGTCGAAGCCGATGTCAGGAGGATGCTGGTATGCGACCGTGAAACCCAGTTCTTGTTCGGGCTCTTTGTCTTGTCCGGGAGTAAGGCGAACTTTGTTCTTGCCGTAAGAGACCACGGCGGACGCCCGACGTGTGAGATAGGAACCCGACAAAAAATTGTGACCATCCCTTACGCTGTCAGCGCTTTGCCATACATAGATAGCACTGTACATTCCAGTACCGAAGGCCCTGGTCACGGAACATGAGGTGTACAGCTTGAAAGGTCCAGAACAGCCCAGAGGCTACCTATTTCGTGGCTGTCATAATGCAGATGTACACTGCGTTCCGATATGCGGCGCACATTAGTTGGGGGTCGCATTGACAACATCACAGACTGTGCACGTTGTCATCGAATAAATGGCTAGTATACTACATGCAACGGTCAGCATGCTGCTTGTGGCACTTAGGTCGGATCTCACCAAATATACATTGCGTCTTGAGAAAACACCATCAAGTTGGCGATAGTGTCTTGATGTGTCAGCTTCTCGAGGTTCATCTCCGCTTCTTCACCGCCTTGGTGGCTACTTCGCTTGACGCTGTTCCCCCGCTCAGTGTTCTTCAGTTAGGGCTGAGTATCTGCTTGCCTCTTCTGGTTGCTAGACATATTCATGTGTCAAACACGGCTATGGTTGACAGCTTCTCAGCAGTCCGAGGCTGCCCGGGAATGCAGATCGCTTCCTGCCGTTTACAGCAACCAATATGGATACTGTAGACCCCCCCTGTAGATTACACTTTGGGGCCAGGTGGGGCAGAAGCTCACGGCAGGAATCTGCAGTGGTGCAGAGACGGTGGGTGGCTGATCAGAGATACGTTATATGATGAGGATGATCGTGAGTAAACACTCGCTGTGATCCCCTCGTCCTCTCGCCATCATGGTCGACAATTGGCGATACGTCCATTCAGCTCAGAATGAACTCATTGTATCCATCTCTGGCTCCATGACCAACGACCAAATTAAGGCAACTACTGGCATCGCGTCATGGGCGCAGAGTTCGTTGATGTCCGCCATTATTTCTGAAAGCAGAGAATGATGGAGTAGAATTTGACAAACAAACGGATATTGAGACATTGGCATGAATTACTATATCTATATGTGGCTGATGCGAACAATACCTATCTAGGTCGAGGTCTCTGAGGAATAAGGGCACGTCATCTCGGAGTGCCGAGCGCCACTAAGCTCCATGCGCCTATCTGTAACTTTTGCGAGGGAGGTTTATCGTTATTGGTTTTGCTGTAAGTTGGACACCGATAGCGAGTATATATTCGCGCGCCTGAAGAGACCAGAAACTACAATGGGTATTGCTTCATAAGTGATGCGTGCTGTATTGAGTATCCAGATTTCACATACCTTTAGTTCCCCGCAGTCCTTCAATCCTTTGCAGGCTCAGGATATCTGTATTTGACCGTGTCTCCATAGCCGGCCGTTCACTCACATGCTTTGTATTGTCTGACTCATCGCTCTGTATAGGTAGTCATGAGATTCGTCTGACAGAAGGCACTGCGGACTTCTTGCGCACTGCGCAGAGATGCAGCCTCCGAGCGGCACCGCTAGTGGTGTGAACTAAGCCAGGTGACTGAGTCACTACCACGAGCGATCATAAAAGCGGCGTATCGCCCATTATGAGAGGCATTCGTATCAAGTGAGCCACGATGTCTTCCAGCAATGTCATCCTCCTATACGACATACCAGGGAATGTGGCAGGTAAAGCGTGGTCACCTAACACATGGAAGACAAGGTCAGCGTCTGCCGTACACAAAAAGCTCCTTGACGGTGTCGACCTCTATTAGATACGCCCTAAACTACAAGGGATTGCCGTACAAGACGATATGGGTGGAATACCCTGACATCGCTCAGGTATGCAAGGAGATCGGCGCTACCCCCACGAGCACGAAGGAGGATGGGTCTCCGTATTTCACGCTTCCCGCAATCTACGACCCTTCCACGAATACTGCCCTCTCGGAATCGGCGCGGATCGCCCGCTATCTCGACAAGACCTACCCCGGCACGCCCGTGCTCATCCCACCTGAAACAGACGCGTTCCATGCGGCGTTTCAGGAGGCCCTCCAGCGGCTTGTCCTGCAGAATATATCACCACTCATGCTGCCTCCAACATGCTTACAACTCAATCCACCAAGCTATGTTTACTTCCGTGAGACGCGAGAGAGAATGTACGGAAAGAAGCTGGAGGAGTTCACACCCGTCGGACCGATCCGCGATGAGCACTGGCAGAAGGTGCAAGACGGATACAGCAGGATGTCTTCGTGGCTGACCGCGGACGGGAAGGACAAGCTCTTCTTCATGGGCGACAAGATCTGCTATGCAGATATTTCAATTGCGGGTTGGACGGTTTGGATGAAACTGGTCCTAGGGCCCGACAGTGCAGAGTGGGCAGCCATCAAGGCGTGGGATGGAGGAAGGTGGTCAAGGTTCATGGAGCATTTCGAGAAGTACGAATTCGTCGACGAGTAAACGTACATGTCGCTTGCGGCTGGATATGGTCGTAACAGATCGAGTCCAGGTTCATATCCTCGTATAGTTTCTCCTTCGCTGGAGGTGCGGCGAGTCAACGTACCACTCGGCACAGCAGACGGCGGTTCGAAGAGATGAAAGGGTGGCATTCTTCGACGAGACGCTGACTGCCGGTGCGCTTGGAGTTTTGCTGCGCAATACAACGAAGAGAACGCTGCCACTGGGCTTCCATAATGATTCGTATTAGTAGCCGCTGAGAATTCCCCGACATAGTGCAATGAAGATGGCGGACAGAAAAAAGCTCGAAGGGCGAATCATGTTGAGCCCGCCCAGCAAACGCGATGGCGCGCTGCACGTGCTCCTGTCTAAAGCGCCGACCTCAAACTCGCGTTCAACGGGCCTGTAACCCGTATTCACTGCCACTCAGACGTGCTTCCTAAGGAGCAGGCTCGACATGCTACATATTCATGGGCAGCTTTGGCTCACCATTTTTGGTGTGGATTGCGTCTCGAACAAGGATGCCATTATTAGAGGACTCTTAATAAAGCTACAAGACGTTGTATCCATCGTATGTATGATCATGCGGTGGTATCTCTAGAATGCGGAGTGGATGGGAGGGCACAAGCGTAAACCATGCCAAAGGCGTGAAATTAGTCCGTTTCATTTCGTGAGTCATGCGAGTATCCTTCATATCTAGTGGGGGAAAACGGGGCGGAGTGTGCCATTCATTTTCGTGCGTATGCGCTCGCGGCGCGTATTCGCTCGCCGTAGTGCCAGAACAGCCATGGTCTGTTCAAAAGACTGCATGTCAGCTTCTAATGAGGCTGGTAAAGAAGGAGACGCGTACGCTGGACACCCGATAACGATGGCGACTGCGGCGAGGATTGTGTCGCCCTTGCCATATCCTAATGCATTGTACATCGCGGGAGCAAAGAGTGGGAAGCCAAACCCTGCGCACGATCGCAGGAAAGTAACAGCCGCGAGCGCTGTTTACACAGAATGAGCTTGGGTAATCAGGCCATGATGAAATACCCACCTGACGCGGCGTGCAGAGTAAAGGCGTCGATGACATATGTCTGTATGCACTGGAAGTTCAGAATCGTTCCTGCGCCCACAAGTGCAATGCCAATGTCGGGCCCAATCCAGTGCGTCTTCGCTTGGGCCGTCCACCCCGTGATGAACAACCCGGCAGGGAGCAAGAACGTGCCCGGGACCATGGACGCTGGTGAGGCACTCATTAATTGTTTGACTCTATGAATGTTAGAGTCAGGACATACGAAGACGATACTCGGGCTTCCCGACGCCGCCATTCTTCTTCTGGAAATACTTGTAGATCTTGTCGAGCATCCGCGCGTTGACCTGTGATGCGCCTGTCAAGCCCACACCCAGCGCGAAGTAGTTCAGGCCTGCGATGCCGACATCTTCTCCGTACGTGGTCTCGAAAATTGCGGGGATTGTCGTTAGGAATACTAGAGATGTAAAGTCAGCGCATGTAAAGATGATAATCAAGACAAGACGCGACGCACAGTACAGCGTGCCATATATAAATGCCATATAGATACCCAGCAACTGAATTATGGGTTCGCGGAAGAACAACTTGAACGGCCGAATAAGAGCTTTGGAGAAGATCGACCTCCAGCTACGGGTAAATGTTTTCAGAACCACTGACGAGGGAAAAGGGAGATAACACCTACTGTCGGTCACTGGTGTCGAATGCAGTACGCACATGGCGGGTGCGCGCTTTCTCCGGATCCATGGACATACGAATGCGCTTCGCCTTTTGTTCCAGCAAGAATGGCGCAAAGGCTGTCGAATGTTGGTCAGCTTAGGACAAAAACTCCGAAACGAGGGACGCACTCTCTCGCAGGAACAGCACGCCGAGAAATTGGATGAATGCATCCACGATACTTGTGGCCCAGAACTGCATACAAAGCACGGTCAACGCATCGCACAGCAAAGTAAGATGGAGACATACCACCCATCTCCATGTCGATCGCTCGGCAATCCATGCTCCGCATGCGGGCCCAATGACCGGACCAAGGAGTGGTGCGAGGGAATAGAGGGCAATCGCCTGTCCTCTTTCCTCTGTGCGCCAACAATCACCGATCACGCCTCCACCTATCTATTATAACTGAGAATGTGTTAAAACCACTGTGAACAACGACGTACTGCTAGCGGTGCACTTCCACCAAGACCTGCAAGGAAACGGAACGCGATAAGCTGGCCTTCATTCTGCGCAAATCCACAGCCCAGATTCCATGCTATACCAGGTCACACGATCAACTTTCAGCTTGAACGCTCGAGACAAGGGTGCTTACCGAGGTACCATAAATTCGCAAGCTGAAGAACCCGCGAACGGCCAAAGATCTCACTTAATGGCCCGAGGAATAAAGGTCCACATGCTGCCTTGACGTCAGTCTCGTAACCCTAGCACTGAGTAACAGGCTTACCCACCATACGCTAGGACAAAGACGGACGTCAGCAACGCGATGACGGCACTGTTGGTTATGCCAAATTGGGCCGCGATTTGATCGCTGGCTGGTGCCATCATTGACGATGAGACTGGACTAATAAATGTGAACGCGGACACGATGGCGGTCGCGGCCCATTTCTTCTTGAAACTCCAGCTAATCCCAGTCAGATTAATGTAGTCCTTGAGATAATTCCTGGACGTACTCACTTTTTCGGGTTTTCAGGGTCGTCTGGTCCTTCCCAGTCGACAATTTCGACCTCAATATCTTCGTCTGACCCAGTGTTATTCTGGGCGTCGGACATGCCTTGGGCGTTCTCTGAAGGCACACTGTGCGAGACGGAATTTTCGGGCTCCTTGACGGGCGCTTTCTCTGGCTCGTCCTCGCGTAATGTGGGGGTGGCGGACACTGGGCGTGATTCACGGCTTGATGACATCACTCCGGATTCACTCAACTACACTATGTACGCCGAGTGGTCTGCGAGTGGGGAGGGGATGTGGCCGATGCGGGGTCAGGCAGACGCAGAACGCCCCGACGATAGATTCTTATACTGTCCGACCAAGTCAGCGGCATGGCTGGAGGCGGCAGCGCTAGCCGTGGAGGTCCATGTCTGAGTGGGCCCATCAAACAGCCGACATCAAGCCGATCCTCCGATATGGGCGGCTAACGGCCAACGGGCCAGATCTCGCCCTCAAAGAGCCAATCAACTGCCCGTCTGTAGATCGGGACCGTGCCGATTAGGACGTCACTTCGGCAGCTGGCCGATGTCCGTCGTGCCGGATCTCCATTCCATGTTTATCACGTCCGCCGCAGCCGTGATGCCGCCTGCATACTATCTCACGGTGCTTCTTAAAGGTCATCGACATTGCTCGCTTGCCGCTTCAGTCGGACGCTCTCCTGCGATGCCATAACGAGGGAGCCAATGTTGCCGTTGAGTGAAGTGAAGGTGGCCTTAGGGCATCTGTATTTCACATCTATAGGTGAGCGCTGCCTTAATCTGACGGGGTCATTTTTGAGGCGCCGACCAACATGTTGGGAAAACAAACCAACGGAGTTCCTCCAAAATGATCGCGTCTGTGGCACTTGATCGCAATGGTCGCGCCTATGTCTTGACATGATGCATGCGCCGGCATGCTCGACTTGAAGCAAACATCCCTATTTATACCATACCTCTCTTGCTTGCATTGCCATTGTATATTTTGGTGTGATCTCAGAGGGACTGGGCATCGCTCAAATACTGACTAACAGGGTTGTTAGCGAGCTTACAGAGCAATCTTTATGGGCGTTAAATGCGCGTTAGTGCGCGTTGTAGGTTCTTTACTTACGACGCGTCCTAGTAATCGCGTAGCGTCGTGGTAACATGACTGCCCCTTGCGTAACTGTGGTTGACCCCAACGCGCTTCAAGGTGACCGGCATCTCGGCTAGTGCACCTCGAGCCTTGAGTCAAGCAACTGCAAGACTTGGTCTCGTCCCGCCGTATCTGTACACCACCGCGAAAAGGGATCTGGATACGAGACCCACTTGGCTCCGTACTGCGGACTGATCCCGGGTAGCAACCGCATCGTCAACAGTGCGATACAATTACACACGATGCGCACAATATTAATCATGTCGGCGCCGGCGAGTATGACAGTCAATGGATGACTAGGTTCGATTGCTGACAGGGTGTCTAGAAAGAGATTTGTTCATACACATGCATAGATAGCAAAACGACAGCTAAAATCGACAAAGTAATACACGTCCGGAATACCATCCGGAGCTTAGCTCCAGGACCAGCGGGATGCAAGCAAGATATCACACCTTCGAACGAAATTGTGCATGAGCGTAACCATCATCTCCTACATAGGCACGTTCTCCTTCCCGCGCAGGATGTCTCTTACCGGACTGTGTGACTGCTTCCTCGATGACGCCTTCAAGGCAGACGGGAGGAACGGCTTGTCGTCTCCAAAGCTGACGTCGTCCACCGCATCCCACTCCTCCTCCAGCAGGCTCGGCTGTCCAGCACCCAAGCGCATGGGAGAGTCCGTTTCAGCAAGAGTGGACATTGGTGCGTCAAACCCAGACAACTGTAGGCGATCCCGTTGACGCTGCGCGAACACCGCGGCCGCGCCTCCTGGCGTCGGCATGGGGGGATTGAGCTTGGTTGATGGAGGGGGCAAGGCACTGCCCAAACCTAGAGCGTCGAATTTGCGCACGAAGGCTGCTAAGGCTTGGCGTTCATCCTCGAGCTTCATGCGCGTCTGCCGGGAGGTGAGCAACGCTACACAAGGCCCGTAAGGACGAAGGGCGTCACCTTCTTCTCCTTTTCCAGCTGTTTCACAAGCTCATCTGCCCACGCCTCCTTCTCCTCGCGCCGCCTCACCTCCGCTTCGAGTTTGGTAATCCATTCCCTCTCCACATCCTCGCGGACCGCGCGCAGCGGCTCGCCGAGGTTGTCCTCGTAACCGTTCACGACGATCTCTAGCTCGCGGATCGTCTTGGCTTGTCCAGCTAGAAGCCTGTCCTTCTCGCCCTCGGGAGCATCTGGGGAAAGCTGTGGGCGTGCGAGCAGCGCAGCTTCAAGAGAGAGTATCTGCGTGGACTGTATCTCCATCTGCCGATGAGCTGCAAGAAGCTCTTGTTGTAGCTGCCAACAGCGCGTATTATCAACATCTACCAGCTAATGCAGGCGTCCAGCCTACCTGGTACGGAGACATGTCGAAGTCAATTTTGGTGGGACTGGCAGGCCGCGACTCATCTCCCCTGGTCTCATCAACAGTTTGGCTGGTCAGGATGAGCTTGGTGAGTTGTCTAATACGCGAATTCAGGTCATTCATGGCGCGCGACTCATCGAGTTGCTGCACCACATAGCCAGCGATCAGAGCACAGACAATGTATAGAAGAGTGACACGCACCTCTCGAGCAGACAGGCGGCGGTTGGTGGTAGGTGCATTGGCCTCCTTCTCGGCGAGCCGCTTCTTGAGCTCGTCGATCTCCTTCTTGTATCGTTGGAGCAACGCCTCCGTGTCAACGATCTCTTTCTTCTGTGCGTTGAGCTATGGCTGCTGTCAGTTGCTTGTTCTCATATAGTAAGTAGACCAAACAACTTACCTGGACTTTCTTGATCCTTTGCGCGAAGAGCAATGTGCTGGTAGACTCGCCAGTAGCCGTGGCGTCGGGGTTGATGGTGCAAATGACCGATATTCGCGCATCACCGGATAATGAAGGCTGGAGCATACGGGTCAGCTTCGAGTTGCGGAATGGCACATGATCACTGGAGACAAAGCGCGGTCAATATTAATTGTCATGTCATATGCTACCGGATTACTCTTCTCACTTCTTGTTTTTTGCAGAGTTCTCCGCAAGGGTTCCAATGACTGTGCCCAAGGTCAACAAACTAGAGATGGCAGTTCTTCAATAAATAATCACGTTGTGGCAGAGAAATGCTGAAGTACGTGCCTGGTATTGATGTACTTGCCTTCGCGTGTTCGTTCCTTGTCAGAAGTTGCTTTCTCAGAACCTGCAAGATCAATCAAGCTCTGTGCACGATGAGTCGTCTTAGCATAGTGGCTGTGCAAGCAAGCAGCAATGCATTACCAGCACAGACGTCTGTACACTACGTCCGCCCTTCGCTTGCAACCGCGGTCCCCCAGGCGTCGGCGGTCGGAAGCCTGGCGTCGATCGACCGCTAGGGGCCGAGTCTGAGCCAGAGCCAGAGCCAGAGTTGCGCTCCCTGCTCTCAATGACGACGCGGAATACACTATGACTCCGACTACTGCGCTCATTCCAGTCCGTACTGGCGGTGCGCCGGTTGCCCTCGCCGCGATGTAGCACCTCCCGTACGCCCTTGAGGCTCGTGACGACCTCCTCGCGGAGCGGCGTGAGGACGATGTTCGCACCAGTGCCCTGTATTTGCACCGGCTGCGAGACGCTCGAAGACGGCGGCGCGAGCAGGTCGTGGATAGCCTCATTATAGATCTCGAGGTATGAACAACGTAGAAGGTATTCACGAGTAGGGGTCCGCCGGATGTATGCGAAGATGTCCTTCATAGCGCGGGGTATAATTCCGGGCTGATCTTCGTCACCCGTCTAGATGGCAGGACATCTAGTCTCGTCACATTATTGAGCTGGGGCTTGGCACATACCAAGGTGAACGTCTTGCCGCTTGCTGTCTGCCCATAGGCGAATATGACTGAGTTGTAACCATCCATGGCGGCGCAGACATGGCTACGAGCAACCGCGTTGTACACAGGCTTATTCTCAGAGCCTGTCAGAACCTCATCAAACCGGAAATCTTGTGGAGGGTTGGCCGTCGTCTTAGCGTATTGGGGGTCGAGCTTGATGCTCTTTGGAGTGGTGTCGGCGACTTGCCATGCCGATGTTGCGTTAGTGGGCCGGATCCTGTATACAGTGTGCAGCTGCTGTGCTACATATACCGTTCGCCAACATCCCTACCTTATGGATACGAGAACCTTGTCTTCCTTGCCGTAGTCCGCCAGGGCGGACTCGTCGATCTCACCGGAGATATCGCCCGGTTCCACAGTCTGGAAGTCTACCAGAGCCTCTTCCGGGTCTACTCTACTGACGTCCATATCGCTCATCTTCGGAAAAGGAAGCGGGCTCTCTGCCCCTCTGCGTGGTGTAGTCGGCGTCTTAGGTCTCGAACCAGAGGAGCTCGACCCGTCCGTCTTCGTAGGCGTGCCAGGCACAGAGGCCAGCTTGGGTCTGGGCTTGCTAACGTGTCTCGTGCGAGACTCCGTGGACAGAGCAGCCTTGAACTTCTTCGCAGAACCAAGGAGGCTGGGGGTCGTCGATCGCGGGATGCGGCCGGTGTTCGTGAGGTCATCGCTAGAGGCTGAGAAGGGTCGTTTCGGCGTGAATGGCACAGAGCGCGTGAACTTGCTGGAGCTTGAGGAGGAGGATGAGGTCGCCATTGCAGGGTATATCGGAGAGCGTCGTGCGCCGCGGTAGGCGCGCTATGTTGGGATGTGAACCGTGGAAAGAACATGGGGACGCGACGAGCGCGTAGCGTCACGTGCCCGCGATCAGACGGCGCTCAAAAAGTCATAAAGCCTCGTCGAGGCCGTTTTTTCTTCTCATTCGTCTTCCTTGTATTCCCTGTCGCTGCCTGCTGGGTTCGTTGCTATTTTGTAGCGGATTTCATACGGTGTATGACCCCTCGGGTGCTGGACGCTTCTGAAGGTAGGAGTACTCACTATGGTATGGGTATGTTGAGCAAGAATGTTGGTGAGTACCCATATCCATTTAATGCGCGTATACAAATCGCTGTCGATGATTCTATTATGATTTAATGAGCCCAATTCGCCTTGGCGAATATGACCAAGGTGGATGTGACGACAATTTTTTACTGAGACATTATTCTATTTTCACCATCTATTGGATTCTTTCTATCAACGTCCAAAATGCTGATTACCACACTTCTAGGTATCGTCTTCACCGTCTTTGGCAAGAGTGGTTGTTTCAGAATGAGGTTATGGCGGAGTTGCTTCCTTCGTTGCCCTGCTTCTTCAGTTCTGTCACGGGTGCCCCGAATGAAATACAGTTATCAGTACAACGATCAAAGGGTCTGAGTGTTATGCGTTCCTTGATGCTGCTGGTGATGACACTGGAAACCGCATATGTGTGAGAGGATTCGACGTAGTATGCCCACATTTGATGCCTGTATTAGACAACCCCAGAGCACTTCCCTCCTAGTCTGCGTTGCTAAATTCATACGGACATGGATGACAATCGGTTCATCTGTTCTTTCCCCGAAGCATGAAGTCTCGAAGTGTTCGTAATCGTTTGTGTATCTTCGTATCTACTCTCGTCTCAGGACAAATGTGTTTCATGCCCAACCAATATTTTTGGTTACGTGTCAAAAACACTCCATCATCATCATCAGGCAGACTCAAAGATGTAATGCAGGAATTGAGTGGCCCGTTATATTGGAAGCACCCTACGTCGACATTATACACGACTGAACACTATTAACCATGATGTACTACTTTAGTAAGTCCGTGTCACTAAAGTTTGTCCAAAAGTTCGTGCGTGACCGTCAGAGCATAAGTCCACAGCACATTAGTCCGATGAAGCATTGTCCTAGGATTCCTGCGAATCCTGCAATTGATCGTTATGCATACGCATAGTTACTGCGTCTTAAGCCTCGTCATTGATGATGGTGAACTGGGGACTGTAATTGCCGGAGTCGCCGAATACTTGAAATCAACAGTAAGCACGGCTGATACTGTGATGAGAGGGAGATTAAGCTACTCACGGACAATGGCATACTCATTCCCCGTGGTGACGTTGGGTGCGGTCACCTCATAACTACCGAGGAGGATAGAGAAGTTGGCAGCAATTGGGTTCTCTGAGATGCGACACATGAGTCCTATAATTACTGAGCATTAATTAACCGGAAGCTTACCGTAGTCCTGGAGGCCATTCGTCGCAAGTACAATGCGGCCGTACTTGTTGGTGATGTTAACGGGGGCACCCGCGGTTTCCCTGCAAGCGCTAGTGAGAAGAGGCTGGACATGCACACCACCAAGACACTTACCAAGTGACGTTGTACTTCTCGCCCGCGTACCATACCGTGCTCGCATTGGGCGAGGTGATAGGGGGTACAAAGACGTCACGCGCCACATGAACGGGGAACGCAGTGACAACAGCGAAGATCGAAAGCAGGGAAACAAGGAAGAAGGTCGTGAACTTGTTCATGGGCATCTCGTAAAGCGTTGGTCGTGAGTGTGCAAGGGATTTGCAAGCGAGTTGGGTGAGCTCAGCTGGGGAACACAGCGCGGAGCGGGCTTGCTTATATAGGGCTGTCGCGCCGGGTGCAGCATGCCGGCAGCGGCCGGATTGCATTTGCTCATCAATTCCTTGAGCGCCTTGGCGTCCCGATCTGTCCTGCGATCCGCTATCCGCTCCACGGGTGCGGCATGTTGCCCGCTCGAGGCCTCGTAGGGTGTCCCTCGCATGACCTTCCCGCACCGCATTCGACTCCCTCAACGTTCAAAGGGGCTCATCTGCACGGCCAATGTTCATCAATATCTCTGCACCGCTCTCATTAACCGTGGTCGGCGTAATGTTGTGCAGACGGAACTGAAGCTGCTGTGTCATGGGAGCTGCGCGTTGCGTCTAGCCGCCTGTTCTCCAGAATTTTCTATATTCGTCTAGAGCGAACCACCGTCTTCTCTGGTCGATCGGCAGCGCTTCTCGGGACGTCTCTGCCTGCGATGGGCATGGGGCCGCGGACTGCAGTCACCGCTGCCTTAGCATCGCCTCTTTAGTACATGAGGTCGCAGGGCTAGACGATTACTGTCAGCATTTTGAGGTTGCACGCCGAAGCTGCCAAAACCGCCCTTTGCAGTGAGAAGCATCCGCGTAGTATCCACATACAATTCGTGAAGTTAGCAGTGCGAATGAGATTCCAAGCTCAGCGCTCAAGACCAGGCCCAGATTGTCTTTCACACCGCGTCCGATCGGTGCCCGGCCTCGGACGTCAGAGCTATGCGCACAAATGAATCCCGAGGCCTTCGGGACGGCACCTGACAAAACGAAGCAAGTCTCACTCGTGCATTATCGGCTAGCCTCTCTGGATCTATTGCCCTCTCATTGTCTCGTACCCATCCCCCCGTATCCGCACCCCACCACCGCGAAAAGGGGGTCTGGGGCAGTTAGATAGGCGCACCCCCCCTGGATTAAGCGCCCTACAAGCGCCGGAATGTAACGGTCACAGTAGGCTTCTGGTACCTAGAAATGACGCGATCTTTGATCGCGTTCCAAATCCGGTACTCACACCTAGCAGGTCGTGCTCGAGACTGGTGGACGCTACATTGTGGTCTGCCACAGAATCTCAAGTTTACTTGTTTCAAGCATCTTAGATAAGCCCCACATACTATATCCACCAGCAACCTAAGTATTTCATGAGATATACCCCTCCAGTAACATCATGAGGATGCCACAGATACTGAAAGGAGAAGTTGCAGCTTTCATCATGATGCTTTCCACATGATACTTCATTTGGTCATAGAATTACAGGCTGAGTTTTGCATAGATATTTTTTGTGTGGCCTTTCAAGTATTTTACAAGCTCAGGTATGCCTTTGTTGACACTTCCTCGAGCACGACCTGCTAGGTGTGAGTACCGGATTTGGAACGCGATCAAAGATCGCATCATTTCTAGGTACCAGAAGCCTACTGTGACCGTTACATTCCGGCGCTTGTAGGGCGCTTAATCCAGGGGGGGTGCGCCTATCTAACTGCCCCAGACCCCCTTTTCGCGGTGGTGGGGTGCGGATACGGGGGGATGGGTACGAGACAACCCTCTCAGTGCTTAGCGGTCAGCTGAGACCCCGGTTCGCATAGCGGCCAGGATCGCCTCATCCGATGCTGTGCCTCCCCGGGTAGTCGGCAGACCCCCCAAGTCGGCAGTCACGTAAAAGTAACACATCCATCACGATTACGGTTGGCGGGTGGGCGCAGGTCAAGATATGGTAACTAAATATGGGGTCCTGCCTCGTGTGGTACCCCGTGATAGATCTCAGCGTGACAGAGCCTCAGACAGACCATTACGTAACTTAAACAAGGGCTGAATTCTGCTCGACGGCATCGGCGGCATGGGAGATGGGGCGCTTATGTAACCATAACTGAGTGATAGATGCTTGGAGACCTATGCTATATTCTCAAGGTATGAGCAGTATTCGCGCCATATGATACAAATAAATGAGTTACTCGCTTCTCAGGAATAATATGCAAGCACTGAGATCTGAAGGCTTGAGGTGCGACAGCGCAAAGTGTACTATGCCAATGTCCGATTACGTAAGGTCCTGCTTCGAGTCTGTAAATATACACATCTTTCAACTCCATATATATCTCCCTCTAGCCTTGTACATTCTCCTTCTAAAGTACAATTTGAGTAAATATAGCCGGTCAAATACCATAGTAATTGTGCATCATGATGTGCTTGAGAATATTAGTAAAGTTGCACATATACAGGCTGGCACATTAAGTTGTGTACGACACGCCAAGTAAACGCAACCCAATTATTTCTTGATACCATATGCTCAGCCATCTTATCATGATAACGGTCTTAGGTACATACTCCATTTTGGTATTCCAATGGATGATTTGCTTGCCAAAGGTATCTTATGTAAGCATGATATAAGCGCGGATATCACACACAGTATCGATAATGGGAAAATATATAGACCATTACCGTCACTAGACGTTACAACTTAGTCACTCTGAGGACCCCGGCAAGACCCGATCAGTGGCTGAGGCACGAAGTTAGACCTGCGCCCACCCGCCAACCGTACACGATCCATCACGCGTGATATTTCAAGGTCCGCTTAGCCAACGCTTGTGATCGGAAAATGAAACTCCGACACAAGCTGTTACAACCGAGGCGTACACCAGCGTGACAACGGCTTGAGCTGGTCCTCAGGAAGGGACTCCAGAACTGCTGCACCGTTCGCTTTCGTTCAAGCTGGAAATGAAAGCAGGCATACGAAAACCTATGTCTATACAAAAGCACGAAGGTAATCGAGTACTGTGGAGGGAGATACTATGAAATTGCCGACTTGGGGGGTCTGCCGACTACCCGGGGAGGCACAGTATGCCAGGAAATGTTATGATGTTGTGCCTGTACTCGAGGCCGATGCTCAACTGCAGGCGCGGAGTGTCTTGCCCTTGTGGGGACGTCGCACCCTGCGAACCCGGCGCAGAGTTCGGTCTTCGGCCAACTTCGGAGGCGCCTCAGCGTAGTTGCGCAGGCTCCGCGGGGGTAAGTATCCACTCCATGACGAAGGCTGACGTGCTCGCTGCTGAGTTTGCGGAGCACCAATCTATTTAAAAGACTACAAATTGACATGACGACTTACGCAGAATCATTTCAGTACGTGTGTCGGATTACCATGCTGTGTCCTTGGCTGGCGATTTGCGTGAAAGATCCCCGGGGTATAGTCCAAGGGTGGTGCATCGACCTCTGGCGCTGTCTGAGCTGCTGTTGCCTAAAACAGTGTAACAAAACATCGTATAACGATTCTACAGCGGGAAGAAGATCATTGTGTCGTTCTGACCTTGCTATCCGTCGGAACAGCTCATGCTCTACTGACATTGAATGAGCCCATACCTAGGATCTATCATTATTCCATTTGCAATGTATCGACACGTACCGCTCCCGATGTGTAACGAGTATAGGACTCATTATGTCATGATGTGATATATCCGAATGCGACCAAGCATCCTAAAGCATGTCCTCCCAGTCTGCCTATCTTGAGGATAAAAGGTTCTGTATCGAGCCTGTGTTAGCATAATCCAGGAAGCCCGTCCATGTCTGGACAGCACACAAGCAGGGGCTGAAGAAAGATGCGCCACGCCCCGGGTTGAACATGGGAATGTGTGGTCAAAGGTGGGCTGTCAAGTATTAAGCGTACCTTTGCCGTTGCCGGAGAATGGGAAACACTGCCAGTCATACCTTCAATCGCCTCCATTTGCACACTGCCGCCCAAAGAGCGTGAATACATGCGTCGTGAAAAGGGAGTCTTCCGAGGCCAGACATGGATGATACCGCCGTTTTTATTAACTCTGGACCCGTGGAGACTGTCAATACACGTCTTCCAAATAGGGAACCTCATTACTATCATGACACCAAAAGACAAGCCAGGAATTAGGCGGCGACAACAGACTGTTCAGTGAAGACACTTGAAACATCAGTAGATGTAGGGAATGATACGATATGGCACAAGGGTCGTGTATTTTTCCCAGTCCTTGCCATACCTGCGAAGCAGATAGACGATCAGTGATGAGCCTTCTCAGGGAGCGGATTGCCTCACTTTTTCTTGCAGTTCTCGTCATCCCGCATCTGCCTGTGCACGAGCAGCACGAAGAAGTACATCACGTAGAAGTAGGTGATGGGTGTCTCGAAGCCAGTGGGAAGGGACCATGCCAGAGCCATCACGAGGTCGCCGCTAGAAGCACCGTCAGACCACCGCACGGAACACATGTCAGCATGCGACCTACAGATAATTGGGGTGCTGCAGCCACCCCCACCAGCCAGAGATAAGGAGCTTCGAGCCACGTTCGGTGGTCATGTACTTGAGGTCTTCGCACGCACAATTAATGTCAGCTGACAGTAGACAGCCAGGAAGAGGGCTTACTCTTCGGGTTGTAGCCGTTGCGGAAATCGTTCTTCTCGCCATTCGCTCCGCGGAAGATCCAATAGCCAAGCAGGTTCACCGAGACGACGGCTCCAGTCCAGATAGGGCCCAGCTCCAGCTGCTTGAAGACCAGGTAGCGCGCTTGTAGCGAGTACACGAAGGGCACCCAGGTGAGATCCCCGACAGACAGCATGAAACCGAACCCGTCGGTTGTGATATCCATTGTAGTGAAGATCGCAGGCTATGCAGTAGTCTGAACTTTGCAGCCATGCTTTCACGATGTGCGTGCACGTACCTCGTTGTATAATGAGTCGGCCACATACCAGAATTGGAACAGGCACGCCAATCCCATCGAGTCGGTAATGCTGCCACCACGGCGTACGGCTTGCTCACATGCCATACTGATATCGATCAGGACCCACAGAATAAGGCCGGGACGGAGTTCGTTGAAGGACTTGATATCAAAGGAGCCAATGGAGGGGTTCAGCTCCCTGCCAATGAAGAACTGCATGTTGTTGGTTAAACATCCTCAGCCACATGTGATGAGAAACGTACGTCGTAGATCACATTGCCACTGTTGCCACCTAAGGCGAGAAGTGCGCCTTGACGGAAGGACGCAGCGTAGCATCCCGCCGCTTGTACTACACTCATGAGCAGCGAAGCCGTGACGAATCCAATGAACTTGTCATAGAGGAATGTGAACGACTCTGGCCCGAAACGCCAGATGTAACCAGAAGTGAGTCCTAGCGTAAGCAGGAATGTTGAGAATGCTAGGGATGGATTAGATGATGTAGGGTCAAGATTGTTGTGTTCAAAATCACCATTGATTTTGTACAGCTTCTTTCCGCCGTCGCGCAACTGTGACCCCTCTACCCAGTCTCCAGGAAGGATTGCCCACGCCAAAACACAGAATGCATACCAGCCCAGGTAGATCAGTGCTGCCTGCGTATCCCAGAGACTTTTCCAGAAAGAGGGATCGCTTAAGGTGTCAATGACCGCCGGGTAGGAAATTCGAGGCGGGCAGCCACCTGAGGTTTCTGAACATCCGAAGTAAAGGGCATATGCTGTGATGGGAACGAAAACGGTCACAAGCAATGCACCAGGAGGGCCGAGGAATTCGTAATGGGTCGTCCTGGGATTGAGAACGGTCGTGGAGGTCAACGCCATAATGCCAGGATGGTGGAAACGGCGTAACCGCGACGCGTCTGAGCGCCCTGAGTTTTGAGGCCACGGAATGACGCGACGGGGATTGTGACACGATCGAGGCCACAAATGCGTGATAACCATCTAATCTAATCTAAGACGGAAATGAACTTCGCTCTGAGGGCTCAGTAGAAGTTGCAGTTCTTATGTAAAACCCCAGTATTCGGGCATCGAGTCTCACAATAAACGTCAAACCTGTGAAGAGCTCAAAATATTGTGTGTCCATACATGATTGCGCAACCAACGAGTTCAGAATTGATATTGTGACCAATCTTGCCATAACCCCATTTTGGGCTTAGAAGAGACACAACCTTAACCCTATCATGAAGTGACATGAGGCATCTGGACCTCATGATACATTGCTTCAGCCATTATGAAGTGCTGATAGTGATGGGGTTTTTCTCTTCGAGGAGGGCCGAGCACTTCGACAGCAATCTTCAAGATGAAAGCAATGTTCTGCGCGCCTTACGCTCTAGATTCGTGGGTGGATCTATTCGTCTGGTCTACTTGCTATACTGAAGGTCTCCCCAGTACGGCAAGGGCAAGGGCAAGGAGCGCGACATTGACGGCGACTCACTATCGAACTCACATTCACCAACATCCTTCGCTTCACCTCACGCTCCTTATGTAGAAAAGCAATCATTTTCGACCTCCAGGCCTCGTGTCTCGAAAGACTCGCATTGGGCAGGCACCTCAACGTCCGCGTCTCGCCCACAACATGACGATCGTGTCGACGAGGCTACCAACCCTCGTTCGTCCGCAGACGTCCTCACGTCAGTATTACTATTGGCGATGCCACGTCATATATCTAATGCATCACAGGATTACACTTGCCCAGCGACTGAACGAGCTGGCAACGGCGAATGCAGAGGGTCTTCTCAGGTGAGTGTGCTCTTGCTTATAATCTCTGGCAACGTCTCATAAAGTCGGAAGCGACGAAGAGTACCGGCTGCTTCGCCAAAACCTTTTCGAGAGGCTCACGACTGGCTCCTCAGTGCCCACAGAGACACCTCTTGTACCTATGAACAACACTATGCGTGTGAATGCCGACTTACGCAGTGAGCTTCCATTCTACCTGAAACGAGGGACACGCTCGCTTACCAGTCCTGGTAGCTTCAATTTCTTCTTCGCATGACCGACGCTCGTCGTCCCAGTATCACCTCCAATCTTCGCGCACCTCCTCGCTACAGTCGAAGAAGTCGATATCCTCTACAGTCACCAGCCTATTACGCAGGGCGACTAGCAGGCGCATAGTGTCTCTTCCCAATGATCCACAAGCAAGTGATACCATGAGTGTCTTTTCGAAGGCATCCACCACAGAGCGCAATGGCACGACACCTCGTACAATCTCAAGCCAAACCAGCGACTCGTCCCTCCGGGATCATTCTCGTCTTCGATCCCGCCGCACTGTTGCTGGCGCTTCCACCGACGAGCGTCTCATGACCCTCAGTACTCGGAGTACGTCTCTTAGAAGGGGCCGTAAGCGGTCCGGTTCGTCGGCTCCTCCCTCTGCATTTCCTGGGTCGCCGAGATCAGTCGATACCAGCGCACACTTGGCGCTCCTGGACGGCTTGCCAAATGATGATGACCTTGAAACATCCAAAGACATCCGCACACAGCTTGAACTAGTGGAAGCGGAGGGCAGACGCCTCCTGGACGCGTTCAACGGTCTCGAGTTGAGTACGCTGACAGGGCGTACAAGGCGTCCACACATGCGTCCCCCAATACCGCTCAGTACTTCTCAAAATATCCTGTCGCCAACCGCCAGTGAGAGACGATCGATGCGTGGTGCCAGGGACCCTGACGCCATGTCGTTTGTTTCCGGCGGCTCTATACGGACGACTCATTCCATGAAACGATCTCCGTCTGACCGTCGAATTCCGCCCGTTCCATCTTCTGCCACACTAGGATCCCAGCACAAATCGGTCAGCCGCAAAGGGTCAATGTCGTCCATGTCGTCTCGAGGCAGACCCGGTATTGGCACTCTACCAGGCCTGTCATCACAACTCGGGCTAGCGAGCAGCTCAAGCGTGAACCTGACGAAGAGCTCTGCACATCTGCCTCTAGCCACTGTCGCCGAAGCCGAGAGTCCCCCAATGGGACATCGTCTCTCGGTCACGGAAGACTCAAGGTGGACTGGCGCGGGCAGCGACACGCTGTCTCCCACAGCGAGTATGCACAGCAGTCGCATCATGAATGAGGACGATGATATCAGGGCAATCGAGGCCGAACTAGTTGATATTCGGACACGGCGGGCGGAGGTAACTGCACGATACGAGGCACGGTTGGAGTATCTGCGTGCCAGACTCAAAGGTGCGGAGCTGCGTGAGAAGGTTATGCGCAAATGACCGGGAAACGGAAGGCAGGCGCAAAGGCAAGTTGGCGTTGCGCTGCTGGACGACTGCGACTGTACATGTCGATGTCCGCTCATTACTTACGATTATAATATAGCCCGTGGATTTGTTTGATGCGCTGCTATCAGTATTCTTAGCTTACTTGGATAGTCCCCCCTGTATAATGACCTCGAGTCTACGATACCACCTCAGATTTTTAACGCTTGTTCTGAATATTCATGCATACGCCAGAGTTCAGCCGGCTCTTCGGAGTCTCACGTTGTGATTGGACGGTATGGTATTGTCATGTGATCTGGCTATATTGAGCCTTGCTCGGACTGCGTCCGTCGAGACTTGACGGCGTCACTTTACCTGCGCGTCGTTCACACTGCCGTCCACGACGCCAATGTCCAACATACCAGACCCGGAGTCTGAGGGCGCTGCGTCGCCCGCGGCGACGCCTGCAGTGACGCCGACCACGTCCACCTTTGTCGGTCGCCTGCCCCTCCATCGCAGCGTAAGTCGCGGGTCGCAGTGGTCCATACCGGACACCCCTCGTCACCACCACCAGGGTACTTCATACTTCCCAGAAACGTCCAGACCCGTCTCGCCGCGCCTCACGACACATTCTATGCGGAATGCCTCCTCGAACTCGAAGAGACGTCGGCCAGGCAGGAGCACCAGTATCACCAGTTCGCATGCGACTGCGCGGGGGTACGGCGAGGAATCAGAGATACTTGGCGAGGAGGCCGAGGAGGAGGATGACAGCGATAATGTCATTGTGGAAGAAGACGGGGAGCACGCTCATCACGACGGAGACGAGGAGGACGAGCCAGGTTCGCTCCGAGAAGACGACCCGATAACGCTCAGAGACCGGCAGTCGCTCATCAATGTCGAGCATCCCTTTGGTTTGCCCATTTGGAAACCTGCGCTGTACAAGAAGTCGAGGTCCGTGACTCGCTATGCCGATCAGGCGCTGCATTCCATTCCTTCCGCTCAGGCGGAGCGCCATCTACTGCCAGGGAACATCCTCTGGACGATCATATTCGGTTGGTGGCTCGCTATATGCTGCTTTCTTGTGTCTGGTGTCCTCTATCTTGTCCCAAGAGGTGGCAAGCAATATTCGACGCTCGTGTTCGGCCTTGGATGGTATATCGCCTGGCCGTTCGGTAAGTATGTGGAAAGCGACGTTGGCTCTTCACCCGCAGAGGATGAGGAGGCCGGAGCTGACACCATCGTTGAACATCCCGACGAGGATGAGGCCGAACGTACGCACCAACCGTCGGTGTCCGAGGAGAGTGACACGGAATCTACTCCCCGAGGGGATGTCTCCGAATCTAGCCATGACACGGTGACTCCTGGAGTTAATGTCACGACGTCTGCTCCTCCGACTGTCACTCCTCGCACGATTCAGCATCCTCAAGTTAGTTCTTGGAACGATGTGCCAGGAACAGCGGCATCGACCGCTACCACTGCGTTACTGGGAAGGCCGACAGGTTCCAGGCTCAAGCCATCCAAATCATACGGCGCTACCCAGTCCACGCCTATCTCACCGCCTCTAGCATACTCTATTGGCATCTCGGAAGGCAAATTCAGCGACTGGCTGGGGAAGTTGGTCTTTCGGATTCTGTTCACCTGCTTCATTGCCCCCCTCATGCTCACTGTCTCTGTCATTTGCTGGGCCCTCGTCTTCACCATCCCCATGGCGAGGTTGAACTGGGCTCTTATCAGATACTTAGTTGAGCAGCCCACACGCATCCGTTTCTGCGCAGCCCCTGCGGTGGCTGTCGCGGAGCATCGGGAAGGCGGGGCAGCATCTGGCAACACTCCCGTCTCATACAAACCTGCCAGGCTTGCCGCGGGCCAGACAGCACCGTTCGGATCGCCTACGTCCACCGTCCTGCTGTGCACATACAAAGCGTTTGGCTGGAAATACTACAAGTACACCGTCGGTGGTGTGAATATCCTCTTTGTGAACCTAATGCCGATTGTCTTCTTCGTCATTTTCGATGGCTTCATCCTTCTGCATTTGGCGGAGAGGAAGGAGAATAGTGGAGAGCATGTGCCCGCGGTCCTCGCGTTTCTGACATCGCGTGCGCTCATTTTCGTCATGAGTCTGCTCAGCGTTATCCCGCTGTCATATTTCATCGGTATGGCGGTTGCGTCCATCTCGGCACAGTCCTCGATCGGTATGGGTGCCGTCATCAACGCGACCTTCGGTTCCGTCATTGAGGTCATCCTATACTCGATCGCACTTACGCAAGGCAAGGGACACCTGGTGGAGGGTTCTATTGTCGGCAGCCTGTTAGCGGGTGTGCTGCTAATGCCCGGCGTAAGTATGTGCACCGGCGCGTTCAGGACAAAGGAGCAGAAATTCAATGCGAAGAGTGCTGGCGTGACCAGCATGTTGTTGATTATGGCGTTCATCGGTACACTCGCTCCCACTTTGTTCTATCAGATTTACGGTAGCGTGAGTGATCACACAATCATCGTGATGCTAGCTCTAACTGGTATGCGTGGTCTAGTTCCAACTCATCTGCGACGGCTGCCCGACAGATGGCAATAGCAATCCATGGACATGTCAATTCTGCTATTACAAACATCCCGATCCTGTCGATGATCCTTTCTATCAGTCCACTGTCAAGACGTTGATGTACTTCTGCGCTGTTATCCTACTGCTCGTAAGCTGCGTTCTGGCAGGCGAAATAGCATCAGTGTCGCTGACCATCGCGATCAGTCGTATCTCATCGGCCTATGGTTTTCGCTTCGGACACACGCAAGCCAGATCTGGCAAAATCCTCAGCAGCTCTTGCAGCACATGGATTTCCCTTCACAAAGTGGCCAGAATCGTTTATCGGTCTATCACAGACTTCTTCCTGGAATACATGGTCAGTCGACACAGCGCTTCTCGCACTCGCTGCAGCACAAGCCCAGCATTGTCACTACCGTCGACAGCGTCCCCGAATCCAGGAGCTTGACTCCGACTCACTCCTCCTTCATAGCTCCTCAGAGTCAGTCGCAGTCTGCAACTAGTTCGACACAACTTCCTGCATCGTCATCCGGAAGACGCATCTCCTATGCTAATCCCCCGGTCATACAGACACAGGGGCTTACGCCCCTCATGGAAACCGTCGACCACGCCATCAAGGATACTGGCTTGCAACCCACGTCTCTACCGGCTAATATGACTACGGATGATTTCACAAGGGCAGTCGCCGTCGCGACAGTGAGCGCATTGAGGCACCAGCAACACCACTCGCGTTCACCCGCTAGGGTGCGTATCTCTGCGACGGAACTTGAGGCGGCAGCAGGTGGTCATGGAGGGCATGACGCGCCATCCTGGAGTCGGACGACTAGTGCTAGTGTCTTATTGGCATGCACAGCGCTCTACGCCATTATTGCAGGTACGCATTCGCACTCAGTTGATGGTGATGCAGCACTAACACGAAGCTTAGAATTGCTTGTTGACGTCGTGGATGTTGTCCTGGATGGCTCTGGTATCGATGAGAAGTTCTTAGGAGTGACACTTTTCGCGCTGGTACCAAACACAACGGAGTTCATGAACGCGATCTCCTTTGCTCTGAACAACAATATTGCTTTGAGGTTTGTCCGAGGAATTGGATAGCGGGGGATGCATACTAACTGCGGATCATTTGCAGTATGGAAATTGGATCGGCCTATGCTTTACAAGTCTGCTTGTTGCAGATTCCTGCCATGGTTGCGTTCTCCGCCTGGTATGCGCCGGAGAAGATGGGTTCGGTAGCAGACACATTCACGTAAGCCTTACTATCGTTAGATCTGTCGCCAATCTCACGAGGTGGCAGGTTGATTTTCCCGCGATGGGACGTGGTCGTCATCATCTTGTCGGTCTTCCTGTTGACATACACCTACATTGAGGCCAAGGCCAATTACCACCGGGGAAGTATACTTATTTTGAGGTGAGATATGAGTGTTGTGTACAATGTCACCCTGGCTGAAAACCTCTCCAGTTACCTTGTTCTGATTTCTGGTTTCTTCTTCGCGCCTAAGCAATCAGATCTGGAGCAGGACGGACTTACCATTCCCTACAATCTCTTGACGTCATACTTGCTCTCTCGTTAGTACAAATACCCTTTTCAAATATTCTACATGAGGCAATCCTGGATCAGCACTTCTGACCTTCATTATTATAACCCGTCATGATACATTGCACTATCGCTATGGACTTCTCGTAGTATAAGTCCCTTCTCGTACTCTATCAGTGTAAACTCTGAAGTCTCTCCAATACAGCTGTGATTTGTGCATGAGGCATCGTAACCCGCTCCGCTTCTGACTCGCCGCTCAAAAATGATGCAGTATCACGAAGAGTGAGATACTGCTCGACGAAGTCGCCATCTAAGAAGCCGAAGGCAGGCTCAGCGTCGCTGTGCCCCTTGTTATTCGCCGGTGCACGCCATCTGTATGAATGAGATGTCAATGCACGACAGGAACGAAAGTGATCTTCATCTTACCTGGGATGATGTACATCACCCGGACCGATTATGCTCTTCGCCATGTTGCGCTGCAGAGCGGTCATCTGCAACGCGATATGGTCGGCCATGTTAAGAATGACACCAATCCGACCAGTAGATGTGAAGAACAAATGAAGAGGCTTGATGGGAGCGTCACCCGAGAAGTCAGCCATAGCTAGGCCACCTAAAAGACAGTGTCAGTGCTAGGCGCAGGTACGATACAACCAGCATACCAGGCAGGAACTTGTTGACGACGTCTCCAAGATAATACCCGCCATCCCTCTCCAAAGTGTTACGTTGGCGGTCTACCGTTGGGCGAGGATCACGTTGGAGGGCAAATGAGAAGAGGTTGCAATCGCTCTGTAGAAACATATCAGGCGACGTGTAATATAAGCGAAAATGACATGCACACACATTCGCTCCGATCACGGCATCCTTGCCAATCGCTTCGATAGCCACGGGCCAGAGAGGACTATAGTCCCTTGCGATGGTCGATGGACGTCCTTCGCCTATCCTGAGCATTGAGATGGAGCAGATGGCATCTCCGACGATAACAACATCGTCCTGAGCCACAAGGGACGTCACCGTGTAGTTATGATTCCATTCTCCTATTTTATGGAAAGACATCGACGATCCATTGACAATCTCTGTCCTGAAAACAATGACCTAGGCGTCTAACGTGAATAGTGGAAAGCAATAGAATTTGCAAGTCTTACATACCGACGAATTCACTGCAGCGACAATCAGGCCATGCACGTATGCCGCTTGGTAGACGCAACCGTCAACAGTTGCCGAAGCTACTAATATCAATGCCGGATTGATGGCGGATACGGTGTCCTGCTGGGGAGAGAATGAGAACAGAAGCAGCCGACCCTTTGAGGGTTCTCGCTCGTCCGGATGAATTCTGACAGTGCCAACGCAGAACGAGGGTTTATCGCTAGCGCCGGCAGTAGGCAATGCGAGCACAGATGCCACCTCCTCATCCGGATCACAGTAGAATGAAGCAAGATCTAGACGTTCTGTAAGTCTTCGATCAACATGCACCGTAAGCAAGAACTGACTTGTGAAGGTGACATCATCGAACAACTTGAAAGAGCTTAGTCTCTCTTCCGCTTCAGCAATACGAGGCGGTGCTGCTCGCGTACACGCCACACCAAGAGTCTTGAGTCCTGCATGGTATGCGACCCGACGCGGATTGTCTAAGCCTAATGGCACCTGGCAGATCGTCAGATGTACTACTTACTCATGCCATACACAAATTATACTCACTGTTCGGATCTGCATCTTATCCACACCGCGCACGTTACCGATCGTCAGAGATGAGGAGGTAGCAAGGACCAGGCAGGATGGGAATGCCGCAGAGTTCAGACTTGCTCCCCTAGCCATATCCTACGCAGACTGGTCAAGGAATATCCCCTGAAGCCTTGGAAGCGACAGACCTTGAGCATGACAGGTGATTGATGCAGCCTCTGTCGATCCCAATACAGCACAGACGCTCTGCTGCCACTCGCGAAGATTGAAGTCTTTCCATCTGCCGTGCACGTTGTTAAAGCGACGGGAGCATTCCCTAGGGCGAAGACCTTCTTGTCTTTTAAATCGTTATCTTTGAAGATGAAGGACACCACGGTCCCGTCCGCCAGGCCCGCCAGTAAATGTGGCTGGAAATCGACGTCTTTACGGGTACGTCCGCTGCCAAAGTTGTACAGTAAAAGGGAACGAGGTAGCGAGGAAAGTGAGTCGGTCTCGCAGAGCGTGTTCAGGTAAGACGAGGCGGACTCGAGTGATAGAATGGCGACTCGGTTCGTGCCCCAGAACGATACCGCGATGTAGGTTGCGAACTTCTTGCTCGTGTCAAAGGGGTGACACGAGATTGCTGAAATCTCGAGAGGACCATGCGCAACATCAGAAAAGTCTCGAGATCTGCATACCCGTCCTGTGTTAGACAGACGAAAACTCCTGAAAAAGACGATGGCCTACTTCAAGACCTGGAACTCGTCGTTCTCGCCGAGGTTTAACAAAGTAAGCCTGCCTCCACTCAGGCCGATTACAAACTGACTTGCGTTGATGCTTGCTGCGACGATGCTCCGACCCTGTTGCTTCGCATCCCAGTCCTTGCCCGACGAAGCAAAAAGTCCGAGAGCGGCGTCGTACTTCACCAGATGCACTTTCTCTGGAGTGATTTGTACGACTAGCGATGAGTCTTTGTACGATGACGTCACCCTACCGCCGTTGTTGTTTGCTACTCTGCGCGGTATATTTGAGATCGCCAGTGTCGGCGAAGTTGCGATGAGCCCATCGTGAGACGGGTCGAGACGTGTGATGACATCGACGCCATCAATGCGCCATACGCACGTCTCGGTGAGGGTAGACGTGACGAGATGGGTGTCTGTACTGTAAGCGTGTCAGTTGTACGCCGTGCAAGTACAAACACACTTACGTGTCCTCGAACCGGGTTCGCAGAGGCCACATATCGACTACGTGTGGGACACCTTGCACTACAGCTCGCTCTTGAAAGTCGGCGCCCGTACGCACGACCTTCAGGGAGCCCGTATTACGGCCCCCAGAACAAGTTATAATCTGCGGCTAGATAATTATCAGGACGTTAGCATACAACGACACATGTGAAACTTTGCGATCCCTCACTTGACCACTGCCATCTAAATCGGCCAGGGCGGCATCCATGATAGGAGCGATATTCTGGTACTCATCCAGTACCTCAATATAGGTTCCCTTGACCTCGACGACCTTTCCTCCTTTGCCTTCCCCGCCGCTGTCTATGTCGAAGTCAGCCCTCTGCTTGCCCTTGTTCGACGGCGACAAGGCAGATGGCAACACCCTTGATATGCCGAGTGGTATGTGAAGGGTCTCAGAATCAACATTGGCAATGGGGGTTGGATGTATGCGAAGGAGTTGTGAATCGCCGAAGTGAGAGCCGACATAGACAACCTGAGATGCTAGATAAGACAAAGTAGTCGCTGGCGATGTCTATATAAAATTGGAGTTACTAATCAGACAGGGACATCGGTGTAGTAGAGTCGGACATACCTCTCCAACCGGAATTAGGACAAGACCCGGCGTCTCGTCAAATGCGAGCATGGCAAGCCGACCATAGGCATCACCCAAGAGGAACCTTCGACCATCATCATCCAAGGGGCACCATCTATGAACAAATCTCTCAGTCCTGGGCGCGATCAAGCTTCAATATGAATACACAGGCATACGCAGTGATTTCGCTCCATGGCCACTTGACACTCGCTTTCTGTTTCACCTTCCTCGACTCCCGCTCTTTCTCTTTCTCCCGCGCCTTAGCGGCTTCGGAAGGATCCCCGCTAGACATACGCTTCGACGCCCTCCGTTGCTTGCCTTTCTTCGCTTCCTGACGCTCCTCGGAGGCGTGCTCAAAAAACAGGACTTTACGGCCGCCAACGATGAGCACACCGCCAAGATGACTACCTGCGGTGCTATCCTCGTCCGCCTCTTGAGATGCATACGGCGGGACAGGAATAAGGAGAGGAGGAGTCTCAACTGTTGTCGCCGTAGGAAACACGCTCGTTGAGAGGATAGTTGGAGGAAGATGGTAGGACTGAGGAGCAGACAGGTCCGCAATATCAATGTCGCGGGATAATAGCTGCAGACGCTGCTGATGATCGTAATGGAGTATACCAAGCGTATACGCATCGGCATCTGTTCGCATGAATGTCATGGCCAAAAGAAAGAGTTCCGGGATGCTTGTGAGAATTAAGTCAGCCGGACAGCGTTCTATGACATCTCAGAAGCTTCACATACGAGATGTCAAACGGGACACCCGTCTGCTTTCCGTCTTCAAATTGTACAACCTTCAGGCGGCCTGTATAACAGCTTACTACAGCAACCTGGCCCGTCGGATCCACCGCCACGTCTGTGACAAACTCAGCCGGCCGCGCATAGCGGTCATACAGGTCCACAAACTCCTTGCTGACGATGCTTGAATTCCCGGAGTTATCCACGACGTAAGTGAGTATAATAAGCTTGGGATCTGGATGGTCCGTTAAGACCAGGAGATTTGACTGCTTTGAATCCTGCGACCACATCGTCAGATAGTGCATGAGATAATGTACTAACATGGCTCACATCTAGTGGTATCGCAGCAAGGGAGACAATGCGACCCCATATCTCGAGGCTACATTCACGACGCAGGCCTTCCGGCCGTAGAGAGAACACTTCAAGCCTATTGGCCTTCGCGACAACAAGGTGCTCCTGCTCTTCTGCTAGGCTGCATTTCAACGAACGAACAACGGAAGAAGGGGGATGGAATGTAGTGACGACCCTCATATCCCCAACGCTGAGACCGTATTGTGAGCTGAGCTGAGCTACCAGCCTGGGTGAGCGCCGGTAGCCCGATCATGAGCAGGGTACTACGTCACATGATTGCCGCTATTTCGCCGCGAGCTCGGTAAGCTTGAGACCACAGTCAAGAATCCGGCGTTCATATAAGTAGGCAATGAGTGTACTATCACACGTATAGCCCGAGCCTCGTCTTGTACTCCAAAAGCTTTGACAAGTGGCCATGAGCATAGTGATCGACGTATGCTAGATCTGGGCAAACATGAGAAACGTTGAAGGAACAAGGACTTTCTTTGTCTCGTGGTTACAATTTCTTTCCCGGTGCTTATATTCTCAGCACGTAGAACTCGGCAGCGGCAACGACTTCCAGCATGCCATTTTTCAAAAAGGGCAGGTGGCATACCAAATATAGATGCACCAAGGACCGTGACGTCATAGCAGATCAGAATGTTCATGGTTAACAACTCCCAATGACAACTACTTCTGTAGATAGTTAGCACCGTCATCGGTGCGGTATAGTATATTGGACATCGAGACTTGTACTATAACTGATCCACTACGACTACGTTGCAATGTAAAAGGAGAACATTCACAAATAGTAGTTCAGGGCAACTGTATGCTGTTGATCTACGTTTTGAGCTCAGGCTGCGCGACACGGGAACTGTGCTAGCTCCTGAAAGAGTCTGATCGCATTATCACTCATCAAAGCACCCAAAACAGTGTTGACCTTTGCCAGGAAGTCGTCGACATTGATAGTAAATCATGAGGCCATCTCGGTGCTGAAGCGCTGACGGCTGGCAGTCACGTTGACGTTCAGTACTTCAGTCGCCGCCGCATTACTGCAACTCTAGTATGAGCATACCTGGAAAATCCGTCCCGAAGAGAATATCCTCAGGCCTCACAAAAGTCTTCGCAGCGGTGAGCATGGTCTCGTGTCCAGCCAGCGCGATGTCGAAGTAGAAGATCTTGAAGTCGTCCAGCATCTGATTCGATGTAAGCGTGGATCTCATATACGCCGGGCCAAAAGCAGCGCGAAATACAAGCACAACGGCACTGCTGCCCACATGCGAGAAAATACTCTTGACATTGGACCAGCGTCGTTTCTATCCGGTAACTATAAGGCATGCGGCCGCTACGCGCGTATCTTATTGGGGACGTGTGTTTCCAGCTGCTCGGTAAGGCGTCAGTTCAAAAGACTCGCTCCAAAGCAGTAGGTATATCCAGGAAGATGCACGGACAGGGGTAAGCGTTACAAGAGTATAGCAATGTCGATTTCGAGCGCGTCCATCGAGCGCAAAGTGGTTGTGGACGTCAGGACGGATTTGATCGACGACATACTGGCTGTGGCGCTGTCCAGGCGCACTCAGCGCTAGATACTAATATGCACCTGATACTCAAGAGCATCTCTCGCTGAATAGATTCACGGAGGCCGAACGCTGGCTCATAACCTTTAGGAACTGAACCCAAACACGTAAGTCTGATACTCGGTCGCGCACTCACCTGGAGATGAATGCAGCCCGAAAAGTACATGGGACGCATTTTCTGTACGTATTTTCCACCAGCTTTGTAGTGGAGTGTGCAGCAACAGTCCTGTCGGCGTGAGCCTGCGCCACGGTGGCGACGTTATCGGTCTGATGGGAGTGACGAGAGCAAGGGCTGCTTGATGAGTAACTTTGATAAGCGGACAAAGGTGCTTCACCATGAGACCCAGTTAAGATAGTAGTTACTGCTGATATCAGTCCCGTGGGGACTGTCTCGCTCTAGATTGCCTGCATATAAGTGGCTTTTCACGTCCATTATTCAGCTTGAGGCCTCCAACAGTGGCGGCAATATGTCTGCATACGCAAACGTTTCGACGTCATGCCTCACCACTGCAACAAGGGCGGATTCGGGTGCGAGACCGAAACCTCTGGGTACAAGAAAATCATGATCATAGACCAAGCCTAGTGCACTCATGAACAGCCTGTAGGCAGACCGCCAGAGTACGCACTGAAGGTGCTGTAGATGAGCCCAATTCTCACAGCTGAGGCTACGTCCCGATCGAAGAGACGAGCGCGTGAATAAGAGAAGAACTGGATTGCTCTGGAAACGCCTACCTGACCATACCGTTAAAATGCTCGGGAACTTTTGATGGGCAAGGTTGGATAACACTGCCGGCTAGAGGATAAATTTGCAGTCCTTCCATGTCCACAAAATAGCTTCACGGTTATTGCCTGTGCCATACTAACCAGATAGACCATGACTTTCCTTGAACACCGTCTACAAGATCCAGGGGGTTTCAACACACAGTCGTCACTGATACTTACAACTCCATAGACATTGTACCGTCCTCATTCACAATTATCTGTGCCGCAAGGTCCTCTTCGTCCCGCGGATCTTTCGCAACGAATCTGTCGAGAGGCCCCCTCGCTGAGTCTACGATCTTCTCCTTTGGCTGCTTGGTCTTCCCTTTATGTCCGACGGTCTCCTCGAGTGGGGGCATCAAGATGAGATCTGGAGTCCTTAGCATCTATTGTTCTCTGTGAGTTTCGCCGGACTCACCGTCAAGGAACATGTATTCGCCTTCTCTTCGGACGAGTGTTGCTTGACAAAGACTCCGTCACCCTCCAGCTTGGACCAATATGTTTGGGTCACGTACCAAGGTCGCGCATTTGCTGTGTCGTTCTTTGATCTCTCTTTGCGATGCGCTCGGCGGCTCCGGCCATCCGCCTCACGAACTCTTCCGCTGCTATCGCCAGTACGAACAACGCCTCTTTCTGGACGACAGGCAGTTCCTGGTATCAAATATTTCGTTACTGTCTTACTGTTAGCTTGGCGAGACATCGCGCACCCTGTCTGCCTTCGTAATCTGTCGTACTTTGGAGAGCGGGGCATGAGTTTTGCCTGGCTCTCGCTTGGGGTCATATGCGAACTTCTTCTTTTCTCGTGCCTTCTTCGTATCACTGATTACAGTTGCACCCTGTATAGGCTCATCGTCATCCGCAAGTGCGTCATCTGGGATGTCAAGTGGCTCTGACTGTGGATCGTCGTAGCCTATTGTTTGAGGGTCGTCATGCAATGTAGACGGTCCTTCCATGCTATCATCGTAGTCAAAGGTCGCCATGGATGTCTTGCAAAGCGATAATGCAGAAAAAGCAGGAGTGCGCAAGATGTACGCTATGACCAGACGACGCGTCCGAGCCCAACGCGACACTGACGCGACATGTCACATCAAAACGCGTTCGTCACACGAGAAACTATCACGCTCGCGCGTCTGTTCGCAGTAGTACCGAAGACCAGTGCAACTTGTGCAAACTATCATGAATTGACGAGGGCAAGCAGGAGCTGTGAACTTTGAGCTTATGCTGCGTCGCCGCAGCTCTACTCTACAGTCTGGCACGGATCTTCTCTACTAGTTGCCGTGCTTCGTCGTCATCCAGCAAGTTCCTGTTCTGAAACTCCTTAAGATGCATCTCCTTCTGGGTCAATGGCTTGGCAACATGGTCGACTTCGCCTGCTGCTGCGTTGGATGAGGTTGCTGTCGAAAAAGCTGTCGGCGCTGGAATAATGTGATAATGAACCTACAACAGAATTAATTTTTGACGAAAGGCACATTCTAGGAATGTGGATGCTGCTTACATGCTGCACTGCCTGTGCATACTCTTGGTTGCAAACCACATTCAGGCCTGTATTTTCCAGAGCTGTTCGCGTTTTAGTGCATCTGGTTATCAGCGCTCGCCTAGACTGTCACTGCACCTTCCGTCAATGCATGCGCGACTTTCGTGACAGTTGCGCCCACCGCAGCTGCAAATTCCGGCGGGAGCTCAGACACCCGCGAGTAGTGGGTCTTCGGCACAACTAACGTGTGCCCCGGTCGGAGGGGTAGTATATCTTAGTAAAGGGCATGGTATAAACCGCTGATAGACTAGGACGCCTCAAGACTGTAACAGCGAACTCACCTAGGAAAGCTATGACTTTGTCGTCCTCATACAATCGGAATGCGGGTGCCTCTCCTTGAATAATTTGGCAGAATGGGCACTGAGGTTCCGTCTTCCACGAGGTGGGGATCGAAAGGCCTTCATGAGCTTTGATGATAAACGACGTCATTATCACCAGTCGATTTGACTAGTCCTGGTGTGATTCAGCTGTAATTCGATGTAAACCCCGCCAGAACGGGGCCAGAGCGAGGTGTTTGCCGACTCCTCGAGACTGATGTTGGCGACAGTGATCTGCCGCGTCGCTCCATTCATCACTCCTCAGGCTATCACCAGTATGTCTCGAGGTAACCGTGAGTCGGCATCCGGGAACTTGAAAGGTTCGATGAGGGACAATTACTCTGAGCATGGCGTCGAAGAAGTACGTTTTGCAGACGCAGAGAGTGGGACAGGACTTCACGTTGAAAACTGATGCAGTACTACCGCAAAGTGGGCGCGACATACCGCAATCCTCACTTTCCTGGAGTTCGTAGCTGTCTCTTCCTGTGGTTTAATAGGTGGGCAATTACTCCCTGATAGCTCCTCTTCAGTACTGATTCCGGCTCGTAGCTGGTGGACGTCAGAACGAGAGAATGCACCTCCGTACGACCTTGTACTCTTCGACATGGCGTGCGGTCAGTTAGTCGCAACACGTCTCGCAACGTATTCAATACTGACGGAACACTCGTAGGAAGGTGAGTAACGCAACAACTAGTCTAGCCTGAGCGTAACCTCAGGGTACAGTGGGGAAGTGACTTTATCCTTCATGGAATGGTGGAAGCTTGGTCGGACGACATACGATGAGCTTCTCGCTCACTCAACGCCAAATCCGGTCGAATGGACAGCCCAGGTCGTTACGCCTCGAAAAGAGACAGTGAAACCGTGTCGTCCGCCGCCCATCAATTCGGAACACCCGAGACCAATCATACTCGCAGCGGATCCCGTAAGGCTCTCTGATAATGAACAATTGTTACAATGTGCTCACGTACCGCACAGTATACTGCAGAAGCATACCAGAGTCGTACAAAACTCGCTTGCGCGACCCTCTCTTTTCGAGATATCGCCGAAGGCCGTATGCCTGGTAAAATAACAGAAGACGTAACAACCGACCTCAGTAGCGATCCAAACACACAACCAGATGATGCATTGCCCCCTGAGGACAAAAATAAGTGCATAGACATGGTTATTTGCTCCTTCGCATTGCATCTCATCGAGACGCCGTCCGAGTTGTTCGCGCTGCTTTGGGAGCTAAGCACTAGGTGCCGATGGCTGATCATCCTCGCGCCTCACAAAAGACCAGAGGTATGTAGGCAAAGATCACGCATGTTGGAATTGTCCTCTCACATGCTCCTGCGTTAGATCAAAGATGGGTGGGGTTGGTGCAAATGGGACGTAGAGTCGTGGTCCGAGTGTGCGATGTCAGAGACAAGGGGTGAACTCTTACAGGAGAGGTGAGTGACGGTACTCCGCATTGTTAGCATACTGCTGACGCGTTCCTCAGAGTACATTGTCGTGTTTATCGCAGTCTCAATGTCTGACTGCCTCTCTAATATGAGACAGGACGCATACGGACAACGTCTCATCTCGAAGCTGGTGTATATTCATCCCATATAACTCCTCGCCAGCCAACCAATCAACCCTGCTGCAGTAGCACTAGCAGCCATTGCCCATGCTACATCCTGGTTAGACTTTAGATTCATCCAAAGAGGCACCTGTTCCGTTCTGTCGCGCAGCGTCACAACAGTTTGTGACGCAGCCATCTGGTCAGCTTCGGGAACTTGTGAGTTGTAGTGGACCGTCTCCATGATCTGCGACATTAGTCGGTCCTGCCCTTCGAACCGCTTCGCAAGCGCTTCCGCATTCTGTGCGGACATCTCCTCTACCTTCCTCTCGAAGGTCTGTGCGAGCCTCCGTCGTTTCCATGGCTCTATGAAAACAATCGCAAGCAAGAAGACGAGCATATTCACGCCCATTACAGCCAAGGAGCCGTACGTGGATGCGCTCCTGATTTTATCCGACCACGCCTGCTCTTCGTGATATCGGTTGAGAATGACGCGCATGAGTTCGCTGAACTCCCGCTCGACGGAGTCTTCAGCTTGTGTAGCCCCAATCTTTGCACGCGATTCCTCTTGCTCGTGGAGATGGTCCTGGCGCACTAGGGATGTGAATCGGATGACGTCCTCATCGTTCCAGCTCGACTTGCGCTGCAGCAGATCGTTCACCTCGCGCTGCGAGGATGCTCGCTGAAGCACCGCGCGATCATACGCCTCTTTGGCTTCGCGTGCCGCTCGTCTGACAGCCTCGATGCGTGCCTCTAGTGGACTATCTCCACATCAGACATTCGGAAATATTACTGCACATGCTGCTCACCCTGCTGGACTACCCTTTGCTTCAACACCTCTATCTCTCCGTATCCAGTAACTTTGTTAATTTCCTTCCCAAGTTGCGAGAATGTAACAGCCAGGCTGGCCGTGTACTGGTCTATTCGCTGGCGGAGCTGGGACGCCGTCCGCTCTGACCACCCACGAAGCCGTTCCTTCGCGTTTGCCAACTGATCTCCATATTGCCCACTCAGCAACCTGCGTTGTGAAGATCCTTGAGGGTCACGATTCGGTTCACCGGATGGGTCTGGAGGGCTGGCATTTGGACTGGACGAAGCGTAGTATCTGAGTCTGTGACGGACAGCACGGTGCCGGAGGAAAATAGGTGATTGACGAGCAACAACACTTTGACGACAGAGCAAGGACGGAATAAACAGTGATGGTTGCACCATGCCCATAAGCAGGGGCTACTGTGGGACTTAGATTTGGCCTTGGGGGATAGGTCGTCGGCAGGCGGGGGCAGAACGGCGAACGGCGCGCGGAGGCACAATGCCCAGTATGTCACGTGCACGTCATTCGACGCGTCCACGGCAATTCGCGCGTCACGCATCTCTGACGTCGCGGCACATGCTTGAGCTTCCCATACGTGCGAGTCTCTCTTCTTTATATCAGCCCTCTTGAAAGACTTCATGGCGCAGAAGCCCCGCCCCGAGGCTCAAAGTATCAAGGAATGTCCCGTCTTCCGGGAGTGAAATTGCGCCGGGATTGCGAACGCCACAAGCGCTCTCTCTCATGGTTCCATGAGATGATCGCCCGCGTCCACAGACCAGAGTCATCCCACGATAAAGGGATCGAACTCTTGGACACGTACGTGAGCAGGCACTGATTTGATTTTGTCCGGGTCATGATAATGCATTGCGCCAAGGCCCGCATCGTGCGCGCTGTGGCGTATCTGCTGCATCAAACCTGTCATACCTGCAAATATCGAGACAGCTCACGTCTACGTCCTCTTGTGGCCTCACCAAGGGTGCAACAGTCGCAGGTTTGACGAATTAAGTACCGTGTCGTGCGTAGCGATGTGATGAGTCAACTACATTCATGCGCCATCTACTCACGAGACAAAAAGAGGTGACCGGAAAGTCGGCCTGACTATGTCGCGTCTCCGAGGTAAGCGGGGCATGTGCTTCTTAATGATGGTCTCGGAGGACTAGATTATAGCTGCTGGCGCTCGAGGGCCTGGCCGCCCGTGTGACAGGGAAAGCGGACTGCTGTATCTTCAACACTTGGCAAAAAGGATAAGAAAACAATGATGATATTCAGTCAGGCCCTGGCCGAAACGCTAGGACATCCTCTACCAGATGTAGCCCATGTGGTGCAGTAGGGACAGCCTAGGACCTCGGGCTTTAGAAGCTGAGGAGCCCTGTCCACGGCGCGAATCGGATGAAGTGCGGCTTCGAAGCATGTCATAACATCTATCGGACGCAGTCACGACTCACAGACAAGGATAGACAGATGGATTGTACAGGACATATTCGACCATGTATCGAGTGCCGAGCGACGTAGCGACGTAGCGTTAGGCTTGACCGGAGTCAGTCTGTCAAGAGCTATCCATAACAAGGGTGCCAGTGAGGAAGCTCGGTTGGGATTACGCTACAAATTCCAAAACATACATATTGAGCCATTCTCGCACGAGCATAACAACGGCGTCCGCTTATCTGACCGTGATGACGGGGTGTTTCGTAAATGCCTATACATGATGGTACAAAGACGTGCTGCGTCAATGATTTGCGAAGACCTGTGCTTGTCGGCCTACGCGAACACGCGCCGGACTGGCATGCTGCGGCGCGGCAGATGTCAAACTTTGTTGGAGCAGAGTCAATACAATTCATTGCGTCGGCGTCGAGCCGGAGCATTTCGCATGAGCGACCGTATGTGGAAAGGAAGGAGCAGCCGGCGAAGCAACGGGAGCCAAAATAATTTCTATGGAGAGGGTCTGCGAGATCTTACGAGGGCGGAATGACTTGGATAAGCGCCCGCGGCAAGTGTGATGCCACTTATAAAGTGCAACTCCCCATCACCGCGCATTCCAGTCTAACTTATATCCCTTTCCACGTAGGCTCGTCCGTCAGCGTCCTCTTTCTTCCTCTTCCCCGGTCCCATAGCCCGCCATGGCGTCGTCTTCCGATGTCCTCATCCTCGCGGTCGGACTGGTTCTCGCTGCAGTCTATCTGTTCCGGGACCAGCTATTCTCTGCCTCCAAACCCAAGTCTGCCCCGGTCGCTGCCCCCAAGGGGGGTGCCGGATCTGGAAACCCTCGGGACTTTGTGGCTAAGATGAAGGAAGGCGTGAGTCAAATTGGTCTCTGTATTCCCCACCAAGATGGCTCATCACTCATGACATCAGAAAAAACGAGTTGTTATATTCTACGGCTCTCAGACCGGAACCGCGGAGGAATACGCCATTCGCCTTGCAAAGGAGGCAAAGTCCAAGTTTGGCCTTGCATCCCTTGTGTGCGACCCGGAAGAGTACGACTTCGAGACCCTCGATCAAATCCCGGAGGACTGCTGCGTCTTCTTTGTGATGGCGACCTATGGCGAGGGCGAGCCGACGGACAATGCCGTCACGCTTTGCCAGAATCTTTCCGACGAGTCCTTTGAGTTTTCGAACGGCGAGCACAAGCTACCTGACCTCAAATACGTCGTCTTCGGCCTCGGTAACAGGACATACGAGCACTATAATCTCATCTCGAGGAATGTTGACCGGGACCTGTCGAAGATGGGTGCCATCCGCATCGGTGAGCGCGGAGAGGGCGATGACGATAAGAGTATGGAGGAGGACTACCTAGAGTGGAAGGACGCTATGTGGGAGGCGTTCGCACTGGCCATGGGCGTCGAAGAGGGACAGGGTGGTGACACTCCTGACTTCACTGTCACCGAGGTCGAAGACCACCCACCAGAGAAGGTGTATCTCGGTAGGGAAGGCTTCACCCATGTGCCGGAGTAGCACTGACACTACAGCAGGTGAACTATCTGCCCGTGCACTGACACGTTCGAAGGGTATCCACGATGCAAAGAACCCGTACCCGGCTCCCATTACAGTTGCACGCGAGCTCTTTCAACAGAGCGCCGATCGCAACTGCATTCACGTCGAATTCAACACGGAAGGTTCTGGTATCACGTATCAGCACGGCGACCACGTCGGTGTCTGGCCGTCCAACGCGGAGAACGAGGTGCAACGGCTATTATGCGCTCTTGGCTTGGTTGAGAAGAAGGACAAGGTGATCAACATCGAGTCCCTCGACCCTGCTCTGGCAAAAGTACCGTTCCCCGTCCCTACTACCTACATCACGGTCCTCCGCCACTACATCGACGTCAGCGCTGTTGTTGGTCGTCAGATTCTCGGAGTCATGAGCAAGTTCGCACCCACGCCCGAGGCGGAGGCCTTCCTCAAAAACCTCAACACTAACAAAGAGGAGTTTGCGACCGTCGTCACCAATGGCTGTCTCAAGCTTGGCGAGGTTCTGCAGCTGGCTGTCGGCAACGATCTCGCTGTAGAGCCCACGCCGGAGAACACGACTGCGTGGTCGATTCCCTTCGACATCATCGTCTCATCCATCCCACGTCTCCAGCCGCGCTACTATTCGATCTCCTCCAGCCCGAAGCTCTACGCGAACTCAATCCACGCCACCGTCGTTGTCCTTGCCTACGAGACGATCGAGAGCGAGAAGGTCAAGCAGCGCTGGGTGCACGGTGTTGGCTCTAACTTCTTACTCAACCTCAAATTTGCTGCCACCGGTGAGAATGCCGCTGTGCTTTCAGACAAGAGTCATATCCAACACGCTGCGGCCGCGCTGACGCCAAAGTACGCGATTGAGGGGCCGCGTGGTGCTTACAAGCAGGATGCGATCTACAAGGCGCCTGTTCATGTCCGACGATCGACATTCCGACTGCCGACAAACCCCAAGAGCCCGGTGATTATGATTGGTCCCGGAACTGTACGTCGTATCATTGCATGTGCGATCGAGAGTGCTGACATTTCTGGTTCAGGGTGTCGCACCCTTCCGTGGATTCGTGCAGGAACGTGTCGCCATGGCGCGCCGCACGATCGAGAAGAACGGTGTGGAGGGTCTCGCGGACTGGGGTAACATCCGCCTGTACTTCGGCTGCCGGCGCTCCGATCAGGACTTCTTGTACAAAGAAGAGTGGCCTGAGTACGCGGGGGAGCTCCATGGAAAGTTCACGATGCGCTGTGCCTTCTCGCGGGAACCACCATACAAGCCGGACGGCAGCAAGATCTACGTGCAGGACCTACTGTGGGAGGACCACGAGGAGATCGCAGATGCGATCCTCAATGGCAAGGGGTACGTTTACATCTGCGGTGACGCGAAGAGCATGAGCAAGGCGGTCGAGGAGACGCTGTGCCGGATATTGGGTGAGGCGAAGGGTGGTACCGCGGAGGTCGAGGGTGCGGCGGAGGTGAAGCTCCTGAAGGAGCGCAGCCGCATGCTGTCGGATGTGTGGAGTTGAGCTTGCTGTCGCTCTTTTTGTGTTGTTCTTGTGGGATCGTCTGCCTGCACTCGCTCTGGACGGACGGACGAGCAAACATACACGCCTATCCATAGAGCTCGTTGACAGGCCTCGGTGGTCCGGCGATTTGGATTTAGATGAGTCCTTTCGACTACGTAGATGCCGACACGACATACATGGCTTAGGGAAATAGAACATATCGTTTCCTCTGATAGGCGAACTATAATTTATGACCTCTTCGAGGGGGACCACGTTGCCGCAGTGCTGTATAGATCGGCTAGATTTTGGACCAGTTCCATCGTCGTAGCGACCGCAACCGCTCCAACATTGACACTGCGTTGACAAGTCACATAACCTAGGGCCTCCCACCTTGAACTCTTCTTGCATTTCTTTTGTTATGCCAATCCCATTCCTGCCACCAGAGATTACGGACCGCATAATAGACCACCTATGGGACGATCCAGCTGTGCTATACAGTTGTTCTCTGGTCGCACGTTCCTGGGCTGCCAGCAGCCGTTATCACCTTTTCTCAACACTGCGCATTGTATCGCGCCGCCCATTTGATGGTCTGGTAAAGCTCGCTCGGCGCCGGGCACCACACATAGTTCCACTGTTCCACCTGGTGCATGAGCTGCAGGTCTACGATGTAACCGCCAAGAAAAAACCGTATGCACGCATTGTTCCTCATGTATTCGCAGCGCACATGCCAAACCTTCGAACTTTGCGATTCTACCAGGCCGACTGGCGCCAAGTCACACCAATGCAGGCGACTTTCCCCATGTTCCTGGCCCAATTCACCTCCGTAACGCAGCTGGAATTGGATGGATGCATATGTGCAAACTTGAAGGACTTTCAGCGCGTCATATGTGCCTTCCCCATGCTCGAGCATTTGTTCGTGCGGGGCGACGACCCGTTCACATTGCCACCGAATCCACAGCATAACCTTGCAGCCCTGACTCCCCCGCCACGTAGCGTACAAAGGCCACGTCTTGTTTCTCTGGGCCTGTGGTTTAGGACCCACTGGCATAAAGAGCATACGCTAGTGTGGGAATGGCTACTCGACACGCCATCGAAGGACACCCTGCATTCTGTCTGCGTGTATGCTCCCGGAACAGAGTGGCATCCGCCGTACGGCCAGATGCTCCAGGCCGTGGGGCCATCTCTCCTGCGCCTGGATACGCCCTTGCTGTTGGATGGTCAGCATGGCTTTTCCACTCACCAACAGTATGGCAGACTGACTTGGATATACCAGGGGAGCACTGCACACTGTCCTCCAACACCAACCTCCGCGAACTGGTCATTAATATGGCGAACAGCCAGTCGTGGCCTGTGGCGTGGTCCGCGTTCACGCGCCTGGCCTCGCAGATCACGTCGCACCATCTCCGTAGGCTAACGTTTAACCTCTACGTCTGTGGAGAGCAGGACGAACCCGGCATGCGTGGCGAAGCAGATACAAAGAGACTCGATGAATTGTGGGACAACGTGGACTGGAATGAACTCAACAGAGTGATCATGGGAGATATCTTCTCTGGTTTGGAGGAAGTATGTGTTCGTCTGCAATGGGCTCTCTGGGATGGGGCTTTCCAAAAGACCGCTGCGTTCCGAGACTTCAAGCTTGAGATTGAAAACCGCATCCGGCGGTTGCACTGGCATGATCGTGGCATCCTCAGCATAACGCATGGGCCACCGATCAATGAGGTGTATGATTTTGACTTTAAGCAATACAAAAACAGAGGCAAGTCCACCTTCCACCAATTTCGTTGAACCGCTCTGACCTTTCAACCCAGAATGAACGGGAACATGGCCACCGCGCTGCTTATGCTGATCCCGGTTGTGATTACACGCTCATTTCAGGTGCCTGCTTGCACCTGGTCGATACCGGGACCCTTTCTTCTGCCTACGAATCACCATTCCCATCGTGGTTACATGGTACACCTCCGGCAGGCCGTATCAAAGGACAGCTGCACGGCGCTTTTCTCGGCGCCATAGTCGCTCAAGTCTATAGGCCAAGACAACAGGGCGATCACAGGCCGATGTGCAGTTTCTGCGGCGCCGATAAAACGGGGCGCGCCGGTCCCACTGCGGCGTACATTCAAATAGGTCCACGATTCCGCGATGCCATTGAGCCTGGGTCCTGCGGTCGACAGACATTCGTCCAGCCGCCCCGCTGTGGGAGCGACGGGTATGCATGATCGCACGAACTGCAAGGATTTGCCTTCAAGGGCCCGTGAAAACGCTACTGTGAAGTTTTCTATTCTAGATTCCCTGGCAGAGGCTACCTCTGGTAGTCCGTTTCCGGCGCAAACCGCTGAATGTAATGCGCAAATCCAACGATACGCGGCTTACTTGCGCTTTTGGGGATGCCACGGAGGTTCAACGAAGTGCGCCACCTGTCATCAACTGCACTTCAAGTTTGGATAGCGCCAGGTGGGAGAGTTCCGTAGTTAACGTTCATTGCCGTGTAGATATGATCCACTCTACTCACGATCAAATTCATCTCCGACCGTGCCTGCTCGTAGCGTTCCTAGACAGCTAAGCGCACGAAACGCCACGAAGCCCACAGCCTGCTCGTCCGCAGACTATAAAATGTGCGAACCCGCCTGTTGCACGACCGGTTAAGCTATCCGATCGCTACGAGGATGTCGTACTCTACTCTCATACTCGACCTTGGAGACGTGCTCTTCACCTGGTCGTCTCAGACTCAAACCAGCATCCCGCCTCGCACCTTTAAATCTTTTCTATCTTCGCCCATTTGGGCTGATTATGAGCGCGGTCTGTTGTCTCAAACGGAATGTTATGCTCACCTTGCTGCAGAGTTCTCCTGTGATACGGAGACAATCGCGACCGCATTCGATCGAGTGCGAGAGTCGTTAACATGCAACGACGTCCTTGTTACGCTGGTAAAGGAGCTCAAGGCCCAATCTCATGGTCGGCTGCAAGTGTTTGCGCTGTCCAATATCTCCGCGCCCGACTACGAACATGTGCGCCGCTCCTCCGTCGATTGGACAATCTTCGACAATGTCTACTTTTCCGGTTCCCTTGGGCTGCGCAAGCCCGAGGAGGACATCTACAGGTACCTCATTGAGGACACGGGCATCGCCCCGCGAGAAGCGGTGTTCGTGGACGACAAAGAAGAGAATGTTGCGGCGGCTCGTGCTTGCGGGATGCGCGGGATTGTCTTCGACAAGCAAGGAAAGGGTATGCATACCCTGCAGAGTCTCTTCCAGCCTGCCAGCCAGATGGGCCGGGATTGGCTCCGTCGAAATGCCGGCAAGATGGAGTCGGTCACCAGCGGCAACATTATTTTCGAGGAGAATTATGCACAGCTGCTCATCCTTGAGCTCACAGGCGATCGGTAAGTAATAACACTAGTCGCTCAGTGCAAGTCCAATGATACCTTGAGCAGGTCGCTTATACAACTGTCACAATTTCCTCGCACTTGGAATTTCTTCAGAGGTACCTCCCGTAGTTACAATCTGCTCCTTATAAACTCACGTATGGGTCGCAGGAGAATCGCCCTTCTACCGGGGCGAGCCGTATCCTAACGACTTGGACGACACATCGCTCGCGTTGTCAGTCTTGCCCACAGACCGTACGGTGTTGAAGGACGTCATGGACGAGATGCTCAACTGGCGCACACCCGAGGGCATCATGCTGGTGAGGGGACATCCACCGTCAGAGGTAAGACGAGCAAAGCCTTAACCACATCCATGAAACAGACATACTATGACGTGAGCCGCCCACGCATCGACCCCATCGTCAACGTCAACGTCCTTACGCTCTTCTACCTCTATGGACGCGGGCGCGAGCTCGATTCCGCCCTGGACTGGGTGCGCGACATCCTTGCCACACGCGCCCATCTAGACGGCTCGTATTATTATCCTTCGCCTGATCTCTTCCTCTACTTGGTGTCACGTCTGCTGAGTGTCTCCGCCGACACTCACCTGCATGGTCAGCTCGCGGCGCTTCTCGCCATGCATGTGGCAGAACGTATCGGCATGCCTGGAGACGCGATGGCGCGAGCATGCCGCGTGCTCGTATGCATGAGGTGTGGCGTTGAAAATGTGGCGGACATGCGTGCGTTGCGAGAGATGCAAAATGATGACGGCGGGTGGGATGTGGGATGGTTGTATAAGTTGGGGAGGTCGGACGTGCATATCGGGAACCGTGGAGTCGCAACTGCACTAGCTGTCAAGGCGCTGGAGGCGGTGGGTCCTATCGATTGACAATGTACTTCCTGGTTATAGTTGTGGGCACCAGACATATCTCTGATTAAATGATGGATAATCTGTTGTTAGTATTATGGATAACAACAGAATAACGCCATCAGACATGCATACATGCGCCGTTAGGTCGCATCTAGTGACTCTCCGGCTCAGGTTGATATGTCAAGTCTGTGTCCAAACCCATCCGAATTCCCACGCCAGAGAGGGCGATTGCAAAACGCATTTGTCGATTTGGCTTTTCTCCGGGCATCTGGACAGAATGTTATATCAGGTAAAACAGGTCAAAGTGCGTGGCTGCCATACATCACGCGTACCGTGTGACCTAGGTGTTTGTAAATGCCTATAAAGTTGCCTTGCAGCCAATCTCCGGGTAGGAAGCAACTCTAAACTGTCTGTCCTTCAGACATTGTATCGAAGGTGATTGGATTGGGCGTACCTGCCGCGATGCTTTGAGATAAGTAAATATCCACCAGTCGTGCACCCATGTAATCGAGAGGGGAGGTATCAACTCCACCGAGGTTCTAGCTGGAGTCTAACGGACAGAGCAGCGAGCCGCTCCTTCAGGCGACGCACGTCATCCATTGTGGGACGCTTTGCAGATGAGGTACTCGCGGGCTCGGGGTTCAATTGCATCATCAGATCTTCGAGTTTCTCCATGTCTTTCTTCTCCTTTAGCTCTTCCGTGAGCTCAAGATCCATTTCGTCCCCGTTAGTGTTTCCCTCGATATCGTGTTCGCGAGCATGTCGTTCAGCTTCGAGATCGCGCGGCGCAATGTCTGATAGGCGAATTCGACTAAGCTCCGACGAGATGTCCCGCAACTCCTGGATCAGATCTTGCTGGCTTGCTTGATCTGGCGACGCGGTAAGGAAGGAGATGAGGGCCAACGCCATCCCACGAAGGATTCCTACTTCCCGACCGAGCGGTGCACCGACTTCAGCGAAACCCTCGTCGAAGCCTTGCTGTAAAGCGGACTCCTTCCCGGCGGTTATCCCCTCACGGTATCCGGCCTGGTACATGTCGTGTCCTTAGCTTGATTGAGCGATTCATTGCTTCCAGATGACGTACATTGGTGAAATTTGAAGACAGCCGCGACCACTCAGAATCTTGCAGCGTCTTGGGATCCTCGAGCCATACTGCCTCATCATCAGAGGTGACGTCTGAGAAAGGGTCCATAGCGAATGGAATAGTTGAACTTTGTTGTAGAAAGAATTGAGGAACGCCTCGGGAACTAATATTTTGCTCAGGGCCGAGCGAGATGGCAGATCGAGTGCACAGTGATCGAGATCGGGATCATCTCAACCTCCACGTCGCGTGTATCACGTGTCAGTCGCGACACGTCTCCGTGTGTCGCAACAGTCTAGTATATCTATCCTCCCTCCATCTAATAGACTCCATATAATAGACTACACAACGTGTTAAAGCGCCATGTCATTCCTGAGGTAACTGCTTATATTTAAGCTCCGAAATGAGCTTTGGTAACATGCATCTTAGGCTCGGTTTATGTGTCATCGGGGTCTACTCGATGTTCCTGGTCAGCATCTCCGTCGCCTGCTCCGAAGACGCCAGTTGACGTCCGCATTCAGCTATGGGCAATAGCACAAGAAAGATGTACGCTTCACCACCTTTGGTTCTATCGCCTGGATTAATGATTTACTGGTGCCAGTATCCGTGCCGTTCCAGTCAATAGACGGGATCTCCAGCGACAAATTCCGGTCACCTCTGTTCATGAACACATGCCAGAGTGCACTGAGCGCTCTTTCAGCCATCATCTACCTTTTCATCCGAAGACCTGCTGCCTTTTCCGTGAAGCAAACACTAGGCATCGCCAGGCCGTCAAACCAGCCCATACATACATCGTCCAACGGGCACGCAAAGGAGAATGGTCACTCACATCCTAAGGCGGATGGGCAGTTTCCTACAAGGTCCCTTCTGCTTCGATATCTCCAGTGTGCCGTTTTCATCACCGCCGCTGCGCCCTTTGGATTTGCTGCTCTCTCCTACATCACCTACCCCGCGATGGTCCTAGGCAAATCGTGCAAGCTCGTGCCGGTCATGCTCATGAACGTGCTCCTCTATCGGCGCAAGTTTGCCCCGCACAAATACCTCGTCGTCGCGATGGTGACGCTGGGTATTACCATGTTCATGGGCTTCGGGCAGGAGAAGCCGTCTAAGGCAAAGGCGGGCGCTGACTTGTCAGCGTATACCCAGCTCATTGGCATCACTTACCTTCTCATCAACCTTGCCATAGATGGCGCAACGAACTCGACACAAGACGAGATCTTCGCGCGTTACCGCGTTTCGGGACAGCAGATGATGTTCTGGATAAACCTGTTCTGCACGCTGTTGACGTCCTTCATTTCTGTGTTACCTCTGCCGTATATTCCAGTGCTGCACCCCTCGAACAGTGGCACTGAATTGCAGGGCGCACTTGAATTCATTCGGACTCATCCATCGGTCGTCATGCCCTTGGCGCAGTTTGCGTTGACAGGCGCGCTAGGCCAGCTATTCATATTCGAGACGCTGCAGCACTTTGGATCCCTCACACTTGTGTAAGCGCTCTTATATAGTATGATGTTCATCCCTAACTCGAGCAACAGGACAATCACCCTCACACGCAAGCTATTCACAATGCTACTTTCAGTGGTCGTCTACAACCACAAGCTTACGAAAGGACAATGGCTGGGTACTGCAGTTGTTTTCGCTGGAATTTCTGTCGAAGCATGGGTTAAGCGCCGAGGTGTGTAATTGACACTGCGTGTATGCTCCCGAACTGTACAACTGACCACGCTTCTCAGACGTGCACGCGAAACGGGTGGTCCAGGAGAAGGAGAAGGCGAAGATCAAATCACTATGATATATAAATTATTCTGTGATAACAGCACTGACAGCGATGATATTTCAATGGACTGGGGGCCATACAACACAATTGCAACCGACGATACACATAGAAGCATTAAGACTAATGGCACAAATAATCTAGACTTCCGATGAACTGAAGGGAGATGCCTAATTGAGTGGGAGATGCCTAGGACCCCATTTCGACGTCTTCATCCTTGGCTTCAGTCTCATTGTCTTCTTGCACAAGTATCCGCTTTCGATCTTCGACCCTATTGACGTAGGGCAGCGTGAACAACGGGAGATGGATAACGGCATCTCAAGCATACCTTTCTTTCTCATCGTCGTCTTCTTCGTCCTCGCGCTTGCGCCTAACATTCCCTGGTCTTGCTTGTGGCGGGAATGCGGCAACTGCGTTGCGCGCCTTGTAGATAGATTCATACTCCTGGAAGCGGTCGATCAACCTTCTCATCTAGTTACAACACAAAATCGACTTCTCTTACCTTGATTTGAGACAGGAATCCACCATTTGGCGAGATGCAGTATCGGCGATTCTGGACGAGGTGGAGCGCATCTTCCCAGTTCAGATTGTAGTGTTGCATGGCATACATCACCACGAACGACGGTGACAAGCTAATACCACCTGCAGTATGACGTAAATGACGGCATTACCAATATGGTGAACAACGCGTAGCGCACGCACCGTTACAGTGGACAAGTACACGGCCTCCGCCTTGTATAGCGTTGTCAATGAATTGCTTGGCCCTAACTGGATCAGAACATTGTGATGCGACTTCTGAAGGATAATCACCCAGGGAAGAGACGGATGAGGTTCTGCTCCTCGCTGTCCTCTACGTCGAGCACCATATATTGAAAATGGTCCGGAAAACGAGGGCGCACTGAGAAGGCTTCCTTGGCATCGCGTATACATACACTAAGTGATCGAGCCTAGGAATCAACAGAGGCTACTGGGAATGTGGCGTAGGACGCACATGTGGGTGACTCCAAGGGACTGAAGAGTCTCCAGTGATTTCGACGCCTGGAGTGGGCCCAGGAGAAGATTGGGCAAGATCTCTTGACATTGCCTGCGCATCTCATACCTGGACGCGCCATGTCAGAGCAATGCACATATTACACCAGCTGTGGCTCTAAGCAGCGATCGAAATACGCACGTCCATTCGACATCTCCCGGACCCTGGATGATCTCCTTGATTTGCTCTTTGTTCAAAGCCACATCCATGGCTGGAGAGTTGTATTTCGCGTTCTGCGAGTATGGCAGTTGAGGGTCAAGTTATGTTCGTACAGCGCGGTCTGAATTGAAAGCCATTCTCAGAGGGCAGTCCGAAGATGGAGGGACATCCGGAACACGTGCGGGCATTGTGCTCTATTGTGCCTTGCTCTGTCGGTTCTTGTCAAATTGCTGTGTGACCTAGCTGTGCTTGCTTTATCAGATCTTTCGGGTTGCAACCACACAAGACGTCGAAGCGAAAGGTGGAGGGTGCTAGTGTTTGTGGAAGCCATGGAAGGCGACGAGGACATCCCGTATGCCCCCAAATTCATCCGGATATCCAGCCCGGGATGCTTACGGACCGCAGGATTCTTGTTGAGGCCGAGCCTGTAGTGACGACTCCCGCACAGCCGCATACAGTGCCCCTTACTATCATATGTGGATTCCTCGGTGCAGGAAAGTCCACGCTTGTCAAGTGCGTGCACAGCGTTCCCACATCGCAATTTCATTGACCGCAATCGCCTCAGACGTATCTTGACCGAACGCCATGGGTACAGGATTGCCGTGATCATGAATGAGTTCGGGGATACGGCTGTATGTGACCACGCATCACATACAAAACTAGAACACGAGTGATTGTTACGATGAACAGGATATCGAAGGTCGGAAGGACTCTCTCGACCAGTCGGACGTCATCTCACAGCTGAGTAGCGAGGACAATCAATGTTTCGTCTGCCGAGGATCCCGCCGCAGAGCAGTCCGAAGAGTTCCTGGAGCTTGCCAATGGATGCCTGTGCTGCAGCATCAAGGATACAGGTGTTGCTGCCATTGAGAAGCTGATGCAGCGGAAGGGTGCATTCGATCACATCCTACTAGAGACTACCGGTCTTGCAGATCCAGGTGATGCATTCTATTGTACCTTTCCGAGTTGGAGGAGCAGAACTGAGACCAAGCAGGTCCGATTGCATCCATGTTCTGGCAAAATGAAGAATTCGCTATGGGCTTAGGCAGAGATATTCACCTCGACGGTGTCGTTTGTGTCGTAGATGCGGTCTTTGGTCGTAAGGTGCCCGTCAAGCGTTTCTACACCGCATCTTAGCGTACTCACTCTCGAACAGCAAATGGAAGAAGACCACTCTGATGATGGCATTGGCGAAAGCCTCAGGTGTGGATCCTCCTCACACGGCCTACCACCAACGCTAATGGGTTATCCTGCAGACAAATCGCTGGATCTGACGTTATCATACTAAACAAAGTCGATCTCGTATCTCCTGCAGAAGTTGAGGTCACGGAGGAAATCATTCGTAAACTCAACCCTGCAGCCGCAATCCACAAGACAGTCAGAGGAGAGATTGACTTGAAATACATCATGGGCATCGACGCATATACGTCTCAGCCACTGCTCCAGCAGTCGCATATCCATGGCGAAGGCCATGGGCATGACCATGACCATGGTACCCACGCTCACGAACCCACGCACTACGAGATCAGGGGCATTTCAAGCCTGCAAGTTGATTGTCCCTCTTTGACGACAGCTCAGCTAGACAGGTTGGACGAATGGATCAGGAGCGTCTTGTGGGAGAATCAACTGCCTGGTACAAATCCAGCAGGAGAGTATGCAGCACCTGCGCTCCAAGTCTTGCGCTGTAAAGGGATGTTTGCGGTGAAGGATGGCAAGACATACGTCCTGCAGGGCGTGCGGAGCCTGTACGAGATTTCAAAGGTGGCGCCGGGACAGGAAGAGGATGCGAGTGTGCCCGTGATGGGAAAGGTCGTATTCATCGGAAAAGGGCTTGACGAGACGGTACGGCGGAGCATTGAGGCTGTACTTCACACATAGTTTCGAACGCCCAACGCAGCGCACTCCCATGCCCATCTGCAATAAAGTTACCTCACGTTCCACTCCCATCGCCTAGTTGACCTGTAAAAAGCGCCTATGAAAGAGCTGCTAAACATATCTAGAATCCAATAGCGGAGCTGGTGAATCCGCTCTGATAAAGCTGCTCTGCTGATTGCTTCGTCTGAGTGGGTAAATGAGCATTACAGGGCACGGAGGCTTGTTGTTTGTATTAAAGCATCCAAGAGATGAACTAGCCGTGGGCTGGAGGAAGTCAAAAGGGAACATACCTCGATATCACATGAGCGTGTCAATGAGATAAGATCTGAGATCCCATGGGCGCCAATCGCCGGCGTAGACTGTCATAAAGTAGTCATTCGGAGCCGGCGGCGTAGCCGCTAAATAGTGCTCTCTTCTCAGCGCTCAAGATCCAGCACCACGCTTTCAGGATCTTTGCAGCATGTCCTTAACTCCCGAAGCCATCGACGTGCGGAACGTAACCACAATAGGCCATGTTGACCACGGAAAGACAACACTGATGGACGCGCTCCTTGCCGCGAACAACATAATATCCACTCGAATGGCCGGAAAGATTCGATATCTTGACAGTAGAGAGGATGAGCAACAAAGAGGCATCACAATGGAGAGCAGCGCTGTGTCTCTGCGGTTCAAAGTAATGGACAGAACCGAGGACGGGGGTGCGTCGAATTCTCGTCTCGTGGTAGGAATCGCGATTTACTCGACCAGGAAGCTCCCCAAAAACATATGCTGTGAACATGATCGACACGCCAGGACATGTAGACTTCTCCAGCGAGGTGTCCACCGCATCTCGTCTTTGTGATGGCGCTCTTGTCCTGGTGGATGTCGTCGAGGGGGTCTGCACGCAGGTCTGTCCGCGTCTGACTTCATGACTCTCCTCTGGCACTAATTACCCTCAAAGACGGTCACCGTGCTGAGGCAGGCGTGGCAAGATCGTTTGAAGCCCATTCTAGTCATCAATAAATTTGATAGGCTCATCACTGAGCTCAAGCTTTCTCCGCTAGAGGCATATCAGCACCTGTCGCAGCTGATCGAACAGGTCAATGCTGTAATGGGGAGCTTCTTCGCCAGTGAAAGAATGGAGGACGACTTTCGTTGGCGTGAGGAGCGTGAGCGCAGACTCGCGGAAAAGAAGGAATCACACGCACAAGAGGTTGACGCTACCATTCACGATGCCGACGAATTCCAGGAAAAGGACGATGAGGACATCTACTTTGCTCCAGAACGCGGAAACGTAGTGTTTGCATCAGCTGTCACTGGCTGGGGATTCCGTATAGGCAAGTTTGCCCACCTCTATGCAGTTAAGCTCGGCATCAAGGAGGCTAAGCTGCGCACGGTCCTTTGGGGTGACTTTTACCTCGATCCCAAAACCAAAAGGGTCATCAGTTACAAACACCTACGCGGACGGGCTCTCAAGCCACTGTTCGTCCAGTTTGTTTTGGACAACATATGGGCAGTCTATGACGCTGCCTTGTTGAACCCGTGCGTCCCGACGTTCTCATTAGCATCGCACAGTCCTTAGACTGGTATTAGAAACCCTGACAAAATCGAGAAAATCATTACAACGCTGAACCTCAAAATCCCACCTCGTGAACTGAAGACGAAGGACCCCCGCCAGCTCCTGACGCTCATCTTCTCCCAGTGGTTATCGCTGTCCTCTTGCGTCATTCAATCCATTGTGGATGTCGTCCCACCTCCATCCATCGCTCAGCGCACGCGTATCCCCAAAATACTCTACCCCGACCTGTACGAGTCGACTGTCGACCCCAAGAACCGATTGGAAGAGTGTCTCTACTCCTGCAACGGCAAACCGGATGCATACGTCTCTGCCCTTGTGAGCAAGATGTTTGCTGTACCCGCAAAGGAGCTGCCTGGGAACAAGAAGAAGCCAATGACCGCCGACGAGATGCGAAAGCGCGCCCGTGCGGCGCGGGAAGCCAGAGAAGCCACGCAAGCGAATGGCGCTGCGACACCTGAACCGACCTCCGAGTCCCTGGACGCCGCGCTCGAGAAGCTAGAAGTGAAAGAAAAGGAGGAAGGCGGGGAGCCGATCGAAGCGGACGAGACGCTTCTCGGTTTCGCGCGCATATACTCAGGCACTATTCGCACGGGAACCACTATCTGTTGCGTGTTGCCGAAGTACAATGCGGCGCTGGACCCTGCGCACCCGCATAACGCCCCACATGTCGTCACCACGCAGGTGGGGGCGCTTTATGTGATGATGGGGCGTGAACTGGTGCCCGTGGACAGTGTGCAGGCGGGCAACGTGTTTGCGATTCAAGGTTTGGAAGGAAAGGTTTGGCGAAGTGCGACGCTGTGTGCGCCAAATGCCGACGGCGTGGACGAGACTGCGGACCTGAGTGAGATCAAGGATTGTCTGCTAAATCTTGGTGGGGTTGTTCGCTATGTGAGTGCTCCCTTGATGGAATCCTGAATGCCTTCTGATACGGTGGTTCGTTCAGGCTGCTCCTATCGTGCGAGTTGCCCTAGAGCCTGAGGTGCCCGCGGATATGCCTAAGCTTGTGCGCGGGCTCAAACTACTTAGTCAAGCTGATCCGTGTGTGGAGACATTCCAACAACAGACGGGAGAGCACGTTATCTTGACCGCTGGGGAGTTGCATCTTGAGGTAGGGCGTACGACGGTCTTTTACACCAAGGAAGATTCTCATTTTGTCGTTTCAGAGATGCTTGAAGGATCTCCGAGAGCGTTTCGCGAAGATCGAAATCAATGCATCAAAACCAATTGTACCGTTCAGAGAAACTGCAGTTAAGGGTGTCGGTACGTGTGCTGATGGCGATCCTGAATTGCATTATCTGACTCTCCCCATAGACATGACACCTCCCAAGACACCTGGTGCAAAACGGGGGACCATCTACGGAACAATACACAGCAACCTTGTAAGCTTCACCGTAAGGGCGGCTCCCTTGCCAAAGAAGCTGTTGGATTTCCTGCAAGACAACCTCGCCACGCTCAAGCGCATGGACTCGGAACAAGGCTCAAATATGCAAGAAAACCATTTTGTCGAAGAGGACGATGAGTATGATGTCCAGGGCGAGATCGTCAAGAAGCCCAGCACCAAGCCGGAGGATTTCTGGAACACCTTCTCGGAAAGATGTCGCGAAGTTGGCGGTGAATGGGCCGATGTCGCGGACAGGGTCTGGGCCTTCGGTCCACAGAGAGTCGGAAGCTGTCTGCTCATTGACAGCAGGTCAGATGCTAAATCAAACTCGTACGCATCCGATCTATGTTAATCCTTTTTAATGTTTGACGCATCCCGTCGAAAGTCTCAAAACGCGCCAGGAGCGTGACAAGATCGGAGAAAGCAACAAGGAGGCCTTGCCGTTCTCGCGAGAATTTGACAATCATTTCGAGGCAGGTTTCCAACTCGCTACTCTCCAAGGGCCGTTATGCGCGGAGCCAGTAGAAGGTCTCGCATATTTCGTTGAGGCCCTGGAGATCGACAAAGAGGGAATTGACCAAGAAAGATGTGAGTCGGTCTTGGTCTATGCGTGGTCGTAATGTTCATGGAATTCTCAGCGCACAACAAGATGCCGCAAGTCACGGGTGCCGTCATATCCTCAGTAAAGGATGCGTGTCGTAATGGTCTTTTGGATTGGTCCCCGCGTTTGATGTTGGCGATGTACACTTGCGATATTCAGGCGTCCAGTAAGTACCTACCACAACATGGGCTGTTCGAGCACCCGCGCTCATGTTTCGTAACTCCACCAGCGGATGTACTGGGCAAAGTGTATGGCGTCGTGGCCAAACGTCGAGGTCGGATTGTGTCAGAGGAGATGAAAGAAGGCACAGAGTTCTTCACCGTCCGCGCTCTCCTACCTGTCGTGGAAAGTTTCGGATTTGCTGACGGTAAGTACGCGGCCGCCATAACAATTGAAAACCAACTCAATTTACGCGACTGTCTAGACATACGGAAACGCACTTCCGGTGCTGCGAGTCCACAGCTTATTTTCAGCGGGCAAGTGGCATGAAAAGTCCGTCTACCATTCGTCGACTAACTGTCTTCCAGGTATGAGATGCTTGACCAAGATCCGTTCTGGGTCCCAACGACTGAGGAAGAACTCGAGGACCTGGGTGAGAAGGCCGACCGGTCCAATGTAGCGAAGAGCTACATGGATGCAGTACGGGAACGCAAGGGTATGTTCGTCGACAAGAAAATCGTGGAATTCGCAGAGAAGCAGAGAACGCTGAAGCGATAACATCTGCAACTTGGCCATGTCATAAATTGCACTGTTGCATTGTTGCATGTGCATGAAATGTATTAATACTGCCGGTATGACTCACGACACGTCCTTTAATAATAACACCGTGCGTTGTCATAAAATATGGGCTTTGGCGTCTCATGTCTCGTTTGTTTCAGTTTTTCTGCTCAATATCACAGCCAAATCTTGTTCAATATAGTGATCACTAGCGCAGAAGCCTGATGGCTTCCCCCATACGTCCTGTTACGGTAATACTGCAGCTGTATATGGCAAGATGCGATCTGTGCTCATGAGCAAGTGATGTCATGAAGGATTTTCTGCCGTCATGTCGGGCTCTCTGATTCTCACACATGTAAGTATAAGAGGGTAGCATCGACCGCAGAACATGAGGTCAATTCTCCCTCCTCTTTCTTTCGATATCTACTAGCCATAGTAACTTCTTCGTCGATCCATAGCGATCACGCGTCAAGTCAATATCTGTTGGCAGCTATATCAGCAACCCCATATGGTAGTGTGTTAGCGCTCAGCGCTCAGTAGTTGCGAACGCGGAACGGCTTCCTGCTCGTACTGTCACTACTGCTTGCTTTTCTCAGGTAGCCCGACGACCAACATTTCGAGAATTTCAGAATCGTCAACCCTGTTACCCTGGTGCTATCTTCGACTGCGTCGGCGCTTTCGAGCATCTGGTCAAGATAATTCTTATGCATGGTGACTGATACCGTCTCCCTCGTCCCTTACTGAACTGTCAGTGTCTACTGCCTTCGTCGAATAGGCGTGTTCAGACCGCTCGTTACAACTCGACATAGTAATCGAAAGTCACTTACCTAGTCGGGACAGCCCAAATTGAAGCCACGTGGTGCACACCGAGGCGTCTCTGACGACCACCCACACATCTATCACCGTAACCTGCGCTTTCCACCCGTCCTCCTCCCTCTTGGACACGGCCTGGCTGACCTGGAACGTGCATCGTGGCAATGGCGACCGCCGTATACGGCACACAGCACACCATGACCGCATCCCCTAATTTCGGTCGCGACCAGGGCGCACAGCAGTCTGGGGAGGAGCAGTACATCTCGACATTCTTCTGCCGGGCCCTCTATGACTATCAGACCTCGGACGCCTCCTCTCTGTCCTTCCACAAGGACGACGTCATCGAGGTTCTCACACAACTGGAGTCTGGCTGGTGGGACGGACTATTAGGTGACGAGCGCGGCTGGTTCCCCTCGAATTATGTCGCCATCATCTCAGACCAGGAGGCGGAGGTGGCTATCAACGGATCCGAGTATGTCACATCACAACCTCCTTCTCTCCAGGACGACTCTATGGTGGACATGGCGCAATCCATGTCCAGCACGTTATCCAACCGTGACGGGGACTGGCTCGATTCTGATGTAGAGTATTCCCGCAATGCACGACAGCCTGACAGCTATGTCAATGGCGTGAACGGCAAGTCTGTTCAGCATAATGACTTTTGGGTGCCGCAGGTATCGCAGGACGGTCGAGTAAGAGTGATGCCTCACTTGTCGGGACACTCACTAAGTGTCTCTTGCTCTAGATATTTTACGTGAACACACAGACTGGACAGCATTCTAGAGATCTGCCACAGGAGATGGAAGAGGACCCAGACGGAGACTTCGCCGGATTGGCCTCTTCGCAGATATCCCCCCGTGGTGGATCTAGCGCGGGTTTAGGACTTGCTAACGGCCTAGGGCAGGAACTTGGTACTGCAGCAGGCTTTGGTATCTCGAAACGCTCACGAGTGCCTGATCCATGGGAGGAACGCCTAGCAGACGACGGCCTTTCGTATTATTATGTGAACAAGCTCGATGGCCAGATATCATGGACCCGCCCGGAAGCGACCGTTCCCATGTCGCGGGAAGCCTCCTCCATGCAGCCGTCGTCGAGTTATTCTTCGCGGAACGGTAGCCTGAACGGTCGAGGCGGTGCGCCCGCTATGATGAGTCGCATGCGCTCGGACTCATCTGTCTCTGGGCCGCGAGAGCGCTCCGACAGCAATGCCGATAGGTACAGCATCAATTCGGACGATTCAGAGGTCTTCCCACAGCGCGCGCGATCGGGATCCTCCGCCAACGCGAGGCCTACAAACGGTGCCGTGCCCCGCGCACGAACACCGCGACATGTCGAGCTCACTCCGCCAGAGCAGCTTGCGAAGGCATTGCAGCACGCTCTGACACCGCCGGGGCCCGCCTCGCCGGTGGACTTGTCAAACCACGTCCGGGAGGCTATTGCAGATATAATGGACCACTTACGATCCGCGCTCTCCCCGCGGAGGCCGGATCAGTTCGAGGAAATCGACAAGCGGGTGCAGGAGGTCGTTTCGACGGTGCGCAACCTATTATATGTGACTGCAACCCCCATTGGCCACATTCCGAGCAATCTCTACTTCCGTGATGGGCGCGACTCGAGGACATCTACCGGGCAGTCGATGCAGTCGCACCTCAAGGCAGCGCAAAGAAAGGTCTCAGGCACGCTGTCCAAACTTGTGCTGTCTGCTTTGGCCATGCAGTACGACCCGGCACTGACCTCCAGCGATCGGCCGAATCGGATAGAGTCGGATGTCGCGGAACTGGAGCGGGCGGTCGTCACGTTCGTCACGGAGGTGCACGCCTTCCAGGAACAAAATGCGCCTGCCCAAGGAGGTCAACCGTCGCCGATCACGAAGCGTCTGTACGGAGTGCTCTCGCCATCAAACGTTGGGTTGGGTCTGCCGGGAGCTGGAGCCGGTGGTAGTTGGAGGGGCTTTGGCTACGTGCCGCTAGAGGAAACGGAGCAGTCGAATCTTCAGGCTTTCACTGGGAATCAGGTGCAGGAAGTGAAGATTGCTGCCCGGGGTCTCGGGGATCGCCTGGGTGCCTTGACTGCACTGCTCAAACGTGCTGACTTCGACACAGGTATGTGCAACGCAGCTACATGTCCTGTCTGACTGATGTGCGCTCTAGAACGTCTGCGGCGGGAATGCCAGTCTGTGATCGCGCATCTCTCCTCCATCCTTGAATTTGTCGGGAATATCGATGTCGCTCGGCATGTCGACGTTGATGGCGTGCGGTTAGAGCTAGGGCAGTCGATCATCCATATCCAATACATGGAGACGGTGGAGAAGGCTAGACTTCTCGTGCGCACTATGGAGGCTGCGTTGCAGTCATTATACGATGACGGAACCACCCTCCTTCTGGCAGCTCAGGATCTTGGGCGCACAGACCTCGACGACACCGGTCGTATAACCCAACGAGATTACATGGACGCTTTGGTAGCCGGTATTATTGCCAACGCCAATGTAGCCGTACAAAGCCTCGAAGCCTTGCTCGGGGTCGGCTTCGACCAGTCCGACATCAGCCAGACAGACTATGCCAATTCAATCGAATGGCGCAAGTCGCGGCCTGTTGAAATGCACGGTGAAGAGGTTGTGGATCTGGAAATGGCTCTGGGCAGACCGGGCACGCGGGTCACGAGCCCCATGGATGCTCACCCATCCCAGTCAACGCTATTCTACGAGTCCTCGCAGTCCTCGCAAGCTTCCCTTGACATGATGGCGAGGTCACGGTCGGGGAGCGTGGCAGACTCGGCAGCGACACCGACATGGCCCGCGACCGAGCCGTCCGAATCTGGCACACTTGTGTCGCATCCGACGCCAGACCCCGAGCCGCCAGAGCTAGCGGACATGGATGAGGACGAGCGTAAGCATGTTGGCCACCGTATGGACTGCAATTGACGTCTAGTTGCTATTTAGCAGCGACGTCAGCCAAGTCGCCCCCGCGATCGGCAGCGGCGGCGAGAAAGATCATGAAGATCCTCGGAGATGACGCCCCTCAGCATATCCTACAGAAGCTGAATGCGGACTCGAAGCCGTGGTATCTGCGGCCAAATTATGACCAGCTAGAGATCCTCATGGATCCAGACGGTGCTGTGCGCGCGGGAACATCATCGGCTCTCGTGGAGCGTCTCACAGCACACGAGCATGGAGGTGTGTACTGTCAACTGGGTGCAGATACTGTTCGCTCACAACATGTGCAGATCCAACGTTCAATCAGAACTTCTTGTTGACGTTCAAATCCTTCATGACGCTCGACGACTTTTTCGACCTGCTTGTACGTCGGTTCTGGGTACAGCCGCCTGCAAACTTATCTCCTGCCGAGCTTGAAGAGTGGACAAAGCTGAAACAGCACGTCATTCGCATGCGGTGCGTCAGTAGCGACACTGACACTGGACCTCCGGGCTGACATGACGTAACAGAGTGTTGAACACCTTTAAGACCATGGTGACTGATGACGGAATCTTGGAAAAGGAGGATATCTACGTCCTCGCGCGCATGAAGGACTTTGCGTCAAATGAGGAAGTTGTGAACTTCGCTGCCGCGAAGCAGCTCCTTATCTTAATTGAGCGTGCGGTACGTGTGATTCTATTTACTTCAACACAAAGCCTCTGACATGTGGACATTCAGCAACGAGGCGGCGATGCACCTATCAAGATCAGCACTGTCCCTGCTTCCCCGCCAGCGCCGGTTCTTCCACGGAACACCAAGAAGCTGAAGTTACTCGACATTGATCCAGTCGAACTTGCAAGACAGCTGACGCTTATGGAAGCTGCCATGTACAAGAAAATTCGGCCCATGGAGTGTCTCCTACGGTCACGAGAGACAAAACCTGGAAGATCAGGCGATAACTTCTCCTCCATTATCCAACTCAGCAATCGAGTCAGTACTAGTTTAGTCATAAATTTTTGCTGTGCTGATGACCACCACAGATTGCGAACTGGGTGGCTGAATCGGTGCTGGACAAGGAAGACTCTCGCAAACGTGCTACCATTGTGAAACACTTCATCAGTGTTGCGGATGTGAGTCCTAGCCAGTCTTCAGGCCTCCATGTATATTCATGACGACTGAATCGATATGTAGCGCTGCCGATCCATGCAGAACTACTCTACGATGACTGCGATCGTTTCAGGCCTGGCTACTCCTCCCATTCGCCGGCTGAAGAGGACATGGGAGCAGGTGAATGCGCGTTTTATGTCACAGCTGAGGGTCTGCGAGTCAACCATTGATACCGCCAAAAACTTTAATAATTATCGATCCACTTTGGCGAGGATTACGCCCCCATGTGTGCCTTTCATCGGTAAGCATGGAATTCTTCTCTTCCTTGACCTGCAGTATATAACCCTTTTTTTAGGTGTTTACCTCACGACGCTGACGTTCATCAACGATGGAGCGGAAGACAAGCTAGCTGGGAACATGGTCAACTTCCGCAAACGTCAAAAGGCTGCAGAGGTCATCCAGGACATCAAGCGCTGGCAGTCCAAACCGTACAACTACCAAACTGTCGCCTCCGTCCTCACATATCTTGAGGAGTGCTTCAGCAAGTACAGCGACGGCTTCGACTATGCCGATCAGTTCTGGAATCTTAGTCTGGAACGCGAGCCCCGGGAGAGAGAAGACGAGAAGATGGCAAGATTGTTACAGGAGAGTGGTTTCCTTTGATATCCTATCCATACAGCTTGGTTTCTCGTTCGAAGTTTGGTATTATTCGCATTGCTCTGTAACTTTATACGCTGATTTACACGCTGCTCCTCATGTAGTTTTAGTTATACCTGACATGGATGGATAGTACTGCCCGTACCCAGGAGCATGCGCATTCACCTGCACCTACTGCATTACCGAATATAATACCAGCGCGATCATTCATTACCGTGGGAATGAACCTCTAAACAAAACCGCCACCACCAATGGCTGCTGAATGTTGACAGTGAACGTCGCTGTTCACGGCGCGCATCCTGATCCCGACGTACGCATTTGCAGAATACAATGGAGGAGGATTCAACGTTCTTCGACCGCGAACGCGATAGACTGACGGGAGAAATTACGACCGTGAGTGACAAACGTTTAGATGGGTATCGTTCATTGTCACCCTTCTGATCGGTCAGGCTTTTGAGGAACTGCTATCCTCGAGCAACAATCTCAACCGCAAACTCGAGGAAGTTTTGGGTATGACGAGAGAATACGAGACAATCGCTGCCCTGTGGTCGAGCTTTCATGAGCTCATGCGCGGTCAACGAGACGAGCCTGAGGAGCCAACGGCAGAGCATCCGCAAGGATTACCAGGGACAGGAGGGCATGTTATCGCCGCGAGGTCAGGTAGTACAGGTCCTGGCGGTCAAAATGAGGGATGATGCTACAGATTGTCCAGATATATGACGAAACGCGTGATATGAAATTGTCATGCACATAACAGGTATCCAAGTACAGGGAGACAGAATGCAGCAAATGGTAAACGGAATAATTATGTACAAGAATGGCATCGCTATCATACGTCTGCCCAGCTTGCGACCTGTAGATGATAGACAATGAGCTAACTGTGGGACAACACAAGGATGCACACATACCCAAGAGAAACCGTTAAACTCAGCCTGGTCGCGAGTAGACAGCTGGGTGTGCACAGGCGTCAATGTCGGCTGCTCACGAGTGAACTCTTCATCGAAGTTGCTAGTATCAGCAGTGCCATTCTACGTGGTATAAAGATGTGAGACTAAGACACTAGATAACCGACAGTCACACGTACAATGGTGGGGAAGTAAGGCGGTTGAATGCGTTTGTTGTGCACATCATCCCAGTTTACATCCTTGAAGAAAGGATGGCGTTTGATCTCCTCAGCATCTGCTTCGCCAGAGCCAAGTCGCCGTTTGGGATCGCGGGTTAGGAGCTGGACTAGGGATGAGAAGAAGGTAATAAAATAAAATAACAGCACCATACCTTCTGAAGGACCGAGACAGCATCGCGGGGCATTGTAATCGGGTACAGGGGTTCATCTTCCAGGATGGCGTCAAAGATTTCGTCTTCGTCATCTCCGCGGAATGGCGATTGGCCAAGGAGCATCTCATACATGAGAACGCCAAATGCCCACCAGTCGACTGCGCGGCCGTATCGTTGCTCCAAGAGAATCTATATAGCCAGAGTCAACGAGGCGGGCCACAGCCTGGAACCACTGGTACTGACCTCGGGAGCCATGAATTCCGGCGTCCCACAGAATGTGCTCGTGGTTGAACCGTAGGGCATATCTTCCTTGCAGAGACCATAATCAGCTACCTTGACGTGTCCGTCCGTCGTTAGGAGAATGTTGTCCAGCTTAAGATCCCTGCGGGACTGTGAATACGTGGCAACGAGGTTGCAGCGACGCTACAAACCGGTAGATGATGCCATTGGCGTGAAAGTACTCGAGCGCTAGGAGAACTTCCGACGCATAAAACTTCGCCTGCCGTAGAGAGAACTGCTTGCGCTGAATGTGAAGCATGAGATCGCCTCCGCTGACGTACTCCATAACGAAGTACACGCGGGTCTCCGTCTGGAAACATGAATGAAGACCAAGGAGGAATGGGTGTCGCTCCCTGGCAGCGGCCAAGAATACTCGTTTCTCAGAACGGGTGCTGCACGACGACTGAGCGATAGATTATGACAGCGCGGCAAACGAGCCTACCTTTCAACCTCATCGTTGTCAATGATGAACTCTTTCTTCAACACCTTGATAGCATACAGGCTACCTGTCTTCTTCTCCTCCGCCAGCATGACCTTACCGAAGTTACCCTTCCCGAGCACAGCGAGGAAGTTAAAATCATCGAGACCAACTTTGCGCTGACGCGCGGGCGCACGCTGCACTGGAGTGGGCGGCAAGCTGGGGGCCCGTTCCTGCTGGGGAGAGCGGGCGAAAGCTGCTGGCGCCGTCTTCGCGGGTATCACCTGTTGAGACGGTTGAGCCTGGAGACTCATGTCAGTTCAGTTCAGTGCGGGGGATTATATGGGCTGAGACTTGCCTGGTACCCATATGCGTCCTGCGCTTCGTATCCGCCTGGTCCGGGGCGCCCTGGTTGTATGGGCTCGGAGGGGTATCCAGGTGTCCGACCTGCAGTGGCCTGTCGTGGTGGTTGGGCGGGGTAGGCGGCTGATGGAGGCTGGGCCATACGCTGATCCAGGCTTTCAGGAGGAGGGGTTTGCATTTGTGGACGACCATACGAGACGTCCTTCTGGGGAAGCGGTGGCTCGGCAACTTTCATGCGATCCATGTCGCCAGTCAGCTGATCCAGGGGAGGCTCCGGAGGCATCGGAGAGCGAGGCAGTTGAGTGTACTGCGTTGTCTGACGCGACTGGGTGGTCGTTTTGCCTCCTCTCGCCTTGTTGATATCGCGCCAGTCACGGAGGAGCTGGTTAGCAGTCTCCATGGACATGCCACAGAAGTCAGGGACAAGATGGGCGCAATTTGCGTGACAGGTGATGCCACACTCAGTGCATCGGCGAGCATTCTTGCGGCCTAAAGGAAGCATATAGCCACAATGACAACACCAATTTGCACCGATATTGGTGATTGGTTCGAACCGATGCGGGATACGATGGTTGATTTTTTCTGCATCGTCGTCCTGCAAAAAGGCGGTGAGGAAATGGGATCGATGGGGTGATGCTTGTACTTACGCCAGTATTCGATTTAGAAATACATTTCGTTACAACCTTCTCGTAGCACTTCTTGTGACAAGTATACCGGCAATCCTCGCATTGATATCCGACGGCGTTCAGTAAGAATTCGTTGCAGAAAGCGCAGAGAATGATCTGGTAGAACTGACGTTGGACGAATTTGTGTCCATTCATCTCGTGCACCTCATCTCTACGCTTGCGAAGAGCACCTTGACGGCCGAGACCGCCCGGGGCATCCAAAGGGCGTTTGCGAACGTTCTCCTTGACTGAGAAGAAGATGAATGATAAATACATCACAAGCATAATACAACATACCGAAATTTAAGCGCAAGGCAAGCGCGCCTGCAGGCTCAACCACAAACCAGGCGTCAATACCCTCCGATTGACTCATGGAAGGTACAGAGGACGAGGGCTGGATAGAAGCGTTTGGCCCGAAACCGACAGGAGCATTCATGTCATTACCATGCGACCCCATGGCTGTACCGTCGCCGTTCATTGCTCCAGCGGTAACCCAGCCGCCTTGACCGCTCTCCATCAAGACCTTCTGCTTCCTCTGGGCATCAACGAGGTCGGAGATCTTGATCCACAGGAGACCGATCGGGATAGGGTATGACTCGCCGACTTGTTTGTCATAGACTGTGATTTCGACTTCGTTCGCTTTCTCAATCGTGATCTCGAAGTCTTCCATCCAGCGATCGGTCTTGGAGGGATGGGAACGATCGCGCTCCGTCCCTTCCACCTTGAACGAAACGTAGGTTTCGCACTGCTTAGCAGATGAGAAACGGTATCTGGGAGCGTGTTCAAGTTCTCGAGCACCCTTGAGGGTCACTTGTAGCTTCCCAGACAGGTTCTTGGAACGCAAGTTCTCCTTGCGCTCACCCTCTACACCAGGGCCCACAGCACCTGCATATATGTGAGAATTTCACGCAAATGTTCGACAAACCATGCACACCTGTATCCTCCTCCTCCAACGCATCGTCCAAAATATGTAGATTTTTGTAGCGCTTGAGAGCCGTCTGTAGTAGATGTATCTTTCGCTCACTTTCTATCTTCTTGCTCTCAGCGTCCGCTCGCGACCGTTTGTCGCCATCGGCCTGGAACAGCTTGGCCATCTTGTCAATGCCTTTCTTCAGTTGCATCTCCACCTGTAGTTTAAATTCGAGCTCATGCAGCATGCTTGATATTTTGGCCGTCGTATGGGGAGTGTCCGCCTTGATCAAGTCAAGTTTGGTGTACATTTTGGGCTTTGAAGCACCAGGTGTGTCATCGTCAGGCAGGCTGCCACCAGATTTACGCAGGTCAGGGGACTGCGGGCTTTGTGCGCCACGACGCGAACCATCCGGCAGCGGTGAGGACGGGGCACGATTGTTATCGGATGAACGGCCAGCGCGTTGACCGTACGACGCGCCGCCCTGACCAGGACCGGGACTGCCTGATCGCGACTGATCATCGCGCTGGGCTTGCATCAACTTGCGAGACTGCAGCTCCCGCAGGGTGTCTTCGAAATAGGAGAGCGAGCGCTCCGCCTCCCTAATCCTAGCATCGGTACCCGCGCGAACTTCAGGGTTGGAAGTGACTGTGAGCATGCGCCTGGAGGCCTCCAGGAGCCTGCGCTCGGTTTGAATGCGCCTGGAGACATCCTCGATCTTCTGGTCCAGCTCGTGCGCCTTGGGGAAAGATGAGGACCGCGACAAGAATCAGGAAGGTATTGCCGCACCATAGCTGAGTACTGGATACCAACGCCCTGCGTACGGCGGGAACACTCTGCACGTTGCAGAAGGCGAGGAAGAGAAGGGCTGTAGGGCTGAGCGCGGAAGGGGCGGTGATATGTGTGTATTTGCTTGTCCCGGCACTATTCGCTTTTACATGCCGGTAAGGGGGTTATTCTTGGAATTCGTTTCCCTTGGTGACCACTTATCTCCTCCCTCCTGTCTGCCTCCATCATGCCAACATTTGCCTACTGCTCCCCGCCAATCCGTGAGATGGTCGAGGGCCTTACAGTTGCTTTACATACACGCCACGTCTTTGCTTCTGGGTCGGCGTCCGACGACGTGCTAGAGCTCAAGGGCCGGATACCGGACGATGTAGATGTTATCCTAGGCTCGGATCTGGTCTTCATTATCGCCGGTACGGTAAAGTCTGGCCGGGTCGCGTCTGGTGTAGTGCGACGGTCAGCAGTCGCGAAGCATATAATAGACTACTTTCGGACGGTGAGTATGTTCCTCTCCCATTGAGCATTTTCGCTTGACGTCGCATGGATGTCAGAATGCACATCAGCTTGGGCTGAATATGGTGTCTGATATCTACATTGACGAAATAGATGGTAGCGCGAAATGTAGGCATACTAACTCATGAAGATTTGAAGCTGCCATCTCATCATTCCAGTTTCTGTCACGTCTGCCAGACCCCTGCGAGCGCAATCACGGCTTGCTACTGTGCGCCTACTCTCTGTCGACCTGAAGCTCTCATGCAAGTTCACCAGTCGGTTCGGGAATGCATGTGAGGCGCTCGAGGGCTACACAGCATGCAATACTGATGTGAGATGACATGATAAGCGACAGAAGAGCATCCGTTCGCCGGTCAAGTGTATCTACCCGTTCTGTCCTGTCTGGACCGCGTTGTAGAGAAGTTTGTTTGCTATCATCTCGTAAAGTAAGTGTGTATCGTCTATGCCCGACGTGCTTACAATGTAGATTGCTATTCTCAGGCGGTATCCGCTCATCTTTGGGCCTTGGCGCGCAGTAAGTAGTCTCAGCGATGACATCTGTCGCTGACCACCATATATGCGCAGCGACTGGACTTGGAGTCAGCTCTTTTCCCGTCTCTTGTCGATTCCCTAACGAGAATCGCGGAGAGGTCCACCAACGAAACATTTGCCAGGAAGTTCAACCGCATAACTAAGGTAGCACTTTGCGTTCAAATGCTCTGCTTCATTGCGCATAACTGAAAATCGCAGAGGATCAGAAAAGCCAATGATTCGTCTATGTCTCGCTCCGTAGACGCGCTGCACGGATGTATCGGCTCAGCTCAAACAGACGATGACCATGATGCAGTGCCGCGATCACAGCCTGATACTATATGCCAGGCCTTCGAATACCTCTTCAGGCAAGGCATTAGACCAGCTCTCTTCAAGGTAATCTGATCGTTCGGTGTGATTTTGGCTTGCATACTCAAGTGAGACGCGCAGGGCACGCGACGCAAATCTTCAAGTAACGAACTTGAAGCTGACGAGGATGATGCGCGTTTCTTCAATCCTGCGCAAAATGACTCTCTTGCTAAGGATGATCCACCTGCCGAAATCTTCGACGATGCTTTGACGGACAATGACTTCCCTCTGGACGATGACGACGATGGTCATTGGCATGAGCTAGAGCTTGAAGATGACGACCCTTCAGACGAAGATTTATGGGATGGGTATCTTGACACCAGCAGTCCTCGGGACGGAGCCGATAGCGCAGTCTTTATTGACGAAGACGAGGATTCGCCGATATTAATCTGCAGCCCCTTGCTCATTCCTCATTCGCAAGATAGCTCTAGCTCAGATGACTCGATTAACGTATGTGGCGAGAATAATACCGGTTCTTCCTTGTCTAGCCATGGTTTAATGATCACTGATGACAAATTCAGAGCCTAGATACTAGCCAGAACCGTACGCAATTGCTCTCACCCGCAGTCTACTCGCAAGAGGGACGACATCGTACGCCTAGTAATGCAATACAACCAAACCTGTTGGGCGAGCAGATTGAACGTCTTTGTTCCCCTCTATCTCAATGTAGTCCTGCAATGTCTCGTCGATGCTTACCGTTGGACGATACTTCTGTGTTGGAAACTCTGAACCTTGACGGCTCCGGCAACGACTATGTGGACGATCTGCAGTGGCATGATTCCGATGATGAGACGGAGGACCGTCCTTCCATAATTTCTCCTATTCCGACTCGTGCAATGCCTCTGGTACTCGGTGTCTTCGGCTCCTTGCTAGACGAGCAAAGTGGTTTACTAGCTGCGGATCAGCTCTCCCGAAACACTGTCGGCCATCGGCTCCCCCCCTTTGTCGCATTCCCCAACAAGGTCGTCCCGCAAACAGAATGGCCATCTCACGACTCTACACCAATTCACTTTGGCAGCGCCTGTTGGTCTTTATCGCCTCATGTTGAAGCCGCCGGGTGTACTTGCTCCCTTTGCGTACCACCTCGGATCGATGGAACTACGCATGGATGTAACGAGGCGACCTTCTATTCTAGATTTTCACTCCGGTCACCTTCGGCTGAACTCGACACCTCTGGCCAGGAGGGGCTCATGGGAGTAGAAGAAGGCTGGAACGAACAGGAATTGAATATACTTGATGTAGAATAGACGTTCCCTATAGGATGTTTCACCTTGTCGCTGAAATTCAGGTGTACTGCGGCTTGCTCGATTTGTCTGAGGCCAAGTCCACGCGGATCGTCATCTGAGTGCGAGCGTGACGTTGATCGAGAAGGAACGTAGGCTTACGTCATGGGCCGCAGGCCACGTTCCAAGTTCCGCCAGACTCCGCCGCACTGAGACCTGGGTCCTGACTTGGGCACGCCCTTCCTACGCGACCTCCATCACAACTGCACGTCCGTTATCATCTCTCCCATAAGGCCTCTGCTTTTCTCTCCTCACTCGCTCGACAGAGCGTCTGTGCTCTTCAGTTCTTTCTCCGGTGACTCCAATCAAGCACAATGCTACCGGCCCAGCGTAACAAGGTTGACATAAGTGTCAGTACTGGGGAAGACAACTGTCGCCCCATCTATCTCCTGCACAATGGTCACACTAACACAATGGTATTCACAACAGAAACTCACGGAAGAGGAGCAGAAGCTCTTCCGTCTTTACGGGAAGCTCCCTACGCATAAGAATGTCTTAATGAAGATGCAAAAGGTATTTGTGGCTTGATCAAACATAGTAGCTTTTGCATCGACAACTGATCGCATTGCTGGATCCTAGGATCGCAAGTACTTTGATTCCGGAGACTATGCGCTCTCGAAGGCGGGTGTGGCTCCCCAGAACGCCGTCGGGACTGCGATTCCCAATCCGGAGAAGTAAGTTTCACGGCTTGCCCGCCCGAATGGATCTTGATTCAGGGCTTAGTCTTTCTGCAGTATTCCGCATGCGTCGTCCCCTCCCGTCTCCCACCAGCCAATTTCTGTCTCGCCAACCAACTCTAATATGAGCCCTGTCAAGGAGAGCCCGCTCGCCGAGCCGGAGGTAGCGGCGAATGCACCAGTTGCGTCCACAGAGCCTGTGGAGTCTGAGGAGCCACCTGCCGAAGCAGTGGAGGATGAGCCCATCGAGGAGAAGGAAGAATGAATAGTTCACAGCCATGAACCCGCGGCGACAGGCTTGTTCAATCGGCTTCGCTAGTGGGTGTTTGGAAGGTGGCAGCTGTGGATTTTGATTGTGTGCAAGTCCTTCCACTATATGCGCCCCTTTCTTTTCGTGTCTATGTTCGATATGTACCAGTAGCATACGACCCTTCACTCGCTCTCGATTGACTGCCCTCGTTCGACGATACTATCTTGGATTATTGTCATCGTTTCGAAATGAAGTTCACGAGATTGCGCATGTCGATTTCTAGACGGCGTCTGATGTGTGACCGAACGCGTGACAGGACGCGTCCAATGCATCACGACGCGGTCGCGTTCTTCTTCATTGACGGTTTGTCTCTGACTACGTTATGGCCACGATGGACGTAGCGTCGCTTCGTTCGCAGATACAGGAAAAGTTCGGCGAATCGCTAGAGGAGGGTCTAGTCACAGAATGTACGTCGTTGTACCACGCTGCGACATAACTTCGGTTTCAACGGCTTTCTAGGCGTGCGCATTTGCCAGATGTTCAACCTGAGCGGAGAGATCCTTTGTTACAAATGGGAAGCGATGTGCTTTGGAATGTCTGGACCACGACCGCTTTTCACCGCCGACTATATCCCTGCCCTCAAGGCCAAGTGCCAGAGCGACCTCGCGAAGGCAAATGCAGCTAGGCAGAAACTCAAGGCGAACCTCAATGGGCCTTTGTCTCGCACATTTGGAGGTGGGCCAGGAAGGGCCAGTGTGCGCTCTGCTGCCTCGCCCGCGATCAGGACGCCAGTCAAGCTCACTGTAAGGCGGCAGGATGGGTTTGGCGTGGTGGCGGGAGAGGAGAGGAAAATGCCCGTGGCAGGACCTAGCAAGGTGGTTTTTGTAGGGCCGAAGATTGATGAGGAATCTAGAAAGCGGAGAGCGTGTAAGAAGACCTGTTGTCTCTAGTGTTCACGGCGCTGACCTCTGTGAAGACCGATATATGTATGAGACGGCAGCCGATCGTAGCAGAGGTATGTCTCACCTGCTGTAAACCTGTTTGTTGCCTATTCATGCTTGCATATAGTGCTGGACAACAGGATTGACGAGTTCGGAGAATGGGTCAAGGAGCATTATAACATTGAGGAGCTCGGAGATCCATCTGCTAATACAGAGGTGGGCTCGTGCACCTGCAAGCTCGCCTACGTGCTGACGCCTCATTCTACAGGAAGAGGTGGTTGTGGTTGGACGTGTTACCCATGACTCAGAGACCTCGTCTGGGTCCGTCAAGCTGAACGAAGCTTCAGTGACTCTCGAATCGTCGCGGCAGATGGGTTCAGGAGGAAGAGTCCCTCTGCGCTTCGATCCTAGCGTCAAGGTGCGACAGGGGGTAAAGGGCGTGGGTGGCATAGGACTCTTCCCTGGTGCTATAGTTGCACTCAGAGGGAAGAACGGCGGAGGGGGGTGGTTCCTGGTAACCGAAGTACTGTCGGTATGTTACACGCTCCTGGCTATCTGTGCGTATAGATGTCTGAAGACAGGCTGAAGCTGCCGCCCATGGAGTCGTCGCCAAACAATGGGATGAAAATGGAGGACTCGGAGCCATTCAGCATGCATGTGGCTTGTGGGCCATTCACCCCCGATGCGGATCTCAAGTTCAAACCGTGGCACAGACTGGTGTCCAAAATCAAAGCAGACAGGCCTGCTGTAGTATTGTTGGCGAGTAGTATGCAGCAACGATCTCTGGGTACCTCATGGCTAACAGCATGCTCAGGTAGGACCATTCATAGATGTCACCCACCCAGCCGTCAAGAGCGGCGAAGTTGACACCGACCTTGCCGACATGTTCCGAGAAACATTTATTTCGAACATGCAGGACTTCCTCAGCTCCTCTCCTGACAGCATTGTCCTCATTGTGCCTAGCGTGCGCGATGTCATTAGCGATCATGCTGTCTTCCCGCAATGCGAGTTAGGTCCAGAGTACGCGGCGGACCCTGTACGTTCTACTTCCCTCAGGCTATCATTTTCGCTCAACTTGAGGTATCGCAGCGTATACATCTCCTGCCAAATCCATGCCGATTTTCGCTCAACGGTATCTCGTTCGCTGTGAGCAGTGTAGACGTGATTTTTCATCTGCGGAAAGAAGAATTTTTTAAGCGAGCTGGGGAGGTCGACTCCATATCTTCAGTGGCAGAGGGAGCTGATGTACAAGCGAATGATGCGGAGTTAGTGGCAGGGGGAGCTGGTGTACAAGCCAATGATGCAATGACAACCACCTGTCGACATCTGCTGCAACAACGGAAGTAAGTCTTTGACAAGCCCATGCTAATACATCGGTACTGACAGGCGGAAGTTTCTATCCTATATTCCCTGCACCATTGGACTTGGCGCACGAAGTGAATCTGGATATTACTCACCTGAAGGATATTGAGCTTGGTGGTGGCGAAAACGATGATGTGGGATATGCGCCTGATGTTCTTGTTGTGTCAAGCAGGCTCAAACACTTCTCCAAGGTATGTGTACGTTATATCTACCTTTCTCAAGCTGATTTTGGGCAGGTGGTTGACTCGACCGTCGCCATCAATCCTTCCTTTCTCACGAAGGGGACATTTGCAGTCCTGACATGTTGGTCTAGTCCAGGCCCTGTGCATAATAGGGTGAAGGCGGAGGTGCAGAAGCTAGACTGATGTATAACCCTATGTATTTTCAGCTGTATAAATCGTCGTATCTTTTGTTCAAGCTGTTTGCTATCCTGATAGTTATATATCATTTCGACGCATCACGAACACTACGCCTGCCAAATTGGGATGTGTCCGCACGTGCTTGATCTGAGATCCCGGTGACGAAATGGGAAACAACTCGTCCCGCATTCTACATCTGCCACCTGAAGTACTGCTGCCATGGAACACGATACCATTAAGCGCGCTTCAAAACACAAGGTCTCTCATGTCACCGCAGACCACGGTAGCAAGAGAAAACGAAAGCACAAATCCGACAAGGAAAGTGGCAGCAAACGCCGACATAAGGGAGACGCGGAGCGGCACATTCACATTGTGGACGATGACCCGGACGCTGACATGTGGGAGGAGAAGAACATAGATATGGATGGGGAAGAGGTAAGAGTTTACTGCATCTGGATCAAATGTGTGCTCTTACATTTGGCTACAGCCTGTCGCAGCCAATATCCCGACGACGGAGAGCCTGAAATTGACTTCGCATGCTTCGGTTGAGCCGACTGATCCACCATTACCGCCCCCGACTAGGACGGAGACCACAATCAAACGAGATGAATGGATGCTCATGCTCCCCTCAACACCTCTCGTTCCCGACGTTCAGTCACGCCTGGAGGCGCCTACGGGTGATGAATTGCTAACGGAAGACTACGGAGAACCATCACAGAATGCGCGTAACATGAGTGGAGCTGTCGACTTCTTCTCCAGTCTGGGAACAGATATTAGGAAGAGGAAGTCTCAACCAGATCGACCAGATCCCGACAAGGTGCTTCTGCAGTTTCATAGTACCTCACTATTATGCTGATGAGGTTTGTCGTGACCACCACAGCCTCATATTAGCCACAGGGAACTGAACACTGCTATTAAAGAAGGCACATCTATTGATGATGTACCTCCCCCCACACCCAAGGCTCAGGTGCCTGGAGGGCCTGGTTCCCAATGGCGGATGATGAAACTCAGGCGCGTATATGAGCAAGCGGAGGAAGAGGGGAAATCTGCCGAGGAAGTAGCACTTGATCGCTTCGAATCTCTCTCAGCGTTCCGGGATGCTCAAGAAGAGCGCCGCATACTTGATGAGCGTGAAGGGCGGCGCGCAAGCAGGGGCAGCGACTCGGAACGTAAGGGGAAGGGAAGGGGACAGGGACAAGGCAGCGGTCGTCCCGAACAGCGATTCATGTTCTCCGACGTAGGCGGGAGCGCCATGTCGAGCCGTAGCTCATCCTTCCGCCGCCCCGACCTCGGTGCGAACACACCGGCGACGCCGACGCCCGAAACACGCGCGGGCGCGAGCAACCCCAATCGACAATTCGACTCGATTCGCCTGCCCTCGCAGGCGGGTACACCCGGCCAGCGGGGGCAATCGCAGTTGCACACGCCCATCCCGTCCGTGATGACACCGTCTGCGTCGCTCGTGGGTGCGCGTGGGCGGGCGCTCTCGCCGTCGTCGCTCAACCGGATGCAGGCGAAGGTTCTGCGCGCGAAGCTGACTGGCGCGTCTGACGCGGAGAACCTGGAGAAAGAGTACGACGAGGAAATGCGTAAGGCGCAAGGTGTGGAAAAGGGTGGCGTGCGGACAAAGGTGGAAGTGCTACCGACACTAGATGCGCGGGGACGGCTGTACGATGTGGGCCAGGGTAGAGATGATTCCTCGTTACCAGCAGGGAATCGCAAGCGGAATCCGCAGGTAAGTTCATCTTTTCTCTCTGAGGCTCGACATTAAAATTGTCGCAGTTCGAGACGCACGATCGTAAGACGGGCGAGCGAGTCCGTGTCAACCCCGATGACGACGAGATCACGTTGGGTGAGATGCTCCGACAGGAGCGTATGGGGGCTGGCCAGGCAGACCAAAAGAATCTGGACGCGGAGTTCGCGAGGCAGATCATGACCGATGCCAAGTTCCAGGTGAGCATGTCGACATTGGTTCTGTGGTGCGCAATATGACCTCGAAGTGTCTCTCATGCAGAACGATATCGAGTATCTGGACGACAACGCGGAGAAACTCGCGAGGAAGAAGATGCGCTCGGACGCCATGAAGCGCCAATTTGCCATCAATGGTTAGTGGACGCGTATGACCTGCAAGGACAAGTTTACCTGAGACTTTGGTAGATTACAAACAAACGCAAAAGGTTCTCGCGACGTGTCCGTTTTGCTTTGGTGAGGACGATTCGTTACCGAAGGCGCCTATCATTGCCATGGGCACCCGGGTGTACTTGTCGTGTACACTGACGGATGAGCTCGTTGAGGGGCACTGTATCATTGTGCCCATACAACATCACTTGAACATGCTGGAGGGTGACGACGATGTTTGGGACGAGGTCCGGGTACGTGTCCATAACACTGTGGCGTACGATGAGTGGCTAATTGTGGCGCATCGCAGAACTTCATGAAATGCCTGATGCGCATGTTTGCGGAGGAAGACAAGGGCGTCGTGTTCTACGAGACTGTGATCAACCTAAAATGGCAGAAGCACACAGTCATCGAGTGCGTGCCCCTACCGTGGGTGCATTTCGAGCAAATACCTGGATACTTCAAGGTATGTACCACCTTGGAAGTGGATCTGCTGGCGACTCATGGCACCCCCCTCGAAGGAATCGATCTTGATGTCGGAGACTGAATGGTCACAGCACAAAAAGCTCATCGACTTCTCAGCGCGACCAGGCGGTTTCCGCCGCGCGATGGTGCCCAATCTGCCGTACTTCATGGTGCAGTTCGACTACAAGGGCGAGAAGGGCTACGGGCATGTCATCGAGGGAACAGGTGAATCAGCTGGCACTGGCGAGGACCCGGAAGGGGACATCGATGAGGGCGAGAAGGGCGGTGGTGAATTCCCTAGGTGCGTCTGATGGCTTGTCAATGCATTAAAGGCGTTGCTGAGCTCGGGTCAATGCTCAGATATTTCGCTGGCGAGATCATCGGCAACTTGTTGGACCTGGAGCCCAGGCGGTGGCGGAGACCACGGCGCGTTGATTTCTACCAAAACAGAGAACGCGTCGCAAAGTTCAAGAGCAAGTACGATAAATATGACTGGACTGGCATGATAGGACAGTCTTGATGTATGGTAGGGAAGGTTGTTGCATCCAGTGTATATTGTATGGACTTACATATGGCTCGCATGTCGTTAATTGTGTAGAGTAGAAGCATTGTATCTCTGTCATTATTCGGACCTTTTGGATTTGCTTCAATTTCAAAGCTCGTAATGCGGACTTCGGACATGAGTTTCGGAAACGGGTTGAAAGCGGCAGTTCCCGGTCTTGGAAAGGGATACTGTTACTACCAGTATAGTACTTACATACCGCATTGCGAGTTTTGTACCGCCCCACCAGGGTGGGTCTGTAGCATCAGAGTCTGAGCATTGTCGTGGTGGGGTTCCATTGTAACCATTCTGGTGGTGCATTCAACTCGTCCTCTGACCAGGCATGCCGTCATCCATGACAGCCAGTCGATCAATGGCACCTTAGACGAGCAGACCCCCCATCTCTGCTGCATTTTCTGCGCTCGTATGCTCTTGCCTCAGCTACTGCAAACCACGACCACATATTTCTGCGGAACGAGCTTTAGACACTCACATAGGCTCATATCGCGTATGGCTGCGTCAAACCTGCCACACACGATCCGCCAGGGTATCCTAAATCTCCCCGGAAGTACCTCCGAGTCGAAGGCTATTGTGGAGCGACTTTTGGAGGAAGATAGGAACACCCATCACTGTTTCTTCGGAAAAGTAGGACTGCATAACCACCTCAGCCACCAGTGAGTTTCCTTACGAATGCACTCCTCGCCTCATAAGTGTACTGATTCTGGATAGTTTGTTAGCCGCGTATGATCTAGGGGCGCCTCCGGCTTTGTTGCAAGCGATTTATGATGCAGAGAAGAGTGGCCTATCTCCGATTCACCTAGCAGATCGTAAACAGGGCGTAGTTAAAGAGCAACCAATCACATTCACCGCTCAGAGTTGGACGGAGTATCTTGGTCAAGAGAAGTAAGAGCCTCATTGTTGTATCATCTGTGGATAGCTCGAGATTGAATCCTTGTCCTAGATACTACGCCAACTACGTCGCTTTTTTCTCTTCGGAAATTGCAGCTCTCGGTTCGGGCGAAGTGCTAGAGAGATACATCTTCTCACCAGCTGCCAACGAAAATGGCGCCCACGTTCTGTTGAGATTTATAGGTGGCGCGTGAGTGTCCTTAGCTACCGGCGTACCAATCTCTGCAAGCGGCATGGCTGATCGTCTACAACTGTAGATTGCATCCCATCATCCAGACTGGTGTATGTCTCTTGCAAGGGCTCATTCACTGATATTACTGACAACCCACTTAGTATGCCGTCGAATTCGGCAGTGACGCGATGCTAGCCCAAGGTAATGACAAAAGCCTCAAATGCAGCTCTGTGCTCACCCGTGAAATGTAGCGCTCGCTCAAACCGCAGTTCACTCCCCTTTTGTCCCTGAGATTTTTGATCTGTCGGAAACAGCACAGTCGCCTACTGTTCTCAGCAAGGCAGTCAATCCGGCACACCGACAACCATCCAGGGGCGCATCACTCCTTGCCATCCTCCGCCAAGCATACGACTCACCGCTTCTTGCGCCCGTCATGCCGTACGACCCCGATGCGCCTCTGCGCGTCCGCATAAGTGACGCGCTCGCCGAGCCCTCACGCCCAGCCGAGCTCCGCCGCCTGGCTGCACAGTGGCAGATCGACACCGCGCATGGGCAGGCTGAGCTCGACGCTAAGCTCGAGGAGCTCATCTGGGCCGCGACGCTGCTTCTCGCAGGCACTGGGCGGCACGGGCGGGCTCCGCGCCTCGACTTCTTCCTCATGCACTTCCTCAACGCGTCGCTCTTCGTGCCATCGCTGCTCGCAGCCATCCCGAGCATGGCATCGCGCGCAAAGCTGCTGCGCGCGCTCGTACCCGTCATGCTCATGTACCTTGAGATCCGCGGGCGCCCGCGTATCGATCCTGCGCTGCTTATGTCCTATACGGCGGTGCCCACACCTCCGGGGGAACGTCCAAGCCCGGACGAGAGCGCGATTGGCGACCCGCGCGACCCGAGGTATGTTGATCCTTGGCCGGCGATGGTTGCGTCAGTACTGCATGCGCCGGACCCGCACACGCTGAAGGCCATTCGCGCGCTGCATTTTGCGGCACAGCGATATGGGCGAACACCACCGGGCGGCGCCATTGGCGCATTCGACGCACGGGGAATGGAGACCCACGAGGGCATGGCGCGGGCGGATGGGACGATATTCGTGAGGGCCGCAGGCGTTGTCATGGACACTCTTGGATGGGTCACGCACGGCCAGAAGGCTGGTGGGTGGGACTTCAGTGCGCTGGGATGGGATGATGCTTGGAAAGATTGATTAAAATAAAGGTAGGCTTCGCTGTATCCGTATTAATCCTGTCATTGTCAGGTATCATGTATCAGTACTTATGTCTGCAGCCTTCCAATGCCCCGTTTTCGCATAGCCCTCCTCTCTACGACGCTCTGGACTCCGCATCTCTCGATCCGTCGGCATGTTGAAAGGCAATGCGTGGTGGGTAACATGTCGGCGGCCCGCGGCGTGTGTCCAGAAGAGAAGTTGGCTTGACAGTATCTTGCGATTGCGTTCAAGGGGTGAAATTTCATCTCCTTACAACCACCGCGTTGCGATCGCGCCGGACAAGAGCGGCAGTAGTACGACACAGTACGATGGGAAACTCGACGCCTTAACTTAGAGATGAAGCGTTTCTCATAGCTTTGGCGCATGCGTGACATGAGATACGAACACTCGTATTTCCGGGAACTGCGAGATGGTGCATGATTACTTTTACAAGCAGGGATTGTATTGGAGTTCGAGCCCCGAAATCACGAATCGGACTGACAACCCATAGACTGTGAGACGGTGCTCGGACTTTTTATTCCAATTTAGTGTAACAACGTGGGAATTTATACATATGCCCGCAGACGGCCACTGGCAGTACCTGGGCGAATCCTCCAGAGGCCAATGCCAAAATTGGTTAATATCGGGGGTGAATACAGCAAAACCAATATTGATAGACCTCCCTCGCGAAAAGTACAGATAGGCGGCATGGAGCATAACGGCGCTTCGGCACCTCGGGGTGACGTGCACTCATTCCTCAGAGGTTGTTCGCGGCAGCCATATCAAGTAATCCACACCAATGCCTCAATATTCGTCCGTTTGTCGAGGTCTACCCCGTTTGTTTCCGCAAGCAACGGCAGACAGCGATGACCCCTGCACTCTACTGTGACGCGACACGAGTAGCTTCTGATCATCAGCCATGGAGCGAGACATGTATACAACAAATTCTTTCTGAGCAGGATGCATATATCGTCGATTACCGACCATGGTCGGCAGACGAGGGGAATAGAGCAAGCGGCTACTCAATAGCCCGTCTCTGAATCGGCTGCCCGTCGCCGTCTCTGCACCACTGCCGACTCCTGCCGCGAGCTTCTGCCCCACTTTGCCGAAGTGTATACTTTGCGAGGGGAGGTCATCCAATTTCTCACAATCTAAGCGTGGGACTTCAGGCACATTGCATATCTCGACGTATCTCGGAGAGAGCTGTTCCCTTACCATGTCCGGAGGCCTCATGAATTCTGCCAAAGTGGGTCATGTTCAGGGTCGTTCTCGGGGTTTAAGGGATCGGGCGCCCAGTGGGTCCGAGTTATGGGCGCTTGGCTTCGACCAGCCCAAGTGAGGCGCGGCCAAACGAGTGCCACACTGGTATAGAGTCTAGACCCGCCAGTATTCCCGGATCATCACTTAAACTCACTATTCTCAAAGCGCTGTTTAGGAGAGGAGAGGCAGTATTGCGTCGTAATATACGTGGTGAGAAGAACTGCACAGTATTTGCGTCGACTTGAACGTTCTCCCTACAGCCTCCTGTGTCAGTTCTCGTTCTCTTCTGTGCATCATGATGTCGCGTCGTTCTTTGATCTCCCAACGCAAAACGTGCGACCGGAGATGTATGTATAGATATCAAATGTCATGGGCGTATCGAGGGCATCCCGAGAAAGTCACTTAATTAATCCATAGATACACTAATGCAGAAGGGCCCCTGAGGCTATAACTACCCTTTCCTCCAGCTCGGCGATTCCTACGCAGCTCTTCTGAAGAATGTCAGACACAACCTATTCCGAATTCATCAGAGGTATCGAGAATGGGTGAGTGCATATACGCCCGACAGTTTCTGTACCATTCACTCATGTGTCACTGCTTCCTCCATATTTCGTAGTCAAATTGTAAACTATGCTCAGGTAGCTACTATCTGCGAGTACCTCTTTGACTCGGTCGCGTTCATGATCAGTTGCTAAGTCTTGGCATACCGCATCAGGTCTTTTCCTTTATGACTATGTCATCAACTTCAATCAAGAGCATCATGTTGTCTGGTCGTGTCGTGTCACAGGCGGCGTTGCCGTGTTCGTGGCACTGCGTTACGCAACTTTGGCGTACGTAGTGACTAGTGCGGTAAACGCAGCTATTACATCCTGTGAGGTATGAAAGCCTCACGTCCTCACGTAAGCTACGCTAACGTGTGGCATACCGTGCCAGGGGTACGGTGGCTCCCTTCTATCATCTTTTCGCCTCCCTAATCTGTGTTCGATACTATTAGTGCTTACATCGTTGAGATAATCTACATCAGCACTCAATGCGCGACATATTTTGCACAAGCAGGTGAGTCCCATATTCCCCTACTGGATGCAAACAAAGAACTAGACCATACTTGATAGCGTTTGCCGCAATCCGCGTTTACGCAATCCAGCGCGGCCGGTGGCCATTATCGGTTGTCGTAATGGCACTAGGGCTCGTGCCAGTCGCAACCAACATCGTGAGTATTAGCGTATTAGCGTGTAAACATGACATGGTTGGTGACCATTTGTAGTACGCCGTTTCGCAAGTAAAACTCGTCGATGCCTTCCAATACTGTCTCCTAGACTCAGCAATCTCCATCAACAATCAACATATGTAAGTGTTTCAATTAGCGACTGTATCCGCAGTTCGGGATCGACGCTGATGGTATTATTGAAGATGTAAGGACGTTGAAAACACTTGATATGTGTCTTTAATCATGGAGATGGATGCCAAATCTACCGATAGTCCTCATTGCCACCCGTGTGTGTGTTCTCGCTTTTAATCTTCTAGTACTTGTGGCAACATGGCAAGCCACACGGGCTATCAGATACGCAACATCGATGCTCAATAGTCATAGTTCCCTTGCCACCTTATTGATGAGGGATGGTGCGTATTGTCAATGCGGTGAATGAATTACCCAGTTGACTGATTTTACTATCAAGGATCCGTACACTTCGGGTGGGCAGAGCACCAGATCCATACCGTCGAGCAACCTAATGCCTCACTACAGGATCATATCTGCGCTCAATGCGGCCAATATTGTGACCAATCTGCTAGAAGGGGTGCGTCAACAAGGGGTCATCATTTTGATCAGCTAATATATCCGGAGTCTAGACGGGAATAGACATCACGATGCCAGTCGAGATGTGTGTGCGACATCCAGAAATGATGTCATCTGCTAACGTGGACTTTCATTCTAGTTTTAGCACTGTGTTATTGTGCCGTTTCTACCTGAACCTGCGCCGAGTCGCCGACAAGGATGATCCCGTTGGACCGGCTGCATCGATATCGTCCACGACATTCTCTTCAAGGATTACTGGGAACATGGGGGAGATGCTGGAGTTCGGATCATATCTTCCCGACGACCTCAGCCTGAATAGCGACGCCGACGCTATGGAGCAGCAGACGCACGACGCAGTAGACATCTTTTGAACGGCAATGTTGGATACTGAGCTACACATAGGTCGAGCAAGAGGAAGGGAGGGTAGAGTATAGGTCAAGCCCGGAGGATACCTTGGGCTCTGAGGATGGGGCGTCCAACCAGAAGGCCTGGCAGCGCCTGGAAGCGGAAATATCATCCTCATCCTGATCAAGATCTCGCGTGCGTTTTGCAGCTGAGATCATCGTGTTCTGTAGTACGGTTGATAATCAAACTAAGCGGCACGTCTCTGGAGGTATCAGGATAAGTGCCTTGGCATTTTCAGCAGCGCAATGTGTCCCAGACACTCACGAAGAGGTAATCACTTGCGAAGTCGCGCTGGTTAAACGAGTCTAAGCACTAAACACTAAATGAACCAACCGACGAGGGTTTCGAAACCTTCAAGATTCGGCCCAGGGCACGCCACTGCAGGGCGCTAGCAGGCGCGTCGATCAGCCACACGTGTTAGAAGGCGAAGAAATTGAAACTGTGAAATGGCTAGAAATACAACTTTCGAAGAAGATAGAATCGTGTTGATAGTATGAATGTATGTAATTCACAACCTCGCGGTGATACTCTTTAGCCGCTGTTCCTCATACTGGTCTTGCAGCTTGCGGCGGAGGACCTTGCCCGTCGGTGATTTCGGTATCTGCGGTCCTTAAGCCTCTATTATACCAACATGTTAAATTTGCACGCCATACCTCATGAATTGCCTCGATGCCGCCCCGCAGCCACTTGTACGAGCTCAGGTTCTTTCTAGCCCACGCCTCCAATTCCTGCAACACTTGAGCGGTCCCGCGCTTTCGGCCTTCATCGCTCAGCACCACCCAAGCACGCGGCACCCGCTCGTCCGCGGTCCTCCCGCCTGACACGCCGCCGACACATGCGTCCACCACAAGTTTGTGTGGATGAGCCGTGAGCACCGATTCGATCTCGGTCGGTGACACTTGCGCCCCGGACACCTTCAGTGTATCCTGTAGAGCACTCGTTCCAGTCAGATATGAGTTTACAACGATACCTGCAAGACCAAGCACGTGCCTTTGCCCTGTCCATGAAGCTGGACGGAAACCCCCTTTCAGTCTCGGGGGAAGATTCTTCATCCGAACCACTCACAATAGCCTGCCCAGCTCGTCCACCCGGAAATGATCCCCCGTCTTGAGCCAGCCGTCCTCGACAAATGTTGCGCGCGTCGCCGCCTCATTCTTCCAGTAGCCCAGAGTGACGTTACCGCCCCTTAGCCACAACTCGCCCGACTCGCCCACAGGCGCGTCCGAGCCGTCGTCGCGTACAATGCGCCCCTCCATTCCCGGCAACAATATTCCTACTGAGCCCGGAACATGTGGTATGCGGCCATCGAACAAACTGACGGTCGGTACGCGGGTGGCACTGATAGTCTAGTCCCCTCACAATTGGCGGGCAAAAAATACCGCATAGGAAAAAGCCACTTACCAGTTCTGACATGCCGAAGCCTGCGCGAGGTGGGATAGCGTGAAAAATAGCTCGAAGTGCAGAAAGTAGAGCTACCTTCTGAGTACTCGACTGGTTGACCAAGCGTGTGCCGGAACTTGTCGACAAGCTCTGGTGGCAGGTGCGCGGCGCCCGACACAATTGTTGTCACGGAGGAGAATATCTCCTGGCGGAGATTCTTATTCTGCACCAGCTGGTGCACGGCTGAGGGGATCAGGTAGAGAATGTTGATACGATATCTGTCGCGGACGAGCAGACAAGCCAAAAGTTCCTATTCATTGCCTTCGTTTTGAATGGTGAGTGGAACTCACTCTCGTATCACTTTCAGGATGAGATCGATGTCCCACTTTGGGACGATGACGGTGGTAAGGGGAGCTAAGAACCCGCGGAAGCAGAACATATGCAAACCGTAGGTGTGGTACATCGGTAAGAATGCCAGCGCGACCGGTGTAGTCTCCTGTTGTGGTGAGGCCCTTCAGCTGTCCATGTCTGTTGCGAAGAGAACGAGATTTGCACAGACCAGCACGGGGCGAGGATCCACCGTTGCCACAGTGGCGGTTTGCGCGAGGGTGAAATTAATATTCCCATGCGAGATCATCACAGCTATCACGGACCAGAGTAGGCATGAGCGGCTGACAGTGTCCGCGGCTTCGGGACGAGAGATTAGAGGCAGACAGACCTTTTGGCAGTCCTGTGGTCCCGCTGGAAAATACGAGATAGGCGAGCGTGTCCCTCTTCGCAGGCCGCACAGGAGTTCGGGGGATTCTGCGCGCACTAACATCACCGATCGCTTCACTGAAGTTCTTTCTTCCAGACGACGACCCGCCCAATATATATATACGGTCCTCTGGCAGGCCCACTTCTTTGGCCGCTTGCAATGCCGTCTGGAGGAGCCGCGGCTGGACAAACAAGCGTGTCACGTCCGCAGTGCGCAACCCGTGCGTGAGTTCAAACGCTGTGGAGTGCGCCGAAAGCAGCGCGAATGGAGTGGCGATGTACAGGAGCGAGTGGACCAGGGTCACATAATCCTACAAACATGAGTCGGCATACCACAGCACGGCCGGGGGAAAGCTGCACTAACCAGGGCATTATGACTGAGAATCCCGACAATTTCGCCGTCCGGAGCGTTGATTCCAAATCCGCCCGAAGACTCCGGCGCACTGAGCGCCGTCGCACCGTCTCGGACGCGCTCTAGGAACTCGCTCCTGAACACTTTCTTCCCGGAGATGCCGTCTACGTGCAGCACATAGTCCTTCTCGGGCGTGCGCCCGGGGAGCGTGAACATGAAGTCGTGCACATTGATGTCCGGCAGAGGGGGCACCTCGGGGAAGTCCGACTTGAAGAAAACCATCGCACGAGCCCCGCTGTGTCGATGCAGCAGAGATGCAGGTATCGTTCGCGCAGGAAGGGGTGTCACCGCAAGTGCATGTGTCTGTGCGATGGTCTTTAGTACTCAGCTCAGGCTCCCCGGCTGACTCGCGTCGAAACCGGCCATGTCTTGCCGGGGGTTAAGTGGTGGGATTCTTGTCCTGCTTGCAGTATCTTTGTTGCGCTGAACATGTCCTGTGACTTTGAGTGGGTCAAAACAGATATAAGGATGATCGTGGTAGATAGCCGACATTTCAGAGACCATATCGCCCTGTGTAATAACCGGGTACTTATCACATGTAGGCACGCAACCGCAACCACTATGGCGTCCCTCGATCGTTTGGGGACTGGAGGACCCAGCTCTTACGTGTACACGATTCTGTGCGACCGAGATGTGTCCATATTTCAAATCAAATGGCTGTTGGACGGCCACTAGCAACGGAAGTGTGGCTTCAATAGTAAAGCTTTAATCACGTTCACGCTCCCGCAAGGCGGCAATTCGGATCAATGATTGCTCGTGAATTCATACCAGCATGGTATACGCCATCGTATGCAGGTCATGAGAGAGCGATAGTGGATCAGACAGTGAACAAGGAGGACGCAGCTCCATCGCCGGAGCGCCAGCGACGGTATGCCTTGTACGCGATACAGAAATAGATGTCGCAATGCCGAAACATAACGCAATGGATAGCATTCCAAAGTGCCATTACCAACTAATAGTACCGGTCAGGAGTATCGTACATTCAAGTCAGTAGGAGAGGAAATAGTGATACAGAATGAATCCTGGAGTTAGTACGAATGTGAGGTGCAGTTGTAGGTTGTGGGATGTGGGATGTTCAGATTGGAATGTGCGTATGTATATATGATGCATGAAGGGTCTTATAGCGTAAAAGGCGCGTCCATGTTCTGCGAAGTCACATCAGCACGCAGTAGGCAATCGCACAAGGTGTGGGAAACTCACCAGCTTTTCTTGACTCCCGAGCTAGAAAGAAGACAGCATCAGACGCTGCTAAGAAGCCGAGACACAAGGCAACCCACCTGAGGATCCTGGAAATTCACCACCTCGACTGGTACATCCACGATCGTGTCGTCATCCCCCGCCGGCGCACCTCCAGCCGCCGCCCGCGCCTTCTGCAGCCTCTTGCCCTTTTTCCGCAGCTTGTTCCCGAACGCGTGCACATGCCGCGACACGTCGTACCGCCGGTAGCTGATGAACGTCATCAGCTCGCCCAGGCTCGGATGCGGGTTCTCGCGCAGCTTCTGGATGAGCATCTACAAGGTGCGCGTCAGCCAGGATGCCCCTCAGCGGATGTGCGCCCGAGCCTACCTGCGTCATCGACATCCCCGTCTTGTCTTCCCAGTCAACCTGTGTGTCCGCGCATGCAGCCAGCGAGATCTGCGATGCCGCCAGTTAGCCATGTGCACCCTGCCAGAACTAGTAAGGGGGTAGCATACAACATGCGGCTTCTCCGTCGGGCTCTCCACACAGTTCCCGTCACACTCCCTCACCGACGACACTGGCGACATACAGCGGGGGATGAACTCCAGCGCGGAATCGAACACATCTGTCGACAGCCTCCGCAGGTTCAGCGCGAGACGTGGGCGGACGGCCTCCAGGGCCGATGCTGCGGACGTGGACGACGAGGTGGAGGAGCATTTGCGCCCGACGGGCGCGCTCTGCCGCGTGCGGAGTTTCAGCGAGCCGAACTTGGGCTTCCCAGGCGGCGGCGCGATCGACGCCTCGAGGTCGGTGAGCTCGCTGAGCGTGACTTCTTTCCGCAGGCTGGAATGCCCGGGGCCAGTGGAGGCGCGCCGCTGCACAACGCGCACGGCAGGCTCGTCTGAGGGGATGGCATGAGCGATCACGGAGCAGCGAACCACACGGCAGGTAACTTACCAGTGGCATCCTTGCGGACTGGAGGCGGCCTGCGGTCAGCATACATTCAAGCATGTGCGGCCGTAGACACGCACCGTTGTTCAACCACCGTGTCCGCATCTTCCGCTCGCCCTTTGATATCCACGGATGGTACACCTGGTTGCAGTCGTAGTGCTCCAGATCGAGCAGCGTCCCCGAATGGCACGAGTCAAAAATAGCCTGCACAGCATCAGCATGACTGGCCGACGACGTCCGCAGCCGCGCTCGACGTACCGTCAGATAGGCACCCGGTGGGAGGGGATCGACAAGCAGCTTCTTCAGATCCTAGATTGATGACCCCCAATTAACGACATGACGGGCGCAGCATACAGCAGCCAACCCACGTTGTCGACGATCAGCTTGTCTTTCCTATCCAGCCCCGCGTGGTCCATGGGAAGGATAACTGCCATGCATCATCAGCGGGCGATCAGGCACGCAGCGCTGCACGCGACGTACCCTCGTCGAGACCGTCAGTCTCGCTGTGCTCCAGGCAGGCGATCTGGCCCGAATGGCCTGAGTCTGATGAACGAGATTACACGTTGGATAGGGGATAGCACGCGCGTTAGCCGGGGACTTACAGAGGAAGACGAAACGATCGCCGGCACGCGCTCCGCGGACGAGTTGCTCGATTTCGGATATCTGGATAGTTGTTTACTATACAGGCTATTGTGGCGAGCAGACGGGAGGCTCACAATGTTGTGTCGCGTCGGCAGAACCGCGCTGTGTGCCGCGTCGTCTGTCAGCAGTACAATGTTGTCTTCCTCGTACTCGTATTTCTCTGTTGCGAGGGATAATGAGAGAATGCACAGAGATCACGGTATACCGACTCACCAAGCAAGAGTTTGCGAAACTCGAGCGCGTCTGCGCGGGGCCCGGCTAGCTGGACGAAATCCGTGTCCGAAGGCGACTCTTGAGAGTCGTAGTTGATCCCGATGAGCAACGCCTTCTTCCGCCCGAGGTATTTGGGCGAGCCGAAGGTGCCAACGCGGTAGAGGGGACCAATCTTCATCGCGAGCTCTGACTCGAAGGTAGCGGGAGGCAGGTGAACGCTGGATACGGTCGACGCTCTGCGGTACCGAGCGGGATATCCAGCCCGAGCTATATAATAACAGCGGGCAATGAAGGATCAATAGAGCTGTGAGGCCGTTCGTAGTGCCTGGTACTGCAACACGAGTTATGTGACAGGCGGGCTGTGCGGGGAATGACTTGACGTCCAGGGTCGTGTCTGTGGTACCAGAGCGCGATTACAAGAGCGTACAATGTCGTCCTCGATGCCCCGGAAAGACAGGCGAGAATGCCGACATGTTGGATACTTGTACGCTAGAGTCACGACAAGTGTGGATGCGCGCGTTCCTATCATTGATGGGGTTGATTTCGCGCGCGGCTTTGCTAGCTTCTGAGCACAGGCGCGAATGTATGAAAAGCGTATACAGTAGTAGTCGGGGTCGAATGCTCTGCCTTGTGCCACAAGTGCTGCTGGTCCGCCGGACAAAGAGGCTCGAAGCTGCAGCTCAGAGCTGGGTCATCCGCGACCGGAACTTCAGTCCATATGGGCGCTTATTCTGGGCTTGACCCGACATAGCCTTCAAACGAGATCATTTCTTGCGTCAAAGTCGTCCCCAATACTTGTTCTGAAACTTTGACTTGGTATGGATACATGAATCCTGTGCACGCAACAACAACACCAGCTCTGCGCATACATAGGGAACAACACTTCTCGCTTGCCGAACGTTGGTCGCATGGTCTATCATCGTCGAACGCGCTAACTCAGACCTGTTCCCCTGTGTGTCAAGCCATCGTGGCCGGATATTCTCCACATGTTCTGCTGTCTGATATACTTCAGGGGCGCGATACTATCGCTGTCACCAGCCGGCGCGCTGACGAGAGGGCCTGCGGCTCGGCGCTGCTCGACACGTCACTAGTACTGAAGCCTTACTCAGTCATCAAGATCCACCATTCTGCGGCGTCGACATGTCCTGCGATCAAGACGCGTCGCTGCGGCTTCGCGACACCAGATGATTAATCCCTCCGCTTAGGTTTTTGACCTCATGGGCGAACGCTCAACTCGACGCATATAAGAACCAAGTGAGCACGCAGTATGCCACAACACACTTGACATGCCTTCCGTCGCCGCCTCCCGCTCCGCCAACGCCTCCTATGCATTCCCCGCCGCGCCTGTCGCTATATTCGTCGGCGGGACATCCGGAATCGGCCAGGCCGTCGCAGAAGCGCTCGCCCGCCATACAAACGGCAGAGTCCACCTCATCATCGTAGGGCGCAATCGCGCCGCAGCAGAGTCCATCTTCGCCACGCTTCCCGCCCCCGTCCTGCCCGATGCGCGCTACGAGTTCGTCGAGTGCGACGTAACCCTCGTCAAGAACGTCGCCGCGACGACGTCCGCGCTCCTCGCGCGCCTGCCCAAAGTCAACTACCTCGTTCTTTCGCCCGGCATCCTGTCCTTCAGGGGGCGCAGGGACACCTCGGAAGGGATCGACAGGAAGCTTGCGCTAAGCTACTACGCACGGTGGAAGTTCACGCAGGATCTGCTTCCGCTATTGCGCGCCGCAAAGGGCGCGGGTGAGGATGCGCGGGTCATGTCGGTGCTCGCGGCGGGAGAGGGCGGCAAGATCGACGTCGAGGACCTCGGGCTCAAGGAGAGCTACTCCGGCTTTAATGCGATGCTCGTAGCGTCGACGTACAACGATCTCATGGTCGAAGTGAGCACCGCCCCCAGTTTCATTATCGTGACACTAGCTTATCTCGACTATGGACAGTCATTCGCGGAGCAGGAGACCGGCGCGTCCTTCGTTCACATCTATCCCGGCGTCGTGCGCACGCCCATCGTGAACAGAATTGTCCAGTTGCTCCTGTATCCGTTCGTGCGCGCACCGGAGGACTGCGCCGAGCACATGCTCTATGCGCTGCTGCACGCGGACGCAGGAGCGCACAGAAGGGGCGCAAATGGAGACGACATTGGGCGGAAAGCCTACTATGGCTCCGATGAGGCGAGGGCACAGCTATGGACACACACGGTAGAAGAGGTGCAGCGTGCGTTGGACGTCAAGCCGAGCTGAGCGCGCCGCGCATGTCATGAGGATTAGCTTATATTTGTATACTAGTAGTTGGCTGGCATCTGTACTTACAGCATTCATAATAACGACACGGCCTCTCTTGGATTGGAATCGTAGTTAGAAGACGTAGCGGACGGAACTTACAATGGGACACAGCTGCGGTGGTTCAATTGGATCTACTATCGAGTTCTTGCAGTGCCTTTGCAGTGCCACCGCACAAGCTTGTCTGTGTAGGCGCACCGTGACGCGTTTTCGGTCTTCGGGTGCCTAGGGCAAGGAAACTGGTGAGCACTGGTCAAAAGACCCTCTCACACGCATCCGCGCGACCGAGCTGTGTTGTGTCCCCGAATATCAACCCAGGTAGCTGTGGGATGGCCACTTGAATGGAAGTTGGCTTCAATCACGCAAGGTAGCACTGCAGGTCGACAATACATCCGTTGTGGTGGAGGAGAATGCGCTAAGGGTGGCGCGCTCGGTTTCCATTTCTTTTTCTTCTTTTCTTTGCTTCCTTCTTTCTCTCTCCTCTGCGATTGACGGACACGGTTGTATCTCTTTTCCTTCGACTCTAGGGCTTGCGAGGACAGCGTCGAAGGCGAGGGAAAACAGTAGCGTAGGCCGATGAGGGGTTCCGGCGTCGTCACGCTCTCGAGGGCGGCGGGAAGCGCAAGTAAATATGACGCGTCGGGGCAGCACCCTTGAGAAGCTGAGACATAGCTGGCTGTGGACTCGGACCGGAGACGTTGGGCTTAGCCTGCCTGTGCCCAGGAAAGGGCTTCCGTCTCGATTCGGATACTGGTATGCTATTCTTGGACGGTGTCGATCGTTTGACATGACTCGAGTCTCCGTCTCCTTATGTGCGTCATTCTCTCCTCACAGAACAAGTATGACATCACTGCTGTCAAGGCCTCTTTGTACTTATATAAACCGGCGTCGACGGCGAGAAACGCATCTTCCCTCTCTCGCACAAACCCCCATCATCTCCTCATAACTCGAACCAATTGGCGACCGAAGCTACTCAAGCCCCAGACAAGTGTTGAGTTCTGCAGACGCGTAGAGGCGTGAACATACGTGCGTGGTCATTCGGACCCGCTTCGATCGATTCGTGACTCGTGTATCAGCGCGCTGCCAGTCGGGCACGCTTCGGGACTGAAACATACGCGCGTGGCGCGCGTGGTCACTCGGACCCGCTTCGAGGCTTGTTTGTTCGGACGTTGCCTTTCGAGCACGCATATCGCAGCATATTCGAGCTTTCACATCGAGTGAAGCATCGCATACATCGATCGTTGTCGTTCCCGGGTTTTTGTTCGTCGATTCTTCGCGCATAGTCAGACATTGCGGCCATTCTTTGTCTTTTATGTTGATTTTCTAGCTAGCCCATGACCGCATGCGTCAGGTATGGTACATCCTATCTAGATACTTGCGCAAGACATTAGAGAGCGACGGTAGATCAAGCGATAAATAAAGAAGAACGAGGACAGCTGATAGGTACACACAGATCCAGATGCAAGCACGGAAAGACGAAGCAAGCCCACTCATGATACACACGCACCGCAGCCACCGCAGGCCCTACTTCTCCAGCGCGTACTCGTTCAGCTGCGAGTGCGTCTCGGTGTCGATCGTGATTTTGACGCCCTCATCGCCGTCTCCGTCGGCGTTCACGGGCTCGATCGGGTATATGCCTCCGCCCTTCTCGCCCTCGTGCACGCTGCTCTTGCCGTCCTCGCCCGCCCAGTCGCCGGTCTTGTTCTCCGCGCCGAGCGGCACCGTGTACATAGCGGGCTGCACCTGCTGCACCGACAGCACCGGGTTCGTGCCCACGCCGCCCGCCGCGCGCTGCGAGCGGATCGTGCCTGCGGACCGCGTGACCTTCGAGCCGGCATAGCGCCCGCCGTTCGTGAGCGGCCCGCGCACCGCGAGGATGATGCGCATGGTCATGGAGGCCGTCAGGACCGCGGCCATGCTGGGGCGTTTCATGAGACCGCCTGTGCTGCGCCATTGATGTCGCGGATCGTACGTACCTGGTCACAATGGTCCGGATGGGGTCCTCGGGGCCAGTGGGCGTGATGATGAACCAGAAGAGCATGTTGACCATGTTGACGAGCCAGATCGCCTGGGGTGTGTCAGCTAGGTTCGGCGCTGAGTGTAATGGGCCGACTTACCGCATATAGGTTGAGGCCATCTCGGAGCATGAGTTTCCAGAGGTTGACATGCTTTGCACTCCATGCCTTGTGCGAGCGTTTGACGGCAAGGACGAACTGTGAGGCGCATCAGTCGGGATTTCGCTGACAGACAAGGACAAGACCGCGAAATACGTACGGAAACTGTGTAGAGTATAGTCGCTGACAACCAATATATGCCCACCCAGCTGTGTTTGGGCTCTGCTATGCAGCCTTGACCCGGTTCAAGAGGCGTTGCTAAAGGCGAATGTGTTAACAAGGGAATCCACGATTAGGCACAGCAGGACAACGCACATCGGTAGAAGCCGCAGCAAATGGCAGTCACGACGATCTGCACGGCGTAGAGGCTGCCCATACCATAGAGAACAGACCTGCTCTTCTCGTATATGGCGTGGATGCGGTAGACATGGACGAAGGACGTGATAGCAAGCAAGATGGCGGTGCAGACGGGCTCGAAGAGGAAGAACTTCTGGCATTGCTGTATATTCTGTTAGCTACTGTCCCTGCGGGCAATCGGGGGCGATACCACGCACCGCCTGCGACCACGCGGTGTCGAAGAAAGCGACCCCTGCGGCGCACATTCAGCAGCTGATCGAGAGCGCAATGATCGGCATACGCACCAACGATAGTGAACTCTGCGGGAACGTAGAGACGCAGGAAGTAGTAGATGAGCTTGAGGAGCGGCCAGCCCTGCTGCTTCATGAGGCGCCATGTGCGGGGCGTGAGGACGAGGACATCCCAGGCAGCGACGGTGAGGGTGCAGACAAAGAAGTACTTCTGGGCAGAGAGGTGCGGGGGGAGGTCGAGGGAGGGCGGGAGCGAGATCGCGGAGCTGTTGCCGCTGCTGGTGTCGTTGCCTGCGGTGGCGTTGCCCGCGGTGTTGTTCATGGTCGAGAGGCGGGAGACGGGAGATGGGACGGACGGACGAGCACTGGCGAGGATAGACTTGTGTGTCGGGTATATGAGAGGACGGCGGGGAGACGAGCGCCTACCGAGAGCAGTGCTATAAACGCCAGATAAACGCCGCTGTCAAAAGATGATCAGCTTCCGCCCGTGCTCCGTCTATCCACATCGCCTCGGCTGGATATCATTGACTTACCCCCCTCCCCGCCGCACCTCGTTGTCCTCGCTGCGCTGTCGGCCCCGATGCAGACGAGCTGATGTCCCCCAGTTCACCGCCCTTCATGATATAGGTGTTCGTCGAGGGGCGCACAGCGCTCGCACCATCCCAGGTGGCTGCAGTCCGAACTCTAACAGTATACGCATCTGTCACAGGGCAGGAATGATGATGTGTCCCAAATGTGTCCCTCCCTACCCAGCACGAATGGAGGCGATGTTCCCCGTCCTGACCACCGTAAATTTCGCCAAACCGCATGCGATACCCACCACCTTCTCTGTGGCGAATCCTGCATCGCTCTGTGGTACGCTCCATAAGGTTTCCAGGGGCGAAAGCCACCTTCTGTCTTTTTTTGAGGTTGAGGTGAGTGGCTGCGCTCAAAAGCCCCCTGCGGTCTGCGCTCCGAAGCGAGTCCCAACAGGGTGGTCTACCATGTTGGATCACTCTCCATTATTGCCTCGCATCGACCGCGGCGTGTATCAGGTATCCCGCGGCTACCTGGACTTGTGTCGTCACCTGGTGTTATCGGAAGACGATATTTCAGTACCTGATGAACTTCTCAATCAGTCGCAGCGACGCCCGTCTGTCAAGGGAACTCCCGAGGCATGGTCGTTGATTTCGAGGAACAACGAGCAGCGCGCCTCCTGCCACCACCGAACTGCTAACATCACTCTGTGAGTCGTCTCGAGGACGGTTAGACAAGTCAGGGGCAGCATGAGAGCAAAGATACGAGCATCGTCCGAGCGCCTCCACAGGCAAGCCTCAACACGGACATCATGATGGATCGCAGGCCTCTTATAGCCCCGTCAACTAAGGTGAGGCGGCTTCCCAAGTCCTCCACCTATCAAATTGGTCACTACAACAGGGCAATTCATTTCTCCGGCTCGAGGCCGCACAACTGCATTGTCATCTACGCCCACGGTCACTGTTCAACATCATATTCTCCCGCGCGCTGGTAGTGATTCTTCCCTCCAGGGGTTCACGCAGTCCAGCTCCCCTCATATCACCGTTGGTTGGTGGGCTTTGAGGGCATCGAATATACGACAGATCAGGAGTAGGCCCGCTCCGATCCCGCTTTCGCATGGCGGTCATGGCGATGGTATCCGCAACCGGCTGAAGACACAGGTGTCACCCCGAGACGAGGCGGGAAGTCCTCAACCCAAGGCTAGCTAGGGATCATGGGGGACATCCTTTGTAAAGAGACTGGTCAAACGCCACAAGGGGTCTGCATATAGCCAGATCATTCATAGCGGACGGCGATCGAGGCTCAGGAAGACAATACTGTCAGACATGTTGTGCATGCTCTAGATGTAGGAAGATCCCACCAAGCAGACAAAAACAACATCTGGTCATTGAACGCTCCCTCGGTCGGTCGCCAGGCCGGGACGAGTGTCGGCGCGCATCATCGGTCTTGTCCAATGCGCATTTCAAATGTCCGACATGTGGCTAGCGCTTCTGGCTATGTCTACAATAGTGACAGATGTACAGTATATTCTAAGAAAATGTCAACGTCTATCAATGTGCGTCTTGTCCACAGTACTAGTGGCTTTGTCTGCGCGCAGCCTCCACTGCCGTCCCGAAGATGCAGGTCATGCGGAGACCTCGACTGCAGGGAACGCGACTCCCTGCCTGCGGGCCGACTCGACGAGCAGACTTCGCACGTCCGTGATGTGCTCGGGATTTCCTCGCCAGACGCCGTCGGAACCTCGGTCGCCCCAGTGGAATGTGTGGAACGTGTCGACCTCGAAGCCCTGCGCCCACTTCTGCCGCACGAAGGTCGAGTTGAACGGCGGCTGCCATATCCACCACTGGCGAAAGGGCGGCGCGTTAGCCAGCTCGTACGCAGACGAGGGTGCGGGGACAGGAGATGGACGTACGTGGTCAACATAGAGGATGGGCTCGTCTGGCGGGGCGACAAGATGCACGACTGTAGGGGTGGCGATCTCCAGGAAGCAGTCCGTCTCGAGGAACAGAGCGAGCGTGTCCATGAATACCTGCCGGTGTCTGCCAGGGACGTACAGCGTGTCCGCCGACCCCCCGATGAGGCGCGTGGTCCCGTTCGTCAGTGTCGCCAGGTGTTCTCGCATAGAGGGCGGGGCCTTCTCATATGCTTGCATGCAGACTGCCAGACCAACATGAGGATCACTGTCATTCATGAGCGACACCACGCGTTAATAATAGGTGACTCTGCACTGACCCCCACCTATGGTGAGCATGCAATTCAGCTTGCGTGCGATTGTCAAATGTCCCGATGGAAAGACTCACCACCAGTCAACCCCCCAGCCCCGCCAGGTTGCGGTAAGGTTGATGCTGGGGTCTGGAGATATGTTTGCTGGAGGCGCGTGCCAGCTCTTGTTGGTATTGGCTTCTGCATCCCTAAAGGCAGGGTTGGGGACATACTGTCCGAATGGAGAGTGATACCAGAAGTACTGCTGGTTAAATTGTTGCAGCCGAGGGATATTGAGCAGCGTGTCGAACGGCGCCCACAAATATCCATCATAACAGTCATGCTCCCTCATTGCCGTATACAGCATATGGTGAGCCATCTGGCGATGTATCCGTGCGTGAGATCGACGGCCAACAGGGCACCAATCGCATTGATCGGCCACTTACCCTGCCTGCCATCTTGTAAACCCTCTGGTCTATCAAGTCCTCGTCAGACTCGTACGAATCGACTAGAACGTCATACGAGTGAGCAAATCCCGCGTCTTCCCGACTCCCGGGGCCCACAAAGACGATCTGGGGGGAAACAGGGCGTAAGATGTGCTGACTCAAAACTAGGCGTCGCAAGGGCACCCACATTCGGGAAAAACTGCGAGTAAACCTCCCTGTAATAGTCGAGGTTCGCATCGTACCGCGCGTGACTAAAGAATACGATCAGCAGCACATCATCGAAGGCGTGGTACGTGCGCTCGGACGGCCAATACGCTCGAGAGGGAAGCGGCTTGCGTGTGCACGTCTTTGAGGCGGCGGAGAGGACGTCCACGACCGTCATCGGCTGGCTGGGAGAGCGCAGCGCCGCTCTCCATTCACGGGCGGTGAACCCGAGATAGAAGACACCGCACAGGAGCAGCACTCCGCTCATTATCCGGCGGAATGGTACTGTGAGCCTCTGCTCTCACGTCAGAAGCGAACAGGGGAAGAGGGTTACGATACTGACCTTCCCATGCCGCTGCTCATCGTCTGCGTCCGGGTGCTGTGCCAAGTAGACGATGGAGGCAGAGATAACGAGGAAGGAACCCGCGACGATGGGGAATGCGGCACTCTGCGACTTGGCGCTGAGGGTGAGTACGCTGATCGCTATCCCAGCCGATTCCAAAATTCCCTCGGTAACAGCGCCCCAATCTGGACTTATTAGCGGTTGTAGTGTCGTGCGTGAGCCTAGAGCACTTACGATATGTTACAGCGAGAGCCAATAGCTCCGCCAATGCTTGGACTGCATACCAGACCAATTGCGTACGCGATGAAGATCCAATTTCAGTCAAAAGTGAGAAGTCCTTTAGGTCCATTTGGTATATGATGAGTACGGTGAGATGGATCAGAATTCCAAATCCGAAGAGCATGTTCTGCATAAAATACACGGACAGGCCGCTTTGGGTGATGTAAACCTGACGATGGTTATAATGGAATGATTCGGGAACGCGCTCCTTGTCACTCACATAGTTGAGCAACACATACGAGAGAGCGTGAGATAACGCAGTGCTGATGAGTATATGGTAAGAAGGATGCGATGACAGTGCCCATGCTATAGCAGTCTGTCGGGTTGACGTATGAGAAGTGGTATTCATAATATTATTAAATTCACTTACTTGCAATACAAGGAATCCACAGATCTAGAAAGGTTGCTAAGCCTGTGCGTTATCACATCATGCACTTATGGCTCACCTGCAGCAGCGCGGCATGCCAATGGACAATAGTAAATACCTTTGCGAGGAGGATGTACGATGTGAATAGTGTGATTGCAGTGGACGACGATAATGCCAGATACAGTGTGAACGGATCCGTGATTTGCTGTGCAACCGATGTCTACCGCAGTCAACCATCATGTGAATGAGATTCCACCTGTGAGGAAAGAGATTCGGCCATACATTATAGTTGTAGAACGCGTACAATGCGGCCGTGAGAGCGATATAAGGCGCTGAAGACCTAAGGGCCGGGGCGCGCAGGGGTGCATCCGACGCGGGTGCACGTCGGTTCTCATGAGCCTGCGAGTCAATGTGTCGAACAAGAATATCTCCGGTCTCTCCGGTCAGGTACTCTTCGTCTTCGCTGGTAGTCTGCCGTGAAGCATCTCGATGGGAACCACCACAGGTCTGCGGGGAATTCGAAAATGACAGGCTGAGAACCAGCTTCAGAGCCTCTATCACGAGCAGTCGTGCAGACGTTCCAGGCACTGTGTGCTGTCTATGTGGGATGTATTCATACAGCCATCTCTTCCACAGGCTGAGGAGCAGGTAAGACTAAATTACATAGGGTATCAACGATGGTCGTCCGAGTCAGGAAAAGCGCGCTCTCCATTTGGAACGGTGCTCACCGCCAATACCCATAACGGCTTCCCAGATGTAGAATAAAAGAGTGGAAGTCGAGGCATGAACAGCCTCGAGATGTCTAGCAGGACAGGATACGAGGACAGAGAAATGTAAGACAAGCGGCAGGTGTCCGAGTTACTCGTGCGTGAATGCGCCGCCAACAGCAGGGCGATCATGTACACGTGAAATCTGAGATCCTGAACTTTGAAGCGCCCATTTCGTCCGACTGCGTGTCGTCGATCCCGAGAGGCCTGGTCCTTACAAATTACACCGTAATGTGAAGCTATAATATTTAGGATGCGGGATCTAATAGAACATGTACGCACGGCATGATGAGCCGAAGAAACAATGACTGCAATGCCTCGCCTTATCGGGTAGATCCCTTTCCATACAAGGGAAGGTTACGCCCTTTTGGCGTATCCCTTAGGAATTCAACCAATGCTGTAAGTCGCAACACAAATCCTGCAGGACTGCCAAGTACAGCTTGAACTTGATCCTTGGATTGTTTTTAATTCACTCACCTATGTCGTAAGACTGAGTCAAATTCAGAAGCGAAGGTGCACCCGTTTAAGCAACATACTTATTCTCGCCGCGTTGACTTCGACAACCATTTCTGTATTGTACAACACGAATCGATGTCGTCTACTATTCAGCATACAAACATTTATGCGTACATGTACAATGCAACTGAGGTGCAGATTGCTTTTAGTCAAGCATGCACGCCGTTCGCGCCATTAGCCTTGACGCTCTGAGCTTCACTGGCGCCGTTGATACCGTTGACCTTGACGGCAGCCAGGTCAAGGCCCTTCGCCTTCGCCCTGACCAGATTGCGCCTACCACGCACACCCTCACGAAGGCGGTCAAGTACTGGGATTGTCTGTTCCCAGGAGATGCATGCGTCTACCAGATCGCATGGTTTCAGTATTGCATAGTACCACACGAAGGTTTGTACTCACCGGTAACCGACTGCCCGTACTTCAATCCGGAAGGCCCTGAGACAGGAATATCCTGGCGTCCCTCGACAATATTAGACTCAATCATAACCCCCATGATCATGAGAGATGTATCGCCGGATTCCAGCTGCTGAGCCTGTGACAGTAATCAGAAGACTGCGAAAGATCGCCAGAGACCCCCACATACGATGTCTTCTGCAACCTCAATTTGTTTCCGATGCTGCTTCGAGCTGTTCCCATGGCTGCAGTCGATCTTGTAGATAAGACGGGGCCGCTGAGAAAACATTCTGGCGGAGCAAATCACGGCAAACGTACCATGATTCTCTGCGGGAAGCCTGCTTTGGCGAGCTTCTCACCACAATCGCGGACGTATTGTGCAGCGTAATTTGGCCCACTCGACCCACCACGCAGGATGACATGAACGTCAGGGTTTCCCTTCGGTGATTATCAGCCAGTGAGGATGGAGCGATGCATTGCCGTCCGATTCTCACCTCCGTTTCGACAATGCTGCTAAGACCGCCTTTGCCCACGCTCAAGAAGACGTGCGGTCTGCTCGCGGCCCGGCAAGCGTCGATGGCGATGCCAACGCTGCCATCCGTCGAGTTTTTGAAGCCCGTGGGCATGGAAAGCGCAGACGTAAGTTCACGATGTACTTGCGATTCCGTCGTGCGCGCGCCGATGGCGCCCCACGACACCAGGTCTGCAGTGTATTGTGGGCTAATGGTGTCGAGGAACTCGCAGCCGGCGGGAAGACCCATCTTGGCGACTTCTAGAAGTAATGTACGAGCCATGCGGAGACCCCTGTTAATTTGGAAGGTGCCGTTCATATCGGGGTCGTTGATGAGTCCCTTCCAGCCGACCGTTGTCCGCGGCTTCTCGAAGTAGACCCGCATGATTATTTGAAGGTCGTCCGTGGCTTCGGCAGCGTAGGCACGAAGCTTGCGCGCATACTCCAAAGCAGATTCGACGTTGTGAACAGAGCACGGTCTGGATGTTTCAAGGTACATGGTCAAGATTTAATTGACTCGACCGATGGGACGCGACTCACCCAACGACAACTAGCAGCCGGTCATCGTCAGAGTGTAGGATATTTTCGGCAGCCTTACGACCCTCAAGGACGGTCTGTGCTGCCGTGAGAGTCCTACCGCAACCAGTAAGCATTTAAACGCAACAAGCTGACGGCGGAGACGTACAATGGCAGGTCTTCTTGGAGTATCTGCGGAGGGATGAGAGGGCGTGTAGCTTTGACCCGACGGTCGTCAAGCTTGTCGAGAGCCTCGCGAATGGTGATGCCCATGTCTGACACTGAAATGGGGGTGTGAACACGCAGAAGGGGTAAGGGCAGGTCGAGTATGAAGGAAGGGGGTCATGGCCTCTGTCTTATACCCACTGATGAGGTGATGGCTGCGTGCTTGAGAATCTGATTTGGGTGGTGCAATCGCTATTTTGGGAAACACAGACAGAATGGAGGGGATGATGGAATGCAGAGAAGGAGCGTAAACCCGAAATTTCACGCCTCAATTGGTGTGACTGGGATTGGTATTGTAGCGCCCATAAATTACATTCGCACACGTGATGTCCTGATCGCGAAGTCGCCGAGTCTGGGAGCTGTCTGGTGTGCACCGTCACTTCCACCGTACCCGACCCACCCTCTACCATGGACTTTTCTTCGATGAACGCGGCCGAGCAGGCCCATATGTCTAAGGTCATCGAGAAGAAGCAGGTGTGCCGCCCCTCCCTGCTCCGGTCGTACCGGTGCTGACCTGTCTTTGTTAGATGCAAGACTTTCTGCGGATGTATTCAAACCTTGTAGAGCGGTGCTTCAACGCATGCTGCAACGATTTTACGAGCAAGGCACTGTCATCAAAAGAGGTACGCCGACACCTCCGGCGTGTCTGTGGTTGCTGACATCACCCTGTGCTGCTGGCATGTTGTGGTGGCTCATTCAGGAACAATGTGTGATGAACTGCACAGACAAATTCCTCAAACACTCTGAGCGGATTGGAGCGCGTTTTGCAGAACATAATGCCGGTATGTGTTCTACAATACTAGTGTCTGCGGATCGTGAGCTGACTACATCCATTATGGCGTGTTCACAGAGGCCATGAATGGCACCGGGAGCAAGTAGAGTCTTGGCTCATGGACATATCTTTTTACCATGACTACCTTACAACGCATGTAATGTGATAGTACTACTCCGCTCTCGTTTGTTTTCGGAAATTGAGGGACCATCGCTCAACTGCTTTGTGGTCGGTTGTCTACGGATGAACGTTCGTCGTTATGACGGCAATGGACGTCGAAGATTTACGATATCAGAATCCTGCTCCACAGTGAGAAAGAGAAAGAGAGAGCACTGTTCCTGAACAACACTAGTGTACATTTGCTTCGCACGTTGCATTTCACTGAGAAGCTAAAGACGAGCCAATCGCAGATTCTCAAGCCTGCTGCTGTTCACCCTCACCTTCACCAGTGGGGGATACTGGTTCTGCTCCTTCCGCACCGGCTGGAGCGGGCACGGCGCTCTCGTCCGCAGTCGATTTGCCTTCCTCTGCCTCGATCTTATCGAGCCACTTCGTGACGAACTTGGCGTGAGCACTGAAATTCACCGTCGTGTCCAACACGTCCCTGTTGACACGATTTCCAAGTGGAAACCAGAACGTCAGATCTGCATGCCTGTTCACACACACTCGGACCACTCACCGCACAACCCCCTTGGAGTCAATAAAAAAGGTGACGCGAGCGTCCGTGAGACCCAGTAGGCCTTTCCCGACGTGGTACGCTTTGCGTGCATCCCCACTGGCATCGCTCAGAACGGGGTACTAAAGATGAGCTTCTCTGTCAATATCTGATAACGCGTGAACATCTGGAAACACGCCCACCGTTAGCTTCTCCTTCTCCACGAAGACTTTCTGTTTCTCAACTGGGTCCTTGCTGACCCCGATAATTTGGACTTTGGTGCGCTGATACAACTCCTTTTCTAGAGAGAACAAATGCCACAGGGGTGTGAGACCACCCTCGCACCAGAACACTTCCGATGGAATGATAAATACCAGCAAGAGCATCGCGGAATTCGCAGGCTTCCTTTGTGCACCCATACGTTCCTAGGGATTGCGAAACACCACCGATGTCAGTCGGCGATAATTAGTCATGAGGGAGTACCATTCATACCAGACTGAGGATAAAAGAACAAGGCAATGGGAACATCGCTGGCCACAGGGGTCAAGGTGTAAGTCTCCCCATTCGCGTCCGGGAGAGAAAGAGAAGGAGCGGGCTTTCCGACGAGTGGATGAGGCATAGGAGTCGATTGTGCAGAAAGGAGCACTCGGGGATTTGCGTAACTATGGAGGACCTTGGACCAGGAGGGTTTCGTGCGGTTATATACTGCCATATCTTCACCTCAGCCACAAGACGTACTCAGCAGTCTAGAATTCGATCACCTGGTAGCCAGCGACCTAGATCAATCTCTTTAGAGGAGCTTTCGCAGAATAGATCAACAACACTTTGTCGAGCGATTGGGTGAAGTGCACACAGAGAGCACGTTATTCAATGTAACCACAGCCTCTGACCCAACCTTCTGACTTTCAAGAGCTCAGAGAGAAGCATGCAGATCAAACACACAAGCAAGCCCCTAGCCTAGAAGATATATGGTGGATTCCATTCCAGTTTTTTGAGAACGGCCTCGGGCCTTACTCCAAGACGACTGACTCGGAGAACACGACCAGCACGACCTCGACCTCGACTCGATCTGTGCTGACGTAATCCAGCTCTCAGCGGCTTGTAGACGCCCATCTTGCGGTCAAGGTCCTCCTGCTTCCATGTCCTCCGATCTCGAGCGGTACATCAGCGACAACTCCTTGCGGGTAGGTTCTGCTATACATACATCTGACATTAACAGGCTGAAATCTCTCTATAGTTCTTTGGTGTTTCGGACAAAAGCATAATCGACTATGTAGTTGCGTCAGGTGTGTCTGTATGACTTCCGCCACCGCATGGTCATTTAATCATGTCGCGTTCTAGCATCCTCCTCGAAATCTCCCGAGTCCCTCTTTGTTGCACTCAATGCTTCTGGTCTACCAGACACGCCAGACGCACACCAGTTCGTGCAAGACGTCTACTCTCGTGCTCCTCGCAGGAGCAAACATAAGAAGTCCTCAGACAGCTCGAGGAAGCAAGTGGAGGAGCAGACGAAACACCTGAGAGCACAAAAATTCGGCTTTCTTCTTGACGATGACGACCAGGGCTCGAGCGGCGTCCCCAGTGACAAGGCGAAGGTGTCCGGCAAGAGCAGTGCCAGAGACAGGCGAGACCGGCATACACGGAAACGCGAGAGTGACGCGCGAGAATGGGAGAGTGACGAGGAGGAGCAGTCACGCAAGAGAGCGCGGACGGATGACGGTGAGGACTCAAGACGCCAGGAGGATGAGGAGGACATCGAGCTACCGGAGGACGAGGAAGTGCGAAGAGAGCGGCAGAGGGTTGAGGACCTGAAGGAGAGAGACGAGTTTGCGGAGCGCGTCAAGCAGCGGGACCGCGAGAAGACGAAGAAAGTCGTCGAGGACCGATCGTCAAAGGGCGTCGGTGCTCTTGAGGCTGCGCAGCGTCGACAATTAGCGGACGACTCGCAGGCACGGGAACGCGCTATGCCCTCTCTACGCGAGCACTCTCGTCAAGAGTATCTCTCGAAGCGTGAGTTGCAGCGGGTCGAGCTGCTACGCCGAGAGATTGCCGACGAAGAGGCTCTCTTTGCCGGAATGAAGATGTCTAAGCGTGAGCGGGGGGAGCTGGATCACAAGAAGCAGGTCCTCCGGCTCGTTGAAGAGCGCCTCAAGATCGACGACAAGTACGAAGGTTACCAGCTCCCGGAGGACTACATCACGGAGCAGGGCAAGATCGACAAGAAAAAGAAGGAGGGGGTACTTTACCAGCGATACGAGGAAGCAAAACCCAAAGATGGTCAGCATACGACTGATGTCGACCAGTGGGAGGAGGCGCAGACGAAGCATAGCACATTCAAGACTGGCGCGATGGACAAGCGGGAAATCGTGGAGGATTACGAGTATGTCTTTGACGAGAGTCAGACGATCAAATTCGTCATGGAGAGCACCATGGGAGGCGAGGGCAGAATGACTGCCAAGGACAAGCTTCTACAGCAACAGATTGAGGAAGCTGAGAAGCGAGGTAAGTAGTTGCTATTACTCATACCAGATCGCTGAGCCTGACCCCCGTTTTAGCTCAGTCAATAGAGGATACCCGTAAATCCTTACCCATTTACCTGTATCGGGAGCAACTCCTCGATTCCATCAAGGAGCACCAGGTCCTCATTGTTGTCGCCGAGACGGGCTCAGGAAAGACTACGCAACTGCCGCAGTACTTGCACGAAGCTGGATACACAGCAAACGGGCAGAAGATTGGGTGCACACAACCGCGTCGTGTGGCAGCGATGTCCGTGGCCTCCCGTGTCGCGGAGGAGATGGGGACGAAGGTAGGATACGAGGTCGGGTACTCGATCCGGTTCGAAGACTGCACAAGCGACAAGACGGTGCTCAAGTACATGACAGATGGCATGTTACTCCGCGAGTTCTTGACGGAGCCGGACTTGGCAGGGTACGCGGCATTGATCATCGACGAGGCGCATGAACGGACACTGAGTACGGACATTCTCTTTGCTCTTGTGAAGGTGCGTCGGTGCTATCTCACTGTATTCTCTTTGCAGGGCTCAAGAGTTCCGGTTCAGGATATCGCAAGATTCAGACCAGAGCTGCGATTGCTCATCTCCAGTGCCACCATGGATGCCGCGAAGTTTAGCGAGTATTTCGACGGCGCTCCAGTATTCTACGGTAAGTGATTGCTTCAGATAAGTGGCTCTTCAACTCACATCAATTTATACAGTGCCTGGCCGACGGTATCCTGTCGACATTCATTACACACCGCAACCAGAAGCAAACTACCTGCATGCAGCCATCACTACGGTCTTCCAGATCCACACGACACAGCCGAAAGGCGACATTCTCGTATTCTTCACAGTTCGTCCCTGTTGCGTTCCCAGATTCTAGACTTTTTTCTCACATGCTTCGACAGGGTCAAGATGAGATTGAAGCTGCACAAGAGAACTTGCAGGAGACTGCACGAGCCCTGGGCAATAAGATCGCCGAGCTGATTGTCTGTCCTATCTACGCCAACTTGCCGAGCGACATGCAAGCGAAGATCTTCGAACCCACCCCCGAGGGCGCTCGCAAGGTGGTCTTGGCCACGAATATTGCCGAGACGTCGATTACCATTGATGGCGTCGTGTTCGTCATCGACCCCGGCTTCGTGAAGCAGAACTCGTACAACCCTCGGACCGGTATGTCATCTCTTGTGGTCGTCCCCGTGAGTTTCTGTTTAATAGTACAATACCGGAAACCAGACTGATGATGTCTTTGTAGTGCTCTCGCGCATCTGCAAATCAACGAGCGGGTCGTGCAGGCCGAGTCGGACCCGGCAAGGCCTTCCGTCTGTACACGAAGTGGGCTTACGCGAACGAGCTTGAGGAGAACACAGTTCCCGAGATCCAACGAACAAATCTCGGAATGGTTGTCCTACTACTCAAGTCACTCGGTATCAACGACCTCATTGGTTTCGAGTTCATGGACCCACCTCCGGGCGAGACGCTCATGCGTGCTCTGGAGCTCTTGTATGCACTGGGTGCCCTTAACGACCGCGGCGAGTTGACGAAGCTAGGTCGACGGATGGCCGAGTTTCCGGTCGACCCGATGCTTTCGAAAGCGATCATTGCAAGCGAGAACTATCACTGCACAGATGAGGTACGCCTTCGGCGTCTCGTGCCGATTGCTTAAGTTTAGCTGATCCTCGGGACAGGTCCTCACCATCATCTCCATGCTCCAAGAGTCGTCATCGATATTCTACCGCCCGAAGGATAAGAAACTACACGCTGACCAGGCGAGGCAGAACTTTGTGCGCCCCGGTGGCGACCACTTTACGCTTCTCAACGTGTGGGAACAATGGGCGGAGACGAACTATTCGCAGCAATTCTGCTACGAACAGTTCTTGCAGTTCAAAAGCTTGAGTCGTGCACGAGACATTCGCGATCAGCTGGCAGGGCTGTGCGAGCGTGTGGAGGTCGTGGTGGAGAGCAATGCGAATACAAATGATATCACGCCGGTTCAGAAGGCCCTCACAGCTGGATACTTCTATAACACCGTGAGTGGTCCGACTGCAGGTGCTACATATCAATGACTCACATCACCCTTCAGGCACAACTGCAGAAGAGCGGTGATTCCTACCGAACGCTGAAGACAAATCAAACGGTGTACATTCATCCTTCGTCGAGCTTGTTCCACATTACACCACCTGCGAAGACAGTTTTGTACTATGAGCTGGTGATGACGTCGAAATCGTATCTGCGGTACGTTGAATATTGTTTACGATTGGCGGACACGACTGAATGACATACAGGCAAATCATGGAAATCAAGCCTGCATGGCTACTTGAGGGTGAGTACACTAGGCACATGCTTCGAGGTGTCCTTTTGACGCCTATCGTACGTAGTCGCACCCCATTACTTCAAGCCTGCCGATCTGGAGCAGCTGGCCACGGGAGACAAGAAGATGCCCAAGACGATCGGAGCTGTAGGAGAGAATGCGCGGGTGTAAAGCATGGATTTTATGATGTATATTGCTCTACCTAGTCATGCCGTGACTACTCAATTCGGAATGTAATATGGTGTTCCTTCGGTGACACTTGATTGGGGACCGCGACGCGACGCGTAGGCGCGCAATAAGCGGGCGCGCGTCCACGTGATGGCGTCGTGCCTCGTGTAGTTGAACTTGTCTGGTCGGACAAAGAGATGTCCTCTTAACCGCGTATATTAAAAGGTTTGTCGATTTCTCTCTCTCTTTAGGTCGCATTGCTATCTGTAACAGCTTCTCCATGTTTGCTTCGCTCTCTGCTGCTCCGCGGCCCTCTCCGCCCCTTACGCCGCCTCAGACGTTGACCTCGGATGGCTCAGGCATATCTCCCGCTTCCTCTGACGACTCTTCTTGCCTGGAGCTTTCTTTCGTCTATGAAGTAAACTCGCAGGGCGAGGTCGTACGCGTCTCCAAGGATTTGTCCAAGTCTTCAGCACCGCCAACTCCAGACCAATCTCCTAAACTCGCCCAAGCGTCGCCACCCAAGGCACCTTCACCGATTGGACAGCTTCGAGCACCGTCACTTGGCCGCTCTGAGAGTCTCCCGGCTTCTGCCTTTGAACCAACGCCTTCTGCTCCTGCGCGCTCTTTTCAGCGTGTGGCGTCTGGCCCTCTTCAGACTCCGGCATCCTCTTCGTCTATCCGTAGCAGCATCGCTCCTCTGTCAACAGGAGGACGTAAACTAGGCGGTGCCCGGCGCGTCAAACTCGAAGAGTTTCAAGAACAGGATGTACTCTTACGCTCACAGCCGCAGGCTGTCGATGAGAAGGAGAATGCGCGCGGCCCCTCCCATAATATGCAGTCGTCGCGGCCTATGATTCCGATCCGCCCAACACGACTTCTGAACAAGAAATCTGGCATTGACAAGATTGTAGAGGATCAGGCTGCTGAGGAGCATGCTGCTGCTGAAATGCGCGGGTTCGGTTACAGTGGGCGGCCACGACGTTCGGCAAGCCTCAGCGATGCTTCTGCCTCTGGCTCAATGAGCCAAGACTCTGGCTACGAACAAGGGATGCCGAATATTCAGTACTATCAGTCACAGTACCAGCGCCCAGGAACGAGTCTTGGAATGGCTAGTCGAGGTGCTCGTCGGGTGACGATCGAAGAGAAGAGGCGTCAAGAACGCGAGTCTGCACTTGAGGAGGGTACGTGGATATGCATCGTGATCTTAACGCTGTTCCAAATAGTACCGCAGGATATGCTCGACGAGAGGCAGAAGAGGCCGCCGAGGCAGCACGTCAGTCTGTCAACTTCATGCCTCGTGATTGTGGTGTTAATAGGCAAAACAGGCAGAGCACAATCATCGTCCCGTCATCATTCGCCCTCACCTACACATATAGCTTCGCACGCACGTCCAGCATACAGTCATCAGCGTAAAGACTCTGACACTCTTCGTTCCGCGGCTGCCTTGACCCCGACGTCGCCTACCGCCGTCGAGTTTCCATCTCGTGTATCGCCTCCAAATCGTAACTATGTCCCATCTTCTGCACCAAGTCTCGTTGCCGCAGCTGCCACGAACCTCCGTCATCGCCGCAGCCCTACCGCGCCCGAAGCACCAACATCGAGTGCGGAGATCGCGCCTCCCAATGGCGGCAGTCAGGCAGCTGGCAGGACCTGGGCAGCAGGAGACAGCCGAGAGCAAGAACGCGAAGAACGTTATGACTCTGCGGCACCATCCCGAAATGCCCCAGCGATGCCCCCGCCTCAACCTCCTGCACCTCCGCCGGCGAAGCAGCAGCAAGTATCACATCCACAGGCATCGTATCAGGGGACACCAGCGTTAGAGCTGCGGTCGCGGAATATGGTGGTAAGGAATTTCTTGGAATTTCATCGAGTCGCTTCTGAGCGGATGCTGCTCTCGTGTGTATGCTCACAATGCAGGTGAACAAGAAGGCCTACGCGCGTCTGGACATGATCGGGAAGGGAGGGTCATCACGGGTGTACCGTGTCATGAACGGCACGAACGAGATCTTCGCAATCAAACGTGTTTCGCTCGATAAGACCGACGCCGATACGATGAGTGGCTACATGAACGAGATTGCGCTCCTCAAGCGGCTGGAGGGCAATAGCAGAATCATTCGACTCATTGACAGTGAGCTCAAGCCGGGTCCTGGCGGTTCGATGGGCCACCTCATGCTTGTGATGGAGTGCGGAGAGATAGGTAGGCTAGGGCGCGATTTGTGTGACCATGGGGTTGGGAGTAGTACTAACTAATGCTTATAGATCTTGCTAGATTATTGCAAGAACAACAGAAGGAGCCACTTGACCTAGTTTGGATAGCATACTATTGGAAGCAAGTGAGTTGCCTGTCTCGCAGCCTATGCGCTCGCTGTCTCATATTTTCGTAGATGCTGCAAGCTGTGCATATCATACATGAAGAGAAAATTGTCCACTCTGACTTGAAACCTGCAAACTTTGTCCTTGTCCGAGGACAGCTCAAGCTGATCGATTTCGGTATTGCCAACGCAATCGCAAACGATACGACCAATATTCAAAGAGATCACCAGGTATGCTCTGAGTGGCCTCCATCTGTTCGTGTGCAATATGCAGCTCTAACATTCGCGTTACTCGTAGATCGGCACAGTCAACTACATGTCTCCGGAGGCGATCGAGCTACCTGAAGGTATGCGCCGTCTCAAGGTTGGCCGTCCAAGCGACGTTTGGTCGCTCGGCTGCATCCTATACCAAATGGTATACGGCCAGCCACCATTCCAACACCTCTCCGTGTATCAGAAAATGAAAGCTATTCCCAACGAAAAGCACATTATTGAGTTCCCGCATCATGCGACCCCATCTGTTCCTTCATCGCGAGCTAGCAGCGGAGAAGGGTCGCCCCACAGGCTAGACCATCTAAGCGTGCGCGTGCCCGAAACGCTCATCGCGACCATGCAGAGCTGCCTAGCACGTAACCCAAAGGAGCGCATGACGATTCCGGCGCTGCTCGATCAGGATTGGCTCGAAATGAAAGCGCGTAAGTGGTGGTGTGCATGCTCGTTCAATAATCCTGACTTCACATGTCCCGAATCAAGCACCTCCACCGTTGCCTCCATCCCCACCTCCACCCCCTTCTCCGATTCTCAAGGAGGACGAGACCATCATCAATCCGCACTTCATGCAACAACTTTTGGCATATGGCATCAGCCTTGGTATGCAGGGCCGCGACATGGACAACGCGCAATTGTTGCGTGAAGCGGAGGTATGATATCCGTCTTCACGTTGCAGTATCCCGCTAACGGCGAACCACGACAACATAGCGACTCGTTAACGAGCTGAGAGGCGTACAAGCAGCTTCTCAGTAACGGCCTCTTGTTTGATAACAATAGGTTCTGTCGGCCTGCACAGTGCACAGACATTGCACCGCGTTACCCGACCGACACGCAACCCACTAAGCAGAGCGCCTCCTGCCACGACCATTACGACCTGCAATGCGGACTGCACCACGCCAGGCGCACTTCGCGCGTCCCGAGGCACGCGGAGATCGATGTGCGGCCGTCTCAGACACTGCTCGTCTTACGCAGTCATGAAGTTGTCTTCGTCTTTTGCTGTTATGATCGTCGCGCTATGCTGTGTATGCTTCGGGTTACCCTCGTCTTGTTTTCACCCTCACGATACCACCGCCGTCACTGGCAAGTACAGTAGCCCGCATCATGTCAATCGTCGCTTTCTATGCATATGCATGTACCTCCGCAAGCCTCAGCATCTACTTCGACCAGCTTTTATTCGACTTCGTGTCGATTATGGGTTGGCGGTAGTCATTGTAGTATAGTCAACATAGTCGTCCTTATCGGATGCCCTGTGCATAATGCATTGCCCTTTCAAAGCTCGATCTCATGATACTCACTTGAATTTGATTGATGCGAATGCGGTCAGCACGTTCTCAGGCCCAGGCTGTCTTCTTGCCGACCGCTGCCTGCAGTCAAACGCCGTGTTACGCTAGTTACTATTCATCTTCTTTGAGGGCGGTATTGGCCAGCATGTTACGAGTGGCGCGGCGTCTGGATTGGAACCGGAGAGCCTTGTATGATCGCGCAGGTCCTTGCAACCACTGCGTACGGCACTTCACGGATTTGACCCATTCCGCCAGAAGCACTCAGCTTCACAGATCCTATCTATATGGTTAGTCCCAATCATCGTCGCATGATATCCTGCCATGACGAAAGCCGACTTGCGAGGATATTGTCTCGACCTCGACTGATAATGTCGAATTCGTAGTGCCCTCCTCCTCTGACCGCATGCTGGAGAAATCGCTGTCGACACAATCGGACATCATAATCTACGATTTAGAGGACAGTGTACCACCGTCTGTGGCTGACAAAGATGGTGCTCGCGAACGGTTACGCCGCTTCTTCAACGTGAGTAATCCACCATTATAAGAATACCAATATCGCAGTTTCAACAATCTCGGCTGCTCAAATGTTTGCGGCAGACTAAGACGACGGCCGAGCTTCCTCGCCCTGAGCGAATTGCTGTGAGACTCAACAGTATCAATACGCCGTTTTTCCAGCACGACATTGCACAGGCTGTGAGTGCCCTGGTCCTATCATGACATTCAGCCACGTATTGACTTGTTTGATCGTAGCTTAGGATACCATCCATCCGGACGCTTGTGCTACCGAAAGTGCACTCTGCGCTGGATTTGCACCATGTGTCCCGCGCTATCTATGTGGCGTCGAATTTGCAGAGCGTCCGAGACCCAACTGCTCAGCCGCTACGTCTAGTAGCGAGCATTGAGAGCGCAAGATCGATGATCAACCTGCGTGAAATAGCAGCCTGGCAGTCTGAATATGGTCGCCCCCTTGGAGTCACCCTGTCCGCACTTCTGGTGCGTATATAACAGTTCGTCATGTGGCTACTGTCTCTTAAACTATTCTAGTTTGCTGCAGAGGATTGTAATACGCACTCCATTCCTTATACATCTGATGACTGAGCAATTTCCTCGAAGATTGTGCGGACACATCTATCATAAGGACTAAATCCCGGCAGGAACTGTTGTTCACTCGCTCCCAGATAGCCATTACCGCCAAAGCGTTCGGACTGGATGCAATTGACATGGTACGCCACAGGTGTACGTCTCGTGTCACACGCTGAGCATGTAGCCAAACCTAGGTTTGCGTGAACTATAAGGACTCAGACTATCTCAAGGAGGAGTGTGAGGACGGTAGGCGGCTTGGCTTTAACGGAAAGGTGTGTCTTTAAGAGGCTGTCTATACTTACTGGGCATAACACGCAGCGCACCATTTATTGCAGCAAGCTATCCACCCGACGCAAGTAGACATAATACAGTCCACCTTTGTGCCATCGGATAAGGGTATGTCAAGGATCACCGATAGAATCAACTAATAGACCATCGGCTAACATTTCTACCCCAGAGATACTCCGTGCAGCTACGATCTTGCATCGCATGCAGCAGGCGCATGTCTCACAACAAGGCGCCATTGGACTTGAGCTAGAAGGCGGCGGCAAGGAAATGATTGATGCGCCTATGATCAAGCAGGTATGTGGGGTTGTATCCTGATTGTAACTCCGGGGTTGAACGCGAGTGCAGGCAGAGAACGTTATTCGAACTGCAATGGCTGCAGGTCTGAAGATACCTGAAGTCAATTGACAGCTTAGAGCGGAGATGAGATATATGTCGGTCTGAGTGTGTAGTATGCATAATATATATCGCTGGCAGCATCGTATATATAAAACACAGACTAAAGCTCCACATTTCCCCCGTTGTGACACACGTCTCGATCGTGTGGCAACACTTGCTCAGTTCTGGCTACATGACCGCCAAAGTGTCATATATCGTAAGCGTTCTAGACGCTCCCGGGATCCTCGATATCCCTTGCATCTCCCGCAGGTTCCAACAACTCGTTTGGAACATCCCCTGCAGCATCAGGGATGAACGCTAGAGTAGAAAGGGTCTGGCCTGTGAAACTTCTTGAATCAGTGCTGCTTCTGTTGTCGTGCTCGGATCTACGAAGCTGGTGAAGATTGATGAACAGTCGCCACATGGCTATCAAGGTCGCGCTATTGACTGATCAATGATCGCAGAGGATACATGATAAGCGGGAGGCCGTACGGTGGAATAAAGCATGACACCGAGATATACTCAAATGCATTGATAGTGGCCAGTTGTACAGCGTTGAGAGCAAGGAGAACCCTATGGCTCATTAATAAACATCTTTATCGAAAGAAAATGGGGATGTACATGAATTGCACAACGCCTTTCGGAAAATGTGTGTGAATTGGTGCATACATCATCGGGAAAATTCAATGTAATAAACGCACCGGCTTTCACCAGGAAAGTAGGCAGAGGCGCCTGCATTGTTCTCATCAAAGGCTCTCTTCTCATTCTGTAAACGAATTGCAATGTGACGGCGAGTATGATCATGTCGGATAGCAAGCTCGCGACTCGCGACACGACTACAACTATAGCAATTATTTTAGTGTGATCTGAGCGTGGGGACAGCATCGCATTCAAGAAGTAAGTATTTCTTACCCCTGGGTTTCTTGATCAGTGCACAGAAATATACCATCGATGGTGATGAGACTTACTTATGGTAAACTTTCAGAGACAGAGAGGATGTCAAGCCGCATGCGGAAACGCTACCAAGCGACATGGTAAATGGATGTCCTTCTTCTATTCCATCCAGCTAGAGAGCATTGAGAACTCTATGTGAACTGGATAATGGAAAGATAATTGAAGCGTACTCACGATCGCCACGCCCATGGGAACTACTCCGAGAGTTGCGACCGCAAGTGTAGGAAGCCAACAGCGGCCGCTGACAGCATACACCTGCAATGCAGAGAACCCTGGGTGGGGTTGGCTTTGAGCGCTCAAAAATACCTTTTATAAAGATACCCCTACCGGCCAGAACAGCAGTTAGAAGACCAGCTGAGACAAGGTACAGCTGTGCAACCACTTCGCAACTACGTCCGTGATTAACAATGGCATGCCAGTGATAGCATGAACTATTTTCAAACCTCTGACGGAGAGAAGTGAGCTTCTAGGTAAGTCAGAATTGTTGGTACGTACTTGATCGGTCTCCCATCTAGAATCAACGAGCACTGCTGCAACGACGTATACGAGAGCGATGTACCGGGAGATAATGAAGAGAAGAGACATGGCAGTGCATCTGCAGCGCCAGCACAAGTCGACCTCGTCAGGGAAGGTGATGATATAGTCATAGACCAGTAGGGCTAATACCGGCACACTGAATGAATTTGGGACGAACTAGAACAGTAATAGCAGATGCTTGCAACTCACCGGAGCTCCCAGCCTGCCAGCAGCTGGTGTACCAACTGGTCCTTCTGTCAGAGTGCGAGAGTGAGCAGGAGTTCGTTACAGCTTACGTTTCCTGGAGACCATCGATAATGTCTTGCAGTGGTGAGCTCATGATTTAATGTGACTGGATCGGATGCTTGTATGAATGGGTCAAATCTTGTCAAGCACTTGCTTTTATTCGGACATAGGTGAGGAACCTATGCGGTAGTGGAACATAAGTCATAGCCCGTTACGCTCGAGCAACCCTATGGCAAAAGCAACGAACCGCAATAGTAGCAACGTGCGGCGAACTGACTTTCATGGGCGACTGATCTATCCACACGTCTGCACACGCCTGATGTCAGTGTCCCGTAATATCGCTGCAGGCGATAGTTGATGCTTTCCTCATACTAGATGTGGTCATCCCATGCAAGATTCCCAAGTCATATGTTCTGTAATAGCCACCGTGACTCTAAACCATGCACATCGAATTGATGAACCGCCCGAGAATCCCTTACAGTTTGTCGAAACCGAGGAGATCTGGGAATGAGACATCTAGGACGCGATACAAGATATGATGTCTACACAACGAAATCGAGGCACACAGATATAGTTGTCCGATCAATGATACGTTAAAAATGACGTGGCGGTCTATCGGGTCACTGAATCGAGATCTAATCATTGACAACAGTGGCGCTGCTGTTCTTCACCTTCAGCCAAGGCCCGTCTATGGATCTTTAATCGTTTGGCCGCATTATGAGAGTAACAAGATAAGAGGTCAATAACAATGACCACGCCAGAGAAAACGTGTTGGAATGTGCCTCAAGAATACGTGCCGTTATTTAGGTCTGCAATTGTTGTGCGTACTGTATATAGGGCGCTGCACTCGCAAAAACTGAGCAGACAAAGGCCCTTACTGTCATATTGCGTATAAATTGTATTTCACAATAAAAATGCGAATAGAGGATAGTATATTCGATGTCCACACCGGAGGGTTTCCTTAGATGACATATACCACAATCTCCAATGCGCACATTTGTCCGGAAAATTGGAGTATATCCGAGATCCCCGTCAACATTCCTCCTCTGTCTTTAGAGAACCTTTACTAGCGAGATAGATTTCCATAGGTGCATCTCCTATGCATGTGAAGTCGATGTTCTCTGAATCGTCCGGATCACCGACATCGCTCACATTAGCTGCAAATTCTAGCGGCGCGCCCTTGTTGTTCAAGAAGCTAGAGTCGGGCTCCTCTATCGACGTGGATTGCGGATAGGTGCCTTGTATCTCCGTGTTCTCGTTACCGTTCTGACGATGGCGAAGTTGCCGAAGGCTCATTAGGATTAGGAAGCGCCAGATTGTGATGAGGGTTATACTGGGCAGTTAGGTCAGCAGGTAGAATACAGCTCGGAAACGTCAGCCGTACGGAGCCACCAAAGAGGACACATATGCTGCTTGCTGCACATTGATCGTGGCTAGTTGCGCGACGTTGAGAAACAAGAAAAGCCTGCAAATCATCAAACTGCATGGACTGTGATGAATGCAGACTCGACGCACGTGAAATTCAGGGTGCCTATGTAGTCAATATGTCAGGGTTCAGCTTGGTGGTGAAGGGGTCTGAGGACACACCAGTCTTCAAGAGAATAATGGCCAGCGGGGAATGTATTACTCTTTTCATAGCGTTTCGTTTAACCCTATAGACGTATCGCCAAGTAACAGAGAGTGTAATGACGTCAGATAATATCACGGTGACGCGAGATGCTATAACCACTGCGAGTACAATTAGTTGGCCCTCTAGAACTCGAGGAGATATTGATTCACATCTAATTTTCTCATCAAATAGTAGTACAACAGTTTTGAATGGATTAACTCACTTGTTGACGAGGCTCTGAGATATGGAGTTTGTGAATGCACACAGAGGTTGACCAACAACAAGAAAGACGACGAAGGCGTTCGACTGTGCTGCGGCATGGTACTATTATGGATTCAGCAGTCCAGCAGGCATTATCAACGCGTAACAGTCAAGGCTTGCACTTACGATCTCCACCGTGACGGGGACCAATCCCAGAAATAGGATCGCAAGCGTAGGGAGCCAGCGACGACCACTGACGGCAAACATCCGGGAAGCCGAGAAGGCTGAGCATAGCGAGAGGTGAGCACCTGCAGGCCTGCAGATATTGGAAATCCCAACCGTTGGAAGTGATGAACACTAATGTGCCTGAGACCACGAAGAACTGGTTGACGGTTTCGCAGCTGCACTTCCTGTCAGCAGCGACATTTACTAGGTACATATGTGCAGACCTCTGTCGAAGTAGCGGTGAATTATAGGAGGAGAAAATGAAGATTGTACATACTAGAGCAGTTCCTCGTCCGTTTAGCAGTAGCAGGGATGCGATGGCATACACAATCGCCACATATCGTGCAAAGAAAAACAGTATTGACGTAGCGGTGAATCCACGATACCAGAAAAGGTATATCTCGTGAGGGAGGGTGATAGCATACTCGTAGAGAATCAGAGCTGCATCCTTCATTCAGCCAAAGCTCGGAATACGTGTGGCAGAGCACCCGTACTCACCGCTAGCACCAGCTTGCCAGTATCCGAGGATCTAACTAAGTGTACGTCAGTCAGGAAGAACTAGCTGGAGAATGTATGGACCAACTTTGTCCGTAGGATGTCCACAATTCCTTGCTGTGTTGTACTCATGGATGTGTATAACTGTACGGTGTAGAAATGTTAGCCAAGCGACCAGCCAGCATTTTAATGTCGGAACTAACGACTTTCTTGCATCAGAAGCCGCTCGCCGAAGTCATTGTATAGAAAACGTATTGGTCCGGCGCACAGCTTACTGATAAAATTCTGATTAGAACAGGAGATACTGGAGTCGAACGTTGAATTGTGACAGATACAGCGAACAACAACAGGAGCGCAACCCTCGTGTTGCAGGATCACCGCAACACCTTGTGGCGTAGTTATGGTTCTGCGTCCCCCATGTCGATCTAGAGGGAAATGAACACTACCCACCAGCTATAAATAATTGGTCACTCGAGGTAAGCCAGGATCTGACCCAAGCTGCTGAACATATATTTCTGAAGACCAGGTAATCAGAGAGCCATCAAGCATCAACGGCACACCGGAATCAATGACAGTCAAGCTGTTAACATAGCCAACTAGAAGTTGTCATAGTACCCGGGTCTGAGCCGTCAACTCAGTGGAACTTCACGGACGGGCTGGTCCGCACGCCAGCTGAAATAAATTCGATATGACGGGTATGTTCTCGGTCAAGGTGCGGCAGGGAGGCTGATCACGGTGTAAGGACATTGAGCAATTAGACGCCTGTTATGTAGTGGTTACTTGCAGGCGCCAAGCACCGCTACGACAGTGGCGGTCATTCTCCAGCATCTCAGTCTCGAAGGCTGTCAGTATACTACTATCTATCTCAGGCACAAAACGCGACAAGCCATGTCTGTATGTCCCCCGTACGCTCCGTTCTTCGGCTTTGGAGGGGTTGCGGCGTCAGTGAGTGCAAATATTACATGGATTGTATCACCACACCGTGCTCATTCCACCCGCGCAGATGATATTAAGCAGTAAGCTCCCACAAGTTCCATCTCGCGCAACCGTCATCTGAGCGTATGCATTGGTAGCCGTGGGTGCCGCGTTCGGGACGTCCAAGGCCGGCATCGGAATTGCTGGCCTGGGTACGTTCAGGCCTGAGCTCATCATGAAGGTATGTGATCTCAACGACCACAACAATTCACTGATAAATGGCATACCAACCATCCAGTCGCTCATCCCGGTCGTCATGTCTGGTATCATCGCCGTGTACGGCCTCGTCGTGTCGGTGCTCATCGCGGGCGGCCGTGCGTGCACTGCATCTCTTGACTTGTGTCATGCGCATTGATCAGATCTATCCCAGTGCGACCGACCGACTATTCGCTGTACGCCGGCTTCATTCATCTAGGAGCCGGACTCGCATGCGGATTCACAGGTCTTGCGGCGGGCTATGCCATTGGCTTTGTAGGCGACTCGGTCAGTCCGTGTTGGATGCGATATAGCGGCTTGCTCTAACGTTTATGTGCTTACAGTGTGTGCGAGCCTACGTACACGAGTCGAGGGTCTTTGTGACGATGGTGCTCATCCTAATCTTCGGCGAGGTCTTAGGGTTGTACGGGTACGTCATCGCTCGACCTGAAACATGTCCTCTAAATACCCTAACTCTTTACCGCTAGGCTTATTGTCGCCCTCATCATGAACTCAAGAGCAACAGAGGCTCCACGATGTACATACTGAGCGGTCGTGCAGAGTTGACGTGTTTCCAACATTCTGAACGAATACTCATTCTCGTATCATCTTGGCAAATGTTCATATTATACAGTGAGAGGGTATTCAGAAGCGGAGAGATCAAAAGAATATGTGAATGTTATGCTCGAACAAGGTCAATCAGAGTTGGAGCCAGACTTTGTTGTGCATGAAGCTGAGCTATAGTCTGACCCCACCTTTTTCTCCCAATCAGACTCAGACTCAGACTCAGACTCAGATGTGGAGTCGCTGCTCTCGCTGGACGCAGAGGTCGAGCTATCAGATGTAAAATCAGCGGTGGACAAGGCAAGCCATTTCTTGTTACACACCGCTTTCGTTTCCCCAATGGTACTGCCTCCTTGTCTTTCTCCTCCGTCCGTGCCTGTTCCTTTGCCTCAAGTATACGGTTGGCAGTGCCACTCCTGAAGAACCATGTCGACACGCATGCCAAAGCAGACTGTAACGGACATGCGCTTGACTTACTTGCTTTTGAACTCATCCGGAACTTCCACTGATGGCTTTCCGTCTTTCTTCAACTGTGCGAGCACTCGGGGATTTTCGAGCTGCTGGGTACGCGATGGCCTCGAGACATACGGACGCGCCGCCTTACATTCGTAGGTAAAGTGCCCTATGGCACACATTGCCTGTCCTCAAAGAAAATCACGGCAGGGAGCACGACTATGTACTCACCAGTGCCCAGGCATTTCTGGCATTTTGTGTAAGGCGAAGCCCGAGGCTGCGAACGTGAATGAGGGGCATACTTAGACATGATGCCAGCTTGATAATGCAACAAACAAGAAAAGAAAATAGCCCAGAAGGTCTTCTGCCGAGATGTGCAAGATGTAACGCGGAGGTGAGGTTCAAGATGATGGGTGCTTCGCCACTTGCATGTTAGCCGGAACGTGATAAGGGGGCGTGGGAACTAGAAAAAGGTTTCGTAAATCTACCTGTCCCCGAGCCATGCCCGACGGTACTAAGTATCCAGAAGTGGTTATGACCAGACCAGGCTGTGCTAGTGTTGCTGGGAGGTGACTCAAGGGCCCTCTCTGGTCGCCCTCTCTCACATATATAGCCCTGCCATTCTTTCCTCTTCTCCTGACTCACTCCGACTACTCTCACAACGTATCTGCAGCTTGGTATCTCCCAAACTATCATCATGGGCGGAAACGCGTTCAGAGGGAAGCTGTCCACCGCTCTCTTTCCTCGGATGTCACCACACACCTATCAGGCTCTGAGAGCCCGCTTGCTGCCTCTCGTCCAGTCTCAGTTCGAGTCCGTAGCCGTTCCCCGCGAGGCGCCCGAGAAAGTCGATCACGGCGACCTGGATTTCGTCGTAACGCGCCCGCGACCCGGCACGTCGCCCAGCACTGTGCAGAAAGTCCTGAGGGCGACGCACAGCATCCCACAAGAGGGCAACCGCACCAGCAACTATGCAATCCCTGCCAATGCTTTTGATCTCGGGGTGCATGGCGCGGACGGCGTCGTCACCGAGGTTGAACATCAGGTGTTCTACCAGGTGGATGTGAACGTGTGCGTGGACGAGGCCGAATGGGAGCGCATACTGTTCTTGCATTCGTATGGCGACACGGGGATGATCTTTGGCGTCCTGGCACGCATGGCGGGATTGAGCCTCAACGTCCATGGCTTGAAAGTACGTCTGCTCAGTCGCTCAGTCGGCACGGCCGATCGTTTACCGATGAGCTACCCTACGTATGCAGCTTGCAGCACCGCTCGAGACAGTCCCTCGGACCACTTTCCACCTTACATCGTCCCTACAGGACATCCTGGCCTTTTACGGGCTATCCAAGAGCAGATGGAATGAGGCCTTTGAGACCCAACGCGACGTCTTCGAGTGGGTCGCGATGTCCCCATTGTTCGACGCGCAGCGCATTGTACCGTCCGACCGCACCCACGACCGGGGCAGGAAGGCCCGCGGTGCACGCTCCATGTTCCAAAACTTTCTCGACTTTGCGCAAGAGCGCGCCGTTGCCGCGTCGCTGGACGGCAACGCTTCCCCCTCTGCGAAGCCGCGCATTACACAGGACGACGCGTTACGCTTCTTCGGCAAAGAGGCGGAGCGCGCTGCCCTGTTACGCGCTTCCGCTATCAAAGAGCATGCACGCGCAAAGTTCAGCGGCAGCTTCATGGAGAAGTGCACTGGAATGCAAGGCTTGTCCGTGAAGTGGTTGATGGATGCAATTCGCGAACGGCTGGTCGAAGGGTACGTCAGGCAGCGTGGCGTGACACAGGGACAGCCAACGGACCAGACTACTGGCCCGTTTACTGTCTCTGTATGGGAGCTTGCGCTCTTCGAGATGTCCAAAGCCGATGTGGCCTCCTTCGCCTTGCAGGTCAAGGCAGAGATGGAAGCAGCCGGGACATTTGAAGCCAAGTGGGCTGAGGAGAATGCAAGGAAGGCCCAGAAACAGATGCCCAAGTAGATGTCTAAAGACATGCAGTACGCTGGTCGGAAATTGTGCCTCGTAACATCAGAACATGTTGTCCTACTTGTCTTCCTGTGTCTGATTCATCTGAAACGTACAGCGTAGGGATAATAGGAATATGGCATATGTGCACTGAGCATTCTCAAGCACAGGATGTATTTGTCTGCCACCGGCACGAGCAAGAGTTCAAAGTACAGCACTAAATATCGATCTAGATAGTTGAGTTGCTTTATAAAAACTGGGCCTTGCATCCCGCACACCAGTCCTCAACGAATTGTTCCAATCGCTTGGACATGAAGACTCGCAATTCATAACTTCGGCTTGACCCCAGTGTGCCAAATCCCGGTCTTCAGTTCCTTGTGCTCGAGCATCGCGTACCATTCGAGAACCGTAGCGACGACCTGGTCAGCTATCTGCACAGGAAGGGATATCAAGACAATTCCCAAGTGTTTAACTTGTAGACGAACGCCAGTGAAGTTGTGGTCAGCATCTTCGACGTAGCACAAGTTGTGTGTGCCCGGTGACCTTGCACCTAATGCTTGGGCATATATGAATGCGTCGTAGCTTAGCAAGGCCGATCTATGAGACAGCGAGTATAGCAGAAGAGCCTTCATATGGCCACTCACGGAGGCACAACCGTGTCCTTCAGTCCATGCATAGTCAGTACGTCTATAGACTGAGGAAACTTCTCCCAGACGATCGATGAGTCGCCACTCGCGAATTGATCGTGGTCTTGCACGGTCACTCTGCAGACGCTGATAGGTGTCGATGCCTTCATTTGGACAGGATAAACGTACCTAGCATAAAAAGGTTTCCGGGCGACTGTTGCCGTCAGCTCATAATATCCTTTGGCTTCTATCTGTTTCCAATTCTCGGGTTTGCGCATTTGATCTACGTGCACAACGTATAGGACTCTTGCTCGCACTGAGCAGCGAATCACTACGCACCGTATAATTTCTGCGGTGTGGGGTCAACTCTGTAAGGCTAACAATCATCGCCTGGTGTGCACTCACATACAGTCTATACCGCCCGCTGACATTCGCGTAACCTCTCACAGTTGCGCTCTGTGCTGGGTACTGGCAGAGCCACATCATGCCCGTTACACTCCCGCGGGAGTGTCCGACAAGTAAGTCGACAACATAGCCAAGTTCCTTCGTGAGGTATTCCACGACAACATGTATGTCGAGCACATCGTCATTAAAGTTGCCTAGTCGCCACGGCCCTGGCGTCTCGTGGTTTCCTCTTGAATGAAAGGTTCGAGGAGACTAAGAGGTGGGAATGCAGAGATTCAGAGCAATCATCTCACCGAAAGTCGAAGCGGAAGGAGTCGATTGGCAGCTGTAAGGCCAGGCGTTTCTGAAACAAATAATCCTTATGCCTAGAATACAACGTCACCTCAACCGGCAGGGGTGGATGATAGCACGGTTTACCCCATGGACCCATGAAGAATCTATGGCGAGTTAGCATGACCGATGATGTTTTTGCAGATAGAGGAACACACCAGTGCAATCTTACGACCGTGAGTAGACTCATCTGGAGAAACCTGTTCCAGTACCCCTGCTATAGAACAGCCCTCAACGTGCGTGTGAGGGACATATAGCTTCGTTGTCTTCCTAGAGGTGGTAGCTGCCATTCTCTTATACTGAGTTGCCAAGGATCACCGCCTTCGGTTGCCAGAGTAGGACGGCAATAGCAGCACAAAAGATACAGATACAGCACTGAAAATATGTCAAAGCAGGCTTTCAATCATCACCTGAGGTCGTTATAACTAGAATGCTTATGATCGGACTGACTGTGGGGAAGGCTCGGGTATGGCTCGGGCGGTGACAAGTGAATAATACAAAGCGTGGGAATCGTTCCAGTTATCGCTGTAAGTAATACTTGTAAGGAAGTACTGACGTACCGCCGCGGGCGTCTCAGCTGTTCATTCATTGCCAGGGCGGACGACCATGGAGGCCCTATTCTTCAATGTACGTCCGCTGTCATACAAAGTATAATAAGATACTCAACTCACCTAGGTCAATATACATAGGTAGACGCCGGATTCATTGAGGGTATCGTCCGGGGCTACAAAGCCGGTCTGCTCACCCAGACGCAGTACAACAATCTGACGCAGTGCGAGACGATTGAAGGTACGGCCGGAGACTAGGTGGCGATCTGAGCACATTTGACGGGCATACCAGACTTCCGGACCCAGTTGTCTGCGACGGACTATGGCAACTTCCTCGCGAATGAGACACTGCCCATCTCCACCTCCACGATCGCGGACAAGGCGACGCAGATCCTCGTTGACCAGTTCAATTACCTCCGCAGCAACGCTGTCGCACCACTTAACAAGTTCTTCGACTACATGACGTGCGTGGTGATTTACACTGCTCATGATGCTGACTCGCTGAAAGCAATGCCCCGCACAGTTATGCGTACATGATCGACAATGTTATTCTGCTCATAACCGGCACGCTGCATGAGCGGAATACCTCGGAACTTCTGGAGCGCTGCCATCCACTCGGCGTGTTTGAGACGCTTCCCGCACTGTGTGTCGCAACCAACGTCGAGGAGCTGTACCGCACCGCACTGGTCGAAACACCGCTCGGTATGTACCCGTCCTCTTGCCCCCGCGCAGTAATGTAACGCCTTAACGGCCTATAGCCCCATACTTCCGCGACTGCATCAACGCCGCCGACCTCGATGACCTCAACATCGAGATCATCCGTAACACGCTCTACAAGGCTTACCTCGAGGACTTCTACGCCTTTTGCTCATCAATTGGCGGACCCACCGCCGAGGTTATGCAGCGCATCCTCGCCTTCGAGGCCGACCGCCGCTCCATCAACATCACCATCAACTCCTTCGGCACCGAGCTTTCTAAGGAGCGTCGTGCAAAGCTCTTCCCTGCTATCGGCCAACTCTTCCCCGCAGGCAATAATGCGCTCGCTCGTGCGGACGACGTCGATCAAGTCCGCCAGGCGTGCGATGGTGTTGCCGAATACCGTGCGTTCTTTGAGTCTAACCCGGGCGCCGCTGGACGCGGTGTCAACGGCGGTGGGGCGAACGAAAGCACAGCACATCTGTTGGGTGATGATGGTCTCGGGGACACGGGTGCTGCGGCCGAGTTGGAAGACCGTTTCTTCGCGTACGAAGTGCACTTGAACAAACAGGCGTTCTTGCAACAGTTTCAGTACGGTGTGTTCTACGCCTATTTGAAGCTAAAGGAGCAGGAGATCCGGAGCTTGACGTGGATTGCGGAGTGCATTGCGCAGAACGCAAGGAACAGGATACAGGACTATATCCCTACGTTCTGAGCTCATGTATGCATGTCGAACGTCTCCGCTCTGGATGTGCGGGAATACACTTAATTGATACCAGCTAAATCCTATAGACGTGATATACATGAAATGCTACTAGGTCATTACTACAGCTATAGAGAAGATGTACAACATTGACGTGTTTGATGGCGTACAAGCTCGACGGCACTCAATCTGTCTGCGTGCTGCTCACTGCTCGAGGAAATCCCCCATTTCTGGCTGCCTGGTGTCCGGGTGATTTTGATACACCTCGTCCACCGAGTGCTGTTCATGGCTCTGCGGAAGAATCTCCTGAGGGTTCTTGTCACGACTTGGTGCCCTGGTTGACTCGCGGCTCTTTTCCTTGGTCTTCTCCGGACTCGTATCACGGCTCAGTGGCAGCGACAGTTTCTTCCCGAACGACGCGACCTTCGGCAGTTTCGCCTTCAGCCTGTGAAACGCGCTCCTGCCGGCCTTCGAGTCCTGCGACGTCTGCGAGTGCGTGGAGAACTGCGAGCGCGCGTCCACGAATGACGACTCGGACTCCGTTGAGGGCGTCGGCGGCCCAGACGTGCTCTCGGCCGAGCTCTCTGGCGACACCCCCGCCTTCTCCGCGCCACCCTGCGCGTCGACGACCTCCGTGGCCTTACCGTAAGTGTCCGCGCCTGCAGCAGCGACGGGGGGCATCGCAGCTTCTATGGGCTGTGGGTGAGGCTGCGGCGGCACTTCCGACGCCTGTCCTGCTTCTACGGTGGTCGGCTGTGCTTCCTCCCATTGGCCGGCCTCCTCGATTTGCTCAGATGCTCGAGCACCCTCTTCTTCAGGCGTTTCGGGCTTCTCAGCTTTCTGGGAGGTCGACGCATCACCCGCATCGGGCCGCTCCTGGGCGTCCCCCGCCTTCTGGGCAGCCTCCGGTTGCGTCTGCCCATCAGTCTCCTCCGCCTTGCCATGTGAATGCCGCACTCCATCAACCTCATCCTCGCCCTCCATCCCGAGCCCGATCCGCTTGCGCTCCCCGCGAAGCCACCTTTCCCGGCGCTCCTTGCGGTTCTCCATCCACGGTCCCGCATTGCTCAGCCTGCATCCGCCAACCTCGGCACACGTGCAGGTACCGCCGAGGCTCTCAGGTAGGTTCTCTGCATCAATCTGCTCAAGAAGCACGTCCTTGTAGTCCGTACCGAGGATGGCGATCTTGGAGAGCGTCTCCTTTGCGAGCCATGGTTTGATGAAGCCCCAGATTGTCGTGAAGGATGAGGGCGCGTTGATGATCGCGAGCTGCGCCATGCTGCCCATAGCTAACGCGTGAGCACATGTAGTGCGTAAGCAGAGCGGAGGACGCACGTCTCGGGGAAGTAATCCTGCGAGATTTGAAACGAGTCCCGCGCAAGATTTTTCATCTGCCAGAACTGACTCAGGCCAAAGCCCTTCAGGTCCACAATGACGAACGTGCCGTCGATTTGACGGTTAGCCGCGCGGGCGGACGCAGGGAGAACCTCGCGCGTAAGCGACTCGGCATTGACGACGATTGTACGCCAGAACCTCTCGGGCGTAATGTGCTTGTAGAGCTCCGGCATATTGATGCCGCCGAAATGGTGGATGTTGAGTGGTCGTCCCTTCTTGTCTGTTTTATGAAACCAGAGCGGCCAGCACTGGAACACCTTCTCCCGTTCGGGATACTACGTGAGGAGTCAGCGGAGTTCAAGGTAGCCCGGTACATATGGCAATTCCAGTGCGGCGTCTTTGCCAGACTAGTGCGACGGGTACCCGTTCAATTGATACACGCGGTGGCACGGCGGCAGGGCACGATCACAATCAATGGCGGGATTGAGAATTAATACGCTTGTCGCCGACATTTAGCTCATGTTATCGTTGTTTAGTACAGCCTAGTGCTGGTAAGGATATAGGACATAGAGCGTAGCGTCTCGCACTGGCGCATATCCTTTTCCTCTGTGTTCCCGATGTACACAACCCGGATGCGATTGAGTTGTAGGATATGCGCCCGAGCGGCCGCAGGTGGTGCGCGCCGCGGCTTTTCACCACGAACCTCAATACACTTGGGCACACATGCTCTCCTGCCGCGAACACTGCCTCGAAGGTGGGAGAATGCGGACGTACATCATAGGGATCGAGGTTGCGGTAGAGCTCGTCAATGCCGACGCCTTCAACGGTCTTGCGCCAGTGCTGACAATTGGCCCACATGGTCGTTGCGGTCTTCAAATCGAACTGTCGCGCGCGGAGGAACCGCCTATGGCAGAAATGTGAGATCAAGAAGAGCACAAAGTAGCCAGGCATACAGGAGAATGGCATCGTCTGTGCCAATGGTATCGCCCTCATGAATGAGGTCCTGGAGCTGGAGCTGTTCGCGGAACTGCTTCAGGATTCCATCTGGCTTGTCCTTCAAGCTGGGCGGGGACATGACTGGGTATCTTACAAGTGACAAGAACGCGGATTACACAAACAAGTACACGGCCCTCGGGGAGCGCGCCTGCTGTAATGATGTCATGATGCGCCTCTTTGTAGCTTATGATGACCGTCTGGCGCAGAGTCATACTTGTTTCCGATATGGTGTAACGGCTAACATTACCGCCTTTCATGTCAGACGAAGCGTTGCGTCGCGGTAGCTCGGGGTTCGACTCCCCGTATCGGAGTCCACCTTTTTATTTTTGTCGAGACACTCATGATAGCGAATACCAGTCAAATGTTTCACGAGAGGCATCACGCCGCATGGACCTATCAAGTTGTATTTCCCAGTATTGTGGTTCAGCATGGTGTTCATTATCGTACGTAATGTACACGCGAATTGAGCGTGAAACCTCACTCTACCAGAGGCCATGGGCGTGCTCGTTATAATCCTATAGGAAAAGAGATAGCACTGACACAGACGTGGTGGTCCAACATGACTGTAAGAAGAACGCGGACAAACACTTCCGCGCCTACTTCTTTTTCACCGACTTGATTCTGACCCGTTCCTCACCGACGAAAATACCCTGTACGGTGGTTTCAGTTCACTACGCAAGCGTGACGCGACATTCGCCCGACACATACCTTGCCCTTGTACGGCTCTGGTGGTCTCCACTTCCTGACCTTTGCTGCGAACAACCCGAGCAGATGCTTGTCTGTGCAGCTCAGTACGATCTTCGTCGGCGCAGGCACCTCAGCCTTGATGTGATCCGGCACCGACACGAACACTGGGTGCGAGAACCCCAGCTTCATGTTCAGCCGCTGCCCGCTGCGGCCGTCGCCGGGCCCGCGTGGATCTTCCTCCAGTGCCGCACGGTAACCCACTCCGACCAGGTAGAGCGGCACGGTGAAGCCCTCCGTCATGCCCACGATGGCGTTGTGGATGAGCGTGCGGGTGAGCCCCCACATTGAGCGCTGCTTCTTCTCCTTGGGCTCCTCCACAGCCAAGGCGACTGTGTTTGGGTCCGTGAACGTAAGTTGCATGTAAGGCTGTAGAGGTACTGCAGTCGTCCCGAGAGGACCTTGTACAGAGAGTGCAGTTGGTGTCGGCGTCAGCGTCACGCCCGTCGGAAAGCGTATTGGTGTTTTCCCAATATTAGAGACGTATGCCGCGGACGACGATGCTGAGGAGCTGAAACATCGGACGGCATGGCGAATATGGTGCCGCAGGATCATGGCAGCTGCAGAGATTTTGCTGTCATCGCGCCCATACAATCGCCGTGACAAAGCGCGTGACGCACGCGATGCGTCACACCAGTCGATCATTTCTTACGATCGTGTCGCGCGGAACTCGAGATCGAATACCAGCATCCTGTGACTCTACTAAATGTGCATTGCATACAAGACGCGATGCTACAAATGTGAAAAATACAAGTGTATTTGATCCCTTGCGCATCACTCTATGACAACGATGCACCAACGAGCGTCGGAGCAAGGCACACGCCATCCTTTGTACGAATCTTGTAGACACTCTTGGTCGTAGGGTTGACCCATGCTGCTTCTTTCGTCTCAAGCGTTATAAATCCTTAGAAAGCACAGTATGATCATGAATGTAGGTCATGATTCCCTGCAAAGTTGGACATACCGGGCTGGATGGTTTCGAAGATTTTCTTCTTTGGGTTTAGTTGAGAAAGTGGTGTGGCATCTATGAAGGGCTTAATAAGTGGGTGCGTAGAACGGCAGACATAATACAAGTCTCACTCTCAAAGTCAGGACCATCGAAGTACACTCGTTCACCAGGTTTTGAGTTCAGCGGAGGCTGAATCAGTTCGATACCGCCCTCCTTGCCATCTTTAGAGGTGGCCTGCATGCAGAGGGCTCGTATTGTAAGCCAAGAGTGTGGCGAGTTGCAACACTCACGCATAAGACCATGGCGAAACTCTTCACTCCACGCATATTTGCCGGCTTCAGATTGCACTATGGCCATCGCCGTGAATACACGGGTGTTCGCCGTTCAAGACGAGACACTGAAGACTCACAACGCCCACAAGGTATTTATCCCGCATCTCCTCGATGGGAATATAGTGCACCAGTCCTGAGACGACTGTTCGTGGGCCTGTCTCCTCACCGAAGTCGATTTGCTACCAGGTCATCGGTTACTCCAGATTGCTCGGCCGCCAAATGGATGGACATACCTCGACATAGAGACCATCCGCATCTGGGTGTTTCTCAACTGGGCAAACCGTCAATAGGGATCCAGACGTCACACGAGCGTTCAATTGGCATACTGTGGACAATATGGCCGACGCGCAGGTCTATCATGGATGGAACAGGCTCCCCAGCTCCTTCATCCACCGCAGCTGCCTTGCCACCACCGCTGGCAGCCTTCTTCTTTCCGCCCTCTGCTGCCTCGGGTGTCTTCTTCTCCTTCTCTTTCTTCTCCTTCTTGGGTGCCTTCGCCTCGGCCTTGGATGCCTCCGCGCTGTTCTCCACTACTGCTGGCGCATCCTTGCCCTTCTTCCCCTTGCCAGCAGCGGGGGCTGACGACGTCTCAGCGACAGCGTTGGCGGCGGGAGCCTTTTCTTTCTTTTTCGGTGGGTCCGCTTTACGCTCGATTGTTGGTGCGTTTTCGAGGTCAAATGTGACAGTGGAGAATGCTGGCGCAAGACTTAGGGCAGATTTGCGGACTTCAGGACGCGATTGAATATGGTCGAAGTAGCGTGTCAAGGCAGGGTACGTGTAGTATTGTGCAGGTTGCAACTGGGACTGCGGGCGAAGGGTTCAATTCAGTCCCAAGTGCGATGAATAATCAAACACTCACGAAGATGGGGTGAAGAGTGCCATACAATGCAGTATCTGCTGCCGTCGGGTAATTACTGACAGCGTAGGTGCGGGGCGTCAGCTGGGCCTCCAGATCCTACCAAGCACCGTCAAACACCGGTCAGCAAAAGTCGGAATGATTGCGTACCTTCAGGTTCTGCGGCTTGACAATATCGCCCTGCGAGATCTTCTCAATCCACTCCGCTACCTCAGTCTTATCCTTTTCGGACTTCCCGAAGTCTGTGCTGCCGTCGGACGTAGCCTGAGCCACTAGATCGCGAAGAGGTGAGGGCAGCTTCTGCACCACCGCTGTAGATGCCATCGTTCTAGTCAGTATGATCAAGGAAAGATGGAACCTGGATCTATGCAGCAAAACCCGAGTCAAGGAAATCATAACGGGACGATCTCACGTGCTGCCCGCGACGCGAATATAATACGCGTCTTCGATCACGTAGATGCGCGTCTCAGGCCCGAAGTCTTACTCCAACTACCACGACCGGTCTCACATATTCTAAAATCCGTACACTGATGCATTGTCATACACGAAGAGCTGCTGTAAGATACAGACGTAACGTTGACGTTAGCGACTGCATATGAGATGATATGTGCTCATGCGAATCATCTATTCGAGTGCGTAGGTCGTTGCTGCGAGTATATCGTCCGTCCTGGTGCGTCCGTCATACTACCTCCTCTCATCCCCCCGAATAGGACCCGATGGTCATCCAAATAGCCACTCGCAGGCCCTGTATAGTGTCCTGGCATCCATGTGCCTTCATGGCGCAAATTAGGATTTGGAGGGTGTTCGGCAGCGTAAGATGCCCGTGGAGGAGGGACGGCTGGAGGCAGCATCGCCCCGTGAGATGCAGATTCTGCGCCGTTAGTGCGATGCACGCCGTTCATTGAAGCGGATTCTTGCGCATCTGACCCACGCGTTGACCGGCTGCGGACCCGCACGCTGCTGGTCCTGGTAACAGATGCAGCGTGAGCACTGACGCTCCGGCTCTCGCTAGCCCCTTCCTCGCCGTTCTGTGCGGTTTGGCTATATCTACCCCTATTGTCGCGCTGTCGTCTGGGGTTGCTACTGCTCGTACTGGCAGTGCCATTTGGCTTTTCCTGGCCGTTCGACTGTCGAGCTCTAGTTCTTGATTTCGCCGCCGTCGCTTCCAGAAAGGCTTGTTGTGTAGAGGGGTCAGGCGGGGGGATTGGAAGTGCGACGGGCGGTGGCGGTGCTATTGCTGGGTCATCATCTGCCAGTTCCTTCTCTCGAGCTGCTCTTAGTTGTAATGCATGTGTGAGGGTTGTGGGTGCGGGTATCATGTCTGAAAGGCACAAATGTCAGTCGCGGTTGAAAGTGGAATGCAGGAGACATACCTTGAAGAAATTTGAACTGAGGGTATGTTTTTGTTACGGATGCTACGATGTGTGAGATGAGTAAACGAGTGGCGACAAAACGTGGACTGATGGACCTACCGACATCGCGGTAGTTCACTATAGAATGTTTCTGCGCACCGGCGGCACGCTCGCTTGCCTGCGCAAGGCGCTTCACAAACTCTTCCTAGCAATCCGCAGACGGTCCATGAGTTTCCTGTGCAGATGGGAGTGAGACTTACTGTGGCTACGGACAGCGCGAAAAGGGCCTCTTTTGACATATGCCCTCCGCTTCCTACAGCATGGACCACCAGTTATGAGGTTCCGCACATACACTCACCAGTGCTGAACAAGAGGGAGACAAGACGCACCATCCGCATGAAGGATATTTTCGACTCGTGTGTGTGGGATGAGTGTATGCCCTGGAAGGCGCTCTCCAGTCCGCCGTGGACGTGTTTTGCTTGAGGAGGGGCTACCATTGGGGACAATATTATCGTCTTCGTCAAGGTCCGAGTCCAGCTGATCGACCTCTTCCTCGTCATCCATGTCCATGTCGGCGTCTGGGTGTGGCGTATGTGAGGCCAAGGGGTGTGTAGAAGGCATTGCCATGGAGAACGGTTACAGGGCAGGGCAGCGCCGACACAAGCAAGCACGAGCAGAGACCAGCGAGGCAGGGAGCGCTGTGGCGCAGGTCGAGTGAAACGAACAAAAGAAGGGGGCTTGCGAAGAAGTAACGCCTGCCCGGTCACGGTACTGGGCTGCCGCTGGCGTCAAGCATGGTTTGGGCCACTGTGCCGGCGGAGGCACACTAATATCATTAACCTTTATGCCCAACAACCCCTCCTCAGCTGAAGTACACAAGAGTGCAAGAGTACACGAAGGGGGACGCTTTCTTGGACACACCAAGCTTCGGAAAAACTCAGTGTAGTGGCGGGCAGAGACATATCGCACTGAACGGCATCGAGCAGAGAAAACAAATGATAGCGTTACATTAATGAGAGTGGTGATCATGATACATAGTGTACTATGAATACAGTGTCCCCTTATGATATGTGCGGCCTCGTCAATCCATGCGGAGAGAACGCTCGCCGTAAACGTTCATTCGATGGGTACTTGCACGCTAGCGGGATCTTCAGCCTTGGGCACCTTGACGGTCAGAACGCCATCTGCCAACTTCGCGGAGACACCGCTCGTGTCGATTGGTCTTGGCAAGAAGACCGTGCGCGAGAAGGAAGACGTTCCCGTGAAATAGCGTTCAGTCGACAGCTGTGTTTGTTCTGGCTGCTGCACTACGACCTTGGAGCCTGTGGAATCTCTGTCAACATGTGCTGATACTCTTTCAATAGAGGCAATCACGTACCGTCATTTGGCTCAGGCTCAGGCTTAGTGTTTGATGCCGCAGGGCTGTGAGCATCGCCGCGCCGGTTGACGACCTTACCCTCGATGGTAAGGCTTCTGCCACCGTCCCCCACTCGAACCTGAATGTTTTCCTTCTTAACCCCCGGAAGTTCAGCCTCAATCACGTAGTGATTGCCTTCTTCAGAGACGTCGATGACGGGCTGCAGCATGGCCGGTGTGTGGAAGAAAGGTTCGTCTAGGAGCGAGCGGTTGACCTGACCGAACGGGGCTCGGCGACCTAGCGGCTCCTCAAGCACGCGAAAGAGAGGGCGCAGCTCGCGAAAGAAGTGACGAGCAAGAGACATTGTGAATAGACAAAGTTGGTGGTTGGTAGTTGCAAGACAGGTCGTCTGACAAAGATATTGAACATTTCTGATTTTCTTCCAGGTTTTTATAGCCTAGGGAAGGTGCCGGCTGAATGAGAGCGAGAACAGTCCAGAAGACCCATGACGAAAGAGACAACGAAATGTAGAGCCGGTGGAAGGAGCGAGGATGTTCGAAGGACTCGGCGAAGAGCAAGTGGCGGGTCTAGCAAACCCTGGTGGGTTACGTTCTGGAAGGCCCGGGAAACGCCGAGGCGATTCTCACCCTTTTGACCCGCCCCTGGGCTCCGCGCAACAAGCGCCCCCGCTCCATCGAGTGTCAAAATACAGCGTGCAGAACAAAATCGCGAATCAAGCTGATTGAAGAGGAAACCATAGCATTACAAATGTATATCGCATCCTGATTGACACACATTAACATAGCAGTGAAACTAATAACCTATAAACCAATGAGAGCAAACAAGCGAGATTGACAACGACAAAACATTAGCCTGGGGCTGCTAGGCATCGGACAGTTTACAGTACAGCGTGTAAGACGACTGAAGTTGGAGCAACGTTACTTATAGGTGTTGGTATAAGCTCGTTTATGCTGCGGATCATTTTGCGGCCAGAAAGGAAATTCCAAAACACCTTTGTAGGTTGATTAGCTGACAGCCGTAATATGCATCACAGCATAACGTGCTACCAATATTACTGACCTTGAAATTAGCATTTTCAGAGACAGCAGTATGCAGCCGAGGTATGAAAGCGCGAGGATGGGACAACGTTCAAGAGCCACCCGGCCATTCCACGACCCATTGCGCGGACACGATGTGTTCTTGATCATCATCGTCCTCGAACTTCAGTTTGTACGTTCTCGATGATGGACCCGTCTATCGGCAAGCGTTAATAGCTATTAAACGATATCTAGTAGAAGATAGACACACTCTGCCAGCAGGCTGCATATCACTTGGGCTAGCGATAACTTCAGCACGATAGAAGCAACTAGTATCCGGATAGAGCGCCATCACAGTTGAACCTGCTGAGAACTCCGGATATGCATTCAAGTGTGTGGCGCTCTCCGGCGGAGCGTTTGGATCGGGAAGCGGTATGATGGCACGCAGCGTGGTATTGTAACACCTACGCTGAGAGTGTCAGTACATGTACAACAAGCTATTTGAAATACTTACTGGCCGGGTTGACCGTCTTCCTGTGGCTCAGGGTCTTGAACTTCATAGCTGAAGGTTGTGTAAGTTACGGTGGTATTCTGGAGGAATCACATGTACCGATTCTTATCCTGATTAATGCACTTTGTGACGACGGCAAGGATCCATTCCTCATCCTTGCCACCGGTAGCGCTATCCACAGCCTTGCTCGAGTTCTGTGGAGGGTGGAATGCCACCTTTCGCCCTTCTTGTAAAGGAAGCTGCTTGGAAAGAGCCTCTCTTCGGGCTTTCGGCTCGCGTGAAAAGGGGATTGCCGTCTGCGGTCCGACTGAATTGCGCGGAGGGAGCGTTATTGACATAGCACGAGTGGCGGCAGGTGGGGCGGCAGGAGCAGGAACAGGCACAGGGGCGGGAGAGTGCGCACGGGGTCTTTTGTTTCGTTTTTCTAAAACACGAATTAGGTATTGATGATGGACCATGATGCATATCGCTCACCGGGAGGCACTGCCTCCGATGCTTGGCGGAGAGCAATGAGGATGCCGAGATGCTCAATTGTATCGTCAATCAACCTATGATAATTTTAGATTCTCATATTTTCGAAGGTGTAACGTCATCCATACCCGACTTCGCGTTCAGATGTTGTCTTGATCTCAGTGAGACCCGAAGTGAGTTTCTTGTATATGCTCTTCACGCTTTCATATCCTTCGGCGGGCAGATCATCGTCAGTCGGCCATGCAGAGAGAAGTCTGTTGACTCTGCCAATTGTGTCTGCGGTAGCTGCAGTTCTGTACGTCTTCGAGAGCCTTCCTAGCGAGGCCGCTGCGTGCGACCAGTACTCTACCTCTGTGGCGCGTCACACCGGTTAGATCGCGCGAGTAAAGGACTGAAATTTAGTATGGGTTACCTTCTGAAGACGCGGGACGTTTTGAAGCGCCACGCCTGCCGGACATCTTCGAATGCAATATGCTACGCTATGCAACCTGGTAGACGATGGTCAAGAACAAGGACAAACGCGGTATGAGCGACTACGATCCCGATGGATCTGTCTGATGGCACGTGGCGATACAATCTCAGCGAGCTTCTCCATGTTTAATCCCCGTCACCGAAGAACAGCTTGACCGGGAACGAGATAGGCGCATTGATAGCTCGGGATATTTCTAGTAGCATGGTCTCAATATCTCAAACTTTACGATGCGTATTTGATCAGGTAGGGAACAGTTAAGTGCGCGATTTGTACAAGTTTTACAATTCTACGATTCTAATCTGAATCAATGTTAGCAGTGACATCATTTCGCCAAGGGATCGCCTTTCGCAGCGGACGGCGCAAGTTTTCGGAGCGACACGTCGTATACCACTGAGTGGAATAGTGAGCGACAGTCGTAGATTGAAGCAGAGATCAATCAACCTTCTTCAATTTTCTTGATATCATATTTTAAGCTGTCATATCTGCGTCTGAGTGTGTCATTCTTCAAATTCAGCTGAGGAGCAGGAATTCAGACAATATCAGTGTCAAAAAATATCGCACACAAACCATAGAGAAACCAGCGAAGATGTCTTTTACAAAGACTGAGATCCTTATGGGTTGCTCGTAGTCTCCAAGCGTCACAGCGTTAACGGCCAAACGAGACTGTTATTGTCACGGAAAGGTCAGCCGCGTGTTGCGATGTCAATGTGTACATACCAGTTCGTTGACCAAGGATATGAGAGCATGGAGATAATCTTCGACGCTTAAGGAAAATCTATCTTGCCATTCTTCCTTGACTGGAGATTGATCTGTTAACATCCGGTTTTGCAGAAGGAATCGATGCAAAACGTACTCCCTAGAACCTCAGCGGAGCGAGGTAGTGTAAGCAGCGCGCCGCTCTTGAGGAATTCGATCAATGTCGAGGCAAACACAGCGTTGCGCAATGAAATAGACCACATGTCCTTCCAACGCCAGAATTGGTTCGGGGGGATCAACTCAGATAGTGCAGCCGTAATATCACGACAGCTCTCTAGCACGGGTACAGCATTATCCAGTAATGCGGGAACTGGCTGATGTTGAGTATGTTTCACATATCAAAACATTTGAGGATTTTCCCGCCTACTTTTATCAGTTGGAGTCGAATGAATTTTGTTGAGCATTCCGTTAATAGTACGCGTTTTCTTGTCAAATTCGGTCACTTGGTCTTTGATTTTCTGGGAAGCAATCGGGGAGTGGTTTCAAGCCGCCCCACGTCGAAAAACGAGCTTTTGGCTACTTCTCTGAGTTCAGCGTCTTTGTCAAGGAGGTCATTGATGTACTCCAGATTGTGTGGGTCCATGATGGTGGTATGCAAGGGGGATAGCGTGACATTATCACTGTGACAGGCGCGACAATTATGCAAGGCGCCCAGTCGCGCGCGCCGGGTGGCCCTACCAGTGGCTTCATCTTGTTTCACTAGGAGGCTCAGGACCGCGTTCCTGTCGCGCGTTCTCCTCTCCTCGTTTCGTCTGTGCTTACGCGAATTTTGCCGTTGCTGGATTTTGTGAAATACTGACCTACGCGTCATCAGCTAGACGTTTACTAGTGTCGGGACATCTCCTTCCAGAGCTGTGACGGAATTTCGCCAGTTGCTACAGCTAGCCCTCCTATGGCCTTCTCGACCAGTCAGGAGAAGAAAGTCCAAGCGGAACTCAAACAGCTGCGCGACACTCCTGTCGCTACACCGTCGGAGACCACTCTTTCTCTCCTCACCGACTATCTTCTCGGCCCACCCCAGAAACAGGCGGAGGATACTCCGAAACAACATTTCGAGCACTGGTTTTGCTCTCGTGCAAACGATATCGTGGTCGAGACCGCCAAGTTCCTAGTCCGTCTGCATGCTTACAACAGTGTGAGGGTGAAGACGTGGAGGAAGGAGTTTACCACATGTATGTCGCGGTGCTGCGAATGTGTGAGGGCATTCCAGGAGTCAAAAAGTTTGACGAGGCAGACGTGAGCAGCCTCGTTCTTGCCACTACCAGTCTCGTCTGACGCATATAATTAGATATTTTGGTGCTTTCTCTGACGACATACTAAAGGGATTCTACACCAGTTTTGACAATTGGGAGCTGGAGATGGTCCTTTCTAGTCTCTCCGCGGCGAATTTGTCTCCTGAATCTATGTCCGACGCTGGCCATACATTGTCAAAGGCACCTCCGCCTGTCGTATACCACATATTCTACAACCTGCACATATTGCATGATTCGCGTATCATTCGCATCATTCAGTCTTGCCCTCCAAAACAACCCATAACCGCTTGGCCTTCTGACTATCCACCCCCGGGATTATTCTTTGCGCTTTCACATAAGCAAGAGGACGTTCGTGGATGGGCTCGCGGTCAACTTAATTTACATACCACCATGCCTATGCTCCAAAAGACGTTTTCACCCGTATACTGCAATGTCCTCAAAGCTGTCACCAACCTGATATCTACGCCAACTGACGCGAATACCAGTAAGGCGAATACATTTCCGCTCACGCAAGATGTGTCAACCTTGTGGTCGAGCTATGCGTCGACTCTTCGTTTTGTTCCCGAAGACTTCCTGCACAAAGCAGGTAGCGCCAACGTAGATATACGCCATCTTGTTATCAGTCACCTGCATGATACAGCCAATCGTTCGTCATTCTCAGTCCTATGGTTGTGCGATGACTGATTTACCCGACAGATTTTGCCGAGGTCTTGAAAAGCTTTCTCTTGATTCTAAATAGAATTGGATCAACGGTATGGGAAGGCGAGGGTCCTGAGTATCCTCAAGTCGTGTTCAATTCCATCAAGGACAATCCTCGTTATCTCGATGCATTACAAGGCCTTAGCGCCGTGCGGAGGGACAACTGGATGCTCAGCTGGATGGAGACGTACGTCAAGAGTATTGGAGGAACCCCTGCCTTCAGGGACACCCTCCCAGTTGTCATGCATTTTCTCTGCGAGGAATTGCAGCACGAACGGTTTGCAGAGTTGCGCCCAGCTGCTATTTCCATGGCCGCTAGAGTGAGCATATGCGATCTGTCTGCATACAGTCGACTCACGGCTCGTCTACCAGCTGCTCCTCGCGGTGTTCCATCAAGCAGAGAAAGAAGTCTCCACATACCAGCACAGTCTTGTTTGGGAAGCCATGGCTGTCCACGCTAGCATGTTCATTTCCATTGCCTTCGGTCGCGCATATACGGATGAGAAATGGACGGAGGCTCGAGCTCATATGCGGAAGCTCATCCGTCACTCCCTTGCAAATGATATAAGAGATATGTTGACCACCATTTCAATTCTCTCTGGCTCGATACCATGGCCGGAACAACCGCTATCTCTCACAATCCGCGAGGAGATTTGGAGGAGGATCTATAGCAGCATACAGCCTGGTGACTCGGGCGCGATTTCTCTAGTGGTGACGATCTTGGCCGCGGTTGCCCATGTCGATGAACTGAAGGAGGCGGCATTCGTCGATCGCATAGCAAGCTCGAAGCAAGACGTCGCTTACAAGAACCTGCTTGGTAGCGTCAACCGTGCACTTGGGACCGTCCGCGATGGTTTCGGTGATGCAGTAACGCGGTATCTTGATTTAAGTGCGCCATCCGTCGTCGCCGAGCTCTTCCGTCGGCCAGACGTTGCCAAGAGTGTCATGATTCTCATGCTATCGCCGGTCGAAACCCTGCAGGAGACTGCCCAAGCTCTCGCCGGGACCGCATTCGATGTCGAAGTTCGTATGGATTGCTTCCGTGCACTAATAGAGCGGTTCCCAGAGCCTGCACTAGCGGGTGTCTTCAGCTTTCTAGACACGTACACCCATTTTGCGCAGATGATTCCAGAGGCATGCAGTCTCTCGAAGGCGTTAGCTCGTTGCTTGACAGACATCATCGATGTTCTCTGCTCAAGTCCAGATGGTTTTCTGCTCAACCAGCCATTCCTGAAGGATGGGCCTGGTGCAGCCATTCCTGCGCAATTACCCCGGTGGTGGTACCTTATGACGAAGGCTCTCTCCGTCATCTTCCTCAAGACGCCAAAGTGGGCTCTATACTTCGACAATGCAGAGATGGTCCTGTGGATGCGTGACGCCTTAATGTTTGGTCGAGACATGCTGGCGCAAAGGAGGGTCATTGAGTCTGCTGCATTGGCAGATTCGCGGCAGTCACAAGATGGGACAGAGCGCAAGCTGTCACGGGTGGGGAAGAAGATGGTCGATGACTTGCAGCCAGTATTGTTCGAGGCGACGCGATGGCTACGTCTAACAGATGAAGAGCTTCTCCACCAGTCTTTCTCCCTTCTCGAGTCTCTTTTGTCGTGTTTCAAAGATAACCAGGTCCGCCCAAGGCCAGAGTCTCTGCAGAAGTTGCAGAAGCACATCGACGATGCTCGGAAGGGTGACCCTTCTCGACCCCAGACGAGGCTTGATGCCCCTCGGTTGTCGCGCTTGCAGGACGCTGTCAGTGCCTTTGATGAAGACGACGAGATCCAGATAATCTCTCACCGACTCCCGGAAAAGGCCAAGGACAAGTCCAGCAAGCGCAAAGCGAATGATACCAAGATTAGGCCGCTTGCGGGCCCCAGTTCTACCCGGAAAGTATCCGTTGTCGATCAACTCAAGGCGTCTGCGAAAACCAAACCATCAACCAAGGCGCACATCGCGAAATATCTCACGGCCGAAGAAGAGATGAAGCTCGAAGCAGATGTACCGCAACCTCGTTTCAGTAGAGCTGCGAAGCCTGCGCCAGCCGCGTTGTTGCGCGGAGATCGCCCGGAAGCTGTGAAGAAGGAAGAGAGCGCATCTCTCAAGTCTGCATCTTCTGCGGCAGCATCGAGCAGCGAAAGTGACTCTAGCGACGAAGAAGAAGAGAAGGCTGGTTTGGCGTCGCTGTCAAAAATGCAGCGAACTCCCGTTATCAAGAAACCTGCCGGACGTCGACAAGTAATGCGACTTGATGTACCCACGACCATCCGTAACCCAGCTATCGAGCGGATGAACAAGCGCGAAGATGCTCGCAGGACTCAATTACGGCTCAAGCCAGACATTTCCGGTCTTCATCGGATGTTATTGACGTGGGATTATGACTATAGCGGCCCCAGCCCTCCTGGTGATTCTATCAGATTAATGGCCGTCCCTGACAGGTTCAAAGATGTTCAGCATTTTCGAAGTGTTTTTGAACCTATGTTGTTATTAGAATGTTGGGCGCAACTCGTCGAGTCTAAGGAAGTAGCTCTGGAGACTTACGATTGCCGGATCGCAAGTCGCCAATTCGTCGATGACTGGATCGAATTGGACATCTCGATTTCTGAATCCGTAAAGAAAGACTGGAATCTTTCCGATGCCGACGTCGTCGTTCTACGACATCCGTCGTCCAGAAAATGCATCCTAGGGAAGACCCAGAGCTACCGCGCCACTCCCTTCGGTATCCAGGCTCTGATTCGATGTGTTGCTCGCAACGATCCTGGTCTACAGGCGAACTCAATCTGGAGATTGAGCAAGGTCGTCAGGTGCGCTACAAATATCCTAACGTTTTGCTGCAGCTCACTACAAACTTAGTCTGACGACCCTACACCGAGAGTATGCTGCGTTGATGGCGTTGCCTTACTATGATATGCTCGATAGCATCCTGCAAGCACGACTAACAAGGCCAGGGGACATCGCAATGCCTGAAGTTCAGAGAACGATGAGCACTTACAATGTCAATGAACCACAAGCTAGAGCTGTCTTATATTCACTCAAAGCAGATGGGTTTGCCCTCGTCCAAGGGTGAGCAACATGTCTATGCATGTGCGATGATTGACTCACTTTGGGACAGCCCTCCGGGAACGGGGAAAACATCCACCATTTGCGGCCTGGTTCACGCCTTTTTGTCAAATCGTCCCAAGCCCGTCACCACCATCCATGCTGGGAGAACTACAGGTCCTGCAGATAGGGCGCCTGTGAAGAAGGTCCTCCTCTGTGCTCCGAGCAATGCTGCCATTGACGAGATCGCCCACCGTCTCAAAGAGGGTATTTCTGGAGCGGGACGGCGCATGGTGTCTCCCAAAGTCGTCCGCATTGGCAACGTCAACAGCATGAATGTTAGTGTCAGGGACATATCATTGGAGCAACTCATCGAGCAGAAACTCAATGCGGATCCGGCTTTGGGCAGTTCTACCAAGGACTCCGGCAGCGAGATCGTACGTCTCAGAGCTGAGATCGAATCCGTCAAGAAGCTTCGGCAGCAAAAAATTGAGGAGATCACGAACGTCCACGACAACACGGCTAGAACTATCGCGCTGGAAGAGGACATTAAGAGGCTGAACAAGCAGAGAGTTATGTTGACCCACCAGTTCGACAAGTTGAAGGATCAACAGAAATCGGACTCACGCACTATGGATGCAACACGTCGCAAGTTCCGAACAGAAGTGCTCATGGAAGCCGACGTCATCTGCAGTACATTATCTGGCGCTGCGTATGAATACCTCGAACAGTTCGACTTCGAGTTGATCATAATCGACGAGGCCGCCCAGGCGATAGAGTTAAGCTCATTAATCCCGTTGAAGTACCGCTGCGGTCGCTGTGTCTTGGTTGGAGGTATTGTACACACCTCTTCGTGAACCTTACGTGTTGCTCGACATTGACACTAGACTAGATCCACAACAGCTGCCTCCCACTGTCAAGTCTCAGGAGGTGAGTTCTGGTCTTCGTCTCACGATCTTCGCCTTTGACTTGAGGCAACTAGGCATGCAACTTCGGCTACAATCAATCACTCTTCGTACGGTTACAACGTCAGTGCCCGGACGCTGTCCACCTTCTTAGGTATAGTCGTTCCTGCAATTCTCTATATCGCTTCTCACGCGTCCCAGCATCCAATATCGTATGCACCCAGACATCAGTCAAGTGCCAAGCCGCTTATTTTACGGCGGACGACTGGAAGATGGACCTGGTATGGTCGATAAGACCGCAAGACCGTGGCATTCTCAGGAGAAGTTGGGCACATACCGTTTCTTCAACGTCAACAATGGTGTAGAAGAGATCGGAGGCGGTAACAGCCATTCGTACGTGAATCGTGCTGAATGTCAAATAGCTGTCGCCCTGTACAACCGGCTGCGTCGCGAGTTTACGACATTTGACTTTGACTTCAAGGTTGGCGTCATTTCCATGTATCGGGGACAAATTTTCGAGATGCGGCGAGCATTCGAGAAAATGTTCGGTCAAACCATCTCGGGTACCGTGGACTTCAACACTGTTGATGGTTTCCAGGGTCAGGAGAAAGATGTCATCATCTTGTCATGCGTAAGAGCTGGTCCAGGTGTCCAAAGCGTCGGATTCTTGAAGGGTAAGATACACATATTGTGGCTGCAGCCGAAGACTAACTCCCGATTTTCTGAGTGCAGATATAAGGCGGATGAATGTAGCTCTCACACGCGCAAAGTCATCTCTGTTTGTGCTTGGGCATGCGCCTACACTAGAGCGGAGTGACGATACATGGCGAACGATTGTGTCTGACGCTAGGACGAGAAGCTGCTTATTTGATGTACGTCCTAAGCCGTTCTGTCCACTTGATTAGGATACGACCGCGCACCTTCCCCAGGTGGATGTCAGCTATTTTACAACGCCGGCCAGCAGAGCTACAGTTGCCGCACCCGCCAAACAGTCCAAGCCTCAATCCAAGCAAATGAAGCCCAACTCCAGTAAACAGGCATCCTCGAGCGCTCCACAAGTTCCACAGGGCTTGGCAACTCCTCGCGAGCTGAAAGGTTTTGGAGCTAGTAATGTTCACCACGCTAGTCCAGTCAAGGTGGAGCAATCGAATGCCTCTTCGCCCGGGGACGCCAGAGTAGGCCAAAAAAGGCCTGCGCCTGTCGAAGAGAGCTCCGAGCCAATGCCCTCTCGAGGCCCCGACCCACAAAATGACCAAGTAAAGCCAAAACCGCCGCCTAAAAAGCGTCCAAAAGGAGGCCCCAGCCTTTTCATTCCCAAAAATAAAGTGTGTGCATGTGCACGAGTTCAAGATTTCTCTAACTCGATTCATTAAACAGCAGCGTCCTCATTAATGTGCTATGTTGACTTGTGTTCGCTTTTTCGCCGTTCTGGATCTATTGCTATCTCGCACTGACCCGCATTCACGCATGCATCCATGGTAATTTATTCCTGCATCCTGCATACAACACGCCATTGGTACAGTAAGACAATAATGTAATGATATAATGTAGAATTGTGTCGCTTTTCACTGGCACTTGGCTTCGATAGGAGGCAGTTCCCACCCGGCTGGTCCAAAATGTGGTATTACCATAGAACGTCCGTCCTTTGACTTGAGTGGCTTTGAGAATGAGCAAAGAGGTTTACCCAGACTTGACAGCCAGGCAACGTTGATTGTGGTCAAACCTAATAGCCGTTTAGAATATTGAGGGGACGGCGGAAACATGACGATACGAACCCTTGATGTACACACGAGACGTACGGACGACCTCCAAGAAAACCACGTAATCTGGAGGTGGTGTGTTGGCCAATACAGACGACGGATGGATGAATACATCTTCCGCAATCCCGAGGGCCTGATAGGGGACGCCTTTTGAGGTCGTGTACTTTTCTCCCAACAAACCCGTTCGCTGAACGAGGTCTTTCCTGATTGCCACTTGATCAATGAATCCGGCTGCAATTAATTGTCGCAGAACCTTTAGCTAAAATGAGCGTTAGCATGTTTTTGTTCCTTTCAATAGCTAGACCTGCCTGAAGGTTGGTAGGCGGAGGCGGGTTTGCAACAAATCCTGCGTCCATCTCTGGAAAATTGCTTTGGACGATGTTACTGATCTGCGCACGGAGTTTGTGAATTTCCTCCATCGCCTACAGGGCATGAGTGAGTAAAGTGTATCTCTGAAGGATTGCCGGTCGTTCTTACTTTTGGCCTGACGAAATGGTCAGTGCAGAACTTGTGTCCCCCACCCGCATATTCATACGCTCCAACGACCGATAGGATCCTGAATATGTCGCTAATCGAGTCACCGAGTGAGGCGTGAAGCTAACCGAATATGTTCAGTAACAGAGACAGCAGCATGGGGCCACAAAATGACTACCTGTTGTGACTGGAAGAATGCACGTCGACGTAGTCTGCGAGTTTCCTTTGCCTTCGCCGCTTCTGTGGTTAAATGAGGAAGACTTTCGTCATCATCGTCAGACTCTTCCTCCCCTTCCACAAGCGCCTCCTCACGGAGGAATGGGTCGCCAACAGATAATGCGGATACAATAGCTATCACGTACGGAAGGCAGCCATGCTGTCGACCGCTGACCAGCATTCGCGAATACCGAGGGGACAGCGGGAATAAAGACATCGCTTTCCCAATCTCTGTGATGCTCCCGCCAAGGACCACAGAGCCCTTCGACTGAACCTTTAGAGCCCCGAGGTGCGTCAGGATTGTCTCTGCCTTACGCAGGCTGGTCCTGTCCGGTGGGGTAGGGAAGGGGAAGTTGATGACAGCGTCAATATTCATGCTCTTCATTTGTAGCACGACGCCTTCTATTGGCACGCGGAGGATCTCCGGCTTGGAGAACTGGTCAAAGTAGTGTTCGTAGAGTGCCGAAGAGTACAGCCGATAGCAGTGACCGGGGCCCGTACGTCCGGCTCGTCCAGCTCGTTGCGCCGCTGAAGCCTTGGAGATCCAGCTGACCTGGAACGCTTGTATGCCGTTGGCGACATCGTAACGTCTCTGTGAGCGACGTGAACCAATAAATATGCCAATGAAGATGAATCTGAATACGTACCTCCTTTGCGCGTCCACAATCGACGACATAGCGGATGTCCGGTATCGTCAGCGATGTCTCAGCAACATTAGTAGACACCACGACGAGTCGGGTCCCTGATGGCGGTGGACGAAAGACCTGCATTTGCTTCTCACTCGGTAGCAGAGCATAGAGCGGTACAATGTGCATAGGAACTATAAGAGTTACCATTTTAAACGTAGAGTGTACGTTGATCACTGAGGAACGCACCATCAGTTTCCTCTTTGTCGATTCCCAGTTCGTCGTCGGCATCGGAGTCAGCGTCGCTGTCAAGCGCTTCGGCGTCCTCTTCCGCGGCGGCACCATCGCGATCAATGTCGGCAGCGAGCTCGGCCTGTTCCTTCTGCACATTGCCAAGGTCAATGTCCTCCGCCTCCACATCCGCTGTCGACTCATTCAGTCGATGCATGCAACACATTCAAACTAGCAATCACCTTGCGCCGGCGCCACAGCCTTGTGCTCCTCCTCTTGCAGCGCAAACCGCTCGCTCAGCCGTTCCTGCACAGAACGCCTGGCCTTCCGCCGCTCCTCGAGCGCCTTCTTGCCGTACCGTAACTCCAGCTTGCGGCACACACCTGCGATCTCGTTCTGCCCCGTCAGGAATATCAGGACGCCGCCGGGCGGCAGCCGGGCGTGGATCTTGCTCGCCTTGCGGACGGCCTCTGTAACATAATCCGACGGCGTGCGGCGGCTGAAGTGCACTGTCACCGGGTGCTGTCGCGCGGGGACGCTGATGATTGGTGGGGCCGTTTTGAAGAGCATCTTGTTCTCCGCAAAGTCGGACACGCGCAACGTTGCAGACATGATTATGAGGCGCAGCGGCTACATCAAACCTTGTAAGATTGTGCAGGTCCGTCTCCAGATGCACAACTAACCTTCACGCCGTCCTTCCCCTCGCGCCACATGTCCTCACGCAGCTTGATGACGCGGCTGAGCACGCCGATCAGGATGTCTGTGTTCATGCTGCGCTCGTGCGCCTCGTCGATAATTATCACCGAGTACTTCGCGAGCAGGAAGTCCGTCGCGAGCTCGCGTAGCAATACACCGTCCGTCATGAACTTGATCACCGTCGACGGCGACACCGACGCGTCGTAACGGATCTGGTACGACACGCGCGATGACGGCAAGTTCAGCTCATGCGCGACACGTGCGGCCATCGACACCGCCGCGACACGCCGCGGCTGCGTCACACCGATCATCCCCGGATTCTCTGCACCCATCGCGTCAGTACAAGGTATGGACACGCGGGACAGGCGCATACACTCACCACTGTCCAGCGACCCGAAGCCCGCCTCGTACAGGAACTGCGGGACCTGCGTCGTCTTCCCGCTGCCCGTCTCTCCGCAGATGATCACAACGCTGTTCAGCAAGATCGCCTCCATGATCGGCTGCTCCTCCGCGACGATCGGGAGTAGCAGGCGCGCCGCCTCGACCTCCGATGGGCGTGTGACCGCGACAGCCTTGCGCTTTGCCGTACTCGCAGTCTCGCGCGAGCTGAGGGCGGTCTCCTGCACGTGCTTCGCGAAGGACGTCGACGGTAACTGCAGATCCTCACCGAGCGGGCCGCGCATCTCGCCAGGCTGTGTGGACTCAGTCTTGCGCTTTTTCTTGGGCGGCGGTGCGGGCTCCGCTGACAGCTCGGGTGCTATTGGCGGCTCGTCGGGCTCAACGGAGGCGACGTAGCCCTTGACGGAGCTCAGCTGCTTCAAGGCCCATTCTTTGAATCCGCCTCTTTTCCGCTTCTGAGCAGGGGGTTCTTTTGCTGGTGAGTCTTCTATCTCTTCCTCATCTGAAGCATCGCTGTCGGCCTTTGCGGAGTTGTTGCCATCCTCCTCAAATTGATCAGAATCCTCGTCATCCTCCGCGCTCTCGTGCGTGTCGTATGCCGAGTCGGAGCTGTCGAAGGAGTCGTCCGACTCGGGCCCTACCTCGGGTTCGGAAGGCCTTGCTGGAACTGCCCATGACAGCTTGCGAGACTGCACAATTGCGAATGGGACATGTCAAATCGTTGCAAAGCCGATGCGAAAATCGAAATTACCTTCGCCCGCTTTGGTTTTCGCTTGACAATTTTAGGTGCGACGACAGACCCATCTTCATGGCGCTTGAGTGCCCCGCCAATGATAGTCACCTTCGGGCCGGAGTGCTCTAGCGGCTCTGGGAGCAATGTGGTCGTGGAGAACCCGGAGTCGACCACAACTACCGGGTTCGCCCTTGAATATCCTTCCTGTTCGCGAGGAGCATGCTCTGGCTCCCCGTCGACGTCCATGCCGATAAGCTCATCCTCGTCTTCCGCATCGTCACTATCCTCCACTTGCGAGAACGGTAATTGCTGTCGCTTGCGCTTGCCTCTAGCTGCCCTGCCGTCGATAACACGTCTGACCTCCTTGTCCTCAAGCCTGTCGAGCGCCTCCTGGTGTGTCGACGCCTTGCCAGTGCCAAGAGTCGCGGAGGACTGGAGCTGGAGGGTGGTGGACAGCAAAGCCTGGCTCTTCCTTGGACAATATGTCAGACAATCTTGTATACAAGTTGCGTGAGTAGAGGGAGACGTACGATAGCTTCTCGAAGAGCACAACGCGCTCTTCCTGCTTGAGTTTTTTCTCCTGCAGAGGGGATGAGATTATGATCTGGAGAAACGGAGACAACTATATCACGCACGATGTATTTATCCAGTCTCTTCTTTTTCTTGCTGTTGGCCTTCGAATTGGACTGTGCAAGGAGCTTCATGGGGAGTCAACCCTTACGCTATATGCGCCCATGGCATGACTAAGAGGACGTACCTCTTGCTTCAGTTTTTCCTTCCTGTCCAGTTCCTTCTGCTCCTGTGACTTTGGCACCACAACCTCTGCATTGGGGTCTGGCTGCTCTCCGCTTGCAGCTGCCCTGGCTTTGCGCCTCCCCTTCTTTTTATGGGAGCCGGCGGTAGACTGACGGGCCTTAGCATTGTACCTCTGCCTGTCCATTGCTGCGACGAATCCAATGAGTTTTATGGTATATCCAGAGCGGACGAGCTGAGAACGAACCTGCTAAGACGACTTGCAGCTTGGTGCACAAGCAACCAAGGTCCAAAAATCGCAAGTGCGATCTCGATTGGGCGTCACGCGATCGGAGGACTGTAGATTGGGCGTCTATTGGGCGTTTCGAGGATCTCAGACCTCAGAGCAGGCGCCGGGCCAGCGCTGGGCATTTGCCAGCCCGCGACGAACGACGACGAACGACCCGCACCGCCCAGCAGTGGTACGCTAGCTCATGCGCAGTGTCCTTAACGTCTATCATGCCCGTGGTGTTGTCGGGCCATTCTCAAAACCCGCCAAAATAGTCACGTCTACTGCCCAGCTCCTCGCGAAGCACGACAGGCCGGGTGCATCATACGGTGTCACGAGAACGCCTTCTCACAGCCATCAACTTCATCGATTTCAGTCCACGCTATCACATAAGAGGCTCTTCTCCTTAGCCTCTGCTATTGCTGCAACGACGTCTGCCTCTACCGCTATGGCCTCCCTCACACCGTCCCAACCCGCCCTCAGGTGGTCGCATTCTGCGGACGAGATCCTCTCTTTGACCAAGCAGGCCATCACCAAGCACGGCGAAGGGCTCGACAAGATTGCTGCACTCCCTAAGAAGGACTGCAATTTTGATTCAGTGCGTTGTTCGTATATATGTCCACGTCCATACTAGCATTCTACGGGAACCATGAGCTGCATGGTGTCTGGCTATGGTCGAGTGGCTGCGCCACCGACGTGCGGAAGCTCTTTGTTGCGCGACTGAGGACAAGAATGTCAGGTGCGGGCGGCAGAGGTATCTCTCTTGGCTTCACCACAGGCTGCACAATGGAAATCAAGTTCCTTTCACCTAGCTGAGGTCCTGAGCAGCCCCATTTTGGACGCCTGAGCCTAGGCCGGACAAAATCCGGCCTTGGAAAGGTCGTGTAGCCAATTGAATTGACGGCGGCATTGCCCGACCTAGGACACCCAATGGATTTTCCTGGGATGATATACAACTCCGCTAATCGCACCCTCACATATCAGCGTAGGCTAGACGTGTGCTCTAGGGGATAGCATAGAACTCGGGTTTCTGTAAAATTTCTATCAGTCAATTTCTGTTGTCTCCGCAGCGCCAGTATTGACCAACTTTGCCATATCGCAGGTGTTTGTGCGTCAAGCCTGCATGCGTTGTTGCGACTGACCCAAACTAGCATATGACTTGATAGCTTGCTCTCGCCGAAGCAGACACCGAACTTAGCCTCGTTACCGAGCCTTTATCCTTCTATCAGAATGTCTCTACGTCGAAGGAGTTGCGGGACGCCTCCAATGCCGCCGAGGTGCTCGTCCGCGATTATGACGTCGAGGCATCGATGCGCCTCGACGTCTTCGAGGTGATGGTTGCCGCGGAAGAAAACATCAAGCAGAGCAGTGCGGCGCTCGGCTCCGAAGAGCAGCGGCTCATGGAACGCAGCCTCCTGGACGGCAAGCGGGCAGGCCTGGCGCTACCGGAGAAGGAGCGGGGGGAGTTGACGAAGCTAAAGAAGGAGCTGTCACAGGCGTCGCTTGAGTTCAGCGTAAGTTCTCGTCATCCGTGCGTTCATAGCTTATATCCGATAAATACGCCCATCTATAGAAAAACTTCAACGAGGAGAACGTGAGCGCCCAGAGCTCCCATATGTACGTAGGACTCACCTCTTGCTTAGAGTACCATCAGCTTCACCCTGGAGGAACTGAGGGGCGTCCCGGCGGACGTGATCTCTGGGTATACAAAGCGTACGGAGGGTGAGAAAGAGCTATACGATGTGACCATGAAGTTGCCAGACATCCTCCCCATCGTAGGTCATCTGAATTGTTCCATGGTTGCGCGCCTGTCTCAGTGCGTGTCCAGTTCAAAAATGCCCAAAATCCGGACACCCGGCGGGCTGCCGATGCTGCGTATGACGCGCGGCTGGAGATCAATGCGCCGATCCTCGACAAGATTATTGCACTGCGCTGGAAGATCGCTGACCTCCTCGGCTACCCGACTTGGGCGGATTACATCACCGAGGTGAAGATGGCGAAGGACGCAAAGACTGTGACCGGCGTAGGTTCCTCCCTGAGCATCCCGTGCGCTTCTCACGTATCGCCCAAAATCTACAGTTCCTGGATGATCTGCACAAGAAACTCGATCCCGTCGGTGCGAAAGACCGCGCAGCGCTGCTGGCGCTCAAAAAAGTGGAGTGTGCCGAGCTCGGGATCCCGTTCGACGGCCAGCTGAATCAGTGGGACGTGCGGTACTATGACCGACTTTTTGTTGAACGCACACTCGAGCTCGACGAGCAGAAAGTCAAGGAGTACTTTCCCGTGAGCGTCGTCGTGCCCGCGATCCTGGAGATATACCAGAACCTGCTCGGCGTGCGCTTCGTAGAGGTGAAGGGCGAGACGTGGCATCCAGGTCGGTGCGGCTCGATTGCAAGTGCGTGAAGCAGCTGATTGTGCACGCTTCACAGATGTGCAGATGTTTGCGGTGTGGGAGAACGGCGCGACGGATGAGTCGGGCTTTGTAGGCTACTGCTACCTTGACCTGTTCCCTCGAGGTTTGTGACATCCTTCGAACGTTTCATTGATGGGGTGACAAATGCGCTCTCCAGAGTCGAAGTACTCCCATGCTGCTGTCTGGCCGCTCCTCCAGGGTTTCACGCGCTCGGACGGCACACGGCACTACCCGCTCGCGGCGATGGTCGCGAATCTCGCGAAGCCGACTCCCACCACGCCGGCGCTGATGCAGCATCAGGACGTCGTTACGTTCTTCCATGAGATGGGGCATGTCTTCCATGGACTGTTGAGCAAGACGCGCTTCGCGCGCTTCCATGGCACGGCGTGAGTCATTCGTAGGCTTCAGTGTGTGTCCGGAGAATTGACAGTCGTCAGGGTCGCACGGGACTTTGTCGAGGCGCCGTCGCAGATGTTGGAGAATTGGTGCGTCCGTTCTGTGCGTGGCTCGCCGCCCGTATGGTGCTGACGCAACTCGGGCGGGATTTGTACAGGTGCTTTGAGCCGGCGGTGCTGGAGCGAATGTCGAGCCACTACGAGACAAAGAAACCGCTTTCGCGCGAACTTGCTGATAAGATCAACAAAAGGTATGTGCCCCGCGTGGTCCACATTCATCCAACTGTTAGGCGCGAACTTTATGCGCATCTTGAGTTGACTGTTGAATGGACGCTCATGGATTCTCTCTTTCTAGTCGTTATGTCAACGTCGGGATGTTTTACTTACGGCAGGTGTTCTTCGCGAAGTTCGACATCAAGGTGCATACAGAACGCGGTGCGTGTCAGCTCCCTCGTTGTATATTCGCGCAATGCTTACAGTAATGATGCGGTTGCCACAGAACAAACCGACTACACAGCGCTGTGGAATGATCTTCGCAGGTCAATCACGCAGGTCAACCCTGGACGGCGCGCGGCCGGCCAAGGCTCGTTTGGTCATATCGCGGGCGGATACGACGCAGGCTACTACGGGTGGGTGTCCCGTCAATGTTCCGGCCCGCGTTTACTTAATCTTCCATCAGGTACATGTACTCGCTTGTGTTTGCGGCGGATATGTATGCGACCGTGTTCAAGGCGGACCCGCTAGACCCGGCGCGCGGCGCGAGATACAGCAAGTCCATCCTACAACCTGGCGGGAGCAGGGATGAATCTCTGTCTCTCGAGGTACGTGTCGGTTATTGCTCGTCACATTTGCGATTTCGCTGATGCGACGTCGCGCGGGAAGGAATTCTTGGGTCGCCCACCCAATGCGGATGCCTTTGTGCGAGAAATCTTTGGCGAGACGGGAAGCGCCAATCTCTAGTGCCCACGTTCTCAATGTTTCTAAGCCTCAGAATGGACACGATGGACTCCGTCGCAAGTGTATCATATATATTAGACAGCTACCATGTTGCTCACCGCTCTTCTGAGCCTTCTGTAAGTATAATCAATTACGAACTAGTATAGGATGACAAGGCAGCGCAGCAGGCATGCAGCAGGAAAAATGATATCGATGTTGGAATCTACAAAACAATCTGTACAAGAGTGGCAATGGAATGTAAAGAGTTGAATGTGCCCACACTCAAGCCTTCTGCATCACAGGTTTGAGAGATAGAGTCATGTTTGGCCTTAGCTGGGCTACCTGGGCTATAAATGAGAAGTTTGAGTTTATATAGTTCATAAAAACTATACATAGTGACATACCATTCACAACTCTTGAAAGTGTTTCTCAGATTGTTGACATCCTTAGAATATGCCACTACCTGATTAGCCCAATGGTCGAGCTTATCCTTGAGGTCATTCCACCGCCCAGCATTCTTCCGATCAACCTCTTCCCCTGCCTCATGAGCCACCTTTGTGAGCTCTGAGATTCCGTGAGCATGTTGCATCATCGCGTCTTCCTTGATGTTTTTCTCGAGCACATCAATTCGGTTGGCCTGCGTCGCAGACTCATCCTTGATGGTTCTCTCGATCTCATCGAGACGGCGGGTCTGCGTCGTTGACTCGTCTTTGATGGTTTTGTTCTGCGACTCGATTGCATCAAGGCGTTTACTTATATCTGCGAATTATGAACTCACTATATAGATCTGCAAGGATCACACATACCAGTAAGCGAGTTCTGAATCTTACTAAGAACTGCTTCTAGCTGGAGTTCAGTCGACATTGTGAAGTACTATCTAGATGATGACACAGTAATGGCGTTCGACGGTTAGATTCATGGTAGATCGTGTCATAAACAAGGGCCTCACACCTTCGAGATCTTAACGTTGTGCGACGCAAACACGACTGGATACCAAACGAAATCGCAAGAGGTGTGCAAGGATGAGTCGGCGTGGGAGCGCTGAGCAGTCCCGCAACCTGATCTACTTCGCACGTGTCTCCGCCGGCTTTTGCGGCCCGCTGCAGCTAGTCATGACGTGGTCAAGTGCCGTCCATGCGGTCGCAGTGCGTAGCTATGGCCCCCAAGTTGACTTTTGCGATGGCGAGCGGGTCGCAACATGGCGATTCTTTAGTGGACAAGTACTGAGACATGTTCATCGTCCGCGAATTAAATGATGCGAACGTCACTGGGACCCCGGCGCCCGCACGTGGGTGTGTACCTTTGGGTCCTTTCCAATGATTGTATACCACCTCTTCTCGATACACCGAATATTAGTGTATGCCTCTCGATGATGAGCAATATTCATAGCCCACCGACAACTACTCTCTCTCATACGGAAGGCGGCCTTGGAATCGCGGAATTCTACTGGCGTGATCACCAGCTGTGGTTGCAGAAATGTGGCTACATGCTTCGACCTCGATATAAACCTGATTGGGTCCCCTCCTGGCTGGGCACCAAGAAACATCTCTTCGGGTGCGAGGATGGGTTTATGTCGCAAGTACGTTAACAGATTACTTGATCACAGCAGGGACCAACGCAGAACAGCATCCGTACATTTTAGACGCGACCAGAATATCGGACGGTGCTATGGCATTGGTGTCGCTCAAGAAAGTCTCCACCCCCATGAGGCCGATATTGGGTCATATTTTTGTTCCAATGAGCTGAGCTCTGACCCGGACAATCACTGCGTACCGCTATACGATGTTCTCAAGGACCCTCTTGAAGAGGATATAGTCATTCTGGTCATGCCTTTGCTTAGGAAATGTAATGTCCCCGAGTTCGGAACCATCGGAGAAGTAGTGGAGTTCATACGGCAGCTCGTCAACGTACGTGTGCTACTGACGCACGTCCACCTACACTGAACACCTTGTCTAGGGTCTGAGATTCATGCACGTACATCACGTCGCCCATCGGTAGGCCCTCACTTGATAATGCATTGTAGGACGTCCCTGACGCGGTTCAAGGGACATAATGTTGCCGAACGTTATGCTTGATCCCAGAGCGATGTACCCGAAGATGTATCATCCTCGTTGTAGGGATATGAACCGAGATTTCACCGGTACGGCTAGACATTATTCCCGTACAGAGCGTCCGACAAAATACTACTATGTGGACTTCGGTCTATCGCGCAAGTACAGCCCCGACGAGTACCCGCCTCGCGAACTACCTATCCTGGGAGGGGACAAGAGCGTGCCCGAGTTTCAAGGCGAGGGCTACGACGAAGCTGTAGACCCATTCCCAACAGATATATACTACCTCGGGAACCTTATCCGAATGGCGTTCACGATGGTACGTTGAAAGTCCGGTTCTGTCATTCATCTGCATTGACCGGAGGTGCTATAGCGCTACGCAAATTTCTGTTTCATGGATGCGCTCATTGCAGATATGGTGCAGAACGATCCACAGAAACGCCCGCATATCGAGGAAGTTTCCTCTCGATTTATTGAGGCCACGTCTAAGTTGTCCGCTCGAATCCTTCGTGGTCGTCTCGTAGAGAGAGATGAACCACCCGTCATCCGCTTTCTCTTCGGTCTCGGACATTTGTTTAGGACGGCGAAGTACGTTGTGAAACGATGTCCCCCAGTGCCTATCCCTCCCACGTAGGTGTCATTGGTGTCACAGCTCGATGCTTTGAATAGTACCGATACCCCATCGCTACCGTGTCTGGACATGCTTTTGGTTCTGTCACTCATTCTACGCCCCATTGCTTGCTCTCGCGTGCGATCAGAACATTCACGGAAGCGAACATCTGCCAGATACCGTACGTCGACTGCGCCATGAACAAATTTACAACAGTGAGTTCTACAGCCCACGTCGCCTTGAGATTACATCGACGAATACTGAAGCTGGCTAGAGATTCATGATTGCCTTGAGATGAGATATCTTCATTCCAACAGTTAGCATAGATCAAGGTTACCCAGCCTTGGACGTACCACGACAGTCCTAGGCAGCAATGACTTCAGCAGCCTCGGTGCGACGCCAGTATGCTGTATCGAGTGCACCCGCAGAGACGTCCTCATCGCGACGCCAATAGGCCGTGTCGAGAGCACCGGCGGAGACATCTTCCTCCCTGCGCCAGTACGCTGTGTCAAGCGCACCAGCCGAGACGTCCTCGGCACGACGCTCGACTTCCCCGACGTTTGCACGATTCTCTGCCGAGCAGGCTATGGTTCAGCATGAAACCTGGGTGCAAGTATATTGGTACTGACTGCTGCCGGGGGCAGGGAGAGCTATCGCCTCCAAAGCGACGAGGGGAAGCAGAGCAGCGATCGCGGCCAGGACTTTGGACTGCATGCTGAGTGACAAGGGCTTTCTGTAGAGCAAGCCTGGTGGGCGAGTGACTCTGACTAGCAGTGTGTTTCCTGTGTGCCTTATATATGTTCGAGAAGTAGACCGAAACACTGACAAATATGCTACGTGCATGGGGCATTCGCCCTATCGAGTCGGCGCATGTTTACCGACAAATGACCCCGGTTCGTCGGGCGTTGTTCGAGCGTTACACAACGCAAGTCCAACTGGCAAATGTTTTGTATATTCACTTCAAATAAAGTGGCGGGCGGACGATCCCCAGGGGCAGCAGACCCGGCAACGTGCCGGATCTCACTACCACTTTCTTTGGTGAGAAGCATTTCCTCAACACGCAGCGATCATCTCCAAGCACACTGAGTATGTTCGCTGTGTAAGAGCAGCATCGTGCGCTGTTATCGTCACCTGTGTTGAGCTCATTTTCACGTTTTCAAGTATCAGCTGGAAAATGGGGAGTTAATTCGACATACCGGATTTGATATTGAACGGGAAGGATCCCGCGCGGAACACCTGCGATTTTACCATTGAACGCCTCCGTTTCGCGATCCCGTACAGTATATCCATTGGACAAGGCTTCGCACGGGTGCCTTGTTAATGTGAGTGGGCTCGATCTCCTTCAGGAGACGGCGGAAGATCTACTACTACGTTGCCAACGGGCGCTGGCAGAATTGATGGTGGTACTCCACACCTGATTCGCTGAAATACGTGCGGAATCTGTGTGAATCGCCGAAGTTGGCCGTATGGCCCGGCCACAAACGCGTTTGTGGCTGACAGTCAGGAATTTGTTCTCTCGACCTCGATTTGCGACGCCCGTCTACACATCTCGTAGAGCTGCAGTCTTAACCAAAGGATTGAGAACTGGGCTCAATCGTATTATCTTCGGGGAAGAAAGCGCTGCGACGTCTGGGGCTCCGGCGCGTGGGTCAAGGTCGCGCCAAAGGATCCCGTCTGCCTGCATTTGCATCGTTCCCGGTATCTGCTGCTGCGAGAGGTTCCGTACGTCTGGCCCGTTGCAAGCGCACACGGGTCCTTTGACCCTCGGGCATCAGATGTGAAGTGTGTCATACGCTGATTCAAGTGCTCTCACCTTGGGCACTCTGAACAGAACGGCTCACGCGGAGCAAGCCACGACCGACTCTCTTGCCATGTCAGACCCCATGTCAGACCCTCGCTTTGAGTACTCGCCAGCCAGACATGACGCGGACGGGTCGACCGACGGCCTGCTCCTCAAAGACAGGTCTTCCACATCTACAAGGCTCCTCTCTGACTGGAAAACCTTCCGTCGAGCGATCCCATGGATAGCCCACGGCGTCCTTATTTTCGTCTCGGTCTCGCTGTTCCTGCTGTCGGTCCGACTCAACGACACCCGATGTGCGAGGAAGCTGGCAGTGTACTGTAAGCCTCTGCATTGCATGTCATACAGGGAGATAGTCACAATACACCACAGCTCCTGCGATGGACGCCGTGGAATACCACAACGTCAAGTTCAATGGCACCCTCACATGGCCCTCCGAGTTTCGCGGCACCCCCAGCCCCGAGCTCGATGCCGCCTGGAAGAGGATCGCAGCAGACAGTGAGGGTTTCCCCCGAGTCAGTGTGCCTTCCGCCCCTGAGCGCTCGCAGTGAGGCCGTTCAGGATCACGGGGGACGTCTTGCGCAAGATAGGCAAAGAAGCGCGGCCTTCGCTCGTCAAATTCCTCGACGAAGACGGCGGTGGCTACCTGGCGACGCTCGAAGTGACCCATCAGCTGCACTGTCTCGTATAAGTCCGGCATGGTCCTGCAGCCCCGTTCAGCGCGACTGACACACGCACTGCAGAACATGCTGCGGAAGCGGACTTACTTCGAGCACTACGCGGCGGACGACGTGTCGATCCTGGCCGGCCCCGAGGCTTATCGGACCCACCTAGGTAGCGCGCTGTCTTCACGAGCGGAGCGGGCGGCGGGATGCTGACGCACACCCACAGATCACTGCATCGAGATGTTGCGGCAGGTCGTCCTTTGCACCGCGGACGTCGGACTCGTGACCTACGACTGGGTCGAGGGCTACCGGCACCCCCATCCCGACTTCAACACCTGGCACAAGTGCAGGGACGTCGACAAGGTCGTCGAATGGAGCAACGAGCACGAGTTGCACGTTCCGTTTGATCGGTTGCTGCGCTTCGGGAACGAGGTTGATCTCGTAGAGGCGCCGTAGACCACAGCAGACAAACTTGGATTACGAGTAGATCAGCAGCCGGGAGGGTAATGATGCCAAGTGAAGAGACCGACCGACAGGGATGGCACAGCGCTATGTTGTTTGAAATATTGAGCGAGGTGCAATCTCAGACAGAATACGACAAGCTCACCGTGCTGCTGTGATCGCCATCAATGCGAGAGAATAGCCCAATGGTGAGACACAAAAATGCGTTTACACTGTTCAGTGCGTGAAGTGCTATTACTCAGGTGCCAAGCTCAGCCGTGTTTGTGATATCGACGAGAGGAACAAGCTGCGGCCAATATGGATTATGCTCTGGAAGAAGCAGAGTGAAAACATTAAACCATCTCATAGATAGACCATATAACCCATAACCCGCGCCGTGGAATCTGCCCCCATCTCTAGACCCTAGGTTATGATCCTCACGTGAGATCGTTTCTCGTCTCTATCAGAGACATCTACGCGCCGCGGAGGCGGATCCGAGGGCGGATGCGATGGCAGGCAAATCCACTGCCAGGATATCTACCGGAGGTGCCCGTGTCGGCCATGGTCTGCGATCCTGTCCTGTACCGGGGATCAAACAGGGTACGCTGCGGCTCCTCCAGACGACGCACGAGAAGCGTTTCGGGATCTGTGGCGTCGACCGCGAAGACATGCTACCATCTGGAAGTTGCGGTGGCGGTTAAATTTGAGAGCTTAATGAAGCTATCTGACATTTATTACAGCGCCCGGCGGCGCATAGTGAGCATCTCGCGCCGCCAGCTAAAATATGGGAATGATGTTGCGGTAGTGTTTGACGTGGTCCTATTGGTCAGAGCTAGCTATCATGCAACAAGACCAGTGCAATCGTTTCCGCCCAGTGTTGGCGCAAATCCCAGCGCGGAGGACGTCAGAGGCGGCGTGCAGCCATCGTTTCGGCATAACCGAGTAGGCCAGACGCACCCTCCGGGCATCAAATATCAATGCATCGCACACACTTCTCGAGAACTCTCTGCACGCACCGGCGACTCAGCTCGTCCAGATCGCAGGATCATCGATCTATACTCAGTACGAGTGTCGGTCGGGCGGGAGAACCGCGCAGAATCGGGGTGGCGGGGATTCGCGAGGCCGCCCGTGCAGCCTGAGCGGGACGACAGTGGGCTTCGAGCACGACCCGGAGCAAGCCTCTGCACGGCACCGGTGCCGCAGCTCGATTCCTCGTGCGGCGGCGATGGCGGCGGGCGGGCAGACGAGAAGCCGGATGTGCCATCTCCGGCGAGTCTCCGAGAGCAGATCATGTACATGGCTGCACAGCGCACCGGCGCACCTGCAGCCACGGGAAGAGCGGAGCAGCTGAGCGTCTGGCATGTCGTCACTTGTGCTCCATCTCAAGCTCGGTGTGCATGATGCAAGATGTGTTCCTGACAAAGCTCTGCACAGAAAGGACGGATGGCGGAATATGCACCCTGCATGCACCATCACGCAGTCTCTTCGCTGGCGCGATCCGCAGAGGCACGGGCAAGAACGCGTAGAACCACGAGAAGACGCGTCGGAGGACGGCTTCTAAACACACCGCTGTCGCGCCGCCGCAATGAATCTGACAGCCGCTGACCAATGCGTATTGCCGGCCACTCGGAGTATTATGCATGTATGCCTCGTGTACGCACCCAAGTGAACAGGAGGCCTGAGCTTGAGGCATCGCCAGAATTAACGAACGGCTAAGGCTTTCTGGAAATGCACCAGCGCCCAGGAAGTCTCTGCGCCTGAACGAATTAACGAACCCGGGCGCATCTGGAAGTTGATGGCGGGATGCACCCGCTCGTTGTGGCAGCGCAATGAGCAAGACCGTATATCAGGCCGGTCATCAATGGTCCGGAGATCTGCTGTGTATTCGGGCTTCCATGGCGGAGGGGCCCTCGTACGCGAAGGGGCGGCGCGCCGACACGCATATTTTGATGCGCACAGTTCATGAGTGATGCGAAGGTAAGAAGAACAGGCTTTCGACGTCTCCGCCTCGGAACAACGATAGGAGTGGCCCCGATTCCGCACGGCGAAATCTTGGGAAAGGGGAGTCAATAAAGGGCTTCGCGTCAATTTGCCCAAGAAGGCCTGTCGGCCATATACGCCCTTGACGTCAGGCGCCACGCCGACCGAACAGTGGCGCATTGTGACAGTGGGTGATCTGGGCATACACGGGCGGAGAGAGGGCTGCCCGATGTGAACTAAGCATTTAGACACCGGACGACGGCACGCAAGCAAAGTGCTGACGGCGGTGATCGGCAAATGCCTAAGCGAGCTTTGCCCCCGACGCCCGCTTCAACGTCCGGTTTGCATCTGCAGACCATCCAGATCCTGCGGGAAGGCATCCAGTACGTGCATAGCGTGCAGATGTGTGCACATACGTCACGGCGATACTGTACATGTTGGACTCTAATCATACACGGACCTCCTGCCCTGCCCTGCACCTCCTCGCACTCTGCCGCCGCCCTCGCCACAGCACACACCCTACGCGCGCCCCGGCGGGCCCGGCATCGCGGGCAGCGCGTCGCGCAGATCCGCGCCCGTCGCGCCCAAAAGCGCGAGGAGGTCCGCCTTCTTGAAGATGCGCACGGTGTGGATCGCGGACGGGGTACCCGCGCGGGGGTCCGCGCCGGCGGCGAGGAGCGCGCGCACGACGGCGTCCTCGCCCTTGAAGACGGCGCCCGCGAGCGGCGTCTGGCCCGTGTCGTTCGCGCGGTCCGGGTCCGCGCCGCGCGCGAGGAGGCCCGTGACGAGCGCGGGGTGCCCGCTGTACGCGGCGAGCATGAGGAGCGTGTTGCCTGGTGGCAGGTGCGGGCGCGAGTGCGGGGGTGCGTAGGTTAGATCCTGACAGCCACGTGACTGCGCTTCCGATTTCCCCCTTTCCGATCCTCTGGCGTTTCCGGGCTCTGCATAAAATAAATCGCGTTTTCCGCATCATTTTGCAACTAGCAGTAACGCTTTCTAATCTCATTCCAGCTGGCCCCCTGTTCCGCAGTTGCCCTGCCTTGAGGTCTGGTTAAGTGGCGACATTACATCTATCTGCTTACTGGTACCTAGTTCTCGATTCCAGCACAGACAATGTTTTCGAGTCTCCAGCGCGTGATTGGACCTGGTATCATCCGGCGCTCTTCGAATCATCGAAGATTCTCAAGCGTATCCGTGCACTCTGTCTTTCCGGCAACTCTGTATCGCTTCCAGGTATATCGCGAATCGAAATTGTTTGACAAAAGCCTCGGCGAGGATGAATGGGATCCTGAGGACAGTGTCGAAGTTCAGGCAGATGGATTAGTCCATCCCAAAATAACTTTGGATGGTATGCTACGAATACACATTCCACGTTGAACTGCCACTAAGAGGTTACACTAGTCTCCAACGGGGCTCTTTTCATGCCAAATACACACTTCATGCAAGAAGTGACCCGAAGGTCGTACGATTACTATCTTGAAGGGTTAGATGATGGCAAGCCGGCAGAGAATCCTCATCTCTTATGTATCCATAAAGGTTCGTCCAGCTACTATTGAGACGGAATCGGTTACATAACTACATGCAGGAACTGAGCTACCGGATACGCTTTTGCTTCACCGAGAAAGAGATTCTCGCTTTTCACTTCAGCCATCGCATCCAATGCCATTAACTGGTACGCTCAAGCCGTTATCGCCAAACTTGCAAATCAGCTAACTTCGCTCTACAGCCCTGAACAAGACTCTTACCGAGTTCTACATTAAAAATGGTATCATGCTTGATCCGGACAAGTGGCTCGAGAAGAATCCCTACCACGAAGCATCTTTTGATAATTCAGCGGAATGGATGAATGAGTAGTAGACGACTGGTCCCCGTCAGCCCGGGACTCCTCAGGCTCCTAAAACCAGCCCCACTATAGCATTCTTCGCTGCTACATACGAGAGGCCAACCATTTAGTGTTATATACCAAAAATGAAATCACATGATTTATCCGAAAGTAGTAGAGTATGTGAGCCATCAAAATAGCCGAATAAGAGAAAGACGAACGCTATAGAGTGGCTGGTTTTAGGAGCCTGGGGATTCCTCGGGAAGAAGCTTATTCTATCGTCGATTCATCACACAAGCAAAGCATAATAGGCCAAAAGTGAAGCTGCATTCCAGGGGAGACACAGTCTATAAGAGACTACGTGAGCGAACGGGCATGCTGCGTAGCATCGCTAGACACGATCCATCATATATCATTCCTTTCGCGATGTCCTGCTTCTATAGCATCCGATTCTTCATGCGGACTCGGTCGCTGCGGGATATCGCTGCAGCCATTCTTCCTTCGTGAAACATTGTGCCTTTTTGTCAAGGAAGTCGGTAATCTTGGCGTTCAGTTCTAGGAACATCAACAATCTTCATATATCAGTCCTAGAGTAGCAGTCTCACCATCTATTGACATCTCCTTCCTTGCCTGCAGTGAATAATGATCCCCAAACTCATGGACCAGAATGAGATCTTCCGGAAGTTCAGTTCCTGTCTCGCTTCAGTATCACTTGTTGTTCTTGTTTAATCGTGCCTGACGAACCTGTAGGGACAGCGTAGACATATATTGTTGATCCCCTGAATGTGCGGACGAGGTTCTGCTGTGCTGGGGAATTTGGGCGCATGGAGGCACCGTTGGGCCCTGGGACATTTAGCTATTAATCATCTCGCAACGATAGCGTTACTCACATTCGTATGTAGGCGGATCAAGGGCCTTCGGCTTAACCTTGCCCTTTTCCGTTAGGAGGTCGAAGCTGCGCTGCGGTCGAAGGGGACCTTCCATGGCACGGAGACGGACAGCTGGGCCATTGTTCAGACGAAACAACTCCTTCGGGATTCGAGTAAACGAGGCCAAAAATCTGTTGATCGACATAGTGAGCTGGACCAGGCGTTAACTCAGCGTGTTCAGACAGTCAGATAGAGCGTTGACAGGTATTTGGGTGTGAAGAAAAGAAAAAATGTGTTGTGGGCAGAAATCCTGGAGGCCGAATTCTGCCAACTGCCGGCAGAACGGCAATTGCCACCCCTGGCAGAATATGGCAGATTTCAGGCGGGGTTTACACTCAATCATGAACGTGGCGATGGTATTTGGCCACAGACCTTCGCAGTTTTGCAGCAATAATGTCTCCAAAAACGGCTAGTTTAACCCCAGAATAAGGTCCAGGTAGGGGCTATAGCGCGTACTTACCATATTGGGAAGTACATCTGCCACCTTCTGCCACCCTCCGAAATCTGTTCTGCCATCTGCCATGGCAATTGCTTGGTGGACAAAAATACCTGGCAGAGTGGCAGACTTCTTCCAACAACACTAATTACTAGGTGCATTCAACATTACCGCTTAAATCTCGTTGGAAGAGAAGCGATTTTTCGCTGCTTTTGAGCGCCCAAATGTGGCTGAAAGTCGCTGAAAGCGTCGCAGATGACTAAGCGTGATGAAGCCATGATCTGATCACGTTCTCGGCTCGCGAAGGGCTGACCAGCCAATCATTGTGGCGAACCATGCAAGCGTGACAGCCTAAGCCAGAATCTGCGAGCGCTTGCGATCTAGCCGTGTCCCACGTCGATCTAAAGGTTGCTTACTTGGCGCTGTTCGAGGAGGGCTCAGATTCTGCTCGCTGCTTTTGGTCGCTCAAATGTCGCTTCTTTTCCAGCAAGATTTGGGCGGCAACTTTGAACGCACCTACTGATGAAAGACTCAAGCATCGGGTGTAGCCGAACGAGAGCGCACCGACAATGCTACACCAGCTCGGAGACCTGTGGCAGCTCTCCCAGTGCCGCATGTCTACTACTTCATCAAAGTCTTTGATATGAAGCAGCAGATTCCGCGCACAGCGGGCTCGTATATCTCACGGATAAGAATGTCTGGCGACTTGGTCCCTCGAGGGATCCTCCATCTGAGCATTCGTTTCCACAGTCATGCTATGCAGACGCCTTTTGTGAGGCGCCATTGTGTATGTCGACAATGCGTCTATCCATGCAATAGAATGACGAGAAAGGGCTGATATGTTGAGCACGACTGCACTTGAAATAGAGTATATCGATTACCGAATGAGACTCAACAACCTCTCACGTAGTCCCTAGGCTTCAATGAAACACAGGTATCCTCTCATTAATATGCATAGGACTCCTGATCGGCGCTGCCTCGGCTGAATATATATCACTCAGACCGACCTCCGGTCTCGAAATCTCAACTACACGCCATTTGGGACGATGAAAATCAGAACCGACAACATTTCTCGTATCATTCATTCTAACTCATGGGGATTGCCATGGGGGATTTTTTGACCCGACTCCTGCTCCGTTCATACGGAGCTCCACCCACTTGGCTCCGAACGAAAGCCAAGCTAAGGCGATGTGTCTAGACCGAAAGCTGGGAGTAAGAATTTCCAGAAAGAGTGTCCATGCGGTGTGGAATATGCTCGTAATTCTGGTCGACTAGTTATGGATATGAGACGCAGCTGCAGCTGCAACAGGTTGCGGTACGATCCTAGGCTGTGCAGCAAACTGAGAGCCGCCAGGTAGAGGCCGAAAAGTTAGCATAGGTTTGGCCGCAGCAGCTGGCCGTCCGCTCAGCTTTGAAGAACCACCGCCAGGACCACCGAGACCAAGAAGTTTGCTCTTCGTGACCGGTCTGGCCGCAACCTGTTTCTCACGCGGAGTAGGCTTAGAGACCGAGTTCGCCGGTTCACCAGGCCTTGTGTGGATGGTAGACCTCCTGTAAGTGTCATCACGGGGAACGGCAGGGTCCTGGACGACCTTGACAACCGCCATCTTTCCTATCCAGCTCAGCGCAGAGGACGTCAGAGGCGGCGTGCAGCCATCGTTTCGGCATAACCGAGCAGGCCACAGACGCACCCACCGGGCATCAAATATCAATGCATCGCACACTCTTCTCGAGAACTCTCTGCACGCACCGGCGACTCAGCTCGTCCAGATCGCAGGATCAGCGATCGATACTCAGCACTCAGTACGAGTGTCGGTCGGGCGGGGTGGCGGGGATTCGCGAGGCCGCCCGTGCAGCCTGAGCGGGAAGGCAGCGGGCTTCGGGCACGACCCGGAGCAAGCCTCTGCACGGCACCGGTGCCGCAGCTCGATTCCTCGTGCGGCGGCGATGGCGACGGGCGGCAGGCATGTAGATAGATGCACGACGTACCAGCACACCTGCAGCCAAAGGAAGAGCGAAGCAGCTGAGCGTCTAGCATGTCGTCGCTTGTGTTCCGTCTCGAGCATGATGCAAGCTGTGTCCCTGACAAAGCTCTACAAAGAAAGGACGGATGACGAAGTACACACCCTGCACCATCACGCAGTCTCTTCGCTGGCACGATCCGCAGAGAGGCACGGGCAAGAACGCGTAGAACCACGAGAAGACGCGTCGGAGGAAGGCTTCTAAACACACCGCTGTCGCGCCGCCGCAATGAATCTGACAGCCGCTGACCAAGCCGGCTACTCGGAGTAGTATGCCTCGTGCACGCACCCAAGTGAACAGGAGGCTTGAATTTGAGGCGTCGCAAGAGTTAGAGGCCTTCTGGAAATGCACCAGGACACAAGAAGTCTCTGCATCACACCTGAACGAATTAACGAACCCTGGCATTGATGGCGGGATGCACCCGCTCGTCGTGGCAGCGCGATGAGCAAGGCCGCGTACCAGGCCGATCATCAATGGTCCCGGAGATCTGCTGTATGTTCGGGCTTCCATGGCGCAGGAGCTCTCGTACGCGAGGGGGCGGCGCGCCGACACACAGAGTTTGATGCGCATAAATCATGAGTGATGCGAAGGCAAGAAGAACAGGCCTTCGACATCTCCGCCTCGGAACAACGATAGGAGTGGCCCCGGTGCCGCACGGCGAGGCCTTGGGGGAGAGGAATCAATAGAGGGCTTCGCGTCAATTTGCCCAAGAAGGCCTGTCGGCCGTATACAACCTTGACGTCAGGCGCCGCGCCGACCGAACAGTGGCGCATTATGACAGCGGGTGATCTGGGCATACTTACACGGGCAGAGAGGGGACTGCCCGATGTGAACTAAGCATTTAGACACCGGGCGACGGCACGCAAGCCAAGTGCTGACGGCGGTGCCTGCGGCGGCCCCGATGGCATCTGCATCTGATCGCATTCGGTCAAGGGGGGCGTACGCCTTCCGGATGCTCCAGGAAGCGCCGATTGAAGTGTATCAGTGGCGCGCATGAATCGTGTGGAGTGCGTGCATGAGGTGCAGAGTGGGGACGTCGGACGCACGGAGGGGCGAACTGTGAATTTCTGCCCCGAACGCGACGGCGGGCGCCATGTCAGCGGTGTCACGGGCGGCCGCCTAGAGTTGTTGTAAGGGGACGAAGAGAATGGGGCGAGGTTATTTGACGAGGGCTCCATAGCCACCAGGGCTGCATGAAAAGATTTTGAAACATACTGGACCAATGCCGCGGGAGGCCAGAATGGGTGCGGGGTGGGCGGGAACAAGCAGAGCCAAATATTGGCGGGATGTGATCTGTACGTGACACCCAGGCGAAATCAATCTGCCGTGCGAGTTTCGATCATTCATCTTCGCTCTATCAGAGCGGCGCCTGGCCAGCGCGCGCAGGGGCATGCTCTATCGCAGCGGTTATCGTTCATTTCACAACACGCCGGGGATGGTCCGGGAGCTTCTTTGAAGGGGCACTAAGCAGCCTGGCCTGCTAGAAGAAGGCGCACCCGGGGAAAGGCCGCGTCCTGGCGTGCGATATTGGAAGGCAAGACCCATGGCGATCTGCGTGACGGGGGCAGACACGGCGGACGTGACGCCAGACAATTGCAGGGGGTGACAGGCAGGGGGAGCACGGGACACCCGAAGAAGTAGGCAGGCAGCCTTCCCTGCAAGAAAAGCAACCTTCGCTGCCATCGCTCGTCACGCCGTATGTCGCGTCTTCCCGTTCGGATTATCGTGTCCCTCGGCCCTCATATTCGCGTGCCCATGCCCTCTGTCTCTCGACTACCTCCTCCCTCCTTCTCGCTAGTCCCGCTGCCCAAGGCCGCCCGCCATGTCTCCCGCCGCATCCTCGTCGTCGTCGTCGGCGGCGGCGCCCAAGCCCGTCCTCGTGTCCACCCCGCTGGCCCCCGGCGTGCCCGCGCCCCAGCCCGCGCCTGTTCAATCGCAACCGAAGACCGTAGCGCTCAACTGCAAGGGCCTCCGCTCCCTGCCCGTGCGTGCCCCGTCCGCTATATGCGCCTCCTTCTGACGATGCGTGCAGTACCGCCTCGCGCACCCGCCCTCCGTGCGCGGCAAGCTGTTCTCGCTCAGCATCGTGCCGCGCTTCGAGGTGCGCCTGGACGACATCCTCGACCGCAAACACCTGCCGCCGCTCGGCCTCAAGGACTTTGAGGAATGGCTGCTCTTCGTCGAGCAGGCTGCCGAGAATCTGTGCGCCGTGTTCGTTGCGCCGCGTGGGCTCTGGCTGACTTCCCGCAGCTACTTCATCCTCTGGCTGCGTGACTACACGCAGCGCTACTCGGACTGGGTGCGCTGCACGAAGCTCTCCCGCAACTCAACATACGGCGCCAACCCGCGCCGCGAGTACCGCACTACGTCCGCGCTCCCTCAGGCGAGCCCCGAGCTGATGTACTCGTATATGCGCGCCAAGCGCACGTTCCTGACGCCCAACGGCCCCTTTGAGCTGGACGTCCCGAGCGAGGTGCTCGCGCCGTTCCACACACCGTCAGGATCCAAGAGCGCGTGCAGTCTTACGGAAGGCCAGGATGGCACGGCAAGCGAACACGCGCACACGGCGTGGAGTGGGACGACGTTTGCTTACGGATCACCATATGGCTACGACTTTGCCGGCTTCGAGCGTGGTGAGTGGGCTCTACTTCTCGTCGACGTGGGTCGCTGAACGCTGCCGGCAGAGATGGCCAACGCGCCCCTTCCGCCAGACCCGGCTGTGTTCGGGGAGCTCGGGGAAATCGTGCGCGAGATGCTCCAGCAAAGTCTCGACCGCTTCGTCCTCGCGACGTACAATAATGTCGGCACGCCACGCGCGGTCTGCGGCAGTGCCGGCGGCATGTTTATTAGCCTCGTCGGAAGGTGACTGCATCTGTTGACGTGATATATTGCTTGATCTGATCTCAATTTGACTAGTGTCCCGCTCATTGTCAACTTCGTGACGGGTGGTTCGCGATGGTGGAGACTGGCCGCACTTCCCGGAGTGTGGCTCGGGCTGACGATCTTCATCTCTGCGATGTATGGGGTACGTAATCCGATTGACGCTAGCTGCAGATCTCAACCGGTCTGACGGTGTGCACAGGTATGCATGATGATCTACGTGTTTGGCGACTTGCGCCAGCTCCGCTCGTTTGAGCTGGTACGTCCGCCAATCTCGGCGCCTCAGCCGCACCCGTCGCCGTCGACGTCCGTCGCATCGCTCTTCCAGCCGAGATCTGCACCTATGGCCCCCGGTGCGCCTCCGTTCACCCAGCTCAATCCCTTCCGCCGCACGCAACGCCGCTCGATTCCGGAAATCAGCCCGCCGATGGCTGTCGCTCGCCCGCAATCCATTACCTTCGTCGGTATCACGGACGTCAGCGAGAGAATAGAGGCCGGCCCTCCAAAGCTGCACCTTATCACCCCATCGCCTATCTCACGTTGGTCCGAGGAGAGCGGCGTCCGTCCACCTCAACGCGCACTCACGCGCGGACCGCGCCGCCCTCGCTCTGCCGAGCGTGCCGTCTCCCGTGCTTCCACTCTCGCATCGATCTCTGATGCGGAGTATACCGACGACGAGGACGACGAGTGCGCGCATGACAGCGGCTATGAAGAGTCGGACTGTGAGTCGGACGACGCGCCCCAGATTGAGATTTCGGACGCGTACTACGACGAGCACCCGTCACCAGAGGGCCCTGCGACTGCGGCTTTCCAGGGCCCACGGGGGTTCGGCGCACCGCTATGGCCCGACTATGTTGCTAGTGACGAAGACGAGCTGAACGCGACAGCGGCATTTATTCACCCATTTTCGTACGAAGACATCGCGCGTGAGAAGGAGGGCGACCTGGAGGCGCAGACGGGCCGGGCAGCGGCAGCACGGCAGCCGGTAGACCCGTTCGATTTTGATGCGCTCCCACCGAGAAGACCACGCTTCGCAAACCCAGGACGGCACCGTAGCGTACAGAGCCCGACCTCGACGTGGTCCTCGCAGCACGGCGAGAAAGTCCCAGAAGCCCCGCATGCGGTAACATTGTCGCGAAAAGATCTGATCAATCCCCGCAAGATGCTGAGCGTGTGGCAGAGCAAGTGCAGCCCACAGAACGTCGTGAAAACCCACATGGAGAAGGAGAAGGAGAAGTGTGAGAAGGAAGGGTGGGGTATCGGGTGGGGTGTGGCTTCGTCCCCCGCCCCGCGCAGCCCAATTGCGTCGTCCCCGACCGCGACGCTGGCGGGCTCTCCGGTGAAGGCGGGCTCATTCACATTCCCAGCTGTGTCCCCGACAAGCACGCTCGCACCCGGGAGCATGTCAACGACGACGACGATGCTCGCGGCGTTGTATCCGGAGAAGGCAGAGAACGAGAAGATGGAGACGCCGGGGAAGCAAATTACCACGAAGGAGGTTGTGGACGAGAAGCCGAGGGAGCTGAAGACGGCGACCGCGCGCAAGATCTCGTGGCGCCAACGATTCAAGGCCGTGCAGGCCGTGCCTGCGTTCGCGGTGCCGCTGACGCCGGTGCTGAACCCGGTGGTGACGCGTGCGCAGTGGGAGATCGTGGTGCGGAGTTCGATGATCGCTTTCGTGATCGCTGCGCTGGTGGTTGGCGGGCTGACGGGCGCGCCGGTGCCGTATCAATGATATGTCGTAGGTGGTCGTGATTGGTGATTTCCTGGCGAAGACGTCAATGCGATTCGGTATCAGTGTCGTCGGTGTGTTGTTGTTATTTCTTGTCGCTCCTTGCATTGACTCTTGTTGTCGTATACGTTACGCTTTCCGTTGCTGTTGCTGTTGTGTATTGTCCCCAGATCCTTCCGTAATTCTCCCGCTGTTCGCCATTCCTCCCCTCCCCCTCCCCATTCCTCCGCGTGTCCCGTCTACACATGATGACCACTTGCCCCGCCGCGGGCCCCACTTGTTGTAGCTCTCTGCCGCTTGTCGGTATGTACTTGTGCCCCGTTGTGTCGCGGGTATATTTTTTCCACCTCTCGCGACGCACGTTCTTTGTAGTAGACTTGCAGTAGTTTTCTGGTATTCTTTTTGTCTTTTATTTTCGCGAGAAGTGGCAACAGGTGCTAGTAGTATACTTGTTGCGTACATACTCGAGCTTGTGAATGAAGCTTATGGTGATACACGTGGCGACGCTTCACCCGGCGGCGCCGTCCCAGATACAGAATGTCGACATCTCGGCCACGCACTATTACAACCCCTTCCCGCACGTCGTCCGTGCCGTCGCAGAGTAGCTCAACGGTATTGATCGTCTTGGGGACCTCGAGTTTCTTATCGAGTCCCATGAGCGCGCTGCGCACATCCTCATTATGGCTGTCACCACTGCAGGTGCTGACGACGCCGCGAACTATGCTGCCAGCTCGTCCACCCATCTACTCACATTCCCCTCCTGTAGATGTAGATCCATATGTACTTAGTATTACTAGTAGAGCAGTAGCGTAACACACTTGCAGCGGGCGCAGTTGGAAAACCCCCGAACTTCCAGTTGCTCCGGGGTATTTTGTACACTGTCACATGTGCACATACAAATGATTGAGCCTCGGGTGTCTAAGAACTCCCTGGATGTCCGAGGAGCTTTGGAGTCACTGCGGCGATGCCCAGTGCTGGTCTAGGGCTCGTGGTCTGACGCACGCCGCTGCTCGTCTGTTCTCTGTACTACAAGCCCGTCGCAAGGATAGCATGGATTTATACGGCCCAAAACAGCGACTATGAGTCGACTGCTGAAATGACGGGCTTCGGGGTTCGCGCTGTAAGCCACGAACAAAAACACCGCCTCAGGCCGCAGCATTCGAAATAAAATACACGAGTGCTGAGCGCTAAGGTGCAACTTGGCACAACGGTGGCGTATTACACAAACGGCGGCTTACGTAAGGTGACGATCAGTGGCGTTCAGTATCTACGAAGTGCGAAATGCCCCACTGAACTAAATCCGCGATATATACACGATTTCTAGCACCAGCTTCATTCGAAAAATGGGGCGTACGGGTGCGATATATATCGCTGCATTGTCAGACGTGGAGCTCAACCACGCATATGGTGCATCTGTGGCCTCGCTGTAGTACTAAGTAGTTACCCCTTTGATGCGGTGTCACAACCTATAGTATGTAGCATCCAGATTTCAAGGTGGGCCATTTTCTCCAATCCCTGCTTGTCTGGTCTGCTCAGAATTCTTTTTCTCGAGCCTTACATGGCGAGTATAAACGAGACTCCAACCGACAGAGACACAGCTGATTCTCCAGAGTCCATGCGGAGCCAACTTAAGGGATGAGAGAAGATCCGGCCATCCCACCCGCCGACGGGCGTTGCGTATCCGACGAGCACATGTATTCAATGTCGAAACAGTACATCAGACGAATTTGATTGATACATACTCGAGACTGATACCAGCTTAGTGCGACGTATCTAGAACATAAGGGAATTCACAGTCTCGATCAAGCGAGCTTCACCCTGCGTGGCAGCGGGAGGTACTTCGAATGGTGCAAGGCCGAATAGGCGTTGGCCATCTAACGATTTGACGTCGTTTGCTGTTGCACGTCCAATGAATTTAGATTCTCCTTCGCCGCCAGGGAAGTCGCTAGACATGGATACCGTCAATGAATACTATTGATGTAGTGAGGACAAAACGTACGGAGCAGGAAGACCGTTGAGGAACGCAGCACGTTGCTCACGAAGATATATAGCGCTACAGGCACATAAGCAATTCGGATGATCAAGACAGCAGATAAAACACACTTTCGGTGGGTAAGGGGAATGGCCGGGATATAAAGCACAGATGAGTCGCCTTTGCCGTTGTGCTCGCCTTCGACGGCGTGCACCGTATCGCAGTGCCCTGGTTGATAGGCAAGTGCATTAAGTACGGCAGTCCCTGAAGCCAAATCCACTACGGCACGTACAGAACACCTGATCCCCTGGCGCTACCTGCGGGATGGACAGAAGCGTCTTGTCAAGTCGGAGGTGCGGGTGAGTGCGTTCGCTCAGTTCCTGCGTCTTCATCGGCGCGCATCCGTGAAAGACCGTACTTTCAAGGTCAAGCTCCCAGTCCTCGGCCTTCAGCGAATGCAGAGGTGCACCTGCCTGCAGGCGGAAGAACGGGCGGAGAAGGACATACGCCGCAGTCAACGAGAGCAGTGGGAGTACGCGTAGAGTGCCCTCGCCGGGGCCGGTATGAGACAGGGCTGTCCAGCCTTGCCAAGGGCGGAACACAGAGCAGTTACCGCTGTTGAAGGTAAATTCTGAGGGAGGTCGTATCTTCATGAAGTCGAAAGTTACGCACCCTGAGTCGTTCACGTCCTGCTTCCAAGCCAAGCGCGGAGCAACATCAAATGGATCATGGGAGCGCCAGCCCTCCCCATCCTCGCTCTCCAGTATGCGGCCAAAGCACGCACGGAAAGCAGGGTCCTCCCACCGCTCGTCGCTTCGCCCCCAATCAATATGGGGACCTAAGGTAAACACGCTGGGCCCCGGCGGGCGGATGCGCAGGCGATCGAAGTACGAGATTGGCGTGCGCAAGCTCACGGCCTCGAGAGGCGATACGGACTGAGATGACATGTGCCAGAGCGATAGGAGCGCTCTCTGCGTGGTGAGGAGTGCCGGGTGAGTACGCGCGCGGATTTGAGCCGGGGAGTTGTAAAGCTCATAGAACACAATCCTACCGGGCGGACCGCCTGTAAACATTCGAGAGACATCGATTTCAGTATTCATCAAGTGGAGCAAACAACACGGCAAAATGCGGTGCAAATACTCACCCCGAACTCGTTCGCTGTTGGCTCTGACATAGCTCTTGATTGACTCTTTCCAGCCGAGTGCTTCCTACAAGCGCATCAGCTTAAAGCTTAAAGACCGTGCTCGCCGTAAGGGTTATACCTCTTCAAGAACGCCTCCCTTTACGATAACCACACCTCGTTTTTTGATGTCCTTCACCTGCGCCTCGGTCAAACCGCGCTCAACATCGGAGTATGACACCTGGGGGATCAGCTGTTACACAGGTTATCAGTATTACATAAAGCGCTGTGTCCAACCTGGAAAGCAGACCTACATTTGCCCCCTTCTCTGCAATTTCCTCTACTGCCCCCTCCAGCTCTCGCAAAAGGCCCTGCCAGGAGTGAATCATTTTGTCAGGATCGGTGCATATCTGGCGCTTCAGTGCGGCGAATCGGTCAGGGAGTATCACAGGTTCCCCTGAGAACGACGTGAAGACATCCATGATAGTGCCCTCTTTCCTGTTTGCCAAGGTACTGCCCACTTCAAGGTGGGCTTCCCCAACCTGAGCTGCAGCTGGGCTCACAGTCGCGTATAGGCGCGAGCGGGGATGCGCAGCGAAAGCTCGACTGGTTCTTGCGAGGGTAGCAAACATTTTGACCAGTGAATGTGAAGGAGCACAGGATACCTTGAAATCAACTGGGGCTCTTTAAAACCGCTTTCGCCCCTCAATTGCGCATGATATTATTCAACGGCAATCAAGGTCACCGTAGGCTGGGCAGTAGGCTTAGAGGTTGAGCGTCCAATCGGCGGTCGGCCTCGAACACTGATACATGGGACTTGCTGCGCGTCCGATTACGCCGAAGTTTCTCCGTAATCGCCGTCACGTGAGACGCGTTTTGGACCAATGGCATTATCAGCGAATGCTATCATGTACAGCGTCTATCAGCTCGAGAGAACGGACGGGAAAGAATATTCAATCACCTACTGTGCACATCACCCTCTCCAGTAAACGAGTCGAAGGTTGGCAATGTTTATCGCGCTTTACGTGGCTTTTTCGTATCTCCTGGCCGAAATACTGTGCTCTCAAACTGTATCCTCCCTGTAGCCACCAGTCGCCGCATTAACAACTCACCGAGTGCGCTCGCGGATTTGAGTATTCTGCCTCTATTTGCGAGCACCGGCAATGCTGGCTTTCGATCAGACACGCTAGTGCGGACTCAAAGATCATCACTACAGCAGCGATCATGCGTGAGTGACAACAGACGTTTTGCAGCTGTCACGAGCACGCCTGCGGTCAACTCGTTGCCAGGATCTCCGCTATCTCGCGTACGGCCTTGACGTAGACCTCCGGGTCACCTGCACGAGACCTAGAGGCAGTGTATTTCATGGCGGTAACGTGAGCGGCATCTTGTGGAGCAGCTTCGAGCCTGGAGTGGGAGCACCGCGGATGCCTGAGCAAAAGACGCTAGTTAATGAATGTTTATGCGCTTCAGCTAGCCCTACGTATCAGGTGCCTTTACGCACCTGGTGTGAGACCACCATATAGACTGTTGCATCCCGTCCGATAATATATCTATGGCGTAATGGTCGACATCATCCCACCCGACAGGCTGCCCTTCATCTTGTATCCTTCGAATGACCCAAGGCACCTTTGAACGCACTGTTTGCGATGAGGACAAGCAGGTCGGTCTTGGTACAAGTTGGTAGCTACGTGATCGTATGAATACCCTACCAGACATCAAAGTAAGATTGACGGAGGATGTGTGCACACTTTCAAATCATTTTGACTGGCAAGGTCGACGTAGTGTTGCTCATTGAAAGCACATGCCCAAACTTAGAAACGCAGGTCAGCCCAAGGCATTCTCCATCAATATTACTTCTGCCTACCTGATGATCGAGTCTTCCCGCTTTCAGAATGGACCAACCATGCTATGTATTGTGACCGTCCTCCCCAAACCAAAAACATCATAACATTTGAAGTTGCCTACGCGAGAGAGGTTGATTACGACCTCGAGCCTACGCCGGCCGCGCGTTTATCTGTAGTACACACATAATATCTTCACATCGGAAGCTGCATTTGACTTCGTCAAGCTTGGACTTTGAGCGCGTGGCGACGGCGAAGCGCTGGATGGCTACGGATATCCATGCTATCTCTTACGCGTTGGAACCTGGGATTGTGGACCGAAGGGACACTGACTGGAAACATACTTGGGGACCTGACGGGCGTTGTTGATCCAGCGGTCACGAGCCAAGATGAAATAATATGAACACGTCCGTCGTACGGCCTTCATGTATTGGAAGACGCTGTTAGACATCGATCAACGTTCCTTAACCTGGTGTGAATGGTTCGTCACTGAGCAGCTCACCGCTACATGTCGAAAGCATGTCCAGCCGAACGGTCAACTCGGCCTGGTTTTGCGGACCGAGTTTGCCAAAGTGCTCTTATTCTCCAGACAGTGACGTGGGCCCTGCCGTGCGCTGCGCTGATTGTTCAGGCACGATCTACAGTACGTGGTCTGACCCAACGTGCGAATTAGACCAATGCAACAAAGCACTCACATGCAAGGAAAAGGTGTCTAGTCTTTATGGTAACAGCTCGGGCAAGCGGCTCTTGCACATCGCCGGGACACGGTTTTCACAATGAAATGTTTGCTAGCATTCTATGCGCTTCTGGAACAGGCTCCCGCAGCAAAACGCGCGTATGGCACATGTAGTTCATCACATGCCTCGATGATAAGCCCCGTAATCCATGCATATATACTGTCTGAGTTTGTCCTGCACCAATATTGCGGCGGTCGTCTGCCAGTCGCCCCAATCATTCCCACAACTGCGGCGGTTGATCGACGACTAGATATAAAGTTGTGGAAGAAGATGAGTAAGCATTGTAAGTGACATACTGAGCTAACGAGGCATAGTCTCCGTCACTTGTACGGACGTTTAAGTAGGCGACAACCTGCAATAGCATTGAGAGCAACCGTGCAAGACGATCATGATCGACGATTGAATCAACGGATCAACGTGATCACACGTGATCGCGATCGCCAAAACTTTCCAAGTTGAGGGAACAATTACATCCATAGCTTGCCCTTCCTGCTCATCTTCATCTTCGCGCTCATCCTCCTGCCATCGCGCCAGCAGGTGAGTGTACACGGTAAACACCCTTTTGCATTTTTATGACACTCGTATAATACAGAAGCGTCGAGCAAGACCAGTGGACAAGCGACGCGCTCCAAACTGCAAACCGGAGGTCGCCCTCGCGTCCAACACAGCATACTCAAGTCGAAATGGCTGCAAACGCGCAGGACTCCAGCACAGTTACCTCCAACCCATACTTTCCTCCCTCTGACGGCCGGTGTCTCGTCAACCAGCTTCTTCCGCCAGAGCTGCTCGCGCATATCTTCCTCCTCGGGACCGCGCAATATGATCCCCTCGAGGATGAAGACGAGTACGATGACGACGACGAAGATGACGAGGGACCTCTCTTTGAGGTCCTCGTATCACATGTCTGTCGTCTCTGGCGGGATATTGCCTTGAACACGCCCGCGCTCTGGACTAGAATCGACTTTGATGATGAGATCACACCATACGAAATGTCTCAGGTGTATCTTGAGCGGTCAAAAAACGCGCCTCTTGATATATCAATTGATATCACAAAAGACATGGCACTCGACGGCGCGGAGCAAGAATTGCGCATACATTCGGAAGAACTCGATGAGATGCTCGGCCTTGTCTTGCCTCATGTCCCGCATTGGCGCGCCATAGACATCTCTGTCTCTGAGTATTCTGTCATGCACAATGCCCTCATTCTGATGAGCCAATGCCCCGCCGCTCCCATGCTGGAAGTACTCCAACTCTATCATTACGAGGACCCGGATGAAGAATCTGAGACCTTCTCCCCAGCAGTCTTTAAGGAACAAAAATTTGTCCTGTTCTGCGGCAATGCGCCAAAATTACAGCATGTGGCGCTTTGGGGTGTGCATCTGAACTGGGCCGAGTCGCGCTTCCTCAGCGGATTAATAGATCTCGAACTTGCATATCACCCGAAGGACGTGCGTCCAAGCTTCAATGACTTTTCTCGCATACTCCGCAAGTCTCCAGGCATCGACACGCTAACGCTCTGTCAGTCAGGGCCAGCTGGTGGACCCGTCGACTGGCTCACCAGTATCATGGAGCAGCCTCCGGATGCCAAGGGGAAGGCGTCCAGCACGGTCCCCTCCGAGCCAATCGCCAGTATCACTCTGGACTCCCTCAAGAGCTTTGTCATTGCATACGTCGAGGCCGAGTATGCGACCGCGCTCGCAGAGCGCCTTGCGATGCCCAACGTAACGTCGCTGGCCATCGACTTTGACGAGGACGCCGACTTCAACGGCTTCCTCACCACAATCACACGCCCCTCGCCCGCCACGGACAAGTCGCTACTGGGTGGGCTCGAGGCGCTGAAGCTCTCGGGAATCCCGTGCACCGACACAGCGCTGATCGCCGATGCGTACGCAGCGATGACCAACCTGAAGTCGATTAACCTGAATTTCCACTTCCTGTCGGAGCCGTGGCACAAGCTCCTCGTGTATGGCCCCACTACGCCCGGGAGCAGCACAAAGCCGGCGGTGCTCCTGCCACGTCTCGAGGCAATGACGACCACGGGACTCGACGGCCGCCAGGTGCGCCATATCGTGGAGCGCCGGAAGGACGCCGGCTTGACGCTCAAGTACCTCTACATGAACGAAGAAGACGAGCTAGAGGAGGAGGACGAGAAGTGGCTCAAGGGGAATGTGGCCGAGTTCGAGTATTTTGAGGGGTCCGACGAGGAGGATGTCATCGAAATCGACATCGATGAGGGCGACGGATGGGAGGATGTAGATGACGATGAAGAAAGTGATGGAGAGGAGGGCGAAGGGGGCGTGGAGGACGAAGACGACCCTATGGAATGACCGACTTGTCTGTGAGAAAGCCGACTGCTCTCTATCTCGCGTGTACTTCAAGGGATCATACTCACGGAAACATTGTAGTCAGATTATGCTATACCGAATACATAAGGATTGCTACCTACCTGAACCAGACGCTATTACGAAACTTGCTCCAAAAAGGTTGACGAGATGGGCGCATTCTGCCATCAACCTTTGTTCATTACAAGTAGGCCAATTACAGCAGCGCTATCAGCAGTGGAATGGTAATGCCCCACCATACAGTCTATCCCCCAGCATCATTACTTCCGTAGAGGCCCTTTACTTCCGTGTCGCGAATGCTCACTCTATCCCCTAATCAAATTTTCCTCTAGTCATCAATCAATTGCCTCTTGTGAAAACGACTGTTGGTATGAAACAAACCCAAACAAAACTTGAGCTCGAGCATGGATCATGGTGCTCGTCTTCGTGACGCGTGGTGAACTACATGTGCCACACGCGCGTTCCACTACGGGATACTGTGCCAGAAATCATGGAGGGCATAGATTGCTAGGCCCACAGCGAATAATCGATGACAGATGTGGTGGAGATCGGCGTTCATTTTGACTTATCAGCACTTCCCGAGTGTGCTCTTTCTCGTATAATGAATCCAGCTTCAAGTTCTCCAAACCAACACACTGGGCCAAAGAAGGATGCCAATCCGATGTGTCGCTTGTGTCCGCTTTGACATAAAAATATGTGACCATCCTTGCCTGACATACAATAATGCTCTTGGATTCTTTTGGTATACCACAAATTGCTGACCTTGCTCCTGTTTAATGGTGGTGAGCCGCCCGCTTACTTTACCAAATGCGGAATTACACTCGATCCTTCTAGATCGAATGTGTTTACGAACCACGATTGCTCGCGACTTGTAACACGCTCAAAACAGTTCAGAATAGAGCCAATGTCATTGTACAGTGCGTGATGGAATATCAGACTACAATAAAGTTCGGACCCGTGAGTAGCCTGCACGGCGTCCGAATCATATTCACTGCCAATGTCTCATAGAAGCAGACTTGTGGAAAACTAAACAAAGACCCTGGGTATCGATTCCTGACCACAGCGGCTGTCCAGATACCCAGACCCAGACTAATTCAACACACCATCGCTCACATGCTTAGAAGTCGTGGATGATATCAAATATGCTCGCGTATGTACTACAGCATGCGTGTATGGTCAGCGGCTACTCGTCAGGAGCAGTAGCAATTGCTCTGCAAGTACGTATTATGATATACAGCCTGAGATCTTCTAGAGCATATGAGCATGAATCAGACAGACGTTATACTACAATATAATGTAACAACATGTGGGACTCTTCTTGGAATAGTACAGCCAGTGTCCTGAGTGACAGGAGTGTGAATGCAAGAATTGGGGAGATTGTAGACGTGATCACTGTTCGAGGGGACTAGCGAGACCTTTGCACTGTACTCGGGCGAGGCCGAGTACAACGTCGGGGACGCCGTCCTCTTCCTCGTCCCAATAGCTCGAAGAGCTCCTCCCCTTTCCCTTCGTAGAAGCAGGACGGTTCGCCGCATCCACAGAATACATGGGTCGGTGGGGGTTCGGCATGGACACAAGGACGGTGATCTCCACCTGGCTCGTCTGCGCCAGTGGATCATCTGCAGCATCCGAACCTGCGGATTGCGACATACTGAGCGACAACGGAGAGGTTGGGAGGGTGGATGATGCAGTCGCACGCCTGCGTGCGAAAGGGCGCTGCAGGACACCCAAAGCAGTCTGACGAAGTGTGGGTGTCAGCTGCGGCTCTGCAGGAACCGAGGGACTGTCGCTGTTCCCGGTCCTCGCGGTTGCAACGTTCAGAAGCCTAGCAGCGACAGGCTGGGCATGGCTTCAGCTGAGGACGCCAGCGCAATTAGAGACAACGAAGCCCACCATGACTTTTGCCCATTCCTCGCGGTGAGCAGGCAGCAGCGAGGCATCCCAAAGTCTTGGCTTCTCGAGTCTCTTTCGAGACCCCGGAGCGCCCGCAGTCGGGGTAAGAAGAATACCCGCAGCAAGGGCCTCCTCGACCCTCCGGCGGAAACGCCTCCGGAGAATGAACGACCGCAGGACGATCGCTGCGGAGACGAAGAGGAGGAGGAAGAGGGTGGCTAGAAACGTAAACCTGGTGGACGAGTCAGATTGGTATTGGGACGACATGCGGTGGTCAGCAGAGGAACGAATGTGGGAGAATGGCCGAGACTGGCCAGGGGGGAATGATGATGATACGCAATTACGCACAAATATAGCGACGAGGAAGGCGATGACGAGCCTGAACCTGAGTTCTCGCTGCCTAGAGTCTGGCTCGGCGTGCTAGAGGACACCGACGAAGCTTGCGTCGAGGTCGCCGATGACAGCGAGCTCGACATGGTGGGTTATCATTAGGGGGCGTGTTCGGCTTGCCCGCGGGGAGACATGATGTGAAAACATACCCCTTTAGGCAACTCCGCACTTCCTTGCGGCCTGGCCGTAGTTATTCAGCGGGAAACGTGCTTGGAGAATCATGGGCCAAAGTCATGTAGTTACGGGCCCATTGCATGGCAGCAAATATACACGCATGTCGACCGGTCTAGACAGAGGCGGGACATGCGGAGGGCAAGGGACTGCGCACCATTTCTTCCGCGCAGAACCGGAAATGAAGTACGCTCCCAACCTAAGTGCTCATTACGTGCTCTCCGAGAGAAGAGAGAAGAGCGCATTCAAATCGAACCTCGGACGCGCGACATCCGCATGGGCAAGATAACGCTATTGAAACTTCTCTTTCATTTCACTATTATGTGGTCGACTTGTACGAGTAATTACATGCGGTCGTCAGCAGTTTCATACGGATACGCAGGGCGCGGCAACAAGCTGGTGCGCAAATCGGAACAGACGGCCAGTCGAAACGGGCGAATAACGAGGGTGGGCGTCCGCCAGGCCCGCGCGCCCAGACACATCGACGGTGTGTCGTCGCCGCAGCGCGGCGCGGGCCCCTGCGGACATCGAAGGAACGCTGGAACGCTGAAACGTAGGTGCTGAGTATATGCACACAAGCAATGGCACTGTTATCGGGTCTCCTGGTGAGCCACGGCCGCGGCACCGCCACCGCCGTCCGCAAGGAAGCCCGGCTGCGCGTATAGGGCGCTGTAGACGTTGAGGTGGATCGACGCCAGTTTTGATAGCTTCTCCGCGAGATGCTGGATCTCGGGCATGAGCGGCTCGAGCCCGTTTGTCGTCCCTGGGTCAGCGTCGTCCGCTGCGCCCGATGCGTCGCCCTTCCGCAGCGCAGGAACGATGATCTGTACTGCCGCCGCGAGCACCTCATCACGGATCCGCCGGCGCATCAGCGCGCTTAGTGGAGAGTCGTCCCGCAGGTGGGACTCGGCCCAGCTCGCTGCGAGCTTGATCAGCTGTTCGTCCGGTGTGCGCGTGTGCGAGAGGCCTTGAGCAGACGAAGTCGAGCCCGATCGCGCGTCTGTCGCGCGCATAGTTATTTGCAGGACGACGTCGCTCATCTCTGAGCGCCATTTCGTCGACTCCGTGTCGGTCTTGTCTCCCGTCTCCTTAGACGCCCCCCGTGCGCCCTGGAAGCAGTGGCCGAGGTGTGCGGGCCCGATCTCCCAAATCTCCTTCTTGAGCTTCATGAGCTCGTCGACCTTCACGTACGCGCGGGCAATATCGCTCGGCGGGGATGATCCGGAAAACACAAGCTGTCGGTAGAGCATTAGGAGCATATACAGAGCGGTAAAATCTCCTGCGTCGGTGGTGAATGTAAGCAGGCGTGCGTGGTCAAGATAGAGTGTCTCTGGGTATCCTTGCAACAGCGTAGTGCGTGGCGTAGAGGGAAGGACGGTGGGGGAGGCGGCCGGGAACGAAGACGGAGGGTTGAACACCAAGTCCACGATCGCGCCCGTAACCGCGATTTGGACCTGCGTCCGCCGCGGCAGTTTTTCAAAGCTGCTGCTGCCTGCAGGAAGTGCGCATAGGCCGGACGACTCGACGCGTCGGACAATTTCGAGGTGCGCGGTCCGCAACCACTCGCGTGTTGTCTCAAGCGAGAGGTGACCGCCCTGCCGGCATTCCTGGAAGGTTTTGAGCTCATACTGCGCGGCAGACTGTATGAGATACGGTCGAAGCGTCTGAAGCTGATGGTTGGCGACGTCCTATCAAAGAACACGCGTCAGTACCAGCCATATCACTCACGCTGTCTGCGGGCAGTGTGAACTCACCAGCTTCATCAGCTCCATGATCTCGAAGCACAGTCGAATAGCACGGACGGCATCAACCTTGCTGCCATTGCCACCGGGGGCGCACGACTTGGCCAAGGAGACCATCTGGTCGACCGCATGGTCACGCATCGGCGCGCAGTGGCAGCGGATGATATCACCGATGGTCTGGAAAACACCTGACGGATCGAACAAACCGTGCTCCATCTCCTGCTGGATGAGGTCCGCATCGAGGACGGATCGCAGCAAGGCTACATGCGTGACGTTCTGCTGGAACTGGGGGTGTAGGGAAGTGGGCTGCATGTACAAGCCAGTGGACTTGGACATGACAGGCTGGATGATGGACACGAGCACCTCGAGAAGCTCGAGGAGGAGAGGGCGTATGCGTGAGGCTACGCGCACGGTGGTGCGGTTATCAGCCGTGCGCGCGTAGACCGCTCCGCCTGGCGGCATCTGGTGCGTTTGACATATGCATATGCGGTCGGATGGGCGTCCGTGGGCATCCACGGTGAAGCACGTACATCCGCATTCGAGCTCACGTATGATAGCAAGCCAATAATTGTCAGCAAGATCGCGTTTCCGGCGACTGGACGTGGGGCGGAACTGCAACCCAGAATCAAACAGTAAATCATGGCCTGAATGTACGTATGGAAGGATGAGAATGAGATGGGCGAGAACGCAAGAGGAAAGAAAAGAAAAAAGACGAACGAAGTTGGGGATTGCGGAGAATGGCTTCAAGATCTAATTCTTTCAACGTGTCCCGGTTGATCGGGGGTTGATGTGGGGGTATATGATGCGGGATAGGCTCGATCGGAGACACGGGCAGTGAAGAAACTGGACGAGGAGTGGAGGGAAGGCTGCTGTAGCGAAGCAAGGAGCCTCTGCTGGGGCCAGGCTCGGTTGCAGAGACGATACCGGTATCGCGCGTCTCACCAAGGCGCGCACGGCGCGAGTGCCTGCGCGGCGACGGTACGCTATGGCTGTAGAGCGCACGGCCTCTGCGTACACGCCTGGCAGCGGGCGAGCTGGGGGGTATATCTATACGCGGACGCTTTGGTCTTGACGGGCCCTCCTTCTGGGCGTCGGATAGGAAGGGGACTGCAGATGACGCAGGTGATGGCTGTGACCAGGAAGACACAATACCTTGCTCTGCGTCTGCAAGCAGCCAGGCCGGGGTCTGGGTATGGTCTGAAGTCTTGGACGGACATCGCGGGGTTGCAGAGGAATCAATTAGCATGGGTTCGCAGGTGGAGGAGGGGTCAGAGGACGAAGGGGCGTCCTGGACCTGGCAGTCGTCGCCGTCTGCCTTGCGCTTGCGACTGAGGGAGTGGACAGGGAGGGACTCATGGGCGAGGTCGTCCATGGAGGCGGAGGCGGGGCAAGCAGACGAAGATGAGGGAGAGGAAGAAGGATATGGGGGACCATATTTAGGGAAGGAGGGGGAACACATGGTGGCACGCCCCCCACGCTGCCAGGCGCTGCCATAAGCCCTCTGCACGCAATAAAACAGACGCTCTCCGCATTTTCTGCTTATTCTCTGTCCCACACACCGTCCCTCGACGGCCCCTGCACGTCCCCCTGCCGCATGGCATCAACACCCACACACCAGACCCACCAGCAACACCAGCGCAACCATCACCGGCCCCGTCGCATCCCGCACCCACAACGCCCTCGCCCCCGACCCCACCTCTCGCAGCAGCGACGCCCTCTTGTCAGCGGATCAGCTTCCACCAATCTCCGTTGCACCCGTTCGCACGCTAAGTCTGCACCATCGCCACGTTCTCGCTTTGCACGGGCGTTTTGCCTCGTCCGTCTCTGCCAGCTTCCCGTAGTACGTAACGCTGCCCTTTATCAGATCACTTCCGCAAAGTCTGTCCGAGCCATCGTTGTTGCGCCATCTGAATCTGCACCGCTCGCACACACCGCCGTCCATGTTTAAGCGTGTCCCGACAAGCCTCGCCAACAGAACAGTTGCCGTGCTACGCCACCGCCTGAGCTCATCACCGGCAGCGTTTGTCTCGCGAGTCGCGACCCCGCCGCGAGAAACTATAGCCACACACGATCAACGCTATGGCCGTCTGCGAGCCTCCTGCCACGAGGCTCTCGCAGCGCCTGCATCACGTCCGTGCGCTGGACCACCGTCTGCCCACAACGCTTCCAGCCGTCAGTCCCCCTCAGAGTGATCAGAAAGCGCATTTCCCGCGCTCCAAGTGCATGTCAGACCGAAGGTATGCTGACTGCGGGCCGGCACATAACTGCCCTTCTGTTCTTACTATAAAGTACGCGCGACATGCTGATCGATAGCGCTGCCGTACTGCCCCTTTGTGGAGTGAGCGGTCCTGTATGCACGGAGTCTCAGCTCAGTCAGCGATCTGCTAGGGCCTGCTCCGAGGCATCGAACGTAGCCCCGTCCCGTGCTTCCTCGGACCATGCCAAGCCCTGGCACGGTCCAAGTCGTTTCGCAGTTCTGCATCCGCCTTTCCAGACATGTCTGACCAGCGACTGACTCGATCATGCCATTGACCCAAACCTGATCCCATCCGTGCAGCTCCCCGCCCGGGGCACCTTCTCCTCGGCTTCATCACGTCCTCTCTACCCCCGTCTTCCCTCGTCTTTCGTACGGACACGCCGCTCCCACATACGCTTCCACACCCCTTTCTTTACCCATTTGAAAGGCGCATGCCGAGCTGCCCCGCTCGCCCCCTGCCAGCGCGGCCAAGGCCCTGTGCCCCCGCGGGCCCCATATGATAGACCGCGGGGCCAATACGGATGGCGGATAAGACCATCGCTCTGCGGAGCCTGCCAGCCTGGGTGGGCCGCCCGCGCAGGCTTATCTCAGCGCGGGCTGCAACAGGCGGCATGGCGTGCATGTACTGGGCTGCTCCTGCCTGAGACGGCACCCAGCATGCCTCGAGAGCCTCTCACGTCCGCAGGCGCCATGAAAGGCATCTGTGGGCCGCTGATTCTATCACGTCATGGGATATACAGATATATCTCCCTCTTGCTGCCCCGCATTGCCTGCACCGCGAACCTACGTGCGCCATTCAACCTTCCTGTAGAGGACTTAAAGGGGCTCCGAAGATCCCGCGACGTGTGCGAGCCCCAGTACACCTCGGACACAGTGTCCTGCTATCTCGCGGGACCAGGACCCTGGCGCAACGGGTGCGTTGAAGCAACAGATAAACCAGCTGTCGCTAGGCAATGAGGTCAGAACAATGTTTCCATCTCGTGTAGGTTTGACGTCACGAAATCGGATATTTCATTATGGCGACAAACATCCTTCTCACCCCGAACATGCCGCATCATCATGTGTGGTCATGAGATTGCATCGCGACAGCTATGCAGGTACAATGTATGCAGTGTAAAAAGGTCCTTCACTCATCGTCAATAAGCTTCTCGCCTGCCTTGCCGTTTGTCTGGACATCGTCCGTCGGCTTCTTCGCTTTGCGTCCATAGAATTCTGCGATGATCTTCGGATTGATACGGTTCAGCTGCTCCTTGGGGAAAATGCGCAGGAGACTCCACGCAAGGTCTAGCGACTCAAAGATGGTCCGCGACTCGTACGCCCCTTCGGACAACGTAAGTACAACGACTATTGGATAGAGGATAATGACTCCGTGATTAGGCGTACCTTGTCCCACGAATCCGCGTTCAAACTTGTCCAGGAATTCCAGCGCCAACTTGTCCTCCGGTGACAACGCCTCCTCGCCGACGACAGCCTTCATTGCCGCGGCGTCACGTCCGATGGCATACTTGGCGTACTGAAGATGACGCATGTCAATATCATTCAATAGCGGGTGTCTGTGTAACTTACCAGTTGATTTGAAACATCTCCGTGATCCTTCCGCGTGAGCTTCTCACCAATAGCACTCTTCATCAATCGTGACAACGAGGGGAGCACGTTGATTGGCGGGTAGATCTGCCTGTTATGCAACTGACGATCAACGAAGATTTGGCCCTCCGTGATGTAACCTGTCAAGTCAGGAATCGGGTGTGTGATATCTGGATAAACCAGAATCAACGAAGTTGGCCTTGAGACGATTTCCGTCTGACACTCACCATCGTTCGGCATTGTCAGAATGGGGATCTGAGTAATAGAGCCATTCCGACCCTGCACACGCCCTGCACGCTCGTAGATTGTGGAAAGGTCGGTGTACATATAACCTGGATATCCACGGCGACCTGGGACTTCTTCTCGCGCAGCGGAAACCTAGGACAACGTGCACAATATCCGATCAATTAGGCTCATTGAATAGAACACGAAGCAGTGCACACCTCTCGCAAAGCGTCCGCATATGACGACATGTCGGTCAAGATAACAAGGACGTGTTTTTCAAGCTGGTAAGCATAGTACTCCGCAGTCGTGAGCGCGAGACGAGGTGTGATGATTCGCTCGATCGTGGGGTCGTTGGCGAGGTTAAGGAATAGGGTGACACGATCTAGACTACCGTTCTCCTCGAAGTCTTGCTTGAAGAAACGCGCTGTCTCCATGTTCACACCCATAGCCGCGAAGACGACAGAGAAGTTATCCTCATGCCCATCATGCACGTCCTTCGTTGGTCGCTTGACGAGTCCGGCTTGTCGCACGATTTGTGCCGCAATCTGTAAGGCTGCATGCAGGACAGCGACACCACCGCATGTTCCAGGCACTTACTTCGTTATGGGGTAGACCAGCAGCCGAGAAGATCGGAATCTTCTGTCCACGCGCAATAGAGTTCATCGTGTCGATGGTGGAGATACCGGTCTGAATCATCTCCTCAGGGTATATGCGAGAATATGGGTTGATTGGAGAACCTACATCCATCCGTCAGGGTGCCATAGCATGAGAGAGTTTAGGGAACACACCGTTGATGTCCAGATAGTCCTCCGCAAACACTTTTGGACCCTGGTCTATAGGTAGACCTGAACCGTTGAATATCCGGCCCAACATGTCTTCCGCGACGGGCAATTTCATGCTGCTTCCGGTGAACTCGACGTGCGTGGCTTTCACATCAACTCCTGACGTTCCCTCGAACACCTGCACGATGGCCTTCTTGCCCTGTACCTCAAGCACCTGCCCACCGCGTTTCGTTCCATCTGGAAGCGTGAGCTGCACGATCTCGTTGTAGGAAGGGAACTGTGCCGCGGTAATGAGTCCGAATGACCATGGTGTGTGCATGCACACGTACCTTGACGTTATCAAGCACAACAAGAGGACTGGACCCACGTCAATAAGATATTATGCATGCGGTGTTAGCAACACACACCCATTGATTGCAGAAACAGTTCGGTAGTCTAATTGCACTGTTCAGCGTGTCTGGCTGTGTGAATGCAATCGTCCTTCTTACCCAGATGCGGCTGGACCGTGTACTCCCGCGTCACTGCAGCAGCATTGATAGCAGCGAGCTCCCCATCGCTCAATCGCGGGTCTGCAACCATACTCAAAGCAATTAGGGAGCACAGGAGTTACAGTACAAGTGAGAGCACGTCGACGAATTCAAGGTAGCGTTGCCGCGCAAGTCCACATATTCTGACGTCTTTATTCCCACGCTTATGGTGTTACAATTGTTGTAAACTACGTCATTAAATCGGTCCGGTCCGTCGTTTCGACTTACTGCTAGGTGCCAGTCTTGCTCATGCAACTGAGCCTGAAAGTAGCCGAGTACATATTTCTGTCGCGCTTTGTAGGGCGTGTGTATCGCTCGACGTCCTGGAATATTCAGCGTCAGGGGACAAGCGGTCGACAATGAGCGGAATACGAACCATTCTGTCTCCAAGAGGACCTCTTCGATACCGTCAGTTTCGAAGCCGAGGTATTTACTCTGGAGAACAAGATACAGATGTTCCGCTGTGTCTGCTCGGACCTGCGACGCATTATCGATTTACAGATTAATCCCGATCGTCTCAATTGAGACTTACCTTCGGATATTGGTGAGTCAGGAAGCTGGGCAATTGTGCTACGCATTCCGCCCGTAGTGGTTCCAATGGCAAGATGTTGACAACACTGAGTTATCATTCAACAGAGTGTCCTGGATAGAGCGAGTGGGAGGACAGACATTCGCATTGACATCATGATTCGTTGCAGATTTTTCAGCCGCGCGACATTCCTCGAGGCGATTCTGAGCAAACTTCTGAGGCTGGCATGTATGGAATAAGTAAACACGCAGGTTCAGCAACAAAGAAGACGCACCTGTCTAGACCGGAAGGCTGCTCGGGCAGCGGATCAAATGCATCAGCTTCCAGCAGAACATTAAACGTCTGCAGGATCGGCACGACAACGTTGTTTGCGCTGAGATTCTGCGCAGCCGGCGCAAGCAGGTCTTTCGCCAAGCCGCATAGGTCGTAGCGCGTTGACGGTGTGGCAACAAGTGGGAGGCTCTGCGCATATGTAACTAGACTTCGTGTCACAGGGCGTTGCTGTGGGTGCATCAGTTTCAGTGAGAGCCGCGCCTATCCGACCACGCACAGTGCTGTCTGTCTTCGTGCTCGCGCTCAGCACGAGACCGGCAAGGATGGCCTCACGGTATCTCTCGATTTCGAGCAGGCTGACAGCTTTTGGGAAAAGCGTCTCGCCGTCGTTCCAGCCTATTATCTCGCCCTCACTACGAAATGCGGTTAGAGACCATGAGGCCGCAGGAGAATCATCTGATACCTAAGGAACAGTTTCTTCATGTTCTCTGCGCCTTGTATTTGCCACTCTTCCGCATGGGTCACTTGAGGTAGCTGCAGCCGAAGCAGGCGCAAGAAGCACTCGCCAGCTTGCTGACGGACGTTGTCAAGTCTCTCTACACCTTGCTTCAGAATCCCACCGACGGCGTCGTGGTATCTTGACGCAGGAAAGTATTCCGGGAAATTCGGCAATTCTCTCGCGTGGCCAAACATGGTCTCAGCGAACGTCGTAAGGCCCTTCACACAAGCGATCCGAACCCAGGAACCAACGTCGCCTCGTTCATCGGATGTATAATCGGTAAGTCCGTCAAGAAGGGCATCCTGCAACGCACAGACCGTTGGCGTGGCCAAATCTAGCGAGTCATCAGAGTACATCATGGGAATCTGATCGAACGTCGTACGTGTAGGCAGCCTCGAGGCCACGTTGGCTAGAATTTGGGGCATTGATGCAAAAGCGTTACGTCTGGCTTCTACAGTCATGCTTCCAACAGGAACCTGAGATCTTGGTCAAAGCGGCGCCATGAGCATGACCCGAAGCGAGATCTCACAGATCGATCCACTGAGCTGAGAAGACAGCGGACTGCTTCTGCGAGTCCATTGGGATGTAAGTTGTAATCAAGGACTCCGAGCACTCTGCAAAGGCTCTGCTGCATCGACGGGGAGCCTCCGCTGAACTCTCGGATCAATCTTGACCGCGGTCAGTAGGTGCATTGGTATGCGTTCCGAAGACTCACCTGCTGACAACAGCAGAGCAGTCAACAAGCTTGCTCACGGCAGCCATGGCCGTTGCTGCAGCCTCCTGAACTATCGTGCTCCTACTCTTCAAACCAATGTCGACGATTTTGCGCCAGTGGGGGACGGATGTCTTTTCAAGATCGATTTCTGAAGCAGAAATGCTGCTCGCAATCAAGCTACATGCTGCGGCAGTCACCAGTTCATGTCTCGGAGATTCTATGATGTTGAGCGGGACTTGCGACAGGGATGCGAAGATCTAAGCTCGTGAGCTCATGCAGACTGACGTTAAAATGCGTGCCCACCTTGCGACACTCTAACTCGAAACTTCGTTCCGCTTCGCGATATGCAGAGGATATCTCCGTGAGCGCCAGAAGTGAGCCGTGTATGTCGCTGGTATCAGGACCCATGGCGAACAAGGACTGGTGCGCATACGTCAGATTAGACAACTTAAGCATTATAACCATGCTCACCGCTCTTTCTGCAGCTTTGGGGCCCAAAGCTGGGAGTTCAAGTTCGCAAATGGCTCGCAGGGATTGTGCTCCAAGTAGTCGCATTGCTGGGTCCCAATGTCGAATAGTGATGGTCAATAGATGGTCGATTAAAAACGGCCTGTACGCTTCATGTCTGCGCATACATTAACTGAGAAAGGTTGATGCAAGTCAAACAACAACACTCACTCTGCAACCTCACGCGCAGCAACGAGGAACGCATGCCGGCGTATCCCAACTGCATAAAAATCGGTCTTCCGCAGGACATCAATCCCATGAGCAAACAGGCTCTATGTATGACCAGAATCAACCGAGGACTTGAGGTATTCAGACAGTGGGACTGACCGTTCTCCCAACATACTCTTGGAAGGTAGCGCTTGCAGCCCGGCGGATGTGTATCTCCCTATCAAACAGAGATACTGCGACCAACCGTCGAGACAGGTTTTCTGCGTGCGGCGCCAGCGCTGAGGTACGCTGTGCTCTCGCAAGCGACCAAAGCACATAGCAGGCTGCATCCCGGACACTCGAGCCGATGGAATGCGCGCCCTTTCGGATGTCGAAGTACAAGGCCTGCGTATCCAAGAGATGAGCACTGACGCTCTGGTTGACTCCATTTTATCAAGCGTACCTTGCAGAGCCAGCCAATCAGGTCAGGCAACTTCTCGTCTGCGATGAGACCCCTCCTGGCTATCTCGGCACATGCGAGGCAGGCGCCATGCCAGGTCCCTTCTGCAATGGATGGCATGTCATATATGCTAGCAGCTGCGATAGAATGTATAGAGAAGAGCCCGATCACTGTATCCACTACTTGTTCAATGAACTCAGCAGGGAGACGCTCAGATATGCGTGCAGCACCCTTAGCAGCTGACCATCGCACTATCGTATCCTGATGATGCGTGCTGAGTAATAGAGACCGAATGGCACTCGTGTGGTTGTACCTTATCCTGCAATGCTTTAAAAAGCTCCTCCAGTATGCTTTCGACTTCTTCTGGGACGTCAATTTCCTCCTCAGCGGAATGTTCTTTGTTGGAATCTACCTCGTGATGCGCAGTCAAGGCTCGACCTATTGCGTGATGAGCGACGGAGAACGATACAATTACTAGTCTACTGACCTCTGGTGCGTGCAGCGCTGAATGTGGCAGGGAGCAATCGCAAAGCGATCCGGGAGATGAGCTTTGTGCGCAATTTACGAATAAGGCTATTTCCCATGAGGCTCTGGCTTTCTTGTACGGCGTTGACGACCTCAAGCAACGTGGCTACATGCGTAGATACTTGCTCAGCAGACCCAGCTTTTGCAATCTCACACAAGACTTGCAGGATACCAATCGCCTGCCTGAATTTAGCGTTTGCGAATATCGACATGATGAGGACTCACAGGAAATGGATCGGTTGGAGATTTCATGAATGACGTAGCCCATTCGAGGAACGCGGGGAAGTTCACGCACGTATCCTTTCTACACAAATCAGCATGAAGCTGCGGGAACTGGGCCTGAATTGCCTACCTACCTCATGTAGAATCTCGCAAGCAGAATTGATGCACCTTCGCGTTCTAATCCTGCCTTGGCCAAATATGATTTGCCTAGAGCCTCCATCATAATAGCGGTCTGTCCGAGTTGGTCGCGGTCGTCAAATTGTTCCAAGTCAAATGGTATCATGCAGATGAGGGAGAGCCATAGGAGCACAACATATCTCAAAGACCACTGGGCGGGGTCCTGAGACGGGCTCCGTGGCGACGAGATGTACTCTAGCACGATGGAAAGGTCTGCGATCTCGTGAGGGAAGAACTTTGCTGAGGGCGACGAAGTAAGTCCACATCTTCATAGCAGACATTCTGCACTGACTGATCGTCTTGTATCCTCGGAACTTGATATAAGTGTACAATAGCTGCGCGACGCGGCTCACACGAGTGCCCTTCACGTCCGTCGACTGATCCTCTATCAGCGCTCTAGCATGACGCTTCAAAGCCTCAACGACCGGTGTGACAAGTTGTTCCAGGAACGGATCCAAGAGATATGCTTGTTCTTGGTATTCGTTGAGCTTGGGAGGCGTTTGAGATGAACGCGCTCATGAGGCGTTAAGGTACTCACAGTACCAATTAGCTTATTCAGAAGAAGTGACTCCTCTCTATCAGCTACTGCTCCAGGCTCCTCCAAAATGTCAGACGACAACAGCGTCCGTTGAGTGTCCAGAAACTCTTGGTAATTATCAAACGTCGCGAAGAGACGGTCCTCGGAGGAATCCACGTCCTCCATGGTGATGGTTTCAGCTTCAAATATCTCAGTGAAACTCTCGACAACTGTTGACTCAGAGCGGAATGACATTAGTTGGCGGGGGTTGGAAGCTCGGAGGGATTTGCGATCAATCACACCGACTTACGATCGTGTCGCGCTGTGACGTCACGCGTCTATGCAATGATCTTCGTCACGCTGATGTCCTGCGTCGGGTGCCACCATCTGCATTGCACTGTGACTGTCATATAAATAGCTGAGTTGGCTTGGAACTTGATCAATGCTATGAGAAGCCACAGATAGGGTAAGACATTGAAAGAAAGATACGGTAAGTCCGAGCAGGTACATTCACGTATCTTTGTACGCCGCGATAGCTCTAAAACGCTCTTTATCGCAAATCGCAGCTTCAGGGGCATTTGTCCTGATAGCATTTCACGAGTCGATGCTTGGCGTCTGACGCGATATAAAGTCGAAGAGCGATTAGCGTCTCTCGTTGTGCCCAGCTGTAGGTCTCTAATTGCTGCGATACGTGATTCCTCTTCCAGTGGTCATGACGTCCGCGGTGAAACTTGGCGACGTCCAGGGCATTCCCATCGTCAACTTTGCAGCCTTCATCGATGGCTCAAACAAGCAGGAGGTAGCAGATGCCATGCTTGATTCGTTCAAGACTGTCGGATTCGTTTACCTTGTGAATCATGGCCTCGCAAAGGAGAAGATCGACGGGATGTTCGACTGGGTATGTCGTCATTACATTGATCGGCGACGCGGTACCGATGACCTATGTCTGCTATCACAGTCGAAGAAATTCTTCAAACAGCCTGTCGAAGTCAAGCAGCTCGCTCCTCATCCAGAGTCGGGCGCCCACCATCGAGGTACCGTATTTCAAGTACTCTGAGTGCGATATCACTCATGACGTTGACAAGGTTACTCTGCGCCTGGAAAGGAGAAGGTGTCGCAGCATGTGTACGACGCCGGCGAGCTGGCAAAGCTTCGTGCTAAGGCTCCCGACGCGAAGGAGAGCTTCGAGTGTGGCCGTGAACATGACCCGCACATGTCCAACATTTGGCTGCCTGATGGCGTACTTCCCGGATTCAAGGAGGCGTGCCTCGACTTCTTCTGGGTATGTGCATCCTGTATACTACGATCAGACGATCCAATGACGATTGATGGATAGTCATGCTACGAAATCGAGAAGACGCTCTTGAGAGCGCTTGCGTTGGGTCTTGGCCTTTCAGAGGACTATCTTGTCGGCTTTCATAAAGAAGCCGATAATCAGCTCCGGCTCTTGCACTACCCGAGGCGAGCAAGTTCCTAATGCAATGCTAGAATAGCACTAACACGCGGTGGGTCTCATAGTGTGTCGATCGACGAGCTCCAGAGGGATGAGATTGCTAGGATCGGTGCACACTCTGATTTCGGTAGTATTACATTGCTGATGCAAGACGGCGCTGGTGGATTGGAGGTGGAAAGTCCCAATCAGCCTGGCGTTTTCACGGTACGTTACGTCTCCGTATGATGCCTTACACTCGAGGCTAAACAGTGCATCTCAGAGCGCTGTGCCCATTGAGGGCGCCATCGTTGTAAACGCAGGTGATTTCCTAAACCGATGTACGTCCACCACTCGCGTATGACGATATCAAATTCATTTACAATGTATATCCCAGGGTCCAACGATACGATCAAGAGCACTATTCACCGTGTTCTTGCACCACCGAACCTAACCAGCGAAGACGGTATGACACCGGAACGGTATTCTATTCCATACGTACGTTTTTAATCCTAAGTATTGGCTCAATATTGACATGCTCTCTAGTTCTGTACCGCGGTAAGAGCGCCTGCTCAAAATCTGCATAACATGACCAAGGGGAACTGATTGGCTGTTATGATTCATTAGGACTTTGGGCGAACTGTTGACTGCCTTCCTGGAACGTACTCGGAAGAGAATCCAAAGAAATATGAGCCGATCTCAGTGAGTCATGGTCAGGATACCCCTCTTGTTGGAAGGCTTACCGTCTTGTAAAGGCGGGAGACTACATCAAGTTCCGGCTTACACAGAACTACTAGTCCGGGGAGCCGATTCCGCCGGTACTGAGTGAGCTCACGACGAGCTGAAGATCTCTAGAATTTACCAAATGTATATACTGTGTATGGCGTGTCGACGCTGAACAGAAATGTATTGTCTCAAAGCTGGTTCTCGTGGTTAATGGGTATATGCGCAAGCACGGCGGATGAGTGCAGCTTGAGTACTTGAGTGACGGTGCGGACGAAGCTGGTGGCGGCTGTTTGATCGATCGATCGTGACCGGCGCTTCCGTGTTCTCCGCTTGGCCTCATTCCCCTTGGACCAGACAAGTACCGTACAAGTCGCTCTGAGTCTCTTGCAACCATCACTCAGTATAGGCTTCTGGAAATCTTATACTATTAACAATGGCTTCTGTGACTGAGCAGCGCGGAACAAAGCGGAAGCGGGGGGCTGTAGCTAAAGAAGTGAGTAGGGCCATTCTGCCTTGGTTGTCTGTATCGACAGCCGCTCTGCAAGCGTAGGAAGATCTGTCTGTCAAATTGACAAGAAAACTAGTAAGCCCGCTTCTGCATATCTTGTGGCTGATATCTAATACTACTCGTTCAGTATCATGCCGCGAAAGAAATGCGCAAGGTAGCTAAGAAAGAGAAGACGTTTGAGACGCAAAAGATTGTGAAGAAGCTCAAAACACTGAGGTGAGTGAAACGGATCATGGCTGACGGAGGGCTTGTTCATTGTTTTGTATACAGGGCTAAGGACCCGGAAGGCAATGCCAAAATGATTCTCGATTTTGAGAGTCAACTCGAGGTCATTAAGGTACACACGCCTATCCGCTACTCAGTCTCTTTCCGTGTGTTGACTATGGACCAGCACCTTGACCACGAGCCTATTGCCAATCTCGCTCTTAAGACTAAACTTAACAAGGACCGCCTCTTATTGCAAAACGAACACATGCAAACCGCGATCTCGACAGAACTTAGTCCCAACCTACTAACATCAGCGGATCCTGGGACCGCAGCCAGAAAGGTCCAGGATCGGCTCCTGAGCTCTAAAACACTTGCCGTAGAGGTTCTTTCCGTCCTCACCGCCCTCAAGGAGATGGTAGATCCCAGTCTACGGAAAGGACCAGAGCAGGCTCCTGATGCGGAAGGATCTGACGACGAGCCTCCGTCGAAGGTAAAGAAGGCGAAGGCGCCTAGCCGGCCTGTAGGGGGTAGTGGCGACGAGCATGAAGGCGGGGATGAAAGCACTGCTCCCGAGGTGGACGCTGCTGGTTGGGAATCCGGGACAGTGCGCGGCGATGATGACGACGATGGTTGGGAGTCTGGGTCGGTTGACGACGCTAATCCTCGAGGTCAATCGATTGCGGGTGGAGCAGACAGTGACGGATCCGAAGCAGACGACAGCGGTAACGAAGATGAGAATAGCGATGATGAGGAGGACGACGACGACGACGACGACGATGTGGACGGTGGCGACAACGCTGCAGTCGCTATTGCATCGGCGACCAAACGCGCTTCTCAGCAAGCGGAGAAAGGAAAGAAGGTTGCACTTCCCGCGAAAGACACGAAAGGGAAGTCGAAGGCAACCGCGGAATCTACATTCCTTCCTTCACTATCTGTTGGCTTCACTCGAGGCGACTCGGACGCTTCTGATCTCAGCGACGAAGAGGTGAAGGTCGCCGACATGCGGAAAAACAGACGCGGCCAGCGAGCTCGGAGAGCGTATGTGCATCCTTCGCCGTGTCCCTCAAGCTCTAGCTCACCACAAATTTCATTAACAGTATTTGGGAGAAGAAGTACGGCGGAAATGCGAATCACGTCAAGAAAGAGCGCGAAGCAATGGCACAAGAGCCACGTAATCAGAGGCGCGCGGACCCTCATGGCAGGAATCGTACCCATCCGCCCGGCGGTTCTCGTAAGGGAGGCCCTCCTTCGGCGTTCAGGGCTCCGCCGAGTGACAAGGGCTGGATGAAGAAGGGCGAGGTACCGAATGTCCCCTCTCATGCGTCTGTACCTCCGAAGGCGAAGTCAAAAGACGACAAGCCTTTGCACCCATCATGGGAGGCAAAGAAAAGGCTCAATGAGAAGCTGAAGCCGGTCATTCTACCACCACAAGGCAAGAAGATCATTTTCTCGTAGTTGAACACAAGGTTTGGACGCATTGACATGCAGAAGGCTTGCGACCTCGTGTCTGACGACCAATAGGATATCCTCCTATTATAGACCCCCGCAATGCGGGGGCATCTGGAAATAGATGCACAGTCACTCGTGTATTTTGTAATTGGCTACGTCTAGGTCCAGGGGTGATTGGTTCATGTGAGACGAACTCTCTGACGGAGCGCTCGCAATGGCGAGGCAGCTGCCGTTCATTTCACGTTCACAGAAGACGCGACTAGAAAAACTGGAACCTCGCTGAGCATGCGGAGATGGCGCGCCATCTCACTTCGTCCCCACCTTGCCGACACATAGAAAACGTAAAACGACACTACATTTGAGAGCACGATAGCAAGCATGTCTACGATACAATGGTGACAACATAAAGGCCTAGAACGAGGTATGACGACGGCGCCACAAGGTATACCAAAAGGCCCGGAGATCTGTGAGAAAAAGCCAAACGTGACCTAGGATGACGACAGTGTACATCACTGAGCTTTACGGCAAGTGTGCTTTTTGCCTCCGCTACTCTGCAATCTGCATTCTCGCGAACACCACATCTCTCCGCATCTAGGGCAGGAAGGGAAGTTGGCTCCCTTTTGCGTGCAATTTGCGCAGCGCGTCTGCACGGATATTTTTGAGGCGTCCTCAAGCGACTCAAGGACCGGATGCAGCGCCTTGTGATTTAGTGTCGGCGGCGGGGAGGTCTCGCGCGCAGGGGTTGGCGGACCAGCTGACAAGGGCACGCTTGAGAAATAGTCCGACCCTGAGTATGAAGACGGAGTGCGGCATATGGACGGAAGGGAGGACAAATGCCGTGACGGCGGCCAGGCGCGTGACGGGGCCTGGTCGCCATTCGAAGCAGCATCATAGGCCCCGCTATCACTGGGGTGCGGCGGGATTTGTGATGGATATGTTCGGGGCTGCTCCGCGGCTAGAAGGGACCGCAAGGAGCGACGGGGGGAGCTTGTTGGGGTGAATGAGCCGAGCAACTCTAGATCGTCCTGAGAGGTGTGAAGCACCGCGGGCGCTGGTTTAGGGAGGGGAAGGACGGTAGAAAGAGCAGGGGGCACCCCGGGTCGGTACGTGTCTCGCGTTCGGCGACCTTGCAAGTCAACGGACGATGCCACACGTTGTCTGCGGAAGGCGCGACCCTCTCTTCCACCGGTGCGGAGACGCGTATAGCCCACCACAGCGTCTGACTGCGAGCGCGAATGCGTTGAACTCACACGCAGGACACTTCCGTCTGCCCCCGCTGTCACCCCAGCTTTCTGCAAAGCTCCTCGGAGGAGTGCGGCCCACGCGTGATTGTCGCCGGGCAGGTCGACGCGAACCGCATTGGGAGCTGGTGGCGTTCGTCGTGTGTCTGCGGCGGTATTATTGCCTGCAAGAGATGTCGCGCCGACACCACTGGGTGAGCACGCATTGCCACTCACTCTTGAGTGGATCGACAGCGATGAGACGTAAGGTTGCTGCGGGCATCATCAGGCCAGGGTATGGTGAAAGACCACTGAACTCACATACCTCACTGACGCAGGTCACTGTCGTTGACATGGGTGAAGATGGGGGCTGCTGCTGAGAAATCTGACTGCATTTATGTAAGGATTGTCAACATGGAGCGTATAATTGGGTGTCACACGACCAGACTTACCACAGGCGTCTGCTATGGGCTTCTGTAGACGGTCAGAACTTTGAAATTAGGGACTAGACCACCAGTTGCGGTCCTAGAACGGTGGTCAGAGCGCTCGTCAAAATTAGTGTTAGGTCAACAGAGGTAGGTTTGCGAGGGGCTGTTGAGAGAGACGGTGCCTAAACCCTGCTCGGACTTCCGGACTGCGTAAAAAGCCACTGCCCCCGGGCGTTGACCTGATGCTTCCGCCGCTAGGCGAGATAAGCAGAGAGTTTGATGAACTTGTGATACAAGAACAGTGTATTCCCAGTCCTGAGAATGAAAGGAGATGGTCAAAGTTAGTTGGACGATGATTAAACACACAACGATTTTAGGGGCAATTTTATGCCTGTGATCGCGCAAGCTCCGAGAAACGCGGGGACAGGGACGCGAGGTACCCGAGTTTAGTTTGGCAATTCCATCTTATCAGATACAATTGTGGCACTTATCTCGTAACTTCTGCTATCTTCCCAAACCGCGGACTTCGGGTGTCGTGTACTTATGATGTCTGGTTTGGAGATAGCCGCGAGAAGCGGGCTACGATCAAGGAAGCCTGGAATTGTACTTGGCTAAGAATACATATTGCGGAATACTAGAAATAATGCAGGAGCTCAGTCTTGTGCGTGTATATAGATGTCAAGCCAAGAAAGAATAACATCTATCCTAAATGTCATGAGATGCAAAAGACGACTGCTGGGAATCTGCACCTCTACCGTGACATACGTGCCTTGATCCCCCGCTTCCCTTCAGCCTGCATTCCCTTGAACACCACGTTTCTCCGCATCGAGAACAGCTCGGGAAGTTCGAGCCGGGTTTTCTGCAGGTCACGCACTGGGCTTGGACCCTGAATCTCGAAGCGTGCTCTAGGTCTGCCAAGCTCGGTCGAATTTCCGGAAGGAGAGGCGAGTGACTTTTGGGAGTCGCCGGTGCCTCCGATGAGGGAGCAGTGGAAAACGAATCGCGGGAGGAAGAGCGCCTGATAGACCGCGACGGGGACGCGGAGTGATCCCGTTCCGTTGCCACTAGATCAGCGCTTTCTGTGCGCACGTCGTCGTACACGTCTCTCCGCGGCAGCGGCAATTGCTGCTCATCATGAGCATCAGGACCGAGCAACGACCTCAGAGATGAATGTGAGATGTCGACGGAGAAGTAGGAGTCGACCGCGTCATAGGTCTGGAAATTGACTGCCGACGAGGCTTCGACCTTAAGAAGCGAGGTTGCGCCGCCAACCTCGAGAGCAGATAGCATAAGGGGATGGGGCGTCCTATGACCAGCATACGACGCAGTGCTGATAGCAATTAGCTCTCGTCGACGGCCTCGCATAGGAACTCGGGAGCCTTTGTTGGGGGAAAGCTCTCGCGCATTCTAGATACCCTGTTAACTAATGCGACTATGGAGACAATAGCGGACTCACGTCACTAGACTGTCTCCGAGTCTCTACAGATGTGGTCATACGGCGGTGGCCCCGAAGAGGACGATCCGTACCGACTAGTAACGAAGGATAAGAACGTAACGTGCATTACATAGCAGCCACACGTACCTTGCCGCGGCATGCAGCATAAATGTTGCGCCTGTGAGCTCGCGCCGATCTCGAGCAAGAAGTCCTCGAAGTGACTGCGTGGTTGCTCTGTGGCTTTTGAGTGCCATGTATGATAGGCTCGCTGTTAGACATTGTGAGTAGTGTATGGGAGGCAGATAGGTTCGAGAGCATACCTTCGTTGTAGGCCGGCGAACCGCTGAAGAACTCGCGGTCGTCGACATACTGGTGGGATTGAAGACACTAGGATGCTCGGGATGGGTTAACGAGCCGGTCTGAATCGCGCATCTTGTATTATATCTGCATGCACAGCTCGAAGCATAGATACAGCAGGTATCACACGAGCAGCTGAGGAGCCTGTGTCATCATAGAAGTCCACAGAATTGCGGACGCATTCGGTTGAACTGCGGGATTGCCGGGCGAGCTCAACAGATAAGACACGCTAGAGAGCACTCGCCTGCAGCAGAGTAGCCTGACCGCCTGCAGCCGGTTAAGCTACCCCGCATCGGCGCCGGCCAGAAAAGTGCTGCAGACGCATGGTGGCCATACAATTACACGCATTGTGGCTTGAGTGATCCGCCGTCATCCAATCCAGCGTGAAGGTAATAGAGGCCCGGCGGCTGTACGAATCTGTTATTAGCTTGAACCTAGGCCTGTACCCACCCAATGTGGCCAGCTGCATGACATCGGAGCTGCAGACAACCAGATTATCGAGCGTCTACAGTGGACTGGTCTGAAGCGCCTGTCGAAGCGAACCGAGCACCGTGTAACATGGGTTGCATTACTGTTCTGCAGAGAGCGCAGATATCGTGTTACCGTCAAACATGCCATAGTCAACACTCCACTTCAGAATTGTTTTTTGCTGATTCTCAGGATAGCTCGTGCATCATTGTGCACTTTGTGTTAGCTGCTCGTGTGACCACCGGTTGGGGTACTGAGCTGTTCCCTATCTCTCGTCACCAACGCGCATGCTGCACTTAGTGCGATAGGTCCTTCCCACAGCTGCAAAGATGAAACGCTGTACGTGATTGTCAATTTCATTGCTCATACCGATGGCGCGGTCCTCCGCAGAACGACTGCTGCATCGATCTGAAGCGGTGTGGCTCACAGAATAGGCGCCATTTCTTGAAAGGATTTTCTTGGAAAGGCGTATGCCGGGTAGATCATCTGAATCTGAGGCCGACTTGTGCCACCGACACTGATATAGGGCATTTCGGGAGCGTCGAGCATGTCCAGTGACCAAGATGGCGTTGCCAAGACTTCGAGACTCCGCCACGCGCAGCTGACTCTGCATGATCGTCGTCGGACGCAGAAAGCAACTTGACGAGCGGGATCTCTACGTACCTGAGCGCACTGCAGAGCACGTCTCGATAGTCTTATCATTCAAAGTCCCTGATAGCTCCTCTCCGTCCAGTGCAACATGCTATACCGCTTCCCTTCGGACCCCCTTGTTGAGGAGTACTCCATGAGCGCTCGCTGTCTGCAACTGTGGATATGTAATGGCAGCAGCACTCGTGTGACTACTAGCCTTCGGTGTTATCAAGATGATGGAGTGGCAAATGAAGCCTTCGGCTTGGAGCAGACCTCGCTGTCGAAATCGCATTGCGATGTAGGTTACCTCCTCTGTATCCGAACGAGGCACTGGCGATCGTCCTAAGACATAGCGGCGCGTCACATGTGCGCGAGCATTGGCTCCATCACTGGCCGGTTTGAAGCGAACGTGCGTTGACTTTGCTTGCACGTCGCTTCAATGAACAGACCACAACGCCTTGAGATGATTCATCAGTACGATCGCCTGTCGGCACATAGCACTCACCTCCGTCGGATCAGAGCTGCGTCCGGCCTCTCACGTCGCGTGAGGCCTCTTTTTCTCTCACCTTCATTTCCTACATGTCTTCTGGCCTCAGCTCGCCCATTTCCTGAACAAATTTCGGACCCCGCGCTGCGGGATGGTGCGGGGAACGTCATCGGTGTATTGCTTTGCTTCGTCATGAATGATCGTGAGTACCATGCCGTTAATTTCTGCTCATCGTAGAAAGTCGTACTCATGTGGCGCACTCACATGATGGTTATGGAAGTCCTTGTCGCCGCTAATCTGCCCCATGTTTCCTCGCCGCTAGTAGGGAATGATGGGTAGTCCAGACCCTGTGGTCCTGTGCGCAAGCGCTGTATGCACCCGTAGCCCTGAGCTACGACAAAGTCCAGTAGTATGTACTGTGAGCCGCATGCTGCTCCAACGTGGTTTGGTGCCGCCCCAGAGCTATTCATGGCTGAGACATTGGAACATGTCGCTTCTGACCTGAGGCATTGTACACTCTAGTGCAGTGAATGTGCCATTGGTAGACAATCCGAATAGAAGAAAGGCGTGAGAGTAACAGTGGAGAGGGCCGACTATATAGTAGTTCCAGACTGTTGAACTCGATGTCCCAAGGTCAGACTTCCATGAGGCGAACGCACAGCAAGTAGGGTGGTATGAAGGTACTATTCCAGCTGAGTAGACGCAGCATAGGTAGTGGCAGAGACAACTGCTCGTGTCATTACCCTTCACGTTCACTGTTTCGTGGTCTCCCGTAAGCAGACAATATTTTACGACCTTTTGAGTGCAGGAGGATGATCATGGACTTCAACTGCAAGCGCCCACGACGCGCTGTGCACGTGAACCGCGTCGGAGACTATTCTTCCCAATTTGGGCTTGGTTTGAGCTTTCACGACCACTGGCAGCACTTGCGACTGCCATGGGCGATGGCGACGGTATCAAAGACAGCGAGGAACGGCCCCCTCGTCTTGCACTCATAACGCCCTCGCTTTCTCCTCCGGGCTCGCGTATCGCACCGGCCACAAAATCTCGCAATGTTGCAAACAGGGCGCCCCCGGCGAAGCGCCCTCGGCTTGCGTCCACTCCCTCCAGTTCCATCTCGCTACCAAGCTCGTCGGCTTCTGAGACGCCATATCACATCCGTGAAAGCATCAAGGCCTCTTCATTACGCCTCCTAGACTTCTGGGCTCAGCTTGGTGAACGATATGACCGGCCGCTCGACGAAGATGATATTATTGACCTGCGGGACGGCACCATTGTCAAAGACCGCGGCGTTCTCCGCGGGTCGCCCACGAAATATGAGATGGGATACTTTGCAGGGGATGAGCCATCTTCGGACGCCAATGACGCGAGTAGCGACGGGGGTGGGCTACATACTGAAGGTGAGGATGAGGATGTGGATGACCTTGACTTGTTCGCGCCGGAGGCGAACATCTCGGACGAGCTCAAACTGGAGAGAGAGAAACTGCAGGCACGCCGCGAAATCCCAATGGATCCCGCCGACGAAGAGGATTTTCGAGAATTTATGGAGGCCGAGAGGCGAAGGAGAGAGTTGCATGGCGATGCTGACGAAGACGACGATCTGGAAGAGTCACAGGTCTATCATCAAATCTCTCCTCACTCAAAAAATCCTATTGCAGCCTTTACGCGGGATGATATTTCCCGAGAACGCGTCCGCTTGGAAAGGCCATTACCGCGTGCCACAGAGGTGGCAAACGACGATCCTGAATACGAGCCCAAATTTGTCTCAAACCCGCGACGGTCCCTTGCTCAGTATGACGACCTCTCCGATGACGAGCTTGCATCATGGGACATTGACTACACTACCCCGGTGAAACGACAACCAGTAACTCCCAAAGCTGCCCCAAAGCTGGGCGTTATTGACCTCACGGGTTCGCCATCATCCTCGCCCCCTCGGCCACCCATAAGACGCGGGAGGTCACAGTCAAGGGCTCCTCCGCAAAAGGCTCGGTCGGCACGGCAAGCGCATTCGAAGTCAACGCCAGATACCTCAAAGACGCCTGCGCGACAGAAGTCTAGTATGCCTCCTCCGCCCCTTCCTCTAAGTCCTGTGCGACAGCTCTTTACTCCTCCTTTATCCTCCTCGTCTGTCACTGCGAGCACCCCTGACCTCTCACAAGCTTCCGAACCGCCGTTATCATCTCCTTCTCCTTCACCACCTCCGCGGCCAAAGCCCAGACCGCGATACAAAGGCGCAATTGCGAAGACTGGTCGTAAGCCTGGGAGCAGCTCTCAATGTGCCAGTAGTCCTATTTCCCACGCGATTGCTTCATCAACCGATGCAGAAGAACAGGCTGGGTCTTCAAGACTGAAGCGGAAACCCTCTAAACACTCCCTGATTCCCGAAGTTCTGATTACGCGCAGATCACAGAGTGCTATGCCGATGAGAGCATTGGTAGAGCACGAGGCCAGCTCTGCTATGGAAGCTCGGGACCACCATGTGGATAACGATGGCACAGCCGCCGACTTGAGTGTCCCACACAGAGATAAAGGCAAAAAGCGACAAGTCTCTGTACGCCCAGATGTTCCTCACAATGAACCAGAAGACCCCAGTTTAAAGCAGAGCAATTCGAGTTCAAGATTACCTTCGGATGACGAAGACGATTTCCTTGTGCCTCCGTCGATGCCGCCGCGGAGTCGAAAGCGCAAACGCATTGTCTCATCATCGTCTTCATCAGGCCGATCCGAGCAAAGAGGATCAAGCCCAAACTCGCCCTCGGATGTTCCAATTCGAAGTCGTCGAAGCACTCGAGAGGCCGGTCCGTCTTCCACTCAGCGCGCATCCGACAAAGCTCCGGAACGCAAGCCCGCGTCGCCTCAGCTGAGGTCGGACGACGAAAGTGGTACGCTTAGCCGTTCTCGAGCAAGACTTCTCTGTTTCCTCACAGTGAGTTTCGTCACACAGACGGCGGTCGGAAACGGGGTACCTCTCGGCCCACCCGCGCCCGATCTCGTACCCCTCGTATACCCTCGTCGGACCCCACATCATTGCCCTATTCTTCCCGCCACCAAGAACACCGCGCTGCTTATTACCCTCCTCACCCTCCGAGTGATCCTCAGATCGAACAGATTGCACGTGTCGTCATGTCTTACATCGCCAGTGCTGCTGTCGGCGGGCATGGTCCGGCGCCAGGGTATTCATATCCATCCCCGTTCTATATGCCGGGTCCGCAGTGGCCCCCTTGGACGCCGACTAGAAACAGGCCTCCTGAATCTCGCTGGGTATCCGGGCATTCGTCAGATGCAGGCCCATCAATGACATCCTCACCTTCTCGCGCGCACTCATACTACGGCTATGATGCGTCGTTGTCTGAAGGAACATTACCGCCCTCTTCTCCTCCGAACTCGTCCTCGTCCCCCATACCGATGCCGCGAGCGAGTTCCCTCGCGAGGGGGAGGAGTAAGTCAAGAGGTCGTAGGGTCTCCTTTAAGTTGGATGGCAGTGACAAGCCGACTGTTCTTACTCCTCCATCCGTTAGTGAAGACGAAGATGCTGGACACGCACAAGACGCGCCACTATCATCGCGGGCGAGTCGTAGTGAAATACCGGCGAATCGCTTCAGGAGGCTGGGCGCTCGGGCCACAAGCGTAAATGCAGAGGTGGCCACACTGAGCGAAGCGCCGAAGAAGTCCGACAAAGGGAAGGGGAAGGCACTCGTGGATCCTGCGAGTGACCCAGACGACTCTGAAGAAGATGCCCCTTTGGCACGTCGGGGGAGACGACACGAAAGAGGTTGCACTCCAGGCCCTCCGTCACATCGCGAGAGGCTTGCGCGTGCGAGTGCGAAGAAGGCTGCGTGACTGAGGTTGTACGACACCGAAGTATTGTTATTCTAGCCTGCTATGTACCGTGATTGGATACCCTTGCCCGTGTACTGAAAGTGTTGTTCGTGTGTATTCGTACCCGTGCGTATCTTATCACCACGTTGCTGCATGACTGCGGGGAGGGAGCATTCTTTTCCTTGAGATCGAGGCGCGGTGTGATCTAATATTCGCTCCAGCTTCCTAATAAGGAAAGAGAGCTATGCCCCACCCAGTCGCGATTTTTCCTGCAAATAATCGACAACACGCCTTGACTCGAGCTGCATCCACACGACCTGCCCAGCCCCCTCCGTCCGCTCCGAATTCATATCCAGCGCGTCCCTCGTCATCTGCTCATCTCGATCGCTACTATCGCACGCATTCGCAGCATTCTGCAGCATCAATCAGGGCTCTAACACCCACAGACACCAACAACCAACATGGTACGCGTCCCCTCTCTGGTTCTCAGCGCATGGAGAGCACTGAGCGCATCTCGTGCTGTACAGGGCCAAACCATGTCGAGACCCGGTCAGTAGCATGTTTGTGGCTGGGCAATCAAGTCCTGACCGCCATCAATTTTCAGCTACGAGTAAAACGACAGACACAGGCGGAAATAGCAAGTTCTACTATGGCCTGTCTGAGATGCAAGGGTGGAGAATCTGTAAGTCATCTTCAGTCCGAGTCGTGGTCATTGCTCGTCCTGCGCGCACGAGAATGCTGCCTCACACTCCTCGAGGGGGATAGAGCGTGCTATCACGCATGTTGCCCGGCGAACCTGACATCCTTCGTCTTGAAGCTATGGAAGACGCGCACACGATCGCTCTAGACCTTGACGAGGGCCAGGAAGACTCTAACACATTTTTCGCTGTGTATGACGGCCATGGTGGTACGTCCGACCCCCCTTCGACCACTGTCAACTTACCTCATTTAGTTCGCCACATGAAGGGGGTAGTGCGGCGAAGTACGCTGGACAGAATGTCCACAAACAACTTGTCCACAATGAAGCATACCAGAGCGGACAATATCATGCAGCACTCAAGAATGCATTCTTGGATACCGACTCAAATATGCGGAACAGTGCGTACGATGTGCAACTCGAGGATTAACCACGAATACATATGTTCTCTGCAGCCGACACTTTCCTGCGCCAGCGAGATAGCTCTGGTTGTACGGCTGTCACTGCACTATGTACCAAGGACGGCAAGATTTTGGTGGTATGTACGCTGCTATAGTGGCATATAACGACAAACTCAGGAGCAAAATATCGTACAGGCCAATGCAGGAGACTCTAGGTCTGTGATCAGCGTCAAGGGCGAGGTGAAGCCATTGAGCTTTGATCACAAACCGCAGAATGAGGGTGAGTGCATCGTATGCATGTCTTCCTCGCTAACGTATTACGGTCTAATTTCCGCAGTCGAAAAGAACCGCATCGCCGCAGCCGGTGGTTATGTATCATTCGGACGAGTGAACGGTGCGTCACCATGAGCTAGCTCAAGCATAGCTGCCGTCTGAGGTATCTGCACAGGTAATCTCGCCCTGGCAAGAGCTTTGGGTGACTTCGAGTACAAGAAGAATGCCGACCTATCACCGGAACAGCAGATCATCACGTGCGACCCGGACATTACTGAACATGAAATCACGGACGAGGACGAATTCCTTGTCCTCGCCTGCGATGGTAGGTTATCATCTATCGAATTGTTGTGGGCTAGCATGACGATGGCTCATTGTAGGCATCTGGGATTGCCTTTCGTCGCAGCAAGTGGTCGATGTTATACGGCGTCTTGTCTCGCAGGGCAAGCAATTGCCTGAGGTCTGCGAAGAGATCTGCGAACTCTGCCTCGCCCCAGACACGACCGGAGGCGTTGGCATTGGCTGTGACAATATGACCATCCTCATTGTAGCGCTTCTTCATGGCCGTTCGGTCGAGGAATGGCACCAATGGATCACCGAGCGGACGAACCGCAAATATGGCTACAACACTCCCGAAGAATTTCCACAGATCTACAGCGATCATAGGTTGTCGGCATTCAGAGCGAGGAAGGAGATCTGGGCACAGCGAGACAGAGAACGTGAGGAGTACGACACAGAGCAGCGTGGCCACGAGGCACGTGGGATTCCTCGCGACCCTCTTGAGGGCAGCGTTTTCGGAGGCCTAATCAGGGCTATCGGTAAACAAAATGCAGGTATCACGATAATGCCGAGGTCGGGGGCATGGCCTGGCAACGGCCGCATCACGGATCCAGATCAACCACTCATGTTTGACGGGGACGACGACAGCGACGAAGAAGGGGAGTCAATCGAGACGGAGGAAGGCGACGAACGCGCACAAGAGATCCGAGGAAACAATGCCACTAACAGTCTCTGGGCGCAGCTTGAGGAATTCGAGAGGGAGAGAGACGAAGAGGATTCGCAGCCAGGATCAAGTCCAGAACGCGAGTCATCAACTCAACATCGGGAGCTTCAAGGGGAGGCCCCAGCACCCCCAGCACCGTCTCAGCATGGGGCGGGGACGACGAAGCAGCTCATATCGATTCCGGGTGTTGATGCACCTACCCCAGCGGTGGAAGCGGAAGGTCTCATGGATGCGAGCGAAAGCCCGTTGAAGGTGTAGTGTTCAGATTCGAGTTCTGTCGTTTTTATGATTTTCTTGCTCTGTTGTGTCTCCCGCCCCCCGTGTGTGTATTCTGGGATTGACTGTCTATTATTCAGTGTCGTCATGATCCTCACGACCGCTTATCATGCAATATCTGTTTGTTGTCCATATCCATACCAGTGTATTCATCCCCAGCTGCTAGTCACTACTGGTACCAGTTAATGAATGTCTTCCGTAGTTTCGCGTCTGGGTTCGCTTTTCTTCGTAACACTACGATGTCTGCGAGCTTGATATAGAACAGTGGTGTCTTGTATAGCCTACAATACATCACGCAGTATAACCAACTCGTCTTCACACAAACACGCAATGACGATCTTTTCGTCTTCAACCCTGATCGCAGCGACACCGAGTAGAGGTCCGGCGGTTCTGCCACCAACCTGGATGATAGCCTGTTTTGCCCACTTATCCTTTGGTGAAGCGCCACGGTAGATATACACATTGCCGTTGAGGTCTTTGGAGCCACTTTCAAAGGCGAGGACCGCAGTAGAGGACACATGGTGCGTGAAGCGCGCGTCTTGTTTTGATGCAAGTACGAACGAGAGTGCGGAATACGTCGAGGTGTGTTTCCATGTAGGTTGATCTTCTGGTCCCTTCGCTTCGTCCAAGGAATATAACACGCCGTCCAGACCGTTCTTCACAACCAGTGATGGAGGCTGCATGGGACTGGTCCCGGGGAGGGGTGTCGACAGCAAGTGGATGGGGGCGTCACCGATTTGTGTGTTCGGCAGCTGCGAGCCATGTGCGCCGACCCAGGTGACACACACTGTGCGTCCAACGTTTGCGTCCAGCTCGTCGTCGACCTCGTCCTTCGCCAGGCTAGGCACGCCATTGCCTAGGCCGAGGCCGCTGGTGTCCTGACCATCGCGTAGCGCCGCGGTATACTTCTCCAACGCCTCACGGATCGCCCAGAGTTCGGACGGGTCGAGCGTCTCAGGAATCTCCCCGTTGTCGTCAGCACCGTCACTCGCCTCCGAGGACGCGCGGACGGGGGCCGCAGCAAAAACCTGCGACCAACGCGTGCCCTCGTGCGCCTTGTCGAGGTGCAGCGTGAGGATACCGAACCTGCGCTCCGCCGCACGGTCCCATGTCCACATGCTAGTACTCGGCTGGATGCCATCCCAGAGCGTCCTCATGTCGAAACGCGGGGGCCGCCCGGGTCCTGTTTCGGTCTCCGTGGTGGGGTCTGGGCGGACGAGCATGGTGAGCGCCCGGGGTGTGAACGCGATTTTTATGTCCTCTGTGCGGGTTGAGGACGGCAGCGGGATCGCTACGGTCACTGAATCTGACGTCTGGGTCCAGGAATATGGTGGAGGCTTTGGTGGCTGGGAACTGTCGACATTCTCACCGGCGCGAGGGATGGGCGCCAGCTCGTCTGCTGAGGGTTCGTAGCTGGGAGCGGGCGACGCGTTGATTGAATGGTACGCCGAACTGCCGACGAGCTTAAAGAGTTGGCGTGTAGCATCATATGCTGTGTACGCAGGAACATCAGCTCCGCGCCTATGCCATAGGACATCCAACGCTAAGGGTCGCTCCTGTGCGGGCGGCAGCGGTAGGGGGAAACGTGCTGCCCAGATATCGAACTCCACGGTATGTCTGGAATGCTTCTCCGTTGAGCCGTTAGACTCTGCAGAGACTGTACCGCCTGTATAGTGCTTTGCTGAGAGGATAACCAGTGCCGTCTGTGGGTCGACAATCACTGCCTGGTGTACTCGGAAAGGTACAGTACCCTCCGAAGAGCCATAAGCGGGCGGAATCTTCAGCTCGTAGACACCCTGGAGGAGTGCTGGGCCCCCGTCGGACAGCTGCAGAGCATACAGATACCCATGTCCGTCGGACACAAAGAGTGATGTTGTATCGAGAAAGGCGGCTGAGGGGTACTCGCGTTGTGGGGAGGCGACATCAGGGGAGAGAACCTGCTTCGGTAGTTCATATAGCGTCTCAAACGAAGGTTCGAGAGCCGCCTACTTTTCCCGACGTCACTCAATGAGTATAGCTTAATACTTCATGCTCACATTCATGCTCACCTTGTCTAGGCCAACAGAGATGACTCTCTGTTCTTCATCAAAGTAAATCAAGCGTCCGTTTTGTGAGGACACTGCTAAATGGTTGTGTGATATCCTGCTCTGCACTTCTTGGAATGTAACATGAGAGCGGCCAGAAACGTTTGTCTGCGAAGGCTTATACTGAAGGGCATGGTGAGATACGACTTGCTCCTGGTCTAGCGGCGACAGCTTGTAACCCTCAAACTTTGGGTTCAGGAGTGCACGATTCGGGTGAAAATACGACATATCAAAGCGCCTCCTCAGGGGTAAGAAAGCGATACAGTATCACAGTAGATGACGGATTGGAAGACAGCCTCAGAAGAGCATAGAAAGCTTGTGGAAATGGCTCAGGACCGCTGCACGTGTTGTTCCATTCCGACGCAACTGGAGCCCTTGGCTTACAAGACAGTCGACATTTCACGAGACATATCAGATGCAATCCAAGCTAGCAGCGTCTGTGAATAGTGAGTCTTCGCACCCAACGACTCGACGGCCGACTTGTGCCTCAAGATGCAGGGGGCGCGTCGCAGAAAACGCGTGACAACGAGCGGCATGATCGTGACATATCGTGACAACACATATTCAAGAATGGGCGCCTGCAACTACTTCTCGAGACAGTCCTCGTCGACACCGCTTGTGCTTGTGTTTCTTGTTGTAGGCAAGCACAGTGAGCATCAGGATGCTGGCCTCACTAAAACCTCTTGCTCTCCGGGCTGCGCGTTCTGTGCCTGTCCAGATTCGTGCTCTGGCAACCCACGCTACACCCCTACCATCCGTACCCGCAAGCTCGCAGCTTGGACAGGTTTCTGCCCTTCTGGCAGAGAAGAATGAGAATGGACCATTGCGTCAACATTTGAACATACAGATTAATCCAAACCATGGGCTGTATGGGTTCTTTCGGAGGAAGGAGGACAAGGGCGCAGTCTCATACGAGACGCTTGAGACCGCAGATGTGACAAAAGACCAGAGTGGTGTGTCTCTTCGTTACACTTTCGTTCGCTGCGTTGTCTAGTATCTCATAGCTCAATCTGCTTCGACATTGAAATGCAGGCCGTTCCTGGAATGCTGCAGAACTCCGCCGCAAAAGCTTCAAGGACCTGCATACTCTCTGGTATGTTCTCCTGCGGGAACGAAATCTACTCGCCACGCAGATCGAGGAAGCGCGACGGCTTGGTGTCCACCCAAATTTCTTGTCTGTGCATGGCAGAATGTTGAAGGTGCGTGCCATGTGCCCAAATGCACAATTGGATGATATGCTCCCTGTGTTCCGCATGATTCCGGGACTACCGACTCACTTTTCTGCTGCAGTGTCGCAAGAGCATGGCTCGGATAAAGTATGTCATTAATGAGCGGCGACTTGCGTACGAGAGGGCCATGAAGGCATACGAAGAACAACGTGACGCAGATATGGCCGAGGAGCAGGCACAGATCGAAGCCGGAAAGCAGGAGCTAGCGGCTCAACAGCAAGCGGAAGCGAAGGCGAGGGAGGCACAGCTCAGGAAGGACGCGGGAGAAGCGCAGACCGCTGCACGACTGGCCGGTGCAGGTCTGTTCGAGACCGTGCAGCAGGGCGAGGGGCAGGCGAAGAGCTAATAGATTGGTATCCTACACTCTTGTGTTTGCCTATGCAGATCGACCACGACTCGGAGTCTGATGTCACTCACTGGACAATGCCCTTCTCAGCTTTGCTGCTACTGTGACGTATTTCGTACCCTTCCCCTGTTCCTCTCCCCCCACTGCACCATCTCCGCGCTCACCCAGCAGTCCCGCACCTTGCTGTCCTCGTACATTTCTACCTGGCGTCGCCCGCGCCGTAGGAGATGCTCGATCGCCGCATAGTCGCGTGGAGACACCAAGGTCGCCTGCGCCTTGAATGTGTACCGCACAAATAGGGCGAACTTGGGGCGTACCGCGGGTGGTTTGGTGTTGACCATGCGCAGTGCTCTAAGTCCGCACGTCCGTCAACGGCTGCGCCGGGTGCACCACTTTGGTCCCACTCACCGCCTGTACAGTGCGAGGACTTCTTTCTGCAAGCCTGTTCGTCGCATTGACATGTCCACGCAAGTGAAGGGTTGGGAAGCTAAGTGAAATGCGACATGTAGCCTGAGATATTCCTCGAGTCCGAGAGGTCGTCGCCGACGACAGACCGACGCGTGGGGTCACGTGCTGAGTGCCAGAGGAACGCGTCACGTCAGTGGCTGCTAGTAAAAGCGCGTCTCGAGGCTTGGACCAACTCTCTATCATGCTGCGTTTCTCTCGTTGTCTCAAGCCACCAAAATATCAGCCGCTCTCATGGCACCGAGGACTGGCGACGAGCGGTGACCTTAGTGCGGAAGTGGGAGTCCGCGACCCCAACGCGTACTGCAGTGATCTGATCCGCAAACGGGACTACGAGGCATATCTGGTGTCACACTTCTGGCCTCGCGAGATTCGCGCACATTACATAGCGCTGAGGGCTTTTTATGTATGTGATACTGCGGATTACGGCTTGCGGTACGTCTTGAAACCATGACCGCAGGTAGAGCTGGCTTCTGTGCAAGAAGCAGTGTCAAATCCGACTATTGGCAGGATGCGGATGCAATTCTGGAGAGACGCTATAAAGGGTATATCTGATGTGCGTGTGTTGTGCTCGCAATATACTGCTAGTGCCTGGGCCAATGGATATCAGAGGGTCGCACCGCGAACCAGCACACTGGTTGACGCCTGCGTTCCACTGTGCTTTTCGTGCCAGCGTTTGGCCGACTGACTTCCAGTGGCCTGGGGATCTTGTGGTACTAAGATGGACTACATCTATGAATGTGGTTTGATGACCGAGACCTCACATAGGGCAGACCGCCGCGGCATCCAATCGCGCTGGCTGTGCATGATGCGTGCCGGCACGCAGATATCCCGACGTACCACCTCAAGAGGATCGTCGATGCTCGGGTGAGTGGGTGCAGTGTGGTTGTGGTTTGTCACGTCATTGATTGAGACGCCTTCTCAGGATGCTGAGCTACACACGCCCACACACCTCACTGTGGACTCGCTCACCGCGCACGCGGAGTCCACGGCATCCACATTCCTGTATCTGCTGCTATCCCTGCTCAACCTTTCCGCATCGTCCACGCTGTCCCACGCAGCGTCCCACCTTGGTGTTGCGCATGGGGTCACGACGCTACTGCGCGCACTGCCGTACCATGCATCGCAAGGCCGAATGGTAATCCCAGCAGAGATAACCGCGCGACACGGCGTGAACCATGAGGAGGTATTCCGGAAGGGTGGCCACGCGAAGGGCGTCGAGGACGCTGTGTTCGATTTCGCCACCGTAGCGAACGACAATCTGCTGACATGTGTGGAGATGTTTAAACATGGTGGGGACGCTGTGGTACCGGGTAAAGCGCGGCCGGCCTTCCTGTCTGGGGTACGTGACTGCCAGCTGCGGTCCGTCAGCGAGTGTTTCCCCTGAGCATATGACATCTCCGCAGGTTCCGACACGGTTATATCTCGAGCGTCTCGAAGGGGTTAACTTTGACGCGTTTCATCCATCGTTGCAGGTACGGGATTGGAAGTTACCGTGGAGGATATGGCGTAGTTACTACAAAGGCGGTTTGTAGTGTACCTACCTATCTCAGACCTATTCGTATGTTGCAACTGCATGCATCAGTGTGTGACAGATGTACGGGCCCGATCAATCGCACAGCGCTCTTTCATTAGAAAGTTGGAGGTCCGCCTTGGCCAAAGCAGCGGCACGGTTGGCAGCCTGACCCGAACATTTCTCAGACGTCGACCGCTCCGAGCCACGCCACAGCGGTCGTCTCTCTTTGTTCTACTTCTCTCCATACACAGTGGTCGCAGCGGGCGCAGCAACGCTTCCCTGACGTCGAATCCAACGTATCGTGGACATGATGGATCGTCTATGTGGTGCGTATCCGGTATTTAGGGTCATGCGTACAGGGCGGTACCTCTAATCCCACCGCGTTATCATGCCTCGTCATCTGCCAGACGAGATTATCCAAATCATCCTGAACGAGCTCGACGACCCGACGGCTTTCAGCCAGCTCTCTAAACGCTACCATCACTTCACGAAAGACCCCTACGTGCGCTCCTCGTACTTTCTCACTCGCTATGGGCGCATACAGGCAATATTTTGGGCTCTGGGGAGAGGGAAATTGGTCAACGAGAGAGTACTGGATGTACGTGCATCCCCCCCTGCCTGTGTCTACCGGCGGCTCGAATGCCTCACCTGTTTCTCGCTTGCAACAGATCTTGCTATCTAGTGGCGCCCATCTTTCACGATACCTCGTGCAGTGTGCAATCCACCACTATTTCCGCGCACAGGTATCGTTCATTAAGACCAAATGGGTCCGCACCCTGCCCCTCCCGGTGTTCAACTATTTCTTGACCCTCGCCACGGCCACCTTTGGAGACTTCCCCCACGGCAAGAATGAGGATGACGGTTCGATCTTCACCGCTTTACTTAAGTGCAGCAGGTTTCCTACCGATATCCGTTCGGGGAAGTTGGACACGCTGCAGGAGGTGTTGGAAAAGTACAAAGTGAGTAATGACTATCTGAATCATGGTGTTACTTACCGCTTTGAAAACTAGTTCATCCCCTTTTCAAATAAGGTACGCTATCCCAGATATCGGAGAGAAACCTAACTATATGCGCCTTTTTAATGACATAGGACCCCCTCATGGCGCAATTCCCGTTAGTACTTGCCATTCAGCCTTGTCTTCTGCCATATGCGCGAGCCAATGGTTTCCGCATGGATCGCAAGGTACGATAATGGCAACTCTGCCTTATGATGACATTATTCATCATCATGATTTAGTATCGTAATTTCGTCTTCCGCAAGATGTTCGAGAAACCGGCGGTACCCTTTGACGGGCGCGTGGGCGAGATCATCCAGAATGTGAAGGATTTAACACGTCTCGACACTGAGTACGTGTTGATTGCCCCATTTCCCTCGGCGACTGGATTCCTCGAAATGAAGTACTGACGGATCCGTGATGTCATGACAGTATGTTCCTCAGTCGGACAGTCGCCGCGGAGATATGCATGGAAGCACGGACGAATGAACCTGCGTATACAGCTCTCAAGAGACTGGATAAAGAAGGGCTTCTCAAGTTCGAGCTACTGTGCGTGCTTTTCACATTAGTATGTGTGAATAACTCACAGGGGTACAGATCTGTTGTTGAGGATTTGACCAAGGCGAGGGATTTGAGCACGCGTCCAATGATGATCTAGCTAACCCTAAGCTAGCTATTTGTCAACACCCGTTCCATCAGCAACACGTTCACCAATCATGTCCTCAGCACGCTGTATCGCGACTTTACGTCCCAAGATCCAACTGTTCGTCTTGTCCTGCTATGCACGGTATTCTTTTCAGAGGTGCCGCTCCTTCCTACCTCGCTGTCGATTACCTCGGCGTCTTCAGGGCCTCTCAACAACTATGTGACCACATGTCGCGAGAAGATCGAGGGCTTAGGACTGGCCCCTATCACGCGTCAGGATCTGTTTGAAGTACTCGTGAACAGGTTTGCTCCAGATCGCTTCGGTGGGATCCTGGAGTACGGACGAAGGGTAGTAGGTCTGGACAAGACGGAGATTAGCGCGTTGCTGCGTGACGTTGCATTCGCATGTTTAGAGGTCGGATGCAAGGGGAAGATGCTGAAGAAGCTATTCGAGGCTGATGAAACGCTCTCGGACGTTGTTGCTGCGCATGTATTACGCAATTTCCAGCTGAGCGTCGACGATCTACCGTCCCCTGACGACGAGAAGGCTTGCCGGAAGTTCGAAGCTCGCCTTTGCAGAGATGTCACAAGACCTCTTGGGGTGCCCTTGGGCATACCAGGAGGACATGCAGAGCAATTGCCAGCAGCTGCACACTCTGCTGTCGGCGAGGCAAACGTCGAAGATGCTATGCATGAAGATCAGGAGCATGGAGACCAGGAAGATGGAGGTGCTGAGGAGCATGAAGGCGATGAGGAAGACGATATGATAGGATCAACCGATACTGCAAATGAAGACAGTGGGGAGGACCTCGTGCGTCGGGACCACCTTCTTTGATGAAAATTGTGTCCACTGACTAGGCGCGACCACTCTTGATGCTCAACAGGGCCCGATAGGTCAGGACACGTTGTCTACCATGATCCGGAAGGACGAGCTCGCGCCGTCTCGTCGCCGACGATTCTATGACATGTATTCATCTTACAACGACACCATGGGCAAGCTCCCATATCCTGTAGGTGCGTAGCCACAGTGTTGTATTGGTTGCCTACATTCACCGCTCTCGAAGACTACATGATTGTAAGTCGATTTATTCGCATCCACTACGGTCGCCGAAGCGCCGTTGCCGCGGTCTTCATGTTGCATGCTGTATTGAACGGGAGCGTAGCTGTGCGTCTTTGCAATAGTCTATCTTTTGGTTCAGCAGCTGAAGGATCCCAGGTTATGCAACCGTATTCTTATAACGAACCATATGACGCAAACGCACGCATGCCGGTGACACTGAAGTATTTCAAGATGCTCGCACGAATCGGTCGAGCTCCAGTACGAGCATTGTTGACTGTCGTCGCAAGAGGGGCTAACGTGTCTGCTGATTGCAGACTCCTTCTCTCTTCGAGGACATCGAAACTGGAACAGAATTCTACTTCAGCGAGGAGGATTACCTGACACAAGAAGAGCTAGCTGGGGTGGTCTCCAGCCCTGCTAGGGCGCGGTGCCGTCGGACAAAGATTAAGATGGAGGTCACCGCGAAGCCTGAAGTCGTCGTGATCCCGCTGCCTCCTGTTCCAGGACCATCTCGAATCCAAGGCCACACACGGGGCAAGAAGAGACCTCGTCGTTCTGCTACGACAACGATGAAGTCATATGTCGTCCCGGATAGTGACGACGAGGAAATCGCGGAAGAGAAGGTGGACGATAGCGTGAAGAAGAGACGCTCAGAGACCAACTTGCAGCGTTGGATCAAGCATTTAACCATCCTCCACAAAGAGGAGCAGAAGAAGGTACTGGGATCTTGCTCGTAGACCAGCTACATTAACACTTAATTTACTTTATGATCCAGTACAAGGAGAAGAGAAAGCTCGAGCAAGCAGCCACAGAGCCGGGTATTAAGATCCGTAGTCCGAAGGTATGCAATGTGCCCGTCTCTTACATCATACCGCCTTATGTTCCACACAGAGCGATTTCTTTAAGGCGTTGACAACAAATCTTGCACGCCTTCGTAAGGCAGACAGAGAGAAACGTAAGGCCCTGTATGGGCCAGATGTTGCCAGTGACGATTATAGTGAAGGCGAGGAAGACGAGTACCAATATCGGACTACACGGTCAAAACGACGCAAAGTCAAAGATTGAGTGGTCCATCCGAGTCTCCAACTCAACAACAATCGCATGAAACGCATACCGCATACATCATTCGAACTTAATCCCAGCATCGTTATGGACCGCCTCCAGTACGCAGCATGTCTGTAACACGATCCATCCATTTACTTTATCCCTGCGTATTCATTCATGTATTTCATCATGGCAGTTATGCCTAAGCAGACACATGAACGCCCTCTATGCCCTTGTTCTCCACCCCCTCCCCCTCCCTTGATGGTCGGCCTGTAGCATTTTTTGAATGGAATTTAAGGTCTCATGTTCATTGTCATAGCCTTGATTTGATCTGAGTAGTGTGTAGTGTGGCGCCATACCTGCATTTTTCTCTCGCCAATCAACAGGCCTGCAACAAGGAGCACATTGGTAACATTTAAAGAATAGGCTACTCCGACCCCCCTTCTTACTATCGCTGTCGCATATGTAGGTCTTCCGCACGGGCGGATCAGTTTAAGTAGGTAGGGAAGGGTTGCGTGATGTTTACCCGTTCACTACCAATGTGCTTATTTGCTTTCGGGCTTCGACGGCTTCCATGTTGCTAATCTCGTGCCCTGAGGGAACGTGCTATAGGCGATACACAATGCTTTCTGAATCACTTGGTGGTGTCTGAACACCATGCAATTTGGTCTTCTACATTTGGTCTTGATACGTACCTTCCATGGTTTTCGTCTGCGCCGCTCCTCGAGATTCTCACACTCTGTGATAGACGCAAGCATGCTAGCTGGTACTACATGCCGGAATACGCGCGTCTCGAAATGTGTAACGTTCTACCTTTCGGCGGAGATGCACCCAAGCTCATGCACGTGGACCTATCTGGTGTTCACATTGATTGGTCATGGTTGTGTTTTCTATCTGGCCTGACCGCGCCTGAACTATCCGAGCATCGCGGCCGACATTCCGGGAGATGGCGCGGATGTTACGAGAGACTCCCATTTGCAGAACCTCGTTTCTCAGCTCGGTTTCGAGCGTTGCCATTAATGCCTAACATCCTGCGGTTCTCGAGGCTTGACGCTTGAAGTTTTTCGTGATCCAGTCATTACGGCCATCACGCTGTCAAATTATGTTACATTGCTGCTGCGATCAGGACCAAACCCTGGGCGGTTGTAGGATGTGCGGCTGATGTGAGAACTATAAAGTAGCGTGATATGCCCTCCATTACCCTCAGAACCAGAAGTATGCCAAGCGAGATGCCCTCCAGTCAAGTCATCGTCCTGTACGACTTCCCAAGCACATTTCCGGGAAAAGCGTGTTCGCCCAATGTGTGGAAGACTAGGTGAGTCTCGAGTATATCATGTACGCTGCTCCAACCACGAATATCTTACCACGGAGCAGACTGTGTCTGAACTACAAAGGCTTGCCGCACAGGACTATTTGGGTTGAGTATCCAGATATCGCAAAGGTCTGCAAGGAGATCGGAGCGGAACCGACGGCTACCTATCCGGACGGTTCTCCGTACTACAGTGTTCCCATCATCTACGACCCGTCGACGAAGAGTATCGTCTCCGAGTCAGCCAGGATTGCACGCTACCTCGACAAAACCTACCCTGACACGCCTGTCCTCATCCCTCCGGGGACGGATGCGTTTCATGCGGCGTTCAACGACGTGTTCGAATCGCTCGCGCTTCTACCCATGCAGCCCCTCGTGCTGCCGTCGGCCTCCGACGTACTTCACCTGGAGAGCCGAGCATACTTCCGAAAAAGCATGGAAGCATGGCTTGGGAAGAAGTTGGAGGAAGTCTATCTTGTTGGTCAGGCTCGCGAGGAACAGTGGAAGAAACTCGCTGAGGGATACACAAAGATGGCTATGTGGTTACAGATGGACGGAAGGGACAAGCTGTTCTTCGGGGGCGACAACATATGCTACGCGGACATCACGGTAGCGAGCTTCCTTGGGGCATTGAGGCGCTCCTTTGGGGCTGATAGCGCAGATTGGGCGGCTGTAAAGGAGTGGGACGGAGGAAGATGGGCGCGCTTCATTGAACGGTTTGACAAGTACGAGGTAGTTCATGAGTAACGAATGAGGGTACTTGCCGACATTTCGGAAACAGTCTATGGTACATCACAACTCGTGCGAGCGTGATTCGCTATACTCGACACATTCATCGAGCTGACAATGTTTTATTGCCGAGCCGAGCATTCGGTTGACCTTTTTTGCTCCTGAATACTGGTAAGCTTGTAGTATTCGAGTTGACTACATGACCTCAAAAGATTAGATCCGTAAACTATATGTGATCCGTGATACAATAAACTTACAAGCTCGACGAGTTGCGCACGAAGGCATAACATTAGCCGGGGCGCGTCGATCGCCAGTGGCTACGGGATATATTTCACTGTGTAAGCCTTTTGGCGGTGCGCGGCCACGGAGTCAGCTCGCCACAGCTGAGCTGCCAGAGTCGCTACTTGGTACCGCTACGCAGACCAGACTTGGGATTGTGGCCTATTGTGGCGAGCGCATGCCATCATATTTGGCATTATTTGTAGTACCTCGTAGACTTCGCGCGAACCTCTCTGTATGATCCTTACGCGTTTGACAGAATTGAGACAAACGCGATATATCTTTGTCGATCGTTCTCGCTTCGCGCCTCAGACAAACTTCAACAAGACCTACACCGGCCACCACACGCGGTACGTGTACTGTAGGTGCTGACCTTTCACACCACATAAATATTGCCATCTATATCATAATGAAAGTTTGAAGTGAAGCCAAGACAATGGCTAAACGATGGAAGGGAAAGCCTCACTACGTCGACACCCATCTAAACACATGCCAAGACCCATGCATCCTACCGTCAGACGGCCGATGTTTGATTCATAGACTTCCCACCGAACTCCTAGTGCAAACATTCTTACTAGGACTCACGGACGTGTTCCAGGCCCTCGAGGACACTCTCGACTTTGGTCACAATGCTCCTAATGTGCTAGGGCAACGGATGCCGTTCGAAATCCTTGTCTCTCACGTGTGCCACCGATGGCGAGCTGTTGCACTGAACGCGCCAATGCTGTGGACCGAGATTGAGCTCTCACGTCCACCACTACACAACAGGGCCGAGACATGCCTGGAACGGTCGAAGACTTCTCCCTTGAACATTGTAGCCGACATCTCTGCGTTTAACTTCGACCCGCAGGTAGTGCTCAGACATATCCCACCACAAAACATGCCCCACACCAAACCTATAATCACATTTTCGTCATTCGTGTCTCCGCATATGACCCACTGCCGGAGCCTTGCACTAAAGACGCCAAATTTGGGCTTGATGCGTACTTTGGTTTTTGACCTCCATGATTTCCTCGTCTGCGCCGCTCTTCGAACGTCTCACACTCTGTGTCAAGCACACTGGCTGGTACTGCATGCGGAAATCCGTGCGTGCAAAAATGTGTAACGTTCTACCTTTCGGTGGAGATGCGCCCAAGCTCACGCATGTAAACCTATCTGGTGTCCACATTGATTGGTCGCGGTCGCGGTTTCTATCTGGCCTCACCACGCTTGAACTATCCAAGCACCGTCCCGATACCCTGCCGACATTCCAGGAGATGGCGCGGATGCTACGGGAGTCTCCCAATCTGCATAGCCTCACTTTGATGGAATCAGGGCCGGCTGGAGGCACTGATGAGTGGGACGCTGAACTAGCTGACTCCGATTCACTCAATCGGGCGATGCTCTGGTCTGTCTCGCTTTCGGAGGTGACCCTCATCTTCAATGAGCCCGACTACCTGACAGACCTCGTTACGGGTTTCGTGTTTCCCAACCTCAAGACGCTCCATCTGGGAATTAAACGGCCTGAATCTGATTGTACACGTCTGCTGGAGAGTTTAGCGCATCCTGCTCCTCACACCGAGAAGTCTGTCCTGGCTGGCCTAGAGGAATTGGACATCGTGCGAATGCCTGGAGGAAGTGCGGACGCTGTACGAGCCGTCTACAATGCGATGCCAAAGCTTTCCGCTCTCAATATCAGCACTGCAGACGCCTCAGCGCATTGGCACACACTGCTACTATGCGAAGAGGTGCTGCCACGCCTCACAAAGCTCGTGATCGGCGGCCTAACTGGAGCTCAGATGCGCAACTTGGTCGCCAAACGTCAAGAGCGGGGCGCACCTCTGTGGGAGCTCATTGTGCTCACGTCGCCCGAGATGACGTGGGAAGACATGCAGTGGCTGAGAATGAACACGCATATGTTGCGTGTTGTGCCGTCCGAACAGAATGGAAGGCAAACCTAACGATGATGACCCCGGAAATTGCGACGATTGAGATGGAAGTGAGTCAAATCTGATCGTTTCAAGGTAGCAAGCATAGTACCTGTAAGTCGACGACATCGTGGCTGCTGTCCTTTATAGATGGTGGCTTTAGATCCTTATGAATTCACCTTGAAGGACTTCGATACGAGATCGATGCTGTACCGTGAATATATCCTTGTACCATGCGCTGTGCCGAGGCGTCATACACGAGACAGGCAGCGCAGAAGTGAGGAAGTATATCAATGGGTTTAGTGATCCCTTGGTACCCTAGACCATTTGTGCATCATGATGCTGCCGGACTATTCCGCTCATGCAGTTCCGTTGCGTCGCGCTGACCGTCGAAGACAATGTCCTACGGAAATCCCATGAATTACGTGCTAGGTCACCGTAGTACTGATGTTGAGTCCTCATTCGCTCATTTTTGGGCGAGAGGTCCGCACGAAAATTGGAATTGTATCCCACCCCGGTGTGGTTCAACCCGGCGCGGTGTTTGAGCTGCGCTCATTAAACATCTACGGGTACTTATTCCTCTCTTATGACTCTTACTAGTACCACGCATACAAACACATGTTAAATGCGTATGGCGAACACTCACTCCTGAAATGGAATCACACTCGATTGTTGATCGATCATTCCCAAATACTTACACCGTGGCGCGGCGGCAACAGCCTACTATTCATCATCGCTGCCTGGACATAGACAATTGGGCTTTAATACTACGTCTGGTTAATGCAGCACCTTGATCCCAGATTCCAGTACACCGAATGTAAGTGAATGCTCAACAGCCCAAGAACACATGTGCGCCCCACACGTGCGGTAAAAAACGCCCCGATCCACGCGTCAGTCGCTGCGTATTTGACGAACTTCCAGCTGACCTTCTAGGGCAAACACACTTTGCGAGGGTACCTGACGTGCTCAAAGCCTTCGAGAATAAGCTCGATCGCAGGTTCAATCTTACTGAATCGGTGAAATTGAGGGTGGCGTTTGAGAACACTGTCTGTCGCCGTCGTTAGCGTGATAGAGCATCATGCATCATGGATGGCACATTCTATGAACAAAAATCAACCTCTCGTAACATCTGCCGTTTACGAACGCCGAGACTTATCTCGAAAGGTCGGGAAATGCTCTCTTATGCATTACCGAACTTGATTCAGAGACTCTTATCCAAATGTATATGATAACAGAGGGTCGAGTTGTTGAAACGCGCCGATCCGCGTGGTCAGGAACGAGCTCGCAAGCTCGGGCGCGCGAGTAGCCGGGGGCCGGAGGCCCCTATCGTAGTATAAAATGACCGCGCGCGATGTATGTACGCTACGCGATTGTCCCTTACGGGCATCGCTACGCCCGTGGACAAACGCGCTCGCCGCGCCGTCGCACCGTTATTCCAACACGAGTACAGTTCGTCGTTACAGTCACGCAGCAATTCTTGTCGCTCGCCTCCGCTCATGTGTCTCACAGGTGAAAGTTTGCGTTGAGAATTGCTCATACTTTCGTCGTGCACACCATAGTCCTATCCCTCAGCGACTTACCCTCAGCCCCAATACTTTAACAGTTTACACACACCTACTCGTTCAAGCATATAGACTTCCTTGCTTGCTGGATCGAGATACCAGCAGCTGACAAGTTTTCTGCCTTTCAATGGTAATGTCCCTCAGTTCTCTCGCATCATCTTAACCGGTGTCCACTTCGATTGGGCATGATCGCACTTCCTAGCGGGACCGACCTCACTCGACTTGTGCAACAGTTTCCTTGACACACGCCCCACATACATGGACCTGGCACATATAATCCGCGAGCCTCCAAGCTTGAGAACCCCGTGTCTCAGGACCTCTGGGCCGGCCGCAAATGAAGATGGTTGGTACATTGCGAACCAGCCATCGAACCTGTATTCTGCATCTCTCCCGAAAGTGACACTCCCGTTCATAACATTTGACTACCCCACTCATCTCGTATCGCGCCTCGCCCTCCCTGGCTTGAATATACACAGACTTGAAGTGAAGTGTCCGGGCTGTGGTATCCTCATATAGTATGCGAGGACGTGCGGCCACACCTCATACAGCTCATCGTCGGAAAGCTCATCGGATCACGCATGCGCACACTCATCAATAAACGGCAGGAGTGGGGCGTACATCTGTGGGACATCGTCCTGGTCAGGCACCCGTAGATGGAATAAAAGTACGAAAGCCGGCTAATTCTTGATGCGCACACGTTCTGCATCGTCCCACCGCGTGACGAAAGCGGGGACTCTGACGCCGAAGACGAAGACGAATAGACGGATGTCGGTTCGGACTGCACTAGCGACGAGGAATAACGGAAGGCTCAGTGAGTAGGATGCACAAAGCCTTTTTGGGGAGATAATCATAATCTTGCTTTCGACAGGCGCACTTCGTTGTTTTTAATGTGAAGGGCGTGTGAAGAATGTATCTTGTCCCTAGGACGCCACATCACTGTCGAGGCGGACAACAAAGTATTACTGCAGCACATATTCTAGATTACTAGAAACACATGAGAGTGAAAGGGAAATACAGATAGGTAGTTTCAGAACTTACAATGGATGCAGACTACGTATTCACAGGTGAAAACTACACAGACACTGCAAGTGCTCAATAGAGGCAAACCGAATACTCGGATCGGCAAACAACTGTCAGCTCGATAAGTGTATCGAGTGTACACTCGCACGATCTGTAAAGTATTATACACAGTTTCCGAGTCGTCGGCAAGTACGTTCCACTCATTACTCATGAACTACCTCGTACTTGTCAAGCCGCTCCATGAATCGCGCCCTCCGTCCCACTCCTTCACAGCCGCCCACTCTGCGCTGTCAGCCCCAGAGGAGCGCCTCAAGAACCCAAGGAAGCTTGCTATTGTGATGTCCGCGTAGCATATGTTGTCTCCTTCGAAGAACAGCTTGTCCCTTCTGTCCATCTGTAACCACATAGCCACCTTGGTGTATCCCTCAGCGAGTTTCTTCCACTGTTCCTCACGAGCCTGCCCGACAGGAGAGATTTCCTCCAACTTCTTCCCAAACCATGCCTCTCTGCTTTTTCGGAAGTATGCTCGGCTCTCCGGGTGAAGTACCTCGGAGGTCGACGGCAGCATGAGGGGTAGCATGGGTAGCGCGAGCGATTCGAACACCTCGTTGAACGCGGCGTGGAACGCATCCGTCTCCGGAGGGATGAGGACAGGCGTGTCAGGGTAGGTTTTGTCGAGGTAGCGTGCAATCCTGGCTGACTCGGAGACGACACTCTTCGTCGACGGGTCGTAAATGGTGGGAACACTGTAGTACGGGGAACCGTCCGGATAGGTACCCGTCGGTTCCGCTCCGATCTCCTTGCAGACCTTTGCGATATCTGGATACTCAACCCAAATAGTCCTGTGCGGCAAGCCTTTGTAGTTCAGACACAGTCTGCTCCGTGGTAAGATATTCGTGGTTGGAGCAGCGTACATGATATACTCGGGACTCACCTAGTCTTCCAAACATTGGGCGAACACGCTTTTCCCGGAAATGTGCTTGGGAAGTCGTACAGGACGATGACTTGACTGGAGGGCATCTCGCTTGGCATACTTCTGGTTCTGAGGGTAATGGAGGGCATATCACGCTACTTTATAGTTCTTGGGGCTCGACATTAGCCGCACCATCCTACAACCGCCCAGGGTTTGATCCTGGTCGCAGCAGCGATTTAATATAATGTGACAGCCTGATGGTCGTAATGAATGGATCACGACAAACGGCAAGCGTCAAGCCTCGAGAACCGCAGGGGCTCTGCAAATTGAGTTTCCCGTGACATCTGCGCCATCTCCTGGAATGTCGGCCGCGATGCTCGGATAGTTCAGGCGCGGTCAGGCCAGATAGAAAACACAACCATGACCAATCAATGTGGACATCAGATAGGTCCACGTGCATGAGCTTGGGTGCATCTCCGCCGAAAGGTAGAACGTTACACATTTCTAGACGCGCGTATTCCGGCATGTAGTACCAGCTAGCATGCTTGGGTCTATCACAGAGTGTGAGAATCTCGAGGAGCGGCGCAGACGAAAAGCCATGGAAGGTACGCATCAAGACCAAATGTAGAACACCAAATTGCACGGTGTTCAGACACCACCAAGTGATTCAGAAAGCATTGTGTATCGCCTACAGCACGTTCCCTCAGGGCACGAGATTAGCAACATGGAAGCCGTCGAAGCCCGAAAGCAAATAAACACATTGGTAGTGAACGGGTAAACATCACGCAACCTCATCATGCAATATCACATATTCCCTCTGTGATTCTCCAAACTTGATCACTACATTCGAAGACATTGGGATATCAGTTCAACTGGCATTCATATATGTTAGGCGCGAACTGACCGTCGCCCGCTTTTAGTTCGAAATATCGGGATGTGGGAACCATCTCGTCATTAACGAGCGTCCCGTTTGTGGACTCCAAGTCGATGATGAATGGCCTGTGGTTGGATAGCGCAGTATCAGCATGTAGTCAAGGGGGAAAGCACAATGACTTACTTCACAGCGCTCTTAACCTCGCCGAACTCATTCTTCTCTTGCACATGTCGGTCTTGTAAAACCCAGACTTTATAAGACGTGAATTTGAGAGGAAGAGATGGCCAACACACATTGAATCACAGCGTGTTGTTTGGAGCACGAAGGGTGTTCAATAGCAAGATCCGCTACAGTTCGATCTCGACCTATCAGGTACGCACTCTGTCGCTGTATGTGAAGCAAGTCTGCCATGCACAAGACATCATTATCCAGCGAGCATCTCAAGGTTGTTTGATTCCCGAACTCACCTACTTGTTCTTTCCCCTTGAAGACATATAATCTCCACCCGACTGCAGGCTTTCGTGCTTCAGGCGGTTCATGGTACTTCAGCACTGTACTCGTTCCGTCTACGTGCTGGACTGTCTTCGTAGCAGCCGCGAGCAGTCCAGACGGTGCAAAGTTGGGTTTGGCCTTGTCCTCTGGAGAGTCTTCACGCTTGGAGGGTGCCTTGGACTGCGCTCTGGACGTTGGCCGGCGCGGCGAAGCTGACCGATGCGATGGCCCTCCACGCATGTCCGTATCCCTTCCCCTTTCTCGTTCAAGTTCTCGATCTCGGTCACGTCCTCTCCGTCTGTCGCCTTCACGACCTCTGCCTGTACGCGAGTAATTGTGGTATTCAATGGAGTTATTATGGCGCGAACGGTACCCATCCCTGGTATCCTCATGTTCAGACCGTCGCGGTCGATCCCGTCTCGTGTCGCTATCTCTCTGACGGCCGTACTTAGGGTCATCGCGAGCTGAGTGCGCTGCATCCCTGTTCCTGTAGCGGTTTTCCGAGCGATGGGGTCTATCAGGCGATGGAGAGGTCCGTGCCATGACTTTCGGTTTGGGTCGTGAGGTTGAAATATGGAATCGCGTCCTTGTGGCTCCGTTGTGGTTGTGGCTATAGAATGGAAGCGTTGCAATTAGTTATGTATACCTCTCTAAATAAAATTAATAATCGGATATGGTGTAGTGGCTAACATTATCGCCTCTCACTGCTGTGATCGCGATAGCCCGGGGTTCAATTCCCCGTATCCGAAGTATTTTTGCGAAAGTATGATCGTCGAAGCTCCCATCCCCTTGGTTGTTCTACAACAACACAATTTGTAAGGGCGCACACTTTTTTCTGATGCATGTTGTGTGAAGCTTCTCGACGAAGCATCCCCATCGCAAATGCTACAGTAGGTACCGTACACAAACTACACGAACAAACACCAGATCCTCAATAATACAAGTACAGGGTATAATTCATGTGCAATAAATAGTGCCAATGTAGACGTCACCAGGATACGGCCCAAGATGGTCCAGGATATCGGCGTCCACGACGTTTGGCACCATCATGATAGTGCACTGTGCGTCTGTTGCGTCGTCATTCCCGGGACAAGCGACGACGTCCGAGTCGTCACTCGAGTCCGACACAATATGGACCTCTGTCTCGGGATGCTGGAATCCCAGGAACCGCCCGGGGACAATCGGAATCGGGTCCAGATAGTTGTTCATGCGAGTGAAGTCGGGGACCTGCAAGAGCAAGAGTAAGCGAACACTGTAGGTGGTTGCTGAGTAGATGGCGGTAGGGCAAGCGAATTACCATCGAGTCGATTAGGTCAGCATACGCTGGGTTTCCCACTCTGGGCGTCCCGAAAGTGCGCGACATGACGTGGATGTCCGACGGGAGGTTCAGGGTCATATAGAGTGCGTCGAGCTGAGCAAGGGCGCCTCCCAGCGAATGCCCGACCTACAAATCAGACATGAGATATCAGTTCATCAGGCTCCAATAGAAAGCTTACCAGGATGACAGTTGTAGCGCCCTTCGAGGCGATAAGACTCTGTGTCTCGGCCAAAATTATCTCTGCCGTTTGGGCCTGCTCATCGGCGAACCCGCTGTGCACCCAGACATCAGATGACACGCCCGGGAAAAGCGTGCTGTTCAGATTCTCCGTGGTGATGTCGACGTCAGTGAGATCGGACAGCCTTGATGAGTGTAATATCATTGAATTTCGCATTGTACGGCGAGGGGGCAATCGTGCTCACAATTGTGTTGGGTCCGTGCCCTGATGGGCAACGACTACAGCGTTCTGGCTTGGCCAGTATCCAACGTAGTCTGACAAGGATATAAGACGCGAGATTATGTTTATATACTGCGTTGTTACTTACACAGTTGGATAGCATCACCGTCTCCGCCCGTCAAAGTCGCCTCGAAGCCCGGAATGGCTGCGCATGCCTCTGGTGGGTGTCACAATTACTTTACAGTCCTTCAATATGAATCACTGCGCTACTTACCGCCACACTGCCATCCTGTAATGATGTCTGACGCGCAGTATGCAGCCCTTGCCAGTTGCTCATAGGGTTCAAACGCCGAGATTTCGCTCGACGTCAAAGTGAGAACGGATGATGGGTCCAATACTGATGTGATGGCGTCCCTCGCGGCTATAGAGACTGGTGCCGGACTCGCGACGACGCTCACAACGCTCCACAAGGGGGAGAGCGCAGCAAGCAGGACCCACATCGTTCTACTGCTGTCGGAGAACTGGGGGGTTGAGCGACCCACGGAGTCGAGCGGGCTTACAGGAAACCAGTCTACATTGCTGGTTATATCTGGTCGTGCAACGGCAGCTTGTATTCCTGGATGCATCAGGCAACCTCGGGGACAAATAGACATGACAAGCCGTGTGATCTCTCTTGCTTTCCACATGGCGAGGAATCGGGAATCACCACGCTGACATACGGCTAGGGCTAACAACAGAATGCAAACCATACGAAGGACCTGCGGAGCCTTTGGCCGGTCAAAAATATCCCAGTGATGGTTGGACACAACGTACTCGAGGGTGATAGAGCGACCATTTGAGCTAGTTACGGTGAACTGCAGCGCACTGCCTGTCCCTGAGCACGGTGGTTAACGTGAGATTTCGCCTGTAGAGCGGCTGCGCACAGCAGCAGCTGCTTCAATCAGTGTCAGAGCAAGCTGCCGACGGCTTTAGTAGGGATATCATGCAGTCTGGTGATCGTGTTCCATGTGGTCGAATATAGTTGGCACTTCGTGGCTGCGCCGTGACCTAGAAATCTCATTTCGGGTCAGCTTCCTCATGCGATAACGTGCACAATAGCACGTTGTCGCCGAGAGCTGGCATCACGGCAATCTTGGCATCGATCCGACAAGCAAATGAGATTGGAGAAAAGTAGGCAATTTCGCACTACATTGTCAGTGCCATAAGGTGTTTGGGATGATGAGCGCAGGAGGAGAGGGCCTTGGATCCGTTATTGATCAGCCGGTCAGGGCACACGATCGTCGATCGTGGGGCGCCGCACAGTGCACTCCGTCCGGCGCCTCCGCATCTCTCCTCTGGCCAGCGTCTTTGCTCTCTGCTGGCACATCTAACTGCGGCTGAGCAGCCCGTCCACAAGAGCCCCAGCGTGCACCGTGGACAACATTATGGCTCGTTCTTGATCGCCGGGTCGATGAGGGCGGTCTATTTCATGCTGGTTGGGGTGTGCTCGGAGCGTCAATGAAGGCGAGTGGTCCAATTCTTTATGTATGTATCCGAGGATTCGGCGATATATTTGGGATTTTAATCAAGCAAATAGATTGCTCTCCGCGCAGGCTTCGCGATCGAGTCTGTCCATTAAGCTCACGGTGCCTCGTAGGTTCGTGCTTCGCTGCCTACACGTGCTCATCGACTTGGACCAGCCATGTAGAACCACATCTACCCGTTCAAATCCTGAGCTGTGGTAATTCTAATCGACGGCGCCGATGGCTGTGAGAAGCCGGATAACCCTCATCTCGCGCACAAGGCCGTGTCGAGCTCACTAAATATGGTAAATTTGTCTTGACTACAACTCCACCGCAACGCACATCGAGGTTTATTGCATCTCTCACATCGTGGAAAGCACTATTAATAGCAATATCCCGATCTCACTCTGCAATGAAATTACCTGCACGCGGTCCTCAAGAAGGGGTTCTCGCCGCTTGCCGCTGCCAGAGCACTATATCGTGGATGTATTCCTGCGATTATCTCGCCTAGCTGCGCTTCGTCTAACACACCACGGCGGAACAAACTCTGCAAGAATGTAACCCCGTTACTGACTCACGGTCTACATGCCGACTTCGTCGGACGCATAAGCAAATTAAAATTCGTGCATATGTAATGAATATTTCAGTATGAGGCATTTTCGCTAAGCATATACAATGCACCTGCAGGGCAAATCGTTTATGCGGACCAGCTTGTAGGTACAGGTTTAGCTCCACGGGACAAACACACCGAATATGTTCATGTATACCGGTGATACCTTGAAATCGTTCCGGCTATTATGCCACGGAACAGTCTAAGTGGGGATCAAATAGGGCCATAAAATATGGGGAGACTTCTAAAGTCGCTTTGTTGTGGCAACCGCGACCGGTTCGCGGGTGTGTATATGGAAGGCTATGACGTATGTCGGAACTTGGGGGACCGCACCCCAATCGGCTCCTGCTTCAGAACCACAGTGCATAGCATGACATCGTCCCAGAGCTAGCTAGCCAAACGTACGGGAACGCCGCGGCAGGATGAGGGTGGTGCGGCCGAAACACACACCAAAACGTGGCACAGCTGTCCATCGCTGACATTCACTGCTCGCTCCACCCCGGCAAACACAAGATCTCACAGAGTATCTGCGATTCAATACCGTGGGGCGGCGATCTCACGAATCTGGATTTGCGGGTCCTGCAGTGTGAGAATCGTGGGCACTCAGGTACATGGTGGGGCTCCACTCATCAATCGGTGCTTACACCGTATGTATCCCGATGGTGCCCGCTCCCTTGGATGGTTTGGGACGCCGGTGGTAACCTCTAGCGACCTTTTTACTGCGGTCGTTAGACTGGTTGGAGTAGCTGGAGCACCTGCACGAAGCTTGCCGTAGAAGTCATGTATGCACCGTTGTGGAGACATTGACTGGAGGCTTCGCGAATTCAGAAAATTGAAGAGAGTTTCGCTGTGGAATCTGTGTGTTGGCGATTCTCGCCAAACGTCTTCTCTCTGCCCAAGAAGTGGACATCGGCACGAGCTAGTTTAGCCCCGCTGTCCCGCACTACGTACACATATCCTACGTAACTCAAAGTTTGTCCCATTTGGCGTGTTCGTTCGGTCTTTGTGACATTCCTGCAATCCTGCATGGATGGAATCAATCACTTAAACATGGGTAAAAGTTCCGGGTTCATCCAATTACCATCCAACGAAGGAAGTGCTCTGAATCCTAGTCGACCCGGTTGGATCCTGGCCGGATCTAGAGTTCGAGGGTGTTCTGGTGAGCGCGATGGCGAGGGCACACGGCCCGGTGCAGTGGCGTAATAAACTTCCATTCTGGGAACGCGATTTGCGACAACTGGTCGCAAACTGATTATTGTTGTTTGAGTATAAAGTATGGGTCAGACAAGATCTGATGCGGCGTCCGATTGACAGCGTTCATTTCAATCTCCAGGGGCAGTGGCCAATACACGCACGCTGGGCGCACCCCTGATTGCAGGCGAGATCTGCCCCAGAAGAAATGTGGGAGGCATACCAATAAAACGTGCATACCCCCATCGTCGTTGTGCGGATCGTAAGGCGGCACTGAGCTGGCTGGCTGCGGTACCCCGCGGCAAGAGCTTTGGCGCCGCCGCACGCGCGGCCTTCCTACACGAGTGATTTGGGCCTGAGCGTCACCTCCGCTATCATTATACGCAGTGTGATAACAGACAAGCATGCGCTCTTCTCTAGTTGTCTGATGCGACTGTATCTTTCGTCCGCACCTTTTCCACATTTCTCGCGCGGGCAACACATGGATCCATGCGTTAAAGGTGTCGAGCCTGGGAGCGTTATCGTCCCAGAAAGTTAAAGAAGTGCTTCGCTCCGGAGCGGTCGCATATTCATTTGATTCGAAGCCCTGAAAGAATCCCTCGCGCTGTCGATGGCGAGCCCATGGTTTCGGCGGTTTTGTGTATAGAAGCGAAGCGAGGGAAACATATACAAAATCATCTCAGCTGAGCGAGCCGGCGCGTACATTGGCCAGAACTATCCTATCCAGAGAAGGAGGCTCACGTAAATTGCAGCTGGGAATAGGACAAATGACACGCACGAGACCGGCAGGTTTCACTCGAGGCGCAGGCAATGCCCTGAGCCGCGATATGCCGCAAGGCTCTGGTTTCTGCATATTCCGACACCTGTCACACGCCAAGCGGCCGGATTTTGCTATATCTGGTTTTATTGTTCTATTGTCTCCCGGAAAGGTGAATGCGGCCTTGGATGTGATGCTGAACATTTGATACCTGCGGCTCTTCGTGCAAGGATAGCTGACTCCGCATAATTTGCGACCGGGAAGCAGAAGGGCTAGGTGGTGAACATACAGGGCCTGGGGCCCCCGTCACTTAGGCTAAGACGATATGATGTCGTCAGGATAATGTCATCAAGTCGACGAGTGGCCAGTAGAGCCACAGAGTCAATCCCTTCGCAAACCGCGGTCCGAATAATAGTACAGCGTGAGAAGGGGGGGTCTGGAGAGCCATGGAATTGCAGCGGCGGATCACGAGGGCATTGCGGGACCCAGGCTCTCCGTAATAATGCACCATGAGCGGTCCAGCCAATTTTCCATCCGAGAAGTCCGCACTTGCGGTGAAGGTTTGCACAGGAAAGGCGGCTGAGCAGGTGTTGGGATGATGCCGAAGTGAGGTGTGCCACTTAGGATCCCGGCCGGTGGTTCTACACGTGAACATATATCCAAGGACTTACTAAATTGTGTACGGGTCAATGATTTAACGCCTACGACATGGAAGATACGATTGCAAAAGCTAGGATAAAGTCGAGTGACAGCCAACGTCTCCATGGGCGCTAAATTGTGTTCGCCACAGGGTTCAAGTAGCGCCCATGAGCAGCTGTCTATTCAGTGTTGTGCATGATGGAAGTTCACCAGATGCGCCCAGGGAGAATTCGCGGGATCACATCGTGTTCGGGACCGCAACAGGTTCGTGGATTCTGTGGCATAATGTATGTCCCCGTGAGATAATAGGTCCATCCGTGACCCGTCCAGCGTCGCCTGTCTAATGAAGGTCTCTGTGTCACTAGCGGCGCGACATACAACATGTATACGATCTGTGGCAAGACAGACAATCAATGTCGATGCAACCATTATTGTAAGCCACAGTTGCCGGGATCGGAGAAGCGGAGCCTGTGGGATGATCCACGCGGCCGAGAAAATGGGGTATGACAGGCATGGTGGATCTGTGGAGACTGAAACGAGCATAGACGAGTTTGCGAATTCCGGCTCTCTTACGCAAGGTCTGAGATCAATTGGAGATGAATCGCGATTGGCTACGACTCCGCGGCCGCTCCGCATTTGTCGATGCTTCGCAGGTGGGCCCTATATTTATGTGTCCTCCTATAAGCGAGCTGGTGCCCCCTTGCTCATTCAATCCTCTTTCCGCTCCACCGATTGTCATTGAAATCGGACTTCTAACCACGAAGTAAGTTCCGACCTCTAGATCGCGGCGAGCTTCGATCCGAGGCTTGATCGACTGACATTTTCTGCCCTAACATATGCACTAGCATCTGCTTCGGAGTCGGGTGCTGTTCATAAACCCAACCTTCGCCCTTATTTCTACCCCGCACCCGGTCCTTTATGGATCCTGACTTCCCCCACCATTTTCCAGTGTCGAATAACCGCTCGTACACTGGCGGTAGCGACGTCCCTTTTGAGTCCGCTCCCGTAGAATATTCCCATGCTCCGTATGCCTATCAGCCCAGTGACTACGGGGACGCTCATGTCGGTGATCCCCTTCGCGATGTCTCATCACTCGCTGGCGCGTATAGTTCTACCTCGACGATCATAGCCTCTAGCACAGTCGCCTCTAGCTCAACTGCCCACCCAGTAAATTATGCCTACCTACAGTCTCCAATCGATACCAATGCCCATCTCACGTCAACATCGACTTTCCAGCTGGAGGCAGCCGACCTGAGGCAGCTCTCTCACCGCAGCTCTTTCTCCGACCCTTCGCCCTCGTCCATGGTCTCGCATCCTCCTGGCCCGCCGTCTCCGATCTCTGCAATCGCCGCCGGACAATCGTCGAGCACCAGTAGGAGTCGTAGAGAGAAGCCTAGGTTGCAGCTTGCGCCGGACCAGCCGTTGACGACTCAAGGCAAGCCTCGCGCCCGAGTTTATGTGGCATGTGTCCAATGGTCCGCTTCGTTATCTTTATCGTTGCTTATAAGCTGCTGAACAATGTGGTATTTTTTCCCGCAGTCGCACCCGTAAGATTCGCTGCGACGGCGCAAAACCGGTCTGCCATAATTGCCAGCGTCGCTCGGATACCAGCGATCCCTGCACCTACGATGCGACGCCCAAGAGACGTGGTCCGGATAGGACTCCTGGGGCGCGCCAGCGGCAGGTGTCAGGCCTTGGTACTTCTGAGCAGCAACCACGCAGGCGCGTGAGAACACGTCCGATCGAGGACGCTCAGGTTCCAGGGACAGATGCAGACAGCACGACTAGCACGACCACTGACAACGTGTACCAGGGTCGCGACGATGCTCGTTCGACAAATTCTCCATTTTCTGATGGACATGTGTCCTCTCCACATGCCCATCGCTCGCCCTCCGTGTATCTTGAAGGTGGCCCGAATTTTCCGTCGACGTCCAGGTTGGATGACGATGACTTCCTGCCTCTTGCTCCTCCTACATCTCGGCCGCTATCTTCTCAATCGCTGTCCCCGCCCGAATACCAAGAATACCCGCAGGTATAGTCTGATCCATCCCTCCCCACACTGGTACCATCCGATCTCGTTATCCAGACAAATATTAGCTATGCGTCGGACCTTTACCACCGCTATAGAGTTCCTGAGGCCGTGAAGGGACTTCCCGCTCAAATTCCAGGTACCAGAGCCGTTGCCACCGGGAGCGGCCAAGACATCAAGCCACTGGCTCGAATTGAGCTTCCCGCGGAGCCATCGATGAAGTTCGCCCGCGAAATATGGTGGGACGTCCTCCTAGGTCACTACGCGTGGTCTGTCGAGCAATCGCACGGATCTGCGACATTTCTGGCCCCGGGCGCCCGGGAGTCCGCTAATCAGCAAGTCACATCTGACCTGCGCTTTTTTTTTCGTTGTTCACTACATTGGCTGGCGTTCATGAACCCCTCGCGCCTGCTGCGTCAGCTACAGGATCCAGCCATGAGAGCCACCCTGCAGCCAAGTTATGTATGGGCCGCGCTCGCGCTCGCAACATTTTTTCAGAGCTCGGACCTGGAGTCTGCGCAGGGAGCACGAGGCAGAGAGAGGGCGCTGCGGATGCGAGATGAGGCACAGAGCGCGTTGGAGGCAAGCCTGGCGGCGAGATGGATTGACAACGGATTGGCGCAAGCAAGTTGGGTAAGTCGACTTGCATTGTGGCCACGTTTCGAGCGCTACCTGACCAGGTGTTTATGTCGGCCAGCTGCTCGCCTTCTTCGAGACCTGCGCACATCCCGTGCATTCCACAGCACGCGTGTCCGCGGCCATGTCCACACTTGACTCAGTGATTCGCTACTTGTCTCTGACCACGCTGGACGCCGACGATCCTCGCGTGACCAGGTTCGCACAACGGCCGCCTGTAGCAGGAGTCACTGGCCCGGAGCCAGGAAACGAGGGCAGGACCCTGCAGGGGGCGTCTCCCCAACAATCCCTTTTGCAATCCGTCCAGCAACGACATCCGCAGGATAGATGCTGGTGCTCTTTCTATACACTTGAACGTACGTCTCCCAATTCCGTGGAACTCGTACCGGGATGGAGCCATACGCTGGCGGTGACCACGTTGACCGACGCCGAAGAGAGAAGAGAAGAGTCTCGACGCCTCGTCTGGAGTAGCATCAGCCTCACTGCGAACTGGACCGCCTACAACGCAGCAACTCTCACGCCGCAGATTAACCTTCCCATCATTGACCCTGCCAACGTACGTCCTCCGAGCGCATCTGGACGAGCGCATCCCTGCTCACACAAGCACGCAGTATGCGATTCTGTTCCCCGGCGAGTCGACGTGGGCCGCTGGTGGCCCCGCCGCGAAGGATTCTGTTTGGGCGTTATCCATGCGCTCGCTCATGCTATGGCACACATGTGTGCACATGCGCAATGACGTGAACATGAACAATGCGTTACGAGCACACCTTAGTAGGGCTGTTTGGCAGGAGATATGTGTAATCGAAGATGCGCTTGATGGCCATACATGCAATATAGAAAGGACGTTTCTCTTCTTTCCCCGGGATTTCCTATTCCTGTAAGTGTCCTCTGGTCACACACCGTGGCCCCCCAATTTCCACTCATAGCGAACAGCTCTCGTTTGTGTATCATCGATGGGCTCCAACGACATGCTTTACACGCCGAAATGTGAGTGCTTTCTCCAAATTACCGCTTCATTGGTATTCATTGCGATGCAGCGATAAGAACGTTGTCCGGCAGAAAACGGAAGAATGGCGTGAGTCTTGGCTGTTTCAGTCTCTTCCTGTGCGCTTACGGTCTATTGCAGTGCGGCACCATGGCACAATGGCTCGACGCATCATGAACGGCTTACACACAGTTACAGGACAACCCTCGACTAGCCTTTCCGTGCGTCCGTTCCTGACCTGGTGGTTCATTGCTCAAGTGTCGAGGTAGGCGCGTTATGTTCAACTCAGTGATTACGGATAGCTAAACATATTTTCGATCTCAGGATGCTCAATTTGTGGTCTAATGACGGCTCGCTCACGATCGCGCTGCAGTCGATCAAGTCCATATTCGCACCGTTAGAGTATTTAATGGCTCTGTGGCCTTGTGATGGTGAGTTCAGGGGAATGCGAGAAGACACGCTTCCGTTTCTCATGTGCGATCACTCAGAGGCCAATCGTAGGTTTCAGGACCTCCGAAAAAGAGTGCGTGCGGTATGTCATGCTGCCGGTGTTCGCCCACCCATGCCATTATCCTTCTCACCCCGTTTCCTCGATGGTACTATTTGAAATCACTCGGACGTTTCTAGTCGCACGACGAGGGATCGCAAACAAATACGCGTGTGAGCTTGGACGGTGATCGCTCACTCGTGACATTCTGTGGGATTCAAGATGTGCATTTATTCGGATTTTTATACACGCACCATACTAGGAAATCTAAGTACACTGTCTCACGCGTTTTGGTCCGTCTAGTAAACATAGGATATTTAGTACTTGCTCTAGTACCGCCGCAATCGCGCTTACGAGTTCACGACCCTACGATGCCAAGCATACGTACATGTGTATGCTATACATATGTCGCAGGCCGATGATGGCCGGAATGAAGTTGGAAGGGAATATTATATTCGGAACCTTCGAGGCTGATTGGCATATTCTTGATCACAACGTGTTGGTGTTGGTTGTCTTTGCAGAAGAGAAAGGGCAACCCAAAGTTGGATGTGATTGGAACTGTTTGTACAAGACTTGCAGCTGCCCGATCGCCACTATCGCTCTTGATCCCACACGACCACCATCATCGTCTATTCAGCCTCGAAGCCTGAAGCACATGTCAGACGAAGCGTCATCGTCGTCGGCGACACGCCCTTCAGCGCTTTTGGCAGACATGTTTCGACCAGACTCATCTGAGCATACGCGTACTGTGGCGGGCCTCAAGCGCAGGGCATCCTCGTCCTTTGAGGGCATGCAGGACGAGAGCAGCCGGAAGAGGCTGAAGGAAAAATCCGTCAGCGAGCCCTCAGGATCCGGGCCAGGCGATTCGGAAACTGTTGATGGAGAAGCTTTGGCAAAGGATCTCGAGCAGGAGCTTCAGTGCGCATGCTGCTCCGCGCTCGTGTATCGACCGGTGGCGGTGATTCCATGTCAGCATTTTTTCTGTGGAAGGTAAGCACCGCGACGTCAGCTCTCTGCACCCGTGCTAGCGCTCACCGGTTTCTGTTCAGTTGTATCGTAATGTGGATACGCGTGAGTCCCTATCACTACAATGGATCCCAGCTGCATGTTACATGCACTGAAAGCCGTCTGCGAGTTTGTACTGACCTGAGACCGAGGCTGATGCGCCTTTTCTATAGAATGGGGGGGCAAACTGTCCAGCTTGCAGAAGCGTTGCCTCGGTGGCTACTCCATCTCGTATCATCGAGAAGATGGTAGATGTGCTGTTGCGCTCTGTGCCCTCAAAAGTGAGACCCGTGAACGAGCGAATACAGGCGGACGAAATCTATGTGGCTGGTGGCACAATCAGGGTATCACACTCCTTCCTTGTAGTTGTTATGCGTATCCGAACTGAGACTGCACTACACAGATACCGTCTCCCAGGCAACCGTCTCCCGATCCACCTCTACCTCACAGAAACACCAATTTTGTCCATCCGTGCCCGCACTGTACACCTGACAACCACTACGGCTGGCGGTGTCCTAGACCCATTGTTGACCCTGAAGCTGACCCGGATCGCGCATGGCACGCGGATGATGGGTCGCCTCCTGGTCATGCCTATTGCGGCAACTGGTGCGTTAACCAGCAGAAATGACTTGTACTATTCCCTGATGCACTATAGTGAGAACGTGCTTGCCCTGGAAGCCCCGTCTACTACGAAGTGCGACTTCTGCCAAGTGTCCTTTTGCGGGATCGGCATCCCCGGACGCTGTGTAGCGGCGCCGATACTCCAGCAACATCTTCATGGACTGGCTGACCTAGGCGACTTGGTGCAATGCTCCCAGATTTACGACTCTTTTGATGGCAACACAGTTGAAGTGGACATCATGCTTGATTACTTGACCGCTCAGAGAATCAATCCAAGATTCATCTATCGTGAGGTACGGTCGTATAGTGCCATCAGCGCAGTCCTCTTGACGTGTCAAACCATTCTTCGCAGATTATCATGCACATACACAGCCAACCCGGGCAGTTCGCGCCTCTCTTTGAACTCGACCTATTCGCGGACGTGCACGCGGTATCTGCTGGCCCAGAACCCGGACTTGACACCCCCAGAAACAAGGTTTGCCGTGTCTGCGCCGCAGAGATTTTCCTCTGGGGTGTACGTGATTGGTGGGTCAGGGAGAGGCGCAAGGGCTTCCTCGAGGAAGAAGTAACAAGACGCCTGGATTGCCCAGAGGGAAGAATGTGCCCCAGACAGAAGGACTACGGTAAGCCGCAGGGTTCTCTTTATGCACAGCCATGCTGATATCGCGCGGATAACAGCACATGCCAAAGAATGTACGCAGTACCAATGCACTATCGCAGAACCACTACTGACTGTCTTCCAGTCAACCATGTTGTTTGTCCGCCGGGCGAAGCCGCTACGCCAAGCACATCAGCAAACGGGGCATCATCATCTCGGCTTGCTGCTCTCGAGGACAATGCCGCACTTCCTCCACTGCTCAACACAGAACCTGCTACTCCTCTAGAAGCCGCGTTATTTTCGCATTTGGCTGCTGAGTTCCCGGACCTCTCTCAAGATTTTCGTGATGAGGTTGAGGCACTATTGTAATTGTTCCACACTCGTTCCACAATGTTCTCGTCGCTTTTTTGATCCTCCCCATACACGGATTTCGTAGTGGATGTCATTGTAATTCTTATTGCTCTGGCTAGCGCGCTGTCGGTGACTGCATTTCGTTCCACAACACTGTATATTAAGCATGCAATGATATAGTTTTCTGGCCCCGTCAGTCAGTGCAGGCACTGAAGGGGAATTGGACTCCGTGGATTACAGCACGCACGAAAAAACTGACTCGGCGACATAAGTACAGAATCTACAGAGATAATGATAGAAGTTCTACAGCAGGATGATAACTCGAAGCACTCGACAGTGTACATATATATAATCAAAACAACACACTGTCAGTTTAAATGGAAAGCAACGATAGGTCCAGCACTCTGCGACACACGCGCAGGCTGCCACGCAACCTCGAGGGTAGCTTGACTAGTGAGCGTGCAGATCCAGAGCACCGTGCACTACATCGAGACCAAGCTTCGTAGCATGGTCACGAGCAGCCTTCTTCCTCTTTTTGTCATCAGCCTTTGCCATGCTGAGGCTGAGAACGGAGCCGTTCAAATGCGACAGATGGGGGAGTCCTTGCTCCCGTTTCGACTTCCTCGTGTCCTTTCCGAATAGCCGGGAAAGCGCAGTCCGGCTGCGCAGCATCTTTGGCGACAGAAGCATCGGAGAGTCGACCGGAGACGCGCTCCTAGAGGCAGAACGGGGCGCGACAATAGTCGCGGGCGAAGTGGTGTCGATTCTGAGCTTCTCCAGCTCCGCGCGGCCTGACCGGGCTGCCTGGCTGAGCAACGAAGTGGCATGGAACGGATCGTCACCGATCAATGACGTATTGTCTTGGGTGAGGAGCTGCCCTTCGCCCCCTCGTGGGCCACCTGCTATACGCGTTTCCTCGATAGCGCCGAGGAAGTGCGCCGAACGCGGTGACGTCGACGTCGCATCGATTGGCGTGGACAAGGAAGCCAGCGTCGGACTGAGAGGGGGAGACCGGTAGAAAGAAGACGTGCGGCTGAGGCTGGGAGTGGATAGCGAACTGAACGATGTCGAATGAGATAAGGACAGTATGTCGCTGTCCCTATTCGTCATCCTACTGGGGCTGAGTGGGAGATGGAACGCCGGGTAGGCAGCTTGCGTCGGCGAGTACACAGCACTCTCGCAGAACCCGTCCGAGAAATACTCGGAGTCTGATTCGGCGACAGAGCTGCCCGAAGACGACGGTAATGAATGCGTCGAAGTCGAGTAGGAATGCGTCGAAGGCGTCCGCTGCTGCAATTCGCTCTGCGTGCTGCGATAATGGTCCAAAAGGGCAGATGAGCTTGCGCGAGCACGGAGTCCCCGCTGTGCCTTCTCGTTCGCAGGCGGCTCGGTCTCGATTGCCGGAGAAATAAGCTCCACAATTGTCGACAGCTCCCTCTCAGTCAACACCGACACCATACTGTCCGATCGAGCGCGCTCCACCGGTTTACTTCTCGAGACCTCAGGATTCGATGAAGGCACCGGTGCCGGGGGCTGCTCCAAGACCGCCCCTGCCGCCGGAGCAAGCGTGCCCACCACAAACGTGCCTGTTGCCATATGTCAGAGATAGAGCTTCCTCACTGATCGACCGATCAACGCACTGGAGACATGGCGTCTGGTCTCGCGACCTAGTGCCTGTCGATTTTGTGCCCTGGATGCTGCCACGTCTGACATCGCGCGGGGGCGCGTTATCGGAACGTAAGCCGTCTCTGGTGCGTTCGATGTCCCCGCTACTGCCGGAGACGTTTTAGTTCTTTACAGCCCCCGTCAATTATGCGAATGTCCCTCACCGGCAGTATGCGCATTTCGATAGCCACCACTCGATCCAGAACCACGTCCCTCGGATGGGCCGCGAAGGTAGGAGGCGTCAGACATGCCGCGAGGTCTGGCCGCCGTAGTGCCATCCGACAATCCATCGCCTCCCGTGCCGTTGCTGCCGTTCGCGGAGTCTGGGGCCCTCCCACCCGAGGGTCCATCCTTGTCGATCCGGGCACGGCCTCCAGCAGGTCGTTTCTGAGTGTATGCCTAGTGCAACAGCTGTGAAGTATGATCTAAGATAAAGGTGACTGTGTCCGACTTACCATGACCACCCGTAATGCTCTGTATTTCACAATGGACGTCATTAGATCGATCGAGAAAATCCGAACACATGGCTTACCGTATCTGGAGACTCCGGCAACTACAGAGCGTTGCGACACCATATATCGCCACGGATGTACCATAGCTAAGCGCACGATGCATCGCGTGCTTGACAAGCGACTGCAGGTGCGTCAACTCGTACGTGCTCGACAGTAGCAAGAGCTGACTCAGCACCGCAGGCGCATGATGAAGGGGCGTGACGAGAGCCATCGAGTAGAAATACTGCACCAGCGCGAGCGTAATTGGATACGGTTCCGATAAGAGGAAGGCGCGAGGGGTCAGACGGGGATCCGGTCGGAGCTCCTGCCCACCATGATCGCCAGCTAACAGAGGAAGAGGCACATGCTGCGGAATGGCGGGCATCGTCTCCGCGGAACGTTGCGCAGCTTGAAGGAAGAGCCTACGCTGCTCTCTGAACCAAGGCCAGCGGTCCTCGAGGAGTCTCCGCGAGCACTTAATCTTGCGCCCGTCATCGCATACAATCTCGAAATCAGTGAGTGCGCCCTCCTCGAACGCAGCCAGGCCCAGCTCCTGCGAAGGAATGTCAAGGATGAGCGGAGGTGGTTGGTAGATACCGAAGGCTTCCAGGTCAATACATGTGACGTGATCCCAGCTGAGTAGGCGGCGGTTGTAGTCCTCGACTAGGTTTCCATGTCGGTTGCCAAACACAAGAAACTTGTTCGCGGCAGGCCAGAGGCAGCTACGGAACCACGAGCCAGTGTTCAGCGTGGTGCCAGGATCGACCCGTGACCAGGTCATGTTGATAAGATCCAGCGCCCAAATCGAGAAGGACTGGTAGCTCTGTGAGAGATAGGTGCCCGCGACAATAAAGAAGGTTCCGAGAATGGCACCGGTAGGGAATCGAAGACCCGGGGGAAAGGAGGTGCCAACCATGGAAGCAGAGCGATCGGATACAGTGAAATCGCCGTCTGAAATCGGCGAGAAAACCTCTAGTTCTCGCTGTACGTCTGTGAACTGCAGTAGCGATGTCATTTATCAGTAATGCCCGCTAGAAGCGAGTAGGAATGGAACAGACGTTATAATTACTGAAGAGGAATACGTCACAAGGATAGTCGTCAGTTGGCGGGGCTGAGTACGGCAAGTGCACGAGTGACTCCGGTTGAGTTACCGACGTGGTCGGAGCCGCCGCCTTGTTCACCTTGAACCGGGTACCCACCGGCCCCAGGTTCGAAGATGGCGACTGACCGTTGCGCATTTCTTCCTGTGGGAGACGAACGCGCATATCTCCGGTCACGGCTACGCTGCGATATGTACCACAATGCCGAGAGTACTCGCGACGCTGGATCCAAGCCTTGGCGTTGAGATCGTAGATGTACACGTCATCCAGCCAGACGTTCGCCAGGTCTTGGCCTCCGATAATGAATAGCCGGTCAGCGGTGACGGAGCTAAGGTGGGCGTATCGTGCATTCGGTACGAACGCCTGAGGCGATGCATCCCCGGGAGTAGAAGATGACGGTACCCAATGACCGGTGGACAGATTGAACAGCCGGACGTCGTTCAGGACACACAAATCTTCAGGGTTGTCTGAGTGCGGCTTGATTGCCATCCCACCAAAGATGATGAGGTGGTTGCGCCCTGCCCGGCGCGTCAGATTATGACGGTTTCAAAGAAGCACATATACGCACATGCGTCCGCGCTGTGGAAGTACCGTGCCTGCGGGATGTCATCCTCTGCTGACTGGGGTAGGCGTTCCCAGTTAAATGACTCCAAGTCAAACATGTAGATATCGGAGACCATCCTACGCTCAGATACCAAGCGACCACCCTGCGCAGTCTGGTCAAAAACGCGTACTGAACGCGCTCAAATAGGTACCGACTCACATAGAGGTACATCTTGGAACCGACGACGGTCGTCGACGCTCCCTACATGCAGTGTCAGACGCATATATGAATCACAAGACTGTAGCTATACATACCACTAGCTTTGGGGGCACATCGCCGGTAGTCCTGCGACAGAACGAGGTGAGGTCGGAGATGGGATACATGGCGACGCGCGCCGGGAGCGCAAAGGCGGGGCGGGGGCGGAGGAGAGGAGGGGGAAAATGTCAGAGGAACCAGGACTGGGAGTCGACACGCAGCTGTTATGGCATTCCACCTCTTGCCGAACCTAGAAGTATTTCCATATATGGCTCTCATCTGGGCACCCAATCTCTCGGCAGGATCCGACCAATGCGCTGCGCCTCCGTCACGTCACGCCCCGCCCGCCTTGTCACCGGCCGTCACGTTCGCTCCCGATTGAGGCCATGTTCTGCCTCGAGCTGAGTACTGTGCTTGTATGATAGCCTCAATCCTAGCCAACGCATATACACCTGTTATCCCCCTTGCGCCGAACTGGACATTCATATTCAGCTCTGGGAGCGTGGGTTGTATTGTCGGCGCAAACGTTTTGCATGCCATACATTCTCATCTGGGACATGGTTCTTCAGCTTCTCCGACACTTCGATACGGTGCGCTTGGCCTTATACGTCCGCAAGGTTCTCAGCACCGCCTAGCTATGGCGAGTACATACTCTCGAGCTCCCTCTCATGTCCGCACCACGACGTACGAAATCACGTACACGCTGCCCTGTGTGACGTTTGGCTGTGCCGCCCATCTCTCCCGGCGCCGACAGGCTTCGCCACGGAACAGGTGTCCCCCCCAAGCCCCATTTCCCTCTCTGTCGGTGAATGACGAAGCTCAGAAGACGTCAACTCGCGCCCGCTTCTGCGTCTGCCTCGATGCTGTGAAATTGCCCGGTCCACTGATATGACGGTATCGCATCCCATCAGTCAGGTGCCTTACTATCTTATGTACCGTACTACGTAGGAAGGCCGCTGTGACACTTCATAGTGCGTCAATTCCACTGTCTCCTGCTGGACGCATTCGTCAATGCCTTATGTGTATCAGGTCCTCGGGCCCGCTCATGACCCTACGGCGGGGATGATTCTCCGTGAGCCCATCTGCCAATGAGAAAACGCATGCACCGTGGAATACGAGCGCGAACCCGAGCGTCCCGCAGTACGTGAGCCCCAGTGAGAAAAAGGGTTTCCGCCGCCACCCGGTCTTTTCGCGGCCTCCCAAAGCTCCCCACTACCTTCGCATGCGCGCCATAGATGGTTGTCAAGGGCCCAAGCTCGCTCGGACTGCATCCGCTGCTCGTCCTATCTCAGACAGTCTTGCAGAAGCTCGGGGGGAACTCTGACAGCGCACGGGTCACGCACCCTCGTCACGGGGGTCCCCAATGCCAGCGTTCGTGCGGGTGGTGTCACCGTCAGCCCAGCGCGGCTTTCGCACTCACCTCTATGGACACAGCACCCAGGAGCACGCTGGCAGCCCGTCCTCTTGCTTCAGGGACACTGTTGCGCCACCGCTGCACCAGTAAGGATTCTCGGCTGGCTTTGCGGGCCAGGATCTCGACGCGGATTTCAATAGGTGGTTCGCGAACATCGGGTGGACGTACTCCGGCGCGCCTCCGCGGAACGGACTTGGCAGCCCGTTATTGGTCCCTGCCTCGGGCTTCTGCGTCTGTGGGTCCCGAGCGCCTCTGGCGAACGTACAAATACAAGGCATGCGCCTGCGGAATACAGCGTCTGGGTGTGCCGCCAGCATTTAGCCGTTCATGTAAACGGAAGTGAGGCAACCACCGTCGGCATCGATGGAGAACAGCGGCCACGAGGCGTGCCTCGCGCAGGACTTCTGGATCTGCGCAACGCTGTAGAATTATATTTTTCACGCTGTGTACCACACTCCTGCATCCAAGACTTGTTATAGTTAGATTGTCGACGTGACCGAGGGGTCGAGTCTATTTCGCTTCCAGGCGAGAACCTGGACTATGAGCGCGCGGACCATCGTCCCTTGCAGATGTCCACTCCGCCATGTATGGGAATGAAACACAATCAGTCGCCCATATGGTGCGTAGGACCGCATGTCTCCGACATTACCTCCTGTGTTCGAATTTGTCTGCAACGACTGGCCTTCATTGGTCCGATACGAGTACGCTGATCATGTTGACACACTGTATTTCAGGTACAACTTCTACTCGGGAAGATAAAACGAAGGGTGTTGCAGATGCTCTCGGGACGTTGAGAAACAGGTACAGATGGCCGTGATCCCCATTGATCGACCTTGAAATACTACAACGGGTGCTAGGATCCGTGCTACCCGTGCTGACTGTACTGTGGTTGGGAAGGAGTTGCTCGTGGCCGCGTTCGCGAGCCTCGGGTTCACGAACCACTGCGTATTTTTCCATGATTCTTGTGTCAATCGATGCATTAGCATCTTCTCCACAAGTGTGAATATATTCAGTGCAGTACAATGAATGGTGCTTGTACCAGCACAAATCTACAAGGAGCGGCGAGACGATCTGTACCGCAGGAACAAGACGACCTCATGCACCATGCTTGTCTACATTGTACCTCAAGTGCTTTTGAGTATCGGGCTCATCGACGGACATTTATATCAATAGAGAATGAAGACTGACAGCTCCCGGGATGAAATCTCATCGCATTCGGGCGACATCTGGGTCGGTATTTGCGTACACTGTTATCAAAATGCCTTGAGCAACTCCCTACCAACCATAGAATTACACCCTTCACGTTCTCTTCGCGCACTTCTCCCGTTCCTCCCGTGCATCACGGCGCCAGCCTGTCTATCTTCCATTCAGGGGCATCCTCCCGTGAGCCTTCTACACGCAGGTACCGCACTCGGTCATGCAAGCGGGACGGCTTGCCCAGCCAGAACTCAATCTCACTGTGGAACCAACAGTAAGCGATGGCCAACACGCCCATGCGGAAAGCCGTACTCGGGCACCACCCGCCAGCCACCCCAGAACTCGGGCAGCGGCACGTTCGCCGTCGGGTCGTTCTCGTCCGCCTCGAACCGCCGCTTCAGCTCGTCCACCCGCGCCTGCACCTCGCCGTCCGCGACAACCGCGCTCTGCCTGCTCGCCCACGCGCCCAGCCGGCTGCCGACGGGGCGGCGGCGGAAGTACGCGTCGCTCTCCGCCCGCGCGACCTGCTCGACGCGCCCGACGACGCGCACCTGCTTGTGCACCTCGCGCCAGTAGAACGCGAGCGCCGCGTGCGCGTTCGCGCGCAGCTCCTGCGACTTGCGCGACGTGTAGTTCGTGTAGAAGACGAACCCGCGCGGGTCCAGCTGCTTGAAGAGCACGACGCGCGCGGAGGGAACCCCGGCCGCGGACGCCGTGCACAGCGTCATCGCCTCGGGCTCGCGCACGACGCCCTGCACCTGCGTGAACCAGGCTCGGAACTGGTCGAGGGGCGAGGCGAGCACGGTCGACGGCGAGAGCGACTCGGGCGCGTGGTACTGTTCGTGTGCGGTGACCTGCAGCTTGTCTGGGGTTTCCTCGACCGCAGAGGGGTACATAGACATGGCTCTGCGCAAGCTGTATGCATGTCCGTAGCCAGTGAAATGAGCGTAGCCAGAAGAGACGCGTTACGCTGGTCCGAGTATCGCGATCATGTCTCGTCTCGCGGGGCACGTCTCCCTGACGGACTAGATCGCTCGTCGGAGTCATCTGCGCCCCACGCGCGTGCGCCGCGTCCTGCCCTTCGATCACATACACAGTGCGTCTCCTCCCCTTCCCTGAGCCGCGCCTCACCGCACCTCCTCCTCACATCCTCAGCGCCGCGTCGTTAACCGCACCGGCCGTCCGCCCTCGACACGCGAGCACCTCCACGCCTTCCAGCACTCCATCGCCGCCGTCGACCGCTGCCCGTACCCCGTCGTCGCCGCCGCGCACAGCATCGCGCTCGGCCTCTCCATCGACATCATGAGCGCGAGCGCGAGCGACGTGCGCTACGCCGCGTCCATCGCCGTCTTCGCGATCGAGGTGCGTGCGCCGCACTCAACACTCGACTCACGCGTACCGCACGGGCTTGCGTGCTGATGTTCGCTGCAGGAACGTCCGGCTCCGGCGCCGCTTCCAGATCCTGAACCTGCGGGCACCCCGCGCGCGTTTGGCCACCCGCGCTGTGCGACGTCCGCAGCGTCGACCGCGCGCGGGACGTCGTGCCCATGACGCTGCGGTACCCAGCCCTAGCGCGCGCGGGGAGACATACGGCGTGCGGTTCGCGCCGGGGCACCGCTGGTGGTAGACGGCCAGACAGGTTCGTGCTGATCAAGCAGTGAGTAGGGCTTCCGCTCCCTTTGGCATCGTGCGCGCGCGCGGATGCGATCAGCGCATGTGGTGCACCGCAGCGTCGACTCGCACGACGACGGACACACGTCGGTCTTTGCGCCCCACACCGCTCTCGATGACACCCGAGGGCGTCCATCGAGCTCATGATGCTGGTGATATACTCGCCGTCGACGTGTCATCGCGCGCGTAGAGAGGCACATGTAAAGGTATGGAACACTCGCGCTCCCGCCGCAGTTGCACGCGCGCCCAGATTTGCTGCATCTTAGCATTCCCGTCACTCTGAACTCGTGCAACAGTAGCCGCGCTCTCCGCAGCCTTCGCCTCTACTGCTTGAACATCCCAGCACATCTGACACACGCTCATTCCAGCCCGGGGCATCTGCAACTCCAGCCCGCACACGCGCACGCACACCCCACACCGCTACAACTGCGCTACTCGCTTGCTTGCTCGCTGTGTCTGGTCTCTCTCTCGTGGCATCTCGTCTCACGCCGTGCTGCTTATCACTGGCGTCTAGTGGTCGGCCGCTCTCCCCGCAAGCTGCAGCATCGATCCCTCACGCGCAAAGCCACTGACCATCCACACGCCGCACCGCTCAAGCTTTCTACCGGCCCGCGAGCCCGCCGTCCGCTCACGTTGTTGCTGCACTCGCGCACGCGTATCGAAATCGTCATGTCCTTGCATCAAGGTGTAGTACTCAACTGCCGAGCTCACGCAACTGCATCATCTCCCGTAGCCCACCTTACGCACGTGACGCGGCCAGAGAGCACGCCTGCATTTCCTGTGCATTGCCACAGCATCCTCAGCCGCCCGCACCTGCATCCAGTACGCGCGCCGACATCTCGTCCGGCTACTGGCTTGCGCGCCCATCAGTACAGCTGACAAAATACGATGCAGGTGCGCCGTACCTCTACAAATCCCGCCGCCACATAATATTCTGTCCCAACGCAGTCACGCAGTAAGCACGCCATCGACCAGAGCAACGGCGACCCCCAAACACACTCACCATTGAGGCCTAAACGTCGGCCTACGTAGCTGCAATACACAAAGGTCAGTGCAGACAGTAGCCGTGGGTCCCGTAAGCAGACATAAGCTGAACCACCGAGACAGACAGAAATCGACAGCAACAAATTCACGACCAGGAGACGACGGATGCCCTCTCTCAAATCTGGCCCTCCTTATATCCCTCCCGCTACCCCCTTCCTGCGTTGCAAACCCACGCACGGACGCTCCCTTCCCGCGTCACGGCACCCGGTCCCGCCGCGTACGTAACGCCACTGCTCGCGTAGCCTCCCGCGCGTTGCCTCCCGCAACACCCGAGCTACGCGCATCTCTGCCGGTGCGCTCGCACGGGCTTCGCGTGTGGCCGCGGCGCCGTCCGCCACCGCGCCAGACGTGCATCCCTGCACGGAGAATCCGCCGACGGCAGGACGCGCACGCCCATGTCCGCGTCCGCGTCCTGTCCTGCATTTAGCATGCGCGACGCGGGCAGTTGTCCGCTGTCCACCTGGCAACCCGCGCGCAGGGCCGACGCCGCGCCCGGGAGATCTTCAACGCGCAGGGCGAGACTCGTGCGTCCGCCAACGGGACGTCGTGCCCGCCTGGCGTTAGCGCGCGATCGCCACCGCACGTCCGGGCGTCCACATGCGGCCCTGTCCCGAGCGGCGCTACAGCGTGACGCGGTCGGCTCGGTAGATACGCACTCTGCATGTCGCACCGTCTGCCCTGCGGGGGCGGGGGTGAGCTTACGAGCCGCCCAAATCCTTCATGACCCCGGTCAACATAGGCATGCGGCCTCTGCTGAGGGTGTACGAAATACGCTGCTGCGCTGCGAATATGCGCGCGCGCGAGCGAATGAGATAGCGCGTGGCTATCGGCGGCAGCGGGAGTCGAGACGCGAACTGGAATGCGAAGCCCGCGTGCGGACATCTCCACCGGGCGCTCGTCAGAGCTTCTTGTGCATCGCGATGGCGTATCCTAGCGCGGAGAATCCACCGATGGCAAAACGCGTGCGGTGTGTACGCGCGACGCGGCGCACGGCCGGGGTCGCTCCCGGGAGGAAAAGACTCACCGCCCAACGTCCTGCGCATTTCCCGCACGCGCGCGCGCACAGCGGGGAGGTGCAGCAATAGTGGTTCTTTACACGCATCCCCGGTCGCGAGTGAGACTATGGCACGACGCGACCTGCACGGCAGAGGATGCGCATTTTGCACGTCGCGCGAACCGCGCGCCTCCCGCTGCCTGGCCGTTCATCGTCCCGAATCGCCCATGTCCGCACGCTCCACTGTGCTCGCAGGCCGACAACCAACATGGAGACAATTGACCCCCGCCGCGACGGCGTCCAACCGCGGCTAGTACTTCAGAGCGGCAGCTAGGGTGCCGTCCGTCCGCATTGTCACGGGGCTGGCGGGATGGCTCAGGCAAGCCAACTCGCCGCAACGTGTAGACGGCGAGACACGAAAGCCTACTGATCGCACCTTCTGTCCGCTTATCGTGCGACCCGCCGCAGCCGGGCGATCACAAGCTCTGCGAGGTTTGCTCTCAATGAATGGGCGTCGCGATTGATACTCAGCCGGTCGTTCATGACTGCACCCGCATCCAACTGCCGCCAGTGCTTCAAAGTGGCAATGAAGGTGCAAAACATCCGCATTATTGGCAGTTGCATACTGATCCCGCAACGCCTGTGCCGTCAAACTGTGCCGGACGCACAACTTAACACCGAAGGACCGAGTACATACGTACTGTCTCTGTCCCGTGCTATCTTACTTATCCCGCTGCTAGCCGTCCCCTTACAGGACATATCGCGCGCCACACACGAGTCGGAATATCCGCGGTGCACGCGCTTCGATAATACTCACCATTCGTGTACGGTCACTATCTACTTATGTACACCTCCCGCTATCTAGTCATTGGCTATCCCGCATCATCCGAGTTCCACACGCCCCACCCCGCTCGCAGCCCGACATCCCGACATCTAGACGATGACCCCCAACTGTGACTGCATCTGACCGCGGCCAGTACTTCAGGGCGGTGGCTAGGGCACCGTCCGTCCGCACTGTCGCGGGACTGGCGGGACGACTCGGGCAAGCCAGCTCGCTGCGATGCGTAGACGGTGAGACGCGAACACCTACCGATCGCACATTCCATCCGCTTATCGTGCGACCCGCCGCAGCCGGACGATCACAAGCTCTGCGAGGCTTGCTCTCAATGAACAGGCGTCGTGATTGATACTCAGCCGGTCGTTCATGACTCCCGGTCACTATCTACTCGCAGGCACACACCTCCCAAACAGTGTGCTACACACGCGGCTCGACAACCTGGCGTCGAGACGGCTGCCCTGACTGCCGGTGCTTCAAAGTGGTGACGAAGGCGCAAAGTGCCTGCATCGTCGGCAGTCGTAGATTGTCCCCGCAACGCCTGCACCAGAGGCAAAACCTAACACCGAAGGACCGAGTCCATACGCACTGTTTCTGTCCTGCGCTATCTTATTTATCCCGCTGCTAGCCGTCCCACTACAGGACATATCATGCGCCGCAAACGAATCGGGATAACTGCGGTGCACGCGCTTCAATAATACTCACCTTTTGTTAACGCTATTGACGGTCACTATCTACTTACGTACACCTCCCGCTATCTAGCTATTGGCTATCCCGCATCATCCGAGTTCCGCACGCCCCGCTCCGCTCGCAGCCCGATGTCCCGGCATCTAGATGACGACGAACCCCCATCCGCGATTGTGTCCTCCCGCCACCATTGCTTCAGAGCGGCGACGAGGACACAGGTCGTTCGCAGCGTTGCAGCGGGATGACTTGGGCAGGCCTGCTTGCCGTGACGTGCAGACAGCGAGACGCGGATGGCGCGAAATCGCACATCGCGGTAAGTGTTTGCATGTGGTCACTACTGCCGGTCACTCACCAGATGACACGGACGTAGGACGCGATGTTCTGACCGGCCTGCTGTCAGTTTCCATGCGACCACAGACCATTGTATCTTAGCACGCTACTGCTGACTGCCCGCCTCGCTCAATCTGCCCAGCTGCGGCAGTGGTCCTTCACGCTCCTGTACCCCATTGATACCATCCATCAGCCCCATCAGCTCACCATCATCGCGCGTGCGCAGGGGAGCGGTTTGTGGTGCACCTACGATGGTGTACACCGTGAGCGGCGTAATGCAGCATGCCTAAACACAACAGCAGCTTACCTCATCAGCGTGCAGGTGCGTAGCACGATACGACTGGGACGCGCGAGCGAGACAGCGAGCGGGGTGCAATAAGAGCAACAGTACAGTGGAAGACAAGTTGTAAATCGCAGAGGCATCTCTGACAAAGCGGCTCCTCTCCCTGCCTCTGATACCTCGCATGCTCCATCGGTCAGCTTCTGTTCCCACGACTGCTGACCGGACATCTCGCCCAGGCACCGCTTTTGTGTCACATCTGCCGCCGTGTCACTACACTCTTATTCGCCTGATGGTAACTCTCCCCGTATACCCATGCGCGTACCTGGGCCTAGATGTGAGCAGTCTTTGATGCGGACGGATGGACACACCGACATACGCGCCCTTTACATCTACAGGCCGAAACACTCCTACATTGTCTGTCATCCCTGTTATTGTGGCGGCAATGCCCGTGTCGCATGCAGCGTCCCCGCACGTGTGATATTTTCACACCAAATGTGGTCTTTGTCTGTCTGTTCTCATCCCGCATTATGTTAGCAGGTGGGAGGATGTGTAGAAAATGAGTGTCAGCGTCGGGTTCGAACGAGCGAGCGCAAAGGTTTATGGAAGCGAGCGCAAAGGTATATGGAAGCGAGCGGCGTGGGAAAGGATCAAATACGAAGCAGTTTGTCTTGTCCTCGGGGCGGGGAGACAAACGCGCAAAGTAATTACATGTGGGAATCTGGCCTAATGTAGTAAACTCTTATCTAAATCAGGTACATAGTAACAAGGCAGAATGCTGTAGCAAAATGCGGGCTTACGATATTGTAGATCTGCACCAGTTCAGCCTGGTGTCGCAGCACGGGTGAACCTATTCCGGCATTATCTCAACTAGACCATGCACCCTCCCCCAAAGCTTCAGCGTGGGCACAACTCCAGGGATCTTGCAGGAGCATGGGCCGCAACCTACATACCCATCCCGTCAGTGCATCGTGACCGGGTCCCATCATGTTTGTGAGAAAGAGAGCACCGAGACAAAGGTTACAAAGTGACGGTCACTATGCACAATTCCCAGTAAGGTTTGTTATCTTCCCCATATATCTGCCATCTTCTCCGGAGCGTGATGGACTCGAGACATCTGTAAGTGTGCCGAGGAACACTCTCGGCATGCTTACGGATCTCCGAGTCCATTGCACAGATGTGGAAGCAATTCCGATATTGTGACCGGCATCATTTTCATATCACATCTTTACCTCAAAATGATCGTGATATCAGAATGATGGCGAGAACACGTACTTCCCACACAATTTGCTTACCATCAATTATAGTCTGGTCGAGGCCCTGACTGACCGCTCATATATATGAGTGTGTTGTGTTATTTGTTTCTGACTTTTGTGCGATGTGTCTGGCTTCCCCTGCAGAAACGTGGTGCTCGACGGTGATCGCGGGATGTCACTGGGGGCCGAGTTACATGGTAAGCTCGTTTCTCATTTTATTCACTGTCCGGCGTGCTGACAACTGGTCACGCATCGAAGGCGGCCACTGGGTGGTGTGTGACCAGGGCAGACGGCGCGCAACATGAGACACCACACTGCGCATCGACCGTGTGGCATTTGGCAAGGTGAGTTGGGATTCCATATAGTGCAATTGGATAGATACTGAGTTTCGTTTAGCTTACCTTGGCCGGCCATCAAGACGATGGGACCCCGCGCACTCGCTTGACGTCAGCCGGGAGCACCATCGACAGGCGCAGAAGACGCAGGTCGGTAGAGTGACCGGAGGCACTGGTCATCAGCGCAACGGGGGGATGCGAGAGCATCGTGCGGCTTGGCTACGCGTCCCGTAAGGTCGGACATGGGCTATGTCAAGGGCATCGCAACAGTGAGTTCAAGCTTACCATTTTGCAAATATACTGAATATCGAGCTGTGGCCTTGCAGGCATGGGCGACGGCGAAGGACAAAGTGTCGCGCGGCCTGCAGGAGTGCGATGACCGGCATGCGTGACCGTGATGTCCACAAGAACATCGCGCGGAGATGGTTCGAGGCGGCGAGCGGACGAGGCGTGATGTGCGGGCGTCCGGTACACATCAGCACGGCGATTCGGAGACACGGGCTGTGTCAAAAGTGCCATGGTAAGTGCAAGCTTAGTGTTTTGTGGTTGTACTGACCATGCGGCGGTGGTCTTGCAGGCGTACACGGCAGCGAAGAACAAAGCATCGCGTGGACTCATGCGATAACCGGCACACATGGACCAACGCGGCTCGCTGTGTGCGTTAGGCGTGAGCGGCATGCGAGATGGAGCAGGCGCCATTGAGAGCATGATGTACGAGGGATCGCCGCGCAGGGATGGTTCAAGGCGGCTAGCTGACCGGGCACGGCGTGCAGGCGTCCGGACGTGGTGGAGAGCGGTTGCATGCGGAGTGCTGACCGCGTTTGCAGGCGCGGGGGCAAATGCGCCCAGCGGCAGCGGGCGGCGTTGTGCTCCCGGTCAGCAATTGTTGTGGCAGTCTGCACTCTTACCTCGACGCGTGACACTGGACTCGGTCGTGTTGCACAGACCGGGAACAGCGTGTGGTTTTGCAATGCGCTAGCGACTTGGCGCGGAGCATGCTGACCCGGCTGAAGAGACGGTTCCATGCACAAGAGACCTGCGCACGCAAGATGGCGTCTGCTGGTGGTGGGACGACGGCGGGCGACCAATTACCTTGCTGCTTGGTCGACTGTTCCTGCTCGGCGCTGCTGCATTTGCAGACCCTGAAGCGGCCGGCCGCGACGAGGATGGGCCCCGGCGCACATGCTTGCAGCGGTGGTGTTAGACTGCGCGATGAACATGTCGACCTGGCGTGCTCAGTGCGCGCTCGTGCATTGCAGGAATAGTCCTACCTTGTGCAGCGCGGCCCTCGACATCGCGGGCAACGTCTCAGCGTGCGGCCGCAAATGCGTCGATGAAGGCGTACGTGGGTGTGCGAAGTGCTCGACTTGCCCTTTGCGAGCGGCGCAGAGGCCCATGGTGGGGAGATGGCAGTCCCGCTGGAGTGCGCGGTGAGTCCGCTGAGACGGCAGGGAGAGGGCAGTCGAGCGAGGAAGCGCCCAAGTGGGGCAAAGCAAACGAGAGGAGTTGTGCGAGGAACAGCCCAAGTGGAGCAAGGGAGAGGGCTGTTCTTCGCGCAATTGCGAGGAACCGCCCTCGTTGAAGGAACCGAAAGAAGAGGGAGAGGGCTGTTCCTTGCATGACTGCGAAGAACAGCCCAGCTGAAAGAACCAAAACAAGAGGGAGAGGGCCGTTCTTGGAACCGAAAGAAGAGGGAGAGGCAACTCTCGATCTTGCGATGGTCACACCGGCCGCGGGACGACAACGCGCGGCTACCTCGATCGCAATGTCAGACCTGTCGCTCAGAAGACGTCACAGATGGCCGTGATCCCCATTGATCGACCTTGAAATACTACAACGGGTGCTAGGATCCGTGCTATCCGTGCTGACTGTACTATGGTTGGGAAGGAGTTGCTCGTGGCCGCGTTCGCGAGCCTCGGGTTCACGAACCACTGCGTGTTTTTCCATGATTCTTGTGTCAATCGATGCATTAGCATCTTCTCCACAAGTGTGAATATATTCAGCGCAGTACAATGAATGGCGCTTGTACCAGCACAAATCTACAAGGAGCGGCGAGACGATCTGTACCGCAGGAACAAGACGACCTCATGCACCATGCTTGTCTACATTGTACCTCAAGTGCTTTTGAGTATCGGGCTCATCGACGGACATTTATATCAATAGAGAATGAAGACTGACAGCTCCCGGGATGAAATCTCATCGCATTCGGGCGACATCTGGGTCGGTATTTGCGTACACTGTTATCAAAATGCCTTGAGCAACTCCCTACCAACCATAGAATTACACACTGGTGTCCCCTTCGCGCACTTCTCCCGTTCCTCCCGTGCATCACGGCGCCAGCCTGTCTATCTTCCATTCAGGGGCATCCTCCCGTGAGCCTTCTACACGCAGGTACCGCACTCGGTCATGCAAGCGGGACGGCTTGCCCAGCCAGAACTCAATCTCACTGTGGAACCAACAGTAAGCGATGGCCAACACGCCCATGCGGAAAGCCGTACTCGGGCACCACCCGCCAGCCACCCCAGAACTCGGGCAGCGGCACGTTCGCCGTCGGGTCGTTCTCGTCCGCCTCGAACCGCCGCTTCAGCTCGTCCACCCGCGCCTGCACCTCGCCGTCCGCGACGACCGCGCTCTGCCTGCTCGCCCACGCGCCCAGCCGGCTGCCGACGGGGCGGCTGCGGAAGTACGCGTCGCTCTCCGCGCGCGCGACCTGCTCGACGCGCCCGACGACGCGCACCTGCTTGTGCACCTCGCGCCAGTAGAACGCGAGCGCCGCGTGCGCGTTCGCGCGCAGCTCCTGCGACTTGCGCGACGTGTAGTTCGTGTAGAAGACGAACCCGCGCGGGTCCAGCTGCTTGAAGAGCACGACGCGCGCGGAGGGGACCCCGGCCGCGGACGCCGTGCACAGCGTCATTGCCTCGGGCTCGCGCACGACGCCCTGCACCTGCGTGAACCAGGCTCGGAACTGGTCGAGGGGCGAGGCGAGCACGGTCGACGGCGAGAGCGACTCGGGCGCGTGGTACTGTTCGTGTGCGGTGACCTGCAGCTTGTCTGGGGTTTCTTCGACCGCAGTGGAGTACATAGACATGGCTCTGCCCAAGTTTTTGGAGAAAATGTATGCACGTCCGTAGCTAGTAGAGGGTCTGCAAAGAGCGTAGCCGGAAGAGACGAGTCTGAGGTGTACTCTGGTCCGAGTCATCGCGATTTCTCATGCATCTCGATCGGGGGCGATCGCTCTAGTTCCTACCTTCAGCCACCCGATCCGACCTCAAGATTCCGCTTGACAACAAAATCGCATGCACTGGGTTAAGAGCTAGTGTGCGATGCATATTTAGAGTAGTATGGTAATAGGATGCATAGCAAGCGGTATACAGGTGTAGAATACAATAAGGTCCATTTAAAGCGACGCGAAACAAACCGTCCCATTAGAAATACGTCATCCAGCTGCTGACCGTAAACTCCGAGCCCAATCCCGAGCCCAACCCCGCATTATACACCGTTTGCGTCGACGACGGGTCCTTGCCACCGTTCAGATCGTCCACATGCATTGTCCGCTCCGCCGACGTGCTGTACGCCTGCGTCATCGATTCCAGCTGCCCCGGCAGTGGGTCGACGAACGTCGACGGCACTTTGGCGATGAACTGCTCGTAGCAGCGCCGCAGCGACGGGTGTGCAAGTTCGAACGGGTTGGGGTCCTCCGGCGGTGGCACAACGGTCGCCTCCCGCTCCGGGACCAATCCGGCGCGGCGGGCGAGAATGCAGATCTCGTCGTCCTCTTTTGGTGTTTCGCTGAACCGGTCGATTGAGCCCCGGCACCAGTCGATGTAGACCGAACGTGCTCTTGCCACACATGCTTCCAAAGGTAGCTGTTCGTGGTGGCGATGTGATGAGCGCGATGATACAAGAAATGTACCCATGAAACTTACCAGCGCCTTAGCGGCTACTGGACAGCGGTCCCGCACCTCCATGAAGAGTGACCGTACGTTGTCCAGCTGGATGTTGACGTGAGGACATAGGGGACAGCTTGGGGCGCGCCCCAAAAGCAAGCAGAGGGCGAGCTATTGTTCAAAGTGTGTACTTGAGTCGGTATTGTTACAAGATGAATTCTGAACTCACCCCTCCTGACAGGACGTTGTGCCAGAGCGCCGCGAAGCGCAAGGTCAGCTCTGGTTGCCACTTGTAGCACGTTTGCACGGCCCATAGGTAGTTGCTGATGCTCCCATATGTCGCCAGTACGGATGGCGCATATCTATGCCTCACAGTGAAGCCTTCTGTGATACTGAGCGCTTGGGTAAAGAAGCCTCTATGTAGGTTGAGAAGCGCTGAAAGTTTGCAGACTCAGCGAGGGAACGGCCTGACGTAAGTGCCGATGCCACAGACCAACTTCACGAGTGCATAGCGTGAGCACTTGTTGCATACTCAGAGGGTGCGGCGGCACCGCTCCCGCGTTGTCGACCATGCGCATAACCTGGGGGACCTCATAATTACGTATCATGGCATCGAGGTCCAGAACGTCCGTATAGGGAGGCTGCTGTGGCGACACAATCATTTCTAGCACAGGGTACTGACACTGTGCAAGAAAGGCGTCTCGCCAGCCATGATCTACATAAGCGCGTAGCAGCAGACAAATTGAATTTAGGATGTGGACCCGATGACGATCGCAATCCACTTACATACTGCTGTCAAGTTCAACCCTGTCCCCGATGTGTCAAACATGTACGCGGGCCGTTTCACGTCCACGTGCTGTATGCAGAGGGAGGGCGGCCGCCTGAGCATGAGGGCCTGTCGGGTTGGCGATGTGTCAGGAATCCGCGCTGATCGGTATGCAACGGCACGGGCCAGGAACGGAACGTACCAGGCGGACGTCAACGTTCATCATGTTCCAAAGAAGGGCCTTGCGCTTGTCCAACTCCTCAGGGATCATCTTCACTGCACCTTCGCGGTCTGGCCGGGGGTGAGATGGTATCGCGGGTATGTGCGAACACATTTACTCACGGAGACTGAGCTGAAAACCCCAATAATGACATCAGCGCCTTATCCGATGCTGATGAAAGAGATGTACATACACTGTGGGCGAGCTTCGCTAACAAACCCTGTCAAGATGGTCAGTCGCATGACAGCCACCCCTGATTGATTTTGACGAACCATAATGCCCCACGCATGTTCCGCCGCTCTCTTGTGATTAGAAAACATGAGTAGGTACCATATTTCGTAAAACTGTTGTATGTCAATAACAATGACACAGTGAAGCCAGGTGAATCCAGACCAACCAAAGTATTGATGGTGTCGAAGCTTGGATCGTCAATGACGGCGGTCTCGCAGACCGCGGCGCGCGCGAGATGGTGGTACCGTTCCGCTGTCTGCGGATCGCGGTGCGGCGAGAGATCAACTGCAGCACCGATGGCGAGGATCATCAGGAATAGGCTCAGTCGATGAGGCAGGAGCGCATCCAGCGGTGTCGTGTATACACTGTGTATGAGATTCGGAAGGAAGCTCTCGCTGGTGTCGGGGCTATAGCTGTATGCAAATTCAATATTCTGTAAAATGTTAAAACATTAAAAACTCACTGCCAGAATGCGTTCAGCTGTGCCTGTTCGCACAGACGCTGGCCCTCATGTCGCGGCGGAAGCATGTCGCGGATGCGTTGTCGTAATTGCGGGTCGAGATCAGTGTGTACGGACTTGGGGACAGGGCATGAGCGGCTGAGTTTTGCAATGTCATACGGTAGGCCAAGGCTAGTCGACATAGCACTTGTCGAAACAAGCTCCCCCGTATCAAACTGGACAGAGGACGTGAGACGCTATACTGCGCTGGGAAATGACCATCTTACCTCGAGCCCGATGTCTCGAGGTGACGAGGAACTCGAGCCATGGTGGTCATCTTCGTGACTACGTCCGCTATCTGAGTGTGGTCCCGATTGTCCATTGCGCTCGACACCGAATAATTCAGGCGATCGCTTAATTGTTAGTAGCTCTGGTTGGAGCAATGGATGAGGCTCAGACGAATGTTGTAATTGGATCGACCCTAATCCATCCTCGAGCTGACGGATACGCTCCGCCATAGCCTTGATCTTCTCGTGCAGCTGTTCAGTGTTTGCGAGGATAAATCTAGAACCCATGGATGAATGCGTGTACCGATGCACCGGCTAGATGCACCTCACCTGCTGCCTTTGCCCCCAATTAATGCACCATCTGGACATATTTCCGCACATCCTCGCTTGCAGCAGGACTGGCATGGGAACACTCGATCACACTGCAAGACAATCCGGAGGTCATTGACCCGCGAGCGCTGTTCCGTCGGCCGACGTACCTTCAGCTTCAATCTGATTGCCATTCAGTTCGGTGTAAATGTTGTACAGGCCGACGCGACGCACCTTCTGCACTCTCCGCACGACAAGGGTCGTTTCCTGTTCCTCTTCGCGGAACCGTCTCCTGATTCCGTCTCTGGAGGAATAGAGGGCCCGGGGATTGGATACAGCTCGTCCTCTGCACGGATGCGTTTGGTGGGGCGGTCGTCGAGGTGGTAGTCGGGGACGGCCTGCATGAGCTGGTGAGATGTTACGGAGAGCATGGTCGCAAGATGGCAGACAGCAACTGGGGGATATGATCCCGACGGTGAATCCCGTACTTTAGCCGAGGCCGTGTAACCGGAAGGTGAATAAGAATGTGATGAAATAATTAGCCGATGTCCGACACGGACGGAGTGCGGATCCCTCGGAGTGTAGTCTCTCTTTTCGAGTTGGTCGCTCCGGTTGTCGCGGACGAGAATGAGTGCAGTTAGACCGGTGACTTGAAGCTAACAGTAGATTCCTGAGTTGTAGGCGGAAGTGTGGAAAGCGGACCCGCGAAGGCGTAGTAGTATAAGCTGGCTCGCAGTTTGCCGACCGGAAATGAAGCTTGCGTGATTCTTCACTCGGCGTCTGAACGCGAGGTGCAATTCCGCGAATATAGATCCATTTAGAACATATGGCCGGACAATTACAGCGATTAGAACCAAAGCAAGCTGGGAAAACGACGGCAGCACTCGGCAGAGCCATCTTGTTGCCGGAAATGGCAAATGCTAGCAGGTCTCGATCGCCATCAGCGCACCGTTCCTAAGCGAGTTTCTCGGAATTGCGGTTATTATTCAACTACGATCAAGTGTACCACCCTCTATCTTTCAAGTCGGCTTGCTCTTCCATGTTTCGCTCTCTCTTAAGAGCACCCTCGTCTGCACGCCGTCTTACACAGGCATTCTCCACGACACATCATGCTGCGGACAGAATCAAACAGCCTCGCCCATGGGCGGTAGAAAACGTTCCGCCCATTGATCCTCGGCCATCGTGGGTGTTCCCGTTGAGTAGATTCGCGAACTATGTGGTGATACCAGGTGCGCCTGCAGGTTATCGTGCGCGACTTGAACGGAGCGGAGCTCACTGGCGCACAGGAACCCTTCTGTACGCCGTCTTCTTCGCTGACTTCGGAGAGAAAGAACATGTGTTCATGCCGGTACGCACCTGTAAAGTCCGCGACGTGTGAATTCGTCCAATGACCCCTCCTCCCCTCGGAATCCTAGGCAAGGCGATGGTTGGACCGTCAAAAGGCTGCGTTTTTCTCACTCTCAGATGCAGAGCGTGAGATCGCAGGGGTCGCAGGGGAACCGCCCGCGAAAGAGGCGGTGGGAGCCCGAGAGGATCAGTGATCAAGTTCGTGAACAGTTCCCTGACAGTGCCTCAGTGAGTATCATATACGTCCATCTGATCTTAGCAGCCAAGTCTTTGATATGGATTTGATGAGGCAGGTTTTCCCTTATGGATCTTTCGTGCTGGCAAGCTTGGGTACAGGCGATCTTTTAATACTGCAAACTACCGTTTTGCGTATTCCTCCACAATACATACGTTTGGCTCCGGAGCCAACTTGATGTCACCTGTAAGCATGACGTCTCACAAGGCGTTCAGCGCGACAGTCGGCTGCACGTCAGCTCATGTCGAACGGGCGCAGGCATCTATCTGCCATAGCGGTACGTGGTTCGCGCCACTTGCGGCCACGGAACATGTAGGATGCAGCCGCGCGTCTCTGGCGGTAAGTGGTGATTCTGCGCATCACATGTGCTCATCTGATACGGTCAGCACGATACTTCTACATCGGTGAAGTGAGGTCATGCGCCACCGGCCGCTGCGGCTTGCCTTCATCAACGGTGTAATGCGTAGGTCAAGGCTGTCAAGCTCCGGTTTCAGTGTGCCCATAAGATGTGCGCTTAGGACTGTACGGGGCGCGATGGGGCCATGCAACGACGAAGTCTTTCAGGAATGAGGTTTCATATACAATTGTTTCGGAGATATTTTTGAGATCTAGAGTGGTCTTGCGCCATATCTGACAACTTCTCAGGTACCTACTGGCATCTCACAGCCTTCGAGTGCGTTGCTCGCCGTTTGAAGGCCATCAAGCAGAGCGCCTCTTCCAGATCACGCGGACTCGTTCGACATTTCTTCGGCTTATCAATACATTCTTCCGAGGCAGATATATCAGAAGGAGAGTGTGAGCGAGATTCTTAGAGTTGACTAACAATTAGGAGAATGCGTTGCTCAGCATCTATTTGTTCCACGAAGTATTAGGTTTCCGGAACAGTCGGAATATTGAACTTCCTAGAGATCATTCATAGCGCAAGTATTACCATGTCGGCAGCGATACCCTTGCTCGCAACTACATCTGGTGCATGCAAGCCTCTAGCTAAAGTGGTCTGCGCTAATACACCGACACTTTAATACAAGACGATTCTCCCGTACGAGACCTTACTGGCATGCCTGTCGTCCGATCAAGTACTACAAATCGTCATAAGGTTTGGCGATATCTCGAAAGGTGAATGCATTGCTCTGGCGCGCAAGCGACACAACCAACTGCCTGCTGACTCGGAAAGCAAGCGCTATCGAGCAGCATGATGATGATATCTTTAGACAAACAACGGCGCCCCGTGCTGCTGCTCTGATGTCATTGCGACGCAGGTGCACCAACACGGGTCAATGCTCTCTAAAAACCGCTCCGAGCTTTGGGTCTAGAGCATCGACGGCGCTGGTCACGGCCACATCGAGTCAGCGTAACAGCCGCCTGTGCGTGCACTGTGGGGATGCGCTCTTCCGAGTCCACCCGGGGAGAGGATTGCCTAAATTAGGCAGCACGGCATTTGCCGGAGAAGCGTCGAGAACGCATTTCCCGGGCTGCTGATTGGCCGGTGCGGCAGAGGACGGTGAGCCTGCGCATCTTGCTGAATGCTGAGCCTGCAGCCAATTCAGGACGGTCAAAGCCGCGGCGGGCAGCCTCCCGAATGGATGTCCGCGCGAGAACGCCCTCCGTTGGCGCGTTGCAGGGCATCGGCGGTGGACCTCGGGACTGTGCTCGGGACGAGACGGGTCTGCCAAGGGTCTTCAGTATATAGGAGGCGTCACGGCGCGCTTGCAGGACCAATCAGACTGACTTGACATGTTGAGGACTGCTTGCTATCGTACACTGCCCGCCACACGCGGCTTCGTCGCTCCTTCTCTGGTTGGCGCGCAGCGCCGCACCTTCATGAGGGGTGTGCCCGCGTGGAACAACTTGACCTCCAAGCGCACCGACGAGGAGATCAGCGTTGGCACAGAGGGCCCGCACAATCGTACGCAATTATTGTATGGTTTGAATGGGACCATTATTGACAGATTGGATCTAGTTGACAGAGTCTCGTCGACGCCTGTACAGCTAGGTCAAACGGACAGCAAGCTCCCTGATGAAATTAAGGGTGATTGGGTCCTATTTCATCCCGTATACAGCCCGGCAGAATTGCACTCGGTTGAGGTACGTGTCGGCCTCACGTCGATCTTAGCCACCAGGTCTGCTCATTGCCATGCCCGTGTAGGTCCTTCATCGAGAGTCGAAGACAATGTCCGATAAGATTGCATTCCTCTTTGTGCGGCTTCTAAGGTTTGTATCAGCGTAACATCGGGTGGCGCTCTAATTTGATCCGTATTTCCAGATGGGGCTTTGATGTGGCGTCAGGCTATAAGCACAAGCCCCTCCCGCCAAATGCCGACAAGATGTCTATAGAAGAACTCAGGAAAGGCGGTTACATCATGGACGAACACCAATGGCTGCGAGTACGTATTCACGGCTATGCATGCGTCATACATTGCGTCTGACTGTTGTCACAGCGTTTCCTTTTCCTTGAAAGTATCGCTGGTGTACCTGGGTTCGTTGCGGCGACTTTACGTCATCTGAAGAGTTTGCGTCTATTGGTCAGCATTTCCGCGTTCCTATCCGGATCCAGCGTCTAATATACCCCGCAGAGGCGAGACGCAGGCTGGATCCACACTCTGCTCGAAGAAGCGGAAAATGAGCGCATGCACTTGATGTAAGACTGGTAGCACACGCACTCCACAAAAGTCCCTGACGGGTCATACATATGCAGGACGTTCATGTCGCTGCGTAAGCCTGGGTGGTTCTTCCGTGCGATGATTCTTGGAGCGCAGGGCGTGTTCTACAACGCATTCTGTGAGTCGCTGTCGCCCTATGGCCATACAGGCACTGACCCAGCACAAATTAGTCCTGTCATACCTTATCTCCCCTCCCACATGTCACCGTTTTGTCGGGCATCTGGAGGAAGAGGCTGTTATTACCTAGTAAGTCTCCACCGTGACGTGTTTAGACTCTTGCTAATTGTCCTTCAGCACTAGGTGCATTGGCGAGATTGAGGCTGGCCGTCTGCCTGCATGGTGAGCGCCTTTTTCTCTCTAGATCACTCTGGGACTGTAGCTCATCTCTATCCCAGGTCAAACTACCCTGCCCCCGAGATCGCAAAGGACTACTGGCGCATGGAAAAAAATGCTACATTGCTTGACGTTATTTATGCCGTGCGAAGCGATGAAAGTACGCACCGGTTCGTCAACCACAGTCTCGCGAACCTGAAGAAGGACGACATCAATCCTTTCGCGTTCCGCGAGCCCGACATGACCGTCAAGGGCAAGAAGTCTGGGTAGGTGTACTCGCTCCTGACTGATTGAACACTGCCTCATTTTGTTTTGCAGCTTCGAGCGAGAGGAGGCCGAGCAGTACGTTATCGAGTCGCAAAAGCTATTGAAAGAACACAGGGCACAGCAGCAGAAGTAATCATCAGATGCCCGTCATCGTCTCGTCTCAGTCACGCTATTTATTAGTACTCTCACCACTTAGCGCACACCTCTACTGATCTTACGGACGTTCTATTGCATTTTCACCAATCTCGCTCATCGCCACGGTGTACATTTTACTATGTGATATATACTAGACATTCCGAGTTTGCACGTGTAAATATTTACAAGCACCGTGTGGAGTCTTGCAACTTCCTGCTGAACATCACAATCGCGTGGGACAGGAAGTGATGGCATCAAAAACGCGATCGAGTATGACGTTCGCGGATACCCCGGCGCTATTTTGACAATGCGCCCGACTCCAACACTGGCTTGCGGTCTAATATAACTTGGACTCTCTTTCGCTCCTTAGAGGATTAAACCCTCACCTCTTACCACCGGTAAACCGCAGGCCGCTTACCAGTGAGCGCGATGTCGTCACCGTCTCGAGTAGACATTCCTAGGAATGAAACCATGCAGAGAGGCGACCACCACCAGCATCGCCGGAGATTCATCGGTCCGCTTCCAAAGTCTTCAGTCTCTGACGAGATCGTACAGCAATGTAAGAAGACACGCAAGAGAGGCAATAATCAGACTCGAGGCTCGAACATCCATGACGACGAGGACGGCTTGAAGGACGCGATCTACAACCTCGCGGCTGACTTTATGCGGAGGCGCGGGGACGCCGAGGATTGGGACCCGGACGAAAGGAGGCATGTACGCGACGAGGTTTATAAGCGGTGGAAGGAAAGCGAATGGGGTAGGGCATTCATGCGAAGCAAAACCGCGCGAACGGACAAACAGTGGATTGGGACGTCGTTTGACGTCGGGGTATTCCTGGGATTCAATATCCTGGAGCAGGCCTCGAACAGTCTCGCTCAAGAGGAATTCTCTACCCCAGGAGCCTCTACGTCGCATCACATCACGCCCCCTACCGCGGAGACATTTGCGTCTGCACCGTCTCATCAATGTTCGTCCCAACACCAGACACAGGACACTGCTTCACACGCAGCTCATGGGGGGTCACTCCTGCCTTCCGCCAGCCACGAAGACGACGCGTCTCAGACTGCTGATTCTTCTACTGCGTTGATTAGACCGACGTCTTGCAAGGCATCTCAAACGCGCCCCACCGCACAGGCATTGACAAACATGCCAGATATGGTGCCGAAGAGTGATACATATCGAACAGGGCCCAATGTCATTGCCAGCAAGAGCAAAGGGAAGACGGTCCATTATGATCCGGTGATCACTGACGACCACCCCGCACCGCCGGGAGAAGTGCTCACTCGGACCAGGGAAGCAGCGGAACATACGAGTGCAGGGGTTGCTCAATGGTCAGAAGACGTTGAACATGTCCCTTGGGGTGACGTCGTGATGCGAGGTAAGTCGTCTTTCACAATCTCCGCCTTCTTGTTATCATAGTTTGAAGTTCATCTTTAGATAGAGCATACATCAAATTCTCATATTCGGAAACGGAGTCCTTGCCATCAGACTTCGATGAATGGCAGAACCGCACAACGGGACATCTCCATAACGAAGATTGGGCGGAGTACATCGTTGTCTGGCGCAAAAATCGGCTGGAACTGTACACGGGTCACGCAAGTTGGCCATCTCAATAAATGTCAGTATGCTAATGTTTGTGCTGTAGCATATGCCAGGGAAAGACTGGGTTCTCGGACATATGAAGCTTGTATTCGTGATCCCACTGGGGCAATCGACGACTAGGCTGTCGTTATACTCCTTTGTGGATCTCACCTTCTGCATTGTCTGCCCGCCCGCTCCGTTGCGGCATCGCTCGAAGCGGCGGTGGTTGAACAGGCGACACAAGGGCCTCAACATTTTCGTGTTCAAAATCAGGAGCCGCACAAGGGCCATTGACTGGGTTTGGAAGCTCTGGTGCGCATCCTTTGAGCGGTCCATGTCCGCATAATGATCGCTTTGCTGATATTCAAGTAATCAGGAGACATCTCGGGGGCGAGCTACCTACATCTCTCGATATCCGGTCACCTCTACTCGATACGCGTGTCAGGATCGACATGCCGAGGTTCGAAGGCATTGAACTCACTGCAGCATACCAAATCTTTGAGAACGAGAACGTGTTGCGCTTGTGTAGGGAGAGCCTCTCAAAGACAGGGGATGAGCACGAACTTCTTAGGCATAAGCTAAAGACAGGTGCCGAACTAGCCCTGGCATGGCGCTCGGAAACCAATCTAGATTGGGTGTGGCAACTGGACGACGTGCAAGGCAACCCAAGGAAATGGGCTATCTTATGCGGGCTCGCGCTGAATCAAGTTTGTCACAATGCATAGTTACCGCGGCTGTCTCTGATACCTCTCTGCAGCACGGAAAAGGCGCACATCTGGAAGTCCGCCTCAAGGAGCACTTCCCCACCCGCCTGCACTTGAAAGATGGCACGGTTCTCGACGAACCGCCAGCTGTCGAAGGGTACCTGGAGCGCATCAGACCCAACTCCCAGCTCAAGCAGTCCGTCTATCTGACGATCCATAACAACCACATCTTCGCTGTCCCGATAGCCCACGCGCACCACCCACGTCCTCCAGGGTTTCTCCCGCCCGGTATCGATGCCGATTCTCTACGAGAGTCGGAGGTACAGAGGGGAGCACAGCAGATCCTGCATGCGACGGGCATGACAGATCTGCGCAATATCATTGCTGTTCGACGAGCCTTTCAGTTGGTACCGCGACATGAACAGCACCCGCCACCGGTTGACAGACAAGACTCGGAAGATGACAGCTTCTGGGAGGCAGTAGAGAGGACAGAAAGCGACGACGAAGACGTGGGAGGAGACGTTGGACTGAGCATTGCGCAGGATAAGGGCAGCCTGCATATGAGGCGATCCTTCGAGCTCCTGCTAACTACGGGGAATGTGGTCAGGTTCGAGGTACGTCGAGAGAAGAGTTCACGATGCGAGGAGGTACCTGACAGACGCAATGCCAGGCATTTTCATGTCAAGTTGCCCTGGAGTGGATTGTGCGGCTCAGGCCGCTCATCTCGTACTGGAGAAGGCGGCATCAAGCAGATGCGCAGACGGAGATGCAGCTTGCATACATTAGCACTGGGAGAGCACGCATAACTCCTCTGCGACACGTCGTTGACGACCACGACTCGCCGCCTGAGCCCCTGCCCGACCCACAGGCATCCTTGCCAGAGCTCAGCTCTTTCTTCAACTGGTGCGCCCTTGAAGGATGCCGATCTATTGTCCGGAGCGGAAAACTCTTCGCCCGGAAAGGCTTATGGGGGCAATACAAGTAGGACGGCTTCACAATCCTTGCGTACATATCATTGACAATTAGCACAGACACGTGCAAGTCGTCCTCATTGCAGGTAACCTCGTCCAGTTTCGCATCACGGGCCGCAAGTCGCTGCACCACCATCGTCATACGGGCATCAACCTCCAGGATGCTTACCTTGTGTCAGGTTACCTTGCCGCTCAATATCTGCCAGAAGGCCAGTATGACCCCGACGCACCGCACCTAGCACGACGGTACCAAGATGGTCTAGAGACAGATGACGGACCAGAAGACACGCTGTTCATGATGTGGTATCGCACTCAGGTGGATCCTTCTAGCAATATGTCAAAAGTCGTAGCAGGCGACACGCCACGATTGGAGGTAAAGCGACAATTGAGTTTCTTCAAGACGAGAAGCAAGCTTGAGCGAGATGCGTGGGTCTGGGCGATCAACATGGAGATTGAGAAGGCCGTACGAAGTACGAAAGACCGAGAAGAGAGGATCAGGGAGGCTGGGAATATTGTGAAAACCTGACCTAGAAATACTATCTCCCCTGTGTTGCCGGCGATATGATTGCAGCTTCGCACGAAACTTGTCGTGCCAGGCAGTTCGTGAGATTGTAATAATGTCTGTCCAAAGCCTGATTAACGGTGAGCCTGTTACGTGATACATGGGGAGTTGCAAGAGCTGCAAAAGCAATGTTTGGCTCCGAACATCGAGCCACAACGCATCTACTCCTTGGGCTTCTTCGCTGAGAGTGACGTTAGCGGAGTGCACGACACAACTGAATACGACTGACCTCCATATCGGCTGCGAGCCGTGAGTCTGTTCACAACACCACCGAAGTCTGCTGCACCCCGCACCAACTTATATCTTCAAGGACTGTGTCAGACGGACTCTAGAATATGGGCAGTTCTATCTTACCGAACACCGGGAAGATCCTGCGCACGACCTCCTCTCACTAGGACTACACCGTGCTCTTGGAGGTTATGGCCTTCTCCAGGGATATATGCATGAAGCGTCTTTCCGGACGTCAGCTTTACTCGGGCAACCTTCCGCTTAGCCGAGTTTGGTTTCTTGGGCTTCATGATAAAGACAGAACTAATGACACCCTTCTTCTGCGTGTTACCCTCCAGTAGTGGTGACCTTGGCCGTTTGCTCTTCGGGAGTGGTTTCCGACGTGTCGATTGATTCAATGTGACGGCGGTAGGAGGCGACGGGTAGAAAGATCGGAAGAGCATGGTCACATTAGCATTTTGGAATAGACTCTGTCGCAAGTACGAGATTGGCCACTGTCGGTGCGCCGGGCTGGCCAGCGACCGAAGGGCAGACAGCATTTTGGATGTCGACGCTGAGCAGACTTGCCACTTTTGGCGGCTCATCCGCGACTTGCCCGGCCCTGAACAAGTCACAGGATCCACTTTGGGCTCAGGAAACGAGACGCGTCTCTGAGTCGTTGCGCTCATCTCACCCGCTTTTCACTCGAGATCATGCCAGTTGCAGGTCCGTCGCGTCGTTCCACGAACAATCGTAGAAGAGACCCATCCTCCGATGGTATTGAGGCCGATGAGCCGACCCAGAGGCATGCCAATCATGAGGACGTAGACGAGGAAGAGGACGAGGAGGAACGTCCGCGTCGCGCAAAGGCAGGGAAAAAGGAGAAGACAACCAATACAGCGGCACCGCAAGAGCAGGACGAAGATGAAGACTCTGATCCGTTGGAGAACTTCGGTGACCAACCTCTCGACAAAGCCCAGGCTCAGCGGATTGCCGGAGTGGCCTCTGACTGGAACATGATTAGACGTAACCACCTTGCTCCATTCTATGGTATCATCAAAGATGTAGCTACTGTATTCGCTGAATTCACAGAGGGAGAGAAAGGAGAGAACGTGAGCGACATGCGAGGACTGCCTACGCATCAAGACTGACCCATTGCAGCTCATTTCAGAGATGGACGGCGTCGTGCGGCAACTCATAGATTCCGAGGCAGAATTGCTTGCGCATGAAAAGGCGCTGAATGACCTCAACCAGAAAGTCTCATGCAAGGAGCCGATCGTGAGTGTCACTCTTTGCGATTGACCTTCGTCTCACATTTTGGACTAGACCGACGTCGTAGACCAGTATGAGCAAGATGTGAAGCGGAGAGCTAATGAATACAAGGAGAAAACTACGCGCCAGAAGTACGCGACGGCAGACGAGTATTTCTCTTTCAGACAGGCCGTTTTCGTGAGTTTACAATCAGTCGGATCGCACACGAGCAACTTTAAGTGTGTTGTGCAGGAAGTACAGAATCCAGACATTGCAATGCCACCTGTCACCGACTTCTTGCAGAGAGGCGGGTGCTGCTCTCAATTGCTCTGGTTGCTGTTCGCTGAAGCTTTGTTCTACCCAGAGGACGGTGATGAGAGCGACGATGACGACGATCTGGTAATGGGCGGTGTAACTCAAGATTATAAGTGCCCGTTGACTCTGACAATCCTCGTGGACCCGCTGACTTCGTATGTTTCCCCTGTCTTCGACATCTCGCATCTTGTCATGACACGTATGCCTCAGGAAACTCTGCGGACACTCGTTCTCGAAGACGGCAATCGAGGAATACCTTGGGAGTCGCTATGCGCAGAAGGAATGTCCCGCGTCAGGCTGCACCAAGATGCTCACTCTGAGCAATCTCGAGCCGAACAAGGAGCTTGCGAGAAAAGCAAGAGATGCCGGCCGACGAGAACGCATGCGGGAACAGGATAGTGATGAAGAGGACGTCGTCGAGTGATCTGCGGATCCTTCGCACGTGTTTATCCTACAATATCTCGGTAATATCTAACCCTACCCCATGCTAACAAGGTTTTATTTATGTATTGTCCGGTGTGGAAGGTCACCTTGACCGGTAAACTGCGTTGCGGCATTTGTAAATGCACTTGCCGTTTAATGCAAACTCTCGCGGTCTAAGCAGATCCGTTTCGTTCGCCGTCCTATCTCATACTATTCACTTGGTAGGTTTATAAAAGCGTCTGTGCATGAAAGCCAGGAAATCGGAGTTACAATGACTTGGAAGGAGAGCTGATGAGGGTTGACTCGGCCCACAGTATCAGCTCAAGTTACCTGCAACTTGTGAACCGTGGCTGGTATGGGGAGTCAACATTGTAGCGAAGCATTCCTCACTTCACAAACCGCTACCAAACATCGGGGGCACCCACCAGCAATTACTGCCTACATTCAGCGGTCTTGGCGTGTAAGTGCATTCGTTGAGCATGATTGAAGAAGTGAGTGAGTGAAACCGTCGCGAAAGTAGATCCAAGCGACTGACGCGAAACAAAGAAGCCATACCAGCGAACTCTTCGATCGTTCATGGTGTCTGGCTTGCGGTATCTTGTTTCCTTCCCGGCCTAATCTCACAGTCGTTGCATTCTCCGGCGCAGTTGTACGCAGGGCCTTTTGAGACTGGTGTACGAATACGTGACCGGGCGCGACGTGACGACATCACCTGATTGTGACACACGCGTGAGTAGGGTGGCTGGCTGTCACCTTTTCCCTTCGCATGTTCAAGTACTGAAGCTTGTAGCTAGGTCTTCCTCGGCAACTGCCTACCACAAACCTGACCACAATCTCTTTGCTGAGCCGCAACTGGTATACTTCAATATTAGCTCGCTCAACGAAACGTCACTACAACTAAGAACACATACTGGATTCAACCCTTAACCTGCGAGGGAATAGGGGTTCAGCACAAGGTCACCGTCTTTAGCGCTTCTGTGTCCATCACCTGCTAATACTTTTTGTCTATTCTATGACATAGTACGAGAACATGTCAGAATCAGTAGCCTCCAATGTCGAACACACTTCCAAAAAGAGGCGTGCCGAGATGGATAAACCCCCATCTGAGCGCACCACGATTAAGCATGAAGACTTCTGGTTGTCCGATGGCAATATTATCCTAGCTGCCGATAACGAAGATGAGAATGCGACGGTTCTCTACAAGTGTCACCGGTCAATGCTAGCGAGGCATTCTCCTGTCTTCAAAGACATGTTCGACCTGCCACAACCGGTAGAGTCTCAGGAGGAGATATACGGCATTTCTCTTCTGAGACTCCATGACAAACCGAAGGACGTGGAGAGCCTGCTCCGAGCAATCTATGATCCTATGTAAGATCATTCCCGCCCATGATATGCAATGAGATAGGACAATGACCCCTATCTCACCCAGGCTGTTTGCGTTGGATAAATTCGCCTCCAATGCTGTCGACCTCCTTGGTGGAGCTATCAAACTCTCAACAAAATATGAAATGGATTCCCTGCGTGCCGTGCTCTGCAAGAAGATCACGGATGCGTGGCCTTCGAAGTTGGATCAATAGGATATTCTGCAATCCGACATCCAGACGTTGATGAGAAGACCGCAGATCGTGAAGCAATCTTCCAAGGGTGCAGTTTTTCAAGATCCAGGCGAATGCTATGTCTTGCCGATATCTGTCCGCTGGGCCTAATGTACGGCCAGTCGCTGTGATTCGGCTAGCACAGGAAGCAAGGATTCCGGAAGCACTCCGTGCTGCTTTCTATGAACTCCATCGGCTTTACGATGGGCGCGGACATACTAGAATCTGCCGAGTCAATGACCTCACGACGGGTGATCTTCACCGGCTTGTCATGGGACGAGAACGACTTCGCATGGCGGTCACTGCGATACTCACCGATGATTCTTTATACGAAGACGAGCTCTACGCCATGCACTTTGCTACCGTCGATTTCAATGGCAGTAAAGAAATTTGCCGAAAACATGTCGAAGATTGGTGGGACAAGAAGGCCGAACGCTTGGCTTTTGATGATCTAGCGTTACCGAACGATCCGTTCATAGAGTTGAATCGATTAGCAAATGAGATAGAGGAAGAACACACACTTATGTGCTCAGGATGCGCAGGGGAAGTGTCGGCGTTTATACGATCCAGCCGGAAGGAGCTGTGGGATTCTCTGGACAGATTTTTCGATTTGACAGTTCTTATGTAGAAAGCCTGTAAACGCACGCAGCACCACATCTAAATAATGTAAGCTCAAACCTACGTCCGCCTGACCAAACCGCTTGACGTATCCGGCGTTTCTATCCTGCCTTCGCACCGTGGTCCGCCCTTCGCGTTGGTGCGCTTGTATCTCACTCATCTTGGGAACACTGACGGTCTGCTGGAACAGTCCGACATGTAAACATCTCGTGTGAATGATGTCATCCTCCTGCCACCTGTAACTGTCAGGCTTCGTGCGGGAGCTTGTACCACTAGGCATCGCCGCAGAGACTACAAAACTACCCCGATGCCTGGGGATGGTACTCACCTGTATCGCGCGCACCCACGTCCTCGGATGACCGGTAATTTTATGCGCGAGTGAGTGTATTTAACACTTTTAATCACATGAGGATCTGCAGGCTCGGGAAGCGAGTAAGGGTGTGCTCCTCGAGGAAGTGGGATGAGAGGACTCCCGCACGAGTCTTGAGATTCAAGTCGTGTTTCGGGGCGATGATAGGCCCATAAGGAGGGGCGACCGGGGCCAGTAAAAAATAAACCTGTCAGGTCTACGCGAGTGAGGCTATGTGTAGCCTCACTGGTAGGAAATGGGCGACCGGTCTTTGACCGACTGAGTGAGTTCGATTTAATAGTGTGATGAAATAATAAGCGTCCTCGATCGATTGGATCGGCGCATCAATGAGATCGGTGGCAATATCTTGCACTTTGCGTTGGTTTCGGCCTGCTCGAATGCGCGGCCAGTCGTCTCAACAAAGACAAATCAACTCTCAATTATTTCAGAGACGACAAGTTTCATGTCGCTTGCGTGATCCATTATTTTGGCTCTCGCTGACATCATTAGCAGCCGATCACAGCTGATCTCTGGGCCGCAGCTCACGAATGACTCAACTGCCGAAAGACCACATCATGTCCACACTATCGAGCAGTGACCCACGCCCATCCCCCAGAGTACCAGATCCCGACATGATCCTCGACGACAGCCCCCTTTACGGCGTGCAAGTCCTCGTCTTCGACCTCATGGGCACCTGCACCGACTGGCACACCTCCATCGTCGCTGCTATGCTCCGGCAGGCGCCCCCGCCCCCGCTCACCGACGCCGACCTCCCTGTGCTTGCTATGGCCTGGCGCACGGGCTTTTTCCGCGCCATCTTTGCGTCTTACACTGCGGGCGAGCAGGCGCCCAGCATCGACGAGGTGCACGCACGAGTGCTGGACGCGATACTCGCGGAGCGGGGCGTCGGCACCGAGGTCTGGAATGCATCTGTGCGTGAGCAGCTGGTACACGCGTGGCACGACCAGCAAGGTGAGTGGTGAGACCGGCTGGGCGCAACGTGACACGATTGGATTCCCCTGCATGTAGCATGGCCAGACAGCGTCGAGGGCATCCGGAGGCTGAAAGAGCGATGCATGGTGTGAGTCCGCTCTCCCCTTCATCTCATCTATCGCCCTAACACGCAGCCAGCGTCGTGCTCGCAAACGGGACCACGCGCCTCCAGCTCGACATCGTGCGCGCGGCGCGACTGCCCTTCGACACGCTCTTTTCGTCGCAGATCCTGCATCTCACGAAGGTACGCCCCGCCGTCCGCGGCCGCTCCCATTCGGTTCACTTTCTCGCCGTGCGTGCATGCACAGCCCGACCCGGCGGCGTATGCCACGGCCCTCGCGCTCGTCGGCGTGCGCCCCGAACAGGCAGCGATGGTCGCCGCGCACGCGTACGACCTGCGCGCGGCCGCAAAAGCGTGCGTATAATCTCCCCCGGCAGCCCCTGCGCGCCAAAATGCTCAGACTCCGGCAGGGGGATGCGGACCGTGTACATTCGGCGCGCAACGGAAGACCCAGACGAGGACATGGACGCAGTCCGGTCCGAAGTGGACGTGTTCATTGACGGGGCGGGCGGGCGTGGAGGCCTACTTGCGCTGTCAGAGCTCATGGGGTGCTGAGGGCCCGTGGAACAGCGCAGCGCACCGCCTACTGCGCCGCGGGTCCTCCTGGTTGACGGCATATGCAGACAGCCACATATAAGCATCGGAACTGGCAGTGCCTGTAATATTTGATCTGACGCGTGAGTGGCCGACCCTGGGTGTCGCGTTTGCCCTCTGTGTGGATCCCACGGTAGACGAAACGTGAGTGCTCGGAGAGATGAATTGATAGGTGTCGGTGCGCGCCTTGATGTAGAATAGGATGTGTGCCACTGAGCTCGGATTGTGAGGGTATTAGTGATCTGGACTAGTCGCTTCAATGGTACAATACTAATATTGGAAGCGGTAAATGGGCGTGGCAGTCTTTCTGCCCTTTACACAGCGTTAGTCACTAGGTTATCCAAGACACTATTATCCGCGCAAATGCAATCTGTACTGCAATTGCGGCGCACACTAATGTACATTCCGACTACAACCTATCATAAAGTGCACCGATGCCTGAACACTCATCGCGCACATATGCTCACATCATCGCCTCGTCCCTTGCGTCGTGATTCCACTCCAAACAAAACTCGTCGATTCGGCAGCACAGCCGCTCGGCGGCCTAGGAGTACATCCCTTCAAACCCGTTCCGCGACTCCCCCACGGCGCTCGCGCGGTCGCCCATGTCGCGCTCTGGGCTGCCCAGCTCGGCGAGGAGGTCCGCGATGCGCCGTAACGGTTCATCGAAGTCGAGCGTCGCAGGAGAGTCGAAGGGAGCGCGCGATGTAGAGGATGGTGAGGGTGGCGGGAGGACGGGGCGGCGGCACGTCGGACACGTCGATTTCTGCGCGGGGGGCGTGTCAGTGAGACAACCGGAGCAGGGGCCCGGAATACGTACGCCTTCGCGCACCCAGTTTCGGATGCTGCGGCGGGAGACATGCGGTCAGCGCGTCTTCCGTTGTGTGATCAAGAGTCAGAGAAGCAGGGTTACCCACTCTTTGCGACAGAAGATATGTTTGCAGCTGTCAATGAGGCGGGTGACGCCAAGCTCCTCGGGTGGGTGCGCGGGCGAGTCGAGCGCGAGCGCGAGCTCCTCCTCGGCGAGCAGTGTGAGCAGCGGGTTTAAGCAGATGGGGCAGTGCGAGTCTGGGGGATCGTCAGTGGCCATCGGGCGACTGGAAGAAACATCAGAGGGGGTGTTATGCATGTAGCTGACCTGATTCGCCGAGCGTGGCGAGGTCTGCCTCGCCAAGGCGCGGGAGGCCATTTACGAATGCCTCGAGCTGTGCGTCGGCGTGTCTGACGAGAGGCGTCGAATTCCAATGTGACATGTTTCAGCACAGCGCAAGGCGATCAGGAAGGTACATGTACGCACCGTTGCTCCTGCAGCATGGTGCGCCTGAGGTCACCAAGGGTAGGCTGGCCAGCGTTTGCGTGACGGAGGCGGAGGAACGTCGACATGCTGTTGCTACGGGGGCGAGCACTTTGTGCGGACATACGACTTGTCAGGTCTAAGATGGGATTGAGAACAGAGCCGGGAGGCAAGGAAGGCGATGGTCGTGAGCGAAACGTGAGCGCGGGGCTGATGCTGAACCCAGGCGGACGAAATGAGACGATGTCGAGTAGTCAAGCTTCAAGCATCAAGACTCGATTGCGGTGAGGCGATTCTGAATGAAACGGGCGGTGGTAGAGAGGACCGTGGCAGAGCAGACAAAGTCAGCAGAGGATGCGGATAGCAAGCTCACGCGATCGAAGACCACGCAAGCCGAGATGGCGATCGGGTTGTTGGCAGGTTATTAACTAGTCTTTGACAAAACTCGTACGAGTACCCGAGCTGCGGCAACATCGTCGAGCCCTGCGTGGACAGACAACACCAGCTGTTCGCATTACCCAAAGCCCCGGTGAAGGAGATTCTAAATTCAATGTCCAATTCATAATGCTGCCCGCTTCAGCCTACTTTACACCTGTAAGGACGCTGGGGGATTTTTGACATCATCACATGTTGTTGTTTTCATTTAAAAAGCCTCGAGATAATTGATAACACAAAACCCCTGGTAGCGATCGGCGCCCACAACAATAGTCGCGATTGCGTGACTGAGCAGACGTGTTGTGTCACATGTGCGACGCAATCGGTCACGCATTGCATTGTTCACGCGGCTGCATTCCAGCGTGAGAACCGCCGCATGCAGCATTCATTGCAACACACATGCGGTGGGTGACGGTTCGCATCTTGGTATCTCGCCAACGAAGGCCATCTGTCATGGAAGAATAACGCAATATCCTCGAGCAGAGGGAGATGACTGCCTTAGGAGGCTGTTGGCGTGGCGACGGCAAGCGCGCGATGGCATCTCGCGCATGTGTTCGGGGCCGGCGAACAACAACCACACGAAAGTATTGTCCTCCATCGGGGCCTCGTAATTTCCCTTTCTTCTTCATAACGCACCACCTATCACCGAGTATGCGATGGGTCCTCGCGCAAGCCGTTCCTCAAGGTGCGTCTCCATATGTAATTGTCTCCGGGCGCCCCTGCCGTCAAGTATAAAGACCACCGCCGCCCATATTCATCTTGGTGTCCTCGTCCTGTCTTGACTCGGTGTTCCTTCTCTCGCGCACCTTCTCGCGCAGTCCTTCCGCTCACTTACAATTTAACCGCTATGCGCACCTTCGCTCTTTGCCTTGCAGCCTGCGCTGCTATCGTCCATGCCCTTCCTTACCCCCGCTCTCTTAGGTCCCACAAGCGTGACTCCGGCTCCAAGCTAGTTGTCGCACACCATATTGTCGGCAACACGTTTCCGTACACCGAAAGCAACTGGGCTTCCGACATTAAGCTCGCCTACGACTCTGGCCTCGACGGTTTCGCCTTGAACGTCGGGGTCGACTCTTGGCAGCCTGACCGCGTTGCAGATGCGTGAGTATCCACCTCGTGCGATTCATATCAAAGTTAGCTATTATCCTGCGACTGTTGTTCGGGCCCCTGTCCCCGACCTCGATGATCTCGGCATCCTCATTGCTGAAAGAGGCAGCGTCCCTTACGCCTTGTGTTGCTTTTTGTTCGGTCGCACGGATCTTGTTGAGTCCCTCGGCCAGATCCATCAATCAAGGAGCTGTTTTTAGTGATTCCTGTCATTGTTTGACTGTCATTTTACTTCGTGTTCACTGACGTGATTAACACAGATATTCCGCCGCGGCGTCCTCGGGCACCGACTTCAAGCTGTTCATCTCCTTCGACATGTCCTCCCTGCCCTGTACTTCGTCTGACAATGCCGCCACGCTCCGCAGTTACATTACAAGCTACGCCACCCACCCAAATCAGCTTCTAGTTGATGGCAAGGTCTTCGCGTCCACCTTTTCCGGCTCCGACTGTACCTTTGGTCAGGCGAACGCGCAACAGGGCTGGCAGACTCAGTTTATCAACCAGCTCACTGGGTCGAACGCCGTTCACTTTGTACCGTCGTTCTTCGTCGACCCGACCACGTTCAGCGAGTTCGATGGCGTCATGAATGGCGCGTTCAACGTGCGTGAATATTTGTTCCCGCCCTCTTACGGGATGCATTGCTTATGTTGGCGCTTCTAGTGGAACGGGGGTTGGCCGATCTCTCTTACGACGACGTCGGTCGGCAGCGTTGCGTCCCAGCTCGGTGACACTGTCTTCCCTACAGACGTTGAAGCCGTCCTCAACCAGACTATCGGCACTTTCGACACCGATTCGCAGTATATCTCCGGTGTCAGCACCCTCACCGGCGGCGCTACGACGTACATTGCGGCTGTGAGTCCGTGGTTTTTCACGCACTACTCGCCGGCGACGTACGACAAGAACTGGATCTACCTCGCGGACTACTGGCTGTACAACGCGCGCTGGGAGACGCTCGTCGCGAACCGCGACAGCGTTGACATTGTGGAGCTCATCACATGGAATGACTATGGCGAGTCGCACTACGTCGGCCCAATCGAGGGTGCGCAGCCCATGTACACCACCTGGGCAACCGGCTACGATCACCAAGGTCAGAAATCCCTGACCATATGGCACCTGTCAACCCGCGAAGCTAACCGCTGATATCTGCAGGCTGGCTAGCGATGACGAACTACTACGCGACCGCGTTCCGCACCGGGTCGTACCCCGAAATCACCAACGATCAGCTCTACATGTGGGCACGCCCCCACCCGAAGGACGCGGTCGCCTCGTCCGACTCGACTGGTGACCCGACCAACCACCAGCTCGTGCGTGCCTCTCATTTCCGCTTGCACAGTGCAATTGATGGCTAACCACGCTCCACGCTCTGCAGACCGAGGACAAACTCTGGGCCGTCGTGTTCGCGACCGCCCCCTCGACCGTCACGATCACGACCGGGTCTGCACAGACGTTCAGCGTCCCTGCAGGCGTCACGAAGCTCGCTGTTCAGCTCACCCCTGGCGCGGGCATGTCTGGCACCATCACGCGTGACGGCTCGACTGTCGTCTCCGTAAACGCAGACGGGTACACGTTCAACGCAAACCCGTCCGAGTACAACTTCAACGCGTTCGTGGCGTACGCCTCGTCTTAGACGGACGGCCGCGTCTTCACGCTCTTGGCAAGCGGAACACAGGCTGTCCCGCGTTCGTCTTTCGTTTCCGTCTCGCTGGTCGCACCTGTCATTTCGAGTGTTCTTGCTCTTCTCCCGCTCCTATTCCCGTGGTCTGTTCTCCTGTCGTTCCTCCCTCCTCCTCACGACGCGTGCGTCTCTATATCCGGTGCTGGTCCGTGCGCCTTTTCCGGACCGGCCGACGTCCTCTGCTTCGTTCCTACCTGCGTCTGCGACCTGTTGCGCTTTTGGCTGTCCCCTTAGCGCATTTATGTCTCCGCATTTGTACATCAACCTGCATTGTGCCATAAGTTATCCTTATCTTGCGTCTACGTAGTCGCTGTACGTGTATATGTCTGCGTAGTGTACCTCTATCATGTCGCTACGTTCCCGCAATGTCCATGTAGTCTGCTGTGCCGGCTGACATGCGCTCATACATCTGATGTGGTGTGATTTCACAATTTATCAACCCAACGGTCATATTACTGGAGATCGGTGAGTGGATTCCTCATGTAGCAACCACCGGGATGTATATCTCTTTGCGACCACCACTCCACCTTTGATCGTAGTGCGCGAATATGACGGGTCGAGGGCGGCTGAGTACATCGAGTCGTTATCATGCAGCAACACGAAATCGGCAGGGCCACCGATTGCTGGCATCAAGCTGCGAGGACCGGGGACCCCTATTGCTGTACGTGCATTGACTGTGACCGCTTCCTGGAGCACTCATTAGCCAAATCGGCATGGCGTTAGCACCGACGGTGGACGCACAACAAGGGTCTGGCAGGCGTCCTTGGTTCCATTCTGGAAGACCGCAACGCCGAGCGGACATAACGCGAGGGGGTCGAGCGGGCCCTGCGGCGTGAACGCATTCCCGACGTTGTTCACGGCCATCGCCGCCCTCACGCCCCGTTCTGCGAGGCGCAGGATGTTCAGGGTGCCCCTCTGCGCCGGCTGCGCTCCCCGGCCCATCATGTACAGGTCGCTGGGGGGCAACCCGACGAGCATGATCGGCAGCGCGTGTTCCTCGACCTCGCGCCGGAAGCGCGCCCATTCGTCCCCGGAGAACAGCGCGAGGCGCGTCGCGTGGCCGACGCAGACCTGCATACCGGCGTGCCAGCGGCCTTCGGCGATGCGTGCGCGGAGCTCGTCGAGGAGGAACCAGATGAGCGGCTCGGAGGCCGGGTCGAGGTTGTAGTCGAGGTGAAAGTCTGCGTGCAGGCCGCGTGCGTGGGCGATGTCCAGGACGTAGGTGATGTTGCATTTCGCTTGCGGGATGCTGGGCTCAACGTAGGGTGCGGAGCCGACCGCGCCGACACCGTCACGTAGGGAAGCGTCCCGGAAGAGTGATAGATTCACCCCTGGCTCGCTGTCCTCCTCGTTGGAGAAGAAGGGATCCTGAGCGAATACTGCAATATAACGATTACTGTGACGTCGGTGTGTCAAGGCAGCATTTGCACCTACCTGCTACTTGAATGTCGCAGACTGAAGAGTATTCCCGCTTCAGCCTCAGGCCAGTGTCCAGGCAGGTCATAGCGACGGTTTCATCTACTTCTACATGTGCGCGCATCGCAGTGACGCCGCACTCCACGCTCTGCGTGATCAATCGCCTTCCTCGAGCATGTACGTCGGTGGGATTGGACAAAAATGTGCGCTTTGCCTTTGCCGTGACCTTAAGGGCCTCTGCGAAGTCGCTTGAATAGCACCATGGAGAACCCACTCGAGTAAGAAGTAGGATTGCATAAGGCGGCGAGGCGTGTGAGGGTTGCTCACCCGGTCACAAGGTCATCGCATTGATCCAGCAGGAAACACTTGTCGAGATGCACATGGGCATGGCACAGCCTGGTAATTTGGTCCCGGCACCGATGCGTGAGTAAACGCACGAGAAATAGAATTGGCTACGCTGGCATACGCTGGGAGTAACACGCCTTGGCCTGTCGCATCTAGGTATGTTGTACCTGCATTGCTGTCTTCGATATCGGAGATGTACGAGGCAGATGCACCGTCTCGCGACGCGGTCTCTATGCTCTGGACTATACCATTGGAACAGACAATGTTATACAACGCTGCCTTCAAGCCTTGCAAAGTATCATTGCCGTGACAAGGCAAGTGCACGTTGCGAATGACCATTCCCCGAGTCATGGCGGTGGTCAACTTCTATTTCCCGGCCATCAGTACTGCGCGCTTGTGTGCCAGACCGTGCTGAACGCGCAAGCGCCCGGGTCGGCTTTTGACTGATGCATCAGTGATTGTCAAGCAGCTCCAGATCCAGGCTCCTTCCCGCCGCTGTGGGAGTTATAGGGGCTCAATCAGACAAACTTGACGCAAGCTAAGTCCTGCAAACCCATCCGCCACACTTGCGCCACAATCCGGCTACATCCGGGGCAAGTGAACTCCGAATCCCAACCTTAAACCCCCATAACTTCCTACAGCGGCTGGCACAAAACATCTACAAACAGCGGAGGAGCGGCGCATGTCACCTAGATTAGGAAGGCAGGATACTCCCCCATCATTACATAATCGTTACGGTCCCGTGTATTACAGTAGCGTTTATGTGTCCCAGTGTCGAGTCTCGTCGCCCTCGGTGCAACTTTGTGACCATGGCCTTCACCCCTCTAATAAAAATTTTATACCTGGCTTTGACACAGATGCGCGCATCCCTGCCGAGGTTAATTTTTGTCCTTCTGACTGGTGAAGGCCTCATGCAACATCCCTTCGTTGAATAACCCATCCTCGGCCTGGCTGGCACTTCAAGTTCAGCACTCTCCATGCATCTGCGACCCAGATTCTCGACTTTTGCACTGATAATGTGGCTTCCAAGATGCAAAGTGTTGCGAACAATGGGCTTTCTGCGTGTCGTTGTTACATTCACTCATGGGGGTTGCGATGACCTCAATTGACGAAATTGAAATGTTTTGATGTCAATTATCATTTCCGGGAATCAATCCTGCCTCGTATGGGAGGTGCGGCGCCTGTCCTCCGCTGTTTGTAGATGTTCTGTGCCAGCCGCTGTAGGGAGTTATAGGGATTAAGGTTCAAATGGGATGTCACATGATGTGCACGTGATGGAATGGCACATGATCTGTGGCAAGATTTCTATTCTAGGACACACAAGATAAAGCATTGAGTACGCTATTCGGATGAAATCCCCTATAACTCCCACAGCGGCGGGAAGGAGCCTGCTCCAGATCTTGCTTACCTACTGCAATAGCAGATTTGATTGAGATGCATCTCCACAACCTCCACGCATGGTGCATCTGAATGCTTATTATATTCTCCTCCTTGGAAAACATCAGATCAAAGTCGAGCCCATGTACGTCTCAGATCCAATCATTACTGTCAATGCCTCGCGGCGCGGGCAGAGTGACCTGTTTTAGACTCCGCGAGTTTGTACTCTATACAACGTAGGTACGTGTATCCCAGCCTAGGGCGGCTCCGAGCCCGCCTCCGGGACCGCACAATGAAATTGGAACCGTGCGCTGTCTTTGTCCTACAGATTCGGGCTCACTCGGGCTTACTCAGTTGGGTATAGCCGGGGAGTGACCTGACAGCGTGGTACGTCGGTAACTTTCTGCCATCAGCTGTACAATGCTGCAGGAAGAAGTGTGACCCTGATGTTGGGTACGACAAGGCAGGTGCTATATATGATGTCGTTTGAACGCTCAAGGCCGCTCACTAACATAGCTCCGCAGCTTTGGGTAGAAAAGCTCATGACAGGTCTCAAAGTTGTATTTGACATGACGGTCCTGCAACCTACAGCGTCTAACTGTAACATAACAGCCGGGTGTCTTTGTCAGTTTGCTGCCAATGGTTCGCCGAGCCCATTTATACGCCCATCTATACGCGTGTATGACCTTGCTGATCGGCAAACAATTCACACAGCTGCGCTTGACCTTGTGATGAACTTGAACACATCCTTCTGAGGCGAGCCGGACTATGCAATTTGCTCTTTTTGCTGTGTATGTTGTTTTGCGGCACGCTGAGGAGCGTCTCCTTATATTCTTGACTACTTCTCAGCTCGGTTTTGACCAGTGCCATTGATGCCTAACATCCTGCGGTTCTCGAGGCTTGACGCTTGAAGTTTTTCGTGATCCATTATTCACGGCCATCAGGCTGTCAAATTATGTGACATTGCTGATGCGATCAGGACCAAACCCTGGGCGGTTGTAGGATGGTGCGGCTAATGTCGAGCCCCAAGAACCATAAAGTAGCGTGATATGCCCTCCGATACCCCCAGAACCTGAAGTATCCAGACTACCCCAAGCGAGATGCCCTCCAGTCAAGTCATCATCCTGTACGACTTCCCAAGCACAGTTCCAGGAAAGGCGTGTTCGCCCAATACGTGGAAGACTAGGTGAGTCTCGAGTATATCATGTACGCTCCAACCACGGAGATCTTACCTCGGAGCAGACTGTGTCTGAACTACAAAGGCTTGCCGCACAAGACTATTTGGGTTGAGTATCCAGATATCGGAAAGGTCTGCAAGGAGATCGGAGCGGAACCGACGGCTACATGTCCGGACGGTTCTCCGTTTTATAGTGTTCCCACCATCTACGACCCGTCGACGAAGAGTGTCGTCTCCGAGTCAGCCAGGATTGCACGCTACCTCGACAAAACCTACCCTGACACGCCTGTGCTCATCCCTCCGGAGACGGATGCGTTCCACGCAGCGTTCAACGAGGGTTTCGAATCGCTCTTGCTACCCATGCTACACCTCGTGCTGCCGTTGACCTTTGGGGCAATTCACCCGGAGAGCCGAGCATACTTCCGGAAAAGCAGGGAATCATGGCTTGGGGAGAAGTTTGGGGAAACCCCTCCTGTCGGGCAGGCTCGTGAGGAACTGTGGAAGAAACTCGCTGAGGGATACACAAAGGTGGCTATGTGGTTACAGATGGACGGAAGAGACAAGCTGTTCTTCGGGGGCGACAACATATGCTACGCGGACATCACGGTAGCGTGCTTCCTTGGGTGCTTGAGGCGCATGTATGGGGCTGATAGCGCAGAGTGGGCGGATGTGAAGGAGTGGGACGGAGGAAGATGGGCGCGCTTCATGGAGCGGTTCGACAAGTACGAGGTAGTTCATGAGTAACGAGTGGAACGTACTTGCCGACGACTCGGAAACAGTGTATAATACTTTACAGATTGTGCGAGTGTAATTGGCTACACTCGATACATTCATCGAGCTGACAACGGAGTGTCCTACCGATCCGAGTATTCGGGTTACCTCCATGGAGCATTTGCGGTCGCTGTGTGGTTTTCATCTGAGAATATACAACCTGCATCCATTGTGAGTTTTAAAACTGCTTATTTTCCTTTCACTTTCAAGTGTTTCTAGTAATCTAGAATATGTGCTGCAGTAACACTTTGGTGTCCGCCTCGATAGTGACATGGCGTTCTAGGGAAGGGGCAGCCCATCACAATCCTATCCGATATGGTGTAACGGCTAACATTACCGCCTTTCACAGGTAGTAATGTGTGTAGTGCGCGGTAGCTCGGGGTTCGACTCCCCGTATCGGAGTGTTGTTTACTGTTTTTATACTTCATAACATGACACAAACTTCGAAGACTGCATTCGACTAGATCCGCAAGTGAAGTACAGGCATGAGGAACAACATAATTATCCCTTGCGATTGTCGCCCGTGTTTTACCGCAATCTGCGGGACCGTATGCGCTTACCATTTTGAACCGCGGGTCCATGACTGTATAGCAGCACATTATGATAGTGACGTGGGAGAAAATGTCAGAACGCACCCACGGATCTTCTTTTTCGGTGTTGGAGGATGCGCAAACTGCGCAGGGTCTTCTCCCTGTCGAAACTTCTCCATACTCCACAGGATATATCTAGCATACATATAGAGTCATGAGAAGGAGTGTATTATGAATTTACAGATTTACGCACCTTCTGTCTCGTACTGCCAAACCAGCCTTCTTCAGCTGCAACCCATCTATCTCCCACAAATCCTCCCATGTCTCCGCGGTAACCTTGGTATCCGCGGACCTCCCAATTGCCTTCAAAAACTCACTAGGAGAGCTTATTGCCCCTGCATGGTCCAGGAGGTAAGCATGTGGCCAGAACGTGTCGATGATGGAAGCAGCCAGGCACCTAGCTGTGCTGGTACAGGACGCAAGGCAGCTTTATTTTGCAGAGCACGGCAGAACCGCGGTACGCAGGACAAAGCCTGCGATGCCAGGCGCCAGGACATGATGGAAGGAGAGTCGGATCGAGAGACAGTGAGCAGTCGGGTTGACGGTAGATGACAAGCAGGTACAGGAGCAACAGGGACCAGCACGTCCGCCACGTGGTCCGTCAGATCGCTATCTGCAAAGCCAAACATTCGATAATACCTGCTGAATGATCCTATACTACAGTCACATGTCGTACTGAATAATAAAAGCACCACCACTCTCATTCGTCCGGCTGAAGCAATACCAAAAACATTCACGTAAATTATCTGTCGATTTGGCGCCGTGTTGAGGGCTCAATCACTTTGACCGAGTGGAACAGAACCGTCTCGTAAAGGGAACTCTTCTATCACGGCGTAGACAGGAATCCCTATCAAGAGGGCTGAATAAAATTCCCAGAAGCAGATCGTTGAGTACGGCATGCTTCGCTCAGAAGACGGGCGCATCTCGTAGGAACAACCGCTTTTCCTCTTTCTGAACCCACTTGGCTACAGCATTAGCAGCGTTGACGATGCCACTCTTGGGTAGCAGTGGTGATAATGCTAGGTAGAGCTCGAACGGCTGGGTGATCTACAACGTGTGGTCTCGGTATCTGTCAGCAACTTATAGCAGCACCAATCACATACCCAGCCCATGACACTCTCACGCTCGGTCCGAATGTATTGTAGCTTCAAAGTGCTTCCTTGTCCAGACTTGGCGTGTATTGCATCATACAAGGTTTGATAGAGAGTCGTCAACCTATCGCGCCGAGCGCAATTCAGTCAACATGGGGTATGAGATAATTGGACGACACACCGTCGCTTCTCGTGCGGATTATCATAGGGGTCCTCGAAGAGCGGCATGGTGACTTGAACGTGCGACCTCGATTTGTAGACAAAATGACGTAGCCCAGGTACACCAAGGTCTCCGACGGCGTACTCTGTCTCCCCACGGGATATCGCACCAGTCAGAGCTCCCAACAACCCGTCTTGCATCAGTCGCTGGTGCGCAAGATCAGAGGCTGGTCTGCCAGAGAAGAGAACAACACTTACCTGGTTTATCGTGTTGCACCAATTCCTGACTGCCTCGAAGTCCGCACTCCCGCTAACACACACGAGACAGACTTCAGGAGCGGGTTGTTCTTCCACCAGTGTATGACTGCTTTCAGCTTCTGCGAGCTGCTCAGCGGAATCTCGAGTTTCAGCATCGCTATCCTGTACGGTAGGGCTCTGTTGACTATGCTGGCTCTGTTGCTCTTGCGTCTGATCTTCTTTCCGCAAGAACATCACGTAGGCGTTGACAAACGCCGCCGAATTGAACTTTGGCAGACAGACAGGCAGCCAGGATGCCGCTGCTGAAGAATTGATGATCGATGGCGAGTGTATGGTGTTGACAAGAATATGCAGATCTGAAAGCATTGTAAATGAAGACGGATAGACGGGTCAATATCTGGGCGCATACCGGATGGATGTATGGAATGCTTCTTTGGCCGCACAAGTGTTATCACTTTTCCTTGGGCTATCAGTATAACATATAAGATATCCTGAGAAATGGCTAATGAACATCTATTCAGAAAACGCAGCCAGCTCGGACAGACCTTGATCTTCGATGTCGGCACAAGAACATCAGCGATACTCTTACGAAGCATGGGCTCCATCTTGAGACAATGCAGTGAAGATGTGCTCATGGCGATATCCCACTCCAACCTCCCCAGCAGGGAATGCAACAAAGGCTCGGTACCTAAACCTTCTGTCAACGAATCGCCCAAAGGCAAATACGTGCGTTGACGAGACGCACCGCTGAGCAATCGACGCAGGTCGAAATTATTACGCCGCTCAAACATGCGCCGTAGCTGTTCTGCAGAAACTATGCTGAGGATTTGCAAATGCAGGTATTCGAGATGGAACCGCGTCTTGCTTTGCCAGCGTCAAATCCCGCATGCGAAGACACAGTAGGTGATCTGAGTTCACTCACAACAGATTCCGCCTCTCCCCATGATGATACACATGCATAGTAGAGTGGCGGGCGCAAGAGGAAGGTTATGCGCGTATTACCAGCATTTATGCATCGCAATTTGTCACCATCGTCGAGGAAGATGGATACCAGTGCCTGCATTACCCCAATTGTCGATGTGAAGTTATCTGAAGCTTCGTCTTCTTGTCGACTGTGGCCACAGAACATCAGGGTGGTGTCGACGCACGCCAAGAAGCTAGAAGACTCGCCTAATGAAAACCGGTTTTCCGGCCTCGGTGAGGACGAAGTACTGGCGCGGAGGATACTGATCGGCTGCACAAAACATGAGGTGGCTGCAATGCAAGAGATTGAATGGCAACAAACATGGGCTATGCGGGATCTCATGTATGTCAATAGCTTTGCCCTTCCCCTTCCTGCTCCGCTGGGCAAGGTCTGTTCGGATGAGCTGCTAAGCGCGACTTGACGGTGACCTTGCGCTTACCATGCGATGACTCTTTCTTGTTGAGCGTGCGCCTGAGCTGTTCGCGAAGATGTTGCTTTGACTCTTCGTCGTTCCCTCGCGGAGTTGGAATCGCACTAGCGGTGCCTTGCTCTCCATCAATCACCTCTACGTCCACTTCCTGGACCAGCATTCCTTCAGGAGTTGGCGCTTCGACAGTCAGAGCTGACGAAGCCGAACTGCTTGCGCCCTCGTGAGATCCATGTACCATTGCGTCCAGCCGTGAGTAGTCTGAGGTGGGTGTCTGGATGGAGGACGTCGTTCCGTGGCTATGTACTCTCGAGGATACAGACGGCGCTGGCCTGGCCAACGGCGCCAGACGCGACAGAGCGGGTATCGGGGTACCTACACGCGAGGGCGTGCGGGAACGAGGCGTCGTAGGCGGCGACATGACTGCTCGTTGAAGAGTTTTTCCTCAAGAAGGCTAGCGAGGCTGGATCACAGGCGTGTATTCAGGCCATGGGAAACATTGTGGTCAGGGTAAGCAGTCATGGTGAGAAGAGCGCTTGCATTGCTCGCCGCTTGCCCCAGCGATCAACTAGCATGATCTCGCAGCGTGATCGACCCCCTTGGACATGGCTACCCACCCCAGGCCTGAATACGAATGCGGGGACCCATGGATTGACGACGGAAACGTCGTCCTCCTCGTCGACCAGTCCAACATCGCATTCAAAGTCCACCGCGGTATCCTTGCTCGACAGTCGGATATCTTCGACGACATGTTCCAGCTACCCCCGCCTGCCGCTGAGGATGACCTCGAGACCATCGATGGCTGCCAGGTTGTGCGCATGTATGACCTGCCCGTAGACCTGAGTGCGCTCATCAAGACGCTGTATGACGGCGCGTAAGTCGTGTGCCCCGCCTCCTCGTTCTGGGACCTGCTTGACTCGGTAGTCTGATAGTGAATTCCAGAACCGCAACGCGCTAGACTTTTGTCATGTCGCTGGCATACTGCGCCTGTCGACGAAGTATTTCATCGAGCACCTCCGCCTCAAGGCTGTCCGTTTCCTCACGGAAACTTGGAGCTGCACCCTCAAAGGGCACGACAAGATGCTTGAACTCGCATTACAGTCCCCAACCGTCGACGGACTTTCGTATCCGTACGTGCACCCTCTGCACGTCCTGAACCTCGCTCGGGAGACCGACGTCGAGATCCTCGTCCCCTCGGCACTCTACTTCCTCTCTTTCTACCCTCTCTCGGACATCTTACGCGCGGATCACCCCAAGCTCAAGATAGACCACCCATCACGCCCATCTTCGGAACTATCTCCCCGTGACGTGCAGGCCTACACCCTCATGTTCCAGCATCGCATTGATCTTATCATGGACTTCGTACGTCGTGTCGTCGGTCAGCGGGCGTCGAGCGAGGGGTGCCAAAACGACCAGGGCTTGTGTTCAAAGGCGTTCTCGAGGGTGTCCACAACGCTGTCACGCGCGTGGCTCATTCGGACAGGCGCGCTGCACTTCATGATGCAAGCCGTGGACGAGCTTTTCAACGACAGCACCATCTGCACCGTCTGTCGCCGAGCGTTCCGCAACGATGTATACAAAGAACGCAAGAAGTTCTGGGACGGTCTTCCCGGTGTTGTGGGGCTGCCTACCTGGCAAAATCTTGAAACACGGGACCTGGAATCCGGGGCACTTGGTTCGAGTCGTACGAAGAAACCATCACGTAAAGTCGTTGGTACACCAAGCAAGACTGCTAGAACTGTGAACAAGGGCGGAGCTGGTGGAGAATCGGATAAAGAATTGGCATTTCATTCTTCAATGAAGGATGGGCGTAGTTAATAGGGTTTCATTTATTTCTTCGGGATGTACTGTTGGCCGGATATTAAATTAACTCGGGCTTATGTCTAAGGGACTGCAGAACTCGAGCAACTGCTCTGATGGCGATCTGTGATTCAGGGTGCACTGACCTTTCTCCCTTGCACCCACATGCCCTCGCGGTTCCTGTGGTCACCAAGACACCACCACTTCTCGATCATGTCAACGGCCAGTGTCTTCCGTTTCGCTGCATTCTTATCTGTATCAAAGAAATCCAGCGACCCAATCCCTTCTCCTGTTGTCTCGCTGAAGACACGGACTGCGAACTCATCAACGACAAACCCCTCACTTTTAATTGTGCGGCCGTGCCACTCACTGAATTGCGCGTCAAATGGGGCGCCCACCGTGAAGGTGCCACAACCAGCCGGCAGCCCTAGCGCAAGTGCACCACCGCGCGTCGCGAGATACAGGGCCTCTTTCCAGTCCACCGCCAAGTTCACTTGCCTGGCTCCCTCTGCAACCTGGCCGTCTTCGTTGGTATCTGCCATAATTCGAGCGCCTTCGCGCATCCGGGAGACCGCGACGGCCTGCCGCATGGAGCCCATGATGTCCACGTCGTACCCGCCTGCGATGTCCGTGCCGAGGCCGACGCGCACGCCGCGCTGGAGCGCCTCGCGCAAGCGGAACGGCTGCGCGGAGAAGTACGCGTTCGAGAGCGGGCAATGTGCGACCGCAGTCCCGCGGCGAGCGATGTCGCTCAGTGCAGGCGCGCCGAGGAAGGTGCAGTGCGCCTGCACGGTGCGGGGCGTCAGGAGACCGTGCTGCGGGCTCCGTGTGAGCGATGGCTGGCTATAGGCGTGGGAGGAAGAGCATTACACGCGCGAAGATATCTACGTCGTCGGCGCCGCGTTCGCGCCGGACCCAGTCCATCTGGTCATGCGCTTCAGCCATGTGGCTCTGTACTCGCAGGGTTTTCTCTGCGGCAAGTTTCCCCAGGCCTTCGAGAAGTCCGTCCGAACAAGTGGGGACGAACCTGGGTGTTATGACCGGCTCAACGAGCCGCTCATGGGCAGGCATGTGTGCGCATAGGTTGTGACATTGGTCTACAAAGGAACGGGCAGAGTGGAGCGAGCTTTCAGCAGACTGCTCGACGTATGTCGCGCGTGACGAGATGTCCATGGAGAGCTTTCCGACAAAGGCTCTTAGCCCAGCCTCTTGCATGACACGTGCAAGGATTATGCTAGGGAATCGAGCCTATCATTTTGGTGTTGCAGCAGGTGCAGAATGGCCACTTACTTTGTCTCCGTCTTGATTGTTCCGAAAAGCAGCACAGCACCGGTGCCATTCTCGATGAGCCTGGTCGCCAGCCGCCGATATACCTTCTCAGCAAGTATGGGGTTCGCATCGAGACTTTCCTCAGCCCTGAAAGCATATTCGTTGAGCCACTCCATCAACGGCAGATGCAGGCCAGTGCCCTGATACAGAAATTGAGGCGCGTGCAGGTGCAAGTCACAGAAGGTTGGCAGAAGAAACGAGCCTCGGGGGACGAGGATAATGGGTTCTTTGGAGGCGTGAATAATCGCCAATGATTCTGCGGTAGTCGCGGGTGCAACATAGGCTATGTAGCCTGATTGGTCGACGCCTATGTCCCAGAAAATACCACCACTGTGAGCCTGTTGCCTTGTGAGCACGGATGCCAGCCTAAGGCTTGCCTAGGATATAGTCATAGAGGACATTGAGCTCTCCGAGGTTTGGACAGTGGACCAGATCACCTCTGAACCACATGACGGGGTGGAATAAACCAAGCAAGAGGCACACAACTTCAGTGGAAGTTGAAGTCAATCTGGAAGCGATCGAGCTGATCGGGCTGGAATCGCGATCTCGCGCACATGATTGATGCGGGCTCTTGCCAGTCTCTCCAGTCTGCCAGCCAACATTTATTGACGTTCAAAATGTCCGGAGCAGTGGCAGAGTCGGTACCCATATTCACAGCGACGTCTGCATACTCGCTCGCCTTCGTGCTTGTGGTGGGCGTCGTAGCCTGGACCGCGTCCAATACACTCTTGCCTCGGACAGCGGGATGGAAGGATCGTTTCACGTTCATCTGGCTGGTACGGCTCCTCGTCTCTTTCTGACATATGACTAGCCTGACAAATTGGCTCTTGCGAAAGGCCTTTGATGCCGGAATACATTTCGTTTTCGAGGGCTCCTTCCTCTGGGTGTCGACATTTGGGCGACAGGCCAACACGGGCACAGGCGTTTTTGCTGAGATGTGTAAGTGTCCTCAATCGAGCTCACACTATGCTGTGCAACTTATGATGACCCAAGGGAAAGAGTATGCTCGCGCAGACGCTCGTTGGGGATTCGCCGACCCCACCGTCGTTTCCCTCGAGATCCTGACCGTTTTGGGCGCTGGGCCCATTTGCTGCTACATTCTCAAGCAGCTTGTCCAGGATGACCCTGCTAGGCATTTCTGGATAATTGTGTTGAGTACAGCCGAGCTCTATGGAGGGTACGTGCGTTGCATCTGCATGGCAATACACCCTCAATGGCCTTCGTAGGTGGATGACGTTCTGTCCCGAGTGGCTCACTGGAAGTCAGTATTTGAACACCTCCAATGCTTTTCACTTCTGGGTTTATCTTGTGGTACGTTGCTCTATTGCTTGCAGTAACATCTGCTGACACTTGTTCTGTCCATTTCCATTGCGCTTAGCTTATGAACATGATGTGAGTTTTCAGTACTCATGGTGTGTATGAATACTGACAGATGCATGTCCCTACAGCTGGGTTTTCATCCCACTATGGTTAATGGTGGACTCATACAGGCATCTCGCGCAATCCCTGCGTGCAGTGCAAAAAGCGGAAAGGTTCAAGAAAAACTAGAGGTTTGCCATGTGCACAAGAGTTGCTTGGTCTCTGAAACTGCACTCTATAATTCTGCGTAGTGGCTTGTTAACTTTTGGGTATGTCGGGCAAGCGTCGCTGCCGGCCCGGGTCACGTGGTCGTGCGCCGGTGTGGGAATAGGACTTATGTAGGCGTCGCGCGCCGTAGGTAGCCCCATCGGTTTGTAACCTTATCCACCATTGATCCCTGTCCATCGAGGATGTTGGCTGCCGGCGGTCTTTCCGGCGTCGTTCTCACATGGCTTGTGTCCAATAATCTAGCTTTACCATAAGTACATTTAATGTGATGGCCCATGTGTCGTGACTTAGGGTCAAGTGACAGGGGAAAGCCAAACAAATGCTGGGGGTGTTTGACTGGTTCTTACCAAAGTGTGTTGAAACGTGCTGACCTGTGTGGTCAGGAACGAGCTCGAAAGCTCGGGCGTGCGAGTAGCCAGGGGCCAGAGGCCCCTATCGTAGTATATAACGACCCCGTGTGATGTACGTACCACACGTGATTGTCCCTTACGGGCATCGCTACACCCGTGGACAAACGCGCCCCGCGCCATTCGCACCCTTGTTCCAACAAAGTGATGGTGAGCTAGGCTCAAACCTAAGACTAGGGACAAGAAATGTATTAGTTAGTTAAGTAAGAAAAGGAATACATGAGAGGCTTACTGACCTAGGGACAAGAGGTCAAAACTGAGGTCCCTAGGGCAGCAGAGGCCGGCTTATATACAGGGGGAGATAAGGGCAGGCTGTGTGCACTAGTTCGTGCGCAGCTGATCTGTGCGCAGCATGCTGACACAGCCCCAGGGGCCGGTGAGTCAGCATGGCTGTGTCAGTGGAGCCTGAGCTGTGCCGTGCACTGCTGTCCCATCTAATCTAATCGTACAGTAGATAGCAACTTGTCCATTCAAGTGTATAGTACATAGCAACTTGTTCATTCAAGTGTATAGTACAGAGGTCGTGGGTTTGAGCCCATGAACAGGAAAAAAATTAAAAAACAACTAGATGCCGTGTCAACTTGTGACATTACCCCCCCCTCAACACACCCCAGGCAGGACCTGTCAACGTCAAGAAGACCCCCTTAGGGGTGGTGCGAAATGGGTCTGAGGGGATCCCTCCTTGAGGATTCCCTCCACTGTAACCCAAATAGGATATAGGGGCATGCCATCACCATCTAGGTGCCTGAAACATTTGTCTTTCCGTTCTATTCCTTGTACTACTAGTGCCCATACTGGCGCCTGTCTTAGCGCTCACCCGCAGGTTGAACATTATGTAGCTTACATAATGGGGTCTGTGCGCACTTCGTGCCTGGTATCGTACCACTACGTTTCTTTCTTCACTAACACGACCACATAGACACAATGGTCCGTGCGTAGTCAGTACTTGTATAAGTAGTTGTACCATCAGTCGGTCAAACCCTAAGTTCGACCTGGTTATTCATTCAAGTCTCTGCTCCTCCTCGCTTGGGGTAGTGGTCATTCTCGACTTCCTTGCTCGATCTTCAGGACGACGCACTGTCCATAAGTCCTCGCTCGTCGTCTACGAGTCAGGCATCGATATAGGAGTATAGACCGTTGTATCAAAAGGTCGAACTTTCTAAGCTACGTTCCTAGTTTTACCTAGTCGAACAACTCATCCACCATCATGTCGAACAACGCAGTCAACCCAGTTCCTTTGGGACTACCAGCCCTCGCAGGATCTCCCCTTCTCCAGTACGACCGAGCAGACCGTTGCTTCGTCACCACCACAAGAAGGACTCCCATCTATCCTCGAGGCGGCTCCTGGGTTTGCGCAGAAGGTTCCAACCCGCAGATCGTCGCCCATCAACAGCTTGTCAGCTATTACCAGAGACACCCTCCCGCTCACCCAGAAGACGTATTCGCCACCCTATGAATCAACGTTGAGCCAGCACAAATAACAGAGAACCTACAGTCACCTGTTAACGAACAATCGTTCGAACTCCCGGACGTTCAGTACGTTCCTATTGAGGCTCCAGACACCGAACCACCACCTGTTTCATTCGCACCAACCAACGCACCGGTTGAACCTCCGATGACGACGTTCACTCAAGCAGACATCGATCAGCGCATCGCGGCTGCTCTCAATACATACCGACTTCAACAATCAACCGCCAATCGACCCCTCCGCCTCGACATCCCCGCTCCGGAACCCTTCAGCGGAAAGGCAGAGGATCTTAGACGCTTCCTTCAATGCGTCCTCTCCTACTTCGTCGCCACCAACAACACCCGACTCAGCGATGAAGCAAAGATCGCCTTCACTGTAGCGTTGATGAGGAAGGACCTAGGGAAGACATGGGCAGACACATACTACGAGAAGTCGGCAGGGGGAGTCCAGGTCTATTCCGATTGGGCAGCCTTCGCCACTGCCCTTGAGGAAGTGTTTCCCGAGCACGGAACGCGAATCAAGGCGCACCAAATCCTGATGAAACTGCCCGAACGACAGAAGAACAAGAAGACGGCGCTCTCCCTTGGAAACTACGTCACCCGCTTCGAACAGCTAGCGTCGAAAGCCCAGCTCAAGGACACCGAGGTCAATGGCACCAACTGCGTCGAGAACGACTACCACACTCTCCATGCCAACTTCGTCAAAGGACTCCTGAAGGAGCTGTATTTTGCGCTCGCAACAAGGGTCACTAAGGATCGACCCAGCACCATGAAAGCCTGGTACGACGAAGTCTGAAACACCGACGCCGCCGAACAAGGGGCCCTCACTGTCACAGACACCAGGGACTATGGCGAGCCAATGGATATCGACGCCGCTGCAGTCGCGGCAACCTTTGCCTCCACATCGGGAGGAAGGAAGTGGGAACTAGGAGCCGTTCTCAATGAGGCCGATCAGAAGCTCCACAGGGACGGAAACCTGTGCTTCTACTGCCACATCAAGGGCCACAGCGCCAAGGATTGCCGCAAGAAAGCGGCCGCATGACAAGGGGGTGGGAGGCCGAACCAGGGAGGATCTGGGAAGGACGACTTCCGCGCCAGAATCAAGGCACTCTCCGCCGATGAGAAGCGGGAGCTGTACGAAGAACTTACGATGGAGGATTTTTGAAGGGGCAGGGTGAGCCGATGCAACCACTGCCCATATCTGTTTCACTGTCCCGTGTAATTCTAGTAGTCCGAAATGAACGCGCTCTGCACATTCTGATTACTGTGGGACGAAAAGACGTCGAGGCGCGCGCTTTCATCGATAGCGGCGCAACAGGAATCTTCATCAGCCTGAGATTTGTCCGAGAACATCGACTTCGGACAGAACCCCTTCCCCGACCCATCCCCGTCTTCAACGTGGATGGAACCCCGAACAAAGAAGCACTCATCACGCGAAGAGCTCTCTTATCTTACAAGATAAGCGGAGAACCCCGATTCGTCAAAACCTATGTCGCCAGCATCGGCAAAGAAGACATCATCTTTGGCCACACTTGGCTCAAGCTCGAAAACCCCAAGATAGACTGGAAAACCGGACGAGTGGAGCTGAACCACCGGTGGACGAAAGATGAGACAAGGGCCTGGAAAATGGACCTGTACCAAAGGCGAGTGGCCCAGCTAGAACTAAAGAAGGCCGTAACTACTCCACTCCCAGAACCAATGAAGGACGAATTTGTCATCATCCCCACCTCAGAGCATGCAACCCTTCCTGAACAGAAAACTAGTGGCGCAGCAGGATACGATATCGCTGCTGTGCACCACCTCATCATCCCCGCCCAACGATGAGGCCTGGTCAGCACTGACCTTATCATGGCTATCCCCAAAGGACACTACGGAAGAATCACACCTCGGTCCGGTCTAGCACTAAAAGAAATTGACGTCGCTGCAGGAGTAATCGACTCTGATTACCGAGGCAAGGTCTCAGTCCTGCTGGTCAATAACTCTGACCTCCCATTCACCATCAAAGCCGGCGACCGAGTTGCCCAGCTCATCCTTGAAAGGATAAGCACCCCACCAGTAACTATAACCGACTGCATCGACAAAACTGAACGCGGGGAGGATGGGTTTGGGTCAACGGGTGTTGCGTCCATCGAGGAACAAGCGGAGGACATCGACGATGATGAGTTCATCATTTCCTACTTATCTGGAGCACCGATGATCACCAAGTACGAGAAACAGGAACCCCTGGCAGTAAGGGATGTTCCGCTCAAGGAGCGACTCCCTGAACCTTCTGCTGGCTACAAACGACTTCACAACGGCATGATCTGGAAGATCCACCACGACATTAGGCGTGTCACCACTTCCACCGAACTCGCAGCATCGAACGCCCAAGGCAAGACAGAAAGAACACTACCACAGATGGTACCATCCTACCTACATGATCTCCTCCCCGTATTCGACAAAGCCACGGCTGCGCGACTTCCAGACCACACTGAATATGACCACGAAATCAACCTCAAGGAGGGCTTCGCGGACATGAAGCAACAGGTGTCACGAGTTGGCACGGCGTCTAGCTGTTTTTTAATTTTTTCCTTTTCGCGGGCTCGAACCCGCGACCTCTGTACTACATGCCTGATATGGACGCGTCGTTATCTACTGTACGATTAGATTAAATGGGGCGGCAGTGCGCGGCACAGCTCGGGCTCTGCTGACACAGCCTCTCTGACTCACCGGCCCCCGGGGCCGCGTCAGCATGCTGCGCACGGACCAGCTGCGCATGGACCAGTGCGCACAGCCTGTCCTTATCTCCCTCTGTATATAAGCCGGCCTCTGCTGCCCTAGGGACCTCAGTTTCGACCTCTTGTCCCTAGGTCAGTAAGCCCCTCATGTATTCTCTTTCTTACTTAACTAACTAAAACATCTCTTGTCCCTAGCCTTAGGTTTGAGCTCTGCTCACCATCGCTTCGGTGAGACCCAGTCGAATGCCCCCAGCATTTAGGTTTTCTCCTGTTGCTTGACCTCAAGTCGCGACATTAGGTCGAAACTCCCCAACGCTGCCGGCGTTCCAAAACAAACACACTCACTTCCCTCTCCCATAGGCCGGGTGGTGCGCACCCCTACTATACCTTACGATACATAGATAGCATACGATACATCGCCAACACTCGAGAAACGAACTCTTCAGTACCTGCGCTTCAGTGAGCGGTACTTGTCCTCACGGACGCGTAGCCTTGGTTCCTGCTGCATACTAGCCAAAAGCAGTATTGGGCCCTACGTGAACTGCAAATCTCAGTGTCGTCTCGGGCGCCGTAGGTGTAAGCTAGTTTACAACGGCCTTTCGTAGTACGCGCACCTCCTCGTCCTCCCCCCATCCAACGTGGCTGCCTGCCAAGGCCTCGTTCACGCCTTCGATTCTCAGGACCTCGTTGACGTCTACATCCCAGACGGT